TTATTCTATATTAATTCTTATTATATTTCGCTTGCATGTGTTGTTCAAAAGTGGCTTTGCAAATGGATTTTGTTTGTGCATAGTTATTTGTGTAATGAATTTAGCTAAAAAGTCATCTCTCGCGAGAGTTTTTGTTAAATTTGCTACGTATCGCGCAAAGATATATTCCCATTATTTTGTTTTTCTACATTCACTGAAAGGGGAGACTTTGACTCTTTCGAAAGTGAAAAGTATATGTTCAAAAACTGATGTGAAAGTATTGGAGAATTGTCAGTTAGTCGCACTGCTTCTTGATAAAAAAATGAAAAATACATACAATTGAGATAGGTTGCAGGATTGTCTAATGCTTGAAGAGGTAAAATAACAATGAAATACTACTGTTTCGAAATAATCTTTCCAATTATATATTTAGAACAGAATGATTGAAAATCGAACTAAGCTTGGCACCTGTTGTTCTTATAAAACAAAGAGGCAAGGAACAAGCACTAGATAGGTTATATGCACTTTTTCGTCAAACATAATCCTCTAGAAGATGTCCTTACACCTTCATTTATTAAGCATTCGTTCTGAGGGTGTGGGTGGGTGTGAGACTGGCTTCTCAGTCACCAGGGTTGATCATGTCGAAAATAAACACATCGACGACATGGTTAAATACACTCTTCAAATTTACTACTATTATCAAATTTAACAATTACACCAGCGTGAGTTGGCCAGACAATACACATACCGCATACAATAATCGTCTCTCGGGTTAATATCTCTTCAACGGTCAGATAAAATCAAACTGTCATGCGAGAGATCCGTAGTTCCCATAACTGTTACCATTATACACGTGCAAGTGCGTGTTGTTTCTCTTTATTTAGGTTCACTCAAACGTAAGTCATGCAGCAAGTGTAAGTTATAAAAAGAACATGAGATTAATACATTTGGAAAAAACGAGAGGTATAATTGATATATAAAATCACATGGCAACATACTCAACATGTGGATCCGGAGAAAGAAAAAACAGTCTATCATGCATGAGTGGAATAAAAATAACTTGATTAAAATATCTCTTTCCTTAAATAACGAATCTCTTCAGAGTATATATTTACTTTTATTTCTATGCGTTTATTTTTTTTACACAGAATCTACAGTTTTTGTTTTTGAAAACAACAATTGTTTCACATAAAGCGTTATTTGAGACTTTATATAAAAATATTCTCTTCGTTCGACATGTTTTACTGATGACATCCGTGACTTCATAATTTTAAGTCCTAACACGATTGCAAATTCAACGAAGAAAACTCGTAATTACAAGTATATCAGCAGAACATGACTTAGACATCGATAAACATTTATTATGAGTATATAATCTGCAATGATATACATTTTATGCTTTATTTTTCCTGCGCTCTGACTAAAAGGACGATCAAAATTTATAACTGTCTATTGTTCTTTTCTTTTTACGATGCAGGTCAAATATTAACTTAATCATTGTTTCGCCGAAGAAAAACAAGACATACGCGGAAAATGAATGACGACGATCCTTTACTTACTGACCATGACGTAATAGAACGATCGGAAGAAAACACCAACGCCAAATCGATCGAATCACTTCATGAATGGATAATTTGGTCTTATTTAAATGTTCTTATTGGTGGCGTCATTCTCGGCGTAATAGCAATTGGCTGTTCTTTTCGAACGCATAAATTTAAACGACGACAAAATTATTCCAAAGCTTTGAAATGGTCGTATGTAACATTAGTCACAAATTGTATAACAACACTATGCGGCTTATGTGCATGTGGTTATCTCATTTTTCTCAATTCTAGAATAATCTCGAATGAACAAAAACAATTGATGACAAAGATAATAATAACTAAAAATATTCTATGAATATTAAAGGTTCTAAGTTTAAAAAGATCTCTTTCAATAAAAATGCATCATCAGTACTTCATACTTTGATTTATCATATCATTGATTTGAAACTATTCAGTAGGATTAAATTACTATTCAAGGCATAGACTTATACATTTTCGAGACATCCGGTTCATCCGAAGTCAATTTTACATGTAAAATCGAGAAATTTCATACTACTGTCACCATGGACACAGAAAAAACTCGGCCTCGTACAGTCGAGGGTTAAGTACTTTAATTTTTTTAAAAGACTTCCATTTTCCATCAGTATAGAAAATAGAAGTCATTTATTTATTCACATTTTCTCAATGAAAATATTCTCGTTCTTATCATTTGTCAACGAAATTCATTGAAAGACAAGACTCCTTTCATCTTTTACAATATCTTACTGATAGATTATAAATGATTATTTGTCGCTGAATTTTGCGTTACAGAGCAATATTTCAAATGATTAGATCATGTTGCAAATTTCTCATCAATTGGGGTGGTTTCTATCTATTTTTTTCAGTAATTGGTTTCATATTTTATGGCCCATGGATTATTTGGGGTTCGATTGCAACAGCTAAGTATGTCAAAGAACGACAATCACAACGTCTCTATGATAATACAAGTTGTTTACTATTGAACTATACGATTCATGCACATACATGCTTTGACTGCTCAGGAGAGGGCTGTGAATATCTTCCTTGCTATGATGAAAATTTCTGGGTTTCATATTTAATTCATAATGGAACACTAGTAAATAGTCTCATCTTTACCAAAGAAGAGCCTACAGAACATAGTCAGACACAGGTATAGAAATAAGTTCTTCTTATTCTTTTGTATAACTACATCGTATTTGAGACAGTTATGTGCCGCTTTTGGATGTCTTGGGGTTTTGCTTCTGGCAACATTAATCATGATATGGTTTGTTTTTCTGAGAGCCAGACGTTGCCACTGTACATGAACATCATGTTGTAAAAGAATTTTTGAAAGATCAACATCTGCAAAGAAAGAGGGAATATTCGCTTGAAAGACTTCTTTCAGAAGTAAATATAAAGAAACGTTCGGAGGTTTTTATTTTTCACTCTATTAATTTCAGATTCTTTTTTTTCTTAATAGCTGGAAAAGAAAATCACAAATATGCGAAGACAGTATTTTTCAATATTATCGACTTTTTCATAGTGTGTGTGTGAATTGTAAAGTGGTATACTGGGTGGATATAATGAAATCCTCAAGTGCTGGATGGGCGTGCTTGTTGACTGGTGGAAATACATGAGGGCGGTTTTTTAAAGTTGGAGCTGCCATAAACAAACAAATACTGCCGAGCTCAAGCAATGAAGAAAAGTCATTGTTTTGTATTGGATTTATGTCTGGGCCACGTTCTTTGTTGGATTTCCAGTAAAAAAGAAAAACTCAACGTTGTGCAGCCGAGGACTAAGTGAATCGATATGACGAACGTTACTTGTTTGGTATTATCAAGGAAATTCTTCTTCGCTGCGGTCAATCGATAACATGTTATCAGCATGATGATGGACCTTTAGTAGATTCGAACGTGGAAATTGATCTTCAAGCTACTTTCGTTTGTGAGAGAAATCAATGGAATTATGTAAATTGCATCGACAAAAATAGGTTCCAGTAAAAAGAAGCAAACTATGAAGGAGATCCAACTACACTACATGGTGGATCAATTGTTCAATTCATTGCATTATGTCGTTCGGTAATTCCATGACTTATTTACCAAATGAATAAATAAGTAAGATTGTCATTGCCCTATTATTCAATTGCGACGTTATCATTGAATTCTAATGAAAAATTCCGAAAAAAATTCTTATTTCAATAATAAATTTAATTTTTTAAAATCTGCCCATCGAGAACAATTTTATAAGGATGGGGTTAACTCAAAGTGAAATATGGAGAACTTTGTTCTTCTAATATATCTTAAGTTCGAATGGATATTGAGAAGATATATTTGTTTTAAGAAAATATTTTATTGATTAAATCTAATTTTTCAACAATAAAAAAATCGAAGAAAAATAGCATCAAGAAAAAAATCATTGTTGTTAAGCATTGTGGATGTGGACATTGATGTTGGGCAAGGTGGAGTGGCGCCGCTGGATGGCGGATCTTGTGCCTAGACACGCACCAATATCAAAACTTTTGGGTTTTGAGGATTTGGCTTTGATTTAGTTTCGGTTTTGCAGTATAGGTTTTGGTATTGGTTTTGTTATGATTTTAGTCTTGATGTGATTTCAATACTTTTGCTCGTTTTTCAAGATAAATCAAATAAGACTGTTTTCAACAGCTAAAACCAAAATTTTCAAAACTTTCAGACCCAAATCCTAAACCGAAACTAAACGATCAAAACCAGAATATAATCAAAATCCAGGTTATTATGGCACGGTCGGTTCCGGCCGGTTAGGTTGGTTTTCCGACCATTTCCTTGCCGCCGGATTCCGGCCTCAAGTTCAAACGTAGGTTCCAGTCATTTCCCGACCGTTTCCTGCAAACTTCGAGCTGGAAACGGTCAGGAACTGACCGGATATTTCCTGTGCAATTCCGGCCGGAATCCGGCGGCAAGGAACCTGCCGGAACCGACTCAAATTTCAACGGATCCAGTCGCCGAAATGATCGACCTGGGAACTAAAGTATCGAAATCAAAGCCACATCAAGACCAAGACTCCAATATCAAAACTTCAAAACTAGTTTTGGTATTGGTACATACCTGCTTGTGCCACCTCGACGAAATTGTACCGGCATGTCGATTGATGGTGTGAGAGTCGAAGACGAATTCTGCTGGTTCTAAAGAATGTAACGAATTGAGAAAAAAATCTCAAAAGAATAGTTTTTTTACTTGCTACCTGTGGTTGGAGGGTGGTGGTCGTGATGACTGTTGTTGTTGTTGTTGTTGTTGTTCGTATTCGTATGTTTGTTTAAAAAGTTGGAACAACAAGACGGTATGGAAGGCATCTAAAACAGAGCAATCAATTAAGATCGTAAAGAAATACATGTTTAACCTTGTACGATGAATATCGATATGACATGAACAATGAAACCACTGTTTATCAGTATTGTCTCCATACATGCATTACAGACAGATGAATACAACAGCGGTGCAAGTGACGAATAAGAGAGAGAACGATGAATAGAAAAGTCTTTTCTCACTGAAAATCACAGTCAAGGTTTATCGAATGAAAGAAATGATTTATTTCGAGAAATCGCTAAATCGTTGTATGCGAAAAGAATTCGTTTGATACATCTCCACTGATGAAAGGATTGTGTGTTTATCTTCCACTAAATGTCTGAGTTTTCTCTCAATACAAAAGTTCTATAATCTTCGCATTTCAATCTTTGTTTTAAAGCAAAATGATTCCGTAAACAAAATCTATGACGAAATTTCTTTATGCGAATGACACAAGTAACGCTCATCCTTTGGATTCGCTGACCCTTTTCTGAAAGGCTTTTCCGAATGCTGAACAAATTCAGAGACTCTGAAAGAGAAAAAACGCACTGCGCTTGCTACTAGTGCTCAACTGAATCATGGCACTATGTCACACACTCCCATGTCGAAAAGTACGGGCTGGATCCGGAAGGAAGACACCGGAAATCAGTGGAAAGTGGAAGCAGGAATCCTTCGAACGGATCCGGCTCACGTAATTATTCGGTTCTCTCCGGAGCTGGAAGGAACCAGGCAAAAACGGACGCAGGATCCGGCTAAAGGATTCCTGCTGGAATTACACTGATCCAGGAGCCGGAATCATTGCCCTGGGCTAGAATGAATAGGATGCAAAAGTCTTTTTAGGAATGAGACCGATTAGCCATTTTTCAGTGGATAATTCTCCAGCACTAACTATGTTGACTGAAAAATTCATCGCTCAACGGCTAGTCAGACGGCCACTCACGACCAACCATTGATCTGTGTCATCTGTTTTTCTATTTTCACATCAGGCGCATGGAAATTTTCATAAATGCTTTACTAAGTCACTCATAGACGGACGATATACAATAGACTACGTGAAACGTTTGAACATTCGCTTGTGTCTTCCAGCGATAAACCGATTCTTTTCTCTCCTGTCAAAAAAATGATACCTTGTCGAATATTTTCATTGAGGAAGATCCATTCGTCAAATCCCTTTCAAAATTATCTGAAGCCTGGCAAGGTTATTCTAAGCGTACACTTTAGGATCAATCTGGCATTTAAACGCTGTATAACCCTTTCTTTCAGAAAAAGGAGAAAAGGGAATATTGACATGTTTATTTTCTTTTGTGAAGTAAAACATTATCTTTCATTCTGTCAAAGTCTACGAAACTATCGAAAATATAACTGTAAAATGGTCTTCACGATACGAAACAATTCTAAAAAGAACTTTAAAAATTTTTCACGCCCGCCTGATATCTTTCCCGCTGATCCATTCACATATCTTCGATTACTGTAGAACTAATTCAGCGGGCGAAGCTCATTCACAAATCCAAAACGTCTCGAAACAGAGTTCCGTCCAAAGTAACATGCAAACTTTATAGTTTCTGTTTCGCTCTTTCCAAGTTTCTTTTGAACATTTGAAGGTGATGATGTGTCCATGGTAACACTTCTTGAGCGATTTGAACCGCATTTGTGTAAAACAATACAGCAGTCCTTTGATCACCCATGTCAGAATACGCTGCACCGATGTTGTTGTAGGATGAAGCCACACCTGGATGATTGGGAGGAAGTGATTGTTGTCGTATTTTGAGAGCTTGTTCACGTGATGAAAGTGCCTTGGGATAATCACCTATGCCAGAATACGCTGTACCGATGTTGTTGTAGGATGAAGCCACATCTGGATGATTTGGAGGAAGTGATTGTTCTCGTATTTTGAGAGCTTGTTCATATGATGAGAGTGCCTTGGGATAATCACCCATGTGAGAATATGCATTGCCGATGTTGTTGTAGGATCCAGCCACATCTGGATGATTGAGAGGAAGTGATTGCAGTTGAATTTTGAGAGCTTGGTCATATGATGAAAGTGCCTTGGGATAATCACCCATGTCAGAATACGCTGCACCGATGTTGTTGTAGGATCCAGCCACATCTGGATGATTTGGAGAAGATGACATCAAGCGAAGTTCGAGAGATTTTCGAAAAAGTGTTATTGCCTCCTCATATTGTCCTCTCTGGTATTTAATGTTACCCAGTTGATTATAGACATCGACTACAGAATTTTCATAAGGGGTTTCATCAATTAGAACTCGACAGATTCGTTCAGCAATGTCTGACTGTGCTATGTCAGCGAGTACTAGACTCAGTCGTGACCATCCCTCTGCATTTGGAAAGCTTTCTTTTCGAATTTGTTCAGTAAGTACCATCAATTCTTTGTCATTGTCACTCGTCAATGACAACGCCACTTCATACATTTTCTCGTTCCCATCTATGGGCTTAACATCTCTTATACGAAAGATACTGTGCATCGAAAACAGTACCTCTTCTTCTTCGGGAAACTGACTGATGTGACGAACCGAGGCAAATGACGTTGTTGATTGCTTTGGATCAATTGTGATCACAAATAGAACACTGATCACATCACTGTTCTTTCGATTTCCTGGAGCAAAAATAAGAGAAACGTTGCGATTTTCACTGGTAGACAGGAAATTATTGAATGACATCAGCCCATCCTTCGTTGCCACCAATTGATCAAAATCTTTCTTCATTAAACCTTGACCACGGTAAACTGGAAAGCATTTAGCAGTAGCTGATCCATCACCAAACTGCCGCTTGTGCAATTCTTCAATATGTCGATGAAGGTCACTGATGAAAAAGCCCATCAATGTGATCACTTCACCGTCCATCACTCGTAATGCACGATTCAGCATACTGTATAAAAATCTTTGTGTTGTATACCACCAAATAGGTGTGTGCTGATGATATTCGTCTTCCAGTTGTTTCACTTTCTTTCGATCGACTTCGGTATCAACGAAATTATCACAACAGTACTTCACGAACTGTTTGATGTGTTTATCCTTAAATTGAATTGTTAACAGTATTTCTTTGATGATCTTTGTATACATAAATGATGGTTCTAGTCGATCTAATCGTTTGCCAGATGGTACAAAACTCATAGGAATAGCAGTGAGTTCATATCGACGAATGATTTTCGTTAATTGTTCACAAATATGTATAATATCAATGGAAACACTCTTCACTTTGCACCAGTTTATGGCCCATTGTTCGTGTCGATTTTGGTCATCACAGAAAATGAAGATCGAATCGATGTTTGAAATATCATGTACACAAGGTACAAGACGTTGTCCAACTGATCCTGACGTGATCAAACAGACATCTGTGTCGGCGAGAGTGAGAATAAAATCGATACATTCATCATTGTCAGTGAATGTATAAATATCATTGACAATGTGTTGAAGATGTGTGATTGCATTTTGATAGTCTGGATTACTGCTGTGAATGTGAGTGTCAAGCCAAATGACAGAAACATCTTGCGTCTCTTCAATTTTTATACGATTCAATTCATTTGCTTGTTGAAAGGTGGCTGGTGTCTGCTCGAACGTATCCAGACTGCCTTGTTTCTGGTTTGCCATTGCTGTGGATTTGGATTATTTATAAGGTAGTTATTGTAAGATGTGAGAAATGGTTGTTTGGTAGAGAACGATAAAAGTAATGTGCTTCTTCACGTTTTATGAAACTTGGAAAAAACATTCCTTCTTCTTCCTAGACAAACATTCTTACTCTTAAAATGAATCTCTGACGACAGTATAAGACGAAAAAGAAAAATAACGACATTTTGACTTTAAAAACTCGTGAATAGAACGTAAAGCCGCCAAAACACTGTGGTTTGTTTATACAGCTTCATGCATATAGTCAAACAAAAATCGAACAGAGAAGTTCTTAGCTGAATCAGCAGCTTCTCCAGTTTCAGTCGAATATAAATGCAGATTTTAAACGCAAATCGAAGCATAAAATTATTTCTCAAGGAAAACATAATTCTATACATGTACGAGATTAGAACTGCATTCAGTTCTAATCAAGGGGGAAAGTGCAGGTCAGGTGCCGAGCACCTAATCAGCATCTCAGCACCTATGATCAGTTTTGGATACTCGGGTGCCTGCACTTTCCCCCTTGGTTCTAATACATTTTGAAAGTACAATTCTTATCTTTCTAACTTATTTTTGAAGTTAACAAAAACAGTCGAGTATTCATGTGCATTCGAAGTTACATTAGGCAGCTCATGCTCTGATTACAAATTATTCGCACCAAGCTTCTGAAACTTCCGTAATTCAATAGCAAACAACACGTAAACGTAGTACTAATTATATATGAGGATGATAAAATTGAAAATGCCGTCAAAAATGATTACAATTTCAAGTTTGATAATCTAAACGTCTCGTTGTTATAATTGTCTCATTACTTTAGATACGATTGTTGAGTTACGAAAAAGTTATGAGTTGCCTAATTCGACTTATATTATAAACGAACATCTGATAGACTAATCTCAGTTCGAATATAAATAGATGTATATCTACAAGTAGCGCTCATCTGTTGGATTCGCTGAACCTTTTCTGAAAGAATTACAAGGCTCAGATAAAAACTCTAACATAATATCTCACTCTAATCCGCTTCGAATTAAAGCCACTTTTATGCACATTCTTTTTCTTTTAATCCTTTTCTACTTTATTCATGTCCAACTGCTTTCAATTCATTTGTCCAAAGATGCAAGTATAAGCTCAAGTAAAAAAATCCGATGCTGGATCCGAGTATGGGATTGTTCGATCTGGGAAGGAACACTGTTTCTAAAGATTTACTAATCGACTCTCTTCCCACTATTTACAATCAAAAATCAATTTACTCACACTTATTTTATCTCTTCTAAGCCACCCAAACAAACGCCCGGTCGCTCGTTGGTCTGCCTCCAATCGGCCACTCGCGGCTAGCTGTTACATATCCAATATTCATTCTTTCACCTTGCTTAAAATCCGCTTCAAATTCAATCAAACCATTTCCTTTCATTCCCTGTTAAAGAATCACCAACGTTGTGCCATAGTGACTGTCCAAAACAACATTTGTTAGAGGAAGTATTATTTCGAGTGGTTAGCATCAGACAATGTTTGTGTAATACAGCTGTTTATATAATTGTAATGTTATCAATATGCTGATGAGTATGAGTATCCAGTAGGCAGACGTTAATCAGCTATTTCGTTTTGTTCTACATATTGCTGCTTCAAACACTATCGCCTACAAAAAAGTCTTCCTTGCAAAAACTCGTACTTTTTCTAAAAAAAAGAACAGAATTTTTCTACAGAAAAACTAACACCAGATTCGATATCTTCGATCGCGATTACCCTTCGGCCGACTCTTACTCGACAACCAAAAATATTTTCATTCTTTAATTAGTAATTAGCTAACCAGGTAATTGGAATTTCAGAAAAGTAACCTCAGATTCGTAATCCTCAACCTCGGTCACCTTGTCAGTGGTCAATCTTTGATCACTATAGATAAATTTCATTGATTTATAATATGCTGCAATCCGATTGGATTATGCAAACAGACAAACTTTATGCATTTTCATGACTGTATTTATGTCGCTATAACCCTTTCTTTCAGAAAAGGGAACAAACACTTTATTGTGGGTTCAAACTTCAAGTCTCACTTGAATTGAACATTCAAATTTGACGCGAATGCCACTGGTAGTGATGAAAGTTTATGTTATCAACGGTTTTTATTCGAAGTCTCTCGATGCAGAAAAAAATATTGCCAACAAAGGACTATTCAATGCTTTAACATTGCACAAAGTTTCAAAATTCAAACAAAAGAAAACTTCTTGACGTCTAGAGTGTATTGATACGGCGATTCTGACATTTCTTTGGCGCCCTGGAGGACAAAGATCATCATCAAACGAGAAATGAAGGCGAGTATACCTGTTCTTTCAGTTGCTGTTGTTCTTCTTCTTTCAACGAATGACAAGTCTTCTCTTGTAACTCTTTCTGTTGTAAATAATTTCGATCCATAACAATCTTCTTCTATGGAAAACGATTGATCGAACGATCGAGAAATCTATAAGAATCTTTCATAAGAAGTAATTGATCGAATTGTCGACTTTCAAACGAGGTAAAGATGAGGTCAATATTCTTCAAGTAAGTTTTCAAATCTAAACAAAAAGAAAATCAATTCATTCGGGAGAGCAATGGAAAAACAACGCATCAACCATTTTCGTTCACTCCTTGAATGGAAAGTGGGGCATTTTGCATGTTGGAAGTGATCAGAATGATTTCATTGACAGAATATTTATTGAGACGTTGTTTGGGAAAAGATTGAGGTTGAAGAAACAAAAAGTGCTCGATGTCGAGAAATCAAACTCAATGAAGTTCATCAATCTATCCGATGTAAGTCGATTGATTTTCTAATAATATTAATGCATAATTTCCTCGGACAATGTCATCATCAACTACAATCGAAGAAGAAAAACAAAAGAACTACTTGAAAAGTCTATCAAGCAATTGAATACAAATAGTATGTCCCAATTGGCATTTGAGTGGTGAAATCATGATGGTCACCTTGTCGAAAGGCAATTTCATCGTAAAAAAAACTCAAATGCATGTGAATTTACAACTAAGAGAGATTTGTGGTCGAATTTTTTCAAAATTCGCCCACATTAACTAGGGAAACGAAATTCTATTTGTGATCCGAGGGCATAGTTGTGCTAAGTTCGGGTAGGTCAATGAGAACATTGAATGAAATTAGTAAACAAAGATAACGCTTCATCGTCGAAATCAGGAACATTTGAATTGACGATCCCACAATTATTAACTCCTCATCAACAATTTCTTCTACAATAGCAAATATGATGCACAATCTCTGAAATACAAGAAATTGAGAAAATGAATCGGTGTGAAATGTAAACGACTGTTTTCCCTAACGAACAATATGCGCAAGATAAAGTTAAACAGAGTGGGTGTTAATGTGATCCACTACGAACCTTTTGATGCATGTTTTTTTTATTCCATGTAATTAAGGGAATGATAGAATAGTATTTCAACAAACGTATCGATATCTTCTAATACGCCCATACTTTTTCCTGCTTACGACTGTATATGAAAGGGAAAGGAATGAAAGGACAAAACAATCAAATAGTATAGTAGAAAGTAAAATAGATGACTAATAGTGGAAAAGCGAATCGTTTTATTTCTTTTCTCCGTCTTTTTCTGCTTGCAATTGTGTATACATGTATACATATCCATAAACTGTTCCTCTATACGAAAGATGACCTATAGTAAAGTGTCTCTTTTCAGAGATTCGTTTTTTTCGGTTTGACAAACTGAATCAGTTGATCCGAATTGATGTCCATAGTTATCGAGGAATCAATCCTTGTCACGACAAACCTTTGTTCTGAGGTTGATGCGTTGGTTACTGAACTGGTTTTATTGAAAATCATATATCTGTTGAGCGAGAGTGATTCGCTTTAGAACGAACTTTAACTGAATTAAACATTCTTTCTCATCACCGAAGTAGGTCACTAGACGGGAAAGTTCACCAATGTTAATAAGGTAAATATTAACCGTGGTATTTTTAGGAAAAAGTCGAAGATGAACTTTTATTGAATGAATACAAAAATACATGTCGAACAAATGAGAAAAGATAAAAAGAGTAGTCCCAGAGTGGTAGCCAGCCAGTGTACAGACAGATTCATAAGCGAGATTCATTAATCTTCTTCGAACCAGATCCGAGTGCGATTGAATAAAGTTCTCTACGAAAATAGAAGATAACATTCTTTTCACGTATAACAACGGGGATATTTACTCGTAATTTCTGTAACTTTTGTTCTAGTAATTCAATTCGTAGATCTTTTCGTTCGTTGCCCTCTTGTAATTCAGCAATTTTTTGTCGATAGGATTCGTCTACAGCTCGCTGAAGAACAAAAAAAGGAACGAATAAATATTTTGAGCATTCGTCTCTTTCTCCTACCAGTTTATCGTTGATCAATAATTCGATATCACCGATTAAATCATTTGAACTAGGACGCATGCATTGAATTAGAGAGAAATTCGATGAAGACGATGATGTAAGTGGATTGATCAACGGTTGGTTTAGACTATCACAGTTAGGATTCGGTAGGCTAGATGGTGAATTTTTCAATTTCGATCTAAATGGACGCATAACTTCTACGTTCGATCATCGCTTTGAATCTTACTTCAACGAAGCTCTTCGATTCGAAAGATAGCTCAACGTTTTATCCGTTTCATTTTCAGTTACTATGTCTTTCTCATTGAATTCTTCAATGGATGGTAGTGCGGCTTGGGCTGTTGTGATCGGATTCGTGAGACACGATGCAATCGATGTCAAGGTATTGAACGGACTTTTAATCTGCTCAGCTGCTTCTTTCTTCGCTTTTTCCACTCCGAGTCGATTTTGAGCATATTCGTACAGTTTACGTTCAGCTTCGGGATAATCTCGACAACCTTCGAGAACATCTTCTTTTGAAAGAGAAAATAGTTCAGAATAACCAACACTGCGAACATCGGCTGTCCGCCGATTAGCACCATCGATATTTAAAATTCCGATTTCACCGAAAAAATCACCTGCGACCAAACGAGTGAGAACATCATTTTTGTCACTAAAAGAGGATAGTCGATTTTCAATCAATGCTCTTCTCGTACAAAACTGTACTTACTTGACAACTTCGAGCACACCGTCGGCAATGATGAACATTTCACGCGCAACTTCCCCTTTCCGACAGATAACATCGCCAGGTGTAAATATATACGCACGCATTTTCAGGACAAGATCATGAAGAAATTCGGGTTGACACTCGTGAAAGATTGTCACCTAAAATGGATAATAACAACTATTCCATGTTCCTTCAATTCTGGTTTACTGCCTCGTCAAAGCGATTTATTTACTTTCAAAGTATCTTGATGAAAAATTTACTATTTTCTACCTATAACCTGTCATGAAGTATTTCATCAATCGACCCAATAGTTCAACATAGGTACGTCACTCGCTTCACGCCCATTCCCCAACATACCTTTTTCAAAGTACCCAAATTAACATGTAATGCCAACTCGGTTTTCAGTTTATCTGGTAAAAGTTTTATTGAATGAACATCTCCGGCACCAGACATTCGACCACGTGACCAAGAATAATTATACCAACGTTGCACCCGCCGTTGCATTTCTGGTGGCACATTATGTGTTCGCATGTACTGTTTTGCACTATCCTATACAAACAGTAATCGATGTCAGATTTTTCCGGGAATTTCGCATCTTCTCTCACCAGTAAACGTTCGAATTCCAATCGACTTGCATTTCGATTAGTAATCACATTACCGACTTGTCCTAGAAGATCAAGGAGAAGTAATATGAGATGCTTCTTATGTTTTCACTGAGAATTTTACCTATAATAATCGAATAAACAAATATTCCACTCATATAACCACAAATAGCGAAAACAGCCCTCAAAAATAAAGGAACAAGACGGTGTGTAACTGACTTTTGACTTTATGAAAGACAATTCGGGGAAAAGATTTCTCTCCTCTAGCTTCAATTCTTGCTTACCCACGATGATAGCTATGACGAAAACGGCGAACAAGTGAACGCTTATGAGGAAAGCGTAGCTAAAAGAATGCAAAGTACAAATTCATATTAGAAGAACAGAGTTAAAAGACATTGGCGTGGACACAACAAGCAATGATATTTACCGTCTGTTCGAAAAGTTTTTGAGCCATCTAACTTTGAAGAATAGAAAAGAAAAAGAAAACCGAAGAAACAGAAATAACGCAAGTCTTCGCTATACTTCTCCAAAAAAAAAAGGAACCGAAGAGACTCTATCGAATATAAAAATCTACTCACTGCCAGTTCGTTTCTGGTGGTGGTAAATCTCCAATAGTTGTCAATGTTAATGTTGACCAATAGAGACAGCGAAGATACATCCTTGCTATTTGAGAAAAATTTCCTACGGGCTTTGGGTAAGACCAAAATCCAACAAAACCCTCTGCTTTCGATACCATAAAATAGAAGGAAGCCAACCAATGTCCCAAGAGAAGAAGTATATGAAGTAGATTTAGCACTCGATAGGTATTCGGATAGATAGTACGTGATTCTTGATAATAGTAGAGTTGAAATGTTCGATAGAGTTTGAAAAATCGCGGAAATCGAAGAATCGGAATGCTGCCGAATTTGATTTGAAGTAAATCCAATGGTGTTAATGATAGAATATCGAAGAGGAAACGAGATGAACGTATGTAATTCATAGCAAGCTTCATATGATTGTAAACAAGTAAGCCTAGAACATTCATATACATAAATTTAGTTTCGAGATGTTATTTTTATCTTTGAAAATGATCATCACTTAATGATATTAGTCATCTAAATACCGGAAAAAAAGACGAATCGACAACTTCCTGTTCTGTCGATACGCTCTGGGAAAAATACGATTAGATCGTCTCGTAAATTCATCTCGATTTGAATTACAGAATAAATCTTTTCATTTCCATTACCTTGCTCGAGATAACCGGTACGAAATTGAATGAAAATATCGACGAAGTACATGGAATCGGCTATGTAGTCGAGAATTCGCCAGATATTCTCATAATCTGTTTGCAATGGTTCAAATGCTTGCCGAGCAATTGAAAACCATAAATTATACAAAACAAAAATATTCAATAGTATTAACCAATAGAATAAGAATGATTCGTCGGTTGATATAACAAAGTAATTACACGCCCGTAAGATCCGTCGCAGAAACGCAGAACGAGTTTTGATCGGTTCATCTTTTTCACTGTTTAATCGAAGATTTCGTTTAACAGGATCTGGAAGGACAAAATGACAAATATAAGACATGCGTGAATGTCGATTTACCTATCGCCCCCATACTTCGATAGCCATATCGATTAGAAAATCTTTGTAGGAAAGAATCTTCTCGTGTCAATCCTTTGTTTGATCTGCCGCCAGGACTTGATTGTCGCTTTAGACTCTAGAAAATATTATTGTAATTGAAGGTACAAAGTTTTCAGAAAGAGAAAAAAAAGCTAAAGATTTTCAAAGATAATCACCATCAGTTCGATAAAATCTTGTTTTTCTATGAATCTAACTGTGGATGTCCATGACTTGATTTGAGGAAAGTTTTTGCCTCTTATTCTCTCTAGATTTGAAGTATAAGTAAATAATAGAAAACAAATGTTGATAATTTATTTCGGAATTCTCTATCATACTCAATTAGATGAAGAGCAACGAGCGTGATGTGAAGATGATGATGAAGAAGAGGAAACAATAGACCTCTTTGCCTTTTTTTTCTCTTTCGAATTCATTTCTATGGGTTTGATTAACGACAGAAAACGCGTTCATCTACTGACGAACGAAATCATTCTAGAGAATGCTCATGCTTTAGTTCGGCAATGAAATCTTATTAAAATAATGACTTACATCATCATTTGACGGCGAAGATGGCAATTGATTAGGACTAATCGATGGTCCTCGCAGGTAATCACTTGTCGTTAACGTTTCACTTGCGTTCGACTGACGATGTTGAGCTAAATGTTGAGGATAGGGTGCTGGACACGCACCTTCTTTCTTAAGTAAGTCGTTTAGAACAGGTGTTATGGCTGCTAACGGCATATCAATGGCTATTAGAAGATCATAACTAGAATAATCAATGACAAACAATAACTATAAATCGTTTTGTACCCTGGGTAGTCGATGTCATTTCTATCTTCGAAGATTGAGAGGAAAAAGTCATATATCACTCGATTATCTTACGAACAAAAGTTATTTCGAGTCAAATAAATCTCGGTTATTAAGCTCACCCGAAGGAAATATAAATAAGCTAGAAATGCGAATTTTCTTGATACATTAGACATCTCTTACCTAACAGCAGATCATATCATTGAATAAGATTTCCAGTACGAGAAAATTTTCCTTTTTCTTTCTATAATAAATTAATTTTATGCCCGATATCTTTTCCTCTCTTTCTCCTTCCCGGATTTTTTCCTATCAAGTAATTTTATTCAATATAAGAGAGCGAAAGGAGATAGGCTGAACTCGTTTGGGTGAGACATGCATGCCTTTTCGCCGCATAAATGAACAGAATGTTGTGTGACACGAGAGAGAGAGAGAGAGAGAGAGAGAGAGAGAGAAAATATAGAGATTTGCTGCAACTAGATCATATTAACTTCTTTCCTTGAATACATTTTCTCTCTAAGAGAATTTTCATTTCTAAGCAATGGCAATTCATCGAATTCTATCTAACATCATTAGCTAGACCGATCATAGTCGAAAAAGAAATATGCAACAGAAGCAACGAACGAACCAAACGGAAATTGTCTAGTTAACTATATGCATGAACTAGAACTAAATTCAAATTAGAATGTGCATTTAGGCCGATCGAACCAAAGCAATGCCAATTCACATCAAGATCCGCTTAAATAACTGCAGACAGAAAAACATTGTGCGCATAATCTCTTCCTTTCCTAACTGTCGCTATCTTCAGCGACAATGCCAAGAAACTCTTTTTTTCTTCCAGTGATTTAATTGAACTATATGTAAGTAAGTAGAGAATAATTCATGGTATTTATTATATCAATGAAACAGTTTGCAATCGAAGAACGTTTTGCTATTCGCAGTAAGAATAATAATAATACAGTAGAGTTTAAATATCACCGACACGTGGCCGTAGTAATGATTGAGAAACACAAATACGATAACGGCCGCGGGGTGTTTGACGAATGGCTACACGGATGGGACTTGATTCATGACCTGTGTCACTACTTGCTGTTGAAGAACGCTAAAACTTATGCATGAAATTCAAACACGCACGAATGATCCTTGTCTTACCGAACTCATTGGCGTTAAGACAGGTTTAATGTCGATGTTTAAAAAATTGTTCTCTGCCGGCACTGATTTTTCCGTGGCGAACATTGATGTTAATGAATTTTGTCGTTGATACGTCGCGTCAGAAATGTTGTCATTCGTGCTACTACCAATATCACAAGGTTTTAATCCGTATAAAAACACTTTACACACAGTCATCGTACTCTGAAAAAAAGACCGACAAAAAATGACATCATTTCTCGGATTCATACGTTCAAGAAATCAATAGTTAGAATGATTAATCAAACAGAACTTTTTCTGCTTAAGATGCGAAGAGAGAAAAAGTATGCGACCTTGTCTGCACTTGTTCTCTAGTGTATAGAGAAGGGATAGAGAGAGAGAGAGAGAGAGAGAGAGAGAAAGAATGACATGGGAAGAAAAACGTTTTATTTAATGTTGGGAAAGCAACAGCTTGTTTCAACTATGATGCTGCCGATGATCATCAACAATAAGACGAAGAAGAAGAAAAAAAAGAACAAAACTGGTTGTATGCATATTTGTTCTTAGAATTGATTGAGAGAAGAAAAGAGAAATAGTGATTTGTTCAATTCATTCGAATAGAAAGAAAGAAATCCATGTTTCATAAACTAAAAAGAACAGTTGTACAATGATAGATTTGCCTACACACGTTCTAATTGAACAAATTGTACTCGTTTGAAACACATGTGTTCAAGGTTTCTCTCTTTCTTTCTTTCCTTTCTCATGTTTCTTAATATATGCACTGTGATTTACATCGAAAAGTTAAACGCCTTTGAAAGCAAGTTATTACTTGTCAATAAAACTTGATTGATCATTTTAATGGTAGATGTTATGAATAACATAAATCGCCAGATCATCCGTGATTAAAACCAACGAGACACATTATTTTGTGCATATTTGAATTTCTACTTCATTTATTTGTCATCGTATCGATGTATGTTAATATGTATTTATGTACATGTGTGGATTTCATCATTTACGTCGTTTATCACGAAAATCTAACAACAACAAGCGAAGAAAAACGAGAACATTGCCTTTATCATTTCTACACGGAGTTCATTCGTTACTTAGTCGACCTCTCGCTTGATCTGATCATTTACTTATTAAGGTTAAGCACGTCAACTAACTGGTCGAGATCAGATCGTATTTTCAAATTGAATCATTAATATTCATAAAGAACATGTTTCCATTAGATTTAATTAATCAAATAGTATGTGCATTATTTAAATCATTCCAATAACAACAGCCTTGATTCGAACATGACAACAGGTTAATTGAGTCCCTTGAACGAACGATATGCTTAGTTCTAACTTGCTTAGTTCAAGGTAATCAGACAAGCAAAGTTAACCTTCGCTGGATTGAATCATTGAGATTTTGCGTTTTTTTTCACGAGTAGTTTGATTTAAGTGTCAAATGAAAGAGAAAAATGTCAAAGTAAATATTCAAGTTGAAAGAAAAAGCTACTCAGACAAACAAAAACAACAAATGTTCAGCGAAGGTTTTGTTCGATATTCAATGACTTGTGCGCACTGAATTGAAGAACTTTCATTTTAACCGAAAGGTTTAATAATTTAATCTTGCTCTATTGCTTGTAATTACCATGATGGATTTATCTCCTCATGGCTGTCATATGTATTTGCAATTAGAGTCGATCTCTGTCATTTGATAAGACGTGATTACTTTTGTGAATCGACTCGGAAATTATATATAAGGACGATGAGTCATTCGCCGTGTACTTATTAATGAAAAATATTTTGTCTGTTCTCGACATCGACGCAAAAATCATGAAATGCGATGAGCAGTCATCCATGACAAGCTTGTAATATGAATTTGATCTGTTGAAAGGAAAGATCGTTAAATCTTTTCGAGAATTGATTTGATATTTTTCATCGAGATGATCCAAATTGCAGAAGCTGCCTAACGGGAAAACCTATGCACTTGACAACATGTGGTTTTGTTCTATTGATGTCATTTTTTTGTTTTTACGATACATTGAATCCTGTTTTTCTTTCTCTCATTAACGAGCAAAACAAGGAAGAGATAATAATCATGACTAGCTGAGAAAAACAGAGTACACGCTTGCTATATATCGATATTCTCCGTAGTTTTTCGTATGCATTAAAGTAACCTATTCAGTTTGATCATGCTTGCGTCGACAGTTGCTCCTTTTCCGTTGAATAACAATCGTACATTATTTCGATTCTACCATTCAGAACACTCAGATCGCCGCATTGGTCCAGGCAATCCAGCGTACGTTAATCGGTATACATTTCGTTTGAAAGGATTCATTCTTGGTTGTTTAATCATTTTCTTTGCTGCTGCTCTTTTTTCAATTGAACTTGGTCGCGTTTATACCGGTTCGATTAATCGTGGACAGAATGATTCCAATACTTCGTTTCAATATTTGATCAATCCCGATCTCATCATTGGCTTTAATGCACGTCTCACAAACAATCGATTGGAAAATCGATGGGTATGGCCATGGTCAACAGCTACATTACTATTTAGTTTGATTCTGTTCACAACCGGTGCATTGGGTATATACAGTGGTGTTCGACAGAGCTATTCGACTATTTTGATTTTCTTTATCGGCTTGATCTTATCGATATGTTTAATGGTATTTTTAATCATTACTTATGCAACGATATTAGCTGGTTGGAAAGAACTTTACGGAACAAGTCAAGACAGTATGCCGAGTTTTGTGCGAATGGATAAAAACTTATCCTCGGCGTGTTTAGCGATTTCGTGTGTATTAACTCTTCTTTTGTTCATAAGTCTGATTATATCTGGTACAAAGATTCGAGTGTGTACCGAAAAGTATTATCCTACACCCATTCGCGGCTATCAACGTTTACCGACTATGCTTACTCCCCAGCCTCGTCGTGCACGACCACGGCATGGATCACCAGCATCTCGTCGAGCACCACACGGATCACCAGCATCTCGCCGAGCACCATCAGCGGCTCGTTGAGGTCGGATCATATGATCGGATAGAAATCAAACACTTTTTTATGTAATGTCATTCGACATATCTGTTTGTAGTTAATAAAGTTGATTAAATCGATCGTAAACATATACACGTGCTATTCGGCACCAAGTGCGGAATGACATCTAACTGGACTTTTAGTTTAGATTGAAGAAAGAAAAGAAAAGCGCGCTTGTAAAATCGAATTCGTTTTTTGATCTATGGCGCTGAGTGATGAAGATCGACAGCGATGTAATGCATGTTTGCAGAAGCTCGATGAAACGAAACGAACGTGTTTGCAATCGATTGAATACTTAATCGAACAACAGCGTGAGATTGATGAATGTATTGCTGATCTGAAATCGACGAAATCTCATGCGCAAGAAATCAATAAGAAAATTACGGAATTAAATCGAATCTCTTGTTTAAAATTGTGCTGTTCGAAAGCAAAGGCATTTTCATTTGAAACAAATGTTCATGATGACAATCATTTACTTATTTTACCATTCTCACGTAATCAATCGAGTGTCAATGGTTTGAATGAATTAGAAAGAGATTTCGAATTCGGAAAAATCTTCGAATCAATGAAGTCATCGTCTATGTCGAAACATTTTTCAACTAAGGATGAATTTGATCATATTTTACAAGAGGAATATTCTTTACTTTTAGAATTAGCGAAAAAACTAACAAAATGCATACAAATTCTGCATGATACCATTGAATTTCTTGGCACTGATATCAGATGTACATTAGAACATATGCAAATAGCTCAGCCACGAATGCAACAGTTATTGCAAAAGAAACTACCATTAGCATTTGCTCAAATACAAAAACATTCGATGATTTAGGAAAACAAAACGATATCTATGTTATTTATTAATTCATAACGATTAGATTTTGACGTTTCGCTGTTGTTAGCTGTACGATATCACGTACATTGAAATCGTTCGCTTTACTCGCTGGCTGTGCAGCAGTTCGTGTGGTCAAACGATACTGTGGAGAAGTATCAGAGTCTGTATCCGTCTTATGTTCTCCATCCTCTAATTTTATCAACGAATTTGTTCGATAACGTTTCACAGTATGGTGAATCAGTAAGCTCATTAGAGTAATCACAATGATTCCACCAATGGTGGCACCGACAGCTGTACTGACTGGAAACGAAGATGTCGGAGAAATGTTTTTAATAGTTGTACTTATAGCAGTTGTAGTGCTGAATTCAATCGTTGTTCGCTTTGTGCTCGTTGTTGCAGGCAGGGTAGACGGTATAGTTCGAATAGTCGGTACCTAGAATTCATATTAGTATAAATAGCATAGAATCAGTTGATCTTACTGTTCGGTTCTGTATGGTGACGGTCGTGAAAGTTGTTGTTGTGCTGGTCGTTGTCGACGTACTAGGTTCTGCTGTGGTGTAAAATGTCCAAAACGTACTGTCCGTTATTCCCATGGAATCACGTAAACAAGTTGCAATCGGTAGAAACACGCCGGAATCAATTGATATGTAGAATTGTTGACCTGTGCTAAAAGTGATGTCCGATATAATCTCTAGTCGATCAGAATGGTAAATAACATTATCAGGCTGTTTAAGTACGTTGTAAGTCACAAAGTCAGTATTGGTCGTGGCGAGTTTAAATCGAACGAAAGCATCAGCATTTGGTCGACTGTATGTTATGCCAGACGGATAGAGTATCGTCCAACTTGATTGGTATTTCGATACTAGACCAGTAGGAAAATGAGTAGCGTTGTTCACGTACAGAGTGTTACGACTATCAGAACCTAACTGAACAGTAAAACGAAGACATGTGGCATCACCTTGATTACCAATCGAATCGACTCCAGCAAAGCAAAAAAGATTTTGCCCGACTTGATTGGCACTGGCTGAATATGAAACTTTAAAATTGTACAACGTCAAATCGTACGGATCAGTAAAAATTGGTGATTGAGTAAAACCTGTTGGATAGACTCCGATCACATTCACTAATGTAGCATTGGCACATTGAACACGAATTCGAATGATCATGGTAATAACTTGACCAGGTTCCACAAAAATACATTGATCAGCGGGTGCATCCCCAATATAGATCGGTGGTGTCGAACATGTTATATTGGAATCCCAAACATTAAAAATAAATTGAACAGGCACACGCGAAAGCGGAACAGTACTTGTGTCATTTTCGTAATCGAGTACTGTGAATGCCATGGCGTAAAAGCCCACAGTAGCTGGAGTAAAGCGTAAAACACAACTTGTTTCGTTGAGATAGGTTGAAGCAGGCAAATTGAGCACTGATCGACAGATTCCACCGCATTCGTCGCTTGTATTCGACCAAATACAATTATAACGATCGAAATCATTGTCAGCAACGTTTATTTTGATATTATAGGTTAGAAAACGACGAAGTCGAATGATGGGTAACATGGTGACGATCGGTGCTTGATTATATCGACCATTCGGTCGAAGGTATGTATTGATTTCGACTGCAATCGACCAATCGCCACCGCCAGTGACTAAAGCAAACCAAGCACTTCCCGTGAATATCGCGCGAAAACGATAATTTGGTGAGACTTGGAAAGTAAAACGTCCTTCGCCGCTAACATATTGCTCAATTTGATTGAATCCAGTGCATGGTACTGTTACTGAACTTAATGTACTGACATTTGGTGGACATGATGACATGCATTTCAAACTTCCCGAGCCGATCGTGTAGTTTCCCGCAGATATCTGTGCGTTTGTACACGGCCACCATGCGTAATTCCAAGCATGACGTTGTAAAACCTCAACTCGCAGTGGATTTGTGGTTGAATTGATTACACGCCAGGTTATCATCGATCCACGAAAGTGAGCATTAAACACCAAAGTTATCTGTAGCAAGGATAGTATTGCAGTGAAAAAGCGTGCCATTTGAATGCAAATCAAAGTTCATATCTTTTTTATTGAGTCGGAGAAAACAATTGCTGATAATCATAACCAAAAAAATGCACGAAAGGGCACTTTTAGGCTTTCGATTCTCCTGTTAAGAAAGAAGCCATGTAAAACAAAAATATTTTCAAGCTCTCAAGTTTGAATGAAAGTTCATTCGTTTTTGCATTGACATCGATACCAAAGAAACTCAAATTTTCGCAAGTAATTTGCATAAGAAATGAAAAGATATGTACTTGATATTGTTATGAATTTATTATTTCTATACCTAGATAGAAACGTAACACACCAGTTCTTCAGAGTACGGCAAGAACGTTTTCAAACTTTGTATTCTTCTCTATTGCTCCAAGTCAGAGACGATAGCAAGAGATTCACTACTGACGTGAGTGTTCAAGCTCTTTTATTCCACGTTCAGTCGGTGTCTACATTTGGCAACAGAGCGCTATAATACTAAATTTTACTCTTTACCGCTGTAAGAGAAAACGTCACGTTCAGGTTTCTCTAAGTACACGACGTGAACATAGCAAAAACCATCAGTCATTGTATGATAGATTGCTATCAACAAATTTTATATTCATTATATTATATTTATTGCAAAATACGAAATATTAATATATATGTCGATAAGCATGCATCATGACATATCATCTATATTCAGCAATGCCTTTCTCTTCACCTGAAACACACGCACGCCTGGGCTACGAGATTCATCGTCATCTGTATATGAAAGAATGTAGGATGATTGTCGTATAGCCGAATATAGTTCGTCGTCCTTAGATCCGTCGTCGTTGACTCGATCAATGATCATTGTTAATGCAGCTTCGATTACTGATGCTGATAATGAACTTGTCTTCATCTGCGTTGCTTTAAAATAGGCGGCGATAAAACTAACACATCCTCCTTTACTGCCAAATTTGAGTAAAAACAAATCTTCTTCAAGGAACTTTTCGAAATGTTGCAATACATCTTGAATTGCCTCCTTGCCAATCTGTGTTTCAGTTTGTTTGATCGGTAGACGGTCATATTCTTGTGTATCGATTTGTAAGGCGCTAACATCAGTGTATCTGACAATCAATTCTTCAAGTGTTTTGCGACGCAAATAATCTTCTTGATTTTCATGAGCATCAGATATAAATGAATAAACTAATGGCTTTTGTCGTGAGTTATTCTCCATTCTCTGTCTGAAATAGATACAACGATTCGATCTCGAACAAATGTTTTCTTCATACTTACCTGAGAGATGAAAGACTATCTTCAAGTTCTTGGATGTAAGATTGCGATAAGGCATTACTCGACTGGGCTGCATTCATTGCCTTGATCAGACATTCTTCCGCTTCTTTCCATATACCCTTGACTATACAGATGAGACTTAAACGAAAATAATGCAAGCTAATCTCGGTGAAATCCATCGGTGTGTGTTTAAGTCGAATGTTTAATGCTAATAGGCTTCTTTCAAAAGCAAGCTCAATATTTTGCGTCGACCAATAACAAATCGATAATAATTTGTACATATCCGCGAAAACAAAATGATCTTTCTGATGATTTAGTAGAAGTTCTAAGTCATGAATGGCTTCGGATTCGTTCGTTATCGCCGAGAGGTATTCCTTTTGGTCGAGATGAGTTTCAGCATTCATGTGTTTGCCATAAACGGTTAGAAATTGTTGAACAGGAATCTTCCTGATCTCGCGTTGGCAATGTTCGGGAATTCGTGTTAGAATATATTCATACGTCATTCGATCCATTGGATTCAATGATGATGATTGTCGGCAACCCATCGTGGAGATGTTTGTGATGATCAAACTAGAAATAGGATATGTTGAGAAACCGGTAGGACACAGGATGTGAAAATTCAAGATAGAGTCAGAAAGTTCTACTCGATTCTTTTTCTTTCACATAGTATCCACCTCACCCGTACTGATTTGATGATGTTTTTCTATATGAAATCTCATTGACGTCTTCTGAAAATTTCAGCGACTGACACGGTTCAAGTCAGCAGATGACTAGCATTAATAAAATAATCTTCACCATGAACGGGCGACGGATTCCGTTAGACAACATCAAAATCTGTTTCCGCAACAATCGAAAAAAACTTTTACAAAGCTCGTTTATCAAGAATAATCTCTCCCTAATGTCAATCTAGTTATCAAATTACTATTAATACAATACTGCGACAAGCATATTGTCGTTTTCTAGCTTCTATTTAATAACATGTGAGAAAAGGCAAAAAAAACTAATATACCAGCAGCTACCTTCATAACTTGAAGGCAAGTCTAACAAGAAAAAAGTTCATCAATCACCATCGCCTTCTTTGAAATATGCAGATTGAGTTTGAGTGTACCGTTTTATGCATACATATAATTAATATATATCATTAATCTCAACTTTGTTTGTGTCAAATATCACTCATAACCCAGTAAAAGTAACGTATAATATATAAAAGAATTATCATCTCGAATAAATCGTCAGTGCATACAAACAAACACACAAGTTCTTTTTTTCATAACAAACAAAAGAAAAAAAATTAGACGCGAATGTTTAATACAATAAAAAGACGAGAACACGAAAGAATACTAATAAACCTTCAACAACATGATTATAAATTCTCCGTTGCGTATTTCAGATCAATCGAAGGCGAAAAAAAAGAGGAAGGAAAAAGAAATTCGGATAACGAGAAGAGTTCAGTTAGACGTTTGCTTGTATGGAATAGAACAGATACTTGCAACCTATATGTATATCACATATTTTTCAGTTCTCTTCGAGAGATTCATCGGTATCATCATTGTTGAGCTCCGCGTCCTAAGAAACAGAAAAAAAAGTCATCAGATGATATTGTTTTTTTTCCTTTGGAAGTCAGTGCATTCACCCAAAATGGACAGATAAAAACAAAATGCAAAAGAATAAGTAGGCCATGCAAATGTTAGTGAACGTGTAGGAATGTGAACGATTTTACCTCATTCTCAGTAAGAGATTTCTTAGAAGTTTTTGTGAAGATTTCAGAGCCGTTTTCCTTGTTGCTTACATCATCGATATCAAATTCGGCTAATTCTTTTTCGAGATCTGTGAGAGATGTTCGACGGTCAGTGCCAGCTGTGGCTGCTGTTGATGTGATACTTGACGCTTTTGATGTCACGGAAGCTTCGCGGCTGACAGGGGAGGCAAGAGTTGATTTATTTATTGGAGGGTATGAGTTGTTCTTCGGAGAATGTGAACGAGATCGATCAGAGCCAGGTGAAGGATTGAGGCTGTTTGATACAGACGAATTTATTGTTGGCTAAATAGAAACACGTTTTATTGAAGACTCTGTTTGTTCATACGAACCTTATCAGCCACTGGAACTGGTATTTCATTAGCATCGTCAAATTTTTCTTCATCATCATCATTACCGTCGGCTGGTGTTTTAATAAATTGTGTTGGGTCGAATGAAAACTGTCCGTTCTCCTCAGCCAACTTCATTTCATCTATTGGATTCCTTTCCCAATTCGACTAAATGAAAAGAACATTGTTTGGAACATTGAGATGAGCCCATTTATCATACTGTCATCGATGCGTAGCTGCTAGCTGGTACACGCTGCTTTTGTTGCTGTAAAAATTGTTCCGTTTTGTAGGTATCAACCAGACCCGGAAAGAGATTTTCATAATCTGTTGGATTTGCTAAAGAATTTGCTGCTCGTTCCATGTTCATTTGTTTCAATTTTTCTCGCCATAATCCTACAACACGATTGATTTGTGATGGAAGATATGTTCGAGCGAAGAATGCCGCCTCAGGCAAACGTTGGTTTTCAATGAGAATATTCAAACAATCATCTAGTTTTCCCAGGACGAATTTCGAGAGGAAAGCTATATTGAATTGTCCATTTTGGCGTGATTTATCTCCGATCGTCTCCATTAGTTGTTTATCACTCGAAGCACTTGCCAAAAGAATTAATGAACCATATGACTGTGCACGTGTTAAACATTCTTGAACTAGTTTCATTTCACCTTGTTTCGTGGCAGCTTCAGATAGCTGCACCCATTTCTGTTCATTTTCTAATTCGACAGCGAGATCATAACATACTTGTAAATTTCCTATTTGCAAGGCTAAATCAAATTTATGTTCATTGTCTAAAGTTACAGTGAGAGCTTGTTGACGATAACCCTGAAAGCGAATTGATTATCGAAATTTTGAAGAAGAGACATTCGAACTAACCTGTTTTTCAAGAAAATGAGCAACGCGTGTTCTTTGTTCTTTTGGAATCGTCGGAAGTACTTGGTCAGCTGTTTCGAAATCTTTCCGCATCACAGCTGTTTGATATTCCAATACAGATAGTGACAATTCAAACGAAACAATGGACATTTCCTTATCACCCAAATACAGGCGATTTTCATTTGAGACATAACCCAATAGGTACATGACTCTAAACATCAGATTAGTGGGCACAATATGTACTTGTCTTACTCTCTATCTCTCTTCCCTACCTGTCCAAATGTGAAACGGTGACAATTTCGCCACCAACGTAGTAGTTAATTCGGTTGAGAGAATTTGTGTAGATAAAACAATCACCCACCCAAATACCAGTCTTAACAACTTCTGGAATTTCACTCAAAGCCTAGAAAGATAGTTCAAATCACTTTATATCGTGTTCAAGAAGAAAATCTTACATCAAATGCATCTTCAATGCCTTCTTCGGTCACGAGATCTTTGTTAGTCTGTGCAACCGCCACTGCTTGAGTACTGTAACGTAGAATGTAGTAGGACTCTTCTGTTGCGATACATACTAATTCACCGTTTTGGCTCCAAGTGATCTGTATAATGTACGAAATGACTCTCAAGAAGTACGGCACAAGATCTAACATACAGCTTTTGGTACAATTTCAATACGACGAACTAAATTCAATGTTTCCCAATCGTAGAATGTCAAACCTGAGTACGATCGAACACCCAACAAATTGCCACCGAATATACCTAAAATAGGTAATATTTTCTTGCAAACGAAAGTGGAAATCATCATGGGCATTACCTTCAGCTCCGGCTGCTGGCTTGAAAGTTTTCTTTTCTTTGAAATTCTTGAAAACTTTTACCATATTTCCATCGCGTACAGCGTATTCCGATGAATCGTGTGACCAAACAAACTCCATTGCACTTCCATAACTCTTATTACGCAAAGTCATTGCTGTATAAATAATATATTCTCCATCCCCACAAACAACGACAAATCTTCCATTGGGTGAGTGAGATAATGTTTGTGGATAGATTTCACAGCTGCCTAATTCTTTGACATTTAATGGAACCTTTTCCCCGTCTTTCAATTGTTGATCACTACTCAATTGTTTTAAGTTAACTTGTTGAATTTCACAATGTTTGGCCCAAACGATTTTACCCGTTGACGCATCCATCGACATGGCTGGCTCTTCTCGACCCAACTAAAACAAGACAAGTTTATCATCTTCGATCGTTTGACCAATTTATCTACAAACTTTAATCATCATCGATCCTTCATCGTAACCAAGTGCGACATTATTCGATCCTTTCAAACATGCAATCGCCCAGCACCTCTCCAGGCCGTAATTAAGTGTTGACTCTAGACGATATGTATTCGAATGCCATAATTTTACTGTACCATCTTCTGATCCACTTAATATAATCGGTAATTCAGGATGAAATGCCACACAGCCAATATTTTGAGAATGTCCCTCTAGTGTTTGTACACATGTTTTGTTCTACAAAAGAAAAGTTTCGAATGCGAACAGACTCATCTTCAAACGAAATTATTACTTGATAATCCCAAATTTTTATCAAACGATCATCACCACCGGATGCGAGATATGGTTTGTCTCCACCGGAATAGTAATCTACGCAATTCACACCTTTCTCATGGCCTTCAAGTGTAAAATTCGGATGAGTGGATCCGAGTTGCCAAACCTAATGAACATCATGTAAAAGCAAGAAGCACAAATTTAGATTTACCTACTTTCACAGTTCGATCAAGTGATGCTGAGGCAAATGTATTGTTATCTTTTGGATTGAATACCACCTGCATAACATAATGAATATGTCCTTCAAACGTTTGCTTCAATGCCCATTTCGCATCCCAATCCCATAATTTAATTGTCATGTCATCTGCACGGAGCAAATAGCTAGATACCGAACTTTTTCACGACAAAATACTCACCACTACTAGTAAGTATATATGATTGTGTCGGATGAACAGCAATTGACCGTATATAATCACTGTGTGCTTCAAATTGATGTAAACGTTCGAGAGTATTGTAATTGTAAACACGAACAGTCATGTCATCCTTCGAAGACGATTTGAATATAAGAAAATATCGAATGAGAAGCCAGACTTACCGATGCAGTGATCACCCAATTCTTACGGACAACGAATTTGCCAGCACGAACTGGAACATCGCATACTTCGAAGCTCTTTATTGATTGCTGAACAAAACAGAAAATGTCAGGAATGATGACAAGACTAACAAAACATTTAGGTTTACTTGAGTTTCATGGTTATAAATATATGCATGACCATTGAATAATGTCACCAACATCCATGGCTCAGCTGGATGAATATCGACAGATTTGACACGATCTGATCGAACTGATAGTTTGCGCTTGACATCAAGGCGCAATGGCTAAACAGAAAGATTTGAGAGTTTCAATTCGGAAGTTTCCGTCATTATCTTTACCATGTTTTAATAGTAGGAAAATGATGAACGAATAATTCTGAAACGATAGTAGAATAAGGATGATTCAAAAAATAGTACACGTAAATATGCCAACAAAAAGCGAGCATCTGTCCACGTCTAATGGATTCGGTATTTTACACTTATCGAAGAACCAATTAGATGTTTTGTTTAGTTATGGCTGCGATTCTTACTGGAAATCAGTATAGAATCAGAACTTGCACAGATGGTGCTAGTAATCGATTGCACACACATAGGAGAATCTCTATGATTTCGGAACAATTATTCGAATTGAATTACATTTCGAATGCATGCTATATCAACAGAAACTAGCATCACGATACCAACTCTATATTCTATGATATCTAGGCAGTTGCTGCAAATGTTGATCTGGACACTCAAACTGAAGGAAGCAATTGTTTGTGCGAAGGAGTTTTTATCGATATCCATCTAGATCAATGTGTGGTTTTAACCGAACAGATGTATATTATGGAGAGAACCAGAGATAAACGTATCCACTGTTAGATGAATACAACTATAACACCCAGTTATTGCGTCAAGTGATCAAATCACTCTATCGCTAGAGCATCAGGTGTCACTCGTTTCACTCCGATTAGTTTAAAAGATGACAAGCAGGAATTATATTTGCGGTCGCTGTCAATCGAAGTCGAATCACTAATTGACATTCGATGATGCGAACAGAAAGAAACTCTCATTAGGGCTAGATAACCTTGACGAAGGATGATATTAGCCTTAAAACATTTGTCGCTTTGACGAACACGAGTCAAAATATGATATTCATGACATTCTCCAGACATGATAACTTTAGAAGTATTGATAAGAGAAATAAATGGGAAATGAATTAAAAAACAAATATTGACAGAAATGCAGTTTCAATTGACATATTGTATTTAACACGAGAAAAGCGACGACATGAATGTTGAATTAAATGTAAATACTCTCTACGACAGCCCATTCGGACTTTTGTCACTGCTTGGTTTGAATTCTGAGAAGAACTTCAATTGATAGGGACTCATTTGTACGTCTGGATCACGATACAATGGGCGACTCGGTGATATTCGTATGTTTTCGAGATTTTCAATATACTGTCGTATTTGATAATTATTCACTCGCGTTTCTTTCGTTGTCCATCGACATCTGCATCGACAAGCGGATACGAGTTCGTGAAACATTCCATGTAATTCATGCCGGAAACTTTTCGCTGAAAAGCAATAAAGAAAAAAGTTGATACCATGTGATGTGAATTGAATCGAATTAAGTAAAACTTGGATCATAAAACGATACGAACGTTGCGTTTTGTAGACGAAGTAATTACGAAAAAATACAAAATATATACAAGCTGGTAAAGTCAATATAACAAATGCAAATGTAACAAGAATGAGGAGTGCGGTGAACTGCCGATATCTTTCGGCACTTTTCCGCTGAAACTTCGACGACCGTGGATCATTTTGTGCACGACTTGATCGAACGGTAACAAAGATAATGTATGTATTACAAATGAACATAATCGCGAATGGACAGAGATTGTAAAGAACGAGATGAACACGTTCCCATTGCGGATAGATATAATCCGGATTCGTACTCGTAGAATAGCACGTTACACGACCGGATGACGTTCGGTAACCATTTAAAACGAGAACATGACTATTCAATGCAACGCAAATTGATGTCAAAATGAAAATATAATATTTTGTGTATCTTATTCGTCCGTACAATCGTTTCCATTGTGGCCAGTAAAGATTCAATGCTCGATCTAGATCAAATGGAATGATGACTATCAATGCTGCCGAACATATTCTCACCTAAGCTCACTGCTGTTAAACACCAACTCGACAACTGCAAAGCTACGAATGTCATGAAGGATATAACTCGGCAATGAACAAGTGAAATATCTTCAATATTGCTTTGATTCGGACTAACGTGAAATTTGTAGAAATTGTTCAAATTCCATCCATACAAGGATATGATATCACATATGCTGACGAAGATCAAGTAGCGTACAGTAACAAAACGACGAAGATGACGTCGTAATGACACGATGATTGTTAAAAGATTTCCTGTGGTGCCGACGATGATGAGTACAAGTGCATAAATACTTAAACAGTGAATAACGAATAAGTGCTGTGTAGTTGCTTTTGTCTGACCGTTGGTTTCATTTGTTGTGTATTGTTGAGGAATCTACGAAAGATATTCGGTGGCGATATTGTGATAACGAAAGCTAATCTTATTATGAGCTCACCGAGAATGTTGAATTTGTATCCATGATTTCTGTTTGACGAGTGAAAAGATCTGATTGTGTGACAGTTGTGCTATGTTTCACGACATTTATAATCAGCGGAAATGAAAAAAACTAGAAAGATATCGACTGGGTTGTGCTTTCTTTTCCTTCTTCGCCTTTGTAATATCGATAATTGACAAAAGAATACAAAGACGCCAAATTTGCCTTTCGACAACTGACAAACGAATGCACAATGAGATCAGCACAATAGATAGAATCACGAAAGAATACTCTATAAGATAGGAAAAGATCTGGAATTTGAAATATCGATCGTGCTTAAATAGGCTTGTCATTTCTTCGATGTTGTCCTTCGGCAATCAAGAAAGCTGTCATACAGGAAAACAAGAAGAAAACTTCTTTCTTTACTACTCTCTAGCCTTGACTTGTCGACGAAGATTGTCATGTTATCACCAATTCAATTAGAAGCCTCGGCACTTGCCGTACTGTGCTACTATTATTATTATCAAAGATATGGTAAAAACACAAATAGGCATTTCCTTATTGTTCACTCTCATTAACTAACTTTAATTGAGTCAATGAATATAATATGATAATAGAGAGAAAACGGTCATTACCATAAGTATAATCATATTAAAAGCACTCGTTCGCCTTTGTAAATATAAATAATTTCTAAAAAGCTTTCAGAACCTGCTGACTAATGCACGCAAAATCCGCTCGGTCCCACGCGTTCCCATGAACGATACATACTGTTCGGCAAGAGAGGACATTTTTGCCGAAGAAAATGAACATCTCAATAGACCAAAGTAGGAAAAAAGCATCGAATATAAGTCCTTGACAAATCATATGCCAGACAACAGGAAATCGACAAGGATTCTTGAGAAAGTATTATATCCATATTGCTGTTAGATTAATCGAAAGAGATACAGATAAAAAAAAGAGAGAGAAACGAAGAAAAGAAATATGTAAAAAAGAAGAGTTCTGTTAACATGGTTGCGTAAGAAAAGTCTCTGAAAATATTAGATTTTATGCTAATCATATGCAACAGCTTACATTAAACAATAGCTCATGTTTTCATGCTAGACTGCGCCTCTATCAGATTCTCATTGTTGATAGGAGACAACGAAAAGTTTTGGCAGACTAATGCGCCTGCGAGTTCAACAAGCCGCTTTGGAACTACATTCAATGAAAGTGCGTAATATCTTACAAAAGAAAGAATATGTTCGTACCAATTAGGGACTCAATCGATCTTCATTCCATTTGTTTTAATAATCATGACAGATTGGTTGAGGCATGATTTATTGATTCTATAACTCCGTGTCGTCTACTCTGAAACTACATTATCCTCTTTCTTTCGAAATCGCGTATCAGTCGGATAATACCTCCTACGGTCGTCAATTGTAATAAATGTACGTGCAGAGTGGTGCATTGTTGAAAAGCAATGCGAGCTAGGGGAGTGTGTACTTGAGTGACAAATAACTGTGTCTAACAATGCATTCATTGGTTAGGTTTTCTATTATGAGAAACAATTGCTCATTATTCTGCAAAATCGACTTCTAATGGGTTGTCGTTACCATAAAAATGATAGGGTCAGATGTTTTTCGATGCTTTGTTATTATGTAAATATTTGTTGACGGCGCTGCTTGACGTTTTCTACGGGACTGTCTTGTCGAGTAACTCTCGGCGGAGTCAAATCGATTGTATTGATTAAAAAATATACACATATAAATACTCGCATCTTTGTGTAATTGGTTCTTCTTCTTACATCATTGATGAAGCAAGAACATCGAACAGAAAAGTCCTTCTTTGTCGAAATTTGCTGTTAGCAGGCCTCTCTTGTTTGTCATTTATTCTTCTTAGCTAGAGTGCATGTACATTTCGCAGCGGAGTCCAATGAATTCACGCTACAAGAAATACAAAATGAAACAGACACTGCACAGTTGTTTAAAAAAAGAACGAAAGAAAGAAAGAAAAAGAGAAAAGACAATTGAACGAACAGAAAGAAATAGTCAATGAACAATATACACGTAGACACATTTGAAGAAAGAACTACAGAATTAAATAAAAGACGCAGCCGAAAGAAAGATGAGATGATAGTAGTAAAAGATGTCATCGTACATTACGATGTACTATGCATCGGTGTTGTTGTTGCGTCGTCTGCTGTTGGAGAATCGTTGAGGAAGTTGAAACAAAGAATTGTATCATCATGTGAACTGGAAACAATTTGAAATTCATCAAATTGTAGACGAAATACTCGTCCTGTATGTTCTGTTAAGGTACGGATACACAATGACGATTGAGAACGTGGATCAAGGGCTGCGACTAAATCCCAAACTTTGATTTTACCTAATGAAAAAAAAACCAAAACGAACGAAAAATCATCACTTCATCTCGGATAGATTCCTTTACCATCATATGCTCCGGAAACAATGCGTTTCGAATCGAAACGAATGCATCGTACTAATTCATCGTGTCCTTCAAGTATACGTAAACATGCACCGCACTCGATATCCCAAATACGAATGGTATTATCTGATGAACCGCTGACGACGATCTTGTCACGATATTGTAAACAAGCTATTCCACGTTTATGTCCGAGTAATGTTCGTACGAATTCACACGTGGTCGTATCCTATGATTAAACGAAACAAAGCACATCGAAATTTTCCTTTCAAGTCAATAAACCTACCCAAACTTTGATAGTTCGGTCTCCACTTGCACTGACAATATACTTCTCATCGAAATCTACGACATTTACAGCTGCCCGGTGTCCGACTAATACTCGTCGAATAGTTATATCTGTCGATGAATTCATTTGCCAGACAGCTATCGAGCGATCTTTCGAACACGTTACCATTGTTCCATCACAAAATCGAAGATGAAGAACGGCTTCACAGTGATGCAGCAATGTATTGATCAATTCTCCTGTTTTCACATTCCATACACGTACTGTTGAGTCTGATGAGCCAGTCACAATGACTTTTTCATCATATTGTAAACACAGCACACTACCATTATGACCAGTTAACACTTTTGTACATTCCAGAGTTTTTCTATCCCAAATTTTAATGGTATTATCACGAAGACCGCTGATAATCTTTTCATCATCGTATTGAAGACAGTAAACACCTTTGCTATTCTGTGATCGGCATTGAATTTTTTCGATTTGAAAATTTCCCGTTCGCCAATTGGTCTCGATTTGATCGATATCGCGCATGATCTTTGGATATAAACTACGATAGAATTCATGCGTTTTCTGTACTTCATTGGATGTTAAAATTTGACGAAAGAGATATTTTGTCCAACCGCGACGATTAGCTAAACCTTGCCAAAGAGTATCTGATTGAACTTTGCCTTCGATAAGTTTCTTCCATAACATTCCTAAACAGGTACCCCATTCACCGATCATCATATCCACACCCTCAAATTCCGTACATACCTGCAGAGATTACATGATACCATTCTCGACATACAAGTTCAGTTGATACTAATGATCGATCATCTAGATAACCGAGGATCTTTTCAGCTATGTGTTCTAAGCCGCGCGTGGCTAGTTGTCCCACGAAATCTCTTTGCAGCATTGGTAGTAGGAAAGTATTGATCTGTCCATGTTGATGACTATGCATATGCTTGAGAAGATTTTCAACAAAAACTAATTGTTCGCGGTCGTCCCACGTGGAAAATGTTTCGAGAAAATGTTCACTAGTTGGTTCATAATCAGGCGTGGAAAATTTCTGTGTTGGATTGCTTGAATATGTGACTAAACAACTAGATGATGATGATGATGACGATGTGAGCATTGGTGAATGATCTTCATTGCCTGAGTTTGATACGGTCGTATCCATAATGTTGGGATTACTTGTTTGAAAAGGACGAATGTAAGGAAAAACAAACGATATGTTTAATGGATCAATCTGAATTATGAATCAGATGTTCTTCAACGAAAAAAGCATCTAAAAAAGATTTTATCACAAGTCAGAAATACTGTTGTTGTCAAGGTAGTGCATTTCATGTCAGCTGATGAATGAAGACAAAAGAAAGGGTGAGTACAGAACACATAAGAAGCGTACATTTCAATTGCGAAAGAAAAAAGCTTATTTAACGAATAAACAGATGATTGTGACAGATGACACTAGTGACAACATTCGATGAGGAAAAACCAAGCGATGATATCCGTGTTAAAGAGCAAAAAAATCATGTGTCAAATGATGATTTACGGTATTATACTTTCGACTGAAATGAGTAATCGTTGTTGTTGTTTACACAACATTGTCGAAGCGAAATTACAAAGTTTTCTAATCTAAAATCAAAGAACATATTTAATATCATATGTAAAATGTTTATATTTGTGTTCAAGCAGATATATCATGACGAAAGAAAGTGTATGAAAAACGAGATAAAGATCGAAAGAAAACAAACAACGAAACGAACAAGACAACATATTTTTAGCTATGTAACCAATAGAACTGTACAAGCGAAAAAGAAAGAGAAAGAAAGAGAGAGAGAGAGAGAGAAGAGAAAAACAACAGGAGGAGATATTTTCCTTTTTTTTTTAAATTTTCGTATTGATCATATCGATTCATCCATCATATTTTGTCGAGTATTTATTTGTCGTTGTTAATGATGTCGAATGATGATGATGAGTAAAATTTTTATTATTGTGTTTAGCGATCGTTGGCGTGACGAGTGAACGAAATGCATCGATTATTAACTGTGGATTTTGTTTAGTAAAAGCTAACCAGTTGTTTGTTTTCGATATTGCTAAAGCATTTGAACGTATAAATGCAAGGATTTGTTGTTTAAGTGCGCTATCGTTCGCTTGATCGCTAACTTCAAGCATTTCGATAGCATTATCGACTTTTAACACTTCTATCATAGCTGACTTGGTTAGATCGCGCAATTCGAATAAGTCATATTTTACAGCAGCACGGAAAAGATCAATAGCATTTAAATTATTATGAATTTCTTCACTACTACTCGGCAAATGACCTGTGTACATGTAGATTAGCATAGCACGAACGGTGGATGGTTCAAGATCGTCGATATACAAGTCGATGGGAGGACATTTTAAACTATGATTCAGTCCATTGGAATTGCTTAAACGTATTTGATGAGCGAATGACGATGATCGTGATATTAGTATTGCCTTGTGTGCGTGAAAGGTTGCCAATGGAGTGGCATTAGAGTATTTAATGTAGGGCGATTGAACATCGATGCTGTGCTCTTGGTCGTGACAGATACATAAACAATGTTTATGAATGAATGCTGCGCTGGAAGACGATGAACACGTGTCGGAAGAAGATGTTGAACAATCCGAAGACGACGAATGACTAATCTCAGATGAACTATGAGCATTGCGTAAAAGCAGAGACGTTGTTGAACGAGTCGCTCGTCGCGTTAAAGACGGCTGGCACGGACTGGAGATAGATGGAGATGATTCAGAATCTTTGGAAATAACTAAAAGTGAAAAAATAAAAATAGCTCTAGAAATACCGGAAAGTGACAGCATTTTAAACTCTAATTTGTGTTAAGCCTTTTGACATATAATGTCGAAATCTGATATTTATCGAATCTTTGAGAGAATCTCTCGTTTATATTAGGACAAAGTTCGAGGCACGCTTTGTAAATACCTGATGATGACTGTTCATGTTGATCAGATATTGGCTCATTGTGAATTGATTTGATTTTGTCAGATTTACAGTGACATGATGAACAGGACGGATGTGGCTGTTGTTTAATTGATGTTCGTTTCGTTCGCGGACTTTTCCGATGTTCATCGTTGACATTTTCTTGTTGTGATGGCTGTTGTTTCGGTATGACATGAATATGTACATCGGTAAAACGTTCGTCATCTAAAAGTGTTTTTATTTGGCTGGATAAAAGTTCTAAAGATTTAAAGCGTTCTTTGTCATCAGTGAATAAACCAGATACAACTGGAGTTGCTGTTGATGAAGCATTCGACGGATTTGAGTTCATTATTGCCGGTGTTGTAGAAGATGACGCTGAGGATGAAGAAGTGGTAGCTTGAGTTTTCGGAGCAGTATTCGATGTCTGCTGCTGTGGTGCAGGTGGCGGTAGCGACGGCTGCTGCTGCTGCGGCTGTTGTGGTTGTTGAGGTGGAGGAAGAGGTACAATTGTTGAAGAATGATGATGATGATGGTGATGGTGGTGATGAGACGGATGGTATAGATCACTTGTGATTGTTTCTTTTTCATCAACTAGTATCACTCGAACATAGACACGAAGACGATCATCAGTTAAGAGATCATTTCGACGAGAATTCAGGTAATTGCCATCAAGAAATTCTTCATAAACAAAAACAAAACACATAAATATATACAAGCGATCATGGAATCAAAAACAAGCGTTCTGTTCTACCTGAATAACCCCAATCGTTTCCTGATGAAAATGTGTGAAAATTAGTCGAGCGTAACATAACAAGTTCATTATTCCGACTAATAACACTAAATTCTGCTTTGGCTTTGATGGTAGGCATCGTTCCACTAACATATTTAAGAAATATTGCAATATTATTAGTGGCATGTTGTTTTTCATTTAGACCACGTGGATACAATTTTAGACTCCAACGAGTATTTGAATAGGGAGTATTCACAGGTGAGAATGTTTCGGATTGCAGACAAGTTGAATTCGCATCATCGATATACGATGAAAGATAACTAAAAGGAAGAAATTTGTGTGTTTTGCTCATCAAAAAAAGTGTTCCTTTACTTGATAATCCATAAATGAGAAAATGAGCACAAATGTCGTTCGGTTCGTGAGGATGAATCGGATTCAGAGAAAGTTCGTTTATGACTTTGTCGAACCGTTGGCGTCGTATTGGTCGATGACGCTGTCGATGATGCTGTTGTTGAAGTTGAGGTTGATGTGGAAGACGAATTTACATTACCAACCGGTCGATTATTATTATTGTCCATCAGGAAGTTATCATACAATTACATATTTTCTCATTTCGAAATAATCTAAAACAAAGTTGTGAAAACTGTTGTTAACTTAACGTAACAAGTAACAAATAACTATTTTGTTTTCAACGGAATGAGCTTTATTTTTAAGCAACAAAAGTAGTTGGATCAAAACTTGGCTTCTCAGGAAAAGTGCAACCCGATTGCTGAATACATTCGAATGCACAGTAAGCACCAGCTTGAATTGCTTCATCATGGCTTTTACCAAGAGCGAGGTAAGCAAGAAAACCTAAGTAGGACACAATGCAAGCAACTGGTTCATTTGAAAGACGAAACAATATACCTCCGACAAAGGAATCACCGGCACCATTTGTATCAACAATATCTAACGGTTTTTTCACTGGAAATCCTTTGATTTCTTTACCAGCTAAATGAGAACAAGATTTGAGTAAACTACAATTTTCTGAAGTCAATGGCATACTGATTGCTAATACTGTTGGATCAGAACCTTGTGTAATAACAACAACACGTGCTCGTTGAGAATTCTTTTTTGGAAGTTCACTGATTGCTTTGGCAATAACGCTAACATCTTCAGTCTAATAAATATAACAATATTGTATACAAAAGAGATCAATCATTTCAAATTTACATCTAATTTTAATTGATGTTTACCAAAACTTCTTGCTTCCTAAGAAATAAAAAAAAGAGAAATCATCACGTCGAATACTTCTTTTGTCGAAAGTTTGCAACAACTAACTGTTTCGTTTCCGAATAGGTAATCCACATATGGCATTGCTTCCATTAATTTATCACCGAAATGTTCACATATGAATGGTGCTGATAGATTAGTACAAAATAGTTTATCATGTCTATCAGCATATTCACATAGACGCATCACAGCAGGTGGACAAACCGTATAAAAGAATCCCTAGGTCGAGAAACAAATTTACTAATGTGATCAATGATGCCGAAGGGAAATAGCTACAGCTGTATAAAATATTTTCGCCTTTTCAATCAATTGCTTATTTTTGGGATCATCTAAATGTTGAATAGTGAAATGATTAGCAGCACCTAAATTGGCTACTAGCGATCTACAAGAAGCAGCCAATCGAATTCGAAATGCGAATTTTGACTAACTAACCGATTATTGCCGGTGATTAGAACAGCACAGGTACCCGTTTGAACACGCTCTTCCGAATCCATATGAACTTGATAGGATAATTGAAGACCGGCTTTACTTGCTGCATCATGTAATAATTGATGATACTTATCTTGGCCAACGCAGCCCATGTACGTGCATGCATTAGGTTGTTGAAGTAACCACTAGAAAGAAATCGATGATTGACAGATGAAATTCTACGAAAAATGGTGTACTGTTGCTGCACGCATGGAATTTTGCGTTGCACCACCAGCTACGAATTGATGGTTTGGAAAATCACGAAGTAAACTTTCATTTCTATAGGAGCCAATAAAGAATGTCACTGTATTCATCTCAAACAGATCACTTACAGTCCTTTATGATCATCACTGGCTAAAATAGCGTCATTAGCATTTAATTTATATCTACATTAACGGAAAAGCATTTACATAGAAATGATAATTCCTGTATGGATCTACACACGTTTCAAGAAATGACATGGGAACTTCGGCAATAATATCGAGCAATGGATTTCCAATTCCAAAAATAACTCCATCACTAAAAATAATTGTTCATTGTCGAATGGAATGAGAAGATGAACAAACCTGAGTTTTTTACAATCAGATGTTTCAGAGGACATTATCTAAAAAACAAAGTGGAAAACGTCATTAAAATTCAAACCGAAATGAACTGATCAGTCCAGTGCAAAAAAAGAAAACAAATAATCTATGAACGTGTTTTTTTTCCTCCAGCAGCTCCTCCGAGTCTTTCTTTGAAATGTGTTTCACATTCGCGCATTTGTTTTTCTAAATATGTTTTTGTCGACTAGAACAAAGAAAACAAGGAATGAAACAATCGAATAAATCTTCTCATTAACACATACTTCTTGTTTCTTGATATCATCTTCACATGTTTTGATCTTTTTTTCGATTTGTTCACGAACTTCAGCTTTTGTATTTAATACAAACCTAAACAATTTTCAATGGATATCATCATCAAAAATTTAAATGAAAGACAATGATTTTACATTCGACCAACTGAACTAAACATTCGTGTTTCCGTAGGTAATGTATTGATTTCTTTGTCAGTTAATTTTGAACGTTGAATTTCTCGTTTAAGTCCTTCAATTTGTCCAGTAGATTTCTTTAATGATGTTTGAATATCAATCATTTTCATTTGTAATTGACCTAACAACTAAAATCAAAATATGATCTTCAATTAAAGCATTTTCTCGAGAAAAAAATCAATAACGTACATTTTGAGCTTCCTCTTCACGTGATGCAGTACTCATTCTCGCTAGTACAGTTTCCTTTTTCGCTGTTTCTCGAAATGATAATCTAAAACAAAAGTAATCAAATAACTTAGAGAAAAAAGAAATATTCAACGATGTGTGAATGTATGCATATACATTTGTTTTAGTTTATTGTTGTTCTGTTGTGATGTGCCGGCAATCAATAAGATATTTCATTGGCTCTTACCTACCATTTCTAAGTATTAATATACCTTTTATTGATATGACGATGAAACTATTTATGATTTGCTTTTGTTTTTATACGTTTTAATTAAACTGCGAAACAAAAAGATTCTTTTCGAAATATGACAAACTTCGATGAATGGCGACATCTATCGTCAGATGAAATGCTATGGAAATCGATAGCGATATTGCTGGAAGTTAAACTAATTTCGAGGTAGAACAGCAACGGAGATATAAAAAGCGAATCATAGTTTGAATTTCAATTGTTTATACTCTTAATTTATGCGGTTCCAATATAGATATGGAAGAAGCTAAGAGTTATAGCCAGAAATGGGCAAGTCATAAGTCAAGTCCAAAACTGTATATAGATACACATATTTTACGCACTTCAGATTTTGTTCTAAAACTAACTTATACTAAAAAATTCTAAATTAGAAATGAATTATGTCCGGTGCAAATAAATTGACGCTGAAAAGGTAACATTTTCGAAATCATGAGGTAACTTTTTAGTTACCACTAATCACCTTATTTTTCGTTTTCGGTAAAGCGCAGGTAATTAAAATCTTAACATTGGTTACACCTAACAATGGAATCTAGCGGGCATATCGTTCTGTGATTTAGTGTAGATGTTTTTTCTCGCGTGTGAACGTGTCGAACACTTACTCCTTTTGTCTCACAGAATGAAAGCACAATATTGTAAATCTCCTCAGACATAAACGAAGTCCGATAAAATTAAATAAAGTACTAGTCTTCGTTGGTTTAAAGACACTTTAATATGTTTCAGGGGCATAAATGACTGAATCTGACTTCAATTTGGAGGAACCTATCTCAAATCAAGAGATAACTTGACTTGACTTGACTTGGAGCAAAAAGCCGATGATTTGCCCATGTCTGTTTATAGCCAGAATAGATTTATCCTTAAACTGAAAGTAATTCTGATACTCATTTTATTAGGTTTTAGCGGTCGACTTAACAATTTATTTGCGAAATTATACTCGAGTTTTTTCAATAAGTAGCTCACATAGTAATTTGGATTAATGAGAATCTTCGAAAAAATCGAGTAATCCAAAGAAGATTTGCATCTTTATTGAATGCGCGTCGTATTGATTGACAAAGAATAGCTAACTCATATTCCAAATGAATTAAACAAAACTATAACTTAGATCAAAAGGCCTAAGAGGTTGCTGACAGCTAAGGTATGCCCACCCTCGATTAGCATACAAAAATTAGATAATAACTCAATTATAAAACAAAAAAACCTTAAGAGAATAACAACAATTTGAAACAGATTTTACTCAAATAATGAATCAGAAAAGTGTAAAAAAAAAGATATGGCAAATGTGCAAACATAGATTACACGATTGGTATTGAACACTTCATAAATAGATCACTAACCATACCTTAATGGCAAAAGACAAAATAGTAAATTGAATGACTTCATATAATACAAAATAACTAATCATAGATTCATTAAATCTATTTTTAGATCAGTTTGACGATTGGTATCGTCTATAATGACTTTTGACGAGCCTAACAAACCACAAGCTTGTCTTTCTTTTGCTGACTCTTCCCATATTCACATTTTTTTCGAAATTCACGATGAGAATAGTTTTTCTGTGCCAGTAGTGTCAAATACCGAAGCTGATAATTTCAAATGGGCCACTTCGTGCAGTGCTTATCACACACTTTCATTGAGTTACTACTTTGATAGCCAGCGGAATCACCTTTAATACTTTGTACCTGCAAACACGCGCACTGAAAGTGTTAATTTTCAGTACCATATATTCTGTAAAGTATTTAGTCGAAAGTGTTGCATACACGGAATCCAATGTGGTTGTGTCTCGAAATAGCTCTATTGGTTCTTGTACGACGATTCGTGAAATCATACCATTTAAAAGCATAATTTTTGATAGTTTGACATCCTCGGTAATAGTAATCGCCTTTTGATCGTGTGGAGAACTACGGATCGGATCTGGTGCAGTTGTCAAGAACGATGCAAAATCCGTTGAAAAAATTCATATTTCCATTTTCCATAGGTTTTCTAAGAGAGCTGCTATTTGTTCTCTTTGACTCTTACGGAAATCATCGTTATAGACACATGAGATTATTCGAAGCAGCGGAGCGATCACCAACGACGATGTTAATGAACACCGCAATATCTATTTTTATAGTTTGATGTAAAAATAACAAAAATCATCCATTGTGACAATTCTAAGCACAGAATTTGTTGAAAATAATGAAATTTTATAAAAGTTTGAATTCATCAAGATAACGATGCATAAACGGATGATGAACGATTTGATTGAAAACTCTTATTTCCTCTCAATTCATCTAAGAAAAGTAGTTCGTAAACTGAAAATTTCATTCTTTCAATAATCTATCTTTATGCGTACACAATACGATGTTTCGTTAGTACTAATATAAAATAAGATGAATTGTTTACTTTTTTCACCGAAATTCTATTCAATCGACTATAAATGTAATAAAAAATAACTTTGAAAGAAGAGAAAACAGTGACGATATCGTTTAATTTAAGGAAAATATCAAATTCAGTTGCTATTCAAATTTTATTTATTCGTTTATTTTAATAATAACAACAACAAAATAGCAAACAACAGAAAAGATGAAATTTTCCTTAGGATATTTTGAAAATTTTGGCGCAGCACAAAACAAAAACATTTCCTTTCGTACAAACTGAACTGGAGTCATTTGAATTTCTTCAAGATTAATTCTTTTTGAGAAGGACTATGATAAATAAAACACGATAACAACAGTAATAATAATAATAATAAGGACGACAACAAAAGATTTCTTTTATAACAATTAAGGAAGAAAACAAAATTTTAATCAAGTAATCAGATCAGAAGGTCATAGACGCAGAGAAATCAAACTACAAACATACACACAACAACCATTAACCCCACTCGATGAATTGCAAGACATTGTTGAGTAAGAAGATAAATAAATATGAACACAAATTGAGACGAAAACAAAAGAAGATGATGACAATTCATTCAGGCTCGAAAGAGAATTTTTGATGTTGCACCGCGTTTTGATTCTTGATCTTCATGACTCTAAACAAATTCATTCAAACTTCGTTGTCTTCAACGAAACGGCAAATTCTTACTTCGAAAATCAATGGTAAACTTCGATGAATATCCGCTACTTCACGAAAACGATTTCTAAATCAACGACAAGAAAGTAAAAAACAAACTCGATTTCCACTTGTCTCTTACCCGATTCGTTTTGTCACATCAGCATTTTTCCAATCTTTTGTCCACAAACTAATGCGATCACCTTTACTTCGTATTGACACAACGCAACCGTTGACATGTTGCGCATCTTCAGTATATTGATCACCGATCAATGACAGTAACTAAAAGACGAATCCAAGTCAACTTCAACGAATTCAAAGAATGAGAACAAACAGTGAAGAGCCAATATTTGTCAAGTTCAGTTGCACGTTGACTTTTATTCAAATTTAATGACCATCGTCCACCGGAACGATTGAATTTATCTTCCCACATTGGTTGCTAAACGAACAACAACAAAATCCAATGAGAAGAACTGTTCGACAAATCATTCTTCTACTTACAATATGAGTTTTGAACAGAAGATAATCACAACCTTGTCCTAATCGACTAGCTACTTGTAAATGATTGTAAACCGACCAAAAACTCTCAACTGTCGATACAGTCGTTATTTGTATAAGATTGTCTTTCCATTCGCATTGTCTATCATTTTTAAAAAACCAAAATGCCCATGAATCTTCTAACGGAAAGGTTAAATCATTGGATGACTGAATCATAGATGTCATTTCGTTAACAGAACTTTCTTTTTCAGGTTGTTCATTTGAAACAGGCGATTTATCTTTTGGTGACAATGGACTGATCGGTGTCGTGTATGTTTCGTCGGATTGATTGTCATTAGTATCGACCTTAATGTTATCAGTGACTGACATAATAATTTCTATCTAAAAAAAGCCGAAAAAATGAGTTAATCAAATTGTATAAATGAAAGAATGATTAATTATCACAAATTTACAAATATCACAAAGAAAATACTGTTGTGAAAGACACAAAAAAGAAGGGAATCGTTATTAAATATCTGATTGATGATAGCGTGCTTTTAACTGCATATTTTCATCGATTAATTGTTCAATTCGTTGTTTCAATTCGAAATTTTCCTTTTCATATTTTAAACGATCTTCGTAAGATGTTTTGGTTACATGATTAAGTAACATTTCTTTCCGGTCAACCGACTGTTTCAATACGCGGATTTCGTCATGTAGAACTTTCAAACTATCAGCTAATGAATTCGATGTGTTAGAACACTGAAGATTGTCTGTCGAAGTAAATTGAGGATTAAACGCACGAGTCATGCTTGATTTGAAACTCGATATTGATTTACCAAATTTATTCGCAAATGTTTTTTTCGAAGATTTACGTGCGGGAGATGAAACATTACTTGTAGATATTATCTGAATGGGTATATCTGAACAAATAAGAAAGAACGATATGTAATTCTGCTTATGAAAGATTTTTATTACCTGATCTATGCTTTTGGTCTATAATTATCATATGAGTTTTCGTTCGCTCGTCATCGTTTATTGCACCTGCACAAGAGAATCGTTTCGGACGGAGTTGAACTTGCTTGTCTTGATCTTCAACATCTTCGCCTTCGTAACATGTTAGAAATGATTGTTCATTATTGAAAGAATCTTGATTATCATTTGCCAACTTGTCGATTTTGAACTGTGAACGATATTGTATATCATTGTTTGTGTCCAGTTGATCATCGGAACTCAAATTTGCACTGTCAACGGATGAAAAAGTCGTGAAACGTATCGATGGCATCGATGATGAACGTGAGTTGATCTTCATCGATTGGTCATTATTTGATAAAAGTGAAGAAAATGATGAAAAACCACTGGATTTAGCGATGGACTCATTGTTCGGTTCGCATCCTTCGTTGGAGTTGATCTAAATAAAAATCTAGTCGAAAGTTCATCCTCGGCAAGCAGACTTCTTACCAAAAATAGATATTCACTATGATCAATCAGTACTCGAATCAATGGAAATAGATTAAAACTAGAACTATCTAATAGATATTTGACAAGACGCGAATTTAAATCATTACTTGTGTCCTTTGATCATATTCAAATCAAGTTCTTCGGCTGGCCTAATAAGATTGTTTCCAAATGTAACTGCTAAATTCTCCGTATCCATTTTTGTTTCGTGCGCATGTTGTGTTAACTTTTTTAAGAACGAACACAAATATGCGAGAAGTGCATAATTAATACCTGATAATGTTCGTTCGATTAATTGTTTTAACCGATCGATATCATTTGTTTGGTTGTATTTAAATCGTGAGCCGAATTCAAAAAATTCATCGAAATTTTTCACCGGAATAACGGGTTCCGGTAACGAGTGAAGATAAAGTTTCAACAACGACGAGATTGTCGCAGGTGAATATGAATCGTTCAGTTCAATAATTGTTCCACGATCGTACATATCACGTAATTCTTTGATTGAAGATTGTTTGCCAGGTACTCTAACAAGAAAAACAGTACGTATAATTGCAATTTCCTGAACGAATTATTACCGAAATAAGCCAACAAATGTTGAACCATACTCAAGTAAGAATTCACAACATTGCCGAACAATCAACGGAACAGGAGATGATTTATCACGTGAGTATTTATACGTATTTTCCAAAGATTGACCAAAAATACCTGAATGTCAAGATTTGTCTAATAAAAATGCCGTGTAACTCTGCTGAAACTTACCACCACCAATTCGGCTATATGCTGTTCTTTTCAAAGCTAAAAACCAACCATCATACTCCTCTTTTGATTCGGTCTGAAGTAAATGTATCTCATCTAGGTCAAAGCGAACAATAAAGCGACACTCTTGTTGCAAAGCACTCTTACTATCCGATTTGATCTCGATAGTATTCTCGGATGATGATTCATAATCATTCATCAGAATATTCGGCAAAAGTTTGATCCATTCGCGGTATCGTCTATCGATTTTCGATGCGATAAATAGAATTGCTTTGTCCCAATCGATGATACAATGTCGACGATGCCATTTCGAATGACAATGTAATTTGACTTTTACCCATCCTAAATTCAATTCTTTCGAATAAATACCAATAAGAAAAAACAACAAGCAAATAACCTTGTTTTGGATTTACACTTAAATCATCGTTCGACATTGTATCGATTTATCGAACAGACGTTTTTTCATATATCAGTGAAAAAAAAATCAGTGCATATTTGCTTTTTTTATCCAGTCATTGATTGGGATCGTAGAGGATCGAGAACTCAATCTGATTGGTTCGTAGGAAAGAAAGATGGGAGAAAAAAAAGAGTCGTTTATGTTCATGAACGCTTTTGTTCAGGTAAAATGCTTTAAAGGCATAGCGAGACATAAACTTTTGCATACCATTATTTGTTCTTATCACAAGATCTTGCAATATAACTTGAAAGAGAAGAAAGAGAACAAAAACTGTCCGACTTTGATGAGTGCATTAAATAGAGTATTTGAATTTACACAGATACCAAACAATGTGTACGACAAATGATGTATAAATTCATTTGATCGCTATCACCCGTGATACATTTCACTCAATTATCAAACAATAACGATCTTCGCTATCAAACAAATTTCAATATTTCACGCGTTGCATTTTACGCGACATCATAACTGTCTGCATGTCGTTACGTTCAAGCTGAAATAAATTCAATCTTTTGTTTTTTCTTACATTTTAAGATTTCGACGTCTGCCTGTCTGTCTCTCTTTCTTTCTAGGGTTTGATGTGTTTTCAATCGATGCCATATATTTGAATTTAAAAAAGAAGGAAGGTTTAGCCCTAAAGAGGGCTGTTGGGTTTTAGTGATTTTGTTTTTCAATTTTTATTTGGAGAGTGATGTTCTTCATCTCATCCGGCCAAGCAGTAGGCAAACCGCTTATGAACCGAAACCGTAGAGTGTACGACCTTGTCGTTTGAGTGCGTAGACAACATCCATAGCTGTAACAGTTTTTCGCTTGGCGTGTTCTGTGTATGTAACAGCATCACGAATGACGTTTTCAAGAAAGATTTTGAGGACACCACGAACTTCTTCGTAGATCAATCCAGAAATACGTTTGACACCACCTCGTCGAGCAAGACGACGAATAGCTGGTTTTGTGATACCTATGAAAAGAATTGATTAGAAAATCATGTTGAAAAGAAGAGATTCGATTTTGAGGACATACCTTGGATGTTATCACGTAAAACTTTACGATGGCGTTTGGCACCACCTTTTCCAAGACCTTTACCACCTTTACCACGTCCGGACATTGTTTAATGTATTTGGTTAATAGAAATGAAGAAAACGGTTTGATGAAATGTGAAGAAAAGAACGAATTTAACCGACGTTTATATACGGTTCACATATACATGTATTGATTGGCTCACTAAGAAAACAAAGACTCATCATCTGTATTGGCTCGCTAACGATTTCCTTAACCGACCAATACCATTGAGCGGTTCGTCTTGTTTATAAAGCGCGTGCATTTGCTTGAGATTCTTCTGTATTCGTATTCGAAAACATCTACATTTCACTTACACGTTTATTAAATAAAAAACTCTAATCAATGGCTCGTACAAAACAAACCGCTCGTAAATCAACTGGTGGAAAAGCACCACGAAAACAATTAGCAACAAAAGCTGCACGAAAATCGGCACCAGCTACAGGTGGAATCAAAAAGCCTCACCGCTTTCGTCCAGGTACCGTAGCTCTTCGGGAAATTCGTCGTTACCAAAAATCGACTGAATTACTCATCCGAAAATTGCCGTTTCAACGATTGGTACGTGAAATTGCACAAGACTTCAAGACAGATCTTCGATTTCAATCGTCTGCTGTTATGGCTTTACAAGAAGCTTGTGAAGTAAGTTCAATCAACTAAATATGTTCTGTATCAACTAACTTGTTCTGCTCTTCTCGCTTTAGTCATACTTAGTCGGTCTCTTCGAAGATACCAACTTGTGTGCAATCCATGCTAAACGTGTCACCATCATGCCAAAGGACATCCAATTGGCCCGCCGCATCCGTGGTGAACGCGCTTAAGTATACTAAGCTGAAAGATTAGATGAGATGAATAACATCACTCTCAACAAATAACAACAACACAATCTACTAAAACCCAACAGCCCTCTTTAGGGCTAATATATCTTATATTCAAAGCTATGGAACACAGTTATAAAAACACATATTGAAACTGTCAGAAGGCTAGTTTGTTTGATAAGGAATAAAAACAGCATATTGGCAAGAAAGACATTGATTTTGATGGAACAAAGAAAAAAAACCGGTTGAAATTACTCTTTTGACGTATTGTTAAGGAAATAAACGAATACCCGCTATAAAATTTGTTTGAAGTTTGCAAAATGTTTGAAACATGCATATCAAGTTGTTCAACGATTCGGTCATCTAGCACGCATTAAACAACGAATAGAAACAAACGAGGTCACATAGGTTATAACAGTTATCTTTTCTTTTGCAAATTTTCTTGCTTTTCTCTGTGACATTTGCACCAATGATTTTCAAGAAAAAAAGGTCAGGCTGGCGAGCTCTGATATTTAAAAGAAGAGAAAAACTGGTCATCTATAATGAGCATTGACACAGAACGAAATGCATTATTGTTAACTTTATTTGACGAAGAATTTTCTAAATCAGCTAGATTTGCGACAAGACAACAGCAAATTTGAGAGAAGTATTTCGACGACGAAACCATAAACTTTAAATTTAAGATATGAATAGCCCTAAAGAGGGCTGTTGGGTTTTAAGGTTTCTCTTAATTGAGAGGGTTGACAATCATCTCATGATCAAGTCACCATTTACTTGGCACTTGTGTATTTTGTAACGGCTTTTGTACCTTCTGAAACAGCATGTTTAGCTAATTCACCAGGTAATAAAAGTCGGACGGCTGTTTGAATTTCACGTGATGAAATTGTTGATCGTTTGTTGTAGTGTGACAAACGTGAAGCTTCAGCAGCAATACGTTCGAAAATGTCGTTCACGAAGGAGTTCCTATTCAAGAGACAAAGATTGAGATGAATGTTGTTGACGCGAATTGTATGAACAAACTTACATGATTGACATGGCTTTCGATGAAATACCAGTATCTGGGTGAACTTGTTTAAGAACCTTGTAGATGTAGATGGAATAGGTTTCCTTTCGTCGACGTTTTTGTTTTTTGTCACCTTTGTTTCCAGCTGAACCTTTGCTAGTTTTGGTAACAGCTTTTTTTGAACCTTTTGAGGGTGTTTGAGCTTTTGGAGCCATAATGAATTTGTTGTATTAATCGACTTAGTTGACGAAGAATAGATGAATGTATGAGAGTGAGCACAAACGGTTGTGTATTCTTATATAGACCAGTTCAGTGACAACATTTTTGAACGAATAGGAACCGAGCGTTCTTCACTTTCTATTGGCTAGTTTGCATGTCAATGTCGAGCGTCTATATATAGAAAAAGAAAGAACGAGACACAGTTTATTCTATACATTCATCACAAGCTTTTTTAATTCTAATAATTAATAAATCAAAATAATAATGTCTGGTCGAGGTAAATCAAATGCTAGTGTATTAGCTGGTAGTGGAAAAGCACGAAGCAAAGGTAAATCACGATCGATGCGCGCTGGTCTTCAATTTCCAGTTTCACGTGTTCATCGTCATTTACGCAAAGGAAGCTACAGTGAACGAGTTGCTGGTGGCTCACCAGTCTACTTGGCTGCTGTACTCGAAGTAAGTTTCATTGATATGTGCTCGTCTCAGTCAACTCACACTTGTGTTTCTAGTACTTGAGTGCTGAAATTCTTGAATTGGCTGGAAATGCCGCTCGGGATAACAAAAAGACTCGTATTATTCCACGACATCTTCAATTGGCTGTTCGTAATGATGAAGAACTCAACCGTCTTTTAAACAGCGTTACCATTGCTCAAGGTGGTGTTTTACCAAACATCAATTCTTTATTGTTACCAAAGAAGACAGCCGGTGCAGGTGATTCCTTACCAGTCTCATCTGCTGGTGTCATCAAGAAAGCAAAAAAGGCCGTTGCAGCAACTAGCCAATAAGAAACTCAAGTTGAAAAAAAGCAATTCAGATAAAACCCAACAGCCCTCTTTAGGGCTAAAAGATATTTTAAATTCATCAAATGTCGGATTTTCGTGTATTCATACGAACAGAAAATAAATGTGAAGTTTTGCTCAGGAAATATATGATTTTGCATGCACTGTACGCGGGACATATTCATAAACATAATCTCTGTACATATCAAATATTTACTACGTTTGTAAACTTGTAGAGATCGATAAACAAAGAAAAGATCGTTCTCTTCTCATTAGTAGTTTGTTCTTCCTATGATTCATCGGTAACTGTCTTCGGGAAACCAATAGCGCTACAATCAATGGCAACTGGTAATTAAAATGAAAAATTTCTCGATCGATTAGAAATGAGATTTTCATATTAAGAATGCATTTTAAAATCGAAAAGTTCACATTTTGTTTCATAACATTTGGAGGTCCAAAGACCGATAAAGTTAGATTATATCATAGAATGGCTGCCATATGGAAAAGAGAAAAAAAATATCCGAAGTCAAACTATTTTCGATTGTTATGAAAAGTCAATGTTTGGACGGATGAATTCTCATCTGAATGTCTTACAAAGATAGTTAATGATTGCATTGATATACTCTGAATTCGAATTTTGTCTTCAAGCTGCTATGATATAGTTTGTTTGTTATTTTAGATTGAAAAGTTATGTGTCATCTAGGGTAATCGAATGTTTCGCTCAGTGATCCGTCCGAGCACATGTGTGCGATGTTTACTCAATCGAATTCAATACAGTAGTACTAGTAAAAGTATGTTGTGATTCTAAGAATGTTGTAATTGACTCCAAAGTGTTGTTTAGGTAAATCTGAGGTCGATCCGGGTGCCGTGTTTATTCGAAAAGATGTTCAGGATTTGTTAACAAACATTACAGGTTTTGATTTATCGCGAATATTTCGTACACGAACGAATAAAAACCTCGATCGAATCGTTTATAAGTATTTAACTGATAAGCAACTCAAAGAAGTACGTATGTATAAGTCAAATATGTTATCTTTCAATTCAAATGGGCTTCTGCTCTAGGAAAAAGAGAAAACGGTTGAACGAGGCCGAGCAAAACTTCAGATGCCACCGATTTTGACTGAAGCTAAAGAGAATGTGGAAATTCTGGAGAAAGATGAAATGCTAGGTGGATTTTCGACGAGTAAACATCTATTTATTGACATCTCACTTGGCGTACCAATACGAGTACGTTGTTTTGTCCATCAGGAGAAGAAATAAAACATTGATTTTGGCGGTATTTAGGATCGTTTGATTGTTGCACGTGATGTTGATGGAACGTTACGAACAGCGACATTAGATGAAAAGCGACGAATGAGACAGATTTACTTTCCCATTTCAGGAAGAGAGTTGGTTATGCCAAAGATGTTCGAAGAAGAACAATTAGAAGTAAAATAACTAATCTAAACATGATCTCGACATCTCACGAAATGTTTCTCTGCAGAAAATTTTAGAACGACGTGATTATCAACTCATACTCGATCGCGCCTGCATTCAATTCGAACCGGACGAGTCAGAATACATACGTGTAAGTCGTTGCTCGATTCGGTTGACGAATGTCTTATGACAAGTTATTTAGGTCACCCATAGAACATTTGAACATATTGATAAAACGAATTCTTATGATGTACTTCGATCAACACGACATTTCGGTCCGATGGCATTCTACTATGTATGGTTTAAAAAAGTCGATCGACTTATGAGCGACATGCTAAGCAGGAATCTGTAAGTTATGCTCTGGAATCAGAAGTATATCCATAATCTCAGATGTGGTAGACGAATGCTTCTAATGCAGAAATTTTTAATAAATTTTTTTGAGAGGAATTTATCATCAGACTATGTCACACTTTGAATGGAGACGATTGTTTCCTGTAAACGCTAAATCTATTTAGAATCAATGATGCCGTTTCATTACTTCAACTCTATGCAATCATTCATCCGGATTCTAAAGTTGGAACATATGAATTTCACGATACGAATCCTCATCGACTGATTGAAGTATGAATTTTACGATTTAATTCATTGCAAATTGCTTATTTTGTCCGTTTTTCAGGCATTTATTGATGATGAGGCGCGGATACCTGATTTACTCAGCGAAACCTTCCGTCAATATATCCGCAAAAACCAACAAGCGGTGTCGAATGGATAATGGATTCTTTTCTGTTTTGCTCTTTTTCGCTTAACACTAGCAAGAAAATCTAAACCTAACGTGTCGTTTTTCTCTCTCGTTCTCGAATACTTCTGTTGATACATGTTTTGTTTTCAGATCTACGTGTATTTAACATACATACACAGATAATCTATTCATCATGGTTCACATGAACGTTCTCGCAGACGCACTCAAATCAATAAACAACGCTGAAAAACGTCATAAGCGCCAAGTTATCATTCGACCATGTTCAAAAGTCATTGTCAAATTCCTCACTGTCATGATGAAACATGGTAAAAACTACGACGAATGCATCGATGCGGTTGACTTTTGCTTGCTTGTTATAGGTTATATTGGCGAATTTGAAATAGTCGACGATCACCGAAGTGGTAAAATAGTTGTTAACTTAAACGGTCGATTAAACAAGGTATGACTGACTATTCGAGATTCAATACGATCGTTAATTTCTTTCCGTTCCAGTGCGGTGTCATCAGTCCTCGTTTTGATTGTCCAATTCGTGATATCGAAACATGGACAAAGAATCTTTTACCATCACGTCAATTTGGGTAAGGACTTTCATTCGAATGTAATTTCATCGTTGACTTCAAATCTTCTAGATACGTCGTTCTAACAACATCACATGGTATATTAGATCATGAAGAAGCTCGACGAAAACATACTGGTGGTAAAGTTCTCGGATTTTTCTTCTAAAATCTTCGAGATGATTCAATATTCGATCAGCCAACAAAATTTAGCAATAACAACAAATCGATTCATTTTGTTTTGGTTTTGTTATTGTGTCAACAAAGAATAAAAAAATAAAAAGAATCCGGAAAAACAAACTATACGCATATAACAAAACTGTTCTCTTCTATTGTTCATAATATGTGTCAAGTGGACAATGAACACTTGACAAAGAAGACTATTGTCAGTAGCAATCGATCTAATGATAAAAAATATTTGAAATTTATTCGACCAGATCGTTTCGCATAATTACAATTTGATGAACACACCTTCCGGCTTATTATATAAGTTCATTCGCATATGTTAAACGCGTGAATGGGCAACACAGTTTACGAGAGAGGTAATAACAGGGAGAGGAAAAACAGATCATTCCATTAGTTTCTGTTTTGTGGAGAAGAAAAAAAAAAAAGTAGCCGTGTCATTTCCGATGATAGAAAAAGTATGGAAAGACATGTATATACGACGATAATTTCTTCTATCGAACTGCTTTTTTTATGCTTTTGTATATGATCAATCGTCTTTATACGCATGTCATTTGGTGTATTGCCGACATTAGTAATCATCGATCAATATTCCGTACGTTTGTTCAGGAATGAAGAACGAGGCAAATTTCATTATTTCATTATCGTATCGTCGTTTCTTTTCAAAGAATAAATATTAACTTATATAAATATATCTTTTTTCATTATCTCGAAAAAAGAAAAGTTCTAAATTCTTCGACATAATAGACATTCATGACAAGAAAATGACTAAATTATTTCTATCGTGGGTAAGTGAAAAAGAATGGCCCTAGAAATGTTTCTCACTCTCATTTCCGCTTCGCTGGTGACATAGAATGAGGAGAGCAAGATAATGGAGGAAAAGTCAGTTTAATCGTCTTCTTTCTTCCCTTTTAAAAAAAATACTAGTAAAGCTTTCCATACGGGTAGAGTACTAATCCATATTAAGAGTAAGAAACATTGTATATGTATATTTACTCAACACACTTGTATTACTTCAATGGATTATGCACGAACATGATTATTAGCATATAACAACAAAAGTCTGCCGAATAAGTACAAGCTTGAAAGAACTTCGTTTTCTCTTCCTCTCTGTTTGATTCTCATATTCGATGATGAGTAGATATATCGCTGATTATATAATAGGTATGCTGAAGAAGGACAGGCGCGTTTATATTTATTCTTGATATATATGTGTGTATATAAATGATCGTATTACGGTGTGATAAGAAACATTTATCCAATACTATTGACAACTTTGTTTATTTTTAATACCGAATTATGATTATCGGACAGACACATAAGTGAGATTAACGAGTAATAATTTTATCGAAAGTCTAAGTGATTCAATTACAAGCATGCTGAGAATTGCCCTGTGGTATCTTCTTTCTCTTTAAGTAACTGTATTCGATGGACCCCCCTAATCTCAGGAGAAGTATTACAACTCCAATACACTTATATAAGACGACTTTTCACATGTAATTAACTTGCAAGAAACAGAAAGCAAAGTGGAAGGAATCGCAAGTTTACATTATAATTGTGACATTTTCACGTTTCTATTGTTCGAATTTATGTATTCGTACAGACGTAGACGTATAAACACATATGTACTGATAGGCATAGTAATAAGAGACATATATCGACTGAGAGCAATGACGATGACTCTTGTTACTCGATACAAACGACAAACATACATAAATATGATTGTATTAGTTCTTGTTCGATAAGGATAAGTATAAACATGACACATGTGTAATGAAGAAAACGAGAGCGAGAAGTACGAATTGTGTTTATGTCTCACACCGGCAATGAAGCCTTGTCGGTTTCTTTTTCGTTTGCATTCAAATGATAGATTTTTCCATTTTCTTTGACTAGCTGATAATTAAAAATCGAGAACTTTTTTTTCTTCTTATACTGTTTATCAACGTCTTATTCGTTCGAGGAGACATGAGAAGAAAAGAAAAGAAGAACGGTATGCCATTGATTAATTCAAGTACTGAGCTCATTTGAGCATGAAGTAAAAGTAAAGAAGATGAACTGTCGTTCTTCTGTTAAATTAACCGTAGGCCTATGTAGTGACACAACGGATCTATTCTAATCAGTACGTTTTTCTTTAATACAAAGAGTAAGACTCTTCCGCTTTCTTTTTTTCTTCCACTCTTCTCTCGGATTTTCTTTTTATATACTAAACATTCAAACTACAAAGAGCAACATACTGATCGGTCGACAACGGAAAAATTACATGACATTATTATTTTCTTTGTTATCGTTTTCTTTCTAAATTGCGTTTTATGTATGCATATATGTTAACAGATCAATGAATTGTATGTCATTAAACTGTTGATAATGCTTTTTTTCTCTTTCGCTCTCTTTCGGAGGCCTTTTTTTTTCATCGCTTTATTTTGCAGATCCTTATGCTCGACAATGTGATCGAACATTAGTTTGCATAACTGATCTGTATGCGTAAACTTGGTTTCATTTTACAATGGCATTGTATACAAACGAAAAAGACTCGATTCGATCGTCATCATCGTCGTCGTTGTCATCGGTGCTAATTGAAGATCAGTATTATCGAAGAAATTCGTTGTTATTTTCATGTTGCGGTTGCCATCGAACACGACAAGTAGTAAAAATTGAAGATAAACCGAAAAGGAACAGTCTACAAAATGGATTCTTCAAGCGCATTCAAATTTTCAAAGGTTTGCTAATCACGGATGAATACATTTCGACTATCTATTTGTTTTTCACTTTAGCACAAAAGCGGCAAAGTTCAGTTCGTAAACAACAGATCGGAACACCAGTTTCCAACCATCAACTTGCTACTGAAATCGAAAAAATCACCAAAGAGAAGAATGTGGAAATTGAGCCGATTCAAACTGGTCAACCGAGTTTTGATTCCTATTCATTTGCGGATATTGAAATTGGCTCATCCATTAATGGTGATAAGTATCATCGAGCGTTAAGTACTACACCCAAAAGTATTCCATCACATAAACGCTCTTCTATAGCAACGAATCTGTCAGTATATTCAAGTCAAACACTGCTTCGAAAGTTGCGTGACAAAGCTCATATTCTCGATGAATACTATCAGGATGTATCAACCAAAATGTCTCAACGCCCTGTAACGTCACTTTCGTCGTCATCGTCATCACTTCGCGAACCATCTGGCGCAACGCCACGCTTATTTCTTCACCATAATCGTTCGAATGATAGTATGAAAAAATCAACACGAAGAAACTATCGACAATTATATAGTACCGTGTCGTCCAACAGCTCAAGATTTGACTTATATAACGATGAAGATAATATTTTACGAGAATTAATACGTTTTAACAATGATATCGATCTGATTCTATCGCGTTTGGAAATGGAAGGTGAAAATCTACCCCAATTACAAACCCCGGATTTGATTTTATCGGATAACGATGATCAAATTCAACAGTTGAATGTCAACCCAAGCGAGGATTCGCATTCAAATTTCGATCTTCCGAACAACACTAATCCGTACGTTTTTGTATCTTATCTCTTCGCAGAGCGAATAGTCGTGATGATAAATCGGTAAAGTTATCTGAGAGAAGAAAAACATGTCAAAACTGTTAAATCAATATTTGTTTCTCATTGACAAGCAATCAAGAGAAAGAGAGAATTCATTCGAAAAATCATCTATCTTGAGTATCAGTTGTCATCAACAACATTATTGACGAGTGTTTTAACAGAAATGAGTAAATATAAATATGAATCACCTGCAGCGATGTAGAAAAGAAATACTTCAGCGAGAAAAATGAACTGTGTTATTCAATAACTGCCTCATTCTCTCCGTTTCGCTCATTTACTTGTACCACTGACGTGATCTTTAGTCACATTAGTTTTCTCTCCAGTAGACTTCGACAGCCTTTCTATTGGACATCTCTGAATAAGTGTAAAGATTTTCTAGGTCGATAATCAAACATGCTATCCAAGGTTGGTCTTCTCGCTAAATTTTTATCATGACTATCTTTTCTTTTGTCATGAATCAATGAGAAACTCATTCTAAAAGGAGAAAAATAATTCGTTTTCTATACGTGTTATTTTCCAATTAATTCAATGGAACACAACGATGAGAAAGACAGAGAGAGAGAGAGATATGATATAAACAGTCGTTGCTGAGCCAAATTTTGACTTAGAAAATTATATTATCATAAAGCCTACATTCTCAGTTATGGTAATTTTTTTTATGTTATTACTGTTGTGCGAGTCGACAACGGCGAATTTGAAGGTAATATATGCCATAGACAACGACCTCAGTTAGACACGTACGCACACATGTACATAACAATTTAGGTTTCTCTCTTTCTCGCTCGCTCCATGGTGCTGATGACGTCTTTCAGTTGATCGGGTATGCGTGCGCAATTGTTGCATCATCGAGATCTGTCGTCAGTCGATAAAGAATGATGGAACAAATTTTCTTTTTTTTCCTTCTCCTCTCGGACTAATATTCTCGATCATCAAGATGCTTCTCTATGCAGTCGCAGTAGAACTGTTCCATTTCGAAGAGTTGCTTTCATTGATCAAGAGTGGAATTTTTTTCTTGAAATGTGAATTCCTGTCCTTCGTGTCTGCTCCGCGCTCTTTTCACGAGATAACCTTCGAAAGATATGAATCCAGAGGCCTCTTTCTGTCTGAACAAACAAGGTCAATTGTTCGATGCAATCAACGGTTTTCTTTCTTTTTTCTTCTTCTTCTTCTTCTTCGAATTAATTTTTCAGTCGTGTTTATAGTTGACATTCAATATCGATCTTCGATTGATTTCAGAGAGGAAGAAGACGAACTTGATCAGACGACTTCAAACGATATTCTGACAATGCGGACGAACACGAACGAATTGAACATTCATTTACTTCTTTCGAATGATATCGACCAGCTACGCGAACTAGGTAAATACCAAAATAATTCTCTATCTCAGCTATTCTTCGCTTTTTCAGCACTAACAAACTTGTTGAAGATGACCGCGCAAAGCTGTACATCGGACATTGTACATAATTACGAAACGATGTAAGTGACTATGACTTGATGGTGCATCTAATTGCGAACATTCGATGTAGAACATTAGCGAAATTGAATAAACTGCCGAAGTCAACAACATGGAAAGGAAAACGTGTCTTCGGTGTCCCATTACGTGTATATCAACAAACGACAGGTCGTATCCTACCCATGGCGATAGCGAACGCCTTGCAGTATATACGTGTTCATGCTGGCAAATGTGACGGACTATTTCGTAAACCAGGTGTCAAGTCGAAAATCGAACGTTTACGGTCTCAAATTGAATCATTGAATGAATCAAACAACGAATATGCATTCGATTCAATTAAATTTGATGAATATCAACCGTATGTTGTTGCAGATACGATTCGACAGTATTTTCGAGAATTACCCGAATGTCTCATGCCACCAGTGCTAACACGATTGTTATGTGATTTACTCAAACGTAAAGAATGTCAATTGTTATCGTTCGATAAGATGAAAGGAATGCCTTTTCTGCTTTAGATCTCTCACAAGAAGAACAATTATTAGCAATACGTTACACATTCTTAGTATTACCAGATGAAACTCGTGAAATATTGGAAACAATTCTTCGATTTCTATTAGATATATCCGTACGATTAGGAAACAACCAAGTAAGACCAGAATCGCATGAGTTCGGATTTCATGATCACGTGTGTTATGTAGATCAATTGTCGCAGTTTAGCACGTATTTTTCTTCCATCTGTCTTTCAATCGTTTTATGACATGCATCATACATCATCGAAGCTTCTTTGGTGGAAGTGGAAAAAGGAAAAAACGGATGGAATCTCTCAAGAAAATGATCGTTTGATCTTAGAAAACTGCCTAATGACAATGATTCTCAATGTCGATATTCTATGTCGGGTAAGATAAACAATCAGTTTATGCGTTCTTTTTTCCATCGACACTGTTTTGCATGTGTACATATAGGTTCCAAGTGCACTTAATGATGAACTTAACTTGCCGTCAGCAAGAAAAACAAAACGGCTTGATGAACTTGTTCGTCATACATGTAATGGCGAATTCCACATAAAGAAATTCGTATCGAAATCTAGTGAACAATTTCTTCAAGTAAACAAACACATGTCGAAATTGAAAAATAACATTTCGTTCTTTAGCGTATATCGACAACAAAATTCAAAGCTATTCCAACCCACGTCGATGGTGTCAGTGTAGCCGTACATAAACCGTCGGCAACATTATCCAATGCAGATGAGAATAATTTACCGATATGGAAATGTTCAATAGATATACCAGATACAAATGTTAAACAAGTCTATGAGAGAATCGAACACGATCGATATCTATGGGATAAACATGTGGCAGAGAGTCGAACAGTAGAGAAAATCGATGAAGATAAGGAAATAGTGCAATATGTACTTAATTATCTCGATCTCGTTCCTGTTCGATCGTTTTGTGAATTTCGGTAATTGCTTTCTTTTTCTCTCTGAAAACTACATCCATATTTCGATTTTTCATCTAGTTTTTCAAAAAAAATCACATCGCGATCAGCATCTAATGCCAATGCTATGCTCATAAGTGCTGTATCTATTGATCATCTCCAAAATCACTTTCTACCTGGTAGTATGGGTGTGACTTATAATATGCACTATTATATAACACCGTCACTTACACAACCCGGCCATACAACAGTGACACAAATCGCTTGTGTCGATTTCAGGTTTGGATAAAAAGACCAAATTGAAAAGATGTTTGCACCGCTTTCTGTTTCAGTGGCCGATCCACACAATGGTATGAGAATGTCTATGGATTTTTATTAGCACACAATCTTTTATCATTACGGAATTCGTTTTTGAATACAAATACTGTTCAAATTTGAAATCTCTTCATTATCATTCCTTGTTTTTTTTTCTTCTCGAAAGACAAAAGAAGAAAGTATCTCTTTCTTCTTTTTTTTTTATTAACAAAGGATTATCATTGTATATGACTGAACTCCTGACAACCATATAATCTCTCTACTTGACTCAGGATACCGTCCTTTATCATGATCTTTATCATGACAAGAAAAAACCATTAACAACAATAATAACTATCGTTCATTTTATACGCATTTATCTTTTTTTTTTGTTGTTCTTATTTTTCTCTCATAAACGATTTTGAATGTCAGTATACAAAAAGGAAAAGAACAATGAAAAACTATTCACATACACAAAACAAATAATACTTTGAAGAATATTCGCTGAAATCATACACACACACGTGCGGAAGAGGCAGACACAACATACTGGTGAACTAAAACTTTCAAACAAGAGCCTCCTTTGTTTCGTTGTATTTAATAATACACCACTGTCTATTCTTTGGACTTTGTTTGATAATTTCCAGTGGTTTCGTTCGGAGGCTTCGTCGTTGATAAGCTGCTGCGGAAAAGCTTTTCACACTATGTCGTAAACTACTAAAACGACGCAGTGTGGCCGGTGGCGTTTCGGGTGGTTTCAATTCACATATGATTGGTGTGGCCGTGTGATGGATTCGTGTTAAATCATAACAGGCAGATCGTTTGCTATAACATGTACCCATATGTTGTTTTTCTCTTTGTTTTTTCTAACTGCTCAGACAGAACTAAAGACAACAGATGAGAAACTTAAGAAAATCGGAGTGATAACAGAGGCGTACGTACTGTTGTTGATTATCAATCATTATCACGAGCGATTAGGGTTTTAATAAGAAAACATGTGACCGATGTATCTTGTCGTTTGTCAAGGTCACTTATGTCGTATGGAAAGAAGAAAAAGTGAAAGCATGCGCGCACACACTACGGTCAACACAATAGCACCTTTGATTGAGAGTGACCGAACGAAGAAAAACACCTATTCTTATGTTCCCTTTTTTGTGTTAGAAGGAAGGAAGGAAGGAAAGAATAGGAGAACGAAGATGACCGAGTCAGAAGCAGCAAATTTCGACAAAGAATGAGAAAGATTTTTCTTCCTATACAACACCTGCTTCAGACATGAACTGTGTACACATCTACTCAAGCGATATCTTTATCTAAATTCGATTTGAACATAATACTCATTACGCAAAGTTCGTTCGATAACACTTTTTAACGACGCGATCTTTTGTCTGTCTGACAGGACATGAACAAATATCGAATAACTCGAACATGCACGATTGACATACATAAATACACCTGTTCGTCGTTGTTTGACAAAAGAAACAATTAACACAAAGTTAAACACATGAACACTCTTGTGTAAAGATCAGAAGTTATCACTTATCTATTAGTTTGAATAAATCATAATGTGTATTGCTAATTAGAACAGAAATGGCGAGTCTCGTTCATGATTGTTCGAACTGCCTTCATGCGCTTTTGACAACACTATTGTAAAGATCTTAATCAATTCTTATTCACCGTAAAAGGGTAGATAGACCTTATTTAACCAAGATACAGACTAACACTGCTTGTTAACGTGGAAGGTGAGATGGGTCTGTGCGTCAATTTTTTCGTACTGATAGAAAACAACTATGGAAAATTGATCGAATCTCGTGAAAATACAAAGAAACCGAATAACCAATCATCAGTGATGATCATACTGTTTTCTTTGTTCGTGTATATAGTTTATGGTCTAAAAAAAATAAAAACAATCATAAAAGAAATAGCCACACTTGAAAAACCTGAACGAAAAATGAAGAATATGATCACTGTAACTAATTAGCTGTTGACGATTCACCGGTTGTTTCATCAATTTCCACAATATGCTGTTCATTGTCATTCGATGTCGCGCCGTAATCTCCAACATTCGTCACAATTTCTGTTTCCTCTAAAATCCGCGTGACCGGAATAGCGACAGGTTTCGATAGTATTGTTTCTGTTGGTTTGATATGAGAATAGAGACTCTGAGATGTATTGTAGAAATTACTATCCCTCGGTTTTTCATGCTGGAATCTCGATGAAAATCGACTGGTGGTTGAGTAAAACTTTTGCTCGGGCGGAGTCGGGTCCTTGCGTTCTTCGACTTTGGCGTTATTCGCAGTCATTGTATTATACTCGTCAGTTATATTATCTACAACGGGTTTCATTGTACCTTCCAAGAGATTTCGATATGTTTCGATTTCTTTTTCTAATGATGTTTGCTTGGAAATGACATCTTCATAATCCTGAGCGGTTTTTTCGTGCTGTGACTTAAATTGATTGATTTGGTTTTGTTGTAGTTTCTCCACACGTTGATTCTCGTCGGTCATTAACTCGGCTTTAATTTGAACTTCACGGATGTGTAGTTTCAACTCTGCTGTTTTCTGTTTTAATGCGTTGATATCTGCTCGAACACGTTGTATCTCCAAACGTACGCGATCTTCTTCTAATCTAATACGTTCCTGTTCGCGTTCGTTCATGAACAAATATGCTAAGTCCGGGTATTGTCGTATAATACTATCGTATGATTGACTAAACTGGGTGCAGAGTTCATTTCGATGTGTATCGTTTTCTCTTTCGAAATCTTGCCTAACGCGTCGGATTGCATTAGACAACTCCGATTTGAACACATGTGCACGATCGTTTGTCGTGTTCGAACCGGCCATTAATGCTGATTGTTTAACTTCTTTTAGTTTCTGCTGTTGCTGCTCACGTAAACGAGCAATTTCCGCGTGTAATTGCTTCGTTTTTTGTTCGGCTGATGCTCTACCCAACGATTCAGTATGAATTTCATTTCCAGTTTGTACTAGAAGACGTTGAATATGACCGGTCAGTTGTTTCCATTGGTTTTGCTCGTTATCCTGATGAGCGAGACGGCGCTTGAACATTATAATATCGCCTTCGATCGATGAGAGCTGTCGTTCAACTTTCTCCGTATCGTATTTGGCTGAATCGCGCTCGCGGAATGTTTGGTTTAACTGCTGTTTCAACGGGAGAAGTGTATTCTGAAAGAAATGCGAGCGTGAACGAGTAGACTTTTGCAAAAAAAAGAATCAACAAACGTGCGTTGTTTGAGCGGTTGAAAACGTGTCGTTTTTATCTTTGAATAATTGTTCTGCTGCTTGTCTTAATTGAGCGATTTCTGTCTCGAATTTCAATTTGATCTTTTGGGTATTCTCTTGTTCCTTTTCGGTGAGAAGATTCGCCTCCATTTGGATCTTCTTGTTCTGAGCTTCCAAATATCGAACTTTCTCGACATAATCAGCGAATTTATCGTTCAATGTTGATAATTCAAATCGTTCTTTTTCACGTGCTTGAGTGTACAACGGTGGTTTTGTCATCGTGTACGACGAATTGCGATACGTTGAGGCCGACATGGAAGCCGATTGATTCTCAAACTGATTCGAGTCGGCAAATGAAGGCGAATGTAAACGAGAAGATGTATAAGTATTGTTGCTTTTGCTATTCGTCGATGTTTGCGGAACACAAGTGGCTCCTAATGATGATGATGATGATGATGTCGATGGTTGAGACACTGGTAAACTATTCTTAAGAGTTGACAACGAGTATGGTAATGGGAGGAGGCCGAGAAAAATGTTGCTCGGCACTATACCTATTATTGAAAAGAAAAGAAGAAAGAAAGTAATCTGATAATGCAACTTACAAAAGTGAATGTGAAAAAAAAATTGTCGAGTAAGCCTTTTTTCTGTTTTAGAAAAATACAAGAATCTCCAGCACTGCGCTTTATTATTGTCCTTGAAACTAACATTTGTACAGAACGAACATCAAAAGAAAATGTTTATTCTGCTTGTTTTTTTTCGACCTCTTTCTATTTCTGAGATCAACCGAAAAAAAATACAGGCTCTTGCCATTGCGTAGTAAATAATACGTATGTCGAAGTACGCAAAACAGTAGATTAATATTGAATTACCTCGAGATTTATCATAGCTATTCAAGTTATTCACCATCTCATCCATTTATTGATAGACAAAACTGAAAAAGAAAAACTAAAGCGAACAGCAAGTCGACAACGACGTTATATCTGTTGATTTTTCCGTGTGGCAGTAAATTTAATCATCTTACACGAGATCCTTTGCAAACATATACATACTTGATAAATCGTCTTATCTATTGTTGCTTTTTTCTTTACGCTCTATTCTTGTTGTAGTACATGCAGAAACACAGAAGAAGCGAAATTTCAACGCTCTTCGCGGTTTATAAATGCAAAACGAAAATGTATACGGGGTTTCATATTTTCTCTCTCCGACGTGTTATTGTTGGAAAGCCATGTAAGGTAACAATGCATACGGATAAATAAGAATTATGATTTCGAGCACGAAATTTGTGTGTGTAGACGCAAAAGATCACCTGGAGGTGAATCCATCGTGCATGCTTTTTTCCACTAGAGAGATTTTCAATGTTGCTTTGTACTTTACTCCGGCAAGAATGTGTGTGAGAGAGAAAAGTTCGTAAGATGTACATATGACTCGCGAAAACAAAAGGGATTGTGTTTCAGTTTGAAGAGTAGATCGAAAAAGTTGTTTGTTCGAACGAAAAGTTGTACTGTTGAAATCCCGACAGAGGTCGCTGATATCCGAATCGGGTGCGGAGATCGATCAACATTCGATCGTTGAATTTGACCAACGGATGAACGGCTTGTATTTCTTCTTCATTCATTCGAATTGAAAACTAAGAACGAGTATGGCGAAATCTTCGAAGAAATCCGGCAAACCGAAATCACGTTCGAAAATGACACGTGAAAAGAAAATGCCTCAGCTTGGCAAGATTTCTAAACAAGAGAGAAAGTTCCATCAAAAAGTGAAAAACCATGTTCCATTGAAGAAGAATAACGCCATGTATCAAAAGCATAAACCAAAAAGCAAACAAATTCAACAGAGTTTGCCTATGGAAACTGATATTATCGAAGATTATGATGACGACGAACTTATCTTACCATTGGATATGCTTTCGGACGAAGAAGATCAGCTAGGCAATGTTCAAACCGATGACGAAGATGATAACGAGCAGATCCTAGCGTATGAGCGTATCCCACGTGCATCGTTTAATGATGTTAATCGGCAACGGCCGTTGTTACCAATTAAAACTGACCGTGGCCAAATCATTGCCCAATCGGCACCCATTGTCGACGAAGAATTTCCTGTTGAAAAAGACGAAGAAGAAGAAGAAAAGCCGGTTGAAGATGAAACCAGCTCTGCTGAATCAAAACCAGCAAAACCCGTCTCTGTTGTTGAATTACTTGCTGAACGTGATAGAAAACTCAATGAAACCAAACAAACCATCGTCACTCTATGCGACTTGATCATGAAAAGTCCGTACGAAGAAATCTCAAATTTAAAACAACTACGCGCATTACTCAATCTTGGTGATCCATTGATATCGTTGACCGTACGGAAGTTAACCATGCTCTCCTTAGTGGAATTGTTTCGTGATATCGTACCTGGTTATCGTGTGCGTTCGTTGAAAGAACAGACGAAAGAGGATGATGAAGAAATGAAGAGCACGAAGAATAAAAGGGCCAGTCACAAAGAGAATCTATCGAAAGACGTGAAAGTTATTCGTCATTTTGAACAAACTCTAGTGAAACATTACCAATTTTTTCTTCATTTTCTGGAGCAATGTGCTAAGAAAAACCTTCCCGATAATCATCTCGCTAAAAGCAAGCACAAAGAGTTGAAAACGGTCGAATCGGCCAAGCTCAGTCTCGGACATTTAGCTATTCAATGTCTATGCAAACTATTAACTTCTCTACATCATTTCAACTTCCGTACCAACTTACTGAATGTTATTGTTCAGTATATGGCAAGCCAGTAAGTTAACCCACTTGAAAAACAAATGATAGATTAAGTCTTCTATTTAGCGATCTTACCGTTCAACAACAATGCTGTGAATGCATATCTGATCTACTACGAAATGATCGTACAGGTGAATTGTCGCTTGAAGTAGTTCGTTTTGTTACTCGCTTATTAAAAACTCGTTCGTATGCTGTGGAGCCTTGTGTTCTGAATGTTTTTATTTCGTTGAATATTCGTGAAATATCGCCGATTGAAGAGAAGAAAGAAGAGAAATCCTCGAAACCGGATTATCGTGCTCAAAAACTATCACGTCGTGATCGTCGGCAACACAAAGAAAAGCAAGAATTGAATAAAGTGCTCGAAAATAAAACACTAGCTAACCGACAAGAACAACGCTTGAAAATCAATCGACAAATAATCGAATTGATCTTCTTGAACTATTTCCGTTTGTTAAAACGCCGGTTAAATTTACGTTTAATGCCTAGCGTCTGTGAAGGCTTAGCTAAGTTTGCAAACTTGATCAATATCGAATACATGGACGATTTAATCACATGTTTCTATGACGAGTTATCCTCGGAACAGACTGGTTTAACAACTCGTGCGAAATTTCATTGCTTAATCACCGTCTTTTCCATATTAAACCGCCAACAAGTTTTAGTTCATATTGATCCTCAACGATTTTATGCTTTATTTTATTCTTTACTTTCACCATGTCCACCTGACCATGATATTGATCTGGTGATTAAATTACTTCAACTAATGTTAGTCGATCGTTATAAACAATTGTCTAAGAATAAATTATTGGCATTTGTTAAACGTTTATTAACAATGACGTTAGAATTACAACTAACGAAGTCAATCAATGCTGTTTTAGTGATGATTAAAGCTTTGCTAACGATATCACCGATGGTAACCGATCAATTATTTGATAACGAATTCTCTGGTTCGGGAATAAAATATTTGATGGACCTCAACGATCCAGAATACTGCAATTCGCAAAACGCGACACTGTACGAACTGGTATTACTAAAAACAAAATCGGATAAGCAAATTCGACAGCAATGTCAAGAAATTCTCAGCGGAAAATTTCAAACGGATACACATGTGCTACGTTCATGTCAGGAGAATGCATTAGCATATCTTCAGTTGACCGAAAAACAACAACAAGACGAAAACTAAAAATCTGCTGATTGTTGTTTGTTAGTTTTTCTTTTGTTTTGTTATAAAGATTTGCTTTGAAAACGAACTTTCAACGGTCGATTTCAATGAAAACAAAACATATCATTCTCGCATTGTTGTCGATGGTTTTATTCTGGCACAAAGTTCTACGTCTATTCTCATATAGCATAGGTGATGTCTGATGTATAGAGTTGTCCATGTATATACGTGTCAACGGCACGACGAACGATACCATTAAAAGGATAAAAGATACTTGATTTGTTATTTCATCTATTTTCTGGAGACGAAATAGTCTTCGAGCTGTTGGCATTGTTCGGTGAGGATGATGATGATGAAGCGAAAGTTCAGATTCTTTTCGTCTCGGTAAGTGAGAAAATGACGTAAACAAAGAGATAGGATTTACTACCAATCAGAAAATTTTTTCGCGTCTTTCTTTCGTGAAATAGACAGAATGACTGACTTGCACATTCGTTTCGTTTGTTTACTTCTATGATCATGTCTACATCTACGAGCAAAAAACCGACTCGAGAATTAAGTTCGATTACGAATCATCTGCTTTTAACTAAAACTCTCAATTCACTCGTGAATGACTCTCAAACATCGACAATAAAGGAAAACATGTCCAAATCAACTGACAATACTGTGAATTTACTAAATATTTGTCATTTGCTTAGTAACAACAATCTAAATCAGTTATCATCAGTTACAGACACTTCTTCTTCGTCTTCTTTTGTTAATCATAATCAGTTCAAGGAAAAACCTGCAACAAAAAGGTAGATGTCAATGAAACTGTACGTGTTTTTCTCTTCTATTTCAATTAGTTCGTCATCGGAGTCAACATCTATGATATATCTATGTCGATTTTATCAGCGAAATCGTTTGATCGAAGTGCCATTTACCAGTGAACAGCAGGGCATTTCACATGATAATTTGAAAAACTTAATCAGTATGGAAAGGATCTCTCTTGCAATTCACCTATTTGTTTTTAGTTCAAGAATTTCATTTGAATCAAATATCGAAAACGAAATTAATCGTTCAAATATGGAATGATCAATACCAAGACTATATCGATATCGAGTCATTCAAGCAAATACCTCCGGAAGGTCGTTTGCAAGTTTTTATGTAAGATGTTCGTCGCTGTCTTTTCTTTGTTCCAGACTTGCGATCTGGTGTCACTTACTTTTCCTGTTTTCTTAATTATTAACTGTTTCCCTCAGACAGAATCTATCTCGAAGCGTTTGTGAGTGTTTAATTAAATCCATTTAAAGCCGACAAATAGTTTGATGTAAACGTAGCATCTAATATCTTGTTCATCGGATAACCTGTCACTCACGTCGTGCATATAGCCTTATTCGTTTGATATAAACAGAGTTGACATGTTTGACAAGCGGTTTAGAAAAGCAGATGCTATTAGTAGAATCTATTTGTGGGATTCCCAAGTGCAAATGAGAAAAAAAACACAAGTTCATTGAAAGTTTGATCATTTAGTGAAAAGGATATCAATTCAACTGAAAATTCAGCGAATTCGAAAAGTCCATCGACACTCATATCCTCTCAAACCATCACAACAACAGCGGTAGCGACTGGACGTTCAACTACACCTAATCCAATTCAAACAACAACGGATGTTGTTTCAACCCCATCCGTGTTCAATCGTTCGACACACATACATGACGAAGTAGATTGCTCACCGCAAGTTAATCATAAGAATGATCACGACTCGTTGAATAAGTAAATCGAACTAATGGAATCTGCCTGACAATCAACGATTGCAATCTTTTAGTTCATCAATCAGTCAACTCTACGATCAGCCATGCCATAATCTCATGTATGATCTCTTACCAAAGCCAACGGATGGTATACCGATTCCGCGTTTTCCACCGCATATCGCGGCTTTTCTGAATGGAAACGGTGATGCGAATCAATTGAATGCTGTTGTCCAAGTTCTCTATCAAGAAATCGTCAAATACGAACTGTAAATCGAGTCCTGTTCTCTTCATTCTCTATTTGCAATTGTTTAGGTATCCAAATGCTGATGAACTTCGTTCGATCGTTAGTCGTCTCGTTGATCGTTACCCTCAGTGCACATCCGTGATTGGTAGTATTGAGCTGTTAGTTCGAAAACTATACTATAAATTCTGCAACGAACGAAAAAAGTATCCTATGGAATTGAAACGTCGTCAGCCAAATAAGAGAAAACGTCTGACACGTGAAGAAGACTTAGGAACGAATATTTCCAATAATCAGACGTTATGTTCGTCAGAAGAACGTCGAGAGAATGATTCGAATCAAGTTTGGTTAGATTATCTCAAACATATGTGGACAGCTTCAACAACGGATGAAAAAGATAATCTTCAACAACAGCAACATTCAGCATCATCGTCGACATCGTCGTCACCTGTCTCTAGCAATGTCGAACAAACGCAAAAGTATCATCCAGTCAATTTATCAATCTCAATGAATAATAATCTTCTGTGCACGGAATAAATGAACATTATTTATTTCAAATGAAAACAAATCTTTTTTTTCTTTCGTGTGAAATTAGTTTCTCTTCTGTATCTAAATTCATTCATTATAATACATTTATACAATTACTTTCTTTCTTAATCGAGTTGAAACTAATCTCATTACCCATTTCTGTCGGTTAATGAAAGCACCTCTCACGTAAACGTCGATCATATTACTAAACCCGTCGAACAGATGAGAAAAACAAGAAGTATCCATACATCATCATCTTCAACTTTCTTCTATGTTTTCGCTTCGACACTTGCACCTGTAAAGTACACACCGTCCTATAAACTAATTGACTCAATTAATAACAAATTTTCATTATAATCACACCTGTCGTTCCTTGCCACGTCGGTGAAGTGAAATATCTATCCTGCAATTCTGCTAAATAACATTGATTTCCGTTTAATTCGCCACTATTCTCATTTCACATGTCTTTTTTCCATAAATTCCACTACACATCAATTATGCGGCAGTTTTTTATGTTATGTGATTTATAACTCAGGTTACCTCCTGTTGTTACACCGGAAACGAATGTCGATTTAGTGTGACAGTTTTCCTAAGCATACTTTTCCTGGCAATTTGGAAATTTTATTTTCATTTCGTCATTTATTTCTTGCTCGGAAACTTTATATCCAATTCTTTTGTGTACGCGAAGATGATCTTCCATAATGTAGATAGATAGTTAAGATTACTTGAGATTTCCTTCTACAATGAAAAGAATAGTCGTGCACAGTGTGCAAAGAATTGAGTTTTGAAATTCTAAACGAAAGATATATGAATAGCGTGTAACAAGAGAATATTATTGTATTATAGATAAACTCAATTATTTTCCCTTTCATGAATATAAGAAATGCATTAATTTTTATGATTTTTTATTTATAGATAAATTTCTTCTGTTCAGTTAATCTGTTACTTCTGTTTTATTTCTTTTTCTTTCTATTTTCTCAGCTCGCTAGTACTGATCAACAGACATCATCCTCTTATCGGCCTAGATTATTGAAATTGATTAGTGAATATCACATTCATCCTACTCATGCCGTTAACAATTTTCTTCTTTTCTCTCTCTCTCTCGTTGTTTCTTTAATATTTTATTTCCCTCATTACTACGAGCTTATATATATTAATCTGTTCTCATAGTGTTTTCTTTTCCAGAAACATAAAGAGCTACTGAACTGTTTAGGACATCTCCTTTTAAGAAAATGAATAATATCAATATCACGACGTACGTTTTCGGTAATACCACACTTCTTCCGACCAGACATCTTGCATATCAATGTCCAGACCAACGTGCTATAACTCGGCCCTTGCTCTTTGTTCATAATTATTCGTTGTTTGTATTTGGTTCGATCTTGAACATTCTGGCGTTCTTTATTCTCATGCAAGGCTCTCTCCGTTGCCACTCCACATTCGCTTATCTGGCTTTTTTGTCTTTGTCAAATGGTTTATCATCATTAGTGCGTTTTATCCGATGGATGTTCTCATATTATTTAAATATTCAAGCCGATCATTATCTCTATACGTGTCGTCTTTCACATTTTTCATTGGATTTTCTGACACATTTTAGTCTTTTAACGTTAGTGTGTGTGAACATCGATCGTGCTCAAACAGTTACACGAAATCGGCCGAATACGAAATTCTCCAGTTCGACATTTCGGCGAGTGTTAATCAAAGAACTGTTGATTGCTGTTGTTTTAAGTGCCTATCATTTCCACTGGCTCGTGAAATTCGGATACGAAGGTAATGTTTAATACACCCTTTTAAATAGTATGACAGTTTCTCTCGCTAAGCTTTCATATTAGTTCTAAGTGCTTTTTCTTCTTCTTTTGTATCTAGTTAATGATGGCAAAACGAAAGAAATCATATGTAACTATGAAAAAAAACGAACATCTCAAATCTATTTCTATTTCCTGTCGGTTCTCTACCGTCGAATTGAACTTTTTGTTTTTTTCTGTTTTCCACTGTTCATCAATATTCTTTGTACGATACTGATCGTTCGTAGTTTACATCTGCGCATGCGCACAGCGAAACGTTTCAATCCATACCGTCGCACTGCTCGTCATTCGAAGCAAAGTCAATTTTTAAAACGAATCCAACACGTATTTTCATGTCTTGTACCACGTACGACCACAAGATCCAATATTTACTCATGTTTTGGCTTTCGAATTCAATGTCGACGTCATACTGAATTACGTCTGAAATTCGCTCGAAAAGAACCGCAATTACTTAGACAGGAAGATGAAAATGATTCTAACGATCGACAGCAATCACTCTCCTTGAACAATGATTTACTTTCAGACATGCCGCAAATAACGACCATGACGGCAACAATATTGAATAAAACCCATCGATCAAGACGTATTCGGGATATTCACTTATCCGCTATGTTGATTGTACTAAATATTCTTTATTTAATTTTTAATTTGCCATTCAATCTCTATCAGAATTTCGTCAGCGACACGCACAAGAACCCCCGCGATGCGTGCGTCGCAGCATTCACTTATCTTTTACTCGATACATTGCAACAAACGTATTTCTCGACAAATTTCTTCTTGTATGTTCTCACCAATCGACGATTTCGAGAAGAATTCACAAATACAATTATTAAATTGTGTACAAGGAAGCAGGAATATCTACTGAGGAAAAGTATGCGACAACGCCGGGCACGAAGTTTAAGTTTAATTCCGTCAACAGCAATTATCACAAACTTCAACGGCGATTATCAAGCAAACGTAGCACAGAATCGCGACAGTATTCGATCGGATATTGAATTAACACAACCGTCGACATTAGAGCAACAAACAATTCTTACGGAGGAGGGGAATAGTACATTTATTTCCAAATTAGTCGCACTTCAGCAACTCTCCGATGAACATGTATGACAATGACATCGTTACGTGTGCTTTCTCTCTCTTTTTGCTTTCCGTGTTTTCAGTTGTGAATATTAAATTTTACGTATATGTTCTTCTTTATCGATAGATAACTATTAAAAGAGAAATTTCGCATGTGACTGGGAGAACATGTTCAATGCTTGTGACGACATCGCAGTTTTGACCTTGTCACATAACATAGAGCAGTCATTGTATTGCATGATAAATTGTATGAAGTATTGTGACATAGAACGGGAGAAAAAGAAGGAGAATGTAAGTGTGCAATTGGCCTTTTGACTTGTACAAAGAGAAGAAGAAAAAAAAGAATGAAAACGTACTCTTGTAAGGTTATAAAAACGATACGATAACAAAAAACGACATGAAAAACACTTTAACAAGAATTATGTGTAGAGCATAAGAACAAGCTTTTCTTTTTTCGATTTTGGTAGTGATTGACTATGGCGGAGAAATCCCGTCTCATCTGGCAAATCTTCCAAGCTATTGAAAACGACGACGATGGACACGGCCTCTGGAATCTACTCGAACAGATCACCACAACAAGTTTCAACCAAGGAGTTGTTTACATGACGTATGCCGGCGAAACGCCGCAATCATCAGCGAAGAAATGTCACCGACATCGACTGTTACAATTATTGGAACTTCATGAAAAATTAACTTATAGTCGTGCACAGTATCAGTCTTAGTAAATATTGCCTAACACGGAGATAAACAGTTCTTCATATTTTGTTTTGCTTTGACATTTAATTAATAAATGGCCATATAATATATAACAGAGAAGCGAGAAGCTTTGTCTGAAAAAAAAACATACATAAAACAGGTCGTGCATCCAGATCATCACGGTTGACGGTTATATGCGCAAGATTTGCTAATTTCTATGACATTCGAAATAGAGAATCATTGTAGGCAGAACGGTTGTCGTTGTACACAAATATTTATAGATAACACATACTTACATGTCAAGTTCGAATAGCACGACATGTCCAAAAGATTGTGGTTCTGACTAGTGTCAAAAGAAACAAAACGTCATAAGAGTACGTCAGAATTATATAATTAGTTAACTAAAATTCTTTTTCGTTTTTTAACGAACACGTTCGTGTTATCTGGTCATTTTTCCGCTTACATAAAACAATGGCATATCGCACGGAGATTTACCTCATTGTAGCACGTAGAAAAGAACAAAGGGGTTACAGTAGACACACGTTGCTAATATAACACGAAATCACCTCATTCTTGTTATCATTTGCAGCAATGCCAATATCATACGGTGCGTATGCAATGATGGATTAACTTATAAATACAAATCATCAAGAAGTCTAAGAATATGCCTGAGTAGAAGATCGCGAAAGAAAACAGAGATCATACGTATGTCTGGTGACTAAATCCGAAAGATTTTCGGTAAAATCAACAAATATCTATAGTATTTACGATATTCTGTGAACTAAATTGTGTAAGCAGGGCAAACTAAAGGGTCTTACTAATGTTGCGGATTGTTTGTTAAAGACGATAAGTCATCAATTATAGTTCGTTTACGAAAGAGAAGTCAAAAGGTGACCCTGGACATCTATGCACTCCGAAGAGAACGAAAAAGCACGATAAGAAAATGTTTACCATATCACTTCAACAAATACAGATATTTTCGCTCGTGAAAGACCAAATAATCAATGGCTGACGAATGTTACTCTTCACCGTTAGATATTCCATCTTCGACTGTACTGATCACCGGTGGATCAAGTGGAATTGGTCTTGGTCTTGCTCGATGTTTTGTTCAAATGAATGCCACTGTCATAATCACTGGTCGTCGTGAACAACAATTAATCGAAGCAGCAAATGAATTGAATCGGCTGGGAAAGAAAAATGTGATTTATCATGTCAACGATGTAGATAATATCAATGAACGACGAGCTCTTTACAAATGGATCGTTGATGAATATCCTCAAACAAATGTTCTGATTAATAATGCAGGCATTCAACAGGCAGTCTCTGTTGCAACCAGTGATAAATTTGCCGAAGACTCGTCTTGGGAGGAGCAAGAAAAGACGATTCGAATCAATCTATCAGCACCGATGCATCTATCCTATTTATTTATTCAACATTTTCGTCAAATGAACGTAACAACCGCCATTGTAAACGTTTCATCAGGTCTGGCGTTCGTACCTTTAGCATCAATATCGATCTATTCGGCAACAAAAGCAGCGCTACATTCGTTTACTATGAGCCTTCGTTATCAAACGATGAAGGAAATGAAGAATATTCAAGTCTACGAAATTATCCCGCCAGCTGTACAAACAAATCTTGGCGGTGGGCAGTCATTTGGTGAACCGCTTGATGAATATTGTCGAGCAACATTTGCAAGTTTACTTCAAGGTCAACATGAAATTGTCTACAAAATATCGGAGACAATGAGAAAATTGATATCGCGTGAACAAGTTGCTGAATTGTTCATGAAAATGAATGATGACTTAATGGCAACAATTCAAGATCCGCCGATTTGCTAAACATATTTAGAAAAAGCTTGTTTTTTACTTTTTTATTTGACGCGAAAATATATATTCGCTAAAATACATGAGAATAACTGCAGCACCCATGCAATGGGCTCGTTTAGTTCTTTTCAAAATTCCCAACAAAACAGAAGCACTTGATCTCAGCTGCATAAGCTTCTACCTTCTATTCATTCCTGTTAACATGTAAAAGCCAATATGAAGACATACAAATAAACCTTTTTACTTCATACAAAGTGCAAACTTGAATATAGCTTCATTAACATTTTTTAAACTCTGTTTGATTACGTCCCATGAATTACACTCGAATGATACCAATGAAACTAAGTTATTTCTACTCGGGGAAAGAGTGAATAGATTTGATAGATTGCTGACAGAACTTGAATGAATGATAAATCTAAATTAGTAGCATTTTTCCTATATTGGTGCCATTATATTTATATGGATGTTGACATATCAAATGACACACGTTGCATGTCACACATTTCTGTAAGAGCCCAGCATCAACTCATTTGATCACGGCATCATCAAGCGAAATGCTGATATACCTACACCTACCAGTTACAGCCCATTCTCCCTACCCGCTTGTCTGTCTCCCCCTGCTTCAATGTGATTATAAACCAACCATCAAACATTGTTTCATTCGTCTGTTCTGCTCTTTCGCAACAACCGCATACAGCTATTTATTCTCACGTTTACCTGAATTGAGAACACGGCCAGACAAAAAAAAGAAGTAGAGCTAATGCTGTGTATGCACTCTCTCAGTCATCCTGTCGACCATTGCTTTCGGGAAGGCATCTAAAAAGGATGATAATCATTGTTCGTTTCTTCGTTCGCTTTTATTCTCCTCTCGTCTATCCCCTCTATTCCTCCGTCCGTCCATACTACACGATGAACGGGCAAACAAACGCATTCGCTTCTAGTGTGTGTGCGCGTGTGTGCGTGTTTGTGCCTACAGTCTTACGAGCGAGCGGACGTGTGTTCTCTTCCTCGGCATACATCCTAGTATAAAATAGTAAAAAGCAGCAGCAATCTAGGAGATCGGCGAACGAAAGAAAGGATAGGGGAAAGAAGGAGAATGCATTCAGTAGGCAACCAGTTATAGTCAATGCAACACAGCAACGACTGTTATCTATTTGACTAGAATTCTGTATACATCTTCGTCGTCAAAACACAACGCATAAACAGACAAGTACAGTTTTCTTCTTGCTACCTTTTTCTTTTTTTCCCTTCTAATAGGATTTTAAATGACTCAGACCGAAATAAACTGCTGATCAGCGAATAATTACAGCGTCAATTAGACGGATAATGATAGAAAAATGAATATTTCCTCATATACTGTTTCATAGGCCTTCGATGAACATGTGATTTGCCAGAATAAGACGGAAGAAAACGACGAAAGAGTGAGAGTAGGAAAGAAAAAAGAGAGAGATCGGTCAAAGCAAAATAGGTGACACGAAGTAGATAGTTACTCGATGTCTTGCATTTGCTTCATCTCAGTGTAAAATGGGTGCGTACACACATATATCGCACAATTATCGATGCGTATCACATCGGATTAAGCACTAGTGAACTTAATCCAAGAGCGTGCTTTTCCTTTCAGTATACACGTCAGTTTTAGCAGCTCTATTGCTTTTCATTATTATCACCCGCATCATCATCATCATCATCATCATCATACGATGTCGACTATGAGTACTTGCTTTTACTCTGCAGGCAGCTGCGATAGTTAAGTCGTGCATATGCCCTCGGTCGTACTCTTTTTTCTAAGAGCAGAGGAGAAGGAGAACAGACGAGAAATTGCCGATGTTGATTTCCGTCGGAGCGAGCTGCAATAACCAACTGTTGGTCGTGCTAGAATACATTGCGAAGCGAACCTTGGCAGACATTCTAACTATGCTCGTTCGTTATGTACGAAGGCAAAAGAAAGAAGAAAAAAAGAGAGAAAAGATTGAATCAACCGCTAAGGTACGTGTTCTGTTGCTTATTTCGAATGACAACAGCAACAATATGCAAGTAAATGTATATTTCAAAAACTAAAGTCATAAAAATGACTACATCATGTGATCCCTATCTGCAAGAAGAGAAAAGCTTTTTCGAAAAAAAAATCATTGTGTATATGTCTGTTTATGCCAGTATGATGCATACATGTCTATCCTTCTATTTTTTTCTCTTCTTCTATATAGCAGACAGTGGAGCATACACACGCGTAATTATCGTATCGAAATGCAGAACGAGAGAGAGAGCGAGAGGAAAGGGGGGAGGCGGTAATCTCGTCCACGGTCAGTTCTATTTTATTTTTAGACAAACTAAACAATAACAACAACGATGACAAGCACTATGTTGCTGGACAGCACTCTTGATACGGATGGCACAGCATTTATTTGTCCTGAATGTAGCTTTAACGGTACAAGTTTACCAGAATTAATTAGTCATCTAAATGAAACACATGGCGAAGGTTTGTTTATATGTTTAGTGAATTGATGGTGTCTGATGTTGTTGTTCCTATTCTCATTTAGAAACCGCGACGAAAAGTGTTTCACCACCGAAAAATCCAGCAGTATTATCGAATGAAAAACGATCAAGACGTAAACCAGCATTTAGCCATCAAGTACATTCTTAAAGATCGAAATTATCGATTTACTGACGAATTTCTTCTTTTCGTAGATTATCTCTCAGCCACAGCACCAGTCAATGCCAGTATTCAAACAGTCTAATGTTGATCCCGGTTTGTTTTCATAGTTTGAAATTTCCATTCAAACGTCTTCCGCTTCCTTTCTAGGCTCCATTCATTTCTGGAATCGGGTTATATCTGCCGATGAGAATGATCGAAAATTTTCAGAGGTTTCATTTTCTAACATCAATGCACTTTCATAAGTGATCAAATTGGCTTCTTTTACATATTTAGTCCACAAAAGTTCGCGATGAAAATGTGACTCACCCGAAGATAAGTCCACAAAGATTAATCGCACCCAAAATAATACACACTCCACCAACAGCAGTAGATACTTCGCCCTCGTTCTGCTCACCATCTTTTCAGCCAATTCAAAAGAACTTCCAGTGTCGCATTTGCCATCTAACTTACAAAGTAATTTCCGCCTATTCAGTTGATATAATATTAAATGCTTGCATTCCGATAGAATTTTCATGATTGCACAGCACATATCCGTCGCAAGCATGAAATTAGTCATGCGCAAGCTGGTCGTTATGTTGGTAAACTCGATACCGATGTTCCATTACCACCTTCAGCAACAGGACATTATAAAATTCGCTTGAAAGTCAAATCTCTACCGCCACAAGCACCAACGACTGCAACTCCAATCGAGAATTTCACGAACGTCTATCAATGTAAATATTGTCCATACACAGCATCTTGGTTGAAAGACGTGTCTCAACATGAAAGACAAAATCATGGAAAATATTCTTCCTTCGTTCACGAAGACACGCCACATAGTAATAAACATAACAATAAAGATTACAATGATTTATCTGCACTTCTAATTGATAATGTTGAACCCTACAATGATACTCTTCCTAATCCCAATGACGAAATTATCATGATAGAAGAAGATATTGATGATGATGAAGAAGATGCGTAAGATCACTCAAACGCGTTCAAATTATATAGATTGCGCTTGTTTTCGTAGGCTTTGGAAGTATCAACAAGAACTCAATAATCTAACTGAATCACCCACAAATCATAATAATAATAATACTACTTACCATCACCAGAACCATCCGAATGCGAGTTTTCTCGCAAAACCTTTCAAAAAATTTCAATGCCCACACTGTGAACACTCGTAAGTTGAATGGAACATTGATTACGATATCAACAATCATTTCGTTTAGATCGCCAAAGTTAGCTAAGCTTAAACTTCATATTGCAACTCATACGAATATAAAGCCATACATGTGTTCGATTTGCGGCTGGCGTGCCAATCTTCGATGGTATATTCAAGTAAGTTAATGCCAATGGAAGAAACGAAGGTCATGTTATTTCTTGTCTAGTGCCATGCAAAGAAACGTCATCCGAATCAGAATTTCGAGGTTTTACAACTATCTAACGAAGAAGCTGAGCAAACAATCAACGCCTATATGCGTGAAAATGGCCTGCAGACGAAAGTCCATAATCGTTTCGATTCTAAACATCACTATCAATGCTCACTGTGTCAATTTCGTTCGAACCATCCACGATTTATCGAACAACATATTGAAACAAACCACAGCCACATGATGGAACAAAATAATAACCATTCCAATTTAACTCCTGTAGATCTCAACTCTCAATATTCGTCAAAGATCGTCTATCCTAACTTTTCCTCGCATCCGAATTTCAATCCAAATCGTTTATATTATTGTTCGTTATGTTATCGTGGTTATCGCTGGCGTTATGACGTCAAACGGCACCACAAGACCATGCATGAGACAGTTGATGACGAAGTAACCAAAGGTCGAAATTTCCATTATCTGGAATATGTTCCACAAATTGATAGTTTGATTACAGCAACGATGTCGAGTATTCACAATCCAATGAAACACGAGAATGAAGTTGAAGATAATGATGATGATTTGAAATTAAGTATTGCTGATGCTCGGACAGTCGATGTGACTGACGAAGAAGCAGCTTTATTGATGATTGAATCAGAGAAATCGGAAACCAACCAAATTGTCATTGATGATCATCCTGAAGATGCAGTGATCGTCTTTGAAGATGACCGAACAGATAAGTCGACATCGGAAATCGCCAGACTATCATCTCGGCCGACCTACAAACCATTTCGTTGTCCATACTGTTTCTATCGAACTAACTGGCGCACGGATTGTATGCGGCACATGCGAGCGCGACATAAGGTTGAACCGAATCAAAATGGATATTATGAAATGTCGTCTGATGAAGCTGAAAGAACTTATGATGAGTACGAACGTACATTTGGTTTCGTTGTGGCAAAGAAAGTTTTAGCACGCTTTACGGACTTTCGTCAACTATCTTGGGAAGATCTGAAGAGATCCATCTGGGAGAAAATCAAAGATAAACCAGATTTCGAACAATGTATTTATGATCGTCTACGGCCAGATGACTATGCTCTAACACCAGTGATTCAAACGCCAGCAATACAACCTATTGTTATTACCATACCAAACAAAATGCCATTAGTGAAACAGAAACGTGTTTTTACCTGTATGGACTGTGCATTTAGTTCACATCGAATTTATGAACTTGAACGACATATTTGTTCAAGAATTCAAAAAGTAATTGTGTTCGTGACTATTGCAGCTGATGAATGAATTTCGTTTTAGTTTCAACAAGAAAAATCTCATGGTCAAGTCGTTATCTCCTTATACGAATGCACCAAGTGTTCATATCGTACAATGAATCTCAATTATGCTAAACAGCATATTTATCTCCATCAATCCAAAGAGAATGAAAAGAAAATGTTCTTCTACTGTTCATTCTGTGGCTATAATCATCGATTACGATCGAAACTTATTGTACATATTGCGAGAACGCATCCGAAACGAAACTCCTCCAATTGTTTAACTACTTGTCGCGTAGGTCATTGCCAAACACAAAACATTTACCTTGTTCTTCTCTGCTCCGTTCTAGTATGAATTTCATGCTGACTTTGCCATCCAACAAACTTTGTTAAAACGTTCGTTTATCGAACAACAATTGCAAATGCCCAAGCTTTTCTACTGTCTTTACTGTCCATACATATCGGCAACAATTCTCGAACATAATCAACATCGCTTGTACCATCAGGATAATTCTATGCATTCGTACAAATGTCAACATTGTTCGTTTGCATCGAGTTCTTCTGTTTATACTGTAAGCTGCACTCTCGAAAATAAATTCTCATTTGAATTGAAATTTTCTTTCTAGAATCAACATATGCTATTGCATAAAAATCCGACGCGAGCAATGTCAACTGATATCGACACGAAATCTTTGAAATATATTCGTAAGGCTCAGCTGTATACCATCCGTTTTCTAGTTTTCATTTGTAGCTGTTTCCACAATCTGCAAAGAAATTCTCGGCAAACCTCGCCGTCTCAATTGCCCATTCTGTAGAACATTCGCATCAAGTTGTTCATCGACAATACTCATTCACATCAAGGTAGAGACGAGTATAATCTGAAACATAGATCCAATCTAATCTATCCTTTGTTTGAATAGAATACTCATTCTTTGAACAGTAAGCAGTTTGATGGTAGTTTGATTATTGGTGCGGAATTAGCAAAAGAAATACTCTGCTTTGAAGTAAGGTCAACAGGAAATCAATGAATTTGAAAGAAATGTTTACTTTTAGAAACAATAATCATTCAATGGAATTGTATGGCATTGCCCTTGAAAAAATTCGAACGTTTTGTTTCTGTGTCAGATGTCTGGTAGTTTGTTTTCCAGTTCAATCGTAATGATCTGTTGAGCTTTATTTATTCTAATTACAAATTTCATTTGTACTTGACTCCACGCGAACATGTCCTCTGCTTGTTTGTTTGTTTTTTTTATAGAAAACCTATCCAATTACTATTGTATTGACTTCTATTACAGATGCATCTGATGAGTTGTGCATAAAGCACACACACACACGCGAAATGTCTATTTGTTTCATTGCAATAGGATGAATCTTGTTGTTGGTTTCTCATTTATTTTTGTTACCCATCTGTACCTACCTATTCGTCGGCCTTCTACATCTTCTTGTCGCATTTGTGTATTTACATCTGTTCTTGCCTTCATGTTTGAATTAATTCCTGAATCAAACGAATAAACATACTTTACAGTGGAAAATTCACGACGCACAAATGAACTGATCTGCCTTTGCACTTAAAATATGTTCAGATTTATTGGCAATAGACGAAAGCTTTCATTCTTTAAAATTTACAATTATCAGGGGGCATGAACATGGTTCGTTGGCGTTCTTGACGTTTTTCTTGTAAACCAGCAAAGAAGGTTGTGACGTCTTGGGCTGTCAATACGCCATCGCCGTTTGCTTTTTCGCGAAGGAAATCACCTAGTGTTTTCTTGAATTCATTGATGCCACGTAGAACTTCGAGCTTTTGGGTGTAGCCGAGATTTTCCAACGAATCAGCAAGAATTTTATCTCCATCGAGATTTTCGCTTTTAGCTAAAGCCTGCTTTTCGTATTCTTGAATCGAATCAGCATCATCGAATATCGGCGTTAATTTCAATTCGTCGTAGAGTTTCTAGAAACGTGCAATTCTATGATTTTCACTTGCAAAGCAATTCGTTGACTCTTACAGAACATTGCTCACACCGACATAAACGTCGTCGCCATCCGTCTCGTAAGAAGATTGTGTGAAACTGATCGTTCTTTTCACTCGATGATAATAAACACGCTGCTTTCAAAAAAAGAATTCAATTGTCAGAAGATGTCCGAAATTTCAAGTCTTACTTGCATTGTTCTCTGCTGGTGGTGTAATCATTCCTCGAATTTCTGGATAGAAGAAGAACATCGGTCAATGTCAAAGAACTCAGTGCTTTTCTCACCATCATAAAAAGCTAAGAATGGATATTCCGTTACACACGCTTGGCAAATCATATCCATTTGATTTGTTTCGTTTTCTTCCATCGGTAATGAAACACCCAGATGCTATGAATGCAATCGTAAGATGAACGAACATCGATGCGCATAAGTCTTACTTGACTGTGGAACCAATCTTCGCAAATAATGCACTGGATCATTTCATCGTCTGACGTCTAAACTAGGACAGTTATCGTGACAAGTCCATCCATCATTCGAAATACAAACTGTTGACTCTTTGTCTGGATACGGACGTTTGCACGTACAATAGATTCCTCGAAAATTGTCATTGTATTTATTCAATGTATTTTCCGGATCTTTATTCTAAAAACTCTCGAAATAGTAACGTGAATATCTCGTCCTCTCTTACAAGATAAAGTTTACAGGGTTGATGACCCGATTTCGTATTTCCACAATCGCATCGGAAAAATCTAATCAAATAATCTTTTCGATCGTAAAAAGCAAACTTCACTCAATCATTACCTTTTCGTATACAGTTCATTCACGTCATGATTCGCATGGCAGTGATATGCACATGCTGCACACATACCAATCGATTGTTCATTCTTACTACATGTCATGCAAGTGAACAATGCTTGACGTCTGACATATCCCTGAGGGATTAAAAATAAGTGACTGGTAGAACTGGTTCATTCGCTGACTTACTTGTGAATATGTACATGTATCGACATCACAATTACCATACAGTGCTCGTTCACGATCTAGTTCTTCTTCTTCATCTTCGATTTGCTCGAGTAATTCACTACAAGTAACAGTTGGTTCTTCATCATTTGTTGCAGGAGGCTCTGACGACATTTTTCGATATATATTTCTCTAGAACTTACAATTTCGAACGAAATGATCTCTTATATGCACTGACAGAAAACAAAAAAAAGAAAAATAAAGCATTGTATTGGTTCTTTGTTTGACTGATCGTTTGATTAGAACTAATTAATTCGTTCTCTTTTATTACAAAAGATTGTAGTAGATTTCAATCGAAACAATGATCTTTGCTAAGTATCATCAATGAACATCTGTCTGCACTGGGTGTCGCATATCGACATCTAGGAAACACATGCCCTTCAGCTTTTCCATTTTTCTTCTCATGGCAATTCGATTGCATCATCTCCATCATCATCGAACGACTTTCTGATTGCTGAAAAGTCTTCTTTACATTTCTCTCAGATGTTTGATACGAAAGAACATCTTTGAACAAAAGAAGAAGGATCGAATGACAAACCTTCCTTCTTTTTCTCATTGAACAAAGGTCACCTCGTCGCGGATATCATTCGCACTCTTATGAAAGAAATCTTACTGAACATACGTTTGCCATAATCACGTCTTTGGTCATCCGATCCGGGAAGAAGTAATTCGAGATTAGAGAACAAAGAAAGAAAAAAAGTCGATGACGAAAAAAAAAAAGATCAGCTCATTTTGATCAGTTCATTCGATGCGATAATCATTATGAACCATCATCGATTAGTTCAGAATCTTGGTCTGATTTTCATTCTGACGTATCCCATATCGTCAATAGCAGCGGAATGTAGTGAACATTCAAGTCAAGATGATATTCCCTTTGGTGATAGAGTAAATCAAGCGCCGATTATTCTGCTTGGAACATCTTTGAATAAAAATATCGATTCTCATATTCCAAATTTATTCAATGTGACATTTCTTGTTCAATGCATTCTGAAAGGTCGACCGACTCAACGTGTCATCTACATTGTGCAAGCTGGTGAGTATCATGACGTAGGTGCAACGATTAGACTGCATTATCACTTTCAGGTTCACTTCTGGGCCGACGTTCATGTCAAAGATTAGATGTTAATCGAGAATATCTTGTCTTCCTCGAGCCATTTTTCGATGGAACATATCGACCAGTTGATCTAGAAGAGATTCTATATACCAATCAAGTGAATATGTTACTTTCAAAAACGTGTGGTCTATCACGAACTTATCCGTTTACTGAATCCAATGATAGTGAAGCACTTCTAACTAACAAATGTCCACCAGCCGTCTCGATAAATTGTCCAACAGGTTCGGCATAGTTTCAATCTTTTCTCTGGCATTCTTCTAAACTCTCTACTTTCAGAACCACCAAAATCGACCGTGAAAACTGCAACAGTAACAAGTGTTCTACCATCAACAACTTCGACAGCTAATGCTGATAAGTTGACGAAAACTCCACTCGACATGGAAGCTATATCACTGCTCCTAGCTGAACATCCATATGAAAATCTGAGTTTTGCTCTTCTACAAAATCAAAATCATAAGTCACTCTTCTCAGATGATGAAACACGAAAAAATCATGGCCACCGCATGTCATCAATGCTTTTTCTTATTTTTATTCAACTAATTTTCGGTAGTATTCTACATTGATTCTTGTAGATTTTCTTCTTTTGCGATTTTCACCTCTTTTTTCTGGTTTATACATAAAAAATAATCTTCTCAACGTACGAAATGAATGCAATAAAGCTAAGATATTCAAACATCTGTTAGAATAAACAAGAGAATAATCGAACAAGTTATTTCTAAGGTGAAAAGTGTATCGATCGTGCAACAGGCTTCCTCGTGTTGATAATCAAACTTTCTTTTCCAAAATTTCTTGTTTGTATATGCGTCATTGTCAGCAGACGATATGATCATTTACACCTTTCCTGTTGTAATGTTGATCCACTACTTCAGATATACGAACGATAGAAAAACAAACAAGGCAATAGCGTTTCTGTCATATCGTCCATGTTGTGCACGAAAAGAAAAAAACGTATCGGACGTGCATTCTTCGTTCGTTCATTGTTAATATATAAACGCAAATAGACAATTCATTTCAATTCTGTCCAACGATACGTCAGCTTCGTGCAAAATGTGCAAGATCATCCCAACAATTCTTCTAATTGCTGTTGCAATTTGGAATGCAAATGCAATCTTTCACACAGATTGTTCGCGCGATGATGTCACGTTCGAAACCAAACTCGTCAACTCATCTTTTGTTGTGTATGGAAAACCAACTGCGAAGACGTTATACAACGATAGTGACTCCATGTTCTACGGCGCATTTCGCGTCGACTGTATACTTAAAGGAGAACCCATTGACAACATTATTCACATCATGAAAGCGGGTAAGTTCAACGTGATTTTCTCGATGGATAGTTCCATATCTGTCTGCTTTTCGTCAAGGTCATGTTAAAGGTAAAAAATACTGTCAAGATTTATCGGTTGGCCGTGATTATGTCATCGCTTTTCTTGAACGCGATCCCTTCCAAATGAACGAGACAAATACGTTTATTCCCACGGATTTTGCTGATATGCCTGTCGAAGGCAATGCAACATACGAATTACTAGCTGACACGTGCACTTTGAAACGAATTCTTCCAATTGGATTGAAAGCTTCGGTGGATGATGTGTGTCCAAAAGTTTCTACAAATAGCAAATGCGTACCAAAAATAATCGTGGACGCGACAACTGTTCACACAGGTACAGGTGCAATCATCATTCCAGGCCAAATTCACAATGTAACTGATGGTATTCGAAGTAAATCCGGCTCAGCGCAAGTCGATGTTGATGGTAATGCGGCTATGCGTACGAGAAACATCAACATTCTTCTTATCTTCATGGCTATTTGGGTTCGATTGTATTAATCTCTCAGACAATAGAAAATAGACGATTATTTTTTGTTGATAAATAATGAAAATTTTTCTTCTCTTATATCGTTGATAATAGATATTCTACTTATGTTAATATTTCTCGAAAATATATCCCAATAAATATGAAGTATAGAAACTCAAGATAGACGGTGGGATTCTTCCCATTTCTACACTTTTCAACGAATGCTCTATTGCGACACCTGTGTGATTCGAGACTCGTAATTTGGCTACTCCAATAATACATGTTGACTCGAAAGATAACTAATCGACTGAAATTCAATAGTGAATAACATTGAGCGAAAGAAAAGAGAATAGAACACCGAGCGGCTTGCTATTTGTGTAGTAAGATATTTTTCTGACGCATGAAGAATACAAAGTCGAAATTTATCTAACGTACAGGTAAACCTCGTGATTGACGAGTATTTTGTTCCTTTTATCAACTCGATAATACCAAAACAGAAAAATATGCATCTAGAAACAAATGAATTACCGGGTCAAACGCAAGTCGGCACTCGGGATCTAACATGTCCAATATGCATGAGTAAGACGAAGTTTACTCGCGAAATTTTATTTGTTAGATTCGTCGTACATAGGCATTGCTGGTGATCCTCGAGTGACATCATGTTGTCATCGTGTATTTTGTGCGAAGGATGCAGATCCCACTCAATATCACAATGGCTGTCCATTATGCCGTGAGAAAGATTTTCACTTTGAGACATCTCCTAAACACAAAGAGTTACTCGAACAACTGACTATCAAATGTGTTTGCACAGAACATATCGCTCTTGATGATTATGAAAATCATTTGAGTCGATGTTTGAACACACGATTTACTTGTCCACATACAGCTTGTCGTGAGAAAGTAAATAACACAGTGTATTTCATTACGTAAAGATGATTTTTTTGTCATTCGAATAGAACAGTCCAACCGAATACAATTCACAAGAACTGATCAGTCACTTGGCTCGATATCATTGTGACGAAGTTCCTGTACTTGGCACAACTTATGTCAAGAAATCGTTAGTCGAAGTGTATAGAAAAGCATCGAATAAATATGATGACCTGGTGAAAACTTTATATACTGTGATTTACCCTAAAATGATTAGCGTACAGTTGAAAAATCTATCGTCAAATCAGCAAAATGCACCTATTTTCAAATGTCAACAAGGACACGTACTGATTGAGGCTGATTACACTCAACGCAAACGCCGCAATGGTGCAGCTTACACTTCAAATGGTTTTAGCTGTGATGTCTGTCGTCAAGTTTTCACCAGTGGTCCGTCATGGCATTGTTCATGTACAAATGGTGGCTATGATAAGTGTGTTGGCTGTGTCGTTTTCGATTTATATACTATTGACGATCCCATTTTGAAATTGGCAAGCACTGATAGAGTGGAACAACAGGAGCGTGCACGACAACGAAATCTTCAACAGAGTGCACGTGTTTCAAGAGAATTATCTCAGCTGTTAACCGAGCATGTCAGTGATGATGACACCGATGACGATGACGATGATCAAGTCAATTATGAGCTGTTTGGATCGAGATTGGCTCGTCCATCGTTTCTCACTCGACAACAGGGAACCGAATCAGGAAATCATCAGACTAATCGTCAAGAAAAATAGATGAGCATTTGAATTCAGTACATCTCTGTAGAGTTCTGTATATAATTTTTATGCTAATATATACTACATATTTATTACATGAACAGTTGTCTATACCGTTTATAAAATACGTTCCAACTTTTGAGGAAAGTTACAACTGATCATTTGATTAATGTCTAGCGTGTATAAATAGCTTGAATAAATGACAGGATACGAATGTATCTTATTTGAATAGTTTGGCTAAATCTTCACTCGCTGATTTGATTGTGGGATATTTAAATACATAGCCTGATTGTAATGTTGCACGTGGGATAACTCGTTGACCTTCAGTGACAACTACTGCACGTTCGTGACCAAGTAGAGTATTCATAAGAAAGGCAGGCGTAGGGAATATAGCTAGACGGCGTGGACTAAACGAATGAGCGAATGTTTGAGAAAATTGCTTGTTAGTGATCACGTCCGGTGCACAAGCATTTAAAATACCGTGTACATGACTATTTTGAATAGCGTGAATAATCAATAAACAAACATCATCGACGTGAATCCATGGAAAAGGCTGTTGACCGCTTCCAATGGGTCCTAAGAAAAATCTTGAAAATAGATAGATAGATACAACTTTGTAGTAGATTTACCTCCTAAGGAGAAGAAGAATGGCCAGTACATCGATCGAATGACTCCGCCTGTTGATCCTAGTACTGCTCCTATGTTCGTAAAGTGTTAGATGATCATCCGAAATTGAAAATGGACATACCAGCGCGTAGGATAGCTCTTCGGACATTGAATTTTGTTTCAATTGGTTCTGAAGCTTGCTCCCAATCTCTAGATAGTCTTGAAAGAAAATCAAAATCACCACCCTCGGATGTTTCTGTATATTCTCGCACTGGATCCGGCTTATAGTATCCTTGTGAAAGATCATGATAGCAATCGAATCATCTTGGAAAGAAAACTTACCAACGCCCGACATTGACACGTAAACTTCTGGTTTGTCTTCTTTCAAATCTCGAACAAAATCAACAAATGCTTTTGTTGTGCCAATTCGACTTTGAATCACTTCATTCTTGTATTCATCTGTCCATCGTTGGAAACTAATCAAGGGCGCACCAGCTAAATTAACGATGGCTTTGATTGGTTTGACCGTTGAACTGAGATTTCCATTTCGAATTTCGTCCTAAAACAGATCGAATCAATAAAAATCACCTTCCCATTATCGACTATCAAAAATTCAATTCGATGTACCCATGTTAATGTGTTTCCTTTTCCATCGGTTTTCCTGGATACAATCCAAATACTTTGAAAACCTTTTTCTCTTAACAATTGTACCAATCGTTGTCCAATGAAACCTTTTCCTCCGCCTGAAATTCAGACCATCAAACTTCCTTTCCGTTTTTTCTTTATATCTTCTTACCGATGATCACACTCATCTAAAACAATAATTCGCTCGACATTGTTCATTCGCTTATTATTGGAATTCGAAACGAGAGAGAAAACTAAGACGAATCTGTTGTCTGAAAACGGAATGTTAATTTCACATTTTTATAAAAACCATTTGTTATTGTCTGTATTATAAAAAAAAGAATCCTACGAACAGAAAAAGTCAGTCTGAAGAAGAATAAATGACAAGAAAACATGCATAATCAAAGGCAGAATAAATATATATATACGTGTTGAGAACAACAGAGAGCAAAGAGAAGCAAATTTATTTATAGCACTGTTCAGGAAATGCGTTTAATTCCATTTCTTCGCTCATTGAATTCGTATTGAGTACATAACTGAGTTTGATTCGCATGCGAAGTTTTTCTCGGTTCGGATTCGACACTTTCATCTCTTGACGGAGTTCGCCAGCTTTATTAGCTGGAATAGTTGTACTATTTGCAGGATATAGTTCGATGTGAAATGTCTAAACATATGAACATGGAAGATTTGTGATAGAATGAAGTGCAGTTTTGCTACTTTAGGCACCGCAGCTTTGAAAACGAAGTTTGTGATATTATACGGAGTCGAATTAGTGGCTGTTGAAGTGATGGTTAACGTTGTATCTTGCCGTTCAAAAGTAAATGTAAGACTCAAGCCGTTCTTATCGAGAGCAATCATAGCTGGAATAGCTAAAGGAAATAACGCAGAGAGAAAAGGGTTAAGAGGTGTAAACATGAGAAATCGGTTACTGTTATGATTGTCACCATCCAAGTCGAATAGGTTACCATTAGTTTGAATAGGATCATTCAATATGTCGAATATATTAGCCTTACGGAGAAATCACTGATATAAACGATCCTACGAGTATGCTGACTTACCTCTGTGCCAGGTACATCATCAGATGTTTCAATAAGCGATGGTTGTTCCATCGAACCGTCGACTGGTTCTGCTTGTTCTCCATTATTTGTTTGATTATTGATTAGTATCGGCATGCGCTCGACAATATTCGCCCTAGGAGAATATTATGACAACCGGGTCTTTATCAATGATTGTCGGTCTTTCGAAATACCTAATGTCATTATGTGCTGTGAACAATGATGCATATTCGACAGCACGTGTTTGCAGTTCTAAATTCATATTGCATCCATAGTGTGCCATCACAGATTGTATTCGACTAGAAAATGAAGAATCGTGATGACGATGATGATGATGATGAAAGACAAAATGATTACTTTGTATAGTTTGGAAATCGTGTGCTCAGTTTCATCAAAGCATTGATTGCATATTCACGCGTAATAACTGTGCTTATCGACCAGTTTAATATGTGTTCTAAAGTACGTATGACTTTCTCTTCACTAATCTATAAATCGAATAAACGAGAAGAATTTCCTCCACATGTGACCTGTGCGAAATTACTTGGAAATTATCTTCATTTTCTGGCTTTTTATATTGTCCACTAACAAAAATATCACCGAATTCACCTACAACACTATTTATAAATGGGCCGATTCCATATGTTTTCACTCACCTAAAGTCCATGATGCAACTTGAACGAGTGGCTGTTGAGTTATGTCATTTTCAATCGTTTTATATAATTGATGCGCTGCATAACCATGAAGTTCAGGTGTTAACGATATGATACTAATTAAACTTGATACAATATCATCACGCACACTATTGCCGGCCTAAATGGAGAAGAAAAGATTTAGTTTTTGGTTGGAGAACATCAATCGGTGGTCTACCGTGGTCAAAACTTTAATCATTTGATCGACATGCCATCGTCGTGACGGTGCAAAACTAAATCAAAATTCTTTGTTAGGAAAACTCAATACAACCGCCGCTTCTTTTACCGGTCCATAGCTAAAAACATATTCGATGTACAATCCGCTTTAAATTCTGTTTCACATATTGCTAAGAACTCCAACATTTCACTGATCATCGTTCGTATATTGTTCGAATTAATCAAAGCAAAACATAACTCCATTGCTCGCCTAAAACTCAACTACAAATCAAATCCTCCATCTTTCCTTTTCCTTCTTACCGTTTGATCGAAACGTCTGCATCTTTCAAACACTCAACAATCGTTGCTCGATGTCTTTGCACAGCATTTTGGTCTGCATGAACAACACGTAATAAAGTATTCAATGCCACATAACGAATGTTCTTGTCAGTGTTCAAAAGAAAGCGACCCAGAATATTCACAGCTAAAACCTATTGAACACGAATACACACATGAATGCTCAAGCGACGAATTCGTACTCGGAGACCCGATTCAGATTTGATATCCATAATTGTCAAAACAGTTTCATAGAGAATTGCATTGCCAACATTTTTGCTATTTTCTGTGTTCGTTGCAACCTGAGCAAGAATATCATTCATCGTATCACTTGCTTCAGTATCATTTCGACCTAATACACGCAGTAAGCGTAGTAAATGAACCTAAACTAAACTCTGCAAGAGACATTTCATTCAATAGGGGATTTTCTACTTGTAAAAATGGATCACTGATTCCCGAAACATCATGTTCAGGACTGTATCCTGACATAATTAAATTTTTCAGGATACGAACAAGATTTGGTACTAATTTGCGAAAGACATGTAATGCTTGAGTATTTTGCTGGCACACTTCTGTGACGAGAGCTGTCGCCGTGAGAAGTACACCTAAAAAATGTTGATCAATAATTCAATCCTATAAATCTGAAGTGCGCTTTATGGTGCAAACCATGGTTTTTCTCCGATAGTAAACTTCGAATCGTATTCTGAAAGATATCAAATTGCTCCGGAACTTTTCGAATGATGCGAACAGCACATAGCACCGCCTAGAATCACTTCGACATGGAAATGGACGAGAAAAATTCGTCATCAAATACTTTTTTCTTCAGATATACATTGGATGATTTCATCAACCGTTCAACTTCATCGCCCAAGTCTCGACTCATCTCGGGCGAACAAATAGCACCCAATGCACATAATGCTAAACCGGTTATGTATTGATTCGAATGATTTAAATCACTAAAACCCAAGAAAAGACAACATTAATATTTGCGCTTAATCATCCTTCATGTTTAACAACAAATATGACTCATACAATTATGAGTGCGCTTCGATATAGATCATCATATGTGATAACGTATATTCGAGCTTCGAAAATAACTATTTCTATGATAAATTCGAAAAGCAATTACTTTTTCAGTGAATTGGTAATCATCACATGAATATCTTGTCGTTCGTCCAGTAATAACATGGCTCCTAGATAGCCAATTCGTTTATCGGTAAACCGCGGCGATGCGATCAGCTTCAAACACTCCAACTACACAACAAAAAGTAAAGAGATTTTGCAAATGAAAGGCATCAGCTTGTCTATACTTGTCCGAAATGTGCTGGGTAGCCAAGTAGTGACACGTAGAGTAGTTTAGCGACATTTCGACATCGCCACGTATTGTCTTCGTCCCGAAATGAATCTCGTATATAGGCACATTCTTTCTGCACGACAGCACGTTCTTCGGCTGCTGTTTTCGCTGAACGAATTTGCCGAATTAGATCGCGAAGTCGAACTGGATTCGACTAAAATCAATTACGAAGAATAGATAGACGTCAGAGAAGTTCATTGTTAGTTACCAGTGATGATAAGTCGGGAAATTTCATAGTTTAGACTGATTCAAATTGAAATTATTAAATATAACTCAAAAATAAGAATAAAAATATATAATATGTCGCACTCTATGACTCACACAGTATCTTGGTTTGCCATTTTGTTGCTCGCTGAACTTAACCTCATAAATCATAGAGGTCGCTTTTTAATCTTGTTGTTCTTTGTTTTTGATAAATGAAATATCAAATTTCCTTCTTTTTCGTTTTTGCATTTGCATGAGAATTTTCCATAGGAAATTTTCTTGAAAACTATGAATTTTAATTGGTTAATGACGATCAGAATCTATAATGTATCTGTCTGTTCGATTAATCAATAGATAAATATAATCATTGATTAGAACAAAATGGATGATGAACAAGCAACAACTTCAACATCTGATACAACAAATAAAACCGCTTTAGAAGTAGATTTACGAACTAAAAAAGCGTACCAATTCAAAACAAGTGTTCTCGAACGTTTACGTGAACAACGAAATTCACGAGAATTTTGTGATCTAGTTCTTTGTGCAGAAAATGAAAAATTCAATGTACATAAGTAAGAACGCTCATCTCATTCTCAATAGGAACACCTTTCACGAATGACGTATTCTAGATGTGTACTCGTTGCTAGTTCAGATTATTTCGAGGCAATGATTAGTCGGAGTGGAATGCAAGAAGCCACGGCTGGTAAGAAGCTAAACGCTGTTTTCTCGTTATGTTCGTTTGTGTTTAACTAGATACAATTGAATTGAAGGATATTACAGCAAATGGACTACGAGCAGTACTAGATTTCATTTACACTGGTGAATTATCTTTAAGTATAGAAAATATCGGTAGGTTTGTTTGACGAGGAATCCCTCGAAATGTTTACGAACGAGAAAGTTTTCAAGGTTTTCAAAGAAAACAGAAATCATTTCGATGAGCTCCATTGAAAACTAGTTGATATTTTTTAATCACAATTATCGATGATTGATGGACGTTAATATCACACTTGTCTATCACTTAATGAACCGTAGATAAAATGATAGGTCTTCGTGTCCTTTTTGACTAATGAAACCGGCAAAGATACAATTGATTTTTCGTTCTGATTTAGCTGAAGTTCTTCGTGCGGTCACACATCTACAAGTGCATCATGCAATAAAACTTTGTGAAGATTTTCTCATTGAAGAAACAACAGTGGAAAATTGCATCGATGTTCTCAGCTTAGCTGATTTATTCTCAATACCTGTTTTAGAAAAGGTTTGTTCGACAAAAAGAAAGAGTTGTTCTGGCATATTGATCGTTTGTTTCATTAGATTAACAAATTCGTCTTACGAAATTTTTCGAAAGTCGCACTCAACGAAGGTTTCAAACGAGTTACATACGAACAGATACTCTACTTAATTCGTTCGAACGAATTTCGTCTTTATCCCGAAATTAAAGTCTTCGATATGTGCGTCGAATGGCTGAAATTCGATGAAGAACATCGAATGCTGTATGCCAGCTCATTAATGGAACATGTACGTTTTCAAACAATGAAACCCGAAGAATTTCATGATTTAGTCATGTCACATGACTTCATGAAAACTGATCCGGAGTGTATTCGTTATGCTTTCGAAGCGTACGCTTATTTTGCATTACCAAACCGACAATATTGTTCAACTTCGCCACGAAGTAAAATACGCAATGAAGCCAGTCTTGTCTGTGTCAATGAGTCGATGTACATATTGAATAAACACGATGATGTTTGGGAATATATGTGTAATTCGTTAGCAACATGGCGAACTTTATCGCAGAAGTTTGTCGTTGTCAACAATTTTCTCTACGCATGCGGTGGCTATTCGGAAAATAATCGAGAAACAACCAATGCATGCTATCGATTCGACCCGCGAACAGGTCTCTGGTCGGAAATCGCTCGACTCTGTGAAAAAAGACAATTTTTCTCATTAGCTGGGTAAGTCAAACAATTTCTTAAATGAATATCTAATGAGTACGATGAAGAGTTTATTAGTAATCATGCTTTCAAACACTTCCATAGAGAGATGAAAAAGAAAAAGCATATCAGCGTAAAAGGTGTTTCCAGATTTGACGGATGCGCATCATTTCTCTTCAATGATTTCTAAAGACATTCACGCACGCATTGATATTCTATGAATGAATAGCGTTAATTACGTGTTTTCTTTGTTTGATTTAGTTCTAATGAATGTTTAGTGGCTGTCGGTGGGTAAGTTTGTACAGAACTGTTGTTGTTCATGAGACCATCGTTTGATGATGTAGTGTTTACGGTGACAAAGGCAACTTTTATGCAACACATCCATGTTCAACAGCTATTGAAGTATACAATATTGAAAAAGACCAATGGAGAACTTTAGCATGCGCATATTTACCCATTCTGAAGTGGCCTGGAGCGTGTGTCGCAGAAAATTTTGCTTTTGTCATCGGCGGAAAGCATACGGACGGTAAAGAATACACACAGCATGACAAGAGTCTCAATTAATTCTTTTCTTCTAGGACTCAATCATCGTCTTTCAGAAAATTCTTACATGGTTGACTTAGAATCAGGTCAAGTGACAATTTGTGCAGCCCCATTAACTGTACGGTTTAACCCAACTGTATTTTATCAGAACAAACGTCTGATTTTATTTGGTGGTGAAGATGACAAATACCGTCTCGCACCTTGCATTGAAATGTACGATTTAGCAACGAACCAATGGACAGAAATCGCGACAATACCTGTTTCGCATTCATATCAATGTATATCAAGTTCGTCTATCATGGGAGATAAAATACATTATCTCTTGGAAGAACATGATGGTCCGTCAAGTGAATCCTATATTCTCAAGTCATCCTACTTCGATATCGAGAAACGAACGTTTGAACGAAGTGTTCAATTACCGCATCCATCAACATTGGCAAGTAAATGGTGTTCACTGGTCTTTCCTCAACAATTTCTTGATGGATGTCAAACATTTGACAATCATGAATCGCACAATCATCACCATCATCATCATCACCATCCACATTATCATCATTATCCGTTGGATGATGCACCTCGACATAGTCTAGGTGAAACATCTAGTGGGGGTGATGTGTCATCGAGTGGTACGAATAGTGCCAGCAACAGTCCAATGATCTATCAGCGACATCGGTATTATCCAGAACATCATCATCGTACTTGCTCAAATTAGATAAAAAGAATTCATCTGGCTTTTTTTTTCGCGTAGATCTTTCTCTCGATTTTAGTTGACTCGCTTTCTGTGTACATACTTGTATATATAAATATATCTGTTTGTCATTATTTTTAATGAGAAGAAAAGCAAAACTAAATGATCGTCTTGTAATTTTATTGTTTCAGATCATAGGAAGCTTTACCGAACATGTTACGCGAGGTAACCGATCCAATGATGAGTTTGTAAAGACTTTAGATTGGCAAATCTTCTTCTTCTTCTAGCCGTCAGATATGGAGCAAGAAGATACGTTGGGTGATCAAAATTCGTCCGCATCGATGTCAACAAATGATGATCTGAAAGAATTATGCCTTCTGTTGGACGAAGAAAGACATAAAATGCATCAATTGGCAGAACAATGGAAACATTTTGGAACAAGCACGATATTCAAACTTGAATCTCAAATAGTTGATTATCAAGAAAAGCTAAGTGATCTTGAAGAGCGGCAAATCTTGTTACTGAATGAGAATGAAGCTCTGAAAAGTCTCATTGACCAAATGGCAATAACCAATCATCATCTGACGTCATCAAATGTAAAGAAGAGTTTGCGGAAAAAAATATGTATATATTTGATAAATTTTTAGAAAAAATCTCAACAGACAGTCGCGACACAAACATACTGCGAAAAACCTGAACCTCGAGCTGAGGATCCATTGCAACAACAAATTTCTCTTCAAAACATGTTCGATGCTATAAAAGTAAAACGAGAAACATTAATCGATTCATTATTCCTGTCTTTCATTGCATCTCTAGACTGCTGAAGTTTATGAATCTATTGGAAACATAACGGGTAATGATGCATCTGAAAAACTCGTCCTGAAAGAGTTCTGTAACGTAAGTCAAGTCTGTTACCTTGTCGATCGACAAAACTACAATTCTCTTTCGTTTTCAGCTCATTTGGAAATATCTCGAAGAACGTTCGAAACCAAAAAGTAGTTGTTTAATATAATTCATCGATTAGCGCTTTTGTTTCTCTTCCTCTGTAGTCAGATAGCACATGAATTACATTTTGTCATTTACTTGTTTGAGTTAATATTAATAATGATAATAATAAATAAAACCAATTCAATAGAAAACGAGATGCCAAGGATTTGATGGGTTCGGAACGAACTTGTTGTGAAACGGTGGTTGTCATAGTAACAGTAATGACAATTTCTGTAGGTAATTGTTCAATAGATTCAACATCATCGTCTTCAATGTAATCGTCATCGTCAACATCGAGAAATTCGCTTGTTTTTCGTAAAGTATTCTTCAGGTCATATTCGGCTTGTTCTGATAATGGATTGTTATGGTACGAAGGAAGAATTATCGATGGAAAGTACACACGAATTGTTGCATTGATTTCACAGTGAATGAAGCTTTGAAAAGAGAAAAAAAAGGGAGAGAGAGACTTTCTTTATAATCCTCATCATCAAACGATATACTTGAGAAAAAATAACAGTTTCCAGAGAGAAATAATTAGCCAAAGCTGCATTATGTTACGTTGGAAGATAGTTCATCATTGTTGAGGTAAACAACTGGTTAGCAGTGATATTTTACTATGAAGAAAAAACATGTCTAAGTGGTTATTCATTCGAAAAAAGATTCTCAGATGTAGAAGAAGAGGAATGCAGCAGACGATGTGTCAATTAGAAGAAACGACAAAATTTTTCTCTCTTGCGCACTCTCTCTCTCTCTCTCTCTCTCTCCTTTTCTATATTTAGTCACTTGATGCACAGACTACGGAAAAATAAGTCAGAAATTGCCCAAGTTCACGCGTATTTAGTCATCATTTTGTTTCGTACCTTAGGGGTTCTGTCATTAAACTCTTCATAATACATACCCGATTCATTTATTGTCATACTAGTTTGTTGTAAAGCACCTGCTTTTCCCATTCATGCTTTCTTTCATTTCCGCTTGTCTCTAATGATACAAAAATGAGACAAGCGGAACATTGAGAGAAAAAAGTGACCAGATCCATCTTCATCAGTCATATGTTGATGAACGAGACAAAATGCACGATCAAACCTTTGAAAATCTAATCGCAAACGTTAAGTACAGTCGAACGGGACATGATGACAAAGAGTATGAATAAATATAAGCTAATTGGTTTTCCTAGGGATTCTTTAGTCTCGTGATTGTGACGTCGACAGCTTTATATTTGAAAGACTTATTATAGTTAAGAAGAAAACGGATTTCATTCGCATCTGTCACTCAGCTTTTTCTCTTCTCCTGTTGAGAAGAGCAGCTAATAGTTGATGTTCATCTTTTTCACCATGGAAACCAAACTTCGGGCGACAAGAACAAAGATATCGTTGATAAACACGCAATGATAATCACAAAGAGAATTAAAGATACTTTTTTCATAGTACAAAGATCATCTTACTATCCAATAAAACATTATTTCAATAATAATTATATAAGAAAATAAATATACAAGTCGAATACAATAAACAAAAGGATCTGTTTTCGCCCACGTTTGCCTGTTCAGCAGCTAATAACATTAATGGACGTTTTGGGCTAATTGCTGCATTATCATCGGAAGTTGTTGATGTGTCCGAGTCGTTATCGATACTTCCATTTTGCTTATTAAAATAACGCTCATCAACCTTGGCTGTAAACAAATCACGCAAGTACTGTATCGAGACTCGAATTCCACATTCAACGGTAAAAGTGCCGTCCTTTAACTGTAAAAATGTTTCAGCTCGAACACGATTTAGTTTCGATGAGTTAATATGAACCATATGTAGGATATTCGGAACGCTAAGAAATACTCATCCTGAGTGCGTATTGATTCGATAATGGATCTACTGGTAAAGTGTGTTTCACAACTCTCAAGAAATCGTAATTTTTTAATGTTAAAATGTCAGTTGAAAGAACGGATATATCAATCCACAGTTTATTTGTCGATGCAACCGCCATTATAAATTCCAGACACGACTGTTGTTATATGATCTATGTGATGTAAATATATGAAAATGATTCTTTCTTCTTGCTAAAAATTTGGTCGTCGAACGTGTACTGACGAGGACTAGCAAAAACAATTAATCCTGGGATCTTTATGATTTCTCTGGTGACTCAAAGATACAAGATAACACAATATCGATTCGTGCTTGATCTCATGTATCCGGATGGCTATACGGGTACAAAATTCAACGAATATCAATGAAGTTTTGCGATTCAAATGTGCACATCATGATGGGTTGCTCGTTTTTAAATAAAATAGAAACATTTAGAAAATCCTACAACCGCAGTACACATTGAAAAGAAAAGATGATTGGATTGTTCATGTATTATTGATTGAATCTTTCTCAGATGGGACATACATTCCTGCACCTGTTGGAACATTTGCTGGATTGGATATTGCGTACGGGTTGGCAACAGTATAATCGGGTATCAGCGCTGCTTGATCATCAGCTCGTCGACCGAAAAATTGACGGTATAAACTTTGCCACACACCGTTGTAAATACCCATACCTACATGAATGAATATTGTCGATTTCGCATCGTTGCAGCAGAATTCTGCACTTACCGATAACTAAAAGAACGAAACCGACGATTTGTAACGGGTAAAATTTTTGCCAGCTCAGTGCTAGTGACACTGCCCAGATGATCAACGTTCGACCACTGTCGAGCACCATTCGCGTGGTTGATGACAATTCTTTGGTGACGGATATACCAGCGAAATTGAAAAATGCAATTGAGAGTACGTTTCCTAAAAACAAACACAAGCTATCAAATGCGACAGCAAAAAGCCATAGGATTATTTGTCGTCGTACCAACTGTTGCTATGATGATTATGTAATTATGGCCCATTTGACAGAATGCTTCCGGGACATCTTCAAGTCGATGCTCTGGACCGCTATTTGAGGTGGACAGATGGATGAAATGGAACTAATGGCAGACAAGAGCTAATAATAACTAACTACAATCGAATACATACTGGGATTATAACAAGACTGAGAGTAAGGAAACCAAAGATGCCTTCCCAACCAACAGCTTGTAACGGTGGAATGTTGTATTTTCCAATGTATCGCTCCTCGTAGACAACCTACAATGAAACTTAACAAACAGATTCATAACTTCGTTACTGATCGTACTTGACCACTAGTAAACAACATTGCCAAGAGAATAAGAAGAATTCCAGCAACCTTTTCGCCACTGCTATGATTACCCTCTGGTGTTTTGTCAAATAACAGATCGGATACACCAACAACAACTAAACCACTGACAACAGTACCAATGCCTAACCACTGAATGCCGTTGAGTCTCTTCTTTAGAAATAATATACTAAAAAATCATATAATACATAAGTTTCCAATCAAATGAACGATCTTTCGATTACCTCATAAGAGCCGTGAAAACCATGACTGAACCTCTCAACATTTGAAAAGAACTTGCAGTAGTTAGATTCAATGCAAAATAAGATAAACATGTCGAGAGCATATCAAAGATGGATGCTATCCAAAATATCAATGGATTAAATACTTGTTCACCATCGACTAGACGAATATCTTTCTTGATGTTGATAGGCCATAAACGCACAAGTGTCGATGATGCATCACCCTTATATGTCATTTGTTCAATACGATACCGAGCAGTAGAGTACCAAATGAATTTGAAAGCTAACAGACATAAGAATTCACCGATGAACATACCGACCGCCTGGAACGAGAATCAGTTAATCGATATGAAAGTTTCAACGACGATTTACCTGAAGAAACGGATGCTCAAATGTAACATTCTGACCCGTTCCATCGCAAAACTCAGATGTTTGTCTAGAAAAAATAGCGATCAGTGTTCAATATGGAAAAATTGATAACTTGTTCAATTACCGATCAGCCCATTTCGTTGATAACGTATTGATCGTACCAGTTACTAACATCAAACCGGCAAGAAACAGTTGGTACGGTGTAAAACCCATGATGATCTTAAACTATAAGCAAAAACGAAAAAAAAGTGAAAATGTCAGTATCAACAAGATCCGCCTGAATGTAACTGAAGAAGAAGAAGACGAATATTCGTTTTTCTCTTGCATATTTGATATCTTTATCTAATCATTTCACCTCGTCACCTTCACGTCGGTGAAGATAATTACATATGAAAATGTCTTTGGACTTTTGTATCATGTACAGAAATGCTTCACACCCTCGACTTGACGTGTGTGAATAACAAACCTCAGCGAGCATTGTTTTGAAAAGTCTAAGAACATTTTTTTAGTTACGCTCGATCGTTTCGAATTTAGGAAGAACTGTTCGGTCTTTTGCTTGTCGTGTCATATTTATTTCGTTCTCGAAATTAGTAACAATGATTCAGCAAAGTGTCTCTTTCAAGTGTTATTATTCAAGATATGGGAAGAGCAGTTTCGTTGAGTTATTATTGTTGCTCTTCTTGCGGAATTTCTGGTTTCGATAGGCGCTCTACAATTCTCTTGAGTTTTTGTTTTCGTTTGACTAGATCAATATCGGGAAAATGTTGATTGACAGTTTGTAAAATCTTTTGATTGCGTCGTTTCAAATCTCGTTCTTGCTGTTCTTGCTGAGCTTTGTGCAGTCTGTCACGTAATCGCTGTCGATGAATGACATCATTCAAATTCCTGAATAAAAAAGACACATTTTAAATTTATCCAGAGAGACATGAAGTTTCATATCTTACTTTAATGTTAGAGGCTTGACCAATTGGTCCGAAGTGCGTTCTTCACGCACTTCCGTCTTTTTCTTGTCGATTTTCTAGAAATTTCAGGAGAAGCTAATTTTCGGCTAAAACGACATATTTTGTTACCGTAAAATTGAGCGACTGTGCTTCATTCTGAGCTTGTACTTTTCTTTTGTTGTAAAGCAAACGGAAATAATCCATTGGACGCCAACGTCGTTCGTCAATATGCTGAATGACTTTTCGCACTGAATCCGCCTTTGTTACTAAACATAGATTCCAATACACCTTGCCTGAGCATCGCATAGATTACTCACCTGTTTGTCGACCAATTATGTCATGTACTGGTACTTCATAATCATATTTCACAGTGAAATTTCGACGAGAAGCGATCCTCTCTGCGAGTCGAAGCGTTTCAGAAAATACGGCAACGCCCTGAATATCACATGTGTGAAATCATTCCAAATCAAACTTGTCCTCTTACAGATATATCCAGAGTTGAAAGAGCACTTTGCGTATTGTTCAAACATTGAATAATATGTTGGACACCATGGGTTGTTAGTGGATTGAATGATAACTATATGATCAGAGAAATACGCGTGTTTTCTCGATGAATTTTCGCTTACATTCAATGAATCTAACGTAGAATTTTTCTGTAAACCTTCGCCAATCAATTTTGCACATGTCCAATTGATATTACAATTACTGATGTCCAAGCGTCGTAGAACTTTATTGACTGCTAATACTCGACGAAGTGCGACACTACCATCGTAACTTAAATTACTCCATGATATGTCGAAGTCGACAATCGTTCGATTAGCCTTCAAAGGAAAATCTCAGTTTTTTCTTTATTCAACTACTAATAATTACTTCAAATCCACGGAATAATGCAATCGCCGCGAAACTGCGTATGAGATTCCAACCGATATTCAAATATGTCAATGTATCATTCTCCGCTAAAATGTCACACTATCAAATACTCTAACGAATGAAACTATACGAATACTTAATGCGTTGCCGATAAAAATGCACGCCATTTCTTCAAATTCATTTCCAGTTAAGTTGATTTCTGTCAATGTAGGATGTCGACATAGATCACCGATGCACCGCCCATATGAATCTCGTATGCCGCATTCCGCTAATGATAAACAACTCAATAGCGACAAATTATTTATCCGATCTATCAAGAGTTCAAACGATTCTTTCGACAGTTTATTACAAGATAAGTCCTAATGAGAATCAAACACGGATTTTCCAGAGAGTGTTCTTCTCAAAACTTACCAGTAAAGTAAGTCGATTACATTTTGCCAACCCTTGACAAAGAACATTGATCGAACGTGATGTTAAACCAGCAGAACTTAATGTTAAATTTTGAAGATTAATCTCTATTGCTGTCGACAATGCCCGAATGTCATTAAACGATAATGACCGGTTCATAATCGTTATGTCATCATAAGACAGAAGAGTCCGCAACTGCCAGTCAATTGTTGTATCCAGTAATTGGCAACTATTCTCATACGTCTGGACGCGTCCTATTGAAAATAAAAGCTTGATCTGACGTTCGAAAAATAACGTTTGAAGTACCTTTACTCGGCAAAGTTTTACTAGGAATAGGCAGAAGAGTGACGTTATTCGAGTCAGATTCTCGACGAGATCGATATGGGAAACTCGTTTGACCAAATGTTTGCTGATAACGATTGCTTCGATGTGCAGCAAGTTTGTCATTGAATGACAAGCGTGGAAATTCACATTCTTTCTTCTCATCTTGACATAAATCAGTGCCTTTGAAATGATGACCAAAAAAGTTTCTAATTACCTGTTTCTTCGTCATCTAAGTCCGTATCGTACTCTTCCATGCCTTTGAATAGTTGATTTCTGAATGCGGACATTGATGAACTAGGAACGATTGTGATCGAGATTTTATTGACAGCCGAAAAAGATTTTTTAATCGATTAGAAAAAGAGAAAAAAAAAGAAGAAAAAGAAAAAGAAATTCTCTCTCGTTTTCCGACAAGATGATTATTAACAACAAAGACCTTTCTTTTCTTTTTCGTTTCATATATATTTTTCTTGTTTTTCATTCAAAAAGAACGTACAAACAAAAGACAAGCGTATGCATTAGGATATATATATGTGTATAGTCTCTGTTAATCTTGCATGTCTTCTGGAATTTCATGTGGATTGAGAATACCTAAACGAAAAGACTCGTTGTCGCTGACATTACCGAGGATAAATGCGACTTACCGGGAACACTCATTTGTATTTTACGTTTTTCTTCTGCTGCACGTTTCAATGTTTGTTCACGGTCTTCAAGATAAAGATCAGCTGTATCATTGCCAGTGGCCTCACGTATTTGAACAAGGAAATCACGTAAATGTTCTTTAAAACCAGCTATATCTTGGTCTAAGGTCACGAAACCTTCGATAATAACTTTGATTTGATTATCTTGTAAATGTGGGAAAGCTGTTTTTAAAAGATTAGCCATAAATTGCTGAACATAGAGCAAGTTTTGCGCTGGATCCTGAACTTCAGCTGCCAATGGAACTTTAATTAAACCTTGTTCAACAATAACGAATAGATTCGCCAAGATTTGAGAATGAGCCGTTAAACCTAAACAAAGATCGAACAAATCAACGTTTCTTTTTCGTTTCCGAACCATTTCCTACCCGATGTGTGCGAACATTCAGCTACGACAGCAAAGATGTGTTGCATGGTTTCCAGATAGTAAACTTGATAAAACGTTTGTGCTGCCTGTGGGTCGCATGTTTGAAACTTTCGTAACATAATCTGTAAGATTTCCAGACCCAATTCTGATATTGTTCGCANTTAAACCTAAACAAAGATCGAACAAATCAACGTTTCTTTTTCGTTTCCGAACCATTTCCTACCCGATGTGTGCGAACATTCAGCTACGACAGCAAAGATGTGTTGCATGGTTTCCAGATAGTAAACTTGATAAAACGTTTGTGCTGCCTGTGGGTCGCATGTTTGAAACTTTCGTAACATAATCTGTAAGATTTCCAGACCCAATTCTGATATTGTTCGCATAGTATGCTTCAATGCCCACATGATCGAATCGTAAACAAGTTTGAATTGTGTGGGATTCAAAGCCAACAGTGCTAAAAAAGAAACAGAAGATGAAAATAAGTGCGAATTTGACAAAGTGAACAACATACCTGGAAAGCAAACGTTAGTCACTGCTTGTAGAAGTAAATAGAAGTTCTTTCGATGATCGGGATAGTCTTCGAAATTCCTGTCGATCATATGAAGTGTATGCTCGAATGTTAAATCGAATATTTCAGGTATACGAGGTGTTAGTCGATCTTCGATTTTAGTGATTAGCGTTGCTAACATATTCAACACTTCGGATTCTCGAGCTTCAGCATGACAATCTCGGTAATCAACTAAGACGAATGTGTATAATGGTGTTAAGAATTGATCAAGAATTTGTTGAACATTTGTCGCTTTAGAAAAATAACTTCCAAGTAAAACTAATGTATCTTCTTTAACAGCCATCATGGCTTTAATTAAACGCTGTTTGACCACCATGGGACCATTCATGCGTATAGCCTGATTGATATTTTCCGATGTTACTTTGTAGATGTGTAACATATCCTGATAGATTTTTGTTAATTGATGAACATAAGGTGCACCCAAGGCTTTTGAAGCGCGAATGTTTGTTTTGAGAATATTTAAAATATTACTAACAACTTCAGGATCCTTTAAGCAATCCACTGATTTTTTCGCTTCAGATATAATCGTAGTCCAAACATCATTTGGCAACTGCATGTACTTTTCGATTAATTTCGTTTGTTGAACATTATCAATACTAGCTGCAATCATATTACCCACTGCTTCATAGAACGTATGAACTTGGTGTGGTTCCAAATGACAGATAATACCGTTAATATTTGTTAAAATTTCATCAACAAATGCTTGAGATTCACCTAATTGAATTGTAACAAAATGTCGACGACATTTTTGGGCGATTTTAATGAAGGTATCACAAGCCATGTCTTGTACACCTTCATGTGTTTCTACAAGAGAGAACAGAATTGGGAAAGTCGAAGTGAATGTCAGTCGACGTACCGTGCATGAATTCGAAGAGTTTATTAACTACTGTTTTAAGAAATTTCCAATGTGCGCGAAGAAATCGAGGATATTGACCAACAACGTACATAATATTCGATGCAATGATAGCCTTGTTATCTTTACCACGTTTTTGTTCGCAGAGACCAAGCAATTCCTAGCAGCGGAAACAGGACTATAGAACAAAATCAAACGAACAAATATTGACTTACTTTGATAACAGTAACAAGAAAGCGTTTTTCATCATCTTCTACCATAGCCCCTGAGATGGAACCAATGGCCCAACAAAGCTAAAATACAAGCAATTCGATTAATAATCTCTTCGAATACATTTTAAAATAAATTACGGTGTTTAGATTTTTCCATGACCATTCTGTACCGTTGACTTGATTCGCTAATTTTTCAGTCATAATCGATTCTGTATCGACATAGTCCAAGTGAGTCAAGTAAACTAAAGGAAAGCGAACTTTGAGAACCTATAATAAGAGAATCGGAATCTTTTACCAAGTGTTTCACGCATATTTTTGTAAAGATTGATCGCATCAGTATCTTTCATAAATTCTCGCACAACTTCACCACGTTCATTTTCGACGACAAGTACTTCTTCTGGTCGTGCCATACGTGAAATCATAATTCGTCGAACCTTTTCAAAAAGAACATCATCATTTCATCCAACACAAGTCAATCCTTACCTTCGATAACATAACGTTATAAAATTGGCGTCGTGTTGGTGCACTATTCGAGTTGCTCGATCGTAAGTACGAGGGTGCTGCTTGTTGATATGGTACTTCACGATAGAGTTCAGCGCTTAGAATGTTCCAATATTCCAAACAGATTTTGAAGATTTCAATTTCTTCGACTTCTGATGTCAAGACAAGATATTGAAGTGCTTCCATCAATGTGTCTTTCAAATCGGGTGTACGCTCGATTAAAATGCCATGTTCTTTTAAAAAGTTTGACAGAAATAAAGCTAAATTTTGAATGAACTTTTGATCATCATCCTTCGCGGTACGATAGGCGGATTTTAAATCAATTGATAATGGCATAACCTAGAAACATATGAAACGGAGTTGGCTTTACCTTAGCTCGATCTCTTACTGTTTTCAATTGAGTCATTGTTCGACGAAAGAAATCAATGAACTTATCTTCGTATTGGGCAACTTGAATGCTTGCTGAAAAGTAACAACATCAATAGCTCTTTCTCTCATCGCACGTTGACCATTCACTTACCAATTTCAGTTAAACAACGAAGTGTCACATTGCGAAACATTGGTACCGTAAAAAAAGTTTCAATTAATGTATTGACCATGTTTGTTTCGAAAATATAACCAAGCGGGATCCAACTGAGAAAACGTAAGAGTGTTTCCAATGTAACCAAAAGCAAAGGTGGATGCCGTGATTTTTCCTAGACGACAATAACAAGGCGGATTATTGGATGGGAAAATATTGTAAAAGTCGGTTTACTCACCACAACATATTCGCAAAGTTGGAAAATTTTGGTAAATTCATTACACATGGTGTCTTTTAAATGCTTGGCCTTGGCTTGTGTCATTTGACCTGATGAAAAATCAAAGACTTCTTCACTAGAAGTATTCAAAGCAGACTATTTAGCATAATCGCCAATGCGTCGAACGAAAATACCTGAGAAGTTTTAAAATTTCTAAATTATTCTGACACATTGATTCACTTGTTTTACTTGCTTCCACGATATCGCTAATAAAATTTGGCCACTTGTTCGGCCATTCATGTTTTAGTATCTAAACAAGCGGAAGAACTGGTTTAAGACAAAAAATCGTGAGTGTCTTCGTTCGATTTACTTGTACAAGAATGACGTTCAATTTATTCAAGTAAACCTTTTCACGTTCCATCAATTCCGGATTTTGTGAATGTGATATAACCAAACTTACAATGTACTGTTTGATAGCTACAAGAAAAAGAAGCGGATCTTATCCTAACTTTCATCCGAATGCGAAATTCCCACCTTCACATTGTTCCTTTGGTAAAGCTTTCCAGCGTGTTTTGATTGTTTTCTCGAGAATGTGCAAAGCGTAGTATTTTGTTTCTTGACATTTGGAAAATTCTAAGATCCTGTCAACCTTAGTCCACGCATCGGGATGGTCACGTAGCGTATTTAAAACTTCGTTTGCTTGTCGTTGCTATAGAACGAGGAATAGTTTTGATATATTTTGGAACGAAATTTTACTTACGGCGTCGCCTTGTCCGCGATACATTGTGTTGACAACAGCATCGAGAACATTAACGTCGAATGGTGATTGAGGATCGAAATTTAACAAAGTTTGTGCTTGTTCAAGTAATTGCATGGTAAGAGAGTAACTGGAGTCAAATGTCGAATGTCGTTGAAAGGAAAGAAATGAATGTGTCCTGGTCTTGGTCTCGTCGTGTGTTGGAAACCGTCCAGAGTCAAGAAAGTAGTCCAAAGTCAGTTAGTAGGAAACGTCGAATGTCGGAGAATGCTCAACTAAACATCTAGAGAGAAAAAGAAAGACAGCAGGCCAGTTTGAATGGACCAACCCATTTATTCGTTTTCAGATGGCAGTAACTGTATCATACGGTTAAATCCACACGTTTCTCGTGTAATTACAGAAAAAAACAGCAAGAAATAAATAAATGACGAAATAGAAGCTTAGTAGTGCTTTTATATGCGCATTAAATATTAACCTTTGAGCTTACCAATCAGGTGGCGCTTATGAGATCCATCAAATACCTACCAACGGTTTTCGAAAGTAGAGTGAAGAGAAGATCTCTATCAGGTCACATGCAGTACTGATCTAATTATCTAATCAAAATCTCTTCTCTCGCTAAACATTTTCTTTCTCAGCTGTAATATGAAATGATGCGCTCTGTTACTTCTCGAAAGAATGATCGTAGGAAAAAAGGTAGAGATCTTTCGTATCCGTCCCAACTAGCTCAGAATGTAAAATATAGCTGATAGGTAAGCTGGAGATATGACATATACTTTACAATTCGACGACGTTGAATCTGTGTTTCATCGAGATGATTATTAGTCTCGAATGTATGCGTTCATAAATTTGAGAACAAAGAACATATCTGGGCTAAACACCTAGTACATGTATCACTTTCTCGAAAGATTCTCAGTGTCCTTTTAATCTCGTCTTTTTTAAATCAGAAATTTCAGCTAAATCTCGTATGACGATACTTTAGAGCATAATTGTTATGAATGATTCTTTGAGTGTTTTATAGCGACATCTATTTATATATTTCTCGAAATCCGTTTTCGTCGATCGACACGAAACAAATCTCGAAAAAAAACTAGTTAGAAGGATTTATTTGGAAAAGTTTATCTGCGCACAATCATGGAAGTAACAATCTAGAAAAGAGGATATCATTCGACAATAATGGTTAATAGGGGTCAGTTATCTATCTCTTACTCAAAAAAAGGTACACAAAAGTATAGTTGTAGTCACGAAGAAACAAATGCTTTTTTTCTAGTAGTTCCTATAAACATTAAAAGTGTCTTCTCGACCTCGTGTAAGTTAGAATGTGAAAATCTCGTCATGAATAATCATATACCTTGCATGTGTGTGGACTCTTCTGCATTTCGATAATCTAGAACTAAATAAATAGTCTTCACTTTTCGGTTTTGTTTTCATCAGGAAAATATCCATTTCAATTATAGATCCATTGCCCTTTTTCGCTTCTATTACTTTGGTTTGCCGTTGTTAACGTTCAAATCTATATGGCGCAACCGAGTCGTGCTCGCGTATACGCCGATTGCAACACGCATCGACCACGGTAAACTACATTTCTCGAAACTGTTCGTTACATTCATCACCTTTTTTCTTTAGCGAATATTACGACTACGAGCTGCATGTTGTAGAATGGGGGTAGGACGAATCATCGATGATTGATTGATCACATTCGATTTCCTTTCTTAGTAATCAAGATGACTATCAAATCGTGCGTAAACTTGGTCGAGGAAAATATAGTGAAGTGTTCGAAGGTATAAACATAACGAATAACGAAAAAGTTGTTATCAAAATTCTCAAAGTAAATAAAGCAAATAAGCGAAGGTTCTTTTCTTTGCATACGCACGAAATCTTTGTGTTCTTTCTTTTCCAGCCCGTTAAGAAGAAGAAAATCAAACGTGAAATAAAAATCCTAGAGAATCTACGTGGTGGACCTAATGTGATTACTTTATTGGACATTGTCAAAGATCCTGTCGTATGTTTCCACTAATTTATGTTTTCTTTTCTTTTCATACGTTTCGTTATTATTTAGTCGAGAACACCTGCACTTATTTTTGAATACGTCAATAATACTGACTTTAAAGTAAGAAGACATGGCATACTCGTTCTCTTACTCATCTGATGCTGCCTTTTCTTCGTTTAGCAACTTTATCCTACACTTTCCGATTATGATATTCGATTCTATATGTATGAATTACTTAAAGTAAGTATTACTCATTTTATCGCACCGTAACCTACGCAGTCATGTGTTCGTCAGGAATTGCCATTGAGAAGAAAGTTGATAACTTGATTATTGCATAAGATGACTGAAAAAGTAAATATTTACTGTGTAACAAGTCAGACTGACGGGTGGTCATGGGCACCGACATAATTATATACTTTGTACTAATGCCAGCATGAGTTTTTTCATCATGCAAATAATCCTATCGAAGTAATTAGATACTTGCCATAGCCCGTCGGTAAATGTCAATAGACGGATGAGGAAAAATGATGTTCAGAGTTACAATTTCCGATATTTTTTTCTTAATAGGGACTTGATTATTGTCATAGTATGGGCATCATGCATCGTGATGTGAAAGTAAGATATTTTGATTATTTTCATGCTTTAAAAAGATAGATTTTGTCGATTTTAGCCTCACAATGTTATGATTGATCATGAAAATCGAAAGGTAAAAAAGAAAGCTTTCGGGTTGATATTTTACTTGATGAATTATCTTTAGTTGCGATTGATCGACTGGGGCTTGGCGGAGTTTTATCATCCAAATCAAGAATATAATGTTCGAGTAGCCTCACGTTATTTCAAAGGGCCAGAATTGCTTGTTGATTATCAATATTACGATTATTCACTCGACATGTGGAGCTTAGGATGTATGTTAGCTAGTATGATATTTCGGAAAGAACCTTTTTTTCATGGTCATGATAATTATGATCAAGTGAGAATTTGCTATTCTTAATGGCAATCAGATTTGCTCTACGTTTTCTTCATAGCTTGTACGAATCGCAAAAGTTCTTGGCACAGATGAACTATATGAATATCTTGAAAAATATCAGATCGAACTAGATCCACGATTTAACGAAATTCTCGGACGGTAAAGGACAATGAATTGATGTTCCTTAACGCCTATCTTCGCTTATTTACAGACATTCACGGAAGCGATGGGAGCGATTTGTTCATTCGGAAAACCAACATCTTGTCAGTCAAGAAGCGTTGGATTTCTTAGATAAACTTCTTCGTTATGACCACAATGATCGTTTAACAGCAAAAGAAGCGATGGATCATCCATATTTCTGTATGACATTTCTATCATTTGTTGACAAAACTCGAACTTATCTTCTCTGTAGATCCTATTGTTCGTGATCAAGGACGCACAACTTCTCAAGCTTTACTTTCGAATAATGGTAAATTCATAATCGAATGCGGTATTTAAAAAAGACTTTTCTCTTCATGATTCTTTTTCAGCTGGTGCCTCTGTATCTTCGACAAATTCTCCGTCGCCGCTAAACGTGAACAGTAGCGTGACGACAACTAATCAGTGAACAAAACTTTCTCCATCATGACTATAATTTCATTCTGCTAGCAAAGGCGATCTTTTTGGATCATGGTCTTTCTCCTTCTTTCTCTCCTCTTCCTTCTTCTTCTTCTTCTTCGTTTTTTTACTTTGTAGCAGTGTGAATGTTTACAGAAAAAAAGACATCGATGCGTCTATGTTGGACCAATGGAATAGGACATTTGCCATATGAAAGCAGAAACTGTTCGTCTATGTTATATATATATTTTTCTTCAACGATCATTCATATGGATCTTCTGTGTTTGTTGTTCTTCTTCTTTTTCTCTAGTTCAAATGTTGCAAACAAAACGTTTTCTTTTCTTTTCTTCTTCTTTGAATACGTACCCAAAAAAAGCACATACACATACCAACTAAACAAGAAATCTCGTGATTGTCTCAATTCTTTGTAGATTTGATTTGAAACCATGTCCGATGATCAAGATCAACGTGAATCACCGCCAGATTTTGGAGGAGATGATAGTTCTAAAGCAGACGATACTCTCTTCGTATCAGCTATATCACCAACAACTGTTGATATACCATTAAGCGGTGGAGAAGATGATGATGAAGATGAAAATCCATTTGGAGCACCACCACCAACACGAGAAAAAACAGCTACAAACACGACCAACAGCGTCGAAGTACCTGTTGAGAACGAGCGAAATTTGCCTGAACCCGAAAAATCAATTGTTGACATTGATGAAGATGAAGATATCTTTGGAGCGAACACACCAGTAGCAGCTGCTACAACTTCATCATCAACACCCGTTCCAAAATCGAAACCAGCTACAGAATCAGCGCCGTCAACGCCCATCAAACAAGAGAGTTCGTTGTTTTCGGTTGATACAAGCAGTTCTTCACCTAAAACACCAGTAGTAAAATCAACACCTTCGTTTGATAGTCAGATTTCATCATCGACGTCAACAACGAAGAATGTACTCAGTGGAACTGTTACAGCAAGTCACACAGTGGAAAAACGCGGCAAAGATAACGACATTGAAATTACTGTTAGTGATCCAACTAAAGTTGGGGATGTAAGTGACGTCTTCGATCTGCTTTATTTAATCGTCTTCTTGCACTTGACTAGGGTATGTCATCGTATATGACTTATCGTATAACAACAAAAACTACACTGCCAATATTTAAGAAATCGGAGTTTTCAGTCAACCGCCGTTTTAGCGATTTTCTCGGTTTACATGCAAAAGTCGTGAATAAACATCTACAGGCAGGCCTTTTTCTTCCATCACCACCTGAAAAAGACACTTTATCAATGGCTAAAGTGAAAATCTCTAATAAAGAAGAAGCTGTTCCAACGGACTTCATCGATCGGCGTCGTGCATTGTTAGAACGTTACTTAAATCGTTTAGTCCAACATCCGAAATTACTTGAAGACACCGACGTGCAAACATTCCTCGAATTTTCCAATGATTTACCGAAATCAACCAATACTCAAGCATTGAGCGGTGCTGGTGTTCTTCGTGCTTTGAACAACATCTCGCATCAAGTTACAAAATTAACAACAAAAACTAGCGAACAAGATCAATGGTTCGAAGAACGACATGGTTTTGTTCTCGAACTACATACACATCTAAAACATCTATACAATCAATTTAATAGTCTTTATTCTCAGCGAAAAGAAGCTGGTCATGCATTAAAACAGTTTTCGATCTCATTAAATCATCTAGCAAACACCGAAGAACACATGTTGTTATCAAGCGCTCTGTCTGAGCTAGCTAATCTCGAGGAAAAACTTGATCAAATCAATAACGATGAAATCTTAAAAGAATATTCAACATTAACTGAATTAATCAAAGAATATGTGTCATTACTGGACATGGTACAACTAGCATTTCACGAACGTATTAAATCCCATCAACAATGGCTGCATGCAGAAGATATGCTGAAGAAGAAACGTGATGCGAAAACGAAACTAGAACAAAGTCCCAAAGGTGCTGACAAACTTCCTCAGGCGGAAATGGAAATCAACGAATGGGAAGGTAAAGTTGTTCGTGGTAAAGAAGATTTTGAACGAATATCATCGACAATCAAGCAGGAAATGGAAGCGTTCGAGGAGATTCGTCTGGATGATTTCAAGAAAGCATTTGATACATATTTACGAAACGTTCTCGAACAACATGAGAAAATCTTGCAAATCTGGGAAGGCTATCTTCCCGAAGCTAATAAAATCAATATTTAAATGCATTTTCAAATCGAATGAACTTTTGTGATTTTTTTTTATGTGCAACGTTTTCTTTTTATATCGTGATGATAATATTCCCGAGTCATATGATAGAGTGATTTTGTTAACGAAATGATTTTTTTATTTTATTTGTTTTTTTTTATACGAAATAACATTTATTCTCGTTGATTCATTCCATTTAATGTGTTATTTAACAATAAACAAAAGTGATGATTTTTTATGTAGATAAACAAACGTTTTTTCTTTGATCAGGGAAGTTTTGATGAATAGGTAGGTAAACGAGTAACTCGTTCGGTCGATTTCGTTGGCAAGGAAGAAGCTCGGGATGGTCTTCTACACTTGTCTAAAATGTTTCAGATTAACCGCTTTCTCCTGTTTCTGTTCATATAAAACAACAGTTGATGAGCCACTATTTCATATTTTTAACCGATAAAAAGGTAAGATGAGTGGCAGAGAATAGACTATCGTTCAATGCTTTTCCTTTAGACAATATGAATCAATCAGTAGAACAAAATCTATCGAATTTAGTTCAAGAATTGACGACGTCTGGCTCGAAGACTTTAAACGAGGAGAAAATTAAAAAATTGAAGCAAATTTGCAAGTAAGTGATCTCGCGCCCAACATCCAATGACAATCATCGATGAAGACAGTCATAGAATATGTGTTTCTACTTTGTAGACAAACTGATGTCAATGTTGAGTACTGTTACCGTTTATTACATGCTCAACTAAATAAAAATCACTCGGAAATTCGCTATTCAACATTTCAAATTATCGACCAACTTTTTAACCGTTCTCACCACTTTCGAACACTTTTACTGGATGATTTCAAATATGTCATTGATAATTGTCTTGGTAAGTCGTCTGCCTCGATGTCTTTTCGTATAGCTCGCGTTTTTGCATTTTAGGACTGGATGTTGATACACAATTACCACCACCGGATTCCACTGCCAAGTTATTACGGCAATTTACCGCCACGTCGATTAAAAAATGGCACGAGAAATTTGGTTCGACTTATAAATTACTGGATGTTGGGTATAATTATCTAAAGAATTGTAAATTTGTCAATTTTGATAATGTCGACGAGCCGATTGGTATAACTGCTCAGTTGGAACGCGAGCGAAATGAAGCCAATCAGATTCGTTTGAATCAAAAACTTCAAAATGCTTCGCGAGAACTAACCGGTTAGTTAGACTGACTATCCATTCAGTAGTCTCTTTTGACAAGATTTAATTTCGTTTAGAAACATCTAGTGAAATTCAATCGTATATCAAACAAGCAGAAAACTGTTTAAATCTTCTTGTTTCGAGCAATGACAATGCATCTATTCCGAATATATTCATGGAATCAGTAGAGGACATTCCAAATGATAACAAGGAAGAGGAAGAACAAGAGGATGATGATGACGATGATGATGATGACGATGGCGATTTCGTGGAAGTTCCACTTGGTCCGACAAGAAACACTGATGAAGAACTTCTGCAAATCCTCGGATTGGGGACTGCTGGCAAAATGAATCTATCGATTGATATCATGGCACGACCAACCTCGTCGGCACGCAATATTCAAACAACAGATGACAATCGCGCCTTGATTGAAAATCTTCAAGATCTATACCGACAATTGGAAGATGTTTATTTACAGAAAATTCAAACATGGATGAATATATTTATTCAAGTGCAACAAAACTCCAACGGACAACAAACTACAGCGGTCATAAAACGAGCAATCGACTTGAAAAATTCCATTCAATCTTGTTTAAAAAGAATTGAAGATTATCGCTTAGCACCAAAACGACCCGTTGTAAAAGACAAACCAGGTCTGTTGTGCACAAATGATCATCTCTAAAAATGAACTCGCTCGATATATTTTAGTGACAGAAACAAAAGTGACCGCTACTACTCAAAGCTCACCCAAAAAGACAGTAAGTGTCCATAGTAGTCGTTTCCGATTTCAATCAGTCGACAATTTCATTGAATACTTTCAGGCACCCTTGCCTACGTTAACTGATGATGAAATCAAGTATTTCTTTCACAATGACACCGAAGCGATCAAACGAAGTTTTAAACAATGTGATGTTCAAAATGTATTCGTACGGCCTTCTGACAGCGATGATATGCCAGACGTAAAGATATGCTTTGTTCATATTTTCTTCTTTGTTAACCATAAATTTCCTATAGACTTTAAACTACTCGCTACTGATGCATAAACGAACGTTTGTTCAAGAATTACCTGAGATTAAATGGAAATGTCGTGCACCGTTGGGGAATAGTAAACTATGCGAGCGTATGGATCGATACAAGTGTCCCTTCCATGGACGAATCATTGCTCGTGACGAACAAGGACGAGCTGCAGATGACAAAATTCGATATCAAGAGGAAGAACAACAGCGAGCAAAAAGACGTGCATTACCTGAATGGCAAGATCCTGAAATGTTAGAAGATATTCGGTTAGCCACTGGTATCGATCTACGAATGGATGCTGCGAATAAGCGAAAGAAGAAGAAAAAGAAGATCGAATCAGGTTTAACGGATCTGAACAAAGAACACGACACTGTACGAAATCGATTAGAAAAGAAGTTATTAAATCCGTATGTCCATAGAACGAACTTTCTCTTCTCATTCTTATCATTTCAATCTCTAGGTCGGCATTGAAGCGCATTGGTGCAGCATTAGATGCTGATGAACGACGCCGCAACGAAGAAAAATTTCATCATCAATTTAATTATGCACTAAATAATTAGGAAGAGTATATGTATGCTTAAAGTTCCTTTGTAAATAAAGAAAAACAAAACGAATTCATTCAGAGAGGTCCGAGCGTATGCACATCGTTGTACCATCCGTTGTCATGCCAACCACCAAATATCCACATTTTCCCATCGCACAAAACAGCACTATGTCCTTCACGTGGTGCAGGAACATTAGGCTTGAGTTTTAATTGTTTCCATTGATTAGCTTGAAGATTAAGAACGAATAGTTCGTTACTTCTTTGTATTCCGACATAACCACCGAACATGTAAAGATTTTGGCCTGCTAAAACGCAGGTATGCCGACCGCGTTTTGCTGGAATAACTCGTGAATCATCACTATATTTTTCTTCGGCCCATTCCGATGTTCGGAAATCAAATGAATGACAGTCATTAAACTTTCCACAGCCTAAGCCACAAACAACATACAAACGATCGTTGTAAACATGAGCGCCGCCATATGAACTTCGCCGTGGTGGCGGACGACGTTGATTCACCATGGTCCATTGATTGGTTTTGAATGAATAGCGATACATATCATTAAACTTGTTATCGCCAATTCCACCGAACAGATACATATAATTTTGATAAATAGCTACCGAATGTGCGCTACGAGCACTGGGTGGATTGGCACACTGCACTTGCTCCCATTCGTTACGATCGAATCGATATCGATACATATCATTTAGTTTACCTGAAGAGTCCCAACCACCGAAAATATACATCATGTCTTGATAGATGCAAGCACTATGTTTACATCGTTTCGAGGGTACTTTAGATTCATCGATCGGTAGAATTTGTGTCCATGTGCATGATTCAAAATCAAATTTAAATAAATCATTAAAGCGAAATTCGCCTAAACCACCAAAGATGTACATGCACTTTCCATAAACGACAGCACTGTGTCCGCTACGGCCTTGTGGTGGAGTATTCATCGTCTCAATTCGAGACCAAGCGAGCTCTTCGCTAGTTGCCATTGTCAGACTTTCGATGAAAGAATTCTCGTGTTGATAAAGCTCCCTTTTATAGCCTGACAACATCCATAGGATAACCCATCATAAATGTATGACGATGTGATTGTGAAAGAACAGAAATGAAAATGGCGCAGCTGATTTTATGAGAGTTAGTCATGCAAATGTTATAGCTTACTTGATGAATAACAACATTTAGCGTAAAAATTTTTTATTCGCAAAACTAATCTAAATTATAATCATTATCAAGGGATTTACTACGCGTATATTGAAATGAGTTATGATTTTCATTAGTAATCAATGACTAAAAATAGAAAAAGAACATAGATAACGTTTCGCGGAAAGAAATTTATCTATTTACCATTCGTTCTGTTCGAGCTGGTGGATTTCGCAGTAGAATCAACAACGGTGCATAACACAAACAAAGGAAGGATATTGTGTAGAGCATTACAGGAAAGCCAAACGCATGAACAACAAATCCACTTAGAGCTGGACCTATTTCAATCAATCGAAATGGAGAAAAGAAACCAACGATAAAATCATTCTTACCAATTGTATAACCGAGACAAAATGCAACATCAGCAATTGCATAAACGCTTCCGTAAACGGATGCATGACGTATATCCACAAGATAGCCCATTGCTGGCATCATCGACGAGTCAACCATGCCGACAGCAAATCCAAGTAAACCATTTGGAATAATTAAACCGTAGATGCTGGTTGCCATAGGTACGCCAATTAGAGCAATGGCGATAAGTATCAGACCGATCATACAACAAAGCCATCTAAAGGTAGAATAGGAAGCTTTCAAACAAGAAAAGAATTTGGAAGCATTACCGGCCGATTTTATGAGCCATTGGACCGAAAAGATTTGTACCGATTAAATAAGAGATTGATGCCGGTAGAAACGCAGCTCCTAGAATGAACTCTTCTCATCTGTCGTGTTATTGTTTTTCGAAAATTCATACGAACCTTGCTGAAATTCAGATGCTTTCATCGTTGACATCATCCAGATAGGTAACGAAGGCTCCATCATCGCGATACCAATGTTGCCGAAAGAGATTGCCCCTAGGAAATCGGTCGATAATGATGTTTTTGTTCGTGAGGATCGATTTCTTTCCTCCACTTACCGGCCACAATAAGTATGTACGGATCTTTAATCAGCGTTTTGAATGAAGGACCTTCAATAGGTTCGCTGGCGACGCCCGGTTTTAAGACCGCCAATTGCAATACTATTTATAGCAGAAATCAATGCAAATCGAACAAGAAAACAAGCTTACGTCCGTCAACTAATCCTAACGTGGCTAAAACCAAGAATGGAGATGCTTTGCCAATATATTCATACATAAATCCGCCGAACGGTGGTCCAACTAATCGAGAAAGCAGCCGGTTGCAAATTTTCGTTGGTAACACATTACTTACTCAACACACCGAGTGCTAAACCACCTAGAGCAGTACCCATGGCCTTTCCTCGTTCAACATCCTCCGGATATCGATCAGCTAACATTCCGAGACCTAACAGAAATCAATAGCGACGAACTCGATAAACTTGACAATTTACCCGATACACTCGAACAAGCAGATCCAACTCCTTGGATAGCTCGAGCAATGAACAGAAGAGTGTAGCTTTTACTCGACGCAAAAACTAACCAGAAAGAAAAAAACAGCGATCAATATCGTGAACTTCATCCTGATCAGTATCTACTTAGAGTTGATACAATCATAATGACAAACCCAACAAACATCGGTACACTGTAGCCAATTCTAAATTAGCAAACAGAGAAAAACTTTGTTTAAAACTTTTCCAATAAGATTTACCGATTCGTTAATGGTCCAACAAACGGATTTGTTAGTAATTGTACAAAAGCTTTTGATGCAAACATGATTCCAACCCATTCATTTTCCTTCGAAAAGAAATTTCACGAAGTGACTCTCTTCTTCGAACTTATCAAACTTTACTTTTTCCAAGATCACGGTTCGTTGTTTATTTTCTGTGTCCGTTTTGTTAATTGCCCAATCGACTGTCCAGTTACAGTAGGTCCGAAGGATAATTCGAAGGTCAACAGGATGTCGAGCGAAATAATCCCGACGTTTCATCAATTCGTTATTCGTACAATTTCTTGCTAAGAATCTGTATGTATCATCTTGACTTTTCACCGTTGATTGATGGAGACGGTAAAGGTAATCAGGTACGATAGGAACTACAACTCAAAACTGAGAACAAATCAAACCAAACGACCGACTTACCAACAGTTGTTAAGAGCATATTGTCCAGGAATAACGCGATGAATACAATTAGTAGAATCAATACACGTGACGAACGCCATTGCAACCAGAAGTCTTTAGCTGCTTGAAAACTTTCATAAAACATCTTTTTCTATTCCACCTAAATGAAACAAAAGAGAAATGCGATTGAAACTCTCATCTGATCGATCTTTCTCAAGCACTAAGGAAATGGCTTAAGCGTGCTGCAAAGAAAACGAACAAAAGGTTTTCAAGTGGGCATCCGATACACATGCCCATCTGTTTTCTCATATGAGTATCGATGAACGTTTTTACCTACAAGTCCAACTCATATATCCGTAAGAGAAAACAATGGCAGAGAAATGTTTTTTAACCGCAAGTTAAAAGTAGCTTTTCTTTTCTCGATGACAATGTACGTTTCGGTAGTAGAAAATAGTAGACAAAATGTTAATGAAAACTAGAGCTTTTTTAATAATAGAAAACAGACGACGTCAAAGAAAGCTAATAATCAAGCTTTTTTTCTCGGGAATCGAACGGTGAGTTCAGATTCTCACACGTAGGAATGGAAACCGTAGTAGAGAACAACGACACATCTGCTGAACATGATTATCATCAGAGAGAGGAAAATGATTGCATGAACGAGAAAGTCTTTTTCTTTCTCTTGTTCTTCATTTCAGTGTCTAAGATAAGAAAAAAGAATGATCGAAATTAGCAAATCACGGCATGTTGAGAAATTTGAGCACTAATATGTCAATCGTATCGCTGATCAGCGCTTTTCGTCAATTAGCATATTACAGACGAAGAGATTAGTCATTTTCAGAGCTGACATTGATGATGTAGATGTCATGCGAGAGACACAACGGAAAATTTGCCTTTTTCTCTTTTGTTTTCCATTAAATATAACCAACAAAAAAGAAAATATTCATGTACACGATAAAGATAAACTCAGAACTATTGTCAGAAGATGAACCAGAACACTTGTACACCCACAGATCACTGTGATGACCAACAATGGAAGCAAATTGTTTTGATTGCTTTTCGACAGTAGTTCATACTCAAGTTTTGCCTGAAACACAATCGAAATGAATCTTCTTGCTCGGAACATCAACTCACCCAATAAGTTGTATATGCTAAACAGATCATATGCAGAATTGAAAGCATATAAAAGCTAGTCAAAACTATCCAATGGCGAGACGTTTTTATCAGAATCTTCCCTAAACTTAACCATAAACCAAGCAATGCAAGACCGATTGCAAAGATAATCAGTTGCTGTTGATTTAAATTTGCTTTGCTTCGAACATTTAACGTCAAGAGAGAAATCTAAAGAAAACCAAAAAGTTGAAGTGTTTTTTCTCATTTTCGAAGTGTTATATACAATTAAGATTGTATCAAGATTTAACAACCAAGACAAAGTTACTTCCCGCGAGCAAATCGTTTCTTTCTGAAACTTCATTTGATATGAATAGACCATAATATTCGTCCATGGTACAAAGAGAATCAATAAAATCAATACAAAACCTAATCGAAGCTAAAAATAGAAAAACAAATGGATTCGATTCTATGAAAATCATATCCTACCGTAATGATAGCGAAATCTCTTTCATTGAATAGAAATCGAATGTAGAAATGTATACCCGTATAAGCAGACAAGAGTAAAATTGTTATTGTTGTTAAAAGAGCATCTGTATGACCTGAGGAAATCCTTTTGTTAACTTTCTTTTGTTCTATTAAACTTACGACAAAATAATGCAGTGGCAATCAAAGAAAAACTAACACAAGCTAAACAAAACAACCCATAGGAGGAAAATTGATTCGATTGAAACCAACCTGAGTGAACGAGAAGTAAAAGACAAAAAGTAAAATCATGATTTTCTTGTTTGAAATTTTGCATGTCTCCCCAGGTAAGAAGAATAACCGGAATCATCGTTAATACCCCAGCGAATGCATAAAACCAACGTTGGAAAAGTAATTTTCTTCTCATGAGAGTTTCTCTCCGATCAACAAACAATTTGTAACTCATACTACACCGAAATGAACCCAAATCTATCACCAAAGTGTTGCGTTCGTAAACACGAAACGTGTTAACGGATTACCGGAATGTTGACTTCTCAAGGCAACTATCTTCATTAATTAGGAAATTCTTGAGTTAAGGAAAAGATTATTGTTTATTTGAAAAATAAGAAGCATAATCAAAGCTATTTGCATCATTAGATGACAAGAAAGGGTTAAAATTTCGAACAGAATCTCTCATCGATCTGATCGTTTGATGTTTGGACAGCTGCATGTTGAGCTTCGACTTCTTCATCATCGTCGTCGTCGATGTATTTTATCGATTTATGTAAACTATCTTGCGTTTCTTCTTCTTCGATGATTTTCGAGAGACCAATGTGTGCTGCGGCCATCGATCGAATGGCTTCTAATGGATTGAAATCCGATCCTGGCTGCGTTAAAGTCGGTGCAGAGTTTGATTTTGTCATCAACAGCTGTGATGTGACTGCTTGAGAACTATTCGAGAATGATAAGACCGTTGAAGTCGATGTATTTGATTCCAGCCCGCTGTCCGATCTCGAGTAAACGCTTCTTTTATACAAACGAAAGCTCTCCTTCATTGATGAGCTGTGATCATTTGATGCAACGGATAGAAGTTCACCAACAATCATGACACCCTCGTTCAATAAATGGCTATTCTTGTATAAATCCTCGCGTGTCGATTCCAAACGATTGAGTAATTCAAAGCGTAGCATCTGAATATCTTGTTTCAATTCTTCGAAGTCACCTTCGCGAATTTCTTCTTGCTCTTCGCGTTGTTTGTGCAAGAGAAACCGTTTGATCATGCGATCCATAACTTTCCGATAAGTTAAAGTTTGATTAACTTCAAACGAACCGTGACGGGGGCGTGTAGTTTTCATGTTTATACTCGCGAGTTGCCCGTTAGACACCGTGGCTAGACTATTCCCATTCACAGCTTCTTTACGATACCCATGTGGTGTACCTCGTCGCATTGTTGATGACATTGTTTGTTCAACTACTGGTTCCTTGTCGAATCCCTTTCTTTTTACTATGCACGAATAACATCGATGAAATAAACGGCCAATGCTTTTTGGCGTCGGAACGATATTGAAAGGCACTGGCAATGTACCACCTAGGAAACAGCTCGATATCGTTTCACTTGACTCGGAAAACAGTCTTACCTTCTTTAATGTATTCCATATACAGTTTACTTCGTGCAAACTTCCATTCAACATCGGCATGCTCTTCGATTGTCTCATACGATTTGGACATCATGGCAATAAGCATGTTCAATAAGACAATGACACTGGCAATATTAAATGCACCGTAGATCATATATCCGATGGTTTCAGTGAAAGGATTGTCATAATATCCTAACTGTACCCCTTCCTTTTCAGCTAAACCAAATAATGACCAAAAGACAGTTTTGAATGTAGCCGACATTCTAATGGCGAACAATCATTTATTCTCTTGTAAACAATGAACGTGCGATTCACTCACGTTCCGAAGAATTCTTCCGCATCGATTTCTTCATGACGATGAATTTCAACTTTCTCTCGCACTCGATCGTTGTAGTACCAAAATAGATTATTCAAACCAAACATAAAACCGCTGAAGATGATTAAAAATATGATAATAAACTTTCCGATATCCTTCGAAAAGAAAACAAGATCAGAATACATATTCAATTTCGGATACATACAGACATCATTCGACCCAAGGAAATCTGCAATGGTCCCAAATGCTGAAATGCCGGTAGAAGAAAGCAAATACGAGAAAAACTTAATATATTGGCAATCGCAAACAATCCTTCAGCAACATTAATCGGATCTAATGAAACCCAATAGTAACGATCTACAAGGCAAATTTCTTTTTCAAATTGTTTTTCATTAAAATCGTTTTTTCTTCGATATTACCAGCATTTAACCAATAGAATGTTTGATAAATGCTTCCTTGTTCCGTGGCATTCAAAGAGCAGATCTGCCAAACATTCTGTACAAACCCATACTGACGTACAACTTTCAAAGCGGTTCCAACCTATAGAAACGTTCTCAATACTTCCGATCTGATTTGACGTATTCTTACTTTTATAATAACATAATATTTCAATGTAAATGAAGATATATATAGAACAGTTGTACATGAATCGACAATATTGTTCCATGAGAGAAGGTAATCTTGCAGACCATCATTATACGCTTGTTTGATCTCACGCCATAGAAAGCCTAAAGACATCTCGATGTATTCATTTCTGGCAAAGATTCGGTTTACCAATGACGAAAACTGAAATGGTTATATCAATCCATGTTGGTTTATCAGCTCGGAATTTCATATCATCAACGGGATAAATTTCACAATTATTGAAATTCATTTTTTCATATCTTGATTGGTTCAGAGCGAGTGAAAGATTAGAAATGTTACTTAGCTTTTCCAGCGGCTTAGATACTTCCTCCGCGAATAGAAAACTTGAGACAATTATCAACACAATAAACATTGCGTATGTGATCGTTTGACCGAGAAATTTGATGTAAGGTTGCCGAAGAAATCGCTGAAACTACATTCGAATCGAAGTTGGAATATTATTGCAAATCAAAATGTTCTCTTACTTTCGCCGTCGAATCTGACCATGATGTTAAAATGTACAGTACACAAGCAAAGGGTAATATGAAGATATATGAAATAATAAGTAAAAGAATGAGCAGCGGATTCAATTTGAATAGATTGCGTAGTTGACTGTGCCAAATTTCGACGAGTTTCTGTTGACAATTCGAATGCGCGACAAACTAAAACGAGCAAAAACCATGTCATTACGAATATTCTATTCTGTCTTACCGGTTTTTCTTTATATTTGATGGCTAAATAGAGTCTTGCTAATAAGACATATTTTTCTTCTGACTCTTTGCCAGTTTTTCCCAAAACACAGTCCAATTCTTGATGTCCACGAACTTTATCCAATAATTTCACCGCATATGCACTCAACTGATCCGCTAGAATCATATATTCATTCTAAAAGCACACTCAAATACTCTCGCACAGTTCTCTTTTGTGCTTTTCTTCTTACTTTAAAGTACTTCTCTTTTCCAGACAAATCTCTCAGTTCTCGGCCGAGTTCGAATGCCGTTAGAATCGGATCAATTGACGCCAAACTAATATAACTCTCACTTGCCAAACCACGATAAGCATTCAAACGTGACTGAGCATGACGTAACGAATCAAATTTAAACCGATTTCGACATTCCTTACATTTACAATGATAGTCATGTGGCTTTGTGATGCGATCACCTTGACTCAATAACAGTTGGACTGGAAACAAAATAAAACTATCATTTAATTTTCATCAAATTTTCTCATTCTACCGAGTTCTGTTCGGTTGTATTGTGCTGCCAAGATCAGCGGTGTTATATCCGGTGCGAATTGTGTATCATCAGACGACGGTGTTTGCCAAAAGGATTCTTCTGCATCAGTAAGTGCTCGTCGATCGTTTAAAATTTTAAACTTCGGATGACGTAAACATGCTTCGGCGATCTGTACATGGCCAAGATAGATCGCGAGGAGGATGGCTTCACGTATTTTTTGTCCATCACAGTGAGTCAAAAGTAAATTAACAACCTAGAAGAAAACGCAGCGCGAGCTTTACTAACTGGAAGATTTTCTCGATTACTTCTAGATGTTCATTTTCAATAGCCAAATGAATTGCTGTCTGACCTAACTGGTTAGTTACATCGATGTTAAATTTATTGTTTTCTTTTAAAATTCGGTGGACTGTACTATAATCACCGTTTTCACATGCCCGAACAAATTGATCGTTGACGTTCAGTTCCTAAAAGGAGAAACGTGCGTTATGTAAGTTTTGCGTTTCGATGCAAATCGTATTCATACTGCTGAAGCTTTCGACGCGCTACTATACATTCGTTTATATAGATTCGCCCGTGGAACTAGGAAATCAGCACGGCCACGCATATTGACTTTTGTTCGATCACTGTGACGCCTGCCTTGGCCATTCAATGGAGTTTGCGTAACATTAGCTGCCATAATCACATACACAATGTCTGAAGGAAAAAAGATTTCGGTATGTGTTCTCTCTAGTGCCGATCAATTTCTATTAGCTCGAGAAGACAATAAACAGATGTCTACTAGCGTATTAATGAGCTGTTATAACAGTGAATGTTAATACGAGATCGAGAGAGAAAAATGCGAGCATTGTTATTATTCTCTTTTTCTCTGTGAATAACCGAAGAAAGCACCTGACTTTTAAGTTGCATGAGATTCTCAATGCTAAATAATCTGCTAGCTTTCCAAGTAAATACTCTAATAAACTTTGCTTTTTTCTAACTAAGCATGAACGCCATGTTTTCCCGTTCATAAATAAATATGTATACCATATGAAACCCACGCATAGTCATGTGAAATCAGGCTAATGCTAATATTATGAATTCGAGATAACCGTCTGTCAACATTATTTTTTATCGCGTTAAAGATCATTCTCGATGAATTATAACGTAGAAAAGGCAAATCTTACACTTTTTATTGAAGAAAAGATTATAACAGATTTTTCTAAGGAATTTGATTCAACACTTTTCATCCGATGGCGATGGAGGTGCTTGAAATTTTTTCAAAACACCTCGTTTACTACTACAACCAGTAATGATTTCAGTTAACTCTTCCTCTTCGTCGGAATCATCTGTCGAAGTTAATGAAATTCTAAATTTCACATCGTACGGAGATCTTTGTTGCGGTGACTGCGATGGCTTGTCTTGCATAATATTTAACTGAATATTTTCACCCGTTGCTTGTTTTTGGGCAACAACTGAGCCGATTGTTTCCAATAGATCAAGTGATGCTTCATGTTTATCGTCATCAACATAGCCGATGATAAAATGAACGCGACTATTATTACGAGGGATTAAATCTGTTACATTTTCCTCCACGTTAGTTGACACTATGATATCCGGCACGCTGGGACGACTGTTTTCCTTTTCGAATGCAGCGTTTTCCATTGCCCTGGCGTCTGGATTTTCGATGTCTTTTGTTTGACTCTGTTGACGATACCGCCGCGAGTTAGTCCGCGATACATGATCATTGGTTTCATCTTCGGATAAGTCCTCGAACTTGACAATTTCCTCATTAATATACAATTTTCGAGCATAAACACGTTGATATCGATCGACTAACACCGATACCAACATACCAATAGTCGCTGCTCCGAATAGCGAACACAAGCACGCAATAACTCTACCTACAGGTGTAATTGGGTAGATATCGCCATATCTAAATGAAAATAGAACATATTAAAGAAAACTTCCGAGTTGAACTAATTGATTTTTACCCAACACTTGTGATAGTTATCACGCCCCAGTATGTTGCCTTTAAGATTGAGTCAAATGCGGCGCCATTCGTGTCAGTTTCAGCAAAATAAGCTGCTGAGCCAAAGAGAAAACTCAACAATGTCAAAATGATGATCATAATGAGAAAATCAGGGATCGATTGTTTAACTGTCGAAGTTAATACACGTAAAGATTTGATATTTCGAAAGACACGGTAAAACTTAAAGATTCGAATGAAACGTATAATACGTATAAGACGTAGCGCAGTATATGTCGTCGTATATGCATCATTACTTTTACCAATCAAATGTACAATAATTGAGACATAATATGGAATTACGGCAAGAATGTCCACCCAATTCATGATATTTTTTATGTAGGTGATCAGCGATGGTGTACTGATGAGACGAAGGATGAGTTCAATAGTAAAAAAGGCGACACAAACAGTCTGAAGATAAAAAAACGGTGTAGAGAAATAACCATCACAATACATAGACGTGCTGCTTGTGTCATTTGTCTCATTCGAATAGATTGGAGTTGTCAAGTATTGTTTTAGTCTTTCACAAGAAGTTGTATCCATATTGGCGTACTGAGGGAGAGTTTCGACGGCCAGACCGATCGTTGATGTGAGAATCATGAATAATGAGAAAATATTGACAAATTTAGCAAGATTAGAGTAGTCAGGATACTCCATTATCGCCCATAAATGCCGTCGAAAGCGGTTTTTTGGTAGACGAATCTTCTTAACTTCTTTGATGTTCTCATCTTTACGCAATTGATCGACTGCTGCCTGACCTAACTGAAAAAACGTCACTTCTTCGAGAAAAATATCAATAGGAACATAATTTGGTCGTCGTAAGCGGCCATGTGATTGATAATAATACAGAATAGCTTCGAAACAAGCGCGATTACGATCGAAAAAGTATTCGTTTCGAATTTTATCGTAAAAATATTTTCGACGTTTGCGATTGCCCAATAGCGTATTAGGATAAAGCTCCAATGTCGATCGATGTGTCTCATATCGATCACCGCACACATTAATAATCACTCGATCTTGAAATGAATTGCTACTAAAACGCTTACGCGAAACATATTCAGAAGAACGGATGTTCAACAAACTTTGAACGTTCACGATATCACTAATAGACAAATAGCCCGTAGAGATCACTCAGTCTCCAAGCAAATTCTAACTTACGAAATATATGCATCTCTGTTTGTAGCGGTTAGAGTCGGCACTTTTACCGAAATTGTCTTTCTTCAAAAGAAAAATGGAAGTTTCAAATCATGAGAATGAATATGTTCTATACTCGAATAGACGGTCTAGCGTTCGTCGTTGATTCGTAGATGGCGGCTCGCGTTCGTTGGGCACCTGCTCAATTGTTTCTGTTCGTTGAGTACTGTGCATTATTACTATCTACATACATATCAATAACTGAATCATTGAATCAAATGAAGAAAAGAGGGAGAAAGAAAAAAAATCGATCATAATATTTTCGATAAACCATTCGATGTCATCCATCAATGCGTCGAAAGAGTGTGCAAAGGCACATGAGTAAAATGTACTATGTTGGGTCTACGTCATATATTATAAACAAAAAATCAGATCGATCACGACGAGGGACATTTGAAAATAAATAAACCAAGATGGGTGCGTTGTTTGTCATAATATTTCCACTGCTCGTACCGAAATTTGATTGTTGGACAAAGATACAGAAAAGCACTTGCCTTTCGGCAATGCTTTTATCGATCAGATAGTGAATATGTTTTCTTGCGAATCTCTTTCTTCGCACGTTCGAATAGTTCGACAATAAAATTTATGCAAAAGCAATCAATAACTAGTAAAATCCTTTATCAGATTTCTACATATCAATTCATTTTCATCGATTGATTGCCTGGTGCGATAAATTACACCTTGATAGTGTGCTTTACTGTTTATTTCCATTCCTCTCTCTTTTCCGCTTTGAATTTTTCGCCGAATTGTGCAAACGAGTGAAGTGAAATGATGAAACAGTTGATCGGTCTCTTCGCGACATCTTTCGCAGCAATATTGGATTGGCGATTGTTACATCGAGCAATGAACAGAAGACGCCACATTTGTCGACTTGCTTTCATGCGTCGATTCTAACGACTATTGGTGTATGATCACAAATATACAAAGACACCGATTGTATCTATTTCCATCCTATTCTAGATCGATGTAATTTCGATCTTTTGTATCCAGTAAATTAAAGAATTCAAACGAATAATTCATGGTTAGTACACGTAGTAGTCACCCGAATGGTGATGCCAATGCAAATGATACTTACAAAGATCGACATATTAAAGTAAACGACCGCAAGTCTGACGAAATCCGTCGTTAATTCACACGTTTTTCGTATTTTAGAAAGTTGTTAATTATGAACAAGAATCATCGAATGATTCCTTTGGAAATTCCAAAGGTCCATCACATTATCATGTACAGCATTGTTCGATGTAAATACTTGTTATGTTTCATCGTTTGATTTTTAGCGTGTTTTGAGAAAACGTACACAAGCGACCTATCAAAATACTTTTGACTACATGGACGATGAGTAATTTTTCAAATTGCTCGATGTTGCCAAATTAAAAAAATCCAATTATTCTTTCAGTGATGAAGAAGAAGAGCCTGTTTCACGACGGCGACGTCGAGATGGTCGTCGAAATGGTTAGTGAAAGAAAGTTTCCTATTCGTTTCATCTGTAACTTGAATTTTAGTTCGAACATTAATTGACACATCCAATAGCGGTTCTCCGACAACCGGTCGACTGGCAAATGGCCTTCGATCCGTAAGACAAAAGCGAATACCTCATTTGTGATTTTAATCAGACATTTGTTTCTTTGTAGTCAAATTTAAGCATGTATGATCGAGTAAAAAATCGCCGTAAATCAATCGATCCTGATATTTACTCGGAAGAACGTGAAGAAAATGATGACCATGAACCATTAGAAGAACCCGCCGATCAAAACAATGAGAATGATAATGAGGCGAAAAAATCAAAAACAAAGGAGCAAACACGTCAGAATGGTGATGGTAATATGACTGAAGAAAATACGATGGATATTCTCAACGAAGAAGAAGAAGGAGAAGAGGAGGAGGAGGAGGAAGAAGAAGAATTAAACAATCGACAAACAGGAAAATATTCGTTACGAGAACGAAAACCTCCGATACAAAAATTTTCTCTCTATGGTAAGCAATCTAAATGATGGGCATAAAAACTGTTATTTTGTTTTATTTATGACACAGAACAACCACGACCACGACGAAAAACAATCTATTATGATGATGACGACGATGAGCGACCATCAGCATCCAGATCACGTCGGTCTCGACAACGAGGGTACGAATTTTTTTGTAACTGAATTTCATGCTCAAACTTTATGCTTAATATTTAGACGACGTATTTCCGCTCATGCTTCAAGTTCATCTACATCTGATTCGTCATCAGATAGCGAAGCCATGGGGCCACTAACGAATGGCGATCTTGACCCCCGTCCACAACGAACTGCACGATTAGCTAAAAGCACGGCATTGAAACGAATGAGGTTCTTACAATTTCGATCCTTGCGGAAAACATTTCAACTTGATCTCTCTTCCATTTAGGTGTTTACCAACAAATCTAGATCTACTCAGTGTCTATACAAGTTCGAAAAAGCCAAGTACACGTGCACCTTCGAATGGTGCTGGTAGTGGCATAGGAGCACTAAATCTTGAATTGAATAGTAAAAGTCGACGAGCCAATAATAATGCTGCTGTTTCATTAGCAGATGCTGAATCAATTGAAATCGATCGAACGGTAGATTCATGATAATTTGCAACTGAATATGTCATTCTGATATGTTTTTTGTTTAGATAACGTTTGACGATATTGGTGGCTTAGATCCAATTATTCGTTCGTTAAAAGAAATGATTGTTCTTCCATTAGTTTACCCGGAATTATTTCAACATTATAAGATTAAACCACCACGTATGACAAAGTTTTTTCCTGCTGAAAATCAGCAAGGAAACTTTCTGTTTTTTCAGGTGGTGTACTCTTCTATGGACCACCGGGTACCGGTAAAACATTAGTCGCTCGTGCTCTTGTCAACGAATGTTCATCACCTGATCGTCGTATTGCGTTTTTCATGCGAAAAGGTGCCGATTGTTTATGTAAATATGTGGGCGAAAGCGAACGACAATTACGTGTGTTATTTGATCAAGCTTACCAGCAACGACCCTCGATTATCTTTTTTGATGAAATTGATGGTTTGGCACCAGTCCGATCAGCTCGCCAAGATCAAATCCATGCTTCAATCGTTTCAACCTTGCTGGCACTCATGGACGGTCTAGATAATCGTGGCGAAGTAGTTGTTATTGGTGCGACAAATCGTCTCGATGCAATTGATCCAGCTCTACGACGACCAGGAAGATTTGATCGAGAATTTCGATTTTCATTACCAACACTCGAAGTAAGACGAGCGTAAACAAAAGAAATCAGTCGTTTTTCATGTACCGATGTTCTGTTTAGGCAAGAAAACAAATCTTAAAAATTCACACTAAAGAGTGGGAGTCGAAACCTCATGCTGGCTTCATAGATGAAATGGCTGTACGCACTGCTAGTAAGAGATTGTTACCTCTGATGTACACTCTAGTCCTTATATTTGACATTCATTAAGGTTTTTGCGGTGCTGACTTGAAAAGTCTCTGTCAAGAAGCATTCCTATCAGCTCTCCGTCGTCGATATCCACAAATTTATGATTCGCGACAAAAATATAAGATCGATCCAAGTTCATTACATTTATCGCGTGGTGATTTCTATACAGCTTTGCATCGTATTGTTCCAGCCTGTAATCGTGGTTGTCAGCATCCAGTTGGTCGACCATTAGATATACATTTGATACCTCTTCTAAGCGAGCAATTGGATAGATGTTTAAATCAATTAAATGAACTTTTCTTCAAACGAACAATCAACAACAGTAATAATAATTCCAACCAAATACCATTTCAAAGCATCAGTGAAGATCTCACATCGACAACCTTGGTGCCGAAAGCAACAGCATGCGGCTTAACAGCGTCGTTCGCGTCAAGTTCACATCGAAGTGCTACATTTACGATGAGAAGTACGCCAGAAAATGGTCTCGGTCGTTTCTTTGCGCCAGCAGTTGTACAACAACTTGATTGCGCCTTTTTCGTTTTCGAACTGGGCTATCTCCACGCTCAAACAGCACGAACACCCGAAGAAGCTTGTGCACAACTCTTCACAGAAGCCCGCCGAAGTGCACCGTCGATTATCTATATTCCAGATATTGAAAATCTTTGGCCGAAACTATCTGAATCAGTGCAGTATATGTTCATATCAAACGTACGAACCCTACCTCCCAATTTGCCTATTCTGATATTAATTGCCTTGGAAATCGATTCCAACGAAGATGTCGACTCAGATGTAAGCATGAATGATTTCGATAGCTTTGTACAGTCTAGAAAATGTCGTTTTTGTTTTCTTAGATAAGTCAGATCGTCTCTCCCAAATCAACATTTACATTAACAGTACCAAACACCGAAGATCGCTATGCGTTCTTTGCTCCATTATTCCATGAAGACATGTTCACCTACGTCAGTACAGTCGATTCTCCCAAGGGTAAAAGTAGATTTTAGAGGAAGTGTAAATCTATCTTCTAATATTTGATTTCGTAGAAGTGAATCAAGAAGTTTTGGAGGTCGCTGAACCTGCACCTATCTCTCGCGAACGTACTGAACAGGAACTGGAACGTTTGAAACAACGCGAAGAAGCAACAATGACTGAACTGAGAGTTTTTCTTCGTGATATGTTAAAAATTCTCTTACGTGACAAACGTTTTACATATTTCTCGCGTCCGATTGACGTCGAAGACGTACCTGATTATTATGATGTCATCGAGAATCCGATGACATTCTCAATAATGCTCGAAAAAGTCGATAAACATGGATATTCATGTGTCAAACAATTTACTCAAGATATTGATTTGATCGTCTCGAATGCTTTACTGTACAATCCGGATCACACCACACAGGGTAAGTTCATATAGAAGATCGGAAAGTGAATCATTCGGATTTGTTCTCAGGACGATTAATTCGACATCGGGCTTGTGAATTGCGAGATGTTTGCCAATTTCATATCAATGCTGAACTAGACATGGAATTTGAATTGCTATGTCAACAAGTAACCGAAGCTCGAAAACAACGAGGTTTGTTTTACTCAAAAAGACTGATGTTAATCTCTATATCCTCTTTTCTGTAGGCGATGATTCGAAAGAGTCTCTACCTAACTATGTCTATACTGAACAAGCAGCAACAGCAGATAGTAGCACTCATGTCGAGAATGAAAATGGTTCGTTGAATGAAACTGAAAATCACATGGATGTATCGAATAAAAACCCTATGAATATAACTGATCAATCAGACATTCAACAAGAGACTTCAACGATCTCAACAAGAAATTCAGCGAAACGAAATAAGGGTCATCATCAAAATCACCGTTCAACGCTAACGAGAAAACAGATGAAAGAAAAAGAAGCAGTCAATGGTCACAATGAAGTAAAATATATCAATGAGTTCAATATCATATCAATGTGTCATGCTTTTCTAGGAAACGGTTCTTTCTTCTGAAGACGCGAGTACCGTAATGACGACGACAGTGGCTGAAATTTCGGCAAAACCACCAACACCGACTAATAATACAACTGAATCTGCAGCAACAACAACCAATCAATCATCTCTTTCACCAGAGTCACCAACAACTGATTCCTCAAATCGAAAACGTGTTAAACGAACAGTATCATCCATTTCATTGTCACCTTCGAAACTAACATCTCCAAATGATACAGGCGCAAAACGTCAACGAACAGATTCAACCATTCAGGTTTGATATCCATTGAGAAGAAATCTGTGTGTCATCGTGTTTTGATTGTCATTGTAGCCTGTCGAATCTGCACCAGCTCATATTGAACATAGAGATCTTCCAACTCGTAAAATGGATTCAGTACGTCTTCGATCGAACTTGGACTACGTAGTTGAACATACTGATAACTTCGGCGTTGAGAAATTAAGCAATATTTGGTTTGAAATCTTTGATCTCATTGAATCATGTCGCTTACTTCCATCAGATGAATTGATTTTTGAAGTAAATCGTGCTTTGTTCATCTCACTCTCAAACATTTCTTTTCTTTGTTTCTAGAAACTCGAAACAAGTCTTCATTCGATGATTTAATTTATGAATACATATATATTTTTTCATTCACTATTTATATCTAGTCTTACCATTTCGCATTCTTGAAACAAAACCTAACTCTACTAAACATGAACTTTCTCAGGAAGAGCGTTATATGGGTATATCTTTGATTTTTCTTCTTCTCTCTCGCTCTTTATCTTATGAGGATCGAGATTAAAAGGAAGATGAACATAAAGCTCATTTAGTTTTTTTCTTTTGCTGTCCTAGAAAAACAAATTATTTAATCGGTATTTTTTTTTGGTACAGAAACAAATGTATGTAGAATATATAGCACTCAGGTTAGATGCTATTTTGTTCCTTCTTTATTTGTGCTCCTTATTATATTTGTCTTGTCTTACATATATTTTCATCTGTTCATGTGGTTTGTCTTTGTAGAAAAACAATTTTCTTTTCATGGTCTTCTGTCTTTATCTCATGTATGTAAATAAAACAACAACAACAACTCACTGAAAGAATAGGATCTTTTGCTACTAGGAACTTGTATTTTAAAGCTTCTGTTCCTGTTCTAGATGTCAACGGTTATTGCGAATAGTAAAGTGGTTCAAGTGTGTAATATATCCACGTCTTGTCAGAAAGATCAATTGAAAGCTCTGTTCAACTTCTTTGGCAGAATTGATGAAGTTCAACTGTATCCCGATAGGTAAACACATTCTCAAAAAAAAAACACACGGTGCAAATAATCTTTGTTTCTCTTTCTAGCGAAACCTTAGCCTCAACAATCAATGGTAAAGTTGGCTATATCAAGTTCGATCGCACTGATAGTATCCATGGCGCATTAAACATGACGAATACAGTCTTTATTGATAAGCCATTGATTGTCACTCAAGTCTTTGAGAATGCTATACCTGATGAGACAGATGCTATGACTTATTGTGCACCATTGAATCCAAATGTTACACTACTTAGTGGTGGACCAACATGGCCGAGTACGGTTATTAATCGACTTGTTGGTCAATTACCGAATGCTTATATTGAAACAATCGATCCCGAGCTGACTGATCGTAATTTACCAGCTTATCCTCCATTACCAGGCTCGTTGGATATAGCCAAGGTAGAAGAGATTCGTCGTACGGTCTATTTATCTAATATAGATAAAGAAGTAAGACGATTGGTGATAGAATTGCGCATTCTCTTTTCGACTTTTCTCGTAGATTGAATTGGATGTTTTACATGAATTTTTGTCTCAAGTTGGTGAAATTCGTTATATTCGTTCGGCTTATACCGACGAGAATGCGGAGGTACGTGGCGCTTACGTTGAATTCAGCGAACAACCATCTATTCCAAAAGTTCTATCCATAAATGGCTTTCAATTTTTCGGGCGACCATTATTGTATGTAAAGAATCGTTTATTTGAAATTATGTTTTCATTCTTCTTCACATGTAGAGTAAATCACGCAACGTCGTGTGTGATCAAACCCGCAACTGTTCGAGGATTACGAAGTGGTCAGTAATGAAAATATTCTTTTCCAATGACTGATTTGTTTTTTGAATGATTTAGATGAGGAAGATATGAAATTTAGTCGATCACGCTCTCGAAGGTTAGTGTGAAAAGTGTAGTAATCAGTTTTTCGTGTTGACAAGGAGTTTTTATTGTAGTGAGTCACGTCGTCATGGTTCAGGAAGTGGTGAAGAGAGCGACCATGGTCGCCATTCATCATCAAGATCAAAATCTCGAAAGAAGTCGTCGAAATCAGCACGATCACCGAAACGTCGCTCAAAGTTAGTTGCTTTTTGTCTCAATGTTTGTATTACATGGACTATTTTCGTTTGATAGATCGCGAAAACGCACTCGATCTCGATCACGCGATCGAAAGCGTCGTTCACGTTCGCGATCCAACGACCGGCATCGCCGAAAGAAAGACTCGCACAAGCGTTCACGCTCACGATCTCGCTCACGTTCTAAAGGGCGACATAATCGAAATGAAAGTCGAAAAGAGAAAAAATCTCGACATTAACTATCGACATTGAAATCTTTGTTATATAAATCTTTGTGTCTGAACTCGAAAGCAGAATAAACTGGAAAACGATTGTCTCTTGTTTTTGTTGACGTGTTCTGTAATCATCTTTGTTTTGTAATTGATTCGAACGAAGGAGAAAAATACATAAATCCCCATCACGAAGAACTTTCTTCAACAGTTCGTTATACGTAGACCGCAAATAGACTGATATCTCATTTTATCTTATGATAGATTAATATAAACCTGTATGAATACTGTTGCCGGTGAAAATCGAAGTATTGAACTTCATGGTTCAGACTGCACGAACTCCATTAGACGCAGAGAAACCAATTGAATACATGGAAGAAAATAACTCATTCGTATGTACATTTGCACTGCTCTGAAGCCCTGATTGATTGCCGCTTACAATTACGATATTCTCAATGATTATTTCTAGCTAATCACTAGCACACATTCAATTTTTAGATATGCAATGATTCTTTCTTATCGTGCTATAGGTTTGACTAAACTAAATCCTTCGAAATGCTCATTGAGTCTTTTTAAACAACCATGGCGTTTATCTTCCATCTTGGACACATCACCAACGAGTGTTATGAGAAATGCGGAAGTACAAACGATCTACTCCGAAGCATTGAACATACCGAATCAAGGTCGTTTAGAAGTTCGATGTCCATTCAATCTCTACGTGACACCATTACATCAAAAAGATTTTCCACGACTCGATCGAGCTTTTTTTACTATTTATGGTTGAGATTATCTAGAATGAATTGACCGGATCTTATTTAACTGTTTTCTTTTCACTAGGTGATAGTGGATTTCAATTTTCGAAAGATGTCTGGAAGAAATTATTTCAGTTTTCAGCCATTTTCAATCCGGGTGACCGAACTCTTCGTGTCATGGGCCATTTTACTCAATTAGGTGAGAAAGAACTAAGCGAACAAGCGCATACATTAGAAGTCTACTGTCAAATTCCTCCGCATTACGGTAAACTAAAACTTTGTCAAATCGAAAAATCAATCCTCCTTGATTCGACTAGAAATCGATGTCAATTGTTCGGATAATAATAATGTCAATATTGAATATTTCCAAAGTCCTCGTGTTAATGTAAGACAAGAACTCTTCGTTGCATCCTTCACCATGTTTCTATTAGATTCAAACGAAGCGTGGCGAATGTACCCTGAAAAATGTTGTCGTATGTTGTTTTCGTATCGCACCGATCCCACTCACTTTTCAAGATAATCTATTTTTGCATAGGCAGACAGTATTGTTGTACACAGTCAATCAGGAAACATCAATTGTTCTGGTTCACTGCACGGGACCATCGATTTAAGTACGGAGAGAGAAGGCGTAATTAAACACGAAGTGTTTTTTTTCTAAAAAAATGCATTTTCTCTTCGATCAATTGTAGAGTATACGTGCGTCGAAATTGCAAGGACCGTTTGTTCGATTGAAAGTGGAAAACTCCGATATACGAGTGAAAAGCACGTACTCCGAGCACTTTCTCATTCAAGGACAACATGGAAAATTTCGTTTGGGAAGTTTACATGGCCACGGCATAGGTAATGGAAAGACAAGAAGGTGAATGATTTTCCTAAAACTTTCTTTCTTTCTTTCTTTTAGTCGACTTAAACAGTGGATCGATTCGTATAGGTGAGGGTCGCTTTAATATTTAAAGGTGGTTGCTATTCTTGGAAGTCGATTTTTTTTTCAGGCGCTGTGGATGGGGATGTTAGCCTTCAATGTGAAAAGGGTGATATGGATGTGTTTTTCTCTGCGACAGGCTCGTCCACAATTCGCGCGCAAAATGGTAAAGCTCGAAAACGATATTGATTTAGGAGAGAAACGCTTTCTTCTAGGCGATGTGAGACTGGGTATCATTGATACTGTGAGCGTCCGTTTGAATCTGGTTGGTAAACGTGTTCAAGTTGATGAAGACGCAGAACACTTTCACATGGAAACAACGAAAAAAGCCGGTATTGTCCAAGTTCAAGGTTACATCACTGATCAATCATCCGGTTCATCCATCGATGTCACGGCGTCGAAAGGAACAATTGAATTGAATGTTCGTGACTTTTTTTCGACATTGAAACTTCATCGACATGTTGACCATTGAATTTTTTTTGTTTGTTTTGATTTCATATTCCGATGCAATTTATTTTCTCGTTTTCTTCTAGATTTAATCTTTACTCACTCATTCAATCAATCAATCATGTTCGGTGGACCAGGTGGAGATGATCACGAAGCTAACAAGCGCATGGCTGATCTTCAAGTCAAGTCAAGTTTTATTCAATTCTTCATTGCCGTAGGATTGATCAATCTTGGTAAGTTGAATTTCAACAAAGATCGTCGAGAATTCAATGCATTGTATGTTCATTATAGCTCCATATGCTCTTGAAGCGCTGATGGGTGAAAGTGTTCGTTAATTAAAAAAAAAACAACTAATCATTAGTGTCGTTTCTGTGTGTGTTTTTTGCCGATCAAAAACATGAATAAAGAAAAGAAGAATTGAAAAACAGTTTTCATATATTGAGATTTTGTCTCGTTTAGATGTCTCTCTCGAAAGTTCCTGTTCATAAGTGTTTAGAAAAACTGCAATGGCTTCTGGGAGTTTGGCGTTCGGAATCAGCGATAATCCTATTAGAAGGAAAAGCATTCACCTATCTTAGTGAATTCAAATGTGAACAAGTCGGGCAGCCTAATTTTACTATTCATATCAACGCATTCAATGTTCAACCGTCCACGGATGGTAGTTCAGGAGTAACATGGACAAACGCAACTGAATTGAAACCATTTCATCGTGAAATGGGCTTTTTACGTGTTAACCCAAAGGATGAAACAGCCACGAATGTTTCGTATTTAAATGTTCAAAATGTTGGCTTAGCCAATGTGGAAGAAGGTCGTATTAATGGTAAAAGTTTCGTTGTGGAAACGAAATCAATTGGACGGTCGTGCTTCAATAAAGATCCCAGCGTTCGATTACTTCGTCGAGAATATCGACTGGATGAACAGGATGAAAATGTTTTACATGTGAAAGTGTTTATGAGCACAAGTCGAATGGAAGAAAACGAACAAGCGTTTGAGCATTTAACTATTCAATATCGAAAAGTATCAAATGAATAAAGAACATTTAATAATAAATATCACTCGTCGACTGCGAGTCGATTGTTCCTGATCGAAAGATGCTTTTCGTCATTTTTTATCTAAAATTTATCAACGAACTAATTCAAGGACATTTATGACAATAAGAAAGATTATAATCAGGTCTATGTAAAACTTGACGTGATTTAGCAAATATAGCAAATGTCAGATATCGTAATATAGCATCGCCCCATCGATAATGAAAAATTCCATTGGTCGAATCGATGCTTTCAATCCAATGACGTATTTCTTTCCGTCGGAAGAATTTCATTTTGATGATTTCAAAATTGTTGTAATAATTTCGAACTGTATTGTTTCCAAAAGCGTCGCGTAGCACTTGAGGTTGTTTTGGTTCTATATGATTTTGTTTGAGATATTCATATGTGACTTGTTTCAATTTCATTGTACCAGGTAATTGCTCTTCGATGTCAATATCAACATTATTCGCGAAATAGACAGCTTTTCTTCGACGCATTTCATCGAAAGCATTAATCCAATGACCGGTCATTTTTGAATCATCATCGAGTCTCATGATATACTCGTAGTTTTTCAGTTGTGGTAGTTCAAAAAGATGTTTGAACCAAAATCGAATCATCATTAGATAGTTCCATTTTCCTCGCACACGATACGATGTTTGAGTTCTGCATGGATCGAATCCGGAAGGGAAGAGATTAAAAAGTACACCGACATTTAAGAATAAAACTTTCCGTTTAATTCGTTTAGTTAAATACTGAAGGCTGAATCTATACGGATCGTTGCCAAGCAGTAGAAGAAGATTGGTCGAAAAATTATCATCAAAATTGACATCGATGAGTTCTAAACGACGGATAAGTTCGGATGAAATGCTTGGCACCAACATTACTATCAAATCTTTGCTATCTGACGAACTGTTGGAAGATCCAACTGTATAGATATCTGACGTTATTAAAGTAGATAGATCATTTGAGTAATATGGTTTGACAAAAAAACAATAAGGTTCCCAAATGACAGCGAAAAACATAAACACACCAAAGATGATTGCAATAACACATAGGATAGCCAATCGATAAAAACTGACCATTGTACAAAGGTTTGGAAGTCAAATCGATAGTTTGATCGAAGTAAGTATCAATACATGATATTGTTGTGTACTATAAATAGACTCAACACGTGTATGGCTGTATTACGACGATAGTATTTTTCTTCTCTTCTTTCTCTCCTATGAAATTGATGCATAGACACAAGTGAAATACAACGTATGCAGAGTGCAATCAATCTACTGTGATTGTATAACCATGTGCATTTGTAATACGTATATTTAATTATAAATTACGAAAGAATCTTTGACAAAGTGTCTACCACAGGACTAAAGAAAACTATACAAACAAGGATAGGCAATTCTGTTCAATAAAGTACTCGGGATTTGTTTGAATGTGTACAACTAAAATAATTAGTTTCAAATCACAATCTTTTTTTTCTTACACCTCGTGTCCATAATCTCTGGAAGAGATGCTATCATGAAAAAAGTGGCTAGTGACATCTTAGACTCTTTTTGATATTCTATTTCGCTTTACAAGGTCGCTTTTACTCTCTATAGCGATAAACCGCTTTGATTATTAATGATACTTTTAGCAAAAAATGCGCTTTATAAATAATACCTACAAATTGGTAATTATTTCGCTCGTTGTTGATTTTTATATCGATACTCTCATAAGATAACGTTATTTCAGTGCTTTTCTATTGTTTGAGTACAATTCAGATTGTTCGAGAAAAAGGTTGTGAATACAGTACTCCGAAACTGAAAATTCTTCATATCATATTAGTACATGGAAGCGCGAACCTTCTACTCTCTTGCTGCATGCGCAAAACATCAAAGAGCAAAGTACATGTTTGTTTATGATCAGAACGAGTGAGTTCCTTCGATTTTTTGTTCTTAGTTTTGCACCGTAAGTATTAAAAGATAAAATAGATGCACACAGGCAAAGACGTAAAAATGGCGTCTACGTTTAGAAGATAAAAACTAAGATGACGAACCAACAAACTTCGTTACCAATCATTGATGTTAGTTCAATACTAGATCCCAATTCACATCGAGATAATCAACAACAGGCAGCTACGGAAATTCATCAAGCATGTCGTAGTTGGGGATTTTTCTATGTTAAAAATCATGGTGTTCCTTTGAAATTACAAGAAGATCTGATCAAATTCAGTCGGAATTTTTTCGCGCGTTCTCTAGAAGAAAAGATGCAGATAGATATGAACAAAGGTGGCCGAGCATGGCGCGGCTATTTTCCAGTGGGTAACGAATTAACCAGTGGCAAACCCGATGGGAAAGAAGGTATTTATTTCGGAACAGAAATCAATGATGTCAATCATCCAAAAGTTCGTAACAACACTCCATTGCATGGACAAAATCAATTTCCATCAGGCAAATCTGACGACGATGAATTTCGTCAAGTTATATTAACTTATATGGCTGCTATGGAAAGCCTCGGTCGAGCGATCATGTCTGCTCTTGCACGTTCATTAAAACTGGACGCGGATTTTTTTGATAAAAACTATTTTGGCGACGAACCTACATGTCTCTTTCGTATATTCAATTATCCAGCTTCATTTTGTCAGCAGCAAGGCAATGAAAATTTGTGGGGTGTCGGTGAACATACGGATTACGGAATGTTAACTCTTCTATTGCAAGACGATATCGGTGGATTACAAGTAAAGACAAGCCGTAATGAATGGATACAAGCTCCACCTATTCCGAATACATTCGTATGTAATATTGGTGATATGCTTGATCGAATGACTGGCGGATATTACCGATCAACACTTCATCGTGTAAGAAATCTTTCGACCACGCGTGATCGATTATCATTTCCGTTTTTTCTTGATCCAAATTGGGATGCTGAGGTTTTGCCAATACCTATGGAAGGTATGACAAATATCAAGGACGATGCTGAACATCGATGGGATAAATCGAGTGTTCATACATTTCATGGAACATATGGTGAATATCTTTTGAAGAAAGTTAGCCGCGTATTTCCTGATCTTGCTCAAGAACAAGCCATTAGCAAATAAAAGTCATCTTTATCGAACTTTTTTCAACTGTAGTGGTTTAACTACTATAGAATTTAAATATTTGAAATAACAATAAAGATTACAATTTCAGTACATCTCACTATTTCTGAGTTGAGACAGCTAGCGACATCATTCGAATGGGGATACTAATCTTGTGAATTAGCATATTAGATCAAAATAAATAAGAAAGAAAACTGATCGACTATCGTTTCAGTTTTGCTTCGTAAACGATTCAAAATAAGAGAAAATGAATGGAGATTGTTTAAAACTGATTGGTTCATGAAAGTTTATCCCTACGTATTCCTTTGTTTATCACGTTGGATTCGATAGTGTTTTAAAGTGAACTTCGCCTCGCTCGATTTTTTCGACTGTTCAATGGAAGCCAATCATCTATTACACAGTGGATATTTCAATGAGACACTTCGATCTTGGCATAGTTCGAACACATTACTTAACATCAGTCAATTGATCTATCCTGTCTTTGTCACTGATCTTATTCCAGATGAATCGAGCGAAGAAATTCCCAATTTTCCTGAACAACGTCGCTATGGTGTTGATGCTCTTACTGAACACTTAGCGCCATTAGTTAAAAAAGGTCTTAAAACTGTTCTTATCTTCGGTGTGACAGCAGATACAAACAAAACCTTGAATGCTGCGTACGCATCGTCGAAAGATTCACCTGTTCGCCGGTGTTTACCGAAACTTCGTTCAAAGTTTCCATCGTTAACTCTTGCTGTCGATCTATGTCTATGTGCTTATACATCGCATGGACATTGCGGTATACTTAAATCGGATGGTACGATCGATAATCAAGCATCTATCGAACGTCTGGCTGAAATAGCATTAAGTTGCGCACAAGATGGTGCTCATATTATTGCACCATCAGATATGATGGATGGACGGATAGGTGCAATAAAGAAGATATTACTAGAAAACAGTTTAGGAAGTTCAGTGGCTGTGCTCTCCTATTCTTCAAAGTTTGCCTCATGCTTCTATGGTCCCTTTCGTGATGCTGCTCAATCGGCACCTTCATCAGGAAATCGACGAGCGTATCAGCTACCCGCAGCGGCAACTGGTCTAGCCATACGTGCAGCTGAACGTGATGCGAATGAAGGAGCCGATATGTTAATGGTCAAGCCCGGTGGCCCATTTTTAGATATAATCAAAGAAGTTAAACAGCGTTTCCCCCACCATCCCCTAGCTGTTTATCAAGTTTCCGGTGAATATGCAATGCTATGGCATGCAGCACATGCTAATGCTTTTGATTTGCGAACAGCTGTTATTGAAAGTTTAGTTGGAATGAGACGTGCTGGAGCAGATATTCTTATTACTTATTTTACGCCTCAACTGCTGGATTGGTTAAAAGAAGAACCACAATACTAGTTTTCCTTTTATCATAGAACTTACTGTGCTTTTTCTTTATATTTGATTTTATCTAGATGTTCTGACATGTCACGAACGTATTTTGTGTTTTCGTTTGTGTCGAAGTTTCAAAGACAGACTATAATTATCATTGATTTTATTTTTTAGATAAATTAAGATTTAGATAATTAATTCACTATCAGTTGTTAATCCAACAGTGGTATGGCCGACCGACAGAACGCTCGTGGTCGAGGAGGCTTCGGACGCGGTAATTTCGGACGAGGTGGCGGCCGTGGAAATTTTGGACGAGGCGGTGGTGGCCACGGTAATTTTGGACGAGAAGGTGGTGGCCGCGGTAATTTTGGACGAGAAGGTGGTGGCCGCGGCAATTTCGGACGAGGAGGCGGTGGCGGACGTGGTGGTTTTTCAGATCGTGGAAGAGAAGGTGGTGGACGCGGTGGATTTCGCGGACGAGGTAGTTTTTCAAGCGGTAATCGAGGAGGGGGAACATTTGGAGAAACAAAACGTGAATTTATGACGGACAGTATTTATGTTGGTCAATTGCCTGCTGATATTAAAGAAAGTGATGTGAAAAAGCTTTTTCCAAAAGCCAAAAATGTGACATTAGTGTCAGCCGAAGGTCAACGACCAGGGTAAGTTCTTTAAGAAGAAGTATAAGACACCATGAGAGTGATTCTATTCATAGTCATGCCTTCATCACTTTTCCGGATGATGCTTCGGCATCAGCTGCTGTTAAACAAGGAGCAACGTTTAAGAATACTACCTTGAAAGTTGCTTTTCAAACCAAACGTGCTGAACCGCAAAAGCGATCTGTTGACACTGGTGATAACTCAGGTAATGCAATTCTTTTCTAAGTTCTAGTGTTTTTACGATCTCGTCACTTTTTATCATTTCAATAGGACCAAAAGCAAAAAAACTAAAAAATGATACTTTGAGTAACAAAGTAGTAGGAGTGAGTAATGGTGTTCCAGGAAAAGGAAAAAAAGCAGTCAATTCTGATGATGATGATGATGAATCTGTAAGTATATGGCATTATCTCCTCTTGTACACTGAGATAAAACGACCCATTTGATCTGTTTAGATGGATTTTGATGAAGGAGACGAGGATGATGATGATGATGACGACGACGACGACGATGACGATGGATCTGATGAAGATGATGAACAAGAAAAAAAGATAAAGCAAACTGTTGCAAAAATGGTTGGTGGAGGAAAATCAACTTCGAAATTACCTGCAGGGAAAAACTTAGTCGATGATGATGAAGACGACTCGGTAACTACTCTTTTTTCCTCAAATACACTTCTTTAATATGATCCTAGGATGACGACGACGAAGACGACGACGACGAGGATGATGATGATGATGATGATGACGAAGATGATGATGACGATGATGATGAACCAGTTCAAAAGCAAAAGGGAACACCATCGTCAGTTAAACCATCTGTTTCAAGTATCAATCAAGGCAATAATAAAGATAAACCAGTGCCTATGAAATCGCCAGTGGTCAATAATTCACTTCAGAAGAAGAGCGCATCAGGTTTGTAACTATACTTGTGCCCATTATCATTTGTAATGAAAGTTTTACTTAGATTCACTATCTTCAAATAAGTCACCGGTTGTTGAATCTCAGAAACGATCTGTTAGTTTCGCTGATAAATCAGGTTAGTTGCTCTATTGAGATTTTCCGTTCGGTTCTATCGTTTTCTGTAATCATTTAGGTCCTCTTGTCAAAAAAATGAAGAGTGAAACTTCAGCTGTTAATAAAATTGCTCTGAAAGGAAGCAAGTATGATGAAGACGATGAGGATGACGACGACGATGACGATGACGACGACGACGACGACGACGACGACGACGACGACGACGACGATGATGATGATGATGATGATGATGATGATGACGACGACGACGAGGATGACGATGATGATGATGAAGCACCAAAGAAATCTGGGGGAAAATTATCGGCTCCTACAAAACTGGTAATTTAAAACGAATTTTTTATCAAAAGAATCGAATCGATCTTTAGTCCAAACTTATCGCCAAGTCATCATTTTTACAAGATGATAGTGATGATGATGAAGACGATGACGATGACGACGATGATGATGATGATGATGATGAACTTCCAAAGAAACCAGTGGTCAAAGTTTCAACTCCTCAAAAACAAGTGAGCTCATCCAGAAACGTTTTTAATTAAACCGCTAATGCATTTCTTTAGGCTAAGCCGATTTCCAAACCATCATCTACACAAAGTGACGATAGTGATGACGATGACGACGATGATGATGAACCACCACCACCGCCGAAGAAATCAATTTCTAAACTTGCTGTAGCTAAAACAGCAGTGAGTTTGGTAGCATTTAAGCCCCTTAATTTATGTTTGTGCGTTTTAGACTAAAAGTCCTGTAAAACAATCAGTCATTGGCAGTGACGACGATAGCGATGACGACGAATCAGTATGTGTAGAATATCACTAAAACTAGAGATTCAGCAATAGTTTCTCTCGCAGGATGATGATAAAGCATCCAAGCCAGTAAAATCCATTTTAAAACCAACTCTTTCCAAACAAGTACGTTTATATTAAGATCATTATTTTCTTCGACAGTGTTTTTCCTATATATCTAGACCCAGCCTACCCCAAAATCCGCACCAAAGGGTAAATTCGACGACGATAGTGATGATGACAGTGTAAGTCCACTAACAGGTTTATTTGTCTACAAATACATACTGTATCTTTCAACATAGGATGATGATGATGATGAAACGCCACCGCCCACAAAATCTCCATCAACTACTATCATTCCATCTAAACAAAAATCAACACCTTCTAAGCCTGAAACGAAACCATCCACTCCATCATCTACAACTAAATCGTTCAGCAAAACCCAAATTTACATCAATTCAATCAAAGAGAGTGTTACTTCTTCCGATATGAAATCACTTTATCCTAAAGCTAAAACAATCAAGCTACAAAAACGTAAAGTTGGCCCAGAACGCCAAATCATGCAGTAAGTTATTGTTTGTCTACCACCTTCGTCATATTGACCATTCGTTCTGTTTAGATTTGCTTTGATCACATTTGACAGTGAATCTGATTGTGCTAGTGCATTGAAAGCTCATACTCAAATCGGAGGAGGAAAAGTGAATGTATCCTATGCATACGTCAAACCTGAAAAGCAACCACAACCAACAAGTGATAATTCGAATAAAAAAGCTACGCCAACCGAAAATGTCAATAAAAAACAGCCGAATAAACCAGGTTTGTGTTAAATTCTGTTCTTGTGTTTTATTCGTTATTTATCTTAAGCCGAAAAACAATCATCAACCAATTCCATCTACGTTGGTCAATTACCCGAAAACGTTCAAGAAGCTGATTTGAAAAAACTCTTTCCAAAATCAACGAACGTTGAACTATTTCCACCGAGAACCACTCCTAAAGGTAGTCGATCTGGTTTCGCCTTTGTCACTTTTGCTGATGATAACAGTGCGGCTGCTGCAATTAAACTTGGTCCAAGTTTAAAATTAAAGAACGCACCATTAAAAGTCGGCTATCAAACAAAACGAGCAAATGTCAGTTGAAATGCCTCGTCTCTCGAAATACTTGCGAATGCATCCGTTGTTTTTGTGTTCAGTTTTAATTCTATTTACTGTATTCTTCGTGTTTTTCTTGAAGATTAATAATTATTACCGAAAAAGCAAATGAATAAATGAACTTCTGTGTACATGTACACAACTCTCACATTAGTAGACAAAAAAAGATACTCATGCTTGTTCGCTCTCGGAATAGATAATTTCAAGCTGTGTTCTTTTTTTTCGTTTTTATCGAACGAAAAATGAAAAACTGAGTATAGTCAATACTAAATGAAGAAAAGACAGTTCTACCATAAATCATGTCATACAATGCATTAAAAAATTGACAATAAAATATTTTGCAAACAGAAAACTTTATAGTGAAACAGTTTTTGATTACAAATCTATTGCTGTTGCACAATTGCACTAAAGATTAAACTTCTTCATCAGGTTCGAGTCGCGCTGCTCGAATACAGCAGCTGCCACACATAAAAATAACCACGAGTACAGAAGTAATGATCAATGTTATGAAAGCACCATAGAAAACTGTCACATCACAATAATAGTATGTATCTAAAGGATTAGTAAATTGTATAAATGTACTTGCGCCGAATATCCAAACACATCCCTAGATAGAACATATCTTTAAAGTGTTTATAGACAATGTGAATGTATCTTACCACAAAGAACCATCCAAGGTATATGATGCCTAATAGATATTGAAAAAATGAACAGATGTCCCGGACTTTTCCCGCTTTTTTTCTTATAGAAAACTAAAACGATCAACGAAGAGTTTAGCAATGGCTTCTATTATGATAAGAATGTTCAAATATTATCTCTTTTCAATTTGTGTCAATAATAAAAATAGCAACTGTCGATAACATTTGAATTTATACTTTACAGTTTCTAGATTACAAAAGAAGAAGCATCTTACCATACAAACGATGGATATGAGTAAGCATATGCCAAGAATACCAGACACGAGAAGATACGTTGGAATAAGATTATTTAAAGGACAACTGTTCTTGTACAAGCTACCAATGACTACTTGAGCTATGGGTAGAAACATTAGAATACCAGCTATTACAGCAACTACTGTAAACTTTTCTGATAATGACATAATTTTGTCTACGATATCATCCGATTGGCTTGGCGTTGGTTTTGGCTTTCTGGGTTCAAGAAGAGTCTCTATTTCTTCAGCAGTTCCTATTTCGACGTCCCGATTGAGCGTTTTGGACGTTTCATTGGTACGAAGTATCTCATCGTCAGATGCTGATTTGACATTCGTTCTGTCATTAGGGGATGCTGTTGTAATACGTGAGTTCACAAGCTGATCAATACGTTTCTCTGGTATTTGGTTCTTGCTGCTTTGCAGAAGATCTTCATCATTGTTAACAGGTACTGGTACAGTATCTTCATTAGCTTCAACACTGACAGATTTCCTTGATGTTCGATCGTCTTTATTAGTTAATGGTGATGCTAATAAATCTTCTTGATTTGATACTGGATCCACTTGGTTTTTGCCATCTGCATCGTCCCTGCCGGTTCTCGCTTCATTATTTGTATTTGCCGAGTCCTGAAACACTGCTGTTGTACCATTAATTCCGGCTTGTGAGCCTGCTAACGATGCTTTCGCACTATCTTCAGCATTTGCAGAGTTCAGAGCTGTTTCTGGCGATGTATTGGTTGAAGTTGCTGGCTCAGTAGTTTCTGAAGTTGATAGATCTTCCACATTCGTTGTAGGAGGTATATCGTCTGGAACTTTTGTTTCATCCTCTACATTTACTGAATTACCATATATTGATTTTGGTTCATCACTTGCGTTTGTCGAATCCGTAGCTGTTGTCGTTAGTCCATTGCCACCATCCACTAGTGCTGCTGTGCCTAATGTTACTTCGTCAGCGGTCTTTTTTGTATCATCAGGTACCGTCCGTGGATCACCTTCTATGCTTGCCACGTCATTCGCCGTTGGCGCCATTGATGTGTCCACTGCTTCACTCGCTGCCTTTGTCAGATCACCTGATGTATCTCGAGCTTCAACTGCTTCAGCCGTTGCGTTTGTTACTTCGCCTGATGTATCCGAACCCTGAACTGCTTCGCTCGTTGCCTCAGCAGAAGTTGTTTCTGCTTCACTCGCTGCCTTTGTTACTTCTCCTGATGTATCTGAACCTTGAACTGCTTCGCTCGTTGCATCAGCAGAAGTTGTTTCTGCTTCACTCGCTGCCTTTGTTACTTCGCCTGATGTATCTGAACCTTGAACTGCTTCGCTCGTTGCATCAGCAGAAGTTGTTTCTGGTTCACTCGCTGCCTTTGTCAGATCACTTGATGTATCTGGAGCTTCAACTGCTTCGCTCGTTGCCTCAGCAGAAGTTGTTTCTGCTTCACTCGCTGCCTTTGTTACTTCTCCTGATGTATCTGGACCTTCAGCTGCCTCAGCAGGAGATGTTCCTGGTTCACTCGCTGCCTTTGTTACTTCTCCTGATGTATCTGGACCTTCAGCTGCCTCAGCAGGAGATGTTCCTGGTTCACTCGCTGCCTTTGTCAGATCACCTGATGTATCTGGACCTTCAGCCGTTGCGTTTGTTACTTCTCCTGATGTATCCGGACCTTCAGCTGCTTCGCTCGTTGCCTCAGCAGGCGTTGTTTCTGATTCACTCGGTGCTTTTGTCAGATCACCTGATGTATCTGGAGCTTCAACTGCTTCGCTCGTTGCATCAGCAGAAGTTGTTTCTGGTTCACTCGCTGCCTTTGTCAGATCACCTGATGTATCTGAACCTTCAGCTGCCTCAGCAGGAGTTGTTTCTGGTTCACTCGCTGCCTTTGTTACTTCGCCTGATGTATCTGAACCTTGAACTGCTTCGCTCGTTGCCTCAGCAGGAGATGTTTCTGGTTCACTCGCTGTTGGTACATCTCCTTCGGTAATTGTTGCGTCAGTAGGTGCTATTGGCGGATCTTGTACAGAGTCTCCTTCAGCAGTTGCACTTGATGTTTCTGTTGGGGAATCTTTAGGTTTTTGATCGCTTTCTAAAGTTGGAGATGCTTTGGTTAATGCGTTTGGTTCTGGTTCATGATTCTGGTCAGGGTTTTCTGGTGGAGAAACGTCATCAGTAGAATCTGAATTTTTCTGGCTATCTTCATTTTCCTTGACATTGGTGTCGGGATCTACAGCTGGTTTTGGAACTGGTTCGCTTTCTGGGTTTTGCAATTCATCCATACTATTGTAAAAAATAACACCTTAGAAACACTGAGGAAGTAAAACTATTCGGAAGAAAAACCAATGAATCTTTTCTAACGTCATACGAATGGTTACGCTATTTCGGTTATAGAATCAACAAGAGTTGTGAAAAACGTAGGAAATTACACACTCAAGTGAAGGAAAGCGGTGGTTTTTTCCCCAGACGTTCACGTTCTGATTGGACGAAAAACAGATAAAAAAAGCGATGTTTGATTTAATGCTTCCGTTATTGATATTTTCTACTGTCTCTGTCGGTTTTTCGTGTGAGAAAAATTCGATAAATTTGATCTTGACAATGCTATTCATAATTATCATTCATTACTCATTCAGTGATAGGTTTCTTTTGACAAACTGACTATACCTGAATGGGTTTTTTGATTGGTTCGATATTTGTCTATATCTGTACACTACCCACTGCTCTTTTCACCCTACGGAGACGAATTTTGTTGAAGGTGAATGATCTTCAACTTTAAACGCTGTCGATTCACGTTGGTTTTATATCTTTATGCGGGTAAAATGTGAATCATGTCTGTGGCGGTTATCTTTTCTTCATGAATGATATAAGCTCGAAGAAAAAAAGATAACATTGCTCTAGTTCACAATTGGATCAGAACGAAGATGTAAGAAGTGAGAAAGAAAAAGTCATGTCAAGATGTTTGGTTAATTCACATCGAAATTTTTATCAAAAGAACCAAAAGCTCCAATCACCGTTTGAATATTCGTCCAGTTCGATCGAGATTTGTGTGAAAGTCGAACACAAAATCTTTGAATTTCAATAGTATACATATACTGTCGTGAGATATTCTAGAGTTATTCGATAGCTATCTTTATATGTCAAAGTTTAACTAACTATCAATTATCTGTTTTGATTGCCATATCAGATAGATACATTTTTCTTCTTGCCAGCCCCTGACGAAGTGACATTCAAACATGAATATGTACAACGAATGAGAAAAAAAATTCAAAATTGGTCGAAACTCGTGTAGTTCTTTTCAGATGCAGTACTTTCATTGATACTCAGTAAGATCGTTAGTGATAGATTATTAAATTAATATTTGAATCATCAATTTTTATTTAATTGAACCAATTAAAATAAACCAAAATAGACTCGAATTATTTTACGGTAATCAATCATTTGCGTAGATGTCTATCTATGGTTTCTTCTATTCAATATCCAATAAACGGAATGGTTTCTGCTAAAGTATAGATCAATAAATTTAACGGTCACTCAACAGTACTTATATGTATTTATTCAACAGAGATTACTAACATATGTCTGGAAACCGGAGAAAGTTCTTATTATCTTAATGATTAAATACGAATACTTTTTCTTTTTCGACTGAAAAGAATCTTCCATAATGCAAAACAAAGTTATTGAGTTGATTATATCGAACTCCCTGTTATGTGACTATGCGCAAGATCTGCTCCATATACACCACACACACACACACTAATGGATCTTGTTTCTATTGGATTTGAAGTTTCTCCAATGAGAATCCAGTTGATTAATCATCCGACATCTATTAATAGTCAAACAAATAAAACGACGACTTTCGCGTATACTTTATTTCACTTTAGGTTAAACAAATGTCACCACCAGCAACTACAACATCGACTAAGTCGACCGGTGATGAACAAATTCCAAATGAAAATGGTTTATCGACCGAAAAAGCGTCTACGTCATCTACATCTCCATTGAACAAAATTGAGAAAGTTGTCGTTCATCCACTCGTACTTCTAAGCGTGGTAGATCATTTCAATCGCATGGGAAAGATAGGAAATTCACAACGTGTCGTCGGAGTCCTACTTGGTTCACTTAAGAATAAAATTCTCGATGTTTCAAATAGTTTTGCATGTAAGATTTTCATTCTCAGATGACTTTCGATTACTTCGTATTTGTAGTACCGTTCGATGAAGAAGATAAAGAGAAAGATGTTTGGTTTCTCGATCATGAATATTTGGAAAATATGTACACAATGTTTAGAAAAGTGAACGGTACGCGAAGATCATATCATCTTCCATCAAGAATCCTATTTCATGATTTTAGCTCGTGAACGTATTGTTGGATGGTATCATACTGGTCCGAAATTACATCGGAATGATATTTCAGTTAATGAATTAATCCGAGGATATCATCCCGATTCAGTTCTTGTGATCATCGATGCAAAACCAAAAGATTTAGGCTTACCAACTGAAGCATACATTGCTGTTGAAGAAATTCATGATGTAAGTTTAGCCCAAATCAAATCGACAGTAGACTGATTTTCGTTTGAACTAGGACGGAAGTCCAGCTTCGAAAACATTCGAACATTTACCATCCGAAATTGGCGCTGAAGAAGCAGAAGAGGTTGGCGTCGAACATCTTCTTCGGTAAGTCGAAATCACGTTCTTCATTCTCCTCCCTATCTCTCACATCTCTAGTGATATTCGTAATGCAACTGTTGGCACACTGTCTCAACGTATAACAAACCAATTGATGGGTCTCAAAGGCCTGACAAAAAGTTTATACGATGTTCGAGCGTATCTTGATAAATTACTAGCAAATAAATTACCATTAAATCATCAGATTTTATCACATATCCAAGATATGTTTAACTTGTTACCTGATGTTACGCATCAAGATTTGATCAAGTCAATTTATGTGAAAACCAATGATGAAATGTTGCTTGTTTATCTGTCATCATTAATACGTTCGATTATAGCTTTACATAATTTAATTATGAATAAAATTCAGAATTCTGATGCGGAAAAAACAGATAACATACCCAGCACGACAACAACAACAGCAGCAGCAGCGACGAACAATTCTGATAAGAAAACAGAAAAAGGAAGCGGTGATAAATCGACAACAAATAGCAATTCTGGTTAAGAACATCTCTTCTTCTTCTTGTTGCTCTCTCTCCTTTCTTTTATTTCAAATAAACTCGAGCTCGAAAGAGTGATAAAAGTCAACTTCGATCAGACAACACAGTTCATTTCATAAATTTATCCACTTTTTTAGATGCAACTACGTATACTTACTTTGAATCTTTGGGGTGTGCGTTATTTGGCCAAGTTAATCGATCAACGGATTCAAGCCTTCGTCAAACATTTACATGATACAGACACAAAATATGATATTATTGGACTACAAGAAGTACATCTCTCTTCGCACATTTCCTTTTCAAATTTTTCTTTTGTATAGGTTTGGAGTAAAACGGATTATATGTACATACGCGAACAGATCAAGAATATCTACCCGCACAGTTATTATTTTCTAAGCGGTCTGTTTGGTTCCGGCTGTTGCATCTTTTCTAAACATCCAATCATTGGAGTTTATCAACATTTGTACACATTGAACGGTAAGAAAGACGTGACTTTTTCGGCGCATGCGATAATCGATAAGATAATTTCCTTTTGTTGTATCACGTGAAGTTGAGTTGCTAAGAAACAACATTCTCATTTAGGTTTTCCACATAAAATTCAACATGGTGATTATTTCGCCGGTAAATTAATTGGCCTATGTAAAATTTTAATCAATAATTTCGTTGTCAATGTTTACAACACACATTTACATGCTAATTATCATCATGTTATACCACAGGATATCTACTTAGGACATCGGGTATGTCAAGCATATGAATTAATTCAATTTATTGAAAGTACTTCATCGGCTGAAACCACACATTTAACTATTCTCCTGGGAGATTTGAATTTAACAAGCACGGATTTAGGTTTTCAACTTATTCGTGGTGTTTTACAACTGCGCGATTGTTTTCTTGATCGTATCAATAAAGTAGAATGTAATTGAACGAATTCGTTGTCTATCGGAGTGTTTTAGGATGTTTGTGATCCCACTGTTGGCAATAATGGCATGACATGTGATTTACCTGACAATCCATACGTCGTTCCGCATGTACATCAAGGTGATGGAGAACGAATTGATTATATACTCTTTCGAGCACGAAATGGTTTGTTCGAATAGCATTCAATGAAAGCGATAGAATCATCTTTTCTACTTTGATAGATAACGTCAGATGTGTTGAAGCATATCCAACATTGCATAAAGTTCCGAATAATTCCAGTGGTCTCTATTATTCCGATCATTTAGCTGTTTATGCTTTGCTTGAAGTAGATGAAACTGCTCCAGAGAGGATCATTAAACCACTGGAAGATGTAAAAATAGCTGATGAACAAACGCAAGAGATTCTTCGTTCAGCATGTATAGTTATTGAAGAAACAATTCAACGTATCCAACGTCAACGTTTATATTGTGCTATCGGTGCATTTATTCTTGTTTTTATTCTTTTCTTGATTAACGGAAATCCGTTAACTAATAGTTACATTTATACAACGTTTACTATCATGAAAAATCTTCTTTGCATTATTGGAATTGCTGTATGTGTGTGGTTTATTTGTTTGGGTAAACCTGTCGAACGTAATGCGTTAAGTGCAGTACAAAATGCAATGCGAGTGCGATTACGGGCAGCACATTTTACTTTTTAATCGGTGTTTTTTGTTGCGCCTTGAAGATGTTTAGTAATGATATGGCGAACAATGATTGTAAATTGAAAAATATGATTATTTATTTGATTTGTAAATAAAATTTCGATATCTGATGGCAGAGAACGCTTTTAAGTAGCTTATCGATAGGAGGAAAGTCAATAAAACCTCAGTATATGTCAAATCTGAGTAATCGCTGGATAAATAGGTTTTATAATACGGTCAATAAATCTTCCGAGACGCAGTGTGACTCATTCTTTCCTGCTGCTATTGAGAAAGAGAAGAAATGTAAAAATAGTAATCATGCGACAGAAGGATTTCATTGTCATTTGATTGGAATATCAAGAGAACGAGAGAGTAGTTTTTGAAATTGATTCAAAGAAAATGCCAGCAGCGACCTACGAAACAATTGACGAAGCAAGTCCAAGTAAGAATTTTCACAGGAGATTGATGGTCTGTAGTTCGCTTCCATTTTTCTTTCCATTGAGACCTCTCTTTGATAGACAGAACGTGAACGAATGGAATACAATCTTCTTTTTCTTCCTTCCTTTACCAGCCATCAAGAAGATAGGAATGTTCTAGTTAGTGCATCTTGTTTAATTCACATTCTTTCTCATCATGAGCCGAACGAAAAACCAAGACAAGGGTACATCGAATGATGTGGCTATTTGTTCACGAATATACCTTGATTTTTTGTTGTCTCTATTTAGATCCTGAAATCAAACATAAGCAACGTCGTGTTTTGAAACGTTTGTTTCGATACAGCCGTCCGGATTGGCCGTTGATCACCGTCGGAACTGTACTTTTACTTGTAGGAGCTCTATGCAAGTACTATCGTATTTCATACATCCGAAAATGTTCCATTTTCATCGTCTAGCTGAAGTTTTTGTTCCATTGTACACTGGTCGGTTACTATCCAGCGTTGCATTCAAAGACGAATGGAAAGTATTCAAGCATAATCTAATCATGTTTGTTATAGTGAACTTTACGGGGTATGAACGAGTGAATGCGAGAATCTGATTTTGAGAAAGATGACTTGTGGTTGTTCATAGAGGATTTCTTGGTGGATTTCGTATTGGTGTGTTTGCTATCTGTGTATCACGTCTGAATATTCGCTTACGAACAAAACTATTTCAATCGTATACGCGACAGGAAATCGGATTTTTCGATACACATGAAAGTGGCAAATTACTTTCACGGCTCAATCATGATACACAGATCATGAGTTCAATTGTTGCGAATAATATTGCACAATGTATCGGTGCATTAGTTAAGTTCGGTACAGATTCATCTTATTTATTGGTAATCAATATTTTCCCTTTTTGTCCTATCTTCTAGTCGGTACATTTATCATGATGATCAACTTAAGTTTACATTTAACTATTGCCTGTTTAATTGGTGCACCATTGATTTTAATTGTGGCAAAAATTAGTGGCAATGCTCATCGACGTGTTTCGGAAAAAGTTCAGGATCTCTCCGCTGACGCATCCGAAATAGCAGAAGAAACCATTCAAACAATTCGAACTGTCAGGAGTTTTGGTAATGAAAACGGCGAATTAAAACGGTTCGCCGATATTCTCAAGCAATCGTACAAAGCTTCACTTATGCAAGCAGCATTGTCAGCTGCACAGAAATGGTTTGTTGAAGTAAATATTGGCATCTTAACAAACTTTCGTCTGAAAATAACACGTATTCATCGATTATTTAGTTAGCACAACTTGGTATGAGCGTAGTTATGTTGTACTACGGTGCACGGCTAGTCCGCAATGGTGATGTTAAAGGACCTGATTTGTTGGCATTTGTTATCTATCAGTTAACTCTGGGAGCTATTCTAAGTGTAAATAGAAGAAAACTTTCTTTTTCTATGAAATTGTTCGTGTTTGTTGAAGGATATATCTCAAATATATACCGCATTGATGACCGCGGCTGGTGCAAGTCAATCCGTGTTTGATTATCTTGATCGTAAACCATTACAGCGCCCGAGCGGCACACTAGAACCAAAGGAGTTTCAAGGTGAAATTGAATTCAATAACGTTTCACTCGTCTACCCAGCACGACCCAATGAAGTCGCAGTGAAAGTAAATTGATAATATTGATTTTGTTTTGGAAATGAATTTCATCTTTTGTGAAGAATATATCGTTCAAAATTCAACCCGGTCAAACTTGTGCATTTGTCGGCCCCTCCGGTTCAGGTAAATCTCAAATCAATCCATATATTCGAAGAAAGTTCTTTTATCTTTATCGTAGGAAAATCGACATGCGTCCATCTACTCGAACGTTTCTACGATCCGAGCAGTGGAACGATCCTGATTGACGGTCAAGAGATTCAAGATTATGATCACAAATATCTCCATAAGAAGATTTCCATGGTTGGTCAAGAACCGATTTTGTTCAATCGAACAATAAAGGAAAATATTGCCTACGGATTAGAAAATCATGATGATTCCGCTATCATCAACGCTGCAGAACAAGCAAATGCGCACGGATTTATCACTGATCTCGTTAATGGTTATAACACAATTTGTGGACAACGCGGTGGCCATTTATCGGGCGGTCAGAAACAACGTGTTTCGATTGCTCGAGCTATCGTTCGAAAACCGACAATACTTCTATTAGACGAGGCAACATCGGCATTGGATCCTGTTAACGAGCGATTGGTAAAATCTTTGTTCATTCATTGATTGAATTCAACTCATTTTCACTTTTATAGATTCAAGATGCATTGTTCTATGACAAGGCGAAACACGAATTAAGAACTATTCTGATTTCTGCACATCGATTGAGCACAATCGAACGATGCGATCGAATTTTTGTTATTCACAAAGGTACTCTAGTTGAACAAGGTACACATGAAGAATTGATGGAAATCGATAAGGGACTCTATCGCGAACTTGTTCGACGGCAACAAATGGACATAGACAACGTATGAAATGCATCAATGAGTACTGTCTCTTATATAATCCAGCATTGGTTGATATTGTGCAATAGAAAGGAAAGCAGTCCATTGAAATCAAAGATCTTAGTTGTAATTTTTGTTGTATTCTCATCGATATGTATCTATTTTGTCATAATAATTCATTTGTAGATCTGATCTACAATCATTTTCTATACATGAATTTCGTCAAAATATATGATTCAAACTAAATTCACGGAATTTAAAAGATTCATCGTGTTCACGTGTTGACTGAGACATAAAATGCGTCGTTCAATATCGCTTGTTCACCATGACATCTTCAAGTCTATTAAAAGAATTCTTCCCTGTCAGAAACAGCCAATAGTACACATCAACCTCACTGGTTCGTTCTCCTCCTCCTTCTTTTTTTTTCTCTGACAAATTTGCCGTTATTGCACAACGACTATGCAATGCGTAAAAACATCACAATAAATACCCTTGAAAAAAAATAATATTTTCACTAACTGAACTTAAGTTTTGCTATAATGCCTAAACGTGCAGCACCAAAACCAAAAGCCGCCGCCGCCTCAGCTGAAGTCGAAGTCAAACGTGAAACACCAAAACGCAAAGCTGCCGATGCAGCCGGGCACGAAATGAAACGTGCTAAGGGCGAAACAAATGTTTTCGATTTGAAATGGCATGAACATGGCGAACCGTTAGGCAAAGGTTTCGTTCCATTGGTCTACCTCTATGGTGACACCCTAGCAGGTAGTTCGAAAATCGCTGCATTCGATATGGATTCCACATTGATTAATGTCAAATCTGGAGCGAAGTTCGCGCGAAGTATGTTGATGAATATCAAAATTATTTGATCATGTCATTTTTTTTTATTCAGATCATGAGGATTGGGTTTGGTGGCATGAAACCGTTCCGAAAAAACTCGCTGAGTTGCATTCGAACGGATACCGTCTGATTATTTTTACAAATCAAGCTGGTATTGAAAAACTGCACACGAAATTAGACGATATCAAACGTAAATGCGAAAAACTAATCGAAGAAGTCAATGCGCCAATCTATGTTTTTATTGCAACCGGTGAAAATCATTTTCGAAAACCGGCGACAGCTATGTTTGACTTCTTCGTGGAAAACTGTAATCAAAATGTTGAGGTAGATCGGAGAAGCTCGTTCATTCTTCCTTGTTATTGTATTTATGAATGATAGATTGATAAGAAGAATAGTTTCTACTGTGGCGATGCTGCTGGACGTGTGAACAATTGGGCACCGGGCAAGAAGAAAGATTTCTCATGTGCCGATCGGAAATTCGCAAATAACATTGGACTGTGTAAGTGTCGACAATCAAGGCTATGTTAGCAATTATCTGCTCATCGGAACTCTTTTAGCTTTCAAAACACCTGAAGAATGCTTTCTTGATGAAGCACCGACGACTAAATTTGAATGGGGCTCGATTAATCCACGAGAATTTATCACTAAATTAGGCAAAGGCAATGCGACACAAACTTATCACAAAAATGTAAAATTTCAGCACGAATAAGATTCAATAATTCACTTCCTTTTCTAGAGTCAAGAACTTGTTATTCTGCAAGGGCCACCGGCATCAGGTCAGTTGAAAAGGTCATGGAGTTGCGCATTTCACTCAACATGTGAATATTATAGGGAAAAGCACCTTTGCTCGCCGATATTTTCAACCTCATAACTATGCCATTGTCAATCGCGACACACTTCAAACGGCAGCGAAATGTTTAAAAGTACCGTGTAATGCTTTCATAAAAGAAGTCTTTATTCATCCTTCTTAGGCAGCAAAAGAAGCTTTAGACAGTGGCAAAAGTGTTGTTATTGATAATACCAATCCCGGGGCAGATACTCGAGCGGACTACATTGTCTTAGCCAAGGAACGTAAAATCCCCTGCCGTTGTTTTGTTCTCAATACGCCAATAGAATTATGCGGCCATTTGAATTATGTCCGTGTTCAACAAACAGTCGGCGAAGTTCGACGAATTCCAGGTATATTTTCTGAAATAGACATTTGATCATGTCAAGGTCTCAATACTGTTTTAGATGTCGGATACAACATGTATAAAAAGAATTATCAAGCACCGAACACCAGTGAAGGCTTCAGTGAAGTTACGTTCATTGATTTTGTACCAAAATTCGATTCGGATGCTGATGAGAAAATTTTTCATTATTATACAGAATCATAATCGAATGCTTTTTTGTCGTTATTGTATTTTCCATCAATAAATATTTCTAGAAATTATATTCTCTTCAAAAAAGTGTTTCGTAAACAACGAGTGTGTTTCTAAATATTCTTATTATGAATGCAAAAGTTATTCATTGGAGGCGAGAGTTAAATCTTTAGGGAATTGAGCGCAATAGAATATTCGGAGACGACATTCGAAAATGTTCATTTCATCGATCCGAATCTTAACCGATACGCTGTTAGCAGTATAGCTGTGTGTTCCTAAGAGCTGCAACCCAATCTAATTAATATAGATTTCGACACAACAAGAACTACTTGCAGTTTCTGACAATCAACTACATTTCTATCCTTGTTATGATTCAAGGCGCGCTCTCTCTTTCTCCTCTCTGTATACATAACAACTATAATCCCATAGAAAAAGGAGGAAAAAAAGAAATCTTATTAGTTTCGTATTTCCTTTCGTGCTCAACTCCGCTCTAAAGTTAATGTGAACGTCTGATACTATTTTCTCCTTTGTGTTTCATGTAAATAATATTGTTTAATATCCGATCGTACATTCACTAGTCACTCTATTGTGTCTCAATTTTAATCGAGATCAAGTCTCTCTGAGGGCGATTACATCTGCAAAGAATCCTCAGATAAAAAGAAGGGAAGAATGATGAAGATAATTACATGTATAATTAAAAATTTAGTTATTTCTACGGTTCTCTTCTCACAAAGAATATTTCCTCCGAAAATGAAAGGAAACGAGTTGTTTCTTGATCTCATCAGACATGTGAATGTTATGTTCTTTGATTTTTCCCTTATTAGTAAGAAGACAATGATGATTTGACTATCACACGTAATGTTAAAGCATACGCTACGAACATAAGCGTAATAATTAAGAGAAGTAGTGAAGCACAAGAAAAACGCAGCAAGCTGCATATAAAACACCCACGATTTAATCAATGCTTCTTTTTTCTCTCTCTCTCTTTCGAAAAATATCAATTGTGCGTCGTTCAGAAGTACTTCATTCTTGTCATTTTGGTGAACAGAGAAAGAGTGCTTATTCCTCTCATTTTTTTATCATCGTTTTTCTGCAAAAGATTCTTCGCAGCCCTTGTTTTTTTCTCTCGATTGAAATAAACAACAGGTTAATGAATAGAGTCGACATTCTCAATTGTTAAATCACTATGTCATTTCTAATCTTTTCGCAGACGAACTTCATCGTTACTTCGAGTTGGTTTTATTAGATTTCGAGTCGTCATGTACTCTTAGCCAACGAACTAATGTCATTATTAATAGGACGACAAGTTTCGAGAAGAGAAAAAAAAACTGCAATGCAACGTTGATTTTAGAGACTGGGTATTGTATCGTCCTTCGTCCTTCGTCGTCTTCTTCTTCTTTTCGATACTACAAACACTGAAGAAGGAAAAAAGAGAGAAACGCTCATGATCATGATGATGATTGGCGAAAGACATTTATCGTCTAAACTGAAAAGAAAAAGATAGTAGATAGAATGTCAGATGTTCTTTGTGTCACATTCAACATTTATATTTCTGTTATCTTTTGAGAAGAACTTTCCGTAGAGACAAAAAAAGGAATCTGATCTTCTTTCAAATGTATGTAGATGCGTCAATTTGACTAGGAAAATCTTTTTTCTCTTCGACGCGTCAGCAGAGACGAGAATTTCAAATTGATTTCCAAGTTTTAATTAAATGTCATATTGTTGTCGAGATAAAAGATTTCTCTTCGAAGGAAGGAAATGCTCCATTATTCTTCATGTTTATATAGCTGTTTTATACCAAGGTCATGCGCTGACCTTTTTTCCAGACAACACATACAAGTTGTTTCCTTCTTTTTCTTTTTTTTTTATTGAGATACTACCGAGAACATATTGTTAAAGCGCTCGGTCGTTCGTTCGATAGAAACTAATCTTCAATAGAGACAATAATTGTCTAAGGGCTCGGCAAAAAATAGGTTTGATATCAAAACTAGAAACGGCATCAACAACAAGAAAATACGTTTGTTTACATATTATCCGATAGCTTCGTTTTGTTCTCTATCAACAAGTCTTGGGACAAACTTGTATACGCACACAGACATCTGTAGATCGTCGGCGTTTTTCTTCTTTTCTGTCGTTTTCTCGACTACAAGATCAATCTTCATTGATAGTCAGATGCGCTAAACACTTAACTGAATGATTTACGCATGCTTATAACGATTCCATCATCTTGTTTTTCTTCTTCTAACTTCTAGAAACTTTTGTTTCTATAAGTAACATAGTGAAATATGACTGATCCATTAGACGGATTGTCGAACTATCAGTCATTACCATCTGAGCAAATGTTTACGACGAATGAAGCAACAGCAGCAGCTGCTGCAGCAGCCAGTATACCGATCTCGGACTTTCGACGAAATGAAATTCGACCGATTCTGAGTGACGATGGTAAAACATGAATTTTGAATGTGAGAAATATGTGTTTATTCTTTGCTATTTTCCCAATAGATCGACATAAATCAATTTATCATCAGCCCAGTTTGACAAAATATAGTTCAGCAGAACGACGGAAAAAACGTCATCATCGTTCACATGTATCCGGAGAATCTTTCGATGCAGCGTCGAAATCAGTCACGAGTATTGAAACTAATGAGTCATGCGAAATTGGTAATAGTTCACATTCGCTTTTCGAACAAGATAATACAGATTTAATCGTGTTAGATAATCCAAGTGCACGTATTCAATTTCTACTCGGTGATGACGATCAAGAAGAGGATGACGAAGAACATAAACCACATGATTTATTTATTGAGTTAAATGAATTGACTCTTGGTAATGACAAACCCAATGAATCAGGCGAAATTATTGAACAAGGCTGGAAAGAAACAGCAAGGTAGAACAAATTGATCATTTGCATCTTGAAAGTTCTACATGTTCGTATCTTATTGCTTTCAGATGGGTCAAATTCGAAGAAGATGTCGAAACTGGTGGGCGATGGAGCAAACCCTATGTTGCTACTCTATCCTTACATTCATTACTCGAATTACGAAATTGTATTTTCAGCGGAAGTGTGATACTCGATATGCAAGCTGATCAATTACCGATAATCATTGGTTCGTTGACTCTCTAGCAAGATGTTTTCAGTGATAATTATTAATATTATTGTTGTTATTCTTCTAGATATGATTCTTGATGATATGATTGCTAATAAAACCCTATTATCCGACAAACGACTTGCTACACGTAATGCTCTTCTTCTGAAACATATTCATCAGGTATGTGCGTTTTCTGTTTTCTGAAAACTAAGAGAATCCTCGTTCTATTCTCGATGAATTCTAGCATGAAAAAGAATTTCATCGCCATTTAAATACGCAAGAAAGCAAGAAACCATTGCCGTTTACTCGTTCATTAGCTGAATTAACAAAGAGTCGTTCACAGAAGGATGTCACATCGATGGGGACCGACCCGGCGATGTCAACAGGAGGAAATCCTAATCAAACACCCACTCACAAACGTAAATTTTCTATTAATAAAAAAGTTCGTCAGCCAGAAAATGATTTGTGACTTTCTTCTAGCTCCTAATAATACGTCTGCAGAGAAATTTCTTACGGGTAACGACACATGCCTAGACTGAATGTGAAATTACATTTTCCTTGTCTTGTTTAGTTGGCAGTGGTGATCTATCAAAAGTCCGTGCTAATGAAAATGATGAAAGTGGAACTAATTTGATCACGCCGGAGTCTCGTGCTAAAGTAATATCTAGGCTTTTTGGCAGAATTCATTGGATCTTTCAAAATAGATCAATACGGGCTTTTTGAAAAAAGTTCCACCGAACGCTGAAGCGACGAATGTTTTAATCGGTGCTGTGGATTTTCTTCAAACACCTGTCTATGCCTTTATCCGTCTGAAGAAAGGTGTCATCGTACCTGATTTGTTGGAAATACCTGTCCCGGTGCGATTTCTTTTTATTTTACTTGGACCTAACATTGAACACTTACGTTACCATGAGATCGGACGATCCATCGGCACGTTAATGTCAGATGAAGTATGTCTGCGGAAAAAGAAACAAAAATGGAAAATACGGAATCTTGTTCATCTTCTTTTCTTCAAAGATCTTTCATGATGTCGCGTATAGAGCACGAAATCGACAGGATTTACTTGCGGGTATTGATGATTTCCTTGATCATGTCACTGTGTTACCACCTGGTGAATGGGATCCCAAAACACGTATTGAACCACCGAAAAGTGTTCCGAAAAAGGTAAGCTATAAAGAAATCTATCATCGATTTGAGTGTAACGTTTAGGAAGAACGATTGGAAAGAAATAAAATGAATGGTGTTACACAACCGACTGACATCGAGCATACTGAACATGAATTCGATCCGTCATTGACACGAACAGGACGGTAGGATACTATTGTTATATAGACGACTGAGAAATGGGCATGTATTTAGATTTTGTGGTGGTTTAATTGATGATATTAAACGAAAAGCACCATTTTATTTGTCAGATTTGACTGATGCGTTTTCATTTCAATCGCTTGCAGCGATTATATTTCTTTATTTTGCCTGTCTATCGCCAATTATTACGTTTGGTGGCCTCTTGAGTAAAGCAACTGATAATAACATGGTAGGCAAAACGATTGCGATCGATTCTTGTCTATATTTGCTTCTTCCAGGCTGCTATCGAAAGTCTGCTATCAGGTGCAATATGCGGTTGTTTATATCATTTGTTTGCTGGTCAACCTTTGACAATATTAGGCAGTACCGGTCCTGTACTCGTGTTCGAAACGATTGTTAATCATTTTTGCAAGTATGAAAATGAACTTTGCTGAGAAAAGCTTCCTTCGAAATGTTCGATTTATAGAAATCATGGATTTGATTACATGAACTTTCGGTGTTGGATTGGTTTATGGACCGCATTCATCCTAATAATTATGGTCGTTACCGATGCAAGCTATCTGGTAAAATACATCACTAGATTTACTGGTAAATCGACCGCTATCATTCTCTCTATATGTATTGAAAAGAATGGTCTTTTTCTTCTAGAGGAAAGTTTTGCTGCGCTGATTGGTATTATCTTCATCTATGAAGCATTTGATAAAATGATTGAGATCAACCATGCACGACCCGTACGATTGCACACAGTTCATTCACTTCCACCGGATTGTTCTTGTTCGCTGTCAAAGTACGCAGAGCCGAACACAACGATAACAATCAGCGTAAGCAAACTAATTTGTTTTCTATATGTTACGACATGACCTTTTCCGATGTTTAGGATTGTTTCAGAAACAAGTCCTATGAATTTAGTGGTCCAAATTGTAATCTCAACAAAGGCGAACCTTATATTCCGGATGTATTCTTGTTCTCAATAATTCTTTTCCTTTCAACGTTTGTTTTGGCTTATACATTGAAGAATTTCAAATTCAGTCGATTTCTATCGCTGACGGTTTGTTTCGTGTTCTCTTTCCGGCAGTCTCCTATTTTCGATTTATTTAGATTCGGACAAAAGTGAGCGATTTCGGTGTTGTATTAGCAATTTTCATCAATGTCCTAATTGACTATCTGATTGGTCTTGACACACCCAAGTTGCTTGTGCCGAGAAAATTCGAGACGACAAAAGTAGGTCGCGGCTGGATCATTAATCCGTTTCGAAAGAATCCTCCGTATATGTATGCTGCTGCTCTATTGCCTGCATTATTAGCAACAATACTTATCTTTATGGATCAACAAATCTCAGCTGTCATTGTCAATCGAAAAGAAAACAAACTGAAAGTAAAAATATGTCCTCTCTACTTTCTTTCTGACTACTTGTTTTTTTTTGTTTCGCTCATGTAGAAAGGATGCGGTTATCATCTTGATCTCTTAATTGTTGCACTTTGTATTGCGATTAATTCGATCCTCGGTCTTCCGTGGTTCGTTGCTGCCACAGTTTTGTCTATCAATCATGTCATTGCTCTTAAACTCGAATCTGAAACAGCTGCACCTGGAGAGAAAGCGAAATTTCTCGGTGTTCGCGAGCAGCGTGTCACTGGCTTTATCGTCTTTCTCTTCATTGGCTTATCCGTATTTCTAACCAAGTTCCTCAGCCTTATTCCAATGCCAGTTCTCTACGGAGTCTTCCTTTACATGGGCATATCATCGATGAAGGAAATTCAGTTAATATCACGAATTCTCTTGATGTTTATGCCGGAGAAATATCAGCCCGATTATGTTTATCTTCGACATGTTCGCACGCGCCGTGTCCATCTATTTACGATTATTCAATTAACATGTTTAATTTCGTTATGGATCATCAAGTCAATCAAAAGTATTTCAATCTTATTTCCAATCATGGTTTTAGCTTTAGTTGGCGCACGAAAAGCAATGGATTACGTGTTTACTAAACGCGAGTTACAATCATTGGATGATCTCATGCCTGAAACCGTTAAGAAGGAAATTGAAGAGCGAAGAAACAGCGCTCTACCCGAAGCACTCAATGAAGCAGATCAAGTAAGTTTGAAAAGATGTGTTATTGTATGCAAGAGCTCTATTTCTAGCCAAAGGAAACCATAAAATTTGATAGCAGTGAACTACGCATCTCCATCGGCGATGGAAAAGTCGTTAAAGTTCCAACAGAAAATGTTCAAGTAGGTTTTATATCTTTCGAGAGCGTCTTTTCAATTGCGTGAACTCTCTATCATTGAAGATCAATCCATCGACAGGTGTGATTAACTTTTCCGAAGAAGTTGGTAAAACATCCTTGTGGAAATCAATTTCAAAATCTTCTAATCACGACAAACATTCGCGCACTTCAGGAATCAAAAACAAGTTTGTTACTTTTTCGTTCTAAATTTCAGACAAATTCTCTTTCTTTAGAATTCGTAAATTGAGTTTGAGTTTCCTCAGTCCTGACGAAGACCGAAGTTTAGTCTCAACAGGCAATACACAATTGCCGTCGATTGTCATCGAACAAATCGAACCGTCAGCATCTAACAGTGCTCAACAAAGTCGAAGAACTAGTATAACTAAAAGCAATAATGGCAATGACTTGTGATTGTTTTTTTTCTATCTTTTCTTGTATACCTTTCTTAGTCATTATTATTAAACAGTGATCATTAGATGTTAAACAAAAGTCTTTCTCAATAGGAGACAGAAAACATCCGGTCTGTGTGGTATTTTTTCGACTTCTCTTCCATTTTTTAAATTTAGCCGTTACGTTAGAAACCTCACGAGTATTTTTTTCATCATATTGTAGTAGTTTGTGCGTGTGTCTGTGTTCTTGTTTTTTGTTATTCATGTTGTTGTTGTTTGCTTTGCGTTGAATAGAACAGTATTCTTTTGGACAAAATAAACGAGTCAAGATTTTCTGAGTTTATTGAATAAAAATTCAGGAGAAGTAGCGATATTTCTCAAAGGCGTGACAGGCGACGATATTGCAGAATGAATTGCGCAAGTTCTCTTTTTTCATATATTACTGAATAATCCTTATTTTCGTGATTTTTATCACTGTCGAAGTGTCGAATAGCTCTGTAATATGATTCGCGTTAGTTTTGTGAAAGAATTCGACTAGAGGGCGCATGTGACAAAAAAGAATTCTAACAGTTTTGTTTGTTCAAAACTTCCGCCCCCATCTTTCACTTACCGACAGTTTAAACGAAAACAACAGAAATGCAGTTCTTCATATAACATACGAGAAGTCCAAGAAAGAGAAGAAAAAAAACGCATTTTTCTCCGTTTTCAAGTGCGTGTGTCATACTATCGTATTTTTGATCTTTGACAAGAAATAAAATATTTGATTATTCTCTTTGTTTTTTGTCAAAATCTCCTTCTACATCGTGCTCATTTTCTCATCATTGGTAAGCAGCGCATGCGTGCTGATTCATTCAATATGAAGTTAACACTCTTTCTTCTATTTAAAACATCCCGATTTGAAATGTTTTGTAGTAACAGGAGACCTTAATTGTTGCTCTTTGTATTCTTATCAAGTAGTTTCTACTTCATCACACATTTTCTTCCTTGCATATGCGTCGTCTGTTTCTTTATTTTTTTTCTCTCTCCTAACAGCATCACTGTTGTCAAGTGAAGAGGGTGAGGGCCAAAAAAGGAAAATTAACATCCGCATTGATAAAACTAACGTCGACACTTTTCTCTTCTAATGATAACGCGTTTAGATATGAATACTCCTGACCAGACAAAATACGAGTCGAATGCAAATGTTGATCAACAACGGTTTGACGATCAACTACAGCAACAATTGATTCAACATCAGACAAGTCGCAAACGAGAGAGAGATTATGCAAGAATATTCCGTGAATACAATACACCTGCTCAATGGTATCAAGCATCTCCATTACCACGATCGATTTATTTCTACGATCCACAGTATCAAAGATATCTTCGACAACAGTCAGGATTACCGATGAATAGCCCGGTTAGTACAGAAAAACAACGCCTTCTGATGTTTGAATTTGAATGATTCATTTTAGCGGGCTTACTCACCAAGGCATGTTGCTAGTCGATCGCCATCTCGTGCAAAACCTTCAAAAGCTCACTCGCCGTCCAGACGATCCCATTCATCTCGCGTACGAATGCAACCGTCGGTATTGCCACCGATAACAACTGCGAAACAAGTCAAAGACGAGTAACTATCTTGGTATAGTTTATTCAAGAATGCAATAATCAATCATACTATTTTTTTTAAACGCGTTATGTTCTTTTCTTCTTTCACTTTGGAATAAAAGCAAATTAAACATCGATTTCGGAGAATGCATCGAGTCGATGATAGAAAAAATCAAATTTGTACATGTCGGTTTCATTACTTGCACGAAATGCAACTGTATCTGGTGAACAACATGTATCCTAGAAGAAACAAAAATGAACTTATTGATAGAATTACGTTCGTGAAAATATAAAAATAATCAGGAGAAAAAGCTTACGACACTCGGTATTCCCAGGCGGTCACCCATCCAAGTACTAACCGAGCCCGACGTTGCTTAACTTCAGTGATCGGACGAGAACTGGTGTATTCAACGTGGTATGGCCGTAAGCATTTGTTCACTCTGTTCTACTTTACCTTAAGTTGCTTATCCATTTTGTAGAAGGATAGATTTTGTGAGCGAATTAAATTGCTATCGATTGGATTGATTTTAATATCGAATTTTTTCATACACGAAACGAATTCATGATCGTACATCATGTCTGACAGACACTTGTCTTTCTCTGTCTCAATTTCTTCGTATAATGCTAATCGATCTAATGCATAATGATTAAATAACATAACTGAACCCGTTGTTTTTATTTGACGACTTCGATAAAGTTCGTCAACATCTCCAACGTGTACAATTGCATCTTTTTTCTTCTTTGCTTGTTCATGCAATTGATTAACAAGCCGTCGAAGATTTGGCATAATCACAAACGAATCATCACTTGCTCGGACAAACCAATGGTAAGATGGATAAGGTCTATATCTTTGAAGATATATTAGAGCATTGAGTGTCTGTTGATTAATGGTCGACGGTGTAATGTCAGTGATATTTTCAAAATATTCTAACATCATCAGATCAATACTTGTGTTCTGCAAACGAGTAACAAAGTAGAATCGATCGCATCGTTTTCCCCAACTGTACACAATCGCTGTTGACGATGTCAAATGTCGAGCATTTGAACTGAGCACGAAACAAAATATAACTGGCGGTCCCTGTCGTTGAACATCGATCGCATCTTCGATTCTGGTCAAGAGTATGATGATTATTATCAACCAAAGAATTCCAACGCAGGTGAACAGAACAATAAGAGGAACTAAACGATAACTTGGTCTTGAATAATAATAACGGTATGATTGATAATAAGACCACATTTCTTTCGAACAACAATCTGTGCGCATCACATTTTGTCATGCCTGATTGCTTTTTTTTCTTGTTCTTTTCTTTTCGTCAAAATATTTTCTCATATTGAAAATATATTCATTTCATTTTTTCGAACGGACTTCACATACTCCGACATTTTCCCTCTTTACTTGATCTTCTCCGACTCTGATTACATCGATGTGAAGAAAAAAACAAATACTGTCAATTGCATCACACAATTATTTGTTCTATACATATATTCAACTATCAACAAAGACAATAGTCGATGCATATGACATCGCTGATGTAAAATGAACCGAGCCATAATTTTGCATATATACTATATAAATACATTTGTTGTCCCATCATAATTCTCAACTACCTTCAATTTCAATGTGAATAAATAGCACTCTTATCAGTGAAATATATCTCACTCATACACTTCAATGTTTATATTAGATTTATATGGCGAGTGAGAAGAAAATTTGACCGAAAACGATCAAAACTTCATTTCGATTAACTTTCCATGTACGACCCTTTTGTCTATCTGCGATTATCGAATTGACGAGCACATGATAGCAGATTAAAATAGATTCCTTTTTTTTTCTAAGTACACGATTTCTACAATCATATCTTCGAGAAAAAAAAACAACGCAACAACAAGGGTTGCAAATGCGCGTGAGCGTCATCACATGAATAGGGTAATAGTAATTTAGTAGTGTAGACGATATAAAGCAAGAGAAAGAAAAGAAAAAGGAAAAAAACGTCAGAACGAACGAGAGACAGAGGAAAACAGGAGCAGCTGATCGAGGATGAATGTATAAGGCGCGCGTTTCTTTTTTCGGTATGTGAGTGCCGAAGATTTTTGCGAGACGGAGGATGTTGTTTTTTTGCGTTTCAGATGCTCAAACAACCCCTTTCTCTCTCTCTCTCTCTCTTCACAAAAGCAGAACTAGAAACACAACAAGTCGACAAAACTCGCCTATCATCAACAATAAGAAGCCTACCAACAACAACAATAATAATAATAAAGAGAATATCGACAACAACTAAGAAAAAGCAAAAACTCGATATAGAATATAACGTTTCCAATTATTCCTTTTGCAGACATTATTACATTCTTTTCCGATTCCAAGTAAGATTTTACACATGTGTGCAAGCAGGTTTTTTTCATTCACAAGGTCGTTCATGGAGTCGTTTTTAATCGATACAAATATATATGGTGCTCGAAAAGGAAAAGTTAGTTGTAATAGTCATACACGTTGATGTCTTAATCATTACATTTGAACAGCTGCTTTTTTGTTAGTATACGTAAGAAAAACGATCGACTTGTATGCGACCTTGATTCATTGAAATTGTCCTTAGATAACAAGACACTCCTGTGTATTCATATTTAACTTTATTATTGCATGAGAATAGTAACCGAATCATTTACTGATAGTCGTTATAATCATCGACTCGAGTTTATATCAATATCTTTATTTACTTCTAGGCTGACTTATGTCACATAGATGAAAAAAAAAGTTATTTAGAGAGGTAGAAAAAGAACGGAGCAATGTAGAGAAAGAGGCAAGAGAAAGCAAACGAGGAAGAAAGAGAGCCAGGCAAACATACATACACACACACACACAACACAGGGACAGGGACAGTGTCAATCCTATTCTGTCGTTTGACTAGTTTATGCGTCGTTATTATCAGATATCGTTTCTGCGATCGAAATTAGTTGTACATGATGTTCGTACCGATGTCGAGAGATTTCTTCGTCAAAAGAGAATATGGGTTATTAGAAATCACTTCTTTTTTCATCATACTTTACTCATCATGTTCATTGTTGATGAGATTCATCAGAGCAGAAGAATGCAATTCGACTTCAACGTCCGAGATAGCCTGTGACAGGAAGCGGAAATAAAAAGATAGAGTCATTACACTTCGAGGAGAGAAATATTAGCTTCTTGCTCAGATATCTTATAGTAGAGAACAAACTAGGCTTCATCACACAACGATGTCAAGGTTAGATACTTTCAACAAATTGTTTGTGCAGTCAATTTCAACATGAAATTATTTGGTTTTGTTTTTCTTTTGTAGAATATCTTTAATTATCACAATTGATTGAATTCATTGTTTAAACACCGGGGTGGCAAGCTGTTGGTCATTTCTATCTACTGTAAGTAATTTCGCATGCATATACATATATATGTGTGATGATATTCATTCATTTTTGACAAGAGCGTTGATGAATGCGAGAGATAAACATCTCTGTCGTGTTTGTGATACGTTTGTGTATTTAGCCCCCTGCTTGACCAGTCGATGGAGTTCTTCACTTGTCGTTTTTTATTGTTGTCTTATCGAAACGTTTGAGTAAATGCCGTGTGTGTATATATAGATCATCCTCACATCACGGTATCGTCCTTCAGTTTGCAGACGAAAAGAACGATGATTAAGTATGGAAATGTCGACCTTTCAAACGGGAGTTTTCCCTTTTAATTGTGTAGACAAATTGACGAAAGTGAATGTTATGCAAGCGACTACGACTACTGTTCATCGTTATCGGATTAAGGAACATAAAAGATATTTTCTTTAAGTTTGCGTGTCCCGTATTTGTTCGTCGTCAGAGATTGCGTAACGAATAGAAATCTCGGAGAGGAATGGTGTTTGATAGAAAGACAAATTGGATACGCTCAATCAATTTTCATTTCTTTGTCATTTACATTTATCTGAATGAGTGAGAGTTCAATGATCGATTAGATCGTTGTAGTTGTGACATATGTATATGGTCATTAAGTTCGAGTTGTTTTATTATTATTAGGTTGGAGAATGAGAATGTATAGACACGAAAAGATAAACGTTCATGTCTAGTCTCTTTAGCGATCAATGGTATATTATTCACCAATAAATTCGAAAATGCGATTGAAGAAGTGTGAAAGGGAAGCAAAGTGTAATACGTTCATTTATACGATGGTAAGAAGATAAGAAATATTGAACGACCTTGGATAGATCTAATATTTGTTCATGGTTGTCGTTACCGTTAATCAGTCACGAGTAGATGCTTATTCCTACGGAGTTATCTGTTTTCTTTCTCGACTAAGTTTGTCATTGGTCTGTGAAGGAGAAAGAAAAAGAAAGTCAAGAACATCATCGGATGTAGAGGGACGAAGAAAAAAGAACTTCAGTTGGAAAAATAATGCACACGTGGTGTTCGTATTATTTCCCTTCTTCTCTTTCTATTTACGTCCTGTAACTATATCATTCAATCTCGTCTAGGTTCGCCAAAAAATGGTGAAGAATGGTCATCATGGCGGTTCCAAAGCGTTGGGTAAACTATTTCAGTTTTATCTGCCGGCGAAAACTCATCGCACCTACTCATGTCTTCATTGCCGAGTTCAATTAGCGAGCCATGATGAACTCATTTCGAAAGTATGTCAAAAACGAAAACACCACCCTTTCGATTCTACATTGTGTTCTACTTTCAGTCATTTCAAGGCAGTCAAGGTCGCGCATACCTATTCAATTCCGTGTATGTATTTTTATCTTCATTAATTCTTCGAAACTGCTGTTATTTTGAAGTGTTAATGTAAATACCAGTGCTGCCGAAGAACGCGTATTGCTCACAGGTCTTCATGAAGTCGCTGATGTATATTGTGATTGCTGCAAAACGTTACTTGGCTGGAAATATGTAAACATTCACGAAATTCAGTTAGACGAAATCATTCAGCTCGTGTATGTCTATTGTAGGAACATGCATTCGAATCAAGCCAGAAGTATAAGGAAGGAAAATACATTATCGAACTTGTACATATGATCAAGGATAATGGTTGGGATGATGAAAACATCGATAAGACAACGTATTTAAAGAAATAAATAACTTTACCCGCGTGCCACGAACAGTGATGTTATCAATTTTTCAAATTACAAAGAGAAAAAGAAAGGCAGAAATAAACACAAATCGACCATATAACATCGAACAGCCGTTTTGTTTTCTATTTATCTAGTCATCGTTCCATATCTTAACCGTTCGAAATTAGTATTCACTTGAAGATAAGTAGAAGAAAAACACTCACATGCTTCGATTCGTGTTTTTTTCTCTTTTATTTTTATTTTCTTTCGTGTACATGTCTAGCACACCTTTCTCTTGTTACTTTCATGTATATAGATTCCGTTTGTATATATCAGATACTTCAATATTATAGCAGTAAGCTTCGTTTTGTTGTTTTCTATTCTAATATTTCGATCGGTGTTTACTTCTCCGGCGCGATTTGTTTCCTTCTTCTTCGTTTTTCCGTTTCGACAATAGAAATACAGAGTGACTATGATGACCGTGTGAAAGAAACTGAACTATGATTGATTCATTGACGATGATAAGAAGAATTTTATAGGTCACGAATGATCATATGCAAATAAAGATGGTAAATACAAGCGAAGGACAATTTATTGCCTTGTCAAACTATGATAACAGACATTTCAAGTGTTAATCAATGCAAACTTTTCAACTATCATATGGGATCTCATGTCGAAGAAACACGCATTCAGAGTATCAGCAAAGATAAAAATATTTGCTATTCTGTGCGATGATTATTTTCTTGATGTGCAAAGCAAAAAATAAGGGTTTGATGTCGTTACGGTTGGTCAAATAGTATGCACATATGTATAAAAAGCACCATGAAAGTAATGGTTTAATCATTGGTAAAGCAAAAACGTATTCACGGTTGACTGCGAGTGACGCGAGAAAATGTTGTGGCCGCTAGTTTATTATCTATTCGGAATCTTTGGCTTTATTCTTTTGTACGAATATTATCAAAGAAATATTGCGAAACAAAAAGCTCTGCTAGATTTTCTTCGCAGTCTTGATACGTTTCCTCAAGGCCCGTTAGCCATATCTAATAAAAAGTAAGTCGTTCGCAGACAAGTTGACATTGTCTTGATTTTGAAATGTTAGACCATTCGAAAAAATCAAACAGGAGATCGCATCGTACTTTTATTTTCAACGTCTTCATGTTATCTTTGGTGTTGATTTCTCAGCTAGCAATGAATGGCAGGGATTGAAAACTTTCAATGGACAATCGTTACATACGACACAACCGAAAAACATCAATCCATACCAGAAGGTCTGAATGATGTATGAATGAAAATCAGCTAAGTTTCGGTTCGTTCTAGGCGATCAGTCAACTCGGCTTGATCTTTGAAGAAATTTTCCCGTGTAAAATCAAATATTCGAGTTTTGGATTCGGCGATGAAAATACAAAAGATTATTCGTTTTTTCCAGTTGTTGCCTCTGGAGAAGAATTCGATAGTCATCAAAAGATTCTCGATGCGTAATGTTGAATAATACACATTTTGCACTTCATTCCATTTGTCTCTTCATTCTCTAGCTATTTAAAACAAACAGAACATGTCAATCTCAGTGGTCCTACCGAGTACACACCGATAATTCAGAAACTCATCTCGCAAGGCACTCTTTCTCCCCGAGACTTCACAATGCTGGTTATAATCACAGATGAATTGAAAGTTTCCTCTGAAAATAAAACGTTAGTCAAATCTCTTCGCACACTCGCAAATTTGCCCAATGTTTGTTTGCTCGTTATTGGCGTCGGCGACGGGCCCTGGGGAAAACTTTCCTATGAAGAACATCACATACGTGAAGAAGTCTTTGCAAGAATTGACAAAAAGAAAATGCCCAAAGAATCAGCTCAATCGAAAATCTTTTATGATAACTTCCACTTTGTAAGTCATAATAATTTTCTTGTCAAACAGGACAAGTTGGATACAGAAAATTATTTTGGTCGAGCTGTTCTACGAAAGTTGCCAACGCAATTAAAACAAGCGTATCGCCACGACGAACACCGAACGAAACCACAAGATTGATTAGTATAGACATTTCATGATTGATCTTCTTCTATTCTTTCTTTTTTGAATTCGAATAAATATCGCTCGTTCGTGCGAATGCCATCTATTCGATAGAGGTCGTACAATGTTAGTCGGCAACTATGATTGGCGAATATTTTCCGATTTTTCATTGGATATTTGACATAAAACACTAATGCTAACCAATGAGAAAAATTCGGAGACTGACTTTATTCATTCGACCCGTTGTAATATCGTTCATAATAATAAGCAATTATTCTGTTTCTTTTGCTACAATAATTCTTATTCGCTTATTTTTCTTTGTATCGGAAGCGAAAAAAAAATGTGCTCGAGATAACCATTTTCCTGTCCTTAGGTACTCATCTCATTGTATAGTATGCATCAAATGGAGGAGGCACCACCACCTCCACCAGTCAATCTCAATAATATATCACCTCTGATGAAAACCGAAGTCATTGAACATCCAGTTCTACCTGTGCCGACACCAGTTTCAGTAACGGAACCATCGGTGGCGCCGCCATCTGTTACCACAACACCAGTGGTGACCGTGCCGATTGCTCCTGCTCAACCGTTGTTAACAAGCACGCCATCGGCACCGATAAAAAAGCCAAAACGAGTATGTCTAACGTAGTAGGTTTTCAGAATAATAATATTCTTATCTATTTAGGGTTTTCGATCGTTGCTGAATAGTAGAAAACCAATTCGATCATCAGCTAAACCAGCAACACTACTCGCACGGCCATCGATTATAAGCACATCAACAATATTGCCGCACGCACAACAACCAATTCTTCTTGGTAATCAGATAGGTAAGCCATTTGACCGAGACTGTCTCTCTCTTCAACATTTTCACTAATACTAGCACCAATTATTCCGAAAGCAGCGCCAACAAGTAAGTTGTCTACTTCGATTCTGATAACATATTGTTCGAATGTATGATTAGTTCAAACGAATACACCACCAGGATTCACAACGTATTTAGTGGTGGATGGCAATCAAGGCCAAGTATGTGAAAGTTCTCTTGAAGAAATTCACCTAAGATTTATTTTCAGCTAGTACAAGTTGCAAATGATGGTCCAAAGCCTGTTACATTTCGAAACCAAACTGGTCAAATACTCCAAGCAACACCAATCACGGTTATACCGTCAGCAAATCAGCCTGTTGTCTCCACATTTCCAGTCAACGGCGACTGTTCATTACGTAAACGATTTCAGTTTCAAAAAAGAAAGTAGCGAACTATTCTCGTCTTTTAGTATCTAATTCCTCACAAACAATTACCACTGTCAGGACGAGTTCTTCGATTGATATGCAACAACAAAGTAAATCTGTTTTGAAGAAACAATCATCAATTGATTTATGTCTTTCAGCTACTTTAACGAGCGACACGACAACATTGACAACACAACAACTAACAGGTATTATCCATCAACCACCGATTTTACCCACAACATTTATCAATGGGAATAATCTCTCTACATACGATAACAACTCATCGTTGGACGAAAGTAAAACATCAGATACTAGTAATTTGTCACTGTCATTAACACAGATTGCACAAAAAGTGAATAATCGTCATCGCCGACTAAGCAGGTAAGATGAGATGATGTTTGCTTTTCCCTATCTGATTTTCGTTTCAGTTCAAGTTTATCGAAAAAGAAACGCGGTCGTCCAAGGTAAGTTCTGATGAATCGAACTAATCAATGGAAAGTTGCTCATATTTTCAGACTGTATGAACGAGATCCATTTACTAACAAACCAATTAAGAGCGATGTAACTTCTCCGAACACTGAATTAACAATTCCAACGGTTGCAAATACCACATTATTAGTGCCAGGGCAAACAGCTACATTTAACACACTACCTACGCATACAAACGGTTGCAGTTCACTTATCTTTCCAAATCAATCAGTAAGTTCGCTCATCACATTCACTCTGATCCTACCATTCATTTTAGACTCCAATCCAGATGACTGCTCCATCCTTATTACAACAACATCAATATACCTATCCATCCTTACTCAATGGAACATCATCGGCGACATCTGTATTATCACCAACAACATTTAATAATTACAAAACCAATTCTACGCCACCATTATCATCAACTACGTATCCGTATTCATCGCAGTCAGTTGCCAAGGAATATCATCCACCATCATCTGCGCCTTTGGTAACACCAACTCAAAACTTACAATCATCGTCGTCATCGACAGCAACAAACAACAATAGTGTATCCCATATTGCTCCATTGGAATCTTCACCAAGGAAATCGTCCAATAATGACATTGCTGTTCACTATATCGGTGGTTATGTTATACGTGAAAGTAGTCAACCATTTTTGCCCCTCGATCATTCTAACCACAAAGAAAATCACGATCAACTTCGATGTGTTTCATGTCAAAAGCTAGACAGTTCTCATCGATTTTTCGATCACGAAAAGAGATATTGCTCAAAACTATGCTCAATGAAGTCAAATGACATCAAAGCACCAGTTATTGCCGAATCAACACGAGTAAAAAAGAAAACCAATCATATTCCATCGCACGATCTTTTGTTTATTTTAGATTTTCGAAAATGTCATTCCACAACAAACGATTGAAGCAGATAATGACGACGCCGTATCTTTACCACCTGATCATGGTCTACCAGCTGATCCAAGCAAATGGACGGTAAGAATTGAACGCAAAGCCGAATGTAAATAACACTGTCCTTTCAATAGGTTGCGCAAGTTGGAGAATTCGTTGCCCGATTAACGAATGAAACCATACGTGAAGCGTTCTATGAAAGTGAAATGGACGGTCAAGCGTTATTGTTAATGACTCAAGATCATCTACGTGAAACCATGAAAATCAAATTAGGACCATCGTTGATCATCTCAAGTGAAATAAACAAATTACGTGAACGTGCCAAAACATTTTCATCATGATTTGTCACTCGTCGCATTTCATTCTGCTCATCATTGTTCAATTTATTGTATTATTTATTGGGTTAAGATAGCGAACTTTTCTTGGGCATTATGTGAAATTAGATCAATTTTGTATTTGTTTCCTCTGTTTTCTGCGTGTAGATATTTTCGATGGCGCGAGGAATATATGTGTTTTGTCGTTGTACTATGTTTAAAACTTATGAAAGCAGCAATCTTTCTTTTGTCATTCTCAAAACAGAAGGCCCGAAGTCGTCAGACAAACTAATAGGAACTGAAGTTGCACGTAGACATTCCATGACAGAAAAGACAAAAAAATCACTCCTTTCCATAGCGATTCCTTAGTTACGCTATTAATTGAAGCTTCCAAGAATAAAATCAACCATTAAAATGCCGTCGACTATCATAATACATGTTAATGGAATCATCAAAATTGTTGCGCTATCTACTATCTTGATATTAATGAAGAGAAAGTCGGAAGATTTGCTCTCTAAAATAGTTTTTCTCAACTGTTGTTGTCAAAATCAACGCCATCTTTTCTTACCTGTCTGAAAATCATAAGTAGGAATACACGTCGCAGGTTCATTGGTTATTTCAATTGATCATTCCCATTTGAACAGAACATCAAGCGTTGGTCTTCGCCTGTGAAGTAATCGCACGTATTAAATCAGACAAGACAAATCAAAACACCTTCATTCTTTCCGACAATTTGTCGTGCACTATCTCACTCCTCGTGCCATGTTCAAGTGGCTGCTTATCACTGCTCTACTCGGAGGTTTACTTCTTGCAAGTATGACTAACATTGTTCTTATTGTAAGTAGCCTAATTTGCTTTGTTCTTTACCGACAGATTCCTGTAAAGCTGATGAGGATGAAGTCGAAACATCGGGATCGACTACGCCCAAAGTTGATGATGATATTGGCAAACATACTGATGGATTGAAAACCGACGATGAAGTTGTTCAAAAGTAATCGTTGTGAACGAATGTTTTCCGTCTTCATCTCTGTTTTCTGCTCTAGAGAAGAAGAAGCCATTAAACTTGACGGCTTGAGTGCGAAAGAATTTCGAACATTAGTTGATTCGTCGGAGAAACATCAATTTCAAACCGAAGTCAATCGTATGATGAAACTGATTATTAACTCATTGTACAAGAACAAGGAAATCTTTCTACGTGAATTAATCTCGAATGCGTCGGATGCACTCGATAAAATCCGGTTTCTCTCTCTTACTGACAAGACAGTACTTGGTGATAAAGAAGAACTAACCATACGAATCAAAGTTGACCGAGAAGATCGCATGATTCACATAACGGATACGGGTATTGGTATGACTAAAGATGAATTGGTGAAGTTCTTGGGCACGATTGCTAAATCTGATACATCAGAATTCTTGAACAAAGTACAAGATGTTCAAAGTGAAGGAAAAGGTGGAACATCAATGAATGACTTAATTGGTCAGTTCGGTGTGGGATTTTATTCAAGTTTTCTCGTCGCTGATAAAGTTATTGTCACATCAAAACATAATTCGGACGACCAGTATATTTGGGAATCAGATTCGACATCGTTCAAAGTGTTCAAAGATCCTCGAGGAAATACACTTGGACGGGGAACAACAGTCAGGTATGATAAAACGAAAACAATAGTGTTCTACTCAATAATTGATTTGATCTTCTAGTCTTCATTTGAAAGAAGAAGCAGGTGAATTTCTACAACAACCATTGTTCGAAGATATCATACGTAAATATTCGCAATTCATTAACTTTAATATCTATTTGTGGAGATTTACAACAACAAAAGAAAAGGTTCCTGAAGATGAAGAAGAAAGTATGAAACGGTGCTGCCAAGTGTAGAGATATATATATAATCGATTTGTATCTTTCAGCTCCTGCAGAAGAGAAGAAACCTGAAGAGACTGCACCGAAAGGAGATGAAGACGCCGCTGTCGAAGAGGACAAAGAAGAAGTGAAGAAACCCAAAAAGATGAAAACAGTTGATAAAACTGTCTGGAATTGGGAGTTGATGAACGAAAGTAAACCCATCTGGCAGCGAAAGTAAGTGTCACTTGTTCACATCAACGATGCAAAACTGTGCATATCTACTTTTCTCCAGACAATCTGAAATCACTGAAGAAGACTACGTTGCATTTTACAAATCATTCTCAAAAGATACAGATAGTCCAATGATTTTCAGTCATTTTACTGCCGAAGGTGAAGTGACGTTCAAATCGATTCTCTATGTTCCAAAATCTGCCCCATTTGATTTATTCTCCAATTACAACCATGCGACTGATGCCATCAAACTTTACGTACGTCGAGTGTTCATTACTGATAACTTTGAAGAAATGATGCCGAGATACTTATCATTCATTCGTGGTGTTGTCGACAGTGATGATTTACCATTGAATGTTTCTCGTGAAACTTTACAACAATCGAAATTACTCAAAGTTATCAAGAAAAAACTCGTCCGCAAAGCTCTAGATATGTTAAAGAAGATCTCCCCGGAAGATTACGAAAAGTTCTGGAAAGAATACGGTACAAACATCAAACTAGGCATTATCGAAGATACATCCAACCGAACACGTCTAGCAAAATTACTTCGTTTCACCACATCGTTATCGAAAACCAAACAGTACAGTTTATCCGAATATATTGAACGTATGAAACCTAAGCAAGAGCATATCTATTTCATTGCGACCATGTCCTATGAAGCGGCAGCAAGATCACCATTCGTCGAACGTATCATCAAGAAAGGTTACGAAGTACTTTATCTGACCGATCCTGTTGATCAGTATTGTATGCAATCTTTACCGGAATTCGAAGGCAAGAAATTTCAAAATGTTGCGAAAGAAGGCTTAGAATTAGACAAAACTGATGTCAAATCCGAAGAAGAAAAGAAACGTTTGGACAAAATGTATCAACCGCTGTTAACATGGCTGCAAGATCAATTACGAGACAAAATTCTCGATGCCAAAGTATCCGATCGTCTAGTTCAAACACCGATGGCACTTGTAGCTTCGCAGCACGGCTATGATGGAAATATGGAACGTATTGCTCGTGCACAAGCTTATCAGAAGAGCGGCGGTGATTCGACGATGAATTATTATTTGAATCAAAAGAAGACTTTAGAAATTAATCCACGCCATCCACTAATCAAAGATTTACTTCGTCGAGTCGAAGATTCCAAAGATGATAAAGTCGCTGTTGATCTAGCCAATGTTATGTTCGAAGCGGCAACACTCCGATCCGGTTACGAACTGAAAGATACAGCTGGTTTCGCTGATCGAATTGAATCCATGCTACGGCGAGCAATGAGCGTTTCGATGGAAGAAAAAATTGATGAAGAGCCAGAAGAAGAAGACAACTATCTGAGAAAACCAGATATAGCCGACGAAGACGAAAACGTCATTGATGAAGATGAATCATATACACAACCAGAAGGATCAAATAAGGTACGAAAAGATCCAAAGTAACATTCAGGTGACTTTACTCTGTCCTATTTTTAGAATTTCGATACCACACGTGATGATCTGTGAATGTGACGGGTGATGAAACGAATATATGTAGTGATACTTTATAGAAATTCCGTCAAATATTAGTGTCTCGCTTGATTTTCGATGAACTGTCCTTCCGTCTTTGTGTCCGTCTCGTTGTTTTTCTCATAAACTACATGTGTGATAGTCTACATTTTCTAGTTGATTAACATATAAGTCTCATACTGATCTTTCTCTTTTATATAATTTTGCTTGTGTTTGTTGGCGTTTTTGTGCGGTCGCTGTCGTTTTATTGGTGATATTTTTTCTTATGAATAAATATATATATATTTACACTACACTGAGTTGAATACGAGCGACATCTGTGCATAGCTATTTAATCATTGGTCATAGATATAAACCGATAAAAGATTCAAATCGAAGCCCCTTTCACAACGTTTTTTTTTCTTTCATACAGTTCATTCATTTTCTCGTTCGTTCGAGGCTGCTGTTACTAATAGAATATTATTATTGTTGTTGTTATTTTCCAAGATTATTTATCTCGTCTTGTTTCATTATCGATGGCTTCATGCATGGCTATGAAACGTTCGTTTGACCATGATCGTGATCCGTCGAACACGAATTCATTCGAATCTCGAACATCATCTCCATCCAATAAACGACCACGACGGCTTTTTCCAATGACGGTTGTTTCGTCGCCTACAACAGCTACCATGACTAATGAAACAACTGAACCGACAGTATTTCCTGATATTCAACCGATTTCAACTGCTGGTGAGAAAAACAAACTCACAGAGATGCTTTTTCCCATCGATCTTGTTTCTTTCGATTTAGATGTTTTACTAACTCGAATCAAAGAAGAAGTCCGCCGCCTTCAACGACGTCAACAATTGAAACTTCCATCGACATCTGATCAGAGCGATGAGGATACTACGGCAAATCAAAACGAAACACGTTCAGCACAACATCTCTTAACACTCAAACAAGTCAATATGATTTGTGCACGATTATTAAAAGAACGTGAAGAGAAACTTCGCGAAGAATACGATCGAATTCTATCCAACCAGCTCAGTGGTGAGTCAGACTTATCCTCAATTCTAAAATATCTCCTTTTTCGGTTTGCTTTTAGAACAATACGAAGGCTTTGTTCGATTTACTCAAGACCAGCTTACACGAAGATTTTCTGAATTACAATTTTCTTGTAAGTTTCATCTTCTCTCTTACATTCCATCGAATTTTCTTTTCCCTTTCTTTCAGATGTTTCATGATCGTATATAAACGTGTGTGTGTGTGTGTTTTGTCGTTTATCTATATATCTTGGTGCTGGTTAATAAACTTCTTGATCCGTTTGTATACATTATGATTATCTTTTTTATATACGAAAAAGAAAAAAAACAACATGTGTTTTCTTCGTCGTTGTCTGCTCGTCTTTGTGTATTATGTTGTTTTCCTTTCCTGAAAGGTGGTGCGATGATTAGGCGCAGATAAACAAAGAATTGATCAATAGTAATACACACGCAGACATTGATATATCCTTCCCTCTTGTATTTTATGTTTACTAGTTTCAAGTTTTTTGCTCTGTATATACATATACCCATATGAGACCAAACGTTGTTCTCTTTTTTTTCGATTTAATAAAGATATTTCAAGAGGAAACTGATCTGTTGTCAATTTTAAGATTACCCATTCCAGCGACAACGAAAGACTAACAGGTGAGTTGAGTTTTGAAGCAACTGTCAATGCACACTAAGCATGTTCGATCGGTTGATAATGTGTACATATATTTACATATGCATGTGCATGCATGAATGCGGAGAAACGCCGAACTTATGCTTTTTTGATAGATGCAAATGGGGGTTGAATGTTTAACGCGATGATGATGATCGAACGAAAGACAAGAGAATGCATGCTAAACGTATGACATGGAAAAAAAAGAGTATCATGATTATGCGCATTGTATGTCTTTCGTTTTAAGTGGTGCAGAGCAAATCGAGATACTCTGCGTGACTTTTCCTACGAGAAAGTAAGTTTCGTTTGTCGAATACAAGAATATGTGATAGAATCAAACGGCTAGGTAGCTAAGTGGAGCACATGTAAGAAAAGTGATTTACTATTTGTACAGAGTAACAAATGCGATTAGTGCATTTGTCGAAATGTTATTTGAAAAAAAAAGTCTTCTTTTAAACATTGATCAAAACCTCGCAATGATCGTTTTGGTGTCTAAAAGTCATTGAAGATAGTTTTGTTCGTCATTTTCGAAATAAAATGAACTACTGAATTCCAGGTCTTATGCGTATACCTAACAAACTCGAATAAGAATAGAAGATCGTTTTCCTCCCACTTGATAATCTTTTTTGCATGATATTTAACGAGATTATCACGATGAAAAGAAAGAATTCGAGTAAAATAACAACGCGTCTTTCTTGTGTCTTCTACAACAAGACAAGATGATCGCTGAAAACCAAACTAATATCGCTAGCGAACGTAAGTATTCTTTCTTGCATGTAATAGATGTTCGTGAGTAATTTATACTTATTATTCACTTGCGACTATTAAGTCTCTCCAGGCACTCATAATTTCTTCCCGTAGTAAAGAGAGAGAGAAGTATTGCGAAGTACAAAACTCTTTCATTCTATTCAGGTAGCATTTATCATCGTGTTCTGTTCACATTTCATTTATGCTGTATCAGATAGACGATGAAAACCAGCCAGGCATTGCGAATCTGTGTCGTTTAGAGCGAGAGGAAGAGAAAAAAGTTCGATTTTAGAAGACTATTTAAGGAAAGTGTCGAATCAAACGCTTACCTATGTAGATATTAATTTTGTGAGCGAAAACAAAAACAAAAAATGAAGAGAAAAGCAGTTAATCGGAAAAACTTTAACGTTTCGTTTTCCATCCCTGATGATCGTCGCATTCCGCAACGTATATTAAGCTATGCTGACACTGAGTTTGATAATGGTTCGTGAGTACAACTATTTTCAAGTGCAAAGAACAATGTTTCGTGTAGAAAAAGGAATAGTATGAAATATCTCCATTGGTTTCTTTAGATTCAACCATCACTAGTTTGAATCCAGCAGCATTGGCAATGACGAAAGCGTTACAAAATGCGAAAACACTGAAGAAAAGTTGGGATTCAGATAAGGCATTGAAAAGCACCTATAAAGGCTTATTTGGTAAATATCAATTACGTGTATATTTGTTTGTGGCTTTGGGCTATGGTATCGTTGCGGCATGGTTGACCGAAATGCCAGTGTTTGCCCGTAAGAAACATTGCATTCTCGAATGAAATTCGAACTTAGTTTCTAGTCTTACCACCGAAACATATCGATTGCACGCCTTTTTATCCTAATCAATCGAATTTAACGAACCCGTTGATGAGAAGTTCGAATCGATATAATCTAACGGATATACATAATTTCCAAATTCGAAGAGCTGAACCTGTGTATAACTATACCAATGAGCACGGGCGAACTGTACTTACAGAGGTAAGATCATCGCAGTGCTACATTTTCAATTATGAGGCCCTTAAATCTACTAATCAATGCACAATACGATCTCCTTTAATTTCAGTTCAATAAATTATGCGATAAGAGGCTTATAAAAATACCGTACATAGTTTATATTCTCGGTATGATTCTTGGCGGATTAATATTTGGTTATATTGCTGATTACAGCGGAAGAAAAATGATTCTATTAGGTAAGTCCCATTGTTTTCCTTTATTTCAAGGATTACTCGACTCATGTTAGGTTCAATATGGGCGGCTTGCGCTATGTCACTATTTCAGCTGTTAAGCGGTGATTACATATCCTATGTCTTTTTTATCTTCTTTGTCGGTTTGGCGATTGGTGCTGTGCATGTTATTGCTATTCCATATATTATGGAAATGGTATGAAGAGATCTATTGTTTTGATTCGAGATTGTAAATGAGATGTGTTTAGTTCCCAATTGAATCTCGGGCGATGTATAGTTTATCACTGTTGGGAATTGTTTTTCTACTGGATCTCGTGATTCCCTGGCTTGCAATATTGATTAAGAATTGGAAGTTTTTGCAATTGGTGATTTCGATGCCATTGATTTTCACAGCTGTATTGTTTTGGTATGTCGAAGAAAGTTACCTTTTGAGTGAAGAACGAATTTTTCGATTTAGGTGCTCCGAAGAATCAATGTTTTGGTTCACTACTCAAAAGGATTATGTTTCCGCTGTTTTGTCTTTAACCAATATTGCTCGATATAATGGTGTTGTTTTCGAAGAAGTCTTCTCTGAGGCTCGTAGTTTCCTTAGTGGAAAGCATTCGAGAGGCATTCAATGTGATTTCCAACCACTACTTCGACTAGGTTGGTTCAACATTTTTTTCAAAACATGAACCTGACTGCATTACATTTCAGAGGATATTAAATCTCTCAGCTTGAAATATCCGGATTTTGATATGGTAGATTTACAAGCTACCAGTAATAAAAAGAAAAGCTTCACCCAACGAATCTTACAAATAATTACTGGCCACCACTATTATCCAACGTTGTCAACATTCTATCCTACAGATTATCTCCACTCGCCCATATTAACAATCTATTTACTTGTTATGTGTGGCCTTTGGTTAGTATTCTGCGCCGAAAGAATTTTCGTGATCCACTTCTGTTGTTCTTTCTTAAAGGTTGGTCAGTGCGTTAACAGAATACAGTCTTGATATTCCACATCTGACGCAACATTTGACTGATAACTTCTTCTGGAATTACTTTTATACGCATTTAATTCAAATTCTTTCTTTTGTTGTCGCAGTACCTTTAGTTGTTGTGTAAATAGATCGAGAGGAGTTTTGTATTCACTGACTGTGCATGTATTTGATTCTGTTTAGATGGGGTCGACGATGGCCAACATTCTGCTTTTTTCTCATTGCGGAAGTTTGCTTGCTTGGTTCGATTGCAGTCAAATTAGGTAAGGAAAATGTTTGATTCTTAACTATACTTGAGACGAGACTTCAGATGAGGAACAAACACGTACGGCGATGTTGGTTGTTTATTTTATCGGTAAATTTGCCACTCGTGCAGCATTTATCGTTTTGATTATATACACATGTGAAATCTTTCCGACCGGTTTAAGGTAAATATGAAGAAGATAATTATTTGGAATGATATAACATTTGTTTGAATGATTTTGATAGATGTACAACACTTGGTATTTGTTATACCTTTCGATGGATTGGTGTTGCTCTAGCTTCGCCAGATGTGGTAAGAAAATATTTGTTGTTTTTTTAATAAAAAGAATTTTTATTTCAGGGTGAAGTCAATGGATGGATGCCCCGACTTATTTATGGTATTTTAGCGTTGATAATTGGCTCTCTAGCACTGCTATTACCTGAAACAAAGAAATTTCCATTACCTCGAACAATGATACAAGTTGAAGTAATGCCAACGTCGGTTAGTAAAAAGTTCCGTCGCCGTCGCTCCACACTCACTAAACGATCGATTCGACCTGATGGCACCCAGCCCGATGCTACCAATGCATTTAGTGATTCAGGCTCGGTTTTCTCAGCTACTCGTTATAACCGTCCATATGATAACCAATCGACATTGCATAGTATTTACGAACTACAAGAATTCGATCAGGACGATGCAGTTCCACCATTCATGAATCGAAATCTTTCTCGTCGAACCGATCCACGTCAGTCATCAGCGTATCAGCCATACAGTACAGTAAATAATGAAACATTCCGACACCAACAATCCATTGCTGAAGATGTCGAAGCTACTGACATTGATGATGATCGAATAGGTTATGCACACCGATCAAAAACTCCGCTACAACAACGGAACTCACTGACGAAATCTGCTACTTTGATGCATACAGACGACGACGTTATTGTTCTACCTCCGACAACGACTGGTCGAACATCGATCAGTAGGCATTCAGCATCGGACGTACCTACCCAACTCGAAGCGACCGCACAAATACAAGCAGGTCATGTAACTGACGATTCCGTAAACGTATCGAATGATGACAAACTCTCTCAATCACCTCGCTATCAACGAACAATGAGTCAAGATGAGAACTATTTTTCTGAACATTGCTAATCCAAACAAAGCATCTCTCACTTTACCGTTTCACAGTGAACAAAGTGATATTGTCACGATCAACCATCATTTTACAGTAGTACAGACAGTATTACAAAATTCGATTTTTCGATCTATTTATATCATGCTTGCATGTTGTTATTTTTCACATTTATATGGGGTACATTTTTTATTTTCTGAACAATATATTTAATCAGCTTATACATTAATAAACAGAGAGAAAATACGTGTCTATTTTGGACTTCGGTAGTCTGTTCCGAGAAATTTCAGGTATTCTAAGGAGAGAATTTCCATTAGATGTAACCTTTCGCTTCTATTATTCAGCGAAAAGGTTATTTTTATATTTTCTCTCAATTGGGAAAACAATATGACAATGGTAAAGACGTTGACATTTTTGATGAAATCATCGATAAGGAAACTATTCGAAAGAACTAATCTCAAACGAGATCTGTCTGTAGTTTCATGTATATTAGATTGAATTAATCAAAACAATTATCTTATTCTGGAATATATGTCAATCGAATTGTTGTTTCACTTCCACGTGTCTCAACGTGAAAAAAAAACGAAATATCGCTGTTATTGATTAACTCGGCGTGTTTTTAATTTGATCGTGTCAAAGTGACTTGAACAGAAAACGTCATTTACATTTTAATATTCGATGAATTCGCTTACAAATTGATTAGTTTTGTCACATAGATATGTATGATATTTGTCGGGCGATCGAGTGAAATCTAATCTGATAGTATGATTATTCCTATTGTTGTTTGTTGGAAAGGAAGAAAATCTGCATGAACAAAGAAGGAGAGGAGAAAATAAACCTTGAAGAAAGAAAATTAATTTCTTAGAAAAATATCGTAGCGAGTACTTTTCCTTTTCTTTTTTCTTCTGAAGACATTTTCTGTTTATTTTACACATTCATAATAGATGCTGGAAATCGAGAAATAATCGACACCTTAAACCAAGCATTGCTTTTCTCTTTTCTCGTTTAACTATTAACTAAAGATTTAGGAATTTCTGTCGGGTTTTTGTTTTCTTGATCCATACTCGAAGATTTCTTTTCCCCTATTGTTTTTTTCCCTGATAGATGGAGAGAAACGCACGCGTTTGTTTTTCACAGACACGTACAGGCAGAGAAATCAAAATCTGTTCGTTAACACAGACACTTTGCACGCACCATGGCTCGATTTTCAGACGAGAGATAAATAAATCGTGTGTGTGTGTGTGTATGTGTATTTTTCTTTTCGCGTGATACTCGATATACTTATCTCCATCAATTCGACAAAAGAAACTAAAGAGTATTAAAATGATTTATTTTTCTTGTAGAAAAATTCAATTAGATATGAAACGAGTACTCAGATGGAAAAGTCCTCTGGATTTCCGATTTCATCAATGCGAGATGTGAGAACAAGCACATAGCTCAATTTTGTTTCTATATGTCAATACGAGAGAAACACGCCGGTAGAAACCATTCAGGATGAAGCAACGACATCAAACAGAATGAAAATGATTAGCACTACGTATGTTGATAGCACAGAATCGATGGTTATGCTGTTACACCAGACAGAACAGCAACCTGGCTGATAATTGTGAGAAGAACTGTCTCGGAGGAAGAGAAGAAAAAGAAGCAACGTTCTAAAATACAAATCTGATATGTCAGACGGACAAATCGAGCGGATGTTTTTCTTTATGCTTTTATTCGTGTATATCACTCTGATCTTTGTGGACATGGAAAGGTGTTGAGCAATGAAACTATTAGCGATAGTTGGCATGAGGAAATAATTACTTTAGTTAGACTGTTTCCCATGAGAAAAGAAAATGTAGAGAAGATTTCTCTTATGCTTTCTATTTCCTGTTCTTTTGTTTGAATAATGCTGCGAAGGAGAAACAAAGTTGTAAGTAATCTTTCATTTCTTCGAACTAATTATAGATCTCTTTAAAAGTCGGCCGTTTTTATGAGATAATTAATGAAAGATTCGACTGAAGTTAATCAGATAAGTTCTCGATTCTGCCCTAATGACTTTCGCTGCGTTCGAATGAGATGATGTCTTGCCATAGAGCTCGTTGTTTTTTTTTATCGTCTGTCAGTCAATATAGATTAATACTTGCTCTCGATGTTTTCCATTCGTTTCTCGATAAAGAGGAAGACGACAGCTGTAAACAACACCTGATACCACTGATTCGTTATTGGAGATGTAAATGTTATTTCTGATCGGTTTATAAGTAATAAATATTACTTATGCGTTCTAGAGTGATGCCATTAATCCTTTTGTCCTCGCTATTTCTGACGTGTACCGAACTCCAACTGTGATGATGATTACTTATTATTATTATTATACATAAAGCAAGTGAAAAGACGAAGAGAATAAAAACAAAAATATTGATACGATTCGAACCGGGTCAATGATGGCATGGCATCGTTTACGTTGGTGTTTCCGATTGTTAAAATCGAAAAGTGGTCGAATGATTATCATGCTGATACTGACAGTTGGTATCGCCGTCGCTGAAATAGTCTATGGAATTCGAACTAAGTCTCAATTACTAATTGCCGACGGACTTTTTTCATTTGCTGAAGGTATTGCTTTGGTCGGTTCGTTGATCGCATTACGTTATGCCAAAGCACAACGTCTACACGCTAAGAATACATTTGGGTGAGTTGACATTGTCGTCTCGTTTTGGAAACGTTTTCTTTGAACTTATTTGAATCTAGCTGGGCTCGATTGGAACTACTTGCTGGTCTTCTTCAAGAAGTTCTGCTCTTATCATTGTCACTTTCAATCACAATCGATGCTATCAATAAACTAATCAATCCAACTCATATTGAAGATCCTTCCGCGATGATCTATCTCGGTTTCGCTGGCGCTTGCATTGGTCTCCTAGGTTTATTTCTCTTTCACGGTTATCATCATGATCATAACATCGGAGATGAAATCGTCGAACAGAAAAAGAACGATTTCGTCCAGAGTGTTTGTGACACATTGCGAAATCTTGATAGTAACCAAGAAAAAGACTCCAATGAACAGAACAATACTTTGCTTAGGTCTGAAGTCGTTATGGATGAAACGTCGTTGACTGTCAATGAAGGACATCGTTCAAAACACCGACTGGTATTGCCATCATTAAATGATACGTATACCAATGCATTTCGAACTGCTGAAAGAGCTCAATCGGATGAGCATGGCAAGCAGCTTCGAGTCCCGGATCGAATTCGAACTCGAAGCGGCGAATCTGTTTCTTATTCAACATTAGCTTTGAACGATGATAAACCAGAATTAGAAGACGACTTCCAGGAATCAAGAGTATATGCAACGCTTCACGCCTTGTGCTTACATTCATTGGTAAATACCATTTTCCAGATAAGCATTTTTGCATCAAATATTTATTTGATCGTACTCTCAGGAGATCGAGTTAACCAACATAGCAAGGTTTAGTAGTCGACTTGTACCCGACAAATAAATAAGTAATCAAAACATGAAATACTTGGAAATTAGCTTTTACACTTCCGGAAGTTCCCGAAGTTATTCACCGACATATCAGTTCGTTTTTCGATTTCGTCTGTCTATGAATAGTCATTAACGATAAAATCAATTAATATTTATGTCAGTGTCATGCATTCTCGCGTTTCATCATCATGAACAACAACATTGACTTGCACTTAGCTATTCTACTTTTTCCTTCTAGGCGGTGCTTCTAGAATCAGCTATTGTCCTCTGTTCGGGCTTATTAAATAAATTCATCCCACATATAGATCAGTCCACACATCAACCGATCAATATCTGGTTGAAGTACATCGATCCTGCCTTAACACTAGTAATGGTTATTATTATCGCAATCAAAGCTATTCCTGTTGTTTGGTCACTTGGCCATATTCTTGTCGAAGCTGTCCCATCTGGTATCGATACTCAGCATTTAATCCAAACAATCATGAAAACAATTCCTCAAATACGAGCAGTGCATAGCGTTCATGTCTGGAGGTACTTTTCTAGTAATGTCATGTGCGCTAAACATCGAACTCGATTTGTTATCTTAGGGCAACAGCTCGCGATGTTTTTGCAACATTGCATGTCGTCTGCAACGAAGATTTGTCTCTGAGTACTTGTACAGAGATCTTTGGTCGGCAGTTACAACGAGTATTTGAAACGCACTGCATTCGTCATTTCACACTGCAATTCGAATATATTCAGCCAGGTGAAAATATTCACAAGTGCGCTTATGGCGCACGTCGACGACATCGTGGCCATCAATCAAGTTCCGAAGATAATGAGAATATCATTCAATCACAGATTGATATACGTGTTAATTCGAATCATGTCGTTCTTCAACCTATCGGAAGATTTGTATAAAAAGTGTTTTTTTTTTGTGATAGATGCGCATCTTTTATTCTTCTTTTTTTTGTAAATCATTCCAATGTTTTATTCTATTTTTCTATGTGCTCTTCGAAGACTGATTCTGTTCATTTATGATTAGTTTTTGCTTTGCTCGAATTTGTATAGATAGTGAAATTATTGTTTTATCTTTTCTTTGATAGAAATCTCGATCTTGCTGCCGGTGATGATTGGATAGGGCATAAGTAGGAGGGATAAATCGAATTGAAGCGATTCGTGTGCGAAATTTTGTAGAATAAATATTATTTTTTACATATGGAACTCTTCAGATGAAGAGATTCAAGGCAAAACATGGTTGAGATAATTGAATGACAAGTCCAGGGAATAGACAATAATGCTCGATCGATAGACGTATTTAATTCCACGGAAGATTGGAATGATAGTAGCCTGGAAAACTGTGCACAAGACTTGCAATGTTCTGCGTGACGCACTGTGGTTTTTCGGTATCAATATCACAAAGCTTTCTGCTAGAATCTTTCGTTTCACACACGTCCTGTGCTTGATTATCGTCTGAAATCGAGAAACACTAAACCGGTTTACGGATTTGTTTTGTTTTAATCGTTTAACTTCTTCTTTCATTTTTCAATAAACAGATACAAAACAACAACAACAATAAATAGCAAGAAATCAAGCGAACTTTTCTGATCGTATTGTTGTCGTTTATTTTGTTGTTGTCTTTTAACGATAACGACGAAGACTGAGTTGTTGACGTCGTTTCCAGCATTTGCGGCGTGAACCACCTGTTGTAAGTGAATAACGATGACCATGACCGAGACCTCGAGATTTTCGTCCGGCTGATGTCAATCCACGTAATTCACGGTGTTTCTTGTTGGCTTTACATATCCAGTTAATACGTGCATCACGACGAATACCTATTAAAATTGAAAAGAACAGTAGACCATAATTCATTCAACGACAATCTAATTGCTAACCTTTGTGGCATGGATCGATAAGGATAACCTCGTAGAATTTGAATGTTGCATCTTGGGCAATCCAATATGAATTCAAAACACGTAATGTTGGACAACGACGGCCGACACGTTCTTCGGCAACCGATTGTAATGAACGTTGAAATTTCAATTGGTTAATACCTTGGTGTTTTGGTTTACCATAGACTTGACCTTTTGGTACTGGCTTCTTACGTGAACCACGGCGAACACGGACACGATAGATGACCTAAATGAAAAACAAAAGCCAACGAATGATTCATGAGGCAACAGCAAATGTGTAGTTGAATGACTTACGTAGCCAGCTTTAGCTTTGTAACCGACACGACGAGCTTTTTCAGGTCGAGTTGATTTTGGTGCGCGATGAATAGCAGCTAATTGTCGGTAATGCCATGTACGAATTCGAAAGATAAAACGCATGACATCACTTTGCTTCTTTCGGTAGATTTCCTGCAAGTATTTATAGGCACCCATGATGTTTTCTGTGTGTTCCTAGAAATAAATCTAGAAATGTACACAAATCTCAGTAAATTAACGAATCGTTCGATAGCTTTAGTCTTTATTGATACTCTTGATAAAACGAAGAAGAATTTAGTATTAATAAACAACAAAAACCTTTCGTGGATCTTTTCCATAGTCTACCTGTTGTAGACATTTAACACACTCGTAAAATTGAACCGAAAACTAAGATGACTTTTTTCCTGTTGGAAATTCATCGAAAGTATTTCATTTATTTTTAAACACGAAAAAGAATTGTAATGCATTCAAACTAAGACAAGTTCGACGAGAGAGGGCGTCACTGTCCGTTCACCCATAATGTTCACTCCAATCAATATACCAATGAACAAAGACACAGAATCAATATCCATGAGCGAGTATTATGATAGTATCTCTCATCTTGCTCCATATGTCCTTTCCGATTTCCTCCTCGATATCTTTTTTTATATCGGAAGGTTATTGATCAGCTCTCGTCAATATTGATTGATCTACATACGTTCAATTTCAAAGACCTCGAGTATTTTCATTGTCAGGAGATCAAGTTGACTTGTTGTTTAATAATTCATATGTTTCCATTTGTCCACCGAGAAAAGTCATTCGTTTTATATTTCTTTCTTATCCTTGAATACCTGTCATCCATATTTCCGATCTCTCATTGATTTCATATATGCCAATCAATGTGGCGAACTTCCTGATAGTAAAGAGGAAAACGTCTATAATGTCAAGGCTAGCAAATATCACGCAATGTGAAGTCGCGTCATGGAGAAGTTTTTTCTTTAAAATGTATAAGATAAACAAAGTATAGAGCATCAATATTCCATGTAAAAGAAAAAAAAGGGAAGTATATACACGTAAGGACAAGCAGCCAGAAGGAGTATTAATGAGAACTTTTTTCCTCTTGCATATTGTAGAAGTGTTGCTGCGTAGAATGAACGATTGCTGACGAAAAACTATGCATCGAAGATTCATGATTAATCACAACTCATCGATCGATTACGATCATGAAAACTATACAAGTGCTGTTTCAACGTCACTTTCCGTCGGTGCATTTTCGAATTCTTTTCTTATTATATTGATCTTGTCGATCTTATGTTTCTTTGGCGTTTGCTTTATGCTGTTTGGCCCATTGCAACGATCCGAAGCTCATAAACGCGTGGAAAACTTTACGTTTGGTCGTCATCCGATTTTTAATGTCGATCATCGTGAACAATCGACGACGACACGTTATGACGATTCAATAGACTTTTCAAATATTTGAAAGAAGAAAATAAGTCGACGAACAAGTGATTTTCCTCTATTGTGTTTTATTATTTGTTACAAAAATAACAAAACATGTAAATTAAAATGAAAGCATCACACACACACACATTTGAGAAGATCAGTTGTCAGATGTTTTTTTTTTTATTGATAGATCATTGTTGGAAAAACGAGTGATTATGATATTGACGACATTCATCGGAGTCGAGTCTTTCTTTCGCTGTTGAAATATCGTTCTGAATAGCAGCAACTAGTTCACCTAAATCGAAGAGAAAAAAAGCATGTGGCAGGAAGGCATTAACAGATGATAATTCAAAAGACGTTGTAATGAAAGAGCGAATGATAGGGTTGAATAAAAAGGTCATTGGTAACATTCGCTCTTACTTAGTGATAATGGAAACAAATGGCATGATGAACGCAAATGCTGTATATTTTGAGAAAGATTGAACTCGATTTGAAGGCATACCTGCGTTATTGAATGTTGTCATTTTCCGTATTTCGCCCAGAAGAACTATTTTTAATGTTTCACCATAGAAATCTTCGGGAAATTCGTGTATTATATGCGTTTCCTGAATAGATCAAGTAGATTGACGTCAAAACAACTCACTTCTTACCATGCTCTTTTTCTCGCCATTGTAAAACGGATTGGTGCCGACGCTAGTTACCATCTTATAGATTTCATTATTCCGCTTTGTTAATAGCTTCGCCCATCCATAGTACACACCTTGGTCAATGGATGACGGTAGTTTGTCTACTGTTTCTTCGTCGAAATTTGCTACAATTGAACGAGAAAGAAATGAGTCAGTTGCTTGTTTCATGCTCGAGAAAAACTTGCCTAAAATGATCAATACCTGTTGGACAGCCTAGTTCTTTGCTGCCACGGCCGAAGCCATGTACAATCGTACCAGATGTAAAATATGGCCACGGTGTGTTCGTCATGATCTGGAAAATGAGTAAAACGGATTTATTCACAAGTAAAAGTCTATTTAATCATAACACATAGATATGGCCTCAAAATCTGACAGATGCGACTTATTTCCACAGATGATTGTTGATAATAGAGCCGGTGCGGCTTCGAATAACTGATTGCGGTCGTTGACAATTATAAAAAATAAGAGAAATTAGTTATATAATGCAGTCGTCTGTTTCAAATCACTTTTGTAAAAGTAACAAGGTAAGCACGTTGATTTTGGTTGGCTCGTGTGATTTCATAGTTGATTAATCGTACAAAAGAGGTCATCATAGGTCAAGTGAACTTTTTTTTCGAATCTTTCATTTTTTTCCTCTGTCATGTCTCAGACTACTGAATACAAGCGAACCGTAATCTATTCGATCGTCTTCGTTTAATCTTTATTTGTGTCTCGATTGGGTATTTTACACCTGTGATAACCTTGTTTGATATCTGGAAAAACAAGCTTTGAAATAACTTGATTTATGTCTACGTTGATAGTAATGTCTTCACTATACACGCACAATCATGTAAACTACGCCGACACTCTATCATTTCCACTAATCACTATTTTAAAGACCAGTACATTTCGAAAGACACGTTGAATACTTATTATCTGTCAACGTAAGTGAATGAATATTCACCCTCAAGACATATCGTAGTTAATGTCAATTATTTCTTGAGTATAGAAGATGCCGTCTAACGGAAAAAACAACGAGACATTAGACTGATCAAGGTGAGTATATAGCTTTCAGCTTTGTTCATCCTTCAAACTTGGAATGATCAACTACATAAGGCGGGAAGAGAGCGTTGTTATTTCACATAATTTTATTGATAATATGAAAGAAAGAAAAGTTGCAATATACTCATCGAATAATTAGAATATGTATGAATTTTAGTACACACGCCCTCGCGGCATTCGCCGTACATGGCGACCAACTGCAGCTTGTACAATCAGATATATAGTTATGAAAATCAGACAAAGAACGAATTCGATACACGCAAATGCTAATTGCGCACTGAGGATCTTCGGTTTTTCAAATGAACTCGGCAGCGCACCCCGTCCATCTTGAACAGCTTTAGCATCTAGACCAATTAGGATAATCGTAAAACAAACAGCGACAATCGTTGCGATGAAAGCAATTTTAGCCCATAGTCGAACATTTGGCATATAATCTAGCAAAGATGCTTTCAGTAGAAATCTTCAGAGACGTCTTCCTACTTACTTATCAAAAGAATGAGAACAGCTGCAATCGACAAGAATACACCACACCAAATACCTGCACCTGTTGCTGATGTGTTGCCAAACACATCTTTGTTTGTACTCTGTGCTAATGATGCGACTTCTAAAGCACCGATGACTAAAATACACAGTATCATGGCCACACCAAGAATTGTGGAGAACAAAAACGGCCATCTTAATCTCCATCCAATATCTACTGGTGTTCTATGTTGATACCGTCCTATCGGACGACTTCGCGGAACATAATATGGAACAGTAGGATACATTGTTTGTCTTTTTTTCTACGTTAAATAACGATGCAAACTGACTAGAAGCACTGCTTTATATAACCTCAGCTTTTTTTTTCAGCGACGATCAACGATCACCGACGCATATCCATTCTTTTTCTTTTTCTACTTTTCGTTCTGATAAATGCTATTGATATTCCTAGCGAAGAATTGATGCGTGTGTGCATGTTCACGTATAATTAAATGAAGCCTATTACAAGGAAAGTACCGATGCACATACAAATAAATCAAACTTATTTTTAACGAAACAAGGCCATCCTTCACACACTGCATAATTTGATGTCTATCTCAATAGTAAACATTCCTGTATCACTCGGAGGAGAATTAAAATACTATTCCAGTAGGTTTGCGTGTCCAAATGTCAATAATAAGAAAACTCTATAATTAATTGCAAAAATCATCTAGACATGGAAATTATACGATTTCTTCTGGTAGGAATGAAAGAACACGTTTACAAAAATAACGTACACACACACATATTAAGCTGTTAATGATTGTTTTTCTTCAATAGGTAGAAAATAGGCGAGTGTAAGAGATAGTTATTAATACTGATGTTGTTTTTAGTAATATACTGACGATATACGAGTTGCCGACGAGAAAAAGACGCTGATATACATGAGAAAAAATATCAGGCATTGGGTAAGAATGAACAGAGCTATGGAGAGGATGGCAATGATTAATCTACGTTGCATATCGTAGAGATCTTGATCACGTTGAATTGAGTTTGCTGTAAGACCCACGAGAATAATAGTAAAGAAGAAGGCTAATGTGACAGCAATCAACGCAAATGTTGCTGCTACACGTTTGTTTCGTACACACACTAGAGAGAAATAGAGAATAAGTCAAATTCAAGTCGAGACAATCGTACATACCGATGACGACGATAAATATAGCAGCTAAAAATGAGATCGATCCACACCATATACCTGCCCCCACTTTCGAAGTATCCATACCCAATCTTTTGAAGTCATTTTCTTTATTATACTCCATAGCTACGTTCGCAATCTCGAGACCAATGATGGCTGCACTCGATATTAACATGAGAAAACTGAGAAGTATGGATCTGATTGTTGGCCAAGTGGTCGACCAGTATGGATCTATCACTACCGGTTGAACCGCATTCGGTCGATGATTGGAATAACTATAGGAAAGAGCGGGGTACGTGGGATGCATTGTGTGTTGTGTTAACATATTTCCTATGATGATTTCCAGGCAAAAAACAGTAAATATGTGCTTTGCCCTGGCATATATACGAATGTAGAATTGATAATATCAATATTGATGAATTCATGACACTCCTCACAGTAGGAAAATATCGATGAAAGAAAGAGACAAGTTAACACCTTTCCCTTTGCAAAAATGTTTTTTAATTGTTTGCCTTGATTGGTGTTTGTACTCTAAAAATTCGATGAACTTTTTCAAGCATGACCAACTATTGATGCAAAGTGTTACGTTCCGTAATTTACACTAATACGGCAAGACTTAAACGATTTGGGATGAATAGCAAACATTCGCATTGTTTACCCTTCATCCTGTGCATTTTTCTTCACATTAAAGAAATAAAAAAGAAATTGTCATTGAGGGTTTCTTTTCTCAATACATTATATTGTTAACCGTCGTCATTACCAACACTCAAATTCGCATACAATTTACGACATTATGGTAGACGCGAGAGACTGCTGTCGAACAACTCTTCTCATCTTATTAATTATATTCATTCCACCATTGGCTGTGTTTTTCGTTCAAAAAGAATGCGCTTCCGTTGTTATCCTCAATCTTATACTTTATCTACTCTTCTGGATACCAGGCATTATTCACGCATTTTATGTTATCTATTTTAGTTGAATTGATTTCTTTATTACTGAACAATCATTGTATTCATAATATACTTATATATACACGTACGCGAAAAGAAAGAATTGATTTTTTACATTTATAAAGGACGTACGCCGCCTGATGGTTGACGAGTGAAATAAGACCGTGACGCCATTATCGGCGTCTGTTGTTGCTGCTGCTGTGCTTGAGTAGGAGCCATTGTTAGTAGTTCTTGCTGTTTAGTAATACATCGACATGTGCAATCTTTTTCTGGACAGAATCGATGTTTTAATTCATCGGATGAGAACCAATCGTGCATATGTGTAAGATGTCCACCATGACCACAAACAGCACAGAGAAAATGCTGCCCGAGAACGGGTTGTAAACAAATCGAACAAATGATATTGACCGATGCCGCGGTCGGATTGGGAGTCAATTGATTGAATGGTGCTGGTGATTGACAGTTATGCTCTATCTGAGATAGGATTTGCGTGCGTTTGTAAAAGTGTCTCCACCGATGTAATAAACTTGCATAAGCATACAGAATTGGATCGTGATTATGCTCATTAACTAATTGTGAGCGAACTTTGATTTTCGAAAACGGTGTTTGCGACATTGCTAGCAGGAACATGCTAGAAGATTGTATATCACCATTGATAACATAGTTCGATACGAGATGTTTGATTAAACCTTTAAAAAAAAAGAAAATTTCAAATGATGCTGCTGTTGTATGTCACAAATTACCTTGTGCAATGGGCGTTTGAAACCAAGAATCATTAGGATCCAAGTTTGGTTGGATGGATAACAGTCCACCAAGTAAACGCCAACAGTGTGCTAAATCATCTTTACCCATTTCTTGGGTAATTTGTTCGTTCGTTTCAGACATGTCGAGTGGATTCGCCAGATCAATTTTATAGTCGTCCGCTAGTTTTCGGCTGACGGGTAACAGGATAGAGACATCATATATCGCTACTTTTGAAGACGGATGAATCAAATGACCAATAGAACGGCGATAGGATAACGAACGTTGACGATCGTGAAAACTAGCTGCACCTATTGTCGAACGAACAGGTGCTGAAAACATTGGTAGACGATGATTACTAGGTGCTTGTTGAATTTGCATTGTTCCTGTTGTTGGCGGTCGATAATTTGATTGATCAACAGAAGCGGAATTTTCTCGACTTTTAGCTACAGTTAAACTCGTGGAACGCATAGGTAAGGGCTGCGATCGATTCAACGTCGAGTCATTCAATGTGTTCAATATTGTTGCGGTGTTCGTTTGTTGGTTATTCGATGCTCGACCAAAACATATTAAATGTGTTGCACCAGAGAAATGAGCACCACATGTACGTCCTATACATTGAACGACAGATGCACTAGATATCTGACTATCACTTGTACGTGTCGATGATGATGAAACACCACACAGTCGATTCGAACTGTGACTGGCTGCATTGTTCGTACCGTTATTACTGGCATTGCCTTGAGACAATCCGTTTACTGACTCGATTTCTGAATTAGTTAACGACGAGTCACGTTTTTTATTCGAAGCATTTGCAGTGGTAGCTATCGTCGAGAAGAACTCTTCTTGTTTATAATACGTATCGAATAAACTCTGAAGTTTGACTAAACATCGGTGTAAGCATAACTGTCCGCTATAGAAACGATCGTAGGATGTTTCTTCGAGCATCATTTGGATACGTGATTGAAACGATTTAAAACGTTGATTGTTATGTGTTGTAGGCGTTTTAAATCGGACGAACAGCTGCGAGATGATCGGATAGTGACGAGACAGAGACAAATAAATTCGAAATGTGAAATTATGATCCAATGGATATTTACATTGGAGTACACACATACGACGCTGTTCGTCTTTTCCCTCGACAGAGATATACGGCTTATAAACCTCATGCAAAGAGTTTAATTCATTTGCAACAGTCACTTCTGTAATTGTGTCATTAGTTACATCGGGCCTAGACAGAGAGGAAATGATTAATGAAATTATTTGAAACTAGACTTACGACATTTGATAGTCACTATCATCGCTTGCATTGGACGATTCCATCGTATTCGGTGGTGAAATCGATGTTCCTTGAAATGCGTTATCGTCATCTTCTTCGTCGATTTCTCCATTGTCGGTGACTTCATCTTTGATAGAATCCATCGGCATTAAAGTTGAACTATGTCGACTCATTGCTGGTTGTCGAGATGAATTCGATGGTGTTCGTGGCATACCGACCGAATTCGATGAATCAGACAGACTCGTTGGCTTATTTCGTACTTGTTGGGTTAGCCATGCTTGTCGAAACGTTGAATCCATGTCAATCACAGATAGATGTCCATCGCGGCACCATGTAAGTAAAACAAAACGATTCGCAGATTCGTCATTCATACGTGAAGTTGGTGAGTTTGTAAATAAATTCAAAAACCGAGGATTGCTTACAGGACAAAAATCAACAATTGCTGACGAAGTCGCCGTTAAAATATGATCCGTTAGTGGTCTTAAATATTGATCTTCATCACAACGCCAACCAACAAATCCGTGCGTCGAGGAGCTAGTATCTCGAGCCGCGCAAACAAACAAATTATCATACTCAGTTGTACAAAGCTGTTTAACAGAAAAATAATCAATGTACGAAGAAACTCGAAAATCGACATTCATACTTTACTAAATGAGTAGAAAGAATGCTCAGATGTTATTGATTCCGACATGAGTTGACCATTTGCCGAAAATATTCTAATTGATTGATCTAATGAAAGCGTTGCAATCGAAGAGCGTTGTTTTGTCCAATCCATGCAAGTGATGCGTTGTGCATGTTCTAGATCGGTGGACGAGAATAGGTACGAATCAGCTTTTCGTATATCGTAGACTCGTATGCATCGATCACATTGAACTGCCAAATGATTACAGTTCTCCGCTGTGTTCGACGACCACTGGATGCGACGAATACTGAACGGTGTTGAGACTGAAAATTTCAGACTAGCAGGATTTTTCGCTGAATGAAATCGAGTATCCCAAACTTGAATTTGCCCATCAAGTGAACCTGTCAACAGCCATGAAGGATCACAGGGTGAGTAAGAAATAGTTGAAATGGGTCGCTAAAGAAAAACAAGATGTTTCCATGATCCTGATGCGGTGCATTCTTAGCACGGCTACTGTCGAAGCGTCAGTGGTGTAACGGTTAGCATGGTTGCCTTCCAAGCAGCCGACCCGGGTTCGACTCCCGGCTGACGCATTTCGTTTTTACTTTTTTTTTTAAACATACCTGATGATGTGAATCAATGAAAGTATTCGTTTCGTTGACACGTGAATGATCAACTGCATATATTCGAACAAGACGATCGATCGCAACAGCATACTGATTCGGTTCCGAATGATTCCAGTCAACAATAGGCCGATTAATGTTGCACTCATCAAATAATGACAAAAAAGTAATATCGGATAATGATGTCGTAAAGGCATTCGTATCATTGTGAGAAGAATGGTCGTACGGCAAGGAGATTGTTTCAAGATTGATGAATGCTAAGCTGTGGCTACTGACGAGTAGAAGACGTGTTTCTTGATCATTGAGGGCGAGGGAATGGCAATCGAAATTGAGAAGTGTTTTACCGGTATCGAATGTATGACACTGATTCGTGGCTATAGTACTATTTCGTTCGTACAACATCATCTGGAAAAAAAGCAGTCGAATTAGTTTCGATATTATTAGATTCTCACGATACATTCGGATTGTTTTATGACAAAGATTGATAATAGCTGTGAAAAAGTAGGGCGAATGGATCTGAATGTAAAAGTTTGATAACTAATTAAGAGTAGCAGCTATTTTCTTCTTATCTTTTATCATCTGACAAGAAGAGGATAGTCTTGGTCCTATCGTATGATAATGTGATGCTAAGTAGTCATATACCATGAATGGATGTGCTTTATAACCATAGTCGAAGACTTTTGGAAGAGGTCGCTCTTCCACAATCAAATACAGTAACACAATGTGCGAGAGAAAGAACGTGTTCTTATAATTGATATGTTATGTCACTCGAAGCACGAGAAAAAGCATATACGAAGTACATGATGTCACGAAAATCTGTTTTAGCAATTATTTATATAAGAGCCGTTGAACCGTTGGGTAAAATTGCTCCTTGCAAACTGAATGCTGTAGTCAATTGCTGAGGTGTGATATTTGCTCCTGACAAATTTGAATGATTGAACATAACTTGAGAAACATCTGTATTTGCCCAATCCGTTCGCTGTAAAGATGCATAACTAAAATCACTATGGGAACAATTAGATCCGTTAAACGACGAGCCGTCCAAGATCGAATACGAGAAATTGCTTTGATATAAACTGATACGTTGTATTTTCATATTTCGAGCAATGACATTGACGAATTGCAACTGATCGTAGAATGAGCCTGGTGGAAACACCGATAAAGAAAAATCTGCATGCGATAGATCGATACGATTTTTCACACCACTGTCAATCAATAGTTGAATGAGTAAAATCTTCCGGGGTGGATCGAGTTGTCGCAAAGCGTATAAAGCTTTAGTGCGAATAACTAATGAGATACGTTCATCATCATTGTCGTCGTCGTCGTGTTCTTCCTCGTCATCGCCATCGCTGTATGTATCATTACCCGACGATACTGTACTGTATCGAAATAGCAGTGACGTTAGATCTTTTTCGAATGTATTCAGAATCAACTGTTTCTGCTGATCGTGTAACAATTCCATATCTTGCAGGCGATTGTTGATTGCGATTGTTTTGGAATTTTCATTTTGACGTTCGCTGAGATTTTGTTGCTGCAATGGAAGAACAACGGTTAGAATTCCAACAACAAGGGGAACGAACAGCGTGGCGACAAGTGTAAGCCACTCGTAGATGGAATGTTGTAAACATCCTCTGCTTAGAAACGTTCTTCGAGAAGGTCCTTCTTCAGTAGTTGCCATTGATCTGAATTCTGCTATTGCAGTGAGAATGGTTTTATACTGATAAACGACCTTTTCTACTTTCGATTCGATGTAGGTTGTTTGAAAAGGGCATATTACCTAATGAAAATAATAGCGCAATGTTATAAAATTAAACAAGAAAGAGCAAGGATGAATCCATGAATCTTCTATTGACTTGATACACTTTTACCGTGAGAGAATGATTCATTCTTAAGATGCGTAAATTCGTGGTGCCATGTGCGTCATAATCCAGAGAAGATTTTGTACAGCGAATAAATCATTGTTTTTCTTTTATTGAGATGGAACGAAAAAGTCAACTTTTGTACTCATTATTAAGCACAATCGAAGTTTTTTTTTCGTTCTAAACGATGTTTTTTACGAACATCCTACTACGTCATACAGTTAAATTTAACTATCTCAGCCTATGGAGAAAAGTAACCATAAATATTAGTTATATGTTTGTTCTGTGTGAGTCCAACATATCTGTAAAGAGTTGATGTTATCTTTTACTTAAACTACACAGCATTCTGGCCATCATCGGTAATGCATCTTGTGCTATTTCTCGCGCTGATAGCGCAGTGTTTGTGTGACGTACGTGTTTCAATAGATCGAATCAACGGAGAATACAATGTTAGCATTAATAGTCAAGTATGGCTTCGCTCGGCCGGTACTTCTTTGTATGTCGGTGATCGATGGTATTCATCGAGTGATAATTCACTTCCCTTGATCGATTCGAAGAGTGTCCAAGGAGACGATCCGCTTTTAGGTGCATGGAATGAAACCCTACTAATCTACAATTTAACGATTGATCAAACATCTGTAAATGTCACTGGTCAAATACGTCAATGGGATGCAATGCCTGCCTTGACATTTCATTTAAATACGGGCACAACGATGTTGACGAATAAGATTGAACTTAATATTAGTGAAGTTCGAACAGTTTTTCCATCGTTTAAAATCGAACAAAACGATGGAAATGATCGTCGAGGTTATTTTACTTTTGAAGGTAAACACTCGCGTATCATTGTATGACTAACTTAGGAAATATGCATAGGTGTCATGGTGGGCTACGATGAAATACATGCTGGTCTCTGGACTTCTTCGAATGCCGTCATTAAATCAGGTATGGAAGCTGGGCCTGTTGTACTTTTTAATCTTACTCAACGCGGACAGAATGATGTCGTTATTCTATCGCCATTTTCACAGTTTATGGCTACTTCTTTAAGTCAACATGACAACATTTTACAGTACGGTGTGATGGGTTCTATGCCAACTATTCCAGCCAACTACAATCACTCGATGATTCTCTTTTACTCATCCAATGGCATCAACAGTTGTATCCGGCAATGGGGTCGTACGATGCAACGAGCATACAGGCGAAATGATCGATATCGTCTCAGTGATATCACTGTCAATTATCTTGGTTATTATACCGATGGTGGTGCTTATTATTATTACAATACAGAAGGAAAATTGAACTACCAAGAAACGATTTTATCAGTGTACAGGAAATTAACACTTCCATTTCGTTATATTCAACTTGATTCATGGTGGTATTACAAAGGTTTGAAAGGTGGTGTAAGTGAATGGCAATCACGACCAGATATTTTTCCTGATGGCCTTCCTTCCGTGTATCGTCAAGTCGAAAACACTCCATTTGCAGCACATAATCGGTATTGGGCGCTCGATAATGTCTATTCGGATAGGTACGCTTTTCTTTTCGATAATGTTACTCAAATGTCTCTTCCAGTGGGAAATGATACATTTTGGATTGATCTACTTAGTGAAGCATCACATACTTGGGGTCTCACAATGTATGAACAAGATTGGTTACATCGGCAAACATCGACTTTTCGACCCCTATACTCCGATATTGATCTAGGTAGACAATGGTTATTGTCAATGGGCGAAGGAGCTGAACAAGCTGATATCACGATTCAATATTGTTCAGCTTATCCTCGTCATGTATTGCAAGCTCTTGAAATACCACGAGTAACCCAGGCACGAGTTTCATCCGATTATACATCTCATGTTGTTCGTCAAGAAACTCAATGGGATATTGGTGTAACATCCATGCTAGCCGATGCGCTTGGCATAGCTCCATTCAAAGACGTATTCTGGTCGACATCGAACGAATCTGGCTCTCCGTATCATCCCACTCCAATGGAACCACTGCCTGATCGAGAAATTCTATTGGCCACGCTTTCGACAGGTCCCGTTGGACCAGGCGATGCAATTAATTATACGAACAATAAACGTATCATGCGTTGTTGCCGACGAGATGGCCTAATCTTAAAACCAGACCGACCGATATCCATGATTGATTCATTCATTGCTGATTGGGCAGAGAACAATGGGAATAGACAGGGAGAACTCTATTCAACTGAGACAATCATGTAAAATATCTTCGGTCGATTTCATATCACTCTACCTTCTATTTCTTTAGAAACAATCAACGATTCTCCATTGTATTTGCGTCTGCAATGTTGAAAGACTATTCAGTTTATCCTTCCATGATTGGACTTCAAGCAGGTATTATCTGGTCTCACGAAAATCCAAATAATTATTCATTCTTTGATGTAACACATCCTCTTCACATTGCGGCAAGCCAATGTAACAATTCGTCGTTTTGTCTATGGTATATTTCCCCCCTATGGGAATTCAATGATGCAATGCATTCAAAATATGCTTTCATGGGTGAGTCGAACAAATGGACAGTTGTTAGTCGACAACGCTTTGATTCAATCGAAACTAACATAGAACAAACACAAACAACCATCCAAATTGTGGGTTCACCTTCGGAGGTTGTGGCTTTATCAGTCTATCATTCACAACTTGGTATAAAAACGCTCGAGTGTTTTCTTTCAACTACTACTGGCCAAGCACAACTAGAAATCACACCCTCGACTATTACATGTTCCGATAACTTTCTATTTGTATAATGAGAAGTTTGAACTGTTTTGTCGAATAAAATTGTGACCGAATGCTGACAATTGGTGCATTGCATAATTTACCTAGTATTTTGTTTTTCTGTTACGAGTAAACAAATATTTCTTCGCCTTGTATGCATAGTATCAGAGAGGAAAGAAAAGGAGAAACGATAGAAGAACCCGACGGCTGCGGAGGAAAAACGTGCGTCAAAAAACGAGTGTCATATGGTGAAAGAGACAAGGTAATTGCAAGAGGGGGTATGTATCCTTGTGTATATATTCATATCTATCTTCAGAAATTGCGGTTCACACAAGATTAGAAAAAAATGTCAACAAAATAAATAATGTTTTGATATCCTAGGCAGCATTTATCTACCTTTAACTAAATAAAAGTTCCTAAAATAGTTGTTCTATTTAGTTGACGACATTCTAGTGAATTCATCGATAATATGAATCTACATTGGATAGTACTTTTTACCTTTATAATTTCGATCCATGCACAAACGGGCTCGTTTCCCGATTGTAAATCAGGACCCCTTTCAACATTTCCTATATGTGACCAAAGTCTTCCATCGCGTCAACGAGCGGCTGACCTTGTTAGTCGTATGACGACGGCAGAAAAGATTACGCAATTGGTCACAACTGCTGCAGCCATACCACGCTTAGGTTTACCGAAATTTGAATGGTGGTCAGAAGCCTTACATGGTGTTGCTTATTCACCTGGTGTTTCATTTGGCGGCGACTTACCAGCAGCGAGCAGCTTTCCCACGCCGATCAACCTTGGTGCTTCATTCAATATGAGCCTTGTTCATCGTATTGCTAGCGTTATTTCCACAGAAGCACGAGCGTTCAACAATGAGGGTCGGGCTGGATTGGTCTTCTTCACACCGAATATAAACATCTTCCGCGATCCACGTTGGGGCCGTGGTCAAGAAACGCCCGGTGAAGATCCGTTCCTAACATCACAATATGTCTATGCATTGATCAATGGCCTGCAACGTGGCGACGATGAACGATATTTAAAAATAGCTGCTGACTGCAAACATTATGCGGCTTATGATCTAGAAAACTGGAATGGAACAGATCGTTTTCATTTCGATGCCCGTGTCAGTGATTTAGATCTCATCGAAACCTACATGCCACCATTCGAAACATGTATACGCGATGCTAAAGTAGCTAGTATTATGTGTAGCTACAATGCAGTCAACGGTGTACCATCATGTGCGAATAAATTTATATTGGAAACAATTGCACGGTAGGAGACTTTCAATGAATTTGATGAAATCTCTATTCTATTTTGTTGCAGTGAATCGTATCGTCTGGACGGATTTGTCGTGAGCGATTGTGGTGCTGTATCGACAATTATGGACTCACACCACTATACATCTACGGTAGAAGATACCGTTGCTGTTGCTTTACACGCTGGGACGGATCTGAATTGTGGAGATTTCTACTTGAAACATACGCAAGAAGCGTTAGATAAGAAGACTATCGTTGAAGCCGATATTGATCAAGCGGTACAACGAACGTTCAATGTTCTTATTCGTCTTGGCTATTTTGACCCACCCGAGCAACAACCCTACAGAAAACTCTCGCATTTTGATGTTGATACAGTCGAAACCAGACAACTATCATTAGAAGCTGCACATCAAAGTATTGTTCTATTAAAAAATTCGAACAAAGCTTTACCATTGGATATTAATCAACTACAAAACAAGAGAATTGCATTGATTGGGCCAACGGCTAATGCAACTGAATTAATGCAAGGAAACTATTTTGGTAAAGCACCATTTCTACTTGATCCTGTCACGGCATTTCGAGGACTTGCTATTGGTGAGTGATAATTGTATGAATTTTCTTTTAATCGTCTTTTTGCTCTCAATAAAGGTCATTCCATCAATGTCAGCTTTGCCTACGGTTGTAAAATTGCTGATGGTGACCAGAGCGGATTCTCCGAAGCTATCGAGCTAGCAAAATCATCTGATGTTGTTATTTTCTTCGGTGGAATTGATCAATCTATTGAATCCGAAGGGCACGATCGCACATCGATTGCTCTACCCGACATTCAATTGCAGCTAATCCAACAACTAGAAAAGACTGTGCGCTCACCCCTTCATATTGTCATCATGTCCGGAAGCGGTCTAGACCTTTCCTATGTACGTGATTCCAGCCAATGCGCAAGTCTTATCTGGATGGGTTATGCCGGACAATCAGGTGGTCTTGCCCTTGCTAATGTGATGTTTGGTGATTATAATCCTGGTGGCCGTTTACCAATAACAATGTATCCTGCATCTTATGTTGATACGGTCAGTATGTTCGATATGCAAATGCGTCCATCGCCAACCAATCCTGGCCGAACGTATAAATTCTATACTGGTCAGGCAGTTTTTGAATTCGGCTATGGCCTTTCGTACACCACATTTCAATATACATGGTACAACGATACTGCTGAGTCACGAATGTCGGTGAAATCATTGATGAAGAATAATTTTGATGAGAAGAAAGTGCAAGTTCATCTTTACCGGGTTAACGTCACAAATACAGGCTCAGTAGCTGGTGATGATGCTGTTCTTGCATATGTTGTACCACCACAACAATCATTAAACGGTCAAACACCTCCTCTGAAGAAACTATTCGGTTTCGAACGTGTCCACCTGAACGTTGGCGAAACAAAACAAGTCTTTTTTCCGTTTAACATGGAATCATTATTGACAGTAGCACATGATGGAGCAAAATGGCTAGAGCCAGGCTCACATAAAATTATCATTGGAAAACAACATATGCATACTATTCATCTGTACGGCAAGCCTGCTCGATGGTCTTAGATATCGATTTGATTGAAACGAACAAGTATTTCGTACTTTTTTTTTCGTAATTATGACATTGTAGAATCAATAAAAAAACTCGTATCCTGAAGTTGATGGTTGCTTAGTTGAGATAAAGTAGAACATCTTTCCGTGTTTATTCGAATAAATTCATTCAACAAAGATAACAAACAAGATTGATCTGATGACCTCAACAGTTATTTTTCTGACCCTTGAATTGTATCACGAAACGGTTGGTATAGGATGATTAATAGAGAAATACGTCAATGCGGTTTAGTTAGACGGAGTTCCACGAAGACGCTTGTCTTTGGTTTTACCAGGACCTTCAAAATGACAGAAGGAAACTTTTTCTTATAAGATTCGAAGTTGAAACATAACTGAAGAAGATAAGCAGACTCATGTTCGAAGCAAATCATCGTGTATCAAGCTTATTCGCCACACAACAAACTAAGAATTTGCCCAAGAGTGACTCTCAATGAACAGCGGAATGCAAATAAAAGCAATCTCGATAAGAAAAGAAAGTGAAGAAACAAAATGTATTTGCGATGTGGACGGCGTTTACCGTACACTCTAAAAGACAAGATCATATTTGATTTTTCGACGATTGCGAAAACGAATGCAATGTTTTCATACCTGTTCAAAACCGATCATGAAGGATGTCATGTACTAGAACTGTATGTCTATATAAGAAAGCTCGATTAACGTTTTCGAGCTGCTTTACTTAAAGAATTATCCTCGTTTGTTGATAATGTGAACAGAAATGAAAATATTCATTTTCAACGGTTATTGTCGCGCAAGGACAGAATGTATTTCCAATCAACAACATGGGCAAGTCAGTCCGAGTTACTTTTGAAAAAAAAACATTTTGTCCACATTCGACATAATTAAAAAAACTACAACTACACGGAATAGAAAGTATCACTAACTATCGACAAAATGCTTTCATTTCTATGCGAATTTCATTCGAAATCGAAACTTCGCATCTTGTTCGTAATAGATAGGAAATGCTGTATTCCAAAGATTATTATGAACATTGACAAATAATCCGTTTTTGCCCACGCCCTGGCAGTCAGCAATGGAATTATCGAAATTTAACAAATAATCTGCAGAGCCGATTGACAGTAGCGGAGCGTCGTATGAATACAATGTAAATACCAATTGTTCACTTTGATCTTCATAGAAACGTACACCATCATGGCCGATAGCATGCAATCGCTTCGAACCGTAATCTACAATATTCGATGGATCGACATCATATCCGAGAACGTCAATCTTCCATTGATTACACGTTTTGGAAACAAGCGGTAAGATTGGATTGAATTCAATCCAAAGTGATTCTGGAAGACGAGTTGCTGTCTTATTAAACCACTGTAATTCAACAGATATAGACATTGGCGAATCAGCGGGAAATGTGTAATTGATCCAAACAGCTCGACTTCCGCCATACTTGTCAATGATGTCTTGAGGAAACGTTAGTTGTACGAGAAATGTTTGATTCGTCCGATCTTTCCACATCGACACAACACTGGGAAATACAGCTTGACTTAGAGAATTGGTTAGACCTGGTTTAGCGAAATCACCACAGGGTGGTCCACAATCAGGATTATATTGTAAATTAAATCGATTAAAGTCATCGTTGGAATAGGTTTTATATTGAACACGACCGATCGTATTGTTAATATTCGAGAAATTTCTTCCTTGATTATCCTGGAGGAAGACCACGGCACCTGATGTATAATTAAAGCCAGCCGAGAAGAATGCTGTTTGAAATAAATAGTAATCTTTTGTTCGATCTATTGGGAGAGGAATCCGAACAAATTGGCTCAAATCAGGAAGTGAGGGTTCGAGTTCTTTGAGAGTATTTTGAACAAGTTTGATCAGGGATGGGTCCGAAGAATTCAACGGATATAAATAGGATCGCGCTTCCGTCCATCCTTGTTCTAACAGTTGAAAATCACTTTCATTTCGGACACGTGCGAATTCGTCGTTATGATAATTGTATGCATAATTTTTCGATTTCAAATAACATCCTGTACATAACCCCCAATTATGTTCCGGATTCTTTAATAAACGAAACGAATAATTGTATATCGAAGAAGAGAATTGTTGATCGAGTAATAATCTCGAAATTTGGCGATAGGCAGCTTGTTTATGCGGATCAGCAGCTACACCATACAACCATGTCGTTCCCCATTCGTCCGTTATAACTGGCAATTGTTCTTTATATGATTCGAGTAGAAGCTGGCTGAATGTTTCCAGATTACTTGCAGTGATTTCTGCATTAGGATAGTGACTTCTAATTTCTGTCCATATTCGAATAACTTCATTGACATCATGAGGCGGTCCAGTATTATCCAATGTAAAGTGATAAATCATTGCCTGATCAAAGCCTGGTAGAACAACATCACCACCATAGATACAAGATTCAGCTGAACACGGTGTCGTGGCCGTAGGTTTATTGTACATCATAACAAGTAATTCAGTATTCGTTGGCTCATGTCGCCAGACAAATGCCGGTGGTAGATCCGCGCCATGACAATTCAGATTCACACCGACATGCACCGATTGAATGCCATTTGCAGCAAATATCGGGATCGTACTGATCGGATGACCCATATCATCTTTGTGCGAAGCACTTGTTTTTCGCTTTTGATAAAATCGATCATCCAATATTGCAGATACACTCAATGATATATTAAACAAATTCTTATCCATCATTGGGATAAACATGGAGAACGCATGAGCGTGCCAAGTGATATCGCCTTGTTTGATTGCGTTTTCCACTAATTCGACTGTCGTACTGTTCGGTCGCTCGGTCGTGCATTGTGCAATATTGTCGAAGAATTCGAGCAGTATCCACGGATGCGTAGTGAAAATAAAGCGCTCCTCGCCGCCGCGATCACGAAGTTGCTGTGCAAGAATTGCTGCATTCGGTAAATGATGATTGAAATAAAGCGAACAAACATTAGCCGCAAAATTAGTAAAACCAACGTCTAAATGTGTCATCGAAACCACGTGCACTTGTTTGATCCATGGATATGTTACAGTTGATGAATGTGATCTCCATAATTGGTGGCAAAGTAAGATTAATAATGAACAAAAAAGTAAACGAAACATAAGCGTCGAGTTGCTTTTCAGTTGTTGAGGAGAGTTAACAACTGATGATGAAAGATAAGAAGGAGGAGAGGCAGACTGCTTCTTATCCATTGTGTGAGATAAGGCCTATTCTATTGAGTGATACGTAACTTTTCTCTTTTGATCTAATCAAAATGGCAGAAATATAAAATAAAATACAAGTCAGCGTAGTACAAGTTATTAAGAATCAACAATGGCGACATTTCATAAACAAAGAAACTTGCAAGTTTTCATAGATGTCTACATATATATATTTTATGATTAATTTTCAACAAAAAAATTCTCTTGATCAGAAAACCGCTTCCTGTCTATACATAATATAAAACATCGACCTGACATACAAATGTAGAGTTTCTAGGATGAAATGAGTGTTTGTCGGTAAGTTTGGATTGTCCGAAAGATATTCCAAAGAAAAATGATCATTGTTAACAAGAAAAAATTCCAGGGGAAACTGTTTCCACCAATAGTGAGGCGTAGGAGAAAATAGACAAACAAAAGTAGAAGTAATGTGCGTATGTCTGCAAAGTGTCGGAAGTTGATCTGTGGTACTCGGATAGATTGAAATCGTTGATCGTTTGGACCGTAGAATAGCTGACGAAAGAATGCACCAATGACACCTGGACGATTGTATAGAGAACTGATTTGATTAGCATACTACAGAAAGAAAATTCAATGATGAGAAGTGACGATTCGAAACGTACTCGAAGGTTGATATTTTCTGAGAGTTGTTGATTGAACCAAAGTAGTGGGCGAAGTTCAAAAAGATTAGGTGGGGATAAAATTGGATTTTCCAATTCATAGGGTGTGTAGGATGTGTTCAACGATGTTTCATTGATTGATGTTGACAAAGACTGAAAGAATCGAATTCAATTCCGAGAATATCTTCCTAAAAAATCTTACTTTGTTTCCTTGAAATGATGCGTCTAATGGATGAGTTAATGATGGTTCATCTTCATGAACTGTTGTATCGAAGATATTAGCATCAATCTGCGCGAAAAATCAAGTGTTATCAGGATATATTATTGATTTCTCTTACGCGAAAAAGTTCCATGAATTTCTTCTTTGTATTTGTTAATTGCTCGACGATATCTGAAGATAGTAGTGGTTTCATTTGAACAGTTTTCGTTGCTGCCTGCGCCGGTTTAATATATGGAATTCTTAATAAAATTCGTTGGAGCAATTCTCGAGCATTTGTGGAAACAATTTGCGCGGCTTGAGACGCCCGTTTGTTTTCGTCAGCTATGCGTTGATTTTCCTCTATACGGCGCTCATTCTTTTGTAAAACACATGTGATTTTACGCAAACAACTTAACATAATCGTTTGCGTTTCATCACATAAGAGTGAATACGCTGGTCGAGGTCCATCCGGGGACACTGGAGGCGATATACGTTGTTTATGAGAAGAGTACGGTGTGGCTTGAGAATACATTGCTACTTGCTCGGCTAAATGGAACAGATGATGTTTGATGAATCGAATGGGAAAAGTTGATTTTACCTTTAAGGAGTAGCGACGAGAAGTTTTTCGCAGAAAATACCTAAGAAGAAAGAGACAATCTCGTATGACAAAGAATAACCAACAATGTCGTATCCTTACACTAGATAATTTACTAATTAATTGTGAAATCAAAGCGTTGGTTAGATCTGTTTTTTGCAAGCGATCAACAGCAAATTGAAAGAGTCGACCATAGAATGGGAGATTTCGTTCGACGAAATTGATGTTTTCAGCAGTCATGATCGACTGATCTTGCGACGTGGTTTCTTGATCAGCTGCTGTTGTATCAAGTAGATTTGTTACTCGATGATCATTCGGTGAGGTTTGTGGACTAAATCGCCATGGACGGATGTAAGTATACCAGACAAAGAGAAGAGTATTGTAGCGTTGATCGAGTGGACATCGAACAATACCAATTTGAAGTAGAGTATAGAGTGGTTGACGAAGATAGGTGTCAATGCATGTTCTACAGACAAACATATATGAAATAGTGAAGTGTAACATGTTTATTTTGTGGCAAACCGTTTCAGTGATTGTAATGGTACGAGAAGATTGCGTTGTTCGAGTAAAGTCATGCCTGTATTTGCGAGCGAAGCATTATTACCACCAATGCCGATTTGATAGGAACAAAATAGATGAAGACGTTTAATAAACATTCGAATGCAAAGCAAATGAACATCAGATAAAGTAAATTCCTAAAGAGACACTTGAGTAACAGACCATCGTTTGTACGAAGAGTTTTACTTGGACAAGAATGGAGCCACTATTTGTGCCGAAGACTGATTTTGATGGTTGAAAGACATCGATGAGAAAAGCAACGTAGGACTAATTGAAAGAACATGTTGACTTGAATATTAAAAAACACAAATATTCTTATACTTTGATAAAGTAATCAATTTTCTTCATTAATTCATTCGTGTCTGCTGTAGTGGTGGACAAAACCACGGGTGATGCCGATGGATTTAACGGTGATGTCGGTGACGTGCTCATATTCATCGTTGTTCCTTCTCCGTCACCTCGTTGCTTAGTATTCCCGCCGAAGAGATATGATTGTCGAATTGGACTTTTCCTTAATGAGAACAATACAGTTTAAACTCAAATAGGTTCGAAGCGTTAATCCTTACTTTGGTGTTGTTTCCACAGGTACCGGTGACATGAGACGTGGATCGACGACATGAGATGTTGTAAGAGCACTGGAACTATTTGTATTCGTTGTCGGCATGAGTAGCAGACGAAATTCTTCGGCATCGACTATGTGAAGATGGAAATGAGATAAATTATTTTTCGAGCAAAGCATTTACTCGGTAGGAAAAGGCATAGATACATTTCCAGTACATTCAAATAGACCGAATCACTTCGCATTGGCCGTTCCTATCGTAGAAAATGAAAAGTCTAGAATGAATAATTGACAAACTTACTGTTGACTGTTGATCGGAAATAGCATAGGAAAGTAGATGAAAGAGAAAATATTCAATCGGATCAAGTGCCAACGATGTTAAATGTTGGCCGGTGGTTGTCGTTCGGCCACGAACAATGTCCGGTAGACATAGCGAAGCCAATTTAGCACGCAAATGTAACGGTAAATCACTGATACTGAATTGAAAGGTAAATTGCGGCGTGTGGTCTTGTAAACGAAGTAATGCTTTCCACAATTCGCCATGCCAAGGCGAGAGAAATTCTTGAATAATTGCAAATAAATTCGATCGGTCGTTACCAATATCGCGTAATGACCAATCGAAACGACCGAAACCAAATATTCGGCGAATAACATACGGTAATTCTACATGAAGTTCTTGAACAGTCATGCGAGGAAGTTGATTCGTTAGTTGAACACAGGCATCCGTGGGCCCGAGATCGAGTATGGAGACAAGCGAATGTCGAGTGAACATTTTCGATCTGGAAAAATGAAAGATTTCGATCTAATGAATTGAACTAAATGAGAGTGACGATATACACGAGGAGAAGAATCAAATCGATCTGTCCAATTCGAAGGATACATCAAAGATGGCAGTAATATCAATCCATCAATGGAAAATATACCGTAGATTTTATTTCCAAAATGAAAACAGAATACAATACTAAATGAGATCGCCAAGATGCTCTTCATTTTCACAACAAATAAGAATCTGATTCTCTTTTCGTCGGCGAAAGACACCATTCATCTGATGGCAAATTCTCGAGTTGTTTCATTGTTTTATACTGGGCAGTAAACCAAAAACAGCCGAGTACAAACGCGAAACTAACTAGAAGAGGATACGCTGCTTCGTCCGGTTCAATCCAACCAGCGAGATAGAGAACAGATGAAGCCATTAAACTAGCACCAAGATTACCTAATGTATTTAACAATGTGATATACGTTCCACCGATACTTGGATCGCTAATCCGTGCGAAAAATCCCACACGAGTGACGATCATCAAATAAATTAGAGACTCATTACATAGAAAAATGCCAATCAAAACAGGATAAAAATACCACCGATGTAATAAATAAGGAGTAAGACAGACATATATTGCGATGATGATACCCATTAAAAGACGAGGTATGTAGGACCGGTAATACCAAGTTAATGGTCGATTAGTATGTGTCATAGACAACGGAATTACGATTTTAACAATAATTAATGGAATACCAAGTAAACCAAGTGTTTCTTTCGGAACACCATATCTAAAAATGATTTTAAAGTTCGAAATTTCTTCAATCAAGTGCCTTTGTTTCTACCTTTTCAAAACGAGATTCGTCATGGTATATGTTGGAGAAAAACCAACTGGACTAGTAAGAAAAATAAATGCTAATTGTCTGATACAAGTTTTGTTGAATAATTTCCATATGGAGAGATAAGTTTGACTTAAACTCATTGGGTTCGTTTCTTTTTTACCTTTATTCAACGAAGCAATGCAGAGTGCAAGGATTAGAAACATTACTCCACAATATCGTACGAATTGATCTAATGTAAATAAACCATACGTTTGCTTGGGTAACTCCAATGGTTGTCGAACATAACGATTTGTAAAATCAGCGGATTCGAATATCATTAACACGGTAAAGCCAATAAAACGACCTGTAGTTTGTCCAACTGTTTGACATGTCGATGCCCATTGAAGGTTGTACTTTGCTAAAAGTGTCAATGCCCATCCATCCACACATGTATCTTGACTAGCCAGAAGAAAGTAGATAAAGAAAAATATACACGTTAAGAATTTAATTTTCAATTGGTCGACGAGATTTATCAACGAAAATGAAAGAACAATGAGAGTTATTCCAATGGAGAATTGCAATGGAATAAGCCAAGTTTTCCTTCTTCCGAAACGTGCAATATAGATCGCATCTAATATAGGTGCCCATGCCAATTTGAGACTAAATGGATAAAAGGCGAAATTGAATGTGCCTTGCTCTTGCCATGTCGCACCACGTGAATCCAAATAGAAAGGAATTGCTGTTGTAAAACCGATCACAACACCTTGCAGGAAATAGATCATTAGGAGAAGTAACACTCGAAATAAAGGCACGGTTCGTTTTTTCATTTTAAAATGGCTCATATAATCATAAGTCCATGTTTTGGTTTGGACATACTATTTCAAAATAGAGATATGTTTTTTGTATCGGAATGTTCTCTCGAATCGATATCAAAATAACGTTGTTCGAGTGTGAATATTTTTTTCACATAAGAATGACCTTGCATATAATATTCTTGCATCAACCGATCGTGTGGTAAGTAACGTAGTTGTCGCTAAACGATGGAGTTTCACTAAAAATTTTTTCGATGTTACCTACAACACTTATCGGTATACTTGGTCGAGTGAATGCATCATTTGAATGTAAATAAACACGTAATACGAACCGTGCTGTGTAACCTCGATTCTTACTCGCTGCTGTGCTTTACCACAACAAAGATTTCTGGAAGTGTACGTCGTATGTCTTCGGGCGAAATTGTATATTGATTTAATTTTGCATCAGTTAATAATTTGGTTTCAGAAATGGAGTACTTTTACCTTTTACTTGAATCTATCACTACGAAGAAAGTTCGACACGCTTTTAGATGTTTGTAAGACCTGGTTTAAAGCCGGTAAATTCTCTAATACGATTTACGACATTACGTTCGAAACATGTCATTGGTATTCGTCGTGAAGATCAATCGCCATGGGAGCGTCGTGCACCTCTAGGACCTGATCAAGTTCGAACACTTGTCAAAAAACACAATGTTAAAGTTCTTATTCAAGCATCAAACCGACGCGCATTTCCAATCTTATCTTATGTCCAAGCAGGTGCAACTGTTCAAGAGGATCTTAGTGAAGCATCGGTTATTATCGGCGTTAAACAAGTTCCGGCAGATTTGCTGATACCAAATAAAGTCTATGTGATGTTTTCCCATACACACAAAGCTCAGATTGACAATATGGCACTGCTAGATGCTTGTTTAGAGAAAAACATCACTTTGATTGATTATGAAAGAATTGTTGATGATCAAGGTGTACGATTAGTCGCATTCGGAAAATATGCAGGAGTCGTTGGAATGATTAATATTTTGCATGGACTCGGTCTAAGATTTTTGGCATTGGGACACCATACTCCGTTCATGGTAGATAGAAGATGAAAGTTAATTTCACTTTCTCGCAAATCTATGTTTAGCATATCGGTCCTGCACATAACTATCGAAACAACGAACAAGCACGAATGGCTATTCGTGACGCAGGCTATGAAATCGCGCTTGGCTTGATGCCGAAATCAATCGGACCGCTAACGATTGTTTTTACTGGATCAGGCAATGTTTCACAGGTAGATGACTATGTAAAATTTTCAAAGGAGAAACTAATTTGAAGTATTTGCTTTCAGGGTGCTCAAGAGGTTTTTCGTGAATTACCATTCGAATACATCGATCCCAAAGCTCTTCCACAAGTAGCTCAGCATGGTGGTATGTGTACTATATCTCTGATGACCTTAACTACATACTTGATATTGACTGTTTAAAGCTAACAACAAAATCTACGGATGTGTTATCCAAAGAAAAGATCATTTAATTAACAAAGAAACAGGAGAATACGATGAAGCAGAATATACAAAACATCCTAATAGATATACATCAACATTTAGATCTCAAGTACGTACTTCGAATAAAGATGGATCATATTGTCAAAAGTGAATGAATTCCATTTTAGAATACTAACATATTAGGGTAAAGAAAAATCTCATTTAGACTGAGAAAAAGCATACACATAAAATCTTGCTGCTCATTATTATTACTTCGATTCTTGTTCTATCTAACACTTCAGCTCAAAAAACCTCTTTGAACTTTCTTTAGATTGCACCGTATGCAAGTTGTATAATCAATGGAATTTATTGGGAATCATCATCGCCGAAACTACTTCGCGTCGCTGATGCTAAACAGTTGTTAACTCCGCCACCGGAATGGGAACAAAACGATAGGAAATCTGGTTGTCCGCCGTTGCCTCATCGTTTGCTAGCCATTTGTGATATAACTGCGGATAAAGGCGGTAGTATTGAAATCGTTCAGCAAACAACTAGCATCGATCATCCATTTCTATTATACAACCCAAAAACGAATACATCCACAGAAAGGTAATTTGAGCAGTAGTGTAAATCAATGAAGAGTAAATTCGTTTTGTAGCTTTGATGGTCCCGGTGTATTGGTTTGTTCAATTGACAATATGCCAACACAGTTGCCATTAGAAGCAACTGAATATTTCGGTTCAAGACTGTTGCCATTGATTCCACAGATACTTGCTGTAGATGCCAAGAAAGATTTTCAAAAACAAACGAATGTATCTCGTGCTGTACAAGATGTAAGTTCGTTAACAACAGAAAAATGATCTCTTTTTCTCATTGAACAACTATTTATCTAGGCCACTCTCACAGCAAATGGCCAATTGAGACCCAAGTATACTTATATAACCCAATTACGCGAACAACGAAAGTATATCGAATTACTAATCTATTTTGATCACAGTATTAAGCGACACTTTTTTTTTGAAATTGGATTTTTCAGATTGAAAGCATCAATGTCATCAACGGCAAAACGTGTTCTTGTCTTGGGCGCTGGTTTTGTTAGTGGCCCTGTGGTGGAATATTTGACACGTGATGCCCAAGTTCATATCACTGCTGTCAGTGCCGTTCAACAAGAAGCTGATCGACTTGCATCAGCAAATCCTCGTACGACACCCATACTGTTGGATATCACACGAAGTCAAAGCGAATTGGAGAAATTAATCAAAGAACATGATTGTGTCATTTCACTTTTACCATTCACACTCCATCCCGACGTGGCTGCATTGTGCATTAAACATCATCGACACCTTGTCACGACGAGTTACGTATCACCAAAGATGAAGAGTCTTCATGACGAGTGAGCGAACATGAAACGAGTTCGAATGCGAATATTGTTTTCTTATATTAGAGCTACAGCAGCAGGAATTACTCTGCTAAATGAAGTTGGATTGGATCCTGGAATAGATCATATGTTAGCAATGGAATTATTTGAAATTATCCGTGACGATGGTGGTCGAATTGATTCTTATGTATCCTACTGTGGTGGTTTACCAGCTCCCGAATTCGCTGATAATCCACTTCGATATAAATTCAGGTTCGAAAACTTGCATTCTTCTGTAGAATACCTACTTTTTGGCTTTAGTTGGTCACCTCGAGGTGTTCTCACAGCTTTGCTCAATCCAGCAAAATACTTGAATAAAAGCAAAGTAAATGAAACGAATTAGCATACGAGATGAAATCATTTGTCTCTTGTGTGTCCGTTTATTAGATTATTCAACTCACACCCAATGGCGGTGTCATCGAAGATGGATGTACAACAGCAAACTTCTTACCCGGTTTCAATCTCGAATGCTATCCAAATCGAGACAGTACAACCTACATTGACTCCTTACAACTTGATACCGTCCATACTATACTTCGAGGAACTTTACGATATAAGGTAAAAACTTACATCGACCTTTTTATGACGTCATCTGTTGCATAAAACTCTCGTCTGCATTATTATTAAGTTTGGATAACATTCAATAGTCTTGACTGCACACTGAGTACAGATCCACATTACACATTTGATATCTATATCATCTTCCATTCTGTTATCCTGCTGTTAAGCGTCGATGTATAATCGTTGGCACGTTTATAGATAAACTGATTGGTTATTTTCAGGGTTTCTGTCAAAATGCACTTGGACTGATTCGTCTTGGTTTGCTCGATGATCAATCGCATCCGAGTCTCCAATCCAAAGATGATTTGACTTGGAAAGATTTTATGTGTGATTTAATGAACTTGAAACGCGATGTATCGACTAATGCACTTCGATCGGCCATTTATCAAAAGTTACAAAACGAAAATCAAGTTCGAACGATCGAACAGTAAGAATAAACTTCTTTATAATTAAACATTGTATTTCCGTCGTATCTATTTAGACTTGGCCTTCTCTCCGATGATAGTAAAATAGAGAAACGCTCGACTCCTCTCGATACATTGAGCATCTGGTTAGCGAAACGTTTAGCTTACGGGCCGAATGAACGCGATATCGTCATTCTACATCATCAAGTCGGAGTTACATGGCCAACATTGTCACAAGAAGATAGTGAATTGAAAACTATCGATATGGTTGTTTACGGCGATGCAAAATATTCTGCTATGGCTAAGACAGTTGGTCTACCGGCGGCAATCGCTACACGAATGTTACTTGCTAGTACGTGAAAATTTGATTCCAAGAAAGAATTCTCGTTTTTCTAACAAAAAAAACAAATCTTCGTTTAGATGAAATTCATGAACGTGGTGTTGTTGTACCTGTTAAACGTACGATTTACAAACCGATCTTAAATGAACTCAAGCGCGAGGGTATCTCGTGGACGGAGAAAACAATAAAACAAATAATGTGATTTCTTCTTAACTTTGAAAGTTGCCTTTTCATTTTTGTAGTTAGTTCATTGACATATTTTTAGGTTTTTGTTTTGAATAAAAGCTGATTTTTTTTTGACGTTACGAATGTATATGAAAGACAGATGGTTTCATCCCATACTTCATAAATAATTACTGTACAAGAGATTCTTTATATGCATCCCTGATCTATAATTATAGCTGTTAGCAGGAAGTACCTTGAAGATTCATTGTATGCTAAACAATCCTGCTGACATTGAATAGAACATCCGAGAGAACAGAAAAAGAGGAGAGAAAAGAAATGATTAAGACGACAGTTACAACGCAATTAGATATGGAGCAAAATGTTACTCGGTTCAGTAGAATATAAGTATGCATAACAAAGAAGTAATGATCGATTTTTGTTTATTCGGATTGTTTGAGTATGTTTCTTCTCATCTTTGTAATCTATACATATCTGTACACATCCGAAGGGAGACTAATGAATTAGTAATGCCACATATTTCTTTTTCCTTCTATTATCCCGTTAAAAAAAACACAAGTCGAGTTCATTACATGTCGGAAGCTTTTCAGATGTTCAAAGATGAGAAAATGAGCGTTGTTGATGTCCGTTCTCATCATTATCGAAAGGTTTGGTTGACAGACATGACTGACGATCGGCTTCGATCTCTCTATCTATCTCACTCTTCTCTCGCTCTCTCTTGGCTCTTATCGATGTCGTCTAGTAGGAAGTCCGTGCGCGTTGTAGCTTGCAAGAAGAAAAATACAAGTTATCAACCTTGGAGTATTTCCATGAGAGAAAAGCATAGCAATATGGCCTTCGTTTTCTTCAGCGCAGCTTTTTGCGGTAATAATACGCAGAAAATGATGCTAGTTTTTCTTCTTCGCCTTCTCCTCTTGACGATATCTGTTGATTACTTTGCTTGTTGTCGTTATTAGTCTAAGTGCGACAAGTATGAATGACTACATCGAACATAGGTCTTACAGGTTTAAATAAATAATCAACTCAATCATTGTGAGTATACAAGAAAATTGAATCATTTCAGAGTATGAATGCTATTAATCGACTGGATCGGCTTCTAACTGATGCATTCAGAATACCATCGATCGATTTTTCTGAGGAAATATACCAGGAGACGAGCGTACAACCATCAAGTGAATTGACATTTGCTGAACGGGAATCTTATCCTTCGACAGTATTGCCGCTGGCATTAAACAATACGGCACCTTTGCCACCTCGTCGTAATGCTTCGTCAATAAAACATCATCGCCAACGTTATCAAATCAATCCAGCTGATAAACAAAAAACTGATCAACCACTTTTAAATTCTTCAACGTTAGATGATTTATTTCGTGCTTTAACGCTCGAATGTGAACAATGTCTGGCTGATACGCCGTCGTCCTATCAAAATAAGATCTATGAGGAAATAATGGTACAATCTTCATCGGACAAACAAGCAGCTGTCGAATCAAACGATGATGATTATGAAAATCTACATCCGCCGAGACCTGTACAATCAATAAAAACGAGTGTCTCCCCTCTGAAAACTAGTATTGAAGTGATCAGTCCAATAAAAAGGCACGTCGTCTCGATAACTGTGTCCTCAAAAGTAACTTGTACACCACCTCCGCTTCCATTACTACTCATCCCACCAGCACCGATATTAACGTCTATCGTAGTTCCACCGCCAGCAAAACCTTCATCTCCTAGCCCTTCATCACCACCACCACCACCAATCCCACCAGCACCGCCTATTTGTCGGTCAAGTGATGAAGAACCTGCAAATCTTTCGTCATCGAGTACCAACCGAAAACGTCGTCGTCGTACTCGAAAACAGTTTGTATCGTTGTCAACAACGCGTTCGAGCTCATCATCTACTGAACGTAAGGCAAAATCAACAGAAAGGAAATCGCTTCCTTGCAAACGCTCAAATAGTACCGATACTCGTCATCATCATTCGAGAAATTCTTCAGATAATCGTCCAATGTCCTATTCGTCTTCGTACAAACAATGTCCAAAGCGTCCTCATCGACGTGATGTATCCCTACAACATCCCGAACGTTACCATGAAATGAAATCTTTACCTCTTTCCGTCTTATTGACATCAACAAAACATACAAGCGACTTTATAACCAATTCTCAACAGCGTCGCTCACGTCTGGAATCTGTTGATCATAAACCACCGGCATTATTTTATCGATCCTCATCGACTCGGAATAATCATAATCATAATAATAATAACAATCAACATCCGAATAAAAGCAAGAACAACAGCAACATTCCGACGCATCGAATACCCTCCTATCCAGTTTATTGACACGAAGAGTACTTAGAAAAACTGAAGAAATTAGTTTGTTTTCACAACTGTAAATCAATGTCTCAATACACTTGTTTCTCTCATCATTCCATTTGAGCATTCCAGAATTTGAGTACAATCGTTAATATCATCAGATCAATCTCATTGGCAATTGCTAATCTTCTTTGACATAACGAAAAAGCACGTACGATGCAGATAGATGCAACTATCACATCGTTTATTTACATTGACCAAGATAGACAGATCAAATATCTGTCAGCAGATTTGTTATTAATTAGTTGACTGAACCAGTTTCATTCATCGAAGAAAAAGTGTCGTTTCTCGTATCGATTAATACAGACCAGTTAGTTTTCCTGTCTTTATCATGTTTGTTTGAAGTGTCCTATTGTTGAAATTTCATAAAAATAAATCCAACAAAGCAGCATCTCAAAGTCAAATCTTCTCATTAGAACATATATTGTAAGTTTCTACAAATATTGTAAACTATCGACCTTAAGGGCATAACACTAATTGCATAATATTGTTTCTTTTGTTGACAGAGGAAATCAATCGTTCAGGTGTGTTTACAGACATATATGTCAACAAACAATTATCGTTTTACGCATCGTAACTGACGAAATGTACAAGTTCAAGACAATTCGAAGTATTTGCATACAAATTTCCGATTGTTAATAAAAAAGAGCAAGCTCGATTGCTCTGAATGATTGAATCTAGGAAAAATGCTGATATGATGTGTATTATTTTCTCATCGATCATCGATGATCGTGAATTTCCTTGATCAAATACCACATCACAGTTTGTACTCTTATATCATCGGATATAGAATTGTACGTAAGGAACATATGTAAATTCACTTGAGGCAACACGGAAAAGAGATAATCTATCCAATCAGAAGGTTCGAGTATACAGAACAGCTGTTCTCACTAGGTTCTAACCATATGCCCTTTGACTTTATCCATGATAGAGAGATACGACGACAATTTATGAGAGAATTGGAAGCAATTAGTTGTTTCTAGTACGTAGAAGAAGATTCTATGATCGATGAGATATTTCTATCCTCACTCTCTTTCTGTTCTCTCTCTCTCCCTGGAGTCTGCGAATATATAAATATCTGTACCATTCAATACTAGTCTACATTTGCAATCTTTCGCATTTTGTACTTAATAACCACGACTGATCTGACAAACACCATGCATCTTGTTCTATTCTCGATTGTTGCAATCTGTATTGCAGGTTAGTTGGAATTGAACTTTTCGTTAAATAACTATGTACTCCGAGAATCTGAACAGGAATCAGAACTCAAGAAATTGCCATTTCTACTGAATATTTACGAGCGCATATCAATGATTCTATCTCATCTGATTCAGGTCGGTCAATGAGTACGATTCTGTAGACTAAAACTAATACATACTTTTTTCTGAGCATGTCGTTTCGTTATACATAGAAATCTATTTGTGTTTCTCATATTTTAGTTGCTAATGCACAAAAACCAGTCGTTGCTGTTGTCGCTGCCGGTAGTACAGCAGCCAGCACAACGGTAACAACAACAGGAGCAGCAAGCTTACCAGCAACAAAACCAGCTAAAGCTGATGACGACAGCAACGGTAAACGCGATGCCATTCCTTTATATTAATACATTCTATTTTAATAGAAGACGATGATGATCACAAAAACAAATCCTATGATCATGAGCATGACAGCCATCACGAACACGATGCTACGATCTCTGTTGATCTTCATAATGTTCTTGATTTATTCAAAAATGAATTACATGAAACTGAAGAACGTATCATTGCTGCTATTCATCATGGTCATGATGACCACGGCCATGCGCATCACAATTCAACGGCTGCTCCAGTTCTTAAATCATACCGTACAGCTGAACGTTAAAAGGTCATGCTTTTCAAACTATGTATATTGCAACCGAAAAAAAACTGGTCCAAAACAAACTTTAAAGAAAGAAGAGTTTAATTCTCTAATGAATATTTTATACGATTTAAATTTAATTTAGCTTGACTTAGTTCTTGTCTTAACATTTTGCATTCATTTTCAGCTTGATTTCGTAACTAGAATAAATAAACAACGAACTAAATGAATCTACTTTTTCGAACTGTTTTACTTTGATGTCGGTGGATAAACGTAACTTAGCTTGTTCGATTTGAGTCTGAATGTTTTGCATTTCATGGTTTACTCGTGTCACTTGTAGTAAAGATTTCTGGAGAAGAATAGAAGAGAATTAGGATTGAGCGGAAAAGCGATCAGGTGTCTTACTCCTGTATCGGCTTCTCTGGTATAGCCCATTTCAGTTGCATGCTTCCATTCATTTTCAATAGTTTGCTCAGTTTTCTTATGCAATCGATCTAACTCCGAAGTCGATTGTTGAGAATTTTGTTCCAATGGCTGTGTTCGTTTCTTTTCTTGATAGTATTTTTTCTTCCATAGATCGCGAACTTAAGAAACAATAATGATTTAGAGAGAAGCATGAATATGAAAGAGAAACCTTCTTGTCGTCGTAATGTTAATCGTTTATACAACGATTTCATTTGACTCACTGCTTCATCACGAGATCGTTCAAGATCGATACGTTTCGCGCGTGACGCTTGAAGACGATTACGGAGACCATCAACTAGAAAAATGCATTAGCAAAGTGGCAATGTTTTCATTTGCAGAACTTTCAAAATTACTCGAAAAAGAAGTTATATACATGTAGTCATGTTTACTATGTTACAAAAACAAAAACCGAACCGAAAAATGTATGTTAAAAATAGATTTTTCCCTAAAACTAAGCTATTTTTAATCTGCTTAGGCTTCTTCCTGGATGTAGAATAACATATGTAGAGCAGATGTCGGATGGAAAACATCAAAGGTCATGGGAAGATATTCGGGCTGTAAGTACTTGTTTAATCATCGAAGTCAATTGACGAGAAAGAAGTGGAGGACTATTTTTTTAGATTGAATAAGATTTAAAACGGAATACGTACGATCGTCGTGTGAAAGTTCTAATTCTCGTCGTTGTTGTTCTTTCAATTCTTTTAATCGTTCTTTATCTTCTTGCGCCTGTCGACGACGTTGTACTTCGCCTGCTCGACGTTCTAATTCGTACCTGTTTTTTTTTGACGAAAAAGCAACATAGAGAAATCCATTTCATGAACATAAATCAGTTTTACACCTTTACGATACGCGAACATAGACACAACTATACATCGAGGTACTTACGTGTTCTCATTAACACTTATATCTGGTGTTGAGATATGCACTAGTTGTTCTTTAGAAGAACGTGTTCTAGTGACTGTTGCAGTTCGGCGATTCTCAGTGTCGGATATAACCGGCGAATCGACTTTTTCTTTCGTTTTTGACGAAAGTTTTCTTTCTGATTTCATTGATAATAATGATGATGAATTAGACCGTGTACTGTCTCGACGTTCTCGATTGAGTATTCTTGTTTCAGCTCGAGACGGATGACTTGGCTCATCCGATGTCGATCCGATCGAAGACGATCGAGATAAAATTTCACTATGGAGAAGAAAACAGCCGGATAGCAAAGAATGTCGATTGTAAACAAGACAGTACAACATGCATGCAGATGTGTTTTGGACAGACAATTAGTATAAGAAAAAAAACGAACCCAGCGGATAATTCATCATCATTAGCATCAATTGTTTTCTCATAGTTGAAATGAGTTTCAATAGTTACATGACTATTTGCTGATGATTTTCGAGAATCATTCTTAATTAAACTGAATAAATATATATTAAAAAGAAATTCGAGTTAGGAAGTTCAAAAGCAGTATTAAGATGACTCGTTACCTGATTTGACGTTTACGGAATGCTTTCTGTTCGTTAAAAGTGCGATAAGTCGGTTGACTTTGGGTTGTTAGTGTTGTTGGCGTTGCGTCGTGACTCGCTCGACGTTGTGTCACAATTAGTTTGACGGGTTGACGACGTTCAGACTGAACTTGCTCTCGATGAACTGGTACAGAAGGTACTTTCGCTTGTCGACGCGGTTCGGGTTGGATTCTCTCTAATGGACGCGGCTCAGAGTGTCTCTTCTCTGGTAGACGAGGTTCAGAATGTTTCTTCTCGTGTGGTTTAGGTTCGGAGGGTTTCTTTTCCGGTCGAGGACGTTCCAATGGAACTTTTTCTTGTCGGCGTGGTTCGTAAAGAGTCTTTTCTGGTCGTCGAACTTCAGATTGAACTTCCTCTTGACGACGGTAATCGATTCCTTTACGTTCTGGTGGTGCTTTCTCTTGCCGACGTGGTTGTCGATACGTTTCCTCGCGATTCGATTGAAGTTTTTTCTCTTCTGCAAGTCGACGCATGTATTCTAATTCAGCTTGACGCTTACGAAGACGTTCCTGTTCTTCTTTTAGTTTAGATAAGCTTCTAAATAAACAGCAAATCTGATTTACTTTCTTCTGACATGCAGTCCATTTACCTAGATGTACTATTCGTCACAAGAGTTACTCTAAAACATGAAGATTGAAATAGTATTCTCTGGAATAATTTCTCACTTTGAAGCAGTTGATGCATCGGAGTCTGAAAAGGCCGAAATGCTTACCGTAGGACGTAGATTTCAATTTGAATTACCTGAATCAATCACTGGATCGCTCTTCCAGCTATTCTTTCGTGATAATCGACGCGATGCTTTGGAAGTGTTTATTTTAGGTAGTTTAGTCTTATCTGTACGTCGTGATTTCTTTTGATATCTATGGGTGGGTTTCAACGACGACGGGCTCTGATTTGCATACTGAAAACGGTTACCAAATAGATAATTCACAGAAGAGAATATCGGCGATTCCGATGGAAGATAACTGTAGCCATCGTAGCGACCTTCGAGAAGGTAAACCTGCAAAAGTCAATGATTCAAGGTTTTTGTTTTGTCTTTGAAGACTATATAGATCGAATAAAACTTGTTTACCTCTGGCGCTGATGTCTAAAAATAAGAAATGATCTGATTGCATAGGAAAAGAAAATGAGCGACTTTATCACCTGTGGTGGTCGATAATTTTTCACTTTTAATTCATGTTCTTGGTTAGGTTTCACTTTAGTAAAACATCGACCAACCGATCGAAGAAAGATGAAATCGCGCGGGAAGTAGCGTTCGGTTCCGCAAGCTTTTTCAATCGATTGTCGTAGATGACTTAATTTCATTTCAGGTTGTACACTGAAGTACAAACAATTAAAACAGAACGCAAGAAAAAAAGCTCGTCAAAATCTGTTTACCGAACAAAACCAGCAGAAATTGCATCACTTACAGCATCATTCTCAGCTAGATGTTGAATATTTCGCCATACGGATCTCGGAACGAGATAGATATGCAAATCAACAAGCTAAATGTACAGGAAAATGACCGATTTGTTTGTGGAATTCCATCGAGCTAAATACTTGTGATGAGTCAGGACGATCTGATAGGATGAAACTGTCGTCGGATTGATTTGTTTGAGAGAAAGTTGGTAATAAGCTAAAATGTCCATTTTCCAAATGTGTATGCAGCATGTTAGTTGTTTTTCTTTGTCACTCGGCAATGTCTCGGACTCAATTAGAAACGAACAATGGTTTATATAGACTTCTAAGCGTGATTAGTTTCTTCAATTCTTTTCTTTCCTTGCTTTACTCCCAACGTCTAATGAATGCCATGTTTCTGTTCTTCTTGACAACTTAATGTATTGACATACACACAAATAAATTTCTTCGTTTTCTTTTTATATTTAAACGATTTCAATACTTTTTTTCTTCTAATAAGAATTGTGTTCTTATTCATTCGCTGTTGTTTTCTTCTTCGTCTTCTCCTCGTACTATTTGTATTTTTCTCTCTTTTTTCCATGTGAATCGATTGTGATCAACAGCTTGTTTTCTACACAAACAATTCAATCTTAAACGATTGTACTTCAACTAAAAATGCCTAAAAAGAACGATTTCTTGGTCAAGTGATAGTTATCGGTCGGCAGAGAAACAGTGAGGAATCAAGTAGAACATTTCGTTTTGAATCAATACGACATTGAGTGGGCGAACATATCTGTGAGATAAGCGATTTTCTAAGTGTACGGGGGCGAACACGACAGCAGAAAAAAGAGAAAAGATAACTTCGTTTGTACATATGCATATGTGTATAAATACAAAACGTTGCTCAGATTATTATTGTCCTTCGATCGCGCAAAACAACAGTTACAGAACGTTAAATGGCAAACAATCGTCTTTTCGGTAGGCAATTTTCTCGTTGTCGAAAAGTGTCGTTTTTTTTAATCTACTTTATCTCTTAGTGTGTTTAATTATGCTCTTCATGATCTTCCTCGTCATTGAACAATCAGCTGGGATTTACCTTGATTGTCAAGCACATTGTTTGTGGACATCTCGACGTGAATGGAATGTCGATAATTTACGAATTTGCCGCGAAGGATGCGAGCTAATGAAATTGCTTGAAAAGATAGATCTTCAAGAAGGCAAATACCGTCGCTATCGATTATATAGCTAACTGAATCTTCTATGCGTTGAGTTTATTTGTATGTTCTATTCATGTAGAGTTTACAGTTGGTTTTGTATGTCTAAAAACTAGCACGCCGGTTTGTTTCATTTGTAATTAATCTGTCTACATACACATATGATTACTTAATAAAACATTTTCAATTGTAATGCTGATGAAATGTTCAAATTTTGTTCTATCCTGACTGCGACATGCAAAGGTCAGAGATAAGATTGCCGGTTTAGACAAGGTTATCTACCGAGGTGTCGAAATGAAATTTGCACATTGTTAATCAATACACACACTAGTCTACTTCTGTCGATTGTAACCAGAAGTTTTAGTGCGAACTTTGTTTATCTGTGTCTGCTCGCCAAAATCGATTGTAGGTTTGCCTTCAATCGATAATCAACATCTGTTTCCGATGCAAGTCAAGCAGTAAAGAAATTGATTAACTGGCGAACTAGACATCGAATAGTTCAAATGTTCGACGTTGTGTATTGTTGACATAAATAACTCGACTGTTTTGCTTGAGGAAGATTAGTCATGTTCATCGTTAATGCAAACAACAATGTCGACCATTGATTACATTCAATCAGTGTTACGACGATGATCGTTAAACAATTGTCTGAACCGTGGTTTTCGCTAATTTATTGCGGGAAGAAAACGATTGAGATTCGTCTCGATAAAGGACATTTTTATGAACTGAAACCGTATGATAAAAGTAAGATTTTTCTTCTTTAATCTAGAGGATAGTTTTCTTTCTTTCTTTCGATAGTTGAATTTTTCAATGATGAACTCGGCTTCAATGTCCGTCGAAAGTTTTGCGTTCGAGTTATATCCATCGACCAATTCGATACATTCGAATCGGCATTAGAAAAGCATCTGGCACATGCTTTACCAACGATCAAATCGATCGAATTCGGTTGTCAAATTCTGAAGAAATCTCTGTCAGTCGATAATGCTGCCGACAAGTACGGAATCTTAGCGATACATATGCAACGAATCAGCGCTCTCATGAACGAATGCCGCGCTTCGACAACTTCATGTTAATCAAACAAAAGCGAAAGACAATATTTTTCTTGTCAATATGGAATAAAAGTACATATGTCTGATCTAGTTAGAATACTTCTGGATAGCATATGTCATGAATGATTTATTTTTCTTTTCCGTGTCTGTTACATAGACGCAATTGAATAATGAAGGGAAATCTATGATATAGAATAGGTTTTGTTTTTCTTTTATTCGTTGCTTAGATCGTCGGTTGAACTGAAAAGCAACAAGAAACAATGACTGATGATGGTAACAAAATATTTTTCTTTTTTTTTCTCTATAAACAATCGTTCGATATTATTTCATTCTAATATCCGTAACTTCCGGGCATGCCAGCTTGCAATGGTGGTTGTTGCATGTGCGGTTGTTGCGGTGGTAGTTGTTGAGGATGACCCATTTGTTGAGGGAACTATGAGAAAAGAACAATGAGATGCTTATTAGACTAGAAATGAGGATCTTACTGGTTCGGCTTTGCGTTCTTTGGGTTCCGAGTATGGAGTAGTGATGGGTGTTTCATCTTTGGGTTGAACAATCGAGATATGATCAGGTAATGGTTTCTTAGCGCCTTTGCCTTCTTTGGTGTCATAGGGTAACATAATCTTAACCTTGATACCAAGTACACCTTGACGTAAAAGAACGTGTCGAACAGCGAATTGCACGTAGTCATTGACCGGATCACCAGAGTGAATCATCAAGCCATCAATGAATTTCATGGCCTTAGCACGTTGACCACGTAATTTACCTGAAACGACAATTTCGCAACCTTGGGCGCCGGATTCCATGATAAAACGTAAAACACCGTAGCAAGCACTATGAAGAAAGCCGAGAGTGAACATGTGGATTCGTGGGACCGGATAATATCCTACCGTCGTACTGGAAGTCCACCCATGAGTTTGTAACGAAGGGACTCAGCTTGTGCGATGGCACATAGACCACGTGAGACAACTTTTTGAGCGAACAATTCAATGGAATTTTCGGGATAACCAAAACGCTTTTGAATGACTGATGTTAATTCTCGGATACGGCGACCTTTTTCACCAAGTACTTGTTGAGTTTTAGTTGCCATAATGATGATTTCTGTTCGTTGTGGTGTAACACGAACTTCGAGTCCTGAATAACCATCTTCAGCTAATTCACGGGTGAAGAATTCATTCAATTCAGCATGAAAGACACCTTCGCGAATAAACTAAAATGAAACGCAATGAAATACCAATAACTTGATCGTCTAGTCCATGGAAATCTACTTTGCGTTTTTTCGTGATGTTAGCTGCTGTAGCCATATTTTGATGATCTAATCTTTGATCTAGAAAATATACACATATGAGCGAATAAGTCGATATTAATGGCAGAAAAAAAAACTAAAATAAGATTTTATAAACAATACAAGAAGGATTCAAACTATGTTATTGGTAATTAAACAGAACAAATGATGAATTTGTAGGTCTATTGATCCACTCTCGGAAAATATTTATTTCAGCGTTTTAAACATAATTTTTATTCTAATAATGAAATATTCGAGAAAATAAAATAGATTAAATTACAAGGGAGGACAAACAAACATCGAATGCATCAATTGATACAGACTGACATCTATCGAGCCATTTCATCGTTTATACCAACACCGTAGTTTATTGTATGAGAACTGAGAAAAAGAATTACAAAAAACGTCTGCTTCATATAATCATTACCAAGCAATTTTTGCTGTAAGACCATCCGGATAATTTCTAACAAACCATTTTCTCAATTCATCGATAAGCAACCATAGCGCACCAAATCCTAATGTTGGCAATACGTATTTTACAGGTACTGGTGCCGTATGAAAGACTTGATTAAACCAAAAAACTTGTGTAACTATTATTTGAATAATGATCGATATTAGAATTGCTCCGAATGCGTACAAATTACGTCCTTTGCCCCAGAACGGGTTATGCTCGGTGATTGAGGTATAACGAGTGCGAGTAGCAAAATAATTGAAAACTTGAAACAAGCATACTGAGCAATAATACACTGATTGGGCAACGTATTTCATTTCCGTTAGTTGCGCAAGGGAGTAAGGAGTTTTGGGATCGACACCAAATTTTTCATATGTGAACATGAAGGAAGTCAATGGAACTTTGTGATCAGACCAATAGTACCAGAAACAGAAGAAACCTGTGAAGCATTCTATAGTACCAACAAATACGTATGCATGCAAGAGTAGTTTCCAGTTGAGCAAGTGATCTTTTGAGCGAATAGCTGGTGGACGAGACATAATGTCACGTTCAGGACTCTCCGTTACCATAGCAAGAGATAGGAATACATCTTAGAAAGAAAGAAAAGCAGTCAACAAAGTGCTCAGAAAGGATCGTGATACCAAGCACTCGATTCTTACCATTAAGCATACAAAACACAATCGCTAGAAAAGCAGATAATGCCAATGGCATACCAAACCACAAGCTGAAGAATAACGGCCAGATCTGTGCCCATGACCCTAGACGTACCGTAACATAACTTACAATGAGCTTAAAACAAATAGTAACAACATACCTCCCGGCAGAAGATAGACAGCGACTTTCTTCAAGTTGTCACTTAACAAACGGCCCGTTTCAATCGCTTGGATAATCGATGCAAAATTATTGTCCAATAAAATCATGTCACCAGCTTCTTTCGACACCTCCGTTCCCGATTGCATAGCAACACCAAGATGTGCACACTTCAGCGCAGGTGCATCGTTCGTACCATCACCTGTTACAGCCACGATCTCTGCTCGTCTCTGAAATTCTGTCACGATCTGCAGCTTCTGCTCAGGTGTCGTTCGAGCAAATACCAACTCTTGATGAGACAATACCCAGTCCCACATGAAGTCATCCATGTGATTGATGTCAGCGCCAGCTACAACGATCGCATAAGGAATATATTCCATCTTGTCCGTGGGCTCGATATCAGTTTCTGGCTCAACGAACTGATTACGAATGGAGCGCCATGCACGAACATACCACGGCGGATTCTCAGGAACAATCTCACCTGCTGCGATCGATGCTCGTCGCTGCATTTCTCGAGCGTTCTTCGACAGTGAATCGGTTCGTTTGATTTCGCCTGGCTCGTGCTGTTGAATGAGTTTGTCGTTTCGATAGAGATTGAGCATGTAGTTTCCGTTGGCACCTTGTTCAAGTTTGAAGGAATCGACTCCGTTGATGTCGGCGATTTCGGGCGTGAAGATGTTGACTTGTTTGGCGATGGCTTTTGCAGTGGTTGGATGGTCACCGGTGACCATGGCAACTCGAATCTGAGCTCGTCGAGCTTTGATGACAGCGTCTGGAACTTCGGGTCGAGGTGGATCGAGTAGTGAGAAAAAGCCAATCAAACAGTAGCCGTCGGATGGAAATCCTTGTAAGTCTTCGCTCTCTTCGGTGGATGTTGTCGACAGCTGTTGTTTCGTATCATATCTTTCCATCATGTCATCGTACTCTTGACGTGTGAGTTTGAACTGACACATACCAATAACACGATAACCAGTTCGACGCAATACTTCCTGACGATCGACCAGTGTTTTCTTTGTTTCGGTATCTAGGGGAAGAATTTCGTTGGTACTTGTTTTGTAAGCTGAACATCGCTGCAGAACTATGTCAGGTGCACCTTTTATGATGATGAGTACACTACGATCTCCATCCGATTTCGAATTGTCTAATATCTCCATTTGATTGGCAGTAATCATAAATTTGTTCGTTGAATTGAACGGTAGAACTTTTAAGCGTGGATTGACATTTCGTACTCGTTCAATATGAACCGAACATTGATCGGCGCAAAGATGATACAATGCAGTATCAGCAGCATCGCCTACTAGTTGTAATTTGGGTTTCATCTGAACATCTTTATCGCCTAATTCAATCTCTTTGATAGTTTGTTTTACGGCATTGTTACAAAGGGCTGCGCCGAGTAGTAGATCGCGAAATGCTTGAATAGCAACGTGATCCGGTTTGTCACTTTCATCTATCTTTTCGCCATTGTTATTCACCAGAGGCATCCGCTCTGATTGATCACGATTACCATTTGATAACTTGCGTGCATAGTCCCTTGTGCTGTCCGAAAGACGACGAACCAATTTAATTGCATCATCCGATAAACGTCGTAGAATCTGGAAAAACCCGACCTCTTCTATTTTTCTTTGTGGTAATGGTGCTTTGTAAACACCATCGACATCCCAAAGAAGATGCGTAACGGTCATCCTGTTCTGTGTCAATGTTCCAGTTTTATCTGTAGCAATGACTGAAACCGTATTGAACGTTTCGACAATCTGTAAGCTTTTCACCAAGACTCGTTGTCGGTACATCTGTTGTGCGACGAGAGTCAACGCTACATAATGATAGAGCAAAAAATAGCGTACATTGATTCATGATCATCTAGGATTTGTTACCTAATGTTACAGCGGATGGTAATCCCATTGGTAAGAGAGCAACGATCATTCCAACCGAATTAACAATGTTTTCGTTGACGGTTACAAATCCGGGATGTTGATTATTTAACCATGCTGCCCATGTTATCCACAAAACAGCAATGGCTACTAACGTTGCCAATACAACAAAGAGAACGAATCGGTTAACTTCCCGATGTAAACCCGTGATTTCATCGCCTGAACTGCCTTTAGTCAATTCGGCCATTTTACCCAACACGGTATTGTCACCGGTGGCAATCACTACCGCTTCCCCTGTTCCTTGTTCAACCATAGTCGAGTAAAAACCGATATTAGTCGATTCCATGAACACTTCACTCGAACAACGAACCGATGCTGTTATTGGCTTCGACTCACCTGTCAGCTCGGACGTGTTCACCTATGTATGAGACAAACGAGACTTCAGTCGAAATGAGCAGCAATTCTGTGTTACCTTGAGACCATCACAGGCAATGAACCGACAGTCAGCTGGCAGTTTATCACCCATTCGAATGAGAATGATGTCACCTGGAACGATCTCATCAGTGACGACTTGTTGTTCACTTCCATCTCGTCGAACGGTGGCCAGGGTAGGTAGAAGTTTGGAAAAAGCCGCGACGATTTTGATTGATTTGAGCTGTTGATAGACGTTCAGGACGGAGTTGCAAATAATAACAATGAATATAACAATGCCTAATGCTAGATTTGATGATGCTGTTTTGGAATCACCCAACGGTTTCCAAGCAAGAAAAGCGAGAACACCAGCAAACCAAAGAATACTGTTAAATCCTGAAAGTAGTTGTTGTATGAGGAGAAGAACGTAGTTTGGTGGCTTAGGAGGAGTAAGCTTATTTGCGCCATAGTAAGCGCGAGCATCCGCTACGAAGCTACTGGAGAGGCCCGTTCTTGGATTAGTGTGTAAACGATCAAAGAGTTCGTCGAGTGAGATTGTATGAACATCCTGTTCTTGTGATGGTTTACTATTTGGAGGCCAAAGAATGACTTTAGAATCTTGCGAAACGGACGATCGTTCACTAAACCTTCTGTCTGATTTAGAATCGCTTTCAAAACCTTGATTATTCATTGCAGGATAAAATACAACTTGCCAATCGTCAATTCATTGTGGATAGGATCGTAGAAAAATAATACTGTATAGTCTATAAATATATTTCTGAAATAGAGAACAAGTTTCTCGATTTTTCTCGGATGAACGGGATGACATTCACAAAACAGTATTCTATACCTTCAGATAAGGCCTATTCGTGAAAGAACGCAACAAATCGACTGAATGATTGTAGCAAAAAAATCAAGAAAAAACATCAACGATGTATTCATATATACGTACTGAGTTAACAGAGCAATACGCGTTCCGCACGATTGCATTCGTATAAATAACATACCGAAAATGTTTTGTACGTATGAGTTAAGGGAAATATCATTCACAAAAGATACGCATGGAAATGCTTTCTAGTCAAACTATTGAACAGTGGTGTAGTCTTACTTTTATTAGTCGAAAAATCAAAATTATATTTGCAAAATAGTGAAGAAAAAAAGAATAAAAATATAAAGAAAAAACACCAACAGCATCGATGAAAAATTCTAATTACGCAGACAAACATTAGGTTAAGGAAGGTGCCAATTGGCTTCTTCCGAGTCCATGTCGTGGCAGCAAGCTGAATTTTTGTTTACCATGCCATCCGTGCAACTATACTGCGGGGAAATTTTCTGATACACAGTTTTCTTAATTCATCGAAGAGTAACCAGAATGCGCCGAATCCTAATGCTGGCATAACATATTTAACAGGAACGGGCCCAGTGAGAAAAACATGATTAAACCAGACTACTTGAGTGATAAGTATTTGAACACCAGCAGATATGAGCATTGCCGGGAAAACGTACCAGTTTCGACTTTTGCCCCAAAATGGATTGTGCTCGATAATCGAAGTGTATCGAGTGCGCGTAGCAAAGTAATTGAAAAATTGAAACAAACATGCTGCACAATAGTATACTGATTGGGCAACATATGTCATCTCTGTTAGTTGTGCAACCGAATATGGTGTGAGAGGATCGACACCGAAGTTTTCAAAAGTAAACATGAAGGAATAAAATGGCACGTGATTATCGATCCAATAGTAGCAGAAGCAGAAGAAAGCTGTGAAGCATTCGAGGTTACCAGCAAGTCCATATGCGTGGAAGAGTAATTTCAAGTTGAGCAAATGATCTTTTGAGCGAATAGCTGGTGGACGAGCCATGATATCACGTTCTGGTTTTTCAGTTACCATAGCAAGCGACATGAAAACATCTATAACAGATATGGTCTAAGTCTACAAGTCAATAAAACGGGAAAAACACGTACCGTTAACCATACAAAAAATAGTAGCTTGAAAGGCAGATAACGCAAGAGGCATACCAAACCAAAGATTGAAGAACACCGGCCAGATTTGTGTCCAAGAACCTTAAATACGGTAATTAGTATATCTGAATTCCCTCTCGTTTCTTAAGCGTCAACATACCTCCCGGCAGAAGATAGACAGCGACTTTCTTCAAGTTGTCACTTAACAAACGGCCCGTTTCAATCGCTTGGATAATCGATGCAAAATTATTGTCCAATAAAATCATGTCACCAGCTTCTTTCGACACTTCCGTTCCCGATTGCATAGCAACACCAAGATGTGCACACTTCAGCGCAGGTGCATCGTTCGTACCATCACCTGTCACAGCCACGATCTCTGCTCGTCTCTGAAATTCTGTCACGATCTGCAGCTTCTGCTCAGGTGTCGTTCGAGCAAATACCAACTCTTGATGAGATAATACCCAGTCCCACATGAAGTCATCCATGTGATTGATGTCAGCGCCAGCTACAACGATTGCATAAGGAATGTATTCCATCTTGTCCGTGGGCTCGATATCAGTTTCTGGTTCAACGAACTGATTACGAATGGAGCGCCATGCACGAACATACCACGGCGGATTCTCAGGAACAATCTCACCTGCTGCGATCGATGCTCGTCGCTGCATTTCTCGGGCGTTCTTCGACAGTGAATCGGTTCGTTTGATCTCGCCTGGCTCGTGCTGTTGAATGAGTTTGTCGTTTCGATAGAGATTGAGCATGTAGTTTCCGTTGGCGCCTTGTTCAAGTTTGAAGGAATCGACTCCGTTGATGTCGGCGATTTCAGGCGTGAAGATGTTGACTTGTTTGGCGATGGCTTTTGCAGTGGTTGGATGGTCACCGGTGACCATGGCAACTCGAATCTGAGCTCGTCGAGCTTTGATGACAGCGTCTGGAACTTCGGGTCGAGGTGGATCGAGTAGTGAGAAGAGGCCAATGAAGCAATAGCCATTAGGGGCAAATCCGATAAGATCATCGCTCTGAGGATTTGAGCGTAGTTGTTCTTTATGTTTTTCCATCATATCATCGTATTGTCGCCGCGTATATCTTAACTGACACATAGCAATAACACGGTAGCCACTTTTGCCTAATTCTTCTTGTCGCGCGAATAACGACTTCTTCATCTCTTCAGTCAATGGGGCAATGTCATCAGCTTCAGTTTTATAGGCCGAGCATCGTTGAATAATAATATCTGGAGCTCCTTTCAGAGTTACCAAGACAGTGCGATCTCTTTCAGGTACTGAAGGATCTGCTGCTTCCAATTGATTAGCTGTTATCATAAACTTATTGGCCGAGTTAAACGGCAAAGCTCTCAATCGTGGATTGACCTGGCGAACTTTTTCGATATCGACAAAACACCGATCAACACAGAGATGATACAAGGCAGTGTCCGCAGCATCACCGACAACACGTAACTCCGATTTCATTTGTGATATATCTTGCCCGATCTGTGCATCTTGGACCATCTGTTTCTCAGCATTGTTACAAAGTGCTGCACCGAGTAGCAGATCGCGAAATGCTTGAATTTGAACTTCACTGGCTTCATTAGGAATGTTATTTTTTTCATTATCATCATTCAAGGACGGCATTCGTTGAGGTTGATTGATATTTCCTGTTGATAGTTTGCGCACCATAGTTGCTGCTCCAACGGATAAACGACGGGCTGTATCCATAACACCAGACGAAAGTCGACGAATCGTTTGTATAAGACCTTCTGGTTTCGCTGCTTCATGCTTAGGCAATGGCACTTTGTAAACACCGTGTGTATCCCATAACAAATGGGTGATAGTCATCTTGTTCTGTGTTAATGTTCCAGTTTTATCTGTAGCGATGACCGACACCGCATTGAACGTTTCGACAATCTGTAAGCTTTTCACCAAGACTCGTTGTCGGTACATTTGTTTAGCAACAATAGTCAACACTATACGAAACAATAAAGGTAGAAAACATTTGTCATGCAATTGTAGTAGGCCTTGACTTACCCAGAGTGACGGCAGATGGTAGACCTACTGGTAAAAAGCCGACAATCATACCAATTGAATTCACAATATTTCCATTATAGCTAAGAAATGCTGCATGGTCTTTATTCAACCATGCACCCCATGTTATCCACAAAATTCCAATAGCAATTACAGTACAAACCAAGACAAACAGTACGAATCGGTTAACTTCACGATGCAAACCCGTGATTTCATCGCCTGAACTGCCGCGGGTAAGTTTTGACATTTTACCCAACACGGTATTATCACCGGTGGCAATCACTACCGCTTCCCCTGTTCCTTGTTCAACCATGGTCGAGTAGAAACCGATGTTCGTCGATTCCATGAACACTTCACTCGAACAACGAACCGATGCTGTTATTGGCTTCGACTCACCTGTCAGCTCGGACGTGTTCACCTATGTATGAGACAAACGAGACTTCAGTCGAAATGAGCAGCAATGCTGTGTTACCTTGAGACCATCACAGGCAATGAACCGACAGTCAGCTGGCAGTTTATCACCCATTCGAATGAGAATGATGTCACCTGGAACGATCTCGTCAGTGACGACTTGTTGTTCACTTCCATCTCGTCGAACAGTGGCCAGGGTAGGTAGAAGTTTGGAAAAAGCCGCGACGATTTTGATTGATTTGAGTTGTTGATAGACGTTCAGAACGGAGTTACAAGTAATGACCAATAATAGTACGACACCCAAGGCTAAATTGGATATTGGTGGATTAGGTTCACCAAATGGTTTCCAAGCAAGAAAAGCGAGAACACCAGCAAACCAAAGAATGATATTGAATCCCATAAACAATTCTTTGAACAACAACCAAATATAACTCGGTTGTTTTGGTGGCGTAAGCTTATTTGAGCCATACTGGGCACGAGCATCTGCGACATGACCACTGGATAAACCATGGCGTTGGTCTGTATGAAAACGTTGGTAGAGGTCATCAAGTGGAATGATGTGAGCATCTTGATCTAGACGAGATTTATCCACAGTAGCCCATAGATCCACACTTGAATCTTGTCTGGCTTTGGAACGACGTCTATGATGAGCGTCTGTTGACACTCGTGGCCCATCATGCTGCATGGCAGGATTGTCCATAGTCGGTCTTCACCCCGCAATGTATTCGTATTCGGTTACACTACTGAAAGTATATCCACGAACAACGTGTATCTAGAAATGATCGGCGAACTTAAATAATGAGTAACGAGTAAATACGTATCGAACTGCTTTAGCCGAGGGCAACATATTATGTGAGTACTATCGGTTTGGAATATTTCTATGTATCTCATTAACTACATGATAACAAAAAAATGAAAAAAATGTACCCAACAACAAGGTGATTCGGCGATCAATCAGATAAAAACTACACTTGTTGATTCATTCATTTATGCAATAAAAAGAAAACCGTACGAAACGAAATGTTCATCGTCGATATATTCTCATTCTGTCGTAATCAATGTTTTATATATGTCCTCAATATTGTCAGTCACCACAATGAATAATCAAGATAAAACCTCGTGATACACATTATATTCATCATTAGCAATATACACTCTTATTCACCAATCTACAGCTGGAAAACAAGAAGAAAAAAACGCATAGACATAGTTAAACGAGCCTTGAGTCACAAACATGTAGTTATTGTAGTACTTGTTAAACCGATGTCATAGCATTACCTATATTAATTAGAACTTACCGTACGAATTAAATAATCTCATAACTGTAAAAAAAAGAACTTTACATACAAGCGTACATTGAGAAAATATTTTTTCAACTGCTAGTGCAAACGTTCGATCAACTTACGTTGACTATGTTTTCACTTGAAATGATATTTACTGCAATGCATCCTCTAGTCTTCTACGACAATTTACTTTTTCATTTAACATTTGTTTTTTTTTTCTCTCTCATATTGATCATTACGTATTAACGACAATGTTCTGCTTGACTAAACAATCGAGTAGTCACACAGGTGCATAAGACGATGCTTTGATACAATATTTCATCAATTGTGAGAATATGTAACCAAACAATATTTGATCCAATAGGACATTTTTCGCTTATAAAACGAGTGATAACTCTATCTTATGTCTTTTTTTTTCGATTTGTTTGACAAGCATACGCATTATGAATGCGTCATTACTTACGGATAGATATCGAGATATTGCATTTCGCAAATATGTCGAAAATTTTCAGCTTTGTCTTTAAATTATAATTGGAGTAATGCTGTTCACAAATATGCTATTAAAAAGACATTCATCATTGTCATTATGTCGATGAAAAGAACCGATACATGGAAAGTAGATAAGTAAATACGAATCCAAACTCAAATGAAGCAAAAACATTGACAAGATAAATATCGAGATGCACAATTTTCCAAAGTGCATTTCGAAGGTCGAGCAAAAATGCGAGAAATCATCCTGAGAATATACTGAACAGCATCATTCGTTTTCTAGTCAATAACCTATTCAATAGTAAAGCGTCTTTCGCTTGTCAACTTTATTTAACATGTCAAAAAAAAGTCCAACGTACCTTTGACTTCACTCTCTATCTGAAAAGTCCATCGTTGACGTCACTTGGACTTTTAACTAGCTGACGTATCGTTCTGCAGATACGATCATCATTGTATTCAACGAGGCCATTCGAGCTCCCATGCGATTATTTCTCCTTGGTTACGAAGTACTTTCTAAATTTGAAGCGAGTATCAAGTACAATTGATCTTTGATATTTGTTTTTATTAATTATAAAACATACGTCAGAAGAGAAATCAGTTTTCGGACAAAATTTAACTCAATTTTTCCGTCTTTCGTCGTCCTATATACAGATAACGAAATCAAGGACATTATTTTCACCTTGATAATTGTAATTAATTAGTTCTTCTTTAATAATACGTGTTTCGAGGAAGATTGGAATACGGTTGAATCGATAGTGGTGCATACGGATTGATCAAATTCGAAAAGAGTTGCTTCGTATTGTCATCGAAGTACGCGTATTCATCGCGATCGAATTCACCGTCACGAAATGTTTGAAGAATCGTATTATAGAACTCATCAAGTAATCGTTGAATAGTCTGGTCGAATAATTGTTCGCGTGAGGGTGTCCATTCGAATGAATGAAAATCATCGGCTGAATGATGTTTTAAGAAATTCGGCAGGCCAAAGCGACGCATACGATCGCGTTCTTGCCGACGTTTATTGAACAATTGCTCGATTTCACCCAATTTATACAAATATTGCTTTTTTGTGTTTCGAGATAACTCTTCGACATCGACATGCGTGCCGATGGGCATCGTCAACCAATTATGGTTCATATAAAGTGAAACAAGGACAATTTCCAGCAATTTTTGTTCAGTCGGATGCATCAGTGCTGTATGATCCGATGAATTCGGCCGCCAACGCATACAATCAGTCAATTGTCCTTCACCGCTGAACGTAAAGACAAGGCCAACAAGATTAATTCGATGTGTGCCAAATAGTGTACGTATTAGATCTCGATAAACATCTTCCTGTCCTGACAGTGCATTGTGAATTTGATGAATAATGATATCGCCGGTTTTAATGCGTAAATTGACGTCGTTGAGAACAAAATCCGTCTGACCATCAACAGAATAAATCAATAAACCAGCATGAACACGTGATGGATGATACTTATGCGACAACGGAAGTATTCGTACTTGATTTATGTCTAACATCGATTGATCGCTATTGACTTCCGTGTCTGGTGCAACGACAGCGAAGTTAAGTCCTAAAATGTCTCTCTACGCAAAATGGATGATCTTTCGATTAAGCTTTACCTTCGGTAACAATATTCGAATACATTCGATAGGTGTTTCCATCAGCTAGTGTATCTTGCACTAGCTGTAGATTTTGCATAAGACGCAACAACATCGTGTCGATTAGAAAAATGACTGCAGTGTATTTTTCAATTTTTCCACGTTACTCATCGTTTGTTTTTCGTTTTCCTATTCGCGCGTGACTGTGATGCTACGTGTATAGATATACAATAATTGGTCGATTTATATTCGAGAAAAGTGAGACGAAGATACCCAACAAAGATTACAAAAAAAAAGTTTTTCAATCACTGAAGAGACAAAATAGGCATTGAAAAGCCGATTAGTACAGCGGTAGAGTACAACATAAAATGAACGACGTTAAGCAAGACCAAGTGTTAATCTTTTCCTTTTGTTTGGAAACCATTCCACTAATTCGATAGAGAAAAAAAACGAGAAAGAGACAGATCACATTTTATATAGAGAGATTTTCTTTCTTTATTTTAAATAATGATTAGAGTAATAAGGAAGAATAAAATAGTCATGATGATAATACATATGGAACATTGGTGATGAGTACGAATGCCATGTCTCTAGATGAACAAAGTAATTCAAACATGAAATCTTGTGTAATCACACTCACCCACTTCATTGTATCACTTTTTCAATGTTAAAACCAAAACCAATATGATGATAGCGAGAATAATCAGAAGAACGCTCACTAATATGACTTTCTTTCGTCTTGCAGAACTCTGGAGAAAATCAAAACGAGAAAACAAATGTAATTGCAAGATATTTCGATAGGAAAAGTAACCTGGTAGGTCATAGCTTTGGTTAAATGCTGATTTCCTTGTGTTACATTTACTTCCGTGTTGATTATATGTTGATCAATAGAGTCTAGAAATATGCAGCAGGGTTTAAGTTAGTTTCTTATCAATTGACGACAGCATTCTCTATTTCTTTAGCGTATTAAGAGCAGCGGTAGAGACGAGAAAGAAAACAACACCTGATATGTCTGCGCTTGTCCGATTTCCTGTGTAGCGCGATGCGTCTGCTCAACGGATACTTGAACATGATCCTGAATGGAATCTTAACATTCATGTTCAGATTTTGTCTCGATTTTCCATATCTTCGCATTCGCCTACTTACCGATAACACCACCTTGCTCGTGAACTAACTTAGCCACATCTTTGAACAATTCGTTGACTTCAACAATGTTTGTCTAGAATGAAATGAGAATTTTTCAAGCGACAAGGAATTTGCGCGTTCGGAACTTACTTCAAGTTCTCGTAATTGTTCATCACGTTCGCGTAGTGCTCTCATATCCACTTCTTGTTCAATGGGTAGAACGGCTTGCTGTTGTAAAGGATCATATGTTGGCATGGGGACGAAATTGTCGGCGAATGGTGAATCGGATATTCCTTGTTGACGGAATGATATCGCACGTGCACGATCAAGACTTTCCTTTTCTTTTCGTGCTCCGAGACGTTGTGCTTCTTGAAAACGATTTAACGTTGCTAAATATTGTTTTGGCAAATTTTCAGTCAGTGTTTTTTTACGTCTCTAGAAAAGGTGCCGAAGTCATTTGCAAAATTTACTCTTCAAATCACCAAACCTGATCGGCTTCGGTTAATACACGTGTATTATTGAGTTCTTGTAATGCATCATTAGTTTGTTGCATTAAAGTTTTTGTTTCATTTTGTAGACGGTGACTATCAAATAGAAGTAATCATTCATAGGTACTTTCGCTTCTGCTGACGTACTATCGATCACGCAATTGTTCACTGTCTTCGGGCGTACCCAATTTCTGGACGAGTCTTTCGAGATCCGTTGCTAAAAATCGATATCGAAATAAAGCTACGCAGTCGATGGAACTCACCATTGTTACTAATCTTAGTTAGATTAGTTGAAATTGCATTGTGTAAACGTTGAAAATCACTTGCACTTGCCACTAAAACAAACACAGTTGACGTTTCCTTTTCCAACAAATCGTTTTTCTCACTTCGTGAAGACCACGTGTCAATACAGTCGTCGATCTGTAACAAATCAAGAATCCGAATCAGATCTTTCAACAATAATCTTAATATTATTCAACCAAAATCATGTGGAAGAGTTTCTATATCGAGTCAAAAATAAATCAAAGGAACAAGCAAGCGACCAAAAGAAGCAATAAACATAAAGAATGGCTGAGATTGAGTCATACTCGCGATATTTTCAAAATCTCACTTTTATTAGTTCGTCATCTGTTGTATCATTCATTCTGAGTTTCCCTACAAATGATGAAAACTATTAATTTTTTACAATAAAACGCATCATTATGAATCATTCAGTCTATTGAGAGATGCGTTTGTAGGAACAAATAAATGTTTGTTTTTTTTCAACACTCACTTGCAGTCGTGATATAATCGGGAGAAAAAATGATCTGTTTAGTGTCTTTTTTTGTCCAATGACTCATTTCCTTTCATATATTTACATTTACGAGGGAGCCACAAGGTTATATGACGTACCAGATTGAATTTGACAGAGTTTCTGATGTTTAAAGAATAAACAAATTGGTTTTGTCAGGCGAATTGAACGAAAAATGATCCGTAAACTAATTGCGGCTCGGTTTTATCGAGCGACATCTATATAATCAGTGATATTATGAATAAATCGGAAAGATGGCGTTTATTTTTCATTGAGTTTTTGAAAAAAGTTCAAGAATTTGTTTTTGTATGGATGAATAAAACTTTTCTTCGGATAAAAAGTTGAAATAAATTGTAAGCCAATGAAAGTCAACATGATTATCCCAATACAGAAACCAAGAGATTCATGATTTCCTCGTTCTTAGTAAAAAAAAACATTGTCTAGTTGAAAAAATCGAACTTTTTCGAAGAAAGAACCAATACACGATGAAACACTGCTCATTTCTCTGATTGAAATTCTAGATTTTCTCCTCTTCTTGTTGTAAATTTGTGTGGAAAATAACGACGATCATATATTCAACATGCAAAATATTCGTCAGTTAATTCTCACACAACGCTCGGCATCCGTTTCGAAGATCAATTATCTACTAAGACGATGTCTTACCTATTCCACTGCAACAAGTGTTAATCCAACCAGCTTCCCTCTCAATCCGTAAATCTTTCTCTGTTCAAAACAAACCAATCACTAATCTTTTCACATTTCAGTTCATCATTAACTCTAGTCGATTCGAGCGTTTCATCATGTATAAACGGTCGATTGTTATCAACGACAAAGTGTGGTCTAACCACTATCTATCGACACCAACCTGTGCGCTATGCATCTTCCGGTAGTTTACCATCGCATCGAAAAATCACACTTCCAGCTTTATCACCAACAATGGAAACAGGAACACTACGTTCTTGGTCAAAAAAAGAAGGAGATAAAATAGTCGAAGGTATTAATCATTACTTGAAATTCTATCGAGATTGATCTACGAACCGATTTCAGGAGATATCTTAGCTGAAATTGAAACCGACAAGGCAACATTAGGATTTGAATCAATTGACGAAGGTTATCTAGCAAAAATCCTCATACCTGGTGGTAGTAAAGATGTTCCTGTTGGAAAAGTAAATGAACGATATATCGTTTGGTTTTCAACATTGTTAGTTTCTAGTTATGTGCCATCATTGTGAACAAAGAGGAAGATGTAGCTGCATTTAAAGATTTCACAGATGACGGTGGTGAAACACCAGCGAAAGATGAATCTGCAGATCAAAAAGCCGAAAAGAAAGAGAAGGAACCGGCGAAAAAAGAAGATTCAACCAGTAAATCAAAAGAACAACCGAAAAAAGAGAAGGCACAAACAAGCAGTTCAACGAAAGGAGATCGTATAGTTGTTTCACCCCTTGCTCGCAAACTTGCCGAAGAAAAAGGCATTGATTTAGCCGTAAATGCTTGATTTTCAACTAATATAAGACATACTAATTCACGTAAAACTTTAGTCTGTTCAAGGAACTGGTCCGAATAGTCGAATCATAGCTGAAGATATTGAGAAATTTGTTAAAGAAGGTGGTACCAAAGCGGGTGTTAAGAAAGCCAAAGATCATCAGCAAGTTAGTTCTAGTCGAGGAGCAAGAAGAGAACAAGAAACTGCAGCACGTACAGGTGGTTATGATGACGAACAAGTCTCCGATATTCGAGCGGTAATCCATTTGGTTCACAATGAATCTTTTCGAACATCTTCTTTAGGAAAATGCCCGTCGTGTGACTGAATCGAAGACAACTATTCCTCATTATTACTTAACAGTTGAAATTGAAGTTGATGAAATACTCAAGTAAGATGAAACAGTCATGACGAGAAATTTGTTCATTCAGATCGCTGATTTCAGATTACGGGGAAAATTGAACGATCTGATTGCACCAAAATCCAAAGATGGAACAAGTAAATCTCGCGGTGTAACATTAAATGATTTTATCATCAAAGCAGCTGCACTTGCTTGTAAAAAACGACCAGAAACAAACAGTGTATGGATGGAGAAAACAATTCGCCAGTAATACGACTACTTTGTCTTCACTTCTCATAAAATCTTCTACTAGATACGAAACAGTTGACATCAATATCGCAATAAATACAGATGCAGGCGTTTTAATGACACCGATTTTGTACAATGTTGATCAAAAGGTAGGAGTGAATTAATTCAGTACAACAGAAAAACTCATGCATTTCATTTAGGGTGTTTCGGCGATCAGTAAAGACGTTTCACAGTTGAGTGAAAAAGCCAATGCCGGAAAATTATCTGACAACGAACTTGAGGTAAATCGAATATAAGCGTCCATTCATCCTATCAATTCTCATCTCTTCTAGATGGGAACGTTTACAATATCAAATCTAGGCATGTACGGTATAACTAACTTTAGTCCTGTTATTTATCCTCAACAAGTAAGTTTTTACAAGTTTCATAGACATTCTAACACACACAATGGTTCGATTTAGTCTGCAAATTTGGCGATTGGCAGTATTGAAAATCGAATTTTACCTTCATCAGATCCTTCCAAAAAGTAAAGAAATGAATTCATTTCGCATCTTGATGATGATTCTTTCTCATTTGCTAGCTACCGTCAAGCATCTGTTCTTACTGTATCATTATCATGCGATCATCGCGTCATCGACGGTGCCATTGGTGCGCAATGGTTGCAAGAATTCAAACAGTATCTTGAAAATCCAGGCTCGATGATCCTATAGACACTTTTAGATTCTATTTTGTCATGTATTCTCTTGCTTGATGTACCTTTTCCAATCATGATTTTTCTAGCCTCTAGTTTTGTGATATATATATATAAACCCAGCTTATTATTATTCGTGTCGATTTTAGTCAAACAAGTCTAAGGAAATACTTGATTTTTTCGTACAATGTTCATCCTCTAAAAGTTCGCGTTTTTCTAGATATTCATTCATTCGTTCTTTCACATGAATTCAATTCAACTTTCACGTAGTATTTTTCATCGAATACGTCCGTTGTTCACTGCAAGTGTTCACGCACGAAATTACCATGAAAAAGTGATCGATCATTATGAAAATCCCAGAAATGTTGGCTCATTCGATAAATCAGATGGTAACATCGGTACTGGACTTGTCGGTGCTCCGGCATGTGGTGATGTAATGAAATTACAAGTAAATTGCTAAGGTTTTTCGTTCGATTGTCGAAATGTCTGTTTCGTTGGATAGATCAAAGTGGATGAGAATGGCAAAATCATTGATGCGAAGTTTAAAACATTCGGTTGTGGTTCAGCAATCGCTTCGTCATCATTGGCAACTGAATGGATCAAAGGAAAGTCGCTCAAAGAAGCAAACTCAATCAAAAATCAAGATATCGCTAAAGAATTGTGTTTACCTCCAGTAAAACTTCATTGCTCAAGTAAACGAATACAATTCTTGTATTAGAAAACGAATCTTTTGCGTTTAGTGCTTGCTGAAGATGCCATCAAAGCAGCAATTAATGATTACAACACGAAGAAGACCAAACAATCGAAGGAGAGTGATTAAGAAGACTTCCATAAAACATTGTATAAAATTTACTTTGTTGAATTCCTTTTTCCGTGCTAGTATTTCTCTCAGTGATAGATATCGAACGTAGATATTTGATTTGTGTAATCTTCTCTGACGAATAAACGAAGTTTTACATCAGTCGATTGTTAAGTTCAAGTATTTCAGATATGCGCGTGACGGAGAAACATCTTCGTGATGAAGTTTTCAATCGTTGCATTGAATTTCTGGATGTGACTCTACATTTTATATTACATATTGAACAAATCTATTCGAAAGGTTGAATATAACATCACTAGTATACCTTGTCAAGCTTATCTCTTTCTTTGTGCATAGATCTATTCGAAAAACGATTGAAATACAATCAAATTGTCTACGAATGTCAAGATGTTGACGTTCAAAATTACATTTCAGAGTTCTTAAATCAGATCAAAGTCTTATTTCGTAAACAATTAGTTGATCAGATCGCTTTCGTGATGACTACAAGGTGTGAAGAAGACATTCTCCGTCGATATCTGATTGAATTGCATCCTATTCTGGAACATTCATCCAGTACGATCCACACGAACGGAAGTACGCTGCTTGCAGAGCTCGATTCGAACTTTTCAGCATGTTTGATTGAATTAATGAGGCAAACACCGATTAGTCCACCTTCGTTATCAACGGAAACCGAGATCGAAGAGAACGATCTTCATTGGAAATTACAAATGCGCTTGTGTCACCATGACAATAACAAATTCGAAATCGATGACACATTCTATGAACAATTCAAGTTAACAACAAATTCGCAGTTATCTCTCAAACAACTCAAATCGACCCATGCACAAAGACTTCATGTTCAACTGATGTGTCAAGAGAATAAAACTGAAAGATAAATAATAAACTCGAATCGTCTGACAAAACTTTGCTTTTCTTCATAATTACAAAGTATATGCATGTATGTACAGCCACTACTGACTGTCTAGGGATACCATTTCAGTTATTTCAATGGCTGGAACGTTTCACCTATTAGATACACCGATGTTCGAAATCAAATATTTATCAGTTTTTTTACAGTAAACTACCGATATTCATCCATCCAATACTTCTAATAAATATTTATTTTTCCACACGCGACATCTATCGATCATGAGTCATGCTTGCACAAGACAAACATTTGTGTTCCAAAGTCTACCATCAGCATTAGTATACTCGGTACATTCGAACTACGGTTGCAGGTTCGATATGTATTCGTCTGCATTTATTTCATTTGATGTGCTTTTCTGCGATATTTAATTCGGTCTACGATGGATAAATATCGTCTATCATCAAAATTGTTTCAGTTTTCAGATATAATGACTTCTGCAGATCCGATATTAGCCTCAAATAACAATCTCAATCCAAAATTTAATGATTACCGTTCTCGAGTATGACCGCGACATTGGACTCGATTTTGATGTGAAATTTCTTTCTAATTTCCATAGGTTATGCTCGGTGAGCTTCCATCAGATTTTCTTCGTATTCAACTTCTTGAATCTCAAATCTACAATCAATTGAATGCTCAACTTGACATTCAGCAAAATCCAAACTTTCTCGGTTATTTTACCATAACTATTGCTGAAGTATGTACTGATCTGACACATCAATAAATCATCGTGTTTGATATGTCATTAGGCGAAGCTAATAAAAAACTCGGGACCATTGGGTTTACTTCGTATGGATCCGTACGTTCGTTTTCAAGTAGGTCATGTGTCCTATGAAACTCCGACAGCAACTGGAGGAGGTAAAAACCCTCAATGGAAAGCATCCTATCGATTGTAAGAAGACATGTCACAAACACTTCGATCTAAAATATGTTTTTATTTAGTAACCTCTTCAAAGGTATGAAACGTATACATATGGAAATTTTCGACCAGGTACGTTTTGCATTATCTTGACGAAGCGTGAATATTCACAAGATTATTTTAGCGCAGTTTTACGGAGGATAGTTTTATCGGAGAATGTAATATTGACATACCACGCGAAGTGTTCGAGGGTCAGACGTATCAACATTGGTATTCACTGATGGGACGTGAAGCGAATGCCAATGAGAATCAAGGTGATATACTCGTCATTATGAGTTTTGCTGTGAGTTAATTGTGATGCACCGATCGACACGATTTATTTCTATCGTTGCCTTTAGACAATGTTGGGAAGTATTTCGTCATCATTCGAAAATCCGAGCATTTCCAACAGTCCGACTATGTCTTCATTATCATCCCAATCGAATAGTCTTGGAGAATCCAATCTGCCGTATGCAGTGGAAGATATCAAAACTATCGAAGAGATGTTTCCAACAATTGATCGTCAGATTATCATCGATTTAATGGGCAAATATGAAGGCAATAAGGACATCGTCGTCAATTGTCTTTTACAGAATTCTCAGTCCTAACTTTTCTATGTCTTTTTATTTGAAAGAAAAAAGAGAATGCGCTATTCAAGCCATGTTTATATGTTGTAAGTCAATAATTGTCTATTGAATGTTTTTTATTGTAGATAAAAACATGTCGGATTCCCGCGCACACCCTGCATCAAAACCAGCTAAGACTTCCAATGATTTTGATAGTATCAGTGATGGTGAATCCAAATTCTGGCGAAAAGTTAAACAAGATCCAGTTGTCCCAATTGGTTGGTGAACACTCAGTTTTTGTCTAGTCTTTCGAACTTCCTTCTCCTTTCAGGTATGACAGGATTCGGTTTAATTGTCCTTGGCGCCATTATCGGTTTCAATAGACGAGATAGAAGTAAACCAACTTCTACATATTGGTAAATAAGTTCAAATCTAGTTATTCAAAGCTCTACTATTTTGATTTCTATAGGATTCGTACTCGTGTTTTTGCTCAAGGTTTCGTTGTGTCTCTACTTACGGCTGCAGCCGTGTACCATGCCGTCAAAGACCGTGCGGAACCACACGACATTCACGGGCATAAATTAAATCGACAAGGTACACCCACACCCAATTCTCACCATTAACATCAGGCACTAATGCAGCAGTATTCATTACTTTAATATTTATGTTCACATACATCCCTCCTCGTTTCTCTTTTCGTAGGTGACTATATTTTTTTTAGTATACTGTTGTAATTTAAACTGCTTAACAAAATAAATTTAGGTCTTTAAGATAAAGTCTCATTGAGTAGAAGAATTACAATATCAATATATCTATACTAAATCTCTAAAAACTTCGCAGGAGTGTTATTTGGAGTAGTTTATTATCTTTGTTCATATGTAACATGAAAATAGATTTCCTAACACATTCACTCTTGTGCCAAATACAATAAATATCCGGGATTAAATTTTGATTGATTGTCCTTACTATTCAGCGTACTACAATTTCCATCTGGTTCAATAGTTTGTTCCATTTTCATTTATTGGACCGTATCAATCGACATGCCGTATTTGGTATTCTTGTCATCCGCATCCATTGTTCCTACTGTCGTTACAAAATCATCCCATGGTTGAGCATGACATCGATATGCTACACTTGACATTGGTGATTTTATCTTATAATCATACATTTCGCTTTACGTAGATCTTTGCCTACTGTTATCATCGGCTGTATATGATATGCGATGTTGTGTTGTCGTCGGGCTTTTGTAGGTAGGAAAACGAACTTGATGTACACTTTCACGTCTGTGATGTAGTGATAAAATAACGATACCAATCGGATGCGATAGGTGTACCATACAATGATTCGTTCCGATTACTTATGGACTTTGGGTTTCTAGCAGAAAAAAAGGGATGTGGACTGGGTCGTGCTCACAGAACAGAAAGAAAAGATAAATAATATTCATATGGGAAATTGTAGTTAACAACCGATGGTATTCAGCAATGCATTGTTATTATCATGTTTTTGAAAGTAAAATTACAGAGAATACTCGATCAGCTGATATTCACAGGATCGAAATTGCACGCGGTCGGATGAGTGCTGATCTTTGGATTTCTCTCTTAGGCCTTCAAGTACAATATTCCAGCAATATACAGTACCATGGGTATAGTACACTCTTGATCTAGTTTTTCTACGTCACCATAATATGCTTCTTCAAAGATAACGTGCTCGTGAGATACGAGCGAAAACGCACTAGCACTATTGTTATTGTTGTTGTTATTATCAACCATCTGTTTTATTCTTTCCTATATTCCACACCTTTTCCTTGACCCCTAGATAGTGGATAGCAAGCAAAAGTTTCTCATAAATAATATATGAGAAAGTTTGCTTTGAATTATCATTATCAGGGACGCTGTGGAGAAATAAACTGAAAACTATGCAAATCACACACTCGATGCACCTCTTCATCTTCGAAAGTATCGACGGAACGTTTGTCCACACAACAATTACTCAGTTTGTGGCTGCTAGTCGAACAGGTCGTTTTTATATGACGAAAACAGAATGACATCGTTTTTTCTTTATCTGCATTGTCATTCTTAATATGAAGGAGTTTATGCTAGTTGTCTTATCTTTATTTTAACATTAACATGCTGACATAACGTGAAATGTGACACTTTGAATTTTGAATGTTGCATTTCAACACAGAAGAGATGGCGGAAAGGAAGGTAATCCATCATCTCTTGCATTGATATTGTGTACAATATTCTTGTTCGCTAGACATTTACAAACGAATTAATTCTTACGGCTTTAGCAACTGGCTCAGGTTTAATTTCATTCGGTTGGAATACAGGCTGTCTAAATAACGCTCAAGAGTCCATTAAAAATTGGATAGTTCAATCGTATCAATATCGATCAGGACATACGCTTTCACACAATGTATTGACACTTCTTTGGAGCACAACTGTAGCGATTTTCGCTATCGGAGGAGCAATCGGAGCATTTACAGCAAGTAGTGTTAGCCGTCGGTATGGCCGACGAGGAGGTCTTCTTCGAGCAAATCTATTTGGTATCATTGCTGCAATTTGCATGTGTTTGTTGATAGAAGCCTTTTGAAATCATCATATACGAATTGTCTATTTTAGCCGTGGCAAAATTCGCTCATTCGCCTGAATTACTTATCATTGGTCGACTAGTCATCGGAATCGAATGTGGTCTATATACTGGTCTGTGCACGATGTATCTGAGTGAAGTGAGTCCGAAACGCGTTCGCGGAATGATTGGATCGTTGACTGGCCTTTCGGCTTATACGGGTTTGATGGCAGCAGAAATCATTTCTACGCCCATCATGCTCGGAACAGATTCACGTTGGCCATTGATCATGGTTATTGCTGGTGTTCCGAGTGTAACACAATTTATTCTACTTCAGTTTTGTTACGAAAGTCCACGCTATTTATTGATGAATCGCGGAGATGAACAAGGTGCCCGACAAGCATTGAGTGCACTACGAAAGCGATTCGATATCGAAGATGAAATCAACGAAATGAAACAAGAAGCCGAACATTTACGAGATGAAGGTCATGTGTCAATCCGAGAACTATTCACTCAATCAGTCTTTCGGTAATAATTTCTCACCAAATTCTTTGTCTAATCGAAATCATCTGACACATAGGTTACCACTTGCTGTGGCGATTGTTGTTCACTTTTCAATGCGTTTCTGTGGTATAAATGCCATTATGTACTATTCAACTGCATTGTTTAAACACGCAAATCTTGGTTCAGTTGGTCCCTATGCTACAATCGGTGTAGGTGTCATACTCGTTCTAATTACTTTAATATCTGGCTCATTGATGGACCGAGCTGGTCGACGAACGTTGCATCTCTTTGGTCTGTTTGGCACCTGGCTGTGTAGTTTACTATTGACAATTACATTCGTTTTCACAGTGAGTATCCATTCGAATGCCTGTTAATTGATTATCTATAGAGTCCTTTGTTCTTTCTTAGACCTATGCTCCGTGGCTGAAATTTCTGTCCATTGCGTTTGTCTATATGTTCGTTGTCTTCTTTGCTATTGGACCCGGCACCGTACCTTGGGTTGTCCTTCCTGAAATATTCGCTCAAGGTGCCCGCCCGGCAGCCACAAGTGTAGCAGTGGTCACTAATTGGATGTCAAATTTTGCCGTAGGACTCCTATTTCCACTCTTGGCAGTAAGTCTGATCTGTTAACGAATGTTTTTTATGTTTATTTCATCTAGGAAAACAACAAAGTATCAGATTATTCATTCATTCCATTTGCTGTGCTCACGACTTTAGCCTTCTTATTTCTTTATCGGTATATGCCTGAAACCAAGAAACGTACATTCGAAGAAATCACCATGGCTTTTCGTAGAGCACAATAAAATATCTTATTTTTTTAAAATATATTTGTTATTGTTTAATATTATTTTTATATTGTATTGTAAAACATTCTTTATCATGTAACTATCGTTACGAAAATCAGTGCGATAAGGACCGATAGAAGTTTCGACTCGGTGGCAAAGATTTTCGTTCGTTTTGTTACGGAGAACAGAGTAATATCGCTCACAATCCCTCTATATAAGTAAATGATGACTTAATGTTCGTAGAATCTACTTGGTTTTTTCCAATACTTTTGCTGAGTATCATTCGTACAATGATTTTAAACGCAGTAATAAAAAGATGTCATTCAGGCCAATGCACAGTGTAACAATATTTTAAAGTTCTATCAGCGCACGCTTGTAAACATGTTATATGCAATCTTGGCGTGGATAAGTTACAAAGGTTCAACTCATTTAATCAATTTTCCTGTAATTTCTTCAATGTCTTTCTTTATTTACGGACAGGACAACAGGTTTCTTATGTTGCTCCCACAACAAAACACAAATTGATCTTCGTCGGTATGCTTTGCTTTCTTCCAATTGGTCTTCTTGTTCGACAAAATGTGCAACATGGAAAAATTCTACCAGCCATGATGGACATCACCCATAATTCAACAAACATACCGAGCCAAAATGATTATTTCGTTGAACAAGATGAGGTTTGTTAAAACTTTTCTCCATCGACTATGATCTGCCATGTTTATATTCGCGATAGGTCAACAATTTGAAAATCATTCCTGTTTCCGTAACATGCCAACAGATATCCATTGAGGTACAATTCGACCTAAATGACCTATTCATGATGGACATAGACTGCTTAGTGGATCTACAAACGGATTATCTTCACCAAGCACATGTAAATATAAAAATATTTCACAGTTTTTATTCACTTATGATTTAAATAGTGGTTTCGCAAGACTATTTCAATGGTGACATTCAATTCGTTGCAACCGGCAACTAACTACAGTGTATGTGTCGTTTGTCAAAATTTTTATCAAAGCTGTAAAATGATCCAAACTTTAAACGAAGTAAACTTTATTTCATTGAAAAGAATGACACGCTTTCATTTGTTGTGTTCCGATAGCGTTCATTTCCTAGTTGTCAAGCTGGTACCAGTGAGTTACACTTGCATCTTTTCATAGAAAATAAATCTTTGTTTTCAAGATTTATCATCGGAAAATAAGTTTTCAATAGGAACTGTTGCACTTATTGTTGTGATCATTGTTGTGATTTCTGTTGTGAGCCTAACAGCAATGTGAGTCAATCAAAAGTTTCTTTATCACTCTTGAATTGAGGCTGATCACTAGTATCGTCGTAGTCCGAAAGAGACACAAGGTGGAGACTGACCATCGGCCAACCAATTCATATCAAACTCCGATAGAAGTCATACATTGAATTTCTCAAATACCATCATATCCATTCATTTTTTGTTAGGTTACAGAAGAAACAGCAGAACGCCAACAATCGGTTTCTTCATCATCTTCTACGAGAGTAAAGATTTGCAAATACAGATATGTATTTCTTTCATCTTTTTCATTTGTAGAGTGGTCGCAGCGCCCAAGAAATATTCAGATTGACAGCACCAGTCGAGTGTCCGTAGATTAAAAATTATTTCGCCGAACGCTTTTCATGTTCATATGTCGCTGTCGACTCATTTTACATTTTCTTCTTCTTCTTTTCGATTCTCCTGTTTGCTGTGTATGACACATGACAGAGCTGCAAGATGTCAGCAGAGATCGATAAAATAAAGCAAAATTTTTCGTCTGAAAATACTTGTTTATCATCTCGCTAAAAATCTAAATACAAATTCAGCGAGAAAAAATTCATTTCATTTCATTTTAGATTCCCTCTGCACGAAATCTTCATTGGTTATCCGTTATTTATATTCAATTCGTTGGATAAGATCATATGCTTGTATGTATGTATGCTTCTTCGTTTTTTTTCCTCTTTCTGTCATTTGTCTTTCTATTCTTTCTTTTCACCTATAAACAATTGTCAATGATTGATTTTATCGAAATATGTTTTTAGATCGGTAAAAATCAAATAGACAAAATGACCGATCGTGATGATATTAACGAGGTCTGTAGATTTATCTTCGAGTATCAAATTTGATCGCTTGCTTTTCCTGAATTTCGTTTCAAAATAGATCATTGAAATTGATTTCGAAGTGGGACATAGCTCGACAATTCGACCCGAACCGACGACTAATCATAATCCACCTCGTACTCATGATTGGAAAGTGTATGTACGTTCGGCTGATGTTCATGGTGATCTAAATTGTCTTATACAACGTTGTGTGTTTTACTTGCATCCCGAATTTCCAAATAACAAACGAGGTAAGGAAAAGTAAATTGACGAATCACGTTTGAACTTTGCATCGTATCGATTTAGAATTACGATCAACGCCGTTCGCGATCCGAGAATCTGGCTATGCTGGTTTTCATCTGGTATTATAGGAGAATGTTTTCTCGTTTTCGATCTTCACTATCTTTGCTTTAGCCAATTGATATATTTTTCAAAACGAAAAAAGAACCGAAGAAATTCCGTATTGAATATGATCTTGATTTACATACGAATGTTGAAGGTCAAACGCATCGAAAAAAGGAAAGTTATGTGCGAAAATATCGGTGTACATTCTGCGATCCTGATCCAGAATTTCGACAAAAGATCCTGGCTGCAGGCGGGGTAAGAGAGCACTGAGTTCCCTCTCTCCGGTTAAACATCGGCATTATTAACCTTTTCAAGGAGTCAGTCTTTTGTAACAAACCGTAACGCATATTATTTTTCAGCATAGAAATCAAAACAAATTTCTTCGTTTCTGTTTAATTCAAGGCCATCGACGTATTTTCTCTTGAAATTTTGACTTTTTATTTGTCATAGACAAGTTTATTGTCAATTTCTTCGGACGATAAAATCGTCTGTGAAGTTAGAAGATGGTTTGTCATCGTACTCATCTTTCGTTGATTTGCGTTCATTTTATCTATATATATACATATAGATATAAATATGTACATATCATCGATCGAATGATTTCGTCCGTTCGACGGACGTATATATTTCTACGCATCACCTAATTTTCTCATGCAGTTAAAACAAAACGATTTCTTTTGCTTGTGCATTGGAGAAGGAGAGAGACCTTGATGGATGCGCTGAGTCAGCGCAAGATCAACGATCGATTGTTCTTCGAAAGAAAATAAACTAGGTTACAAACTGATTCTTTCTTTTGTCTTTGCAATTAGAAAATCAAAGATACAAATACCACATCAACGAATAACAACGATAACGATGAGAGCGATAGTGAAGAGAAACAAGTGACAGCGCTACAAGCACCGCCATCTGAACCAACTGTTCGGTATACTTCGCCTCCGCAAAAGAGACCCTACTCACCTGTTCCGACTGCAAATTCCACAACGAAAAAAGTGAAAGTCGAACCATCAGTAATCAATTCGAAGAAGAAGCAATCGCAACAGTCAACAGTCAAGAATGAAATTTCCACGAAATCAACAGTGAATCACGCCAACACCACAAAGAAACCTCAATCAATACAATTAAATAAATCATCAGCATTACTTACGGAGGAGAAACTAGCGAAAAATCCCAATTTAACAGTGTCATCTTCATCTACGACAAATGGATCTTCTGAAGGTGAAGACATCTTTTTCCACTCATCTCTTCATCTGTTCCATTTTTTGGTATTCTAGATCCATCACTATCGAAATCTCGTCTGTCGACAACAAAATTAAAAGCAGAAAATGACATAAAACCCATCGTCATAGCAACGAAGAGAAAAGACCCTGTTCCATCCCCATCGAAAGCTACGAGTGCACCACAAATTTCATTGAAGAAACCCATACAAATGCCAACAAACAAACCAATACAAAAAATTCCGATTAAAGTTGAACAAACAGCTGCCGTCACGAAATCACCATCCAATGTGAATATCAAACGAGAATCGTCACCAAGCCTACCTCCTTCGAACAGTACAGCCTCAACAGTTTCAATCAGTAGTCTGAAGAAAATTCCGAAAAAAGCCGCGCCACCACTTCCACCTCCTCCCCTGGTCACTGAGAAACGTGTGCGGTCACCGATGACTCCTCCAACGTCCAGTCGCAATTCTGATCGAGTAAAACTGCCCGAATACTTGGTTTTTCTTTACTCAAATCGGTGTTCTCTTGTTCTGTATAGGATATCCACCGACATCAATCTTCCTCGTCGAAAAGTCATTCCAGTTCTAAACGAGATCGTTCGTCAACGACAAGAACGACTCCACCATCGTCATCCGTCAACAACTCGGCTGGTAGTCGAAGCAGTAACAGCAGTAATCGATCAGGAAAACATAGTGGAACTAGTCGAGGTAAGATCTTAGCTGTACCTGTTAAAATCTATTCTATTGTGTTTAGGTCGTTCGCGTTCTCGAAGTCGTTCTCGATCGCGCTCACGTAATCGTTCCAGTCATCAAACACATCACAACAGTCGCTTACATCATTCATCTACGTCATCTCGACATTCGTCTCAACAAAAAGATCGTTCCAACCGTCATACGTCACCTTATCAGCATCAGTCGTCGACATCAAAATCTTCCTCTTCGCATCACAAAAATCGTCGTACGCCGACTCCACCCAAATCAACACGAAGTCCTTCCCGCTTAGCTCAATCTAACCAAGAACCTGCTGCATCTTCGAATGAAACATCTGCACCATCAATACCATCGTCAATCAATACTCCACAATCTCGACCGGATAGCGTTGAACCTCCGGTAGTCGCTTCAGCCACTGGATCGCCGTCTACGCATGTTTTCCACAGTGAAGATGATCATACTCAAACTCCGATGGACATCGATGGGCAAAGCGATGATGATGCAAACATACATCGACATCTGCCATCATCTGACGATCGTGATCAAATATCTCCATCATCGGTGCCATACACCGCAACTAAATCCAAAAAATTATTAACAAATCGAAACTCACAATCAGATCATTCCTATTCGTCTCTTGAAACAAATGAAAGTAATGACGAAAGTAACCTGTCAGTAGAAGATGACGACGATGAAGATCTACCAACAGTTTTAACTGACGATGAACTCCGAACGAAATTAATCTACATTTACAAACGTTTTACTTCAAATTCCAACAATGATTTAACAACGTTCGTCACATTTTTCAAACGTCATCGTCTAATCGACACATCATCGAAGTCAACTAACGGAATGTTCACATATGATCTTTTCTCGCTCAATCCATCGTTAATCGAAGAATTGGCAACCGATCTTGGCTATTCAACAGCTTCTCTTATTAATAGAACTTAACAGTGATCTCTTCTCTTCAAAACTCGATTCCCAAATACGTTGAATTGTATGCTAATCTGTTTTTTTTTCTTCATCCCCCTTGTTTATTTATGAGAATATATCTGTTGAATATGATATGTCTGTTTTGTTTTTCATTTTCATTTTCTCTTGCATGTAAAATTTGTTTTGGTTCATTTTATCCATTCATTCTCTTTCTCTCTCTCTGGTTGGCTTTCTTGCGTTGTTCATTATTCGATTGTCTTTCACGCATGTGCACTATATTATATGTGAGTATGTGTATAAAACTTGGTGCCTGACAGAGAGTTGTTTTCTTTTTTTTGTTAATTCGGATCTTATTTGTTCAGTATAACAAAAGAATAAAAGATAGTTGACGCTAAATCTAATATTGAATCAAACTTTTCCAAGGCTTAAACGTTCAGATTCAATTACAGACGTTTCGGTTATTCGAGAAATCATCTGATCTGTCTATTTCGCATGTTTTTTTCGTCTCCTGTACAAATCTGAATAATGAAATGCTTTGAAAACTGAAGCCATGGTTAACAATCATAACATTGACTCGACGTCGAATTTTGTAATTAACACGCAGATTAGATTCTCATCGTCTGTTGGTATAATGAAAGACAAAAAGAACAGAGTGCATGCTTTGTCTAAGGTGTTTTATTTGGTTGTCAATGACAAAATGATATTATATACATATACGGTTCTCTTTCCCAGCAGTGATTATATGCGCATAGACACTCACATACAACAACGCCGATGAGAAGAAGTTTCATGTCTGTCATGACAAAGCAATGCAGATGAAATCGAATCAAAATGTTGAACTTGTAAGTTTCCAGTCGACATAATTGTTTTCTTTTAATGAAATCATACTGTTTACTTAGCTTACATACATTTGTTCTTTTTCTTATTTAGTTAGGATGATAAAAGTCTCCAGGCCTATCGATTTCAAATAAATATGAAGTAGTAAACTTCAACTTTCTGCTCTGATTTCTGAACGACGCCGCTTTTCCTCTTTTCTCCTTTGTCGCCATCTTAGCATTGAAAACAAATAAGTCTCTAAATGCTAGAACTTGCAAGAGTAGGAAAAGAAAAAGAAAGGAAAGAAGAAGAAGAAAAAAAGTGAAAACCTTATTAGCGTTCCCTTTCAGAACCGTTCTCGCTGCACAAGAGAAGCGAACAACACATAATAAAAAAAAATGAAGTAGAGAAAGAAATCTCTTTTGTGCCGTATGTATGCTTTGTGGGCATCCATTTAAAAAACATACACTTTCTTTTTATTCAATTTAATGTTTGCAGAACATATACTTGTGTAAAGTCAAACTTACATATTTGATGTGCTTTTCTTGCCAAGATTGTTCCGTTGACAAATGATGATCTGTTATTGGAGGAAGAGAACTCCTACGCAAATGTAAGTATATTACTACATAGATCAACATGAGAGACATGGACGAATGAGCATTCGGCTTGTCAACAAGTAGCTCGGACAGATTTGCTGCTTATGCTTTTTTTTGCGTAACCGTCGAAGCTTATATTCGGAAAGTTTAAAAGCGTTCTTTTTTCTTTGCATGATTGATATGATAAAGCGCTATTTTTGTTATGAAAGGTTAAATGGTCTTTGAATGAGATCGTATTTAACTAATTGAGCGTGATCAGTTGAAGCTTGAGCATTTTCTCCTTCTTAGCCTTTTAATTGGAAAGAATAAGATATTCAAACAATTATACCAAAAGGCTAGGCGTTGTCACCGTCGTCGTCATTTTGTTTTCTTTCCTTTCTCTTGACAACAGTCAGTCACTAAATTACTACACATACATTTTTTTGGAGAATTGCCGCACCCTCAAGAACTGCTTAGCATCGATCACACAAGTGACTATTATGTTTTCGCGCGCGCGTACTCATCGGTATAATGTACACATGCAATGTCGCTATGCGACTACGCTCTTCCCTTCAATAACAACGAATATTCCGTCGGCAATTTGTATTATTTTGAGAGACCGAATGAAAGAGTAGGGAAAAAAACAGAACAACAGAGTTTAAGTAAATGTACAAGGTATAATGATTAAACAAACAAATCGATTATAGAACGTCAATTTCGCATAATTTGATCTTGAAGTGAGGAGTGCAGGTAAACAGTTTTTATTTCGATTTTTCTATTTTTCAATGATTTGCAGACGCGACTTCTTTTGCTTTTCGCCTATTTCAACGATTATTAATTTCTGACGTGTCATAGACCGAACGAAATTGCATTTTTTTCCCTCATTTGCTCAATACAATCCTTTTAACAATCGGCAATATGCCTTACCACATTTACTTGGTAACCTTACTAATGCTCTTTATTATACGAACTGACAAATCAAATATCTCAAGTTAAATTTTGTACTCGTCAAGCTATCGAATGTGAAGGTTGATACTGATCAATACTAAAAATCATTTTTCTCTTTCAGATAGAGTTCTGCCAATGTTGAAAGCAGTTATGAATATTATCCAACCTTCAATTTCATCCTTCAATCCTCTCTTGCCTCTGTGAGACTCATCTTCTTTCCAATCGTTTCCATTCTTTTAAATCAACATGTCAACTGAATACGAACAACCCCCAACTCAACGTAGTTACCAACACTACAATCAACAGCCTTATCAACAGTACGAACCGCATAGTCGACAACAGTATGATCAACAGTACGAACCACGCGGCCGGCAGCAGTATGACCAACATCACGAATCACGTGCTCATCAGCAATACGATCAACCGAATGATACGCGTCGCAACCAACAATATGATCAACATCCCTATCAACAATACGATCAGCAATATGATCAACGTGAAGCACAGCAACGTGTGGCAATGCCCGAACGTGGTCGTGCCATTCGTTTGTTGAGAAATGGAGATCCTTATTTCACTGGTCGTACATTCGTTATTAATCAACGAAGATATCCAGTGTTTGATGTCTTCTTGGATGATGCATCACAGGCCTTACGTGCTAATTTTGGAGCTGTTCGATGTATCTATACGCCGAAACATGGTACAAGATTGAAAGATATAACCGAATTCGAAGATCATCGTACGTATGTCGCTGGCGGTGGAGAAAGATTCAAAAAACTCCAGTAAATAACAACTGAAATTGAATTTCTTGGTCGATCTAATCTTTTCTAGTTATCTCGACATTGCGGAAGGCAAGCGAGTTGCTACTCGAGGACAAGGTGCACCTAAAATTGTAAGTGCATATGACATTAGATTCATCCTATATAACTTTACATACATCTTCATATAAAACAAGTGTTCTTTCGTAATCTCTCGTACCCACTTTAGATTCCACTTCCTCCAGTTCGTCGAATTGATGCCGAAGGACGAGCATTAAAGTTATCTCGATCAGAGAACGTTATCATATAGTAAATTCTTATCCGTGTATACTTTGACTCAAAATACCTTTCTTTCTGTTTTCAAGCGTGTATCGAAATGGTGATCCGTTGACACTACCAGCGAAAGTCCTACTCGTGAAATCGATATTACAAAGCTGGGATTCTGTACTAGATGAAATAACTCGAAAAGTATCACTTCCAAACACGGCCGTACTAAAGTTTGCATCAATATGGTATTCTTTGATTTTCGTGCAATCCAACGATATTTCTAGATTATATACAATGAACGGAGATTTGGTAGTGTCAGCGCATCAACTAGAGTATAATGGAATGTATGTTGGTGCTGGTAAAGAACGGTTTCGCCGTATAGACTATCCAGATCCCAAGTCCTTCAGTGCAAATTCGTCACCAAAAATGTCGAGAAAATCGTAAGTAAAGCGTAGTTGAAAATACTGAATGCTAAGAATCCGATATAAAAAAAGAAACTGAAAGCAGCAAACAACTGGTTTCATATCATATATTCCTTTGTTTCAATTAGATCGAAACATCAACTGTTCGTGTAAGTAATAACAGAGTTGTTTCAATAGTAAATCAATATTATAGAACATCGAGCATGTCGAATGTTGATTTATACTGATAATTCTTTAACGCGAACGTGAATTTCGTAACCAAAGTTGATGTTATTTATGACAAAGCGATCTGTCCTCGTTATTTTATAGTGTCCGTCCTCAACTAAGACTACCTCCATTACAAAAGAGAGTCGATGATTCGAGTACAGATCACGACCATCGAGGATCATCCTCCGAAGGACATCACAGGTATCTTTTTCTTACCAGTAGCATGCTTCGATCTAATCAACTAATACTAAAACATCTTGCTGGCTTTCAATCTTCCTCCTAACTAACTTCTTTCCGTTCAGCTTTAGTTAATAATCTATATACTTTGGTCGATTGGAATTTAGATATATCAAAGGTGATGGTATGTATACATACACAACGACAACTGCGACATCATATGGAAGCAACGAAACTGCAGGGCAGTAAGTTATTGCTGTTCATACTGTTCTTATTAGAGAATTTGTCATTGAAGACGACGTCCTGTTCGAGAAGAATACGATTTTTTCAATCATAAACCACAACAACACCGCCGTGGACCAGTTAAAGAAACGGATCTTGATCGAGGTTGTACTCAGAATTCATCGATTGTTTGACATTATTTTGAACATTTTTGAAGATGATGGCGGTATTTATAAAGGCCGGTTGAATCATCATGAACGTGTTCGAGAAATTGACGAAACTCACGATACTAAAGTTGATCTGCCCGTAGAACATCGGCAAATTGAAACTGTAGAAGATGAAAACTTTCACGGCAACGCAGGAGTAAATAGATCGCTTCGTTTCGCAAAGATCAAACGATTTCTATATTATCTATGCAGAGAATACCTCGTCCTCCACAACACCAGCCTGCGAAGCAAACTATGCCCGATACTCGTCGACGACCATCGAAGGTAGTTGTCATTCTTACGACGAATGGCTCTTTTTCAATCCTGTATTATTTTTAGACTCCACCAAAAGCTCATAAAAATGATAACCATCGATATCCGAACGCAAACCATCGTAATCATAATCCCAGTAATGGTTACGATCGTCGTAGTCCTACTCAAAGCGACGATGATCTGAAGGAACATCGACAATCGTTTGTGACATCGAATAGCTTGGTATGTTCATTTTTCATGAGGAATGGGCAGTTTTTTTTTCGTATTAAATTTACTAACATTGGGATTAACATGTGTGCATGCTTATTCGCTTTGATAGGCTAATAAAAACAAAGAGGAACAAGCAGCAACAGTCATTCAGTCGCATGTTCGTGGTTATTTAACTCGTAAGCAGACACAGGAAGCTTTGAAACAACGTGAAACATACAATGGAGAACGAAATGGCTATCCGTACTGTCAACCATCGCAAACGAACGAGGTGAATGCTTTACTTCTGTTATAATCGAGTTTGCGTTTGAAGAAAACTCTTACTCTAACTTTCCTGCATTGCCATTTTTTGCTTCTTCTCCTTCCACTATATCGACAAATCATTCTAGACCTCTTCGACATCGTCGCTTTACCGTCAAAAATTCGCATGAATAGAATTCCGCCATAGCTTGAAGTATGAAACTATTTTGTACTTTCATAACGCTTTTTCTTTGCAAAAGAATGTCTTTGAACTAATCTTTTATACATCATTATCTTTCTATATTTCTAGCGTGGCTACGACAAAACGCATAATTACACATAATATCCGATGGATCTTTTTCGCATCATGGAATTTATTTTTCTGTTTGAAAAAGGACATTTATTTATATCATGTGTTATTTGTTCTTCTCTGTACTTTTGTCTTGTTCTTCATTTTCTCTTGTCAATTACCTGACCACTGTCTTTGTTATACTTATTCTACGAATGCTTTGAGAAAAAAAACAGTAAATTATGCCTCTAAAGTATCTTGATCATCGAATTCCACTAGTTGCATCGTTTCGAATCAAGTTAACCTTTTCCATATTTTGTGTACAATCGAATCTCTGCATGATGTCTTTCAATCAGTGATGATTAATCATGAGAATCTATGCACGACGCATACAATGTCGTCATCGTTTTGCTTGTTGCCTTCTGTAGATGAAAAGTCAACAGTCATATAGGTGTATGCAACGTAATACAATGGAAGAAAGTATACAGTCATGTGAAAGTAGGAAATATTGCAAAGCTTCTCGTTGTAGCATGTGTCATATTTTATAAATCGAAAAGAAGGGAGAAAATCGACAACATAGGTGACGCTTAGTACCGCTACCGGGGGTGCGCATTTACATGCACCCCCAATCGCCACAGTCTACAGATTGATGAAGTCATTTTCTTTCCTCATATGTCCCCCATTGCTTGAGCAACGTCGACAATTGGTTGCGAGTTTCTTTTTTTCTCTCTCTCTCTCTTGCCTTCTTTTTCTTGAGGGTTGCGTTTTCAACTTCTTTTTATTTGTTGTTTTAGTACTCAAATGGGTGCAAGCGAAAGTACATCGATCCATGTTACGTTCAATCGTTCGAACTTATTCTATTTTGCTGGTGAACAAATCACAGGCAACATCGCCTTTCAAAACACTCACGATAAGCTAACCTTAGACGAGATCTTTCTGGAATTTGTTGGAGAAGCTGGCTATACAACGCGAGAAACACGGCGTCATCATGATAACAACGGACGGTCACATACGGAATATTATACTGAATACCATCAAATACCGTTTATGATTCATCGTATACCTGTTGTTCGACCACAACAAGGCCAAGTAAACATCATCGTTAATGACATTCTCTTCTTTTTCTATTCGATTGTTTTGTTTGTAGAGAGAATTAACTCTATATCGTGGACAACACTCCTGGCCATTTGAATTTACTCTTCCTCAATGTTTACCTCCATCGTCTCTTCCACTACGTGTTGCATATCCCTATGTCAAATATTACGTCCGCATTGTTCTCAATAAATCGTGGTACAAACCCAATGCCAAACAAGTCTATCCATTGACGATATTTCCACGAGTGAACATCTGTCAACACCCAAATTCTTCACAAGCAATGTTAGCGAGTCAAACCAATCGAAAAAAGGTTAGTTTACAGGGCCGCATCGTGCAAAATGGTGTCGTACCCGGCGAGAAACTATCGCTAGAGCTTCAACTTCAAAATCCCAAACGAGTCGAAATAAAACGAATTGAAGCCACCTTCATTCAGCATCGACAGATCGGGCAAAGTCAACAATCAGAAATCATCTTTCGAATGGAACTTCCCGATGTTCGCGAATTCAATGATATGAACTTGCATCGAACATTTGATCTATACGTTCCCTCAGGTTATCTCTCGCCCAGTTATGTCTATGCTACACAATGTTGCGGACCAGCACTCGGTATTGCTTATAATTACGAATTGAAATTGGATGTTCATGTTCGAGGTTTATTTACTGATTTCAAAGTTAACATGCCAGTTCTGGTTGGCACGGACACATCCTACGATCACGCACCTGTGCATATCATAAACAATTCTGATGACCAATCAATACCTAGCGCTCCAGCATTCGATTACGAAGAACCTCCGCCGAGTTACGAGTCGATTGTTACAGACGGCAAGCAATAAAAGCGAAAGAAATCGCCTATTTTTATATACGTTGTTACTATATTTATTCGAAACAAAAGTATTTCGAGTTGTCAATCGAAATGTTTAGTAAAATACTGTAATGCATTTATTGAGAAACATTCATTTTTCATCGGGTACATAAAAAAATGGCTCCTTATTTTTTTCACGTATTGATTCGCTCGATTGATTTATCTAATTAAACTACGAATGGTTTTTTGACCTATTCGCTGTTATGATTCTTCTTTAGCGACTTGCGTATACGCATAAATGTGTAGAAAACTGATTTGTATCGTCATATTTTTCACTTCATTTCTACAATGGGGTTAGGTAGTAGTGTGACACTAAATGTTAATTATGATCGAGCAACTAACTTGTATTACGCTGGTGAGAAGGTAACCGGTTGGGCTGCAGTGAATAATAGTTCTAAAACATTAAAATTCAAGTCAATTTGTTTACAATTCATCGGCGAAATCGATTATCGACAGTCGGATTTCTATGAGTATTATGATGGGGTTAGTCAACCGTTTCACGGATACCATGTTGTGAGGAATCGAAAGTCATTTATCAATATTCGTTGTCCCATCGTTCATCCGACAGAAAACGAAGTAATAACGAGTGAAAACATTTTGTTAGTCAGGTCGAATCGTTCTTTTTGTTAAGGATTTAATCAAACTCCATCATGGTCAACACTCTTGGCCATTTGAATTTCGTCTTCCTCAATTATTGCCACCATCTTCAAGTCCTACTAACGTCTCACACCCATGTATACGTTATTACACACGCATCCTTGTGAATAAATCTTGGCGTCAACGAGATCTCATGCAGATGTATCCCTTGATCATTTTTCCAAATGTGAACATCTTTCCTCACGAGATCCGAAGACAACCATTGCCTCAAAGTTGCGCTCATCGCGAGAGTTTACATATGAATGTTAGCTTACAGCACCGAGCGATACTAACAAGTCAACCACTTTCTCTCCATATCGATCTGGATAATCCTGAACGTCTTCGAATCAACAAATTTCTACTTAAATTCATCCAACATCGGGTGATTTATACAGATCATCATAAAGAAAGTCTCTTGGAAAAAGACCTATTGGGTCTATTAGATTTCAGCCAAACGCATCTGAATCAAACGTTCCATTTACAATTACCATTCGCACATTTATCGCCGACATTCAATTGCAAAATTAAACGTTGGGCTTCATTGATTTCAACGAGCGTTTATTATGAAATCAAACTCGAAGCAAAAATCGATGGAATACTCGATAATATCGATATCAGTATGCCAATCATAATCGGAACGGAATCATCAGCTGAGCAAGACGATCAATCGGCAGACATACCGATTAGCTATAGTGACGCTATGACAGAACTCGAATTACCACCTGATTACCAATCAGCGATGAGAAAGCTAGCATTAGAATAAGATTTTCAATATTGAGATATGCTTACTTCTTTTTCCCTAGTATAATTGACTTGCTTGTAAAATTGATCTGTTTGTAAATTGACGCATGTTAATTTACTGAATAAACTGTGCCAAAGTACTTAATCCCATGTGCAATTCAAGCGTCTAACATTCTCTTCACATTGAAAAAAGCTAATCGACAATGGTGTTGTTTTTCTCGACGATATTTTTTCTCTTCGGCAATTTCGTTTTCGTCAACGCGATACCGTCAGTTTCGTTTTTCTATCCGAAAACCTTAACTGTATCGAGTTGTACAAATACTCATTCATGGACTAAATGGTTTAATTCGGGAAAGCCGAATACTGACAAAGATTTCGACCAAGAATCGCTGTCGATCATTCAAGCAAAGTACGGTCGTGATGTCTGCGCCAAGCCGCAAGGTGTTCAAGCGCGAACTGTCACTGCTCTGCAAACAGATGTCAATTATAGTGCGTCATGGCAAACGATGACCGGAATTATCTCTGCCTTTGTTTCCCAAACTGCTGGTGTTGATTTTCAAATAAGATTCTGTTGTCCCAATACAGGTTTCGTAACAACAACAGTATCGCCTCCAAAACCGATCGATGACAAAACATGTGGTCGGCCGAAGATTAAACCATCTGTAGGATTGACACGCATTTTCGGTGGATCATATGCTGTACCACATTCATGGCCATGGGTGAGAAAATGAGAAGACATCGAGGACATCATTTATACTTTTGTTTTTCTATTAGCAAGTTCTCTACGAAGAAATCAGGTCTTGCGACACGAATAAGCTTTGTGTTGATACTTGCGGCGGTACTTTAATTGATTCCCATCATGTTCTTACAGCAGCGCATTGTGTTCACGGAAAGGATCTGAGTAAGATTTTCATCACTGCTGGCATTCACAATCGACAAAAGAATGAATCTGATACCAGACAACAGCGGCAGCTCGACGCGATTTTTCGACATCCCGATTGGAATAATGACACACTCGAAAACGATTTGGTTATTCTTCGTTTAAGTGCACCTGTACAATTAAATGACTACGTTCGAACAGCTTGTTTGCCGGGTCCGGATCCTCGTCCGAATGCGAACGTTATTTTGATTGGTTGGGGTTCCGAACATATCGATGGTCTCCTTTCGGATGAACTGAAACAAACGCAAGTCACAGTTATTGACGACTGCGACAAATACTGGGATAATTTCGACGAAGATAACCAAATTTGTGTAAGAAACATGATTTCAGGCGATTCGGCATGTGATGGCGATAGTGGAAGTCCTTTGTTACAAGAATACAATAGCCAATGGATCGTTCAAGGTGTCGCAAGTTATATTGATGATTGTAAAACAAATGGAAACTTTCTACCGAATGTTTATGTTAAAGTATCTGCGTATTTAGCTTGGATTCACAGTATAATCCGTCAAAAGCATTGACAGAGAAAAAACAGTGAATAGACATGTGACTCATGATGATGAAACAATCTTGCTTATACTTTATTTGATACTTATTTACAATCTGGTAAATAGCAAACAAATGAAAACTCATTAATATTGAGAATACTGCATTGTTCGATTAAATCCATCAGAACAATGGATGAGACATACTTGAATTTCATTCATCTAGAACGAAAGAAAGGAAAATGTTAGATGATTGGTTAGTTTAGAGAATCGATTCGGACCTTTTTGTGCAGTCGAATGAATTTTACTCGATCTACGTGCTGGAAGACGAAATGAAGGTGTGCGATTTTCTTTATTCAATGAAGATGTCTAATAAGCAAAGGAAATTGCCTAGTTTGCATGAGTAAAAACGAAATCATTTACTTTCGATGTTGTAAAAGCAACTGAACCATCCGGTGGTGATAATGGTGTCAATTCTTGATGATTAAGAAACTTTTCAAAACGTAATCGCCATGGACTCTTTGACCTTCCATCAGTATTCGTTGGTGTCATATGATTACTCTAAAAAGAAATGTTAGTTCAATTCGAAATTCAACCACAATTTCAACTAACGATCATCGACATTGACATATCCACCTGTTTTGTTCGTGTTGGGGTACGATGCTTTTCGAAATTCTTGCATGTTGTTGGCATGGTTGCTGTACCGGATGGTAAGGCGCATTTAATACCAGAAAATTTCTCGGCATTACGTAACGATCGACGTTGGCTTGGCTGACGTGACAGATCTAGATTTGATTGGGTTAATTGATCATGATGAGAATTCGACGTTTTCACAAGTGACATCGAAAGATCATGTCGATTCGTCATGTGCAAGGACGATGTTCGACGAACAGTCGCATTTATATGTGTAGGTTTATCCGGTGTTAATAATTGTTCTGATCGTTTGACTATTGTCGATAGGTTACTAAACAAGAAAGCGTAGCTTAGAAAATAAAATCTTCTTGAGATGATTTACTTGACAATCATATCGAGATCATCTTGATTAGGAATGGTTGTTAGTGGAATTTTTACATCGGGTTTCGTCGTCGTTGAATTAACACTTGATCTATTCAATTGGAAAGATGAAAATCGAAAGTGAAAATGAAGTGTTTTCTGTACTGTTTGTGTTGTAGCCGAGTTGGTACTTTAGGTAATGTTGGTAGTGGTGGCTTAACCGTTGACGCGCCATTATGCGTTCTTGATGACACTGGTCGTGCGAAACTCATGCTTACCGTGAAAAACAATATTTGTGCGTGTAGTGTAGTATATTCGTTATCCTTCGAAGATCTAAACAGAGCGGTTCTTTGTTCGTCATCGACGGATTGATCTTCTACGAGACGCGTGTTGTTTTTCCCATCCAGAAAATTCATTTTCGAAAAGAAAAAATTTGATGTTCATTTAAAATTAATAAGTAGAATTACTCCTATTCAAATATTTGAAGAGAGAGGGGGCGCCACAAATCAATCAATATTGATGTCGAGATTATAGTTGTTTTCCTTTCCTGTCTTACTCTCAAGTAATTAAATATGAAAATTTATCAATTCGATTTTCTTTCATAAATATATAAATAGTTGAAGACATTGGCATCATTCGAATATGTTTTGTCATAAATCAAACAAACAGGAACGAGGTAATATCGGATTACTTCAATGTTTTCTAAAGAACAACAAAATCGATGAGCGAAAAAAGCGGACAATTGATTGCAGCGTTCCACTTCTTTTGTCAAAGATTAATGTTACTCTTGTTTGTCTAGGTGCTTGCTTTCTTTTCTTTCCGCTTACCAGCGAATCTCGGCATGACAAATATGTATGCATTCGTAATTGCAACAACTTATCGAGATTTATTAATCTTGTTTTGCTTATCTATTATCGATAATTGAATTGTAGTTTTTAAGCTGTTGTATTATTCCAACGACAGACTATAATATGGTTTATACCTAGTTGAGGCACGTATTTAGAAATTCTATTAAATCTAATATAATCTAATTACACCGAAGTGGTGTTTTTCTCGTCATGCACATCAACGCTCATGGATTGTTCGTCTCAATTCACAATAATCATAACAGGTTTCAGAAGAAAGCGTTCGTGAGCTAATTATCAATGACACTTTGAATAGGTAATTTGTAGAATGGAAAGTATTGCCGCGGTGTACGGGCCTGAGCAAAACAAACAGTCGAGGCGTTCACCCACAAAGTTCAGAATTGTTTAATTGGGTTTGAAAACATATTACGACAGACGTTTTCTTCAATTCCGATTGTCATGCGTTCAAAGGACAAATCATTAGTTAATGGATTACAGAGAAGAGAAAGGAAACAAGTCCATTAACTTGACAACCTTAAACCATCAATAATTTACAATTAGATACAATTGAAAGTCCATTGTCTTGGATAATTATGAGAAGCATTGACTGCTTGTCATAAACTACAGTTAAATCCTGCTCGAAGATGTGATTTCGTGTGAAGAATGAAATCAAATTTGCTCGACTAGCAAATGACTGGTTAATCAATTAAAATAACAGTCGAGTTTCAGTTTGCCTTTCAGTTTGTAATTTTACTATGTTGAATGTCGACGTTTGCTTTTTATTTCCTGTCGAGGTTTTTTTTCTGTCAAAGAAAGAGTATTTTAATCAAAAGTTACTTTTTCTCTTCTCGTTTTCTTCTTCTAATAACACGAACGCAGTTCATTTCCTTTTTTGTATTTGACAGTTTCATTCAACATGCAAAGGTTTTTCTTCTTTTTCATCATGTGAGGAGATGAGTTTCTTTTTCCTCGTCTTATCATTACAAATTTCTTAATCTTCAATTAAGCAGAGATGACTAGGAAGCCGTTTTTTCTCTCTTTCGAAACTATAGATTTGTATTATTAGATCGGTCATATAAATAGAAAGCAAGGTTATCGTGATAATCAATCAAGAAAGTAATCTTTAGGGATGTTCTTGCTATCTTTTCTTCTACTCTGTCTTCTCGTGTAAGCTATTTCCTCGGTGAATCTGATGTGTAATTTCAGAAAAGAAAACGACGATTGTATCCTAATGTAACAATCTACAGGCAAGAAGCAACGAACATATTCGTTCGACGCAATTCGATTAAAACGTTTTTCTATTGCCGTCTGAGTTGGCTCGTATTTATCGGCGATAGTCACACGTTCGAGCTTGAGACGAGCTGGTAGTCGTTGGCAATTGAATTACAGCCGTAATACACATGAACAGTGTCATCAGTTTTGCTCGCGAGTAAAACGACAAAGACATGCAGACTAGTTTTTCATCCGTCCGCTTAAGAACATGTCTCGACGTAACGGAAAGAAGAAAAAAGCGCTCAAGATAGTTGAAGAAGAAAACTGAGCGCACATCTCATCTATCTTATGTTTGCTTCCTCGTTCGTCGATAGTCAGTCCAACAATGCTTGTCTGTTTTGAAAATCTATTAACAGATTTGCAGTTGTAATAGTAGAAATTCTAGTAGCAGAAAAGAACAGAAAAGAAAAAAAATCAGACACAATAACGAAAGAAAAATGCGGATAATTATGTTGATGATGATGTGATGATGATGATGGAAAATGGAACGAGAACGAAGAAGATAACTTTTTTTCCTCTCCTCTCGTGCTCTTGCTGAAAAAAAAGAGGGAATGATAACCTTGGAATTTATGCTCGTCCAGCTAGTTCAGCGAAAGCGACGCGAACTGCTCATGTCATATTTTCTTTTTCTTTTTCTTCTTTTTTTTTCATACGATTCTTCTGCTAGCTCTTTCCTATTGTAGTGAAAAACGCACGGAAAGACGTGGAACGAACGAGAGGCAGAGCGAGAAAAAAATGCGAGCTGGGTGAGACAGATAGACAGGCAGACTCATGCGAACAAATGTCTTATTAAATAGAGTGAGCTAGCAGCAGAAATATACAGAAAAACAGACAAGCATCGACGAGAAAAAAAAGAAAAAGAAAGATAGAAATGGAGCACCACGGTTGTCTATGTTTCATCAGTTTTATTCACACAAGCACACCTTTTGTAAGTATCACGTCAACATTGACGAGAGTATTTGTATCTATAGTAACAGTCATTTATTTGTCTCGATGACAAACTTGCAGTTTCACTCATTTTTTCAACAAATAATCTTTTATTTATTGATCTATTCGTTAAACACTAATAGGTTTAGTTTCGACGTATTCAATTACTTAATAAATATTATTGTTCGATGTGCAAGAGGGTAGAAGTTGAACACAGAACGTTAGAAAATCATGCCATGCAGTTATCGACAGTTGAAATTTCATCTCATTAATTAACCATCATTGCAATTTTTCTCATCTTTTAGTCATCAAAAAAAAACAGCTGAACCTTTCTTCTCTCTCTCGCAGGCGCGCGCGTTCTTTTCTTTTTTTGTGCTTGCCAGACGTTGCTGCTAAGCTGATCCTTATGTGAGATTTCCTTCGAACACAAAGCGTCAAATCTCAAATACGTATGTAAAAAACTTTGTTTTCAGTAAACAAAGAAATCGATGAGAACACACTCAGTTTCGAACGCCGTCCATTGCGCATCTACGTATGTCAATTACTGGTGACTTTTTACATATTATTGCCTCTAATGACGAACATCATTGTAAAGAGAAGTCGTTTACGAGAGTGCGCATCGGCACGCATGTATCTGTGAACGAATACTTTAGTCTAATGCGATGTTCCTAGTTGTATTTCTTGTTCTTCAGAGACATTGCTATCGGTCTGTATGTAAGTATGTGTGTGTGTGTGTGTGTCTCCTTCTCTTCTCATCGCTCTAATCAAATCTTTTTTCTCAGTCTCTATCTCTTCTTTTTTTTGCTGTGGTGCATCACCACTATTATAGAAGAATGACAATAAACAACAGCAAAACTGATTTACCATCACCAACATTGGTTTCGTCGTTTAATCATCATTGCTTTGTCTTATTCGGATCCACCGTTTCTTCAACCATCACTCATACTTCATTTGCTGTGTTCTCATCGTTGTCGATGTTCCGACCGTCTAATTCTTCTTATTGCTTCTATTAGTCCTTCTTTTGATATTCACGATTCTTTTCAACTTCTGCATCTTATCTGACCAGAAATCAAACAAGATTATTCGCGTCTTAAACTGTGACAAACACATTCGAACTATCATGTCATCATTGATAAATTGTTCAGTCGACGATGTCTTTGCTTTCTCAACTTAATTCTTATCCAACAAAGCGTTTGTGAACTTATTCAAATAGAAAGAAGAATCTATCATTTCATCTTAAACACATCATGGGTTGCAGCCAAGCGAAGATCGAACCTGAAGCATTGACGCCAGACGATGCGAGAATTATTCGAGAGACCTGGAAAATGGTTGGTAGAGAAGCCTATGGTGAATATGGTCAACGGCTCATGCTCAGGTAAAAACCTACTCGTACAGTTCCGAACGCGATCACCACGCTCATTTGTATGGGTGTACACGTCAAAAATTTAGATATGTTTACGGTAAAGTGCGACAGAGGAAATGGGTCAGAGTTTTGATTGTAATTGGTAACATATCAGAACGACGGAAATTTCCGGAATTGAGCAGGAAACATGTCACAATTTTGTCAGACAAATGTTAGCAATGAAGAGCGATATACTCCAGATTGTCATATTTATTTGCATTACACTTGTGCATATTGAACATAGAAAAGACTTGTCAAGTCGATTGTTTTCTCTAATACACATCATCAATACTTGCTTTGTTGTTTATACGTATATTAGACGTAAATGTCTGTCATGTGCAACAGCTGGGAACTAATATCATGCAGATTAATTCACACTTCGCGCGCTATCGAGCATGCGTGGTTATGTCCCATTCTCTAAAGCTTAGTTGGCTTGATAATACTAGTGAGAGAATGAAGACTAGGGAGAAAGAAAACGACTTCATAAACACAGACGAAAACGATCACATTCGGAGTTCTAATTGATTTGCATTACGCGCATATCAAATAGATTATCTCTCGAGAAAAGAAGAAGAAGAAGACGTACAAAAAAGAGAAAAAGAAAGAAACAAAAGGTTAATCGTTCCGATACCTGGAACAATTCGAAAGACTTTTATTCCATCATGGTTTCTTCTTCAATTCTGTAGGATTTTTCAAAAATGTCCAGACATCAAAGCCCTTTGGCAAAATCCCCGTGTTATGAATAATAATGCAACCACTACTGCCGATGACGCCGACGCTCCCAATACCGCTAATCGCTGGAAAATGGATTTAAGAAATCATGGCTCGAAATTTTTCAATTCCTTAGATGATCTAATCAGTGTTGTGGATAAACCTGAAGAACTCTTCAAAATGCTACACGATATCGGCAATCGTCACAGAGGCTATGAAGTCAAGCCTGAACACATTCAAGTAAGTGTTCACAATGTCGGTGCATCGTTGTTCTCTCAAGTTCACATTCATTTTAGGCTATTGTTGATGGGCTTAATCATACGATGGAATTCGGCTTACGAGACAAATGGACGGATAATCGACAAAAATCTTTTCAACGTTTAATTAATATTATTGTTGCTCGAACCAATCGAGCATTATCTGGTACCGAAAAATGACGTTCTCTTCTTCCAGCAAATCGACATACTGCTGATCTTTCCGTCCGCTTGTTAATCCTTTCTTAAGTATGAAAATCTCTCGAGCGCATCTGAAATATCAATGATGATCGCGTCCGGTGATGATAAAAGACAAGAATATCATAACTCCACGCTTCAAATAATTCATCAAATGTCAATTGATGAATTTCATTTTATTCTCTCCTCTCTACTACTACTTCCCATTTTTCTTCTTTTCTCTCCTCTCTGTGCATCATCTTCACGATTTTTCGATCTCATTTCTCTCGTTTTCTTTCTTTTTTCTTTGTCATTTATGTCGTCATTGTCATTTTGAGTGCCTTTTTGTATTCCTAAAAATTGTTTTTTGGCTTCTTTGTGTTTTATTTTCAAACAAAAAAAGAACTTCAGCAGACAAAGCTTTCTGCCCATCCTGCGGAAAGTTCGACACGACACTGAAATGTCTGCGTACTGCATTGCTTGTTGCGAAGAACCTGCCAGTGTCCAATTACATTCAAATGAAATTTAATGCTGCGATCCAGATTCGTTCGGCACATTATTGAAACGAAGTATAAAAAGACCAGGATGTTCTTATCAGAAACAAATTCCGGACGTTTGAATCTTAACTAGTGTGCGTGGATAAGAAAAAAAAAGTCATTTCCGGGTGATTATCTGCGCACTTAAGACGGCAGATTTCTGAAAGAGCGAAGTAAAACAAGAGAAAGGTGCCGATCTCATGGGAAACTTATGTATCCCTGCAAGTGTCTAGCTTAAATCATATAATATGCCCCATTTTCATCTATTTCATTACATCATAGAAGATTAATTAGGAAGAAAGATTTTTCCGTGGATTTGTCACCTCTTCACGATATGAACAATTAGTGAAGTGTCATTTGGCATTAACATGCAATCGTTTACATAACATCAGATTAAAACTGTTTTATTTTGGACTAGCGCGACATTGTTATCGGTGAACCTCTACATTTACACGAATGATATATACAAGTTTGTTTTCTTTTTCAATAAGCAACGATTTTCGCCGACGCTGAAGTTGGTTGACCACTGTAGAAAACATAGAATTCTATCGAGTACTTTGTATTGCTTTTCAAGCTGAATGTTTGCGTTAGATATTCTTGTGAACCAACGCCAGGATCTTGCGACTCGTACGAGTAACTGCCGGAATGAAACGTATGGCCAACGACCTTGCCATCTACCATCCAGGGATATCGTGGGTCGCAGATCTCCCATTGGAAACCGAGATCTCCCGTCTCGAAACCGCCATTCATGATGATTTCCTGACTGCTCGCGCCTTGTTCTTTGACCGACACATCATCGAGATACCACGAGCCCCATTTGGTATTGAATTCAAAAATGATCATAGCATTTGAAATACTTCTTGGTGAAGAATATTCAAAGTTGTACTTCTTAAATGTTGTCATAGTGACTTTATCATCAACTGACCAGATAGTCGTCGAAGTCGCGGATGGCGGCAATGCTGGCGGACAATTTTTAATTGGCACAAGAGGTGTAACAGTGGTCATTGAAGCAGAAGTTGTAGTTCGGCCTGGGATAATTGGATCAGCAGATGTATTCTCAATTGTGACTTGAGAATGACATAGCATACCTTTGTCTTTTTTAGCAAAATATCCAGCAGTAAATCCTAATCCAAATGCAGAAAGTGTGAAAACGATTATCAATATCATAAGTTTGGTTCGAGGGCTTGAACAGCCTTTACTGCACTTATTATCGCCAGTGTCATTATTATAATAAAAGTTTCGGCCCATTAGCAAATTGTCGCTTACGCCTCAAACGATCCTTTGAGCAAAAGACGGTCCATTTTTGGTGCAATTAAGCTATCCATTTATATATTAACATAACGCAAGAGAGTTCTCGCTCGTCACTGACTTTCTTATCATTATTCATTCGTGGTAGAAGTCAGGTTTTGTTACTTCATGCAATGTTTTCTTTTATTATGACGTAGACAACATTTAAAAATGATAAATGATATCATCAAAAGTCAGGTTCGTCTAAAAATATGGATCCATTAAAATTATTACAGACAATATTCGTACGATGATCACATTACTTCATCGAAGATTCGAAAACAAATACGGCAGATGATGTGGCGATAAAAGAAGGGAAGTTTCACGAGCACAAATTACGAACAACATCAAATTAAGCAAGGTCATTTTTTTGTTTGAACTGAAGGACAACATCCTCGGATTTTACTTGATTTGAATAAACCTATTCAAAACAAGATGATTATACAATGTAAAGTGAATACGAAAAGTCTTACTCGATTGAGTGCATTCAATAGTTCGTCGACTTTGTCGGAAAATTGTTCAATCGGTTGACAATAGTCATTACGCATTTGTTTATCAAATTCCTCGATAGCATCAGTTTCACTCCGAAAACCTAAAAGCAAACTTCTACTGATCGTTCTCTTCGTCTCTTCTAACATCTACCTAAATAACGTCGGAATTTCTTCATCATATATTCAAATATTTGTTCATCTTCCGTTCGCTGTTGTTTAAGATTATCACGAGCCAATCGAAAACTATCATTAATGATTGTAATAAACATACTCAAACAAACAAATACAATTATAAAAATAAATAAACTGAAGCAGAATGGGCCAAGGAACGACGAAGCATCAACTAATTCATAGGCGTCGAATTTCATCAATGTCATTTCGAACAGCATTTCCATCGTTTTGAATATACTTGCACAGGTGGGCATCTTCGAGATGAATAAGAAATAGAATAAGCAAGCGAACGATGTAAATACGATGGAATACATCATGGAGAACGAGATAAGATCTCGTGCAGCTAGTCGAATGGTGGAAACGAACAATAGAATTCGTCGATTGACTCGACAAAGTCGAACGAATTTAACTGTACCGAAGAAACAGCAGAATCCAATCAGATAAGTGTAGACATTATTCACATAAACAGCTAATTGTAAGTTGATGTAAGCATACCCATTTGTTTTACTGAAAAGCTCCCCAATTCGGTTCGATTCGGTATATCGCCACACATATATTCCTACGCTTGTCCATGAGCAAACGATGATGCCGATGTTCACATACGACCAGAATGAAGAGAAATAGTTCGCCTGTAACTTTATGACTAATCGAATTTCTTCAAACATCATATAGACGATAAAAATCATGTAGAGAATGCTGCACACCAATTGAGTAACAGATGTGAATACTAAGACAAAGAGATGATCATGAGCAAGAAGTGCGAAACTTCAATAGATACTTACAGCGGAATGAAATTGGATCGAATCGAGATTGAGGATAGAGACTACCGATTGGTGAAAACTCTGTAAGGAGAATCACTGAGGTGAATAGATCAACATTTGGATTATATAGAGTACATTGAATAATAATTGCTCTTGTTTGATTGTCAATCCAATTCAGTTCGTGTAGTTGGGAAAGATTACTTTGCAAATCTGTTAATCGTCCTCGAAATTCGTAAACATAACCACCGGAACTATAAGTTTCATGATCGCCCATGATAGTATAGGTATCCAATTCGTTATCAGTTCGATACGTAAATGCCTGAAGAATCGTTGAGTTATACATTTGCGTTGATGCTGATTGATTCTGTGAAAACCATCCGGGTAAAAAAGAATTCTTCTCTTCATTGCCAAAACTATAGTCATTTACACAGTCGGAGACGATTCCATGTTGTTTAGGAGAACATGAATGAGCTTTGACACGTAACTGTCGGATAGTCACCCAACCAATCAATCGATTTGACTTATCATCAATAAATCCACTCAGGTTTCGTGGCGGAGCATTATTGTACCATTTCTGCGCGCGAATCTTCTCCACAAAGCTGTTTTCCAACCAATACCAATAGCCATTGATTGTGGAAATCTAAATTATCGAAGCATTTTTGAATAACTTGTTTTTGTTCCGACTTACACTTGTATAATCCTCATCGATATTATCTGAGTATAACAGATAGTTTCGTAAATGTTGAACTTCGTAATATGCGTTCGGATTGATATTAGTATAGATAACGACGTACAGAAGTGAGAGAAAACATGCATAGATGAATGTTTCTCGAATGTATGCCCACATTTTCAGCTCTTTAATACGCTGATCACGGATGAAACTAACTTCGGCTGGGCTCAAACGGATAGGACGCGATTGGATTCGATGAGAAAACGGCGAATTGTCCTAACAGAAGAAATTTTTTTTGCTCGCATATGTGAAACTGACAAACAAAAACCTTGATCGATTTCAAGTATTCTTCATCATCTTCTAAACCAACATTCAGATCATCGTCCAAATATTCAGCTGCTTCTCGATCTTGATCGGGTTTCCGAATGAAACAAGCAAATATGACAGCTAAGAATAAGATCTATTGAAGAAAGGCGTTCAATAACATGTTGGCAAGGTTTGAAAATGATCTACTTTAATGGGTTCAATCAGGAGAACTGATGAGAAGAATCCGCTCAACAATGAGGTCAACCATTTTTGTGTTTTCAAATCACCGAATTCGATTCCACGAACGATGATGAAAAATATCGCCAAGACTGATAACAGAAATGACAGTCCGTACGCAATGAACAGACACCACCATGGGAACATCAATTTTGATTTTTTCTTTGTTTCTATCGGAGCAGTTGTGTCCCTAACCGATGAAACAGAAGCGATATGACTATGGAATCTTTTTAGTAATTAGTACATACGGAACTACAAACTGTTTAATTCTGTACAACGTTTGACGCAATGATGATGCTTCTTGTTGTTGATTTCGTCGAGGTTGTATCCGGCGAAACAATTGTACAAGAAGTAAACTTGGAATGAACACGAGAATCTCGACAATAACACCAATACCAATCTAAATATTCTCCAATTTTCATCTCTTAAGGTAAATAAAACAACAAGAATAACCTGCTCGGGTGTAACATAGAGTGGACCGATGGATAAACTAGCGCTTTGTGTATTCTTTGATTTTGCTTCTTGAGCTTGATCGTAATAGAGAATATTCAAAAGCATTGATGTCAGCAATAAGACAAAACAGCAAGTACACCGCTGAACGCGTGTGAATCGATTCGATGGCGGCCGAGAAAAGATTGAGAACCAGAGATGACCTTCTGATACACTGTGATATGCTTGTTTTGATAGAACGTATGAAAATTCCTGTTTTTGAGTTTCGCCCGCAATCGGCAAGATACGCTCAATCTACAAAAACTCCAATAAAACACGAGAGAGAAACGATTTTGCCTACCTGTCCGTCATCTTTCTCTACAGCCAACCATCGTTGACAAATGAAATACGATTTTTCCAACGTTTGTAAATCACGAATGATGATATACTTCAAAAACCAGGACGATGATGATCCACCACCTCGATTATCATGCCAAATACGAATATAGTTCAATGCGCCCAACGATCTAAATGCATCCAGTTATCGATAAATTTATTTGTAGGAATGGAAGGGAGATCTACTTTGGCACGGTCATAACAAATGCGTCGATTCCACCCGATTGAAAAATCTTTCGATGCGGATCGGCGAACATTCGCACTCCTGTTTCATCTTGATTACCCGCAACGATAAAATGCACTCTAGATTTCGTGCCTGAGCCTTTTCGATGGCCGGTAAACACAAGAATTTGATAACAATACTGATCTTCTTTGTAATTATCTGGCAGTGCTGTTACGCCCAACTAGAATACGATCATTGCAAAGATGGCGATCATAGACAAAACATTTAGACTTACTTTTTCCATATCCTTTTTATCTTTGTGTCGTGCATAGAAAAGCAAGAGAAAATAGAGAATTGAGATACATATCACGGTCAAATAGATGGTTTTATTCCGATTGAAATCTGCATTGGCAAAAACATAATTCCAATTGACTGGTGCTGGTAAAACAAGAAAACCACCTGCGAACGTTGTCAAATGTGTCGAAAAACATTCGCTTCTATCATGATTTGTCTTTGGTCCAACCTAGAAAAATGAATTTCAACGCATCCCAATGATAATGCGAGTAAACAACTTACTAATAATCCTTCGGATGACCACTGGTTAACTAATTCGTCGAAATAGTAACAACCGGATGTATAGACACGCAGTTCATAGTCTGATGTGAAGCGAAACGGTTGATCGGATATTGGCGGACTATTACCGGTGTGTGGAGATTGATTTGAACAGTATTGGAATGTTTCTGTTGAACTCAATTCTCGCAATCCAAAGATTAATGTTTGATGATCTTTAGTCTTTTGGTTATCGAGAAAGTATTTGTAAATGCTGTCGAGAGTTAAATCTAGAGTAGAATCAAATGAATGAGTATGGATCAGTTTCCATTGAACAAGTTACCTGATGGGCAGAAAATAGAGAAATCATCGATTTGACGGACTGTACTATTCAATTGTGGTGATTGATCGAATCGATAAATGAATAGGTAAGCAAGTTTTGGATTACGTGGTTTTATTTCGATATGGACGGAAACTGTGAGATTGTTCGATTGTTGAATGTTCGTATGATGTAGATTGAAGAGGAAATGATGCGGGATATTATTGAATGAAGTCACGTTTTGTATGGTCATCGATGGAATGATCAGCTTTGGATCGCGTGGGATAATCAATCGATAGGGGTGTGCCAATGTTGCTGGTAAAGATATTTCCTTTCCGTTGTGATCGAGAACGGTGAGTGAAACTGAGGTCGACAGATTCGTGTGCGTTTTCAGCTTGAATGTATCAGCCGATGCTAATGGTTGAATGATTGACTATAGTAGAAAAACAGATGTAATGAATTCAAAACAAAAAAGAGAAACAAACTCGAAGCGAAATTGCTCGATTAGAAGTCAAATTTGTATTAAAAGTGGATGGTAACGTAATTTCGACATTCCTAATAGGTTCGAGTCGTTTATTGGCAAGCGATTCTATAGGAAATGTTTCGATGGACATGAATATCGAGGATGTACTCATTGTTATATTTTGGCCAATGTTCAAGTGATTGCTTAAAGCGAGAGTTAATAAGGATGCCGTTTCGTCTGTTTGACGCCGGATTCGTTCCGCTGTTTGTTTTTGATAGCATAAATTTCGATTCTTTTGAATACTTTCCCGAGAAATGTCATTTCGGTCAGAAAGCCAATCTTTACGAAAGAAAAGACAATGATTAGTATGAGAAATAGGCACGAGTTTACTCGGATTGCTCCATTCAGATTCGAGACATGTATCATAGTCATCAGGAAATCCATTCGCACGATGATAATCCAAATCCAGAACAGATGTTCGTTCTTGCAATGGGCTGTTGATTGCCTATAATATTACTTATTGAAATTCATTTCAACTTCCCTGACTAAAATCTTACCGTCAAAACATTTGAAGAACACTGAGCAATTTGTTTCGCTGCATTTCGTGCATCTTCATAGGAAATTGTCGTTGAAAGTGCATTCAATGCGCGAGCTAATCGATAGCATTTCTCGGATGCGATTGTTGCTGATGTTCTGGTCAATTGGTTTGTAGCTTCTGTCAATTGAGCTAATACGGTCGCTTGCAATTCAATACTACGTGAGGTGATTATAGCAAGATTTGGAACGAATGTCATTAGATAATCGCGGACGTTCGCTTGCGAATTCAACTGTTTCATATAACTAGTCAATGCTGTAGCATTCAACACATTTGAAACCTAGAGAAAAGAATATTCAATAGAAAAAAAAGAAGAACCGTCTTGATACAGACATCTGATGAAGTTGAAGTATCGAGAAAGGAAACAGCAATACTTGACGGATGTATACCATCTAGAAAAGGAGACTAGGTGAAGGAAAAATGTATGGCTGAAGATGATATGACTTACTAGTAGCAGCACTGTCCAGTAGTTCAGTGTTGAGTTTATTGAACTGTTGAGCAAGCGAGACAAGAATTTGTCCAACAGTATTCTGATTACCACTTGATAGCAATTGACGCAAAGGATTTGCCGTTAAAGAACTATTGCGACGGTCTATGACGTCCACTAGCTCATCGATACTCGACTGATCTGAGCTGACAAGAACTGAAGCGAGATTAATTTCAGTAACACAGCCGAGAGCGTCACTGATGACGAGAACAAGATGAAGTATTGATGTGCGGACATCGCCAAGTGGTAATCGAACATCAAAGTTGGATATAGGACTGAAACCAATAATAGTTTGTGTCGATGGATCGCTTGTAAAACCTAAGAAAACAGGTGATAGGTGTTCGTGTGTATACGATTAGGAATGATTTTTGTTATACCGTATAACGAATAATCTTTGATTCCATGTTCATCAAACCAATTCGAGCATGAAATAGTAAATACTGTTGTTGTGGTTCCTTTCAGAGGACTGACTGAACAAGATCCATTCCGAGGAGGTGGATTAACAATGAAGTTCAACGCGCTTGAACTCTTCCCATTTGCAAAGGTATAGGCAACTTCAAATCGCCAATAAGTGATCTGCGTATTCTGAGCAAATAATCTGCTCGTCGCTGTAAAATTACTTGTATTAGTACCTAAAATTACCAGTTCATACGCTCATAATTAAGAAACTATCAATAGGATAAGATCTTTACCGAAAAACCAACTGTTTTGATATTGATTAAATTGTTTAAATGGAGTCCATTGAATAGTTGACGAAGATTCGTTTGTACCAGTGTAGACATTCCAAGTTATACTCAGCAATGACAAACAACTTTCAAAGCAATTGGAAAACAGTGCTACTTGGGCCATAGGATTTATCAGTTGAAACTCAAGATTTGAGACACACATAGTTGATATCATACAACTAAATCAATAGTTTAAATAATGTTTATTTTCAAAAGAAAGTGCAGGCTCACCCAATAACAATCAGCTGTGGTCGAGTATCTTCAATGCGAACGAGCAAATAACCTGTAGCTTCAATTGACGAATTTCTACGATTTTGCATATGAACCATGAATTGATATGTTTGATTCGATGTTAGCAATTCTCCAGGAATGATCAACGATGAATTTGGTGAGATATTTCTCCCTCCATAGATCAATGCAGTGTCACTACCTTCAATGATAATAGACTTTGTGAAAGATTAAAACATTGTGTATCGATCAATACCTGTTTGCTTAGGTAGACATGAGAAATCATGTGCACTCATTCTAGCGTCATCAATCGATAATAACCGACCGGAAATATGTGGAAAACCGTACAGATCATAGATTCGACAATAATACACATAGCTCCAATCCTGTAGAGATGGGTGATATTGTGTGATGTGAATTATTTTAATTTTCATATCATACTTACACTCGCATTGAAAACATCTTCATCGAGATCGACAGAGAATGCGCCCGGATTGAGTTCGAGATTTTGTTGTTGTTCATGCGTGATCATCGATGTTCCGTATGGAACAAGGTTGGGTACAATACCTGATGGAATAATTTCAACGTAGACAGAGGAGGATGAAGACAAATTTGCTGACGCAGCCATAATCACCGTCAATTTCAGTTGAAAAACCCCGAATGGTAAGGTTCGCGCTGGAATATATAATTCACTATATGTTGTTACGATCATCGGATGAACTTCAATGGGCGATGAACACTGCGCTGAATTGCAGCTATGAATAGTCCATTGGATAGTTGTTGAGAGTGAACTGTTACAACTAAGTTGAATGTACGAGCCAATATAAAAATCGTTCATTCTGCGATACTGCAGAGGAGATGATCGCAGTGAGGCACTTGGAATGAGTGTGATGATCGGTGAGAAACAACCTGGTTAGGGAGCAAATTTCTAGGTAGAGAGTCGATTTTTAAACTTTTTTACTTTGATTAGTATTGTCAATCGTCGTCGGTAATGAGTGTAGCTTATTGATTAGTTTTTTAGGAGCCTGACGTCCTGGTAGTGTCGAGTAAGACAGACTACCATCGATATCAGGAAAAAGACTGGAACATGTTTCACTAATACTCATGTTCATGATACGATTTGATGCATCCAATCTCCATTTTGGAACTCGCTCGCGATTGCATACATCATCCATATATGGATCACCATCATTCGGTGCGCATATAGAATATGGCGTGTTAAATTCTTCAGTAATACTCCCTGCTACGTTTGGATTCCATACGGCGCATGAAGATAATTTCGGTGCATCATAAGAAGCACCTTTCAAAACAAAATATATCTAGTTTTTAGATCTCTCTCATTTAGTATTGATTACCTGATGTGAAATTCATCATCCATACCATAAGTAACCATAAACTTGAACGAACTACGCCGTTCATTCTTCTCTGAATATCTTCCGACGATCAAAATGACGAATCTACTAAGCAAGAATAATGTAAATGATGAGTTTTCTCACCGGAGAAAGACTATTATACGGTGCAGAAAGTTCCTGAAGCTTCGATACTGTTAGTTTTTCTTCGGACGCTTCTCTTCAAACTGTCGAGGGTTAAATAAATTTAAAAAATCAAACCGCTACGGACGGCATGAAGAGAAAACAATTTTCTTCTCCGCGACCAATTTTACGTAGCAGATTAACTGTTCCATTCCTCTTATGGGCGACAAGAGGAACAATTTCCACAGACGTTTCACAATAATAGGGATATTTGATGGCACAAGTATCTTGTAATATCAGGAAAAGCGGTATCGAAACCTACCAAAAGTGACGTACATCACTTTGATATTTACTCTTCCGGTAATTGTTTTTTTCCCATAGCTCGTTGACATTCGAAAGACAAATACTTCTCGGACGGCTGAGTAAACTAACGGAAAACAACAGTGTGTTTGTTGTTTTTTTTTATCGATCATAATCAATGATCTTGGTCAACCAGTCAATCACACTCGAATAAATTTATATATCCGTCTTCTGACTTTGTCCTATATAATCGAAATGGTGTATATGATCAATATTTATTCAATTTTGTAAATATATATTTCATTTACAACGATAGAAAAGAAGGAGAAGCATGTCTGCCTCGGATTCAAAAGCGTGCAACTGGCGTGGATGAAAATTTGAAAGAATTTGTCCGGTGAAATTGCTGAGATTCACTGATATCGGATTGCATAGTTGTGCTCCTTAACATATCGAGTACGGGTGTTTTTCTCAATCGAGAATCTAGGGTAATACCAATATTAATACGTGAGTTTCGTCTTTGTTCATCGCTCGTGTTCAATATATCGCTATGATCGAATTCCCAATCGCATGTCGTCTGTTGTTTTATTGTTTGAGGGCGGACCACGATATTTGAAGCTGATGAATGGTCGATTACAGGAACTGATTTCGGGCGTAATGTTGACACTTTGGATTTTTCAAATTGTTCTATCAGGTCTTTGACATTTTGTGAATGGATCGCTTGTTGTTGTTGTTTTTGTAAAAGTGTGTTGAGATAACTGTAGGAAGATTGACTTGTTGATGTTCTTGAGCCTACACGTGGTGAATCGACTTCATAGGAGATGTCATAATCGTCGTTGTTGAATGCTGATGATTGAAAATGGTGTGTAGAGATTGGACGAATGTCATTCGATCTTTTAATATTATTCATCGATGAGTAACACCGAGTCCTGAGATCCCTCTGAGATATGCGTGGTTCACTTTCGTATAGTGATGGCTTGAGTAAACCATGTGGAAGTACTAGAAAGAAAGCAGAGAACATCAGTTGATTGGATCAATAATTGACTTCTAACCTGTTCGTTGTTGTTGTTTCAATCGCATGTCAATTTCGCTCTTCGTTGCTGGCCGAACTGATATACTGTTCGTTTTGTGGACAGAATTTTGCTGAACTGTTCGCTTGGTTTCGTTTGACGATATTGAACTACATTGACCTGAATCATTCGACGAATGACTTTGTCCATCGATATCATTTCTAATTGGATACATCTGAGAAACATTCGATTTGAGTAAATGTATAGAAGGATCGCTACTATCACCAAAGCCACTATCGTTCGGATGAACAAATGATTTATTCAATAATAACGATTCTTTGATATTCGATGACATATTATGTAAACATAAATGTAGAAGATTTCCATCTGGATCGTGAATGTAGTATTCCGACTTGTTTATCGTGAACAATTTGCTTGTGTACTCGTGGAGGAAATAGTTTAGATTACTTAGACGAAATTTCAGATAGGCACCTTGCGAAATCGAGTAAGATTCAATGGATGGCGAATATTTGATCGAAAATTGATAAAGAATTTTGTGATGATTCGGTGCGGAGAGATTAAAAAGCACAAAACCAGATTTACTCGAATCCGGACGACGTTGAAACAAATGCGTGTAAAATCTTAACATGGTCTCGAAGTTTCGCGTGAAAACATTGAAACGAATGATAAGATGCCGAGTGAAAGGTATGTGGGATACTGACCAGAGAGGCAACAAATGAGATAGTTCATAATAATCTTGTCTGGCTAATGTATGTCGGTATTCATCGAGTAATTCAATCTTATGATGAAAATTCCAGATGTGAGTCGATTTGAAAAATTCTTTCTTTTCATGTTGTTTGAAGATTTCATCAGTTAGGAAAATGACGCAACTCAGCGACTGACATTGAATGGGAACTTTCGATCGTAATGTTGGACTTGTAAACGAGCCGAAGTAAGTACTTGGTTGAATTTGCCGTTCGACGTAGAGGAATCGTTGATCGACGATCGAACATGAACGAAGAAGATTGGTTATAGTCGAGGTGATTTCATCGGATTCATTACAACCTATCTTAAGAATAAGCTCGCATGGAGATTGCTGATCAGGAATCATCTAGAATAGAACAAAATGCGATCATTCTTGTATCCAATTCATGAGAATAGCAACAACACCGAGTTACTTATACGTCTGTGTGATTGATTCACTCGCAGACACGATCAAATTTTGTTCATGATGCGTGATGTGATAATTGCAGACAGAAGGAATCGAGAAGAAAGAGAGCTGTATGGTCCGAACGACGCGTCAGTAAATGGTAACAAAATGTTGCTTAGTCTCTCCTAGCTTGTTTACATTTGATCAGATTGAACAATCGCATCGATCTGAGAGTGCGTGCTGCGTATGAGAGAAGAAGAAAAAAAGATACGAGAACTAGGTTCATGTAAAAAATAACAAATTCTTTCATCTATCGAAGAATAGCTTGACACACACATCTTAGATGAAAATTGAATTTCTTTACATTCATTACAATTTGGTTGTCTATCTATCGCCGATTCTCTCGCTGAACACATGATAAGTATCTATTTCACTCACTAACACTTCTACTCGAAACATCACAAATTAGTGTGATGAATCTTTAGAACAAATGACAAGCAGATGATTCACGAACAAAGAAGGCGGAGAACGAGAAAGATAAAGAAGGTCAATATTCATGTCCGTCATACTTATAATTATCAATGAACTCAAAAATTTCCCTATCTCGATCGATCAGTACATATCTCTCACCATCGGCAGATTGTACAAAACCTAACTAAAGCGGAATGGCCTTCGTGTGTTAATCAAATCGTGTCCAGTTTATCAATCAGATATGTTGTTCCTTTTGCAAATGTGCACGCACATATTTGAAAAAGAAGAACAATACCCTCACGTGTTTCTCTGCTATTACCGCTCAATTCATACTGGCACGGAACACTCGATTTGACTCAAGTGTACACGTATCGTTTCAAGAAACAAAGAGAAAATAAAAACGCAAGAGAGGGAGAAAATGGAGAATGCAAACATCGCATCTGGTGGTCGTCATCGACATGATACTCCCTTCTTGTCATTTCTACTCCAATTACTTTATCAAACAGCGTCAAGACGGCTGGTCAAGTATAACCATAAATGTAATCAAGACATATGTACACAATGAAAGAGAGTTTTAACGGCAAGGTTATTCGAACATATCAATTCAATTATTTTATTTCTTTTTCGACATCAGATTGATTACACTATGAATTCAAGACGTTTAAACGACATTTCTTTTTTTCTATTCTGATGAAGATTTATTGAACTATACAATGCCCGACCAACCTACCTTGATCGATTATTATTCATGCAAGTTGCTTGATTAGAAATCTAGATTATTTACTGAATGATGCATCTCTTCCACAAGAGTAATATCCCATAACATAGTTGCATAAGTCTTCAAGTAAAAGGCAAATGCGAATACACGTTTATGTCTGTTTGTTCCACCTGCCACTAATGTCTCTCTCCCTCTCTCTCTCGTTTTTATGTAATACGTACATTCAAGAGAGTCGATCAGTCATCATCTCCATCATATGATGTATTTAACAGAAGAAAAGAACAGACTATTAACGCATAGTAACGATGTAAATTTCTTTGTTCCTGAAAATGAAAGGAGAAAAAATGTCTTAGGATACTTGAAATTCGAAATACAATTAAGATAATTGACACGAGATCTAATAAAACGTCGATTTTCAGTCCAACAGCATCAGACAAGAGACGCGAACGTATCCTAGACGGAGCAAAACGGCGAAATCATCTTTGATCTTTTCTTATTGTTATTCTTAATGTTTAGTTAAGGCTTCACAAATCGTTGAACATGATTGTATTGAATTTTGAATAACATACGATGAATCTCTTTGCCAATGACACTTAGAGACGAATGAAGACCATATGTTTCTTACATCATCGAATGTACAAACGAGAAAAAAAAAGTTAACTGACTTCAATCGAATCAATCATCAACAACTGTGCTTATCCTTCTTATCAAAGGCAAAATGATGCTTCTGAGATTTGTAATTATCTGAAGTCGAAAACGAATTCCGTCATAATCATGATATTTGTCTCATTGTTTGATCGTATTAGTTGCTGCACTTCCTTTGCTTGCCTGAATCATTCAAAATATTTGATTATTAACAAAAAGGGAAGTAATGCGAATATTTCGGTCAATGTAACTAGAGGAATTCATCGGGAAAGAGTTAAGTGCATTATGAAAGTTGATATTTCTTGACTAATTTTTTTTATTGATGTCAAATATACAAAGATATTTTAATCCTTTTAAATCCTTCTGTTTAACAGAAAAGAAAAACCTTGCTGAGAAATATTTGCTGAGTATCAGAAGTTCGATCGTCTATATATGTATATAAAGAGATCGCAAGACGAGCATTACGCTTCGATTTTGACCATTGAAAATGTTCGATATACGAATCAATCTGATTGTGCTAAGCATCTTTGCTGTTTTACTTGTACAAGTGGCGAGCAATACTCAATATCGTAAGTCTTGTCGACGATCGATGTTCAATTCAAGTTTGTTTTTCTTGTCTTAGCTAATATTGATGAAGATACGGGTTGTCCGTTGAATGTTGATCATGAATGTGATTTATGCGCTACAGATCAAAATCGTTTTGGATGTTATTGTGAACTAGATGATGGCGATGCAATTGTAACAGCGAATGTTTTCACACCTTGTCCAGCAGGTAAAAATGTGAAGATATTCTAAGTTATGCATCGATTTTCTCTCGTTGTTGCATAGACACTCTCGATCCTTGTAGTAATCATTCATGTAAAAATGGTGCAGCATGTGTTCGTGATGGTTTAACGAGTTATCGCTGTAATTGTACATCTGGCTTTGGTGGAGAATTTTGTAATGAAACATTACCAAGTACGAAAATGTCTTTTTTAAGGTCGCGAAGAATGTTTTCATTTCTTTCTAGAATGTTCCGATGCTAATATTCGATGTCGCAATTCGGAATGTGTAGAAACAGGCGATCCTAGTATACCTGTTTACTGCAAATGCTACGATGGAACACGGCGTGATCCACGATTAAATGACACATGTCCATTGAGTTCGTTCATTCGAGATGAAGAGAATAAGTTCGAGTTGATGTATTTCATTTATATTTAGGTCCCTGTTATGAGAGAGAAACTGACACTCCTGTATGTAAAAATAACGGCACATGTCGAATTGTGAATAATGGATATGTCTGTGATTGTACGGGAGGTTATGCTGGACAAAACTGTACAAAGACACTCAAAAGTAGAGAATTGTATATTTGCTTTGCGATTGCTCTCACTAGATAAATTATGAATTTCAGGACCACTTTGCGAGGACGTTCCAGGTGTTTGTGGAGTGGGTATATGCCAACAATCACTAACACCGCCTTACTATTCGTGTAATTGCGGTAATTATCCAAGTACATTTGGTAAAATCATCACCGATTTAACGAAATGCGAAGAAAGTAAGAGAAGATTTTTGGTGAGAAGGAGTTTTTCTTCGTACGAATGACATAGGCGGTTGTCATGCACAAAATCCATGCCAAAATGGTGGCACATGCAGTAACAAAGGCAAAGGCGCTTTTCTGTGTCAATGTCCATCACGTTATACTGGTGTCAAATGTGAAAAACAATGTAAGATGAGAATCTGAAACCCAACGAAGGATCACATATTGACAGAAGGATGTCCTTTTTCTTCTCTAGCTGCCTGTTTCAACAATCCATGTTTGAATGGTGGTGTTTGTGAAGCATTTAATGATACCGTCTATTTCTGTACATGTCCAGCACACTTTACTGGTGCACGATGTGATATAGTTATACCTGGTACTGAAGAAGAGATTCTTGTTAGTAAAAAGTAAAACTTATGAATGTCGTTTAGATCCATGTCAATCGAAGAATTGCGGTCCTTATGGCGAATGCCGCGATATTCATGGTACTGCTGTGTGTCAGTGCAGTGATGGATTTCATCATAATAATGAGCCTTGTGAAAGTAAATATCCAGTGGATGTTTTCAATGAACACATGTTACTTTGTTAAGATCCATGTGTGGGTAAAAATTGTGGTCCAGGCGTTTGTACACAAAAGAAAAATTCAACTTATGAAGCTGTTTGCGCATGTCCAATATATCGTAAAGGAGACTCATGCGAATTACCGAATGGTATAGTTGATAAATTTGTTAACGATCAGTCAATGTTGAAGAGTTGTTTTTGAAATTGTTCAGATAAATGTCGAGAAGCTCCACGATGTGGCGGAGGTTATTGCAAACCTAATTATGCATCTGCTCGTGGTTTTTCATGTGTTTGCGAAGGTGGCATCGTCAAAGTGGAACCATGTCCATTTTCCAAGAGTAAAATCTATTTTTCAACATATAGACACGAAGATGTCATTTGACTTTTTAGGCTGTCCAATCAAAGACTGTGGTACGAAAGGTGTCTGTGTCGAAACCGATGGTATTATCGTACCACCAAGTAACAAGCCAATCTACTACGTTTGTTCCTGCAAGGAAGGATACATCAGTGCTGGAAGTTGTGATGGTAAGACGCGAGACGAGAAACAACGTCAGAATAATTTCAATCTTTAACTAGATGTACTCGGTGCACAAATGACAACAGCTCAAGGACGTTGTGGGCCAGCAGGTAAACCGTATCCAAGTCGTAATCCAAATAATCCATTTGGATGCTGGTGTAACAACGGCACACACATCCAAGAAATAGATGCAGATGGTCCAGCACAATATTGTGTTTAAACAAATTCCTTTTGATCAACAGACATAAAAGAACTAAACTCATTGCACCAACATCTACTGAATAAATTTCTGAATCTTTTCAAACCGTTTCTTGTTTGAAGAATTTATTTCGTAAACAAAAAAGCAAATAACAAATTCTCAGTTGATCGGTCAAAAACGTTCTCGAATCCATTTGTCAATTTTACTGTTGAATAATTTGTCCTGAAGACCTTTACCAAACTGTCTCGTACACCAGAACCCGAAAATCATTGAAGCGATATGAGCAAGTAGATTAGCTGATATACACACGTAAAGCACACCGAATATTGGCAGTAAATCTGCAGGAGGTTTCATTGTTGTCGTTGAGCTTAACGTTGATGTCGCTATCGTTGTTGTTGTTGATGTTTGTTTCGATACATCAATCGAACGTTTAATAGTCTGTCATGAACAACAAAATATTCAAAGGGAATTTTTCGCAAGAAAATCTTACAGTAGAAAGACAATATCCCAGGAAACCCAATTGAAATAACGAAAGAAAATAGAAAATGCACATTAAGATAAAGCTTTCAAGCCGAGCCTATCATTTCGAATGACAATTCAATTTTTACGAACATCTCTGAATGTTTTTCTTACCATACCAATACCAACACCCAACCAAATGAATACAACTGGAATGCCGATAGAGAGAAAAATTGTATCTGCTACTTGATATCCAGTATAGTTGTATAAATTGAGTAGTAATGATGAAATCTGAATAGAGATAGATTTTTCAAAAGAATTCAACTGATTCAAGTACCCACCGAAAGCATGGTACTTAAACGCATAACACAATCGAAGGTACTGTAGATTCTCAATGGGCGTCGTTGTTCTGTAAATGCACCAAAAAGACTGAAAAAAAACAGAAGAGGAGTGCTTGACGACAAGAATTGAAATGAAACGAACCGTTGAGAGAACTCATCTCGTTTATAATCTTTGATCACCACAATTGACAATGGAATGAAGCAGATGTTAAAAACAATTGTTATTATCAATCGAGCCTGCACAAAGAATGAATTGGTCTCATTTGACGATGAATACTCACGCCTACCAGACGAATTTCGGGTTGAGTATCTTGAGCTTGGGAAGTTTGTCCTTTTCGATAAAAATAGTGTACAACCACATAGATAGTCAGAAGAACAGCACTGACAAAGAACGCAATTATGTCAGTGATACGTTGATAGAGTAAACCGGTGAGTAAAAATAGAAGCAAAAAAACTATGTGAAGAGAAAATATTACATAATTAATCAAGTCAAGTGTGTATTTACGGGAATGTACGAGAATCAAGATTCCATAAGCAAACTCGGGATTCGATAATGAACCACCTATTTTTACAAGGCGTGCTATGGTTAAACCATCCGTAATCAATGCCGCGAGAGTCCCAAGTGCAAAAAACATATACTCATACCAGCGGATGTTTGCTAAACTACGATGCTGTATAATTAAAGAAAAATATAGAAACGAAAACAAATTAACATCTATTTTATCTATTACCGTTCCAAGAAATCCACTGCGTTCGATTGCCTGGTCAGCTGCAAGTTTTAAACCGCCGGAATATACTGTTGTTCGTCCTGACTACAAAGAACAAGAATGTATACGATCAAAGCAAATTTGTTTTCGTTTACATCCATGTAATTTCGATCTGTTGATGCTCGGTGTGAATCAGTTCCAAAATCCGACTCGTTTATCTGTTGACAAACAGCGAGAATGATAGAAGCGCCATCGGAGGCTTGTGTTTCATTCGTTATCTCCTTTCGAGGTTGAAAAAAAAAACCCGTCGCAATGATAAAATTTACGTAAATAAAAATAGTGTTTTTTTTCTCATACAAATGATAAGAAGCAAACAGACATGAATTATTGAGTTTCAAATTTCTTTCGAAGTCTATTAGTTAGCGCCGAGGAACACTTTGCTTGACATTAAACTGGTCGGTTACCTAAAGGCAGTCAGTTTACATGTATCCTAACCGAAGTCGATTAATAAGACATGACATTTCCGGAGAAGCCTTTCTTGACGTCACAAGAAATTATCGCATTGTGAATTCATGTGAAAATATCAAAGAGTAAAACGTTTTGGATTTGAAATCCATTTATTTTCTCGACGAAAACAACAACGAACGATGCATGTGACTAGAGTTCTGCTTCTTTCACATTCGCTTTGGTTGAACTGTTGCCAGATTTCTGTTGTAAATCAGTTTTGACTGTATTATAAGTCGGTATCCGTTTCTGATCCGAATTCAGACTCAGCTGATGTCGATGACACTTATAAAGTGAATAAAATGCATAACGAAATCGTCGTCCACTTAGACAATAGATGACAAAATTCGTACAAAAATTTAAATCTTTCAATAATTCGCACAGCGAACGTACAACCGTATAAATTTCGAACGCTTTACCAGTGAAACATAGATTAAACGGTAAACCCCACCTAGCGATGATGTTCATTATTGTAAATGGAACGAAATCTACAATGAACACTAAGGTGACGATCAATAACATCAATGTTAATTGATTTTCATGACATTTTACTTGACGTTTCTGCTGGAAATTTCGCGTTTCAATAAGAGCATGTCGTCGAAGAAATGCTCGCTTCACCGTGCACGATGTTAATAAATTACCGATAATCACAATCGTTAGCGGTATGTAACAATAGCCGAATTCGGTTATGGTCATATTCTTTTTCCGATATAGAATCCAGTCGGTTTTCGAACGACAACGTAATCCTACATTTTCTGATTGATCGATCGGGATGATCAAAACTCGTGCAGAAAATATAAGTATGATCGAAGTCAAAATTAAGATCGTCATACGCGCACGGTACGCGGAAACAAATTTCTTTTGATGTAACGGCAACAGTACGACGAATGTACGTTCGATCGTAATAGCAACTATCGTCCATATGGATAAAAGAACGCTCGCTTCAGTGAAAAAGATCAATATAGTGCAAAAGGATGGAAAGTAGAAATGTTTTGATGTTTTATTTTGATACGAGAGGAACTTAAAGACAAGAACGGATGTGTCCGATATGGCTAAACATTTGACATAGACGGCAAATGACGAACGATTCAAATGAGAATTGGTGAAGATGACCAGTAACGTTAGAGTATTGCCGGTCAATGCTAATATTGGTAGAATGTAGATCGAAAGAGAACTTACGGTGTTTGAAAATTCATATGCAACAGTATTGTCGAAAGTAATCACGTTTTCTTGACAGATAAATTGATTCATCTGGAAGAGAAAAGATAAAAATGTTTATATGAAAATGTTTTCCTCTCGATGGATCATCGTGTCAAGTGAATAGTCAAAATAAGAACGATTCCTCTCCAATCGTGCTTTCGCGTGCAACAACACAGTCAGTCAAAATATGATGTTAATGAAACTTAGCAATCTTGATTCGATTAACACTCATTCATATATCGAACTATTTCTTCGATCTAGCATTAGTAACACAATCCATTCCACTAAATAAAAAAATGCGCATTTTGTCTTACGAATGCATGCACACTAATCAATGAGTATGTGAGTTATAGAGTTTACCGAATCAGAAAAAACGCTCAATCAAAGAAATCTTTGCTCAACATAATTGCGATATTTTTCTTTTAAAGGGCGTACCACTGGATTACAAGACAAGCATAATGACAATGATTATCATTTCATGTTTCTCATCAACTAAAAAAAAACGATATGAGTATTTCGTGATAGAATCTGTGAAGAGAATCAATTATTTGTTCGAAGAGAATGTCGTCTTCTGAAAAAAGATCTAAGTGGGTGGGAAAACAAATACGTATATCAGACGACACTCTTAGCACATTCAATGATGAGGTAGACACATGGTCTGTGCAATGAAGTTTGTCTGTTATGTATAATGACATTTTGGAATCTGATGTTTGTGTAATATAGAGAATACGAAAAAGTGATTTTACGCACTTAAATACATCCAAAGACTCTAAACATAAGGCAGAAATCTAACTGAGTGCTTCTTTTCTGTTTTCCAGACTAGAATGTTATGTAGGAACTGAATCTCATGTGCAGCTACTCGATGTGAGCATTATAAATAGAGATAAGAAGATTGTGTGCTGATGAGAGATTGGTTAAAAAGCTAATTACTTTGATTCATCTTCAGATTCAACTTAAAGTCATGAGGACTTGTCTTTAGCTCGAATCAATCATGTTACTTGTTCTTCTTCTTTGAACAACTTCATTCGTACATCTTCGAATCTATATTACATATTCCCTAGATGAGATTTATGCAAAACTTCACACAAAATTGTGAAAAGTTATGAAGCACTCAAGTCAAAAGAAGAATTCTTCGTCTCTGACAGCAGAAATAACAAAATGATACTACGTTTTCTCTACTCAAATCTGAGAACGTTATCGTAGATATTTATGAGAGGCAGCTATAAAAGTTGAATATCTGTATGTATGCCAGGTAATAGATTTCACTGGAATCTTTAATAACATCTATTTTAGAGACTCTTATCAAGTGTAAAAGTATTCTTTGGTATACTGTTATATCTAATCAACTTTGCGGCAAACATCTTAAGAGCTCTATCATTGTTGTTTTCTTTGTATCGAGGGTAGGGCTTACATCAATTATATTCTCAAGTTGAAAAATCCTTAAAAAAGCAAGATTTTGTTTTTATTCCGATGCAATCAGCGTCATTTTCAGCATTTGAACACCATGTGGCTCGATATTTAAAGCAGTGTAATTGCATTGGAATTGTCCTAGGTCTTGCCGTGCCCAAAGATCACGTACTTTCACCTGACTTGTCGTTTTCCAGCCTAAGTCACTAAATGAGACGACGACTGCTTGAGACATGTCGTTATTTCGATTAAACGCAACAACAGCCATTGATCCATCGACTAATGGTCCAGCCCAAACTTCAGTTCCGTTGTAAGGATCAATACGAACTTTCTTTCCTTGGAGCCCAAGCGGATCTTGATTCACAGCAATAACTTCTGGATTTGTCAGAAGTTCTAAACTTTCTTTCGAAATATTTCTCACGTCGCAACCAATAAGCAACGGAGCCTTCGCTATAGACCAAAGACTCATATGAGTGCGGTATTCATTGTACGTCATACCACCATTACCGATTTCTAACATATCTGGATCGTTGAAACCTGTTAGAAATAAAAACAACGAACAGATTTTCGAGCAAGAAAACGAATGTGTTACCATGTGGTGCTGCGAAACTCCAGAATAAATTATTGATATCAATATTGAGTAACATCAACAACCATGTATCGACAATATCACCTGTTGTTCTCCAGGAATTTGCCACTGATCGAAACCATAATGCAGGTAACATTTCTCCCCATTCACATGCAGAATAGAATATTGGCCGACCTGTACGATTGAGTGCATCTCGCATACGTTCATAACGTTCTTTGATTGTGCAATTTGTTGGCCGAGAGTTACAATTATCATATTTCAAATAATCGACTTTCCATTGTGCATAGACATGTGCATCGATGTCCTCGTAACCGAACGAACCGGGTCGTCCAGCACAAGTTTCATATCCAGCATCCGAATACAATCCAAAAAGAAGACCACGAGAATGAACATAATCAGCTAGTGCAGCCATACCGGATGGAAATGTACTTGGATCAGGCTGAATAAACTTTGTAGTGGAATCGCGTGCTGATGCCCAACAATCATCAACATTAACATAAGTATAACCAGCTTTGGCTAAACCAGTACTAATCAAAGCATCGGCAGTTTCACGAATGACCGTTTCGTTGATACGGCAACCAAAATGATTCCAACTATTCCATCCTAAATAATCAAATTAAACGAGTCCGATCGAAACGATACGAACACAACAGACCCATTTGTGGTGTCTTGCCGAGCCCATTATCAAGCGAAGATATAATCGAAACAAGACTAAGAAAGACAAAAGAAAAGAAGAACATGTTTGTGTTTTTGTTGAATGTAATTTCTTACTGATATAAGAGAAAAAAGAAACGCTCGATGTTTATGTTTGTATGTGTGTGTATATATAGTTATCTCAAATAAATATTTTCTTTTGTTTCTATTCGATAGAACGAATCATCATTATTATTAAGAGAAGATTAATTTATTAATAACTTAAAAACTAACGCCTATCATCTGAATTGTTTACGTAAATAGATTATTCGAATCCGTAGTAACATACCGATTACATTGTCCAGTGGGTGGACATACGGTGATCGGATGAAAACAACGATGATAATTGGTTTAGATATGACAACGAGAGTGATGATGACATAAGGATTACCTTTGACGAGTATCGAGAAGACAAAACGAGAAAGTAGATCATTTTAAGTGTATTGTATGTTCAAATATGTATAAGTTGTCCCTTGTGCTCTTCATTATCTGCCTATGGTATCCAAAAGTCATCGATGGCAAACGTCGAGGTTTTTCTTATTTGACCATTCGGATAGGAGAGAATCAATCTGTGTTGTGCTTTGTGTTTTTTTAGCAACATCTCAATCACAACATAACTTAGGCGATTTTTGTATGCCGGGAACATGCGCAAGTTTGAATTCGAATTGTAAGCGCATTGGTGGAAATGCTTTTCGATGCGTGTGTAAAGAGCAGTATATGGCAATAAATAAAACACATTGCGGTTTGTAGAAAAAGAATGAACGTTGATGATTCAGGGCATTGTTCGATATTTTTCAGTGAGAGTGATCAATGCATCTGTTGATGAAGCCTGTGCATCCTGCATCAAACGAAATGGAATTTGTTTGGATGAGAATGCCGATGATCGAATGGAACAATGCTTTTGTCCAACAGATAATGATTTATGTAATGAACGGCCATTGACAACGACAGCAACATATTTCGTCCCAATGACGCAACCTTTAAGAAAGAAGTATGAGTGTTTTTACATCCAATGTGAAATCGTAGATGATAGAAGAAAATATTTTCGTTGAACAGTATTGCAGCACTGACACCATCTGCAACGGGACGCGTTTCCAAACAAGGTGATCTTCTGCTTGGTCTATACGACGTTAATCAACAACGATTAGTTGACAATGGTGGTTCGGTGTCTATTGGCGATCGATTATTCATTGAAATCAAATATCGCATCGGTTTGAGAGACAATTGTAAAATGGGAGACTAACTGGTTTTTTTTTTCTAGCCGATCAAAACCGTGCCGATCATCAGATCATCGCAGAAAACTGTTCGATTGCTTCGAGTGTTTCCGACAATGAAGTGAAATTAGAAAAAGTTCAACTATTAACCAATCGCTGTCCATCGTTAGATTCACGTTTATCCATACGCTTTCAACGCATCGATCCCTATCATATCAAGAGTACTATCTTTCAAATCAATAAGTTTCAAACAACATCGGTTGTTTATCTCCATTGTTCGGTGGCAATTTGTTTTGGACAAATCGAAAAATGTCTTGAAGTATGTTCTCTCGATCGAGATCATCAAGCATAGGGTTTGTTGTTCTATTCTAGCGTCTATGTCCTGAATCCCGACGGCCGTCTACACAAAAATTTCAGAATTCATCATCGATCAATTCTGCACCCTTCGACTATGTCGATGAAGATAGCGCTAGTGTTGTTGCTTTGAAACGACGGCAAGTTCGTCGAAACATGAACAGTAACGATGGTAATGACGACCAGCAAAACAAACTCTCGCGGTTAATCACCGACCTAACGAAATCGTACGATTCAAATTATAATCATTTCGAAATTCGACAATTACAACAGCAATTCTCCATTGAAGCACCGCTGCCTCAAACAGCAAATAAGCATAAAACACCTTATGGTAAAGTCAATATTTCTTTCCCTCATTCGATACACTCTTATCTTCGTAGAAACCTTGTACGGTCGAACATCATTAGCAAGTCAAGGTGCTGTGGAACGGTCGACAGTGATTGCGGCTATATCGATCATATTTATCATAGGAATCTCCNCTAATAAAACGTCGATTTTCAGTCCAACAGCATCAGACAAGAGACGCGAACGTATCCTAGACGGAGCAAAACGGCGAAATCATCTTTGATCTTTTCTTATTGTTATTCTTAATGTTTAGTTAAGGCTTCACAAATCGTTGAACATGATTGTATTGAATTTTGAATAACATACGATGAATCTCTTTGCCAATGACACTTAGAGACGAATGAAGACCATATGTCTCTTACATCATCGAACGTACAAACGAGAAAAAAAAAGTTAACTAACTTCAATCGAATCAATCATCAACAACTGTGCTTATCCTTCCTATCAAAGACAAAAGAATGCTTCTGCGATTTGTAATTATCTCGGGTCGAAAACGAATTCCGTCATAATCATGATATTTTTCTCATTGTTTGATCGTATTAGTTCCTGCATTTCCTTTGCTTGCCTGACTCATTCAAAATATTTGATTATTAACAAAAAAAGGGAAGTAATGCGAATGTTTCGATCAATATAACTAGAGGAATTCATTGGGGAAGAGTTAAGTGCATTATGAAAGTTGATATTTCTTGACTAATTTTTTTTTTATTGATGTCAAATATACAAAGATATTTTAATCCTTTTAAATCCTTCTGTTAAACAGAAAAGAAAAACCTTGCTGAGAAATATTTGCTGAGTATCAGAAGTTCGATCGTCTGTATATGTATATAAAGAGATGGCAAGAAGAACATTACACTTCGGTTTTGACCATTGAAAATGTTCGACATACGAATCAATCTGATTGTGCTAAGCATCTTTGCTGCTTTACTTGTACAAGTGGCGAGCAATACTCAATATCGTAAGTCTTGCCGTTGATCAATGTTCAATTCAAGTTGCTTTTCTTGTCATAGCTAATATTGATGAAGATACGGGTTGTCCGTTGAATGTTGATCATGAATGTAATTTATGCGCTACAGATCAAAATCGTTTTGGATGTTATTGTGAACTGGATGATGGCGATGCAATTGTAACAGCGAATGTTTTCACACCTTGTCCAGCTGGTAAAAATGTGAAGATATTCTAAGTCATGCATCTATTTTCTCCCGTTGTTGCATAGACATTCGCGATCCTTGTAGTAATCATTCATGTAAAAATGGTGCAGCATGTGTTCGTGATGGTTTAACGAGTTATCGCTGTAATTGTACATCTGGCTTTGGTGGAGAATTTTGTAATGAAACATTACCAAGTACGAAAATGTCTTTTTTAAGGTCGCGAAGAATGATTTCATTTCTTTCTAGAATGTTCCGATGCTAATATTCGATGTCGCAACTCGGAGTGTGTAGAAACAGGCGATCCCAGTATACCTGTTTACTGCAGATGCTACGATGGAACACGACGTGATCCACGATTAAATGACACATGTCCATTCAGTTCGTTTATTCGAGATGAAGAGAAAAAGTTCGAGTTGATGTCTTTCATTTATATTTAGGTCCCTGTTATGAGAGAGAAACTGACACTCCTGTATGTAAAAATAACGGTACATGTCGAATTGTGAATAATGCACATGTCTGTGATTGTACGGGAGGTTTTGCTGGACAAAACTGTACGAAGACACTCAAAAGTAGAGAATTGTGCATTTGCTGTACGATCGCTCTCACTAGATCAATTATGAATTTCAGGACCGCTTTGCGAGGACGTTCCAGGTGTTTGTGGAGTAGGTATATGCCAACAATCGCTGACACCGCCTTACTATTCGTGTAATTGCGGTAATTATCCAAGTACATTTGGTAAAATCATCACCGATTTAACGAAATGCGAAGAAAGTAAGAGAAGATTTTGAGGATGAGAAGGAGTTTTTTCTTCGTACGAATGACATAGGTGGTTGTCATGCACAAAATCCATGTCAAAATGGTGGCACATGCAGTAACAAAGGCAAAGGCGCTTTTCTGTGTCAATGTCCATCGCGTTACACTGGTGTTAAATGTGAAAAACAATGTAAGATGAGAATCTGAAATCAAACGAAGGATCACATATTGACAGAAGGATGTCCTTTTTCTTCTCTAGCTGCCTGTTTCAACAATCCATGTTTGAATGGCGGTGTGTGTGAAGCATTTAATGATACCGCCTATTTCTGTACATGTCCAGCACACTTCACTGGTGCACGATGTGATTTAGTTATACCTGGTACCGAAGAAGATATTCTTGTTAGTAGAAAGTAAAACTTATGTACACCGTTTAGATCCATGTCAATCGAAGAATTGTGGTCCTTATGGCGAATGCCGCGATATTCATGGTACTGCTGTATGTCAGTGCAGTGATGGATTTCATCATAATAACGAGCCTTGTGAAAGTAAATATCCAGTGGATGTTTTCACTGAACACATGTTACTTTGTTAAGATCCATGTTTGGGTAAAAATTGTGGTCCTGGCGTTTGTACAGAAAAGAAAAATTCAACTTATGAAGCTGTTTGCGCTTGTCCAGTACATCGTAAAGGAGACTCATGTGAATTACCGAATGGTATAGTTGACAAATTTGTTAACAATCAGTTAATATTAAAGAGTTGTTTTTGAAATCGTTCAGATAAATGTCGAGAAGCTCCACGATGTGGTGGAGGCTATTGCAAACCGAATTATGCATCTGCTCGTGGTTATTCATGCGTTTGCGAAGGTGGTATCGTCAAAGTGGAACCATGTCCATTTTCCAAGAGTAAAGTCTATTTTTCAACATATAGACACAAGGATGTCATTTGGATTTTTAGGCTGTCCAATCAAAGACTGTGGTACGAAAGGTGTCTGTGTCGAAACCGATGGTATTATTGTACCACCAAGTAACAGGCCAATCTACTACGTTTGTTCCTGCAAGGAAGGATACATCAGTTCTGGAAGTTGTGATGGTAAGACGCGAGGCGAGAAACGACGTCAGAATAATTTCAATGTTTAACTAGATGTACTCGGTGCACAAATGGCAACAGCTCAAGGACGTTGTGGCCCAACAGGTAAACCGTATCCAAGTCGTAATCCAAATAATCCATTTGGATGCTGGTGTAACAACGGCACACACATCCCAGAAATTGATGCAGATGGTCCAGCACAATATTGTGTTTAAACAAATTCATTTCGAGCAACAGACATAAAAGAACTAAACTCATTGCACCACTATCTACTGAATAAACTTCTTAAACTTTTCAAACCGTTTCTTGTTCGAAGAATTTATTTCGTAAACAAAAAGCGAATAACAAATTCTCAGTTGATCAGTTAAAAACGTTCTCGAATCCATTTGTCGATTTTACTGTTGAATAATTTGTCCTGCAGACCTTTACCAAACTGTCTCGTACACCAGAATCCAAAAATTATTGATGTTATATGAGCAAGTAGATTAGCTGATATACACACGTAAAGCACACCGAATATTGGCAGTAAGTCTGCAGGAGGTTTCACTGTTGTTGTTGAGCTTAACGTTGATGTCGCTATCGTTGTTGTTGGTGTTTGTTTGGACACATCAATCGAACGTATAATGGTCTGTCGTGAACAATAAAAGATTCAGAAGGAAATTTTTTGCAAGAAAATCTTACAGTAGAGAGACAATATCCCAGAAAGCCCAATTGAAATAATGAAAGAAAATAGAAAATGCACATTAAGATAAAGCTTTCGAGTCGAGCCTATCAGTTCGAAAGACAATTCAATTTTACGCACATCTCTGAATGTTTTTCTTACCATACCGATACCAACACCCAACCAAATGAATACGACTGGAATGCCGATCGAGAGAAAAATTGTATCCGCTACTTGATATCCGGTGTAGTTGTACAAATTGAGTAATAATGATGAAATCTGCATAGAGATAGATTTTTCAAAAGAATTCAACTGACTCAAGTACCTACCGAAAGCATGGTACTTAAACGCATGACACAATCAAAGGTACTGTAGATTCTCAATGGACGTCGTTGTTCTGTAAATGCGCCGAAAAGACTGAAAAAACGGAAGCGGAGTGCTTGACGACAAGAATTGAAATGAAACGAACCGTTGAGAGAACTCATCTCGTTTATAATCTTTGATCACCACAATTGACAATGGAATGAAGCAGATGTTAAAAACAATTGTTATTATCAATCGAGCCTACACAAAGAATGAATTGGTCTCGTTTGACGACGAATACTCATGCCTACCAGACGAATTTCGGGTTGAGTATCTTGAGCTTGGGAAGTTTGTCCTTTTCGATAAAAATAGTGTACAACTACATAGATGGTCAGAAGAACAGCACTGACAAAGAACGCAATTATGTCAGTGATCCGTTGATAGAGTAAACCGGTGAATAAAAATAGAAGCAGAAATACTGCGAAGAGAAAATATTATATAATTAAACAGGTCAAGTGTGTACTTACCAGAATGCACGAGAATCAAGATTCCATAGGCAAACTCGGGATTCGATAATGAACCACCTATTTTCACAAGGCGTGCTATGGTTAAACCATCTGTGATTAATGCCGCGAGAGTCCCAAGTGTAAAAAACATATACTCGTACCAGCGGATGTTTGCTAAGCTACGATGCTGTATAATTACAGAGAAAAATAGAAGCAAAAATAAATTAACATCTAATTTATCTATTACCGTTCCGAGATATCCACTGCGTTCGATTGCCTGGTCAGCCGAAAGTTTTAAACCGCCGGAATATACTGTTGTTCGTCCTGACTACAAAGAACGAGAGTGTATACTGTCAAAGTAAATTCATTTTCATTTACATCCATGTAATTTCGATCTGTTGATACTCGGTGCGAATCAGTTTCAAAATCCGACTCGTTTATCTGTTGACAAACAACGAGAATGATAGAAGCGCCATGGGAGGCTTGTATTTCATTCGTTATCTACTTGAGGGTTCGAAAAAAAAAACGCCGTCGCAATGATAAAATTTACGTAAATAAAAATAGTTTTTTCTTCTCATAGAAATGATGATAAGCGAACAGACATGAATTGCTAGGTTTCAGATTTCTTTCGAACTCTATTAATTAGCGCCGAGGAGCACTTTGCTCGACATTAAACCCATCGGTTACCTCAAAGCAATTAGTTCACATGTGTCCTAAGCCGAAGTCGATTAATAAGACATGACATTTCCGGTGAACCCTTTCTTGACGTCACAAGAAATTATCGCATTATGAATTCATGTGAAAACATCAAAGAGTAAAACGTTTTGGATTTGAAATCCATTTATTTTCTCGACGAAAACAACAATGAACGATGCATGTGACTAGAGTTCTGCTTCTTTCACATTCGCTTTGGTTAAACTGTTGCCAGATTTCTGTTGTGAATCAATTTTGGCTGTATAATAAGTCGGTATCTGTTTGTGATCCGAATTCGGACTCAGGTGATGTCGACGACACTTATAAAGTGAATAAAATGCATAACGAAATCGTCGTCCACTTAGACAATAGATGAGAAAGTTCGTACAGAAATTTAAATCTTTCAATAATTCGCACAGCGAACGTACAATCGTATAAATTTCGAACGCTTTACGAGTGAAACATAGATTAAACGGTAAACCCCATCTAGCGATGATGTTCATTATCGTAAATGGAACGAAATCTACAATAAATACCAAGGTGACGATCAATAACATCAATGTTAATTGATTTTCATGACATTTTACTTGACGTTCCTGCTGGAAGTTTCGCGTCTCAATAAGAGCATGTCGTCGAAGAAATGCTCGCTTTACCGTGCAGGAAGTTAATAAATTACCGATAATCACAATCGTTAGCGGAATGTAACAATAGCCAAATTCGGTTATGGTCATGTTCTTTTTCCGATATAGAATCCAGTTGGTTTTCGGACGACAACGTAGTCCTAAATTTTCTGATTGTTCGATCGGGATGATCAAAACTCGTGCAGAAAATATAAGTATGATCGAAGTCAAAATTAAGATCGTCATACGCGCACGGTGCGCGGAAACAAATTTCTTTTGATGTAACGGTAACAGTACGACGAATGTACGTTCGATCGTAATCGCAACTATCGTCCATATGGACAAAAGGACGCTCGCTTCAGTGAAAAAGATCAATATAGTGCAAAAGGATGGAAAGTAGAAATGTTTCGATGTTTTATTTTGATACGAGAGGAACTTAAAGACAAGAACAGATGTGTCCGATATGGCTAAACATTTGACATAGACGGCAAATGACGAACGATTCAAATGAGAATTGGTAAAAATGACCAGTAGCGTTAGAGTATTGCCAGTCAATGCTAATATTGGTAGAATGTAGATCGAGAGAAAACTTACGGTGTTTGAAAATTCATATGCAGCAGTGTTGTCGAAAGTAATCACGTTTTCTTGACAGATAAATTGGTTCATCTGGAAGAGAAAAGATGAAAATGATGGTCTGGAAACGTTTTACTCTTGATAGATCATCCTGTCAAGTGAATAGTCAAAATGAGGACGATTTCTCTCTAATACTGCTTTCGCGTGCAACAACACAGTCAGTCTGAATATGACGTTAATGAAACTTAGTAATCTCGATCAGATTAATACTCATTCATATATCGAACTACTTCTTCGATCTAGCATCTAGTCACACAATTCATTTCACTAAAAAAAATGCGCATTTTATCTTACGAATGCGTGCATACCAATCAATGATTATGTGGGTTCTAGAGTTTACCGAATAAAAAAAACGCTCAGTCAAAGAAATCTTTGCTCAACATAATTGCGATATTTTTCTTGCCTTTAAAGGGCGTACCACTGGATTACAAGTCAAGTATAATGACAATGATTATCATTTCATGTTTCTCATCAACTACAAAAACGATATTAGTATTTCGTGATAGAATCTGTGAAGAGAATCAATTATATGTTTGAAGAGAACGTCATCCTCTGAGAACAGATCTAGGTGGGTGGGAAAGCAAATATGTATGTCAGACGATACTCTTAGCACATTCAATGACGAGATGGACGCAGGGTCTGTGCAATGAAGTTCATCTGTTATGTATAACGATAGTTGGGAATTTGATGCTTGTGTAATATAGAGAAAAATAAAAAGTGATTTTACGCACTTAAATGCATCCAAAGAGTTTAAACATAAAGCAAAAATCTAACTAAGTGCTTCTTTTCTGTTTTTCAGACTATTAGGTTATGTAGGAACTGAATCTCATGTAGAGCTACTTGATGTGAGTATTATAAGGAGAGTTAAGAAGATTGTGTGCTGATGAGAGATTGGTTCAAAAGTTAATTACTTTGATGCATGTTCAGATTCAACTGAAAGTCATGAGGACTTGTTTTTAGCTCGAATCAATCATGTTACTTGTTCGTCTTCTCTGAACAATTTCATTCGTAGATCTTCGAATCCATATTGCATATTCTCTAGACGAAATTTATGCAAAACTTCACACAAAATTGTGAAAAATTATGAAGTACTCAAATTAAAAGAAGAATTCGTCGTCTCTGACAGCATAATTATCAAATAACACTAAATTTTCTCTACTCAAATCTGAGTACGTTGTCATAGGTATTTATGAGAAGCAGGTATAAAAGCTGAACATCTGAACATCTGTATGTGTTCCAGGTAAGAGATTTACTTCATTGGAATCTTTGATGACATATATTCTAAAGACTCTCATCAAGCGTAAAAGTATTCTTTGATATACTGTTATATCTAATCAACTTTGCGGCAGACATCTTAAGAGTTCTATCGTTGTTGTTTTCTTTGTATCAATTATATTCTCAAGTTGAAGAATATTTAAAAAAGCAAGATTTTGTTTTTATTCCAATGCAATCAGCGTCATTTTCAGCATCTGAACACCATGCGGCTCGATATTTAAGGCAGTGTAATTGCCTTGGAATTGTCCCAGGTCTTGTCGTGCCCAAAGATCACGTACATTCACCTGGCTTGTCGTTTTCCAGCCTAAGTCACTGAATGAGACGACGACTGCTTGAGACACGTCGTTGTTTCGATTAAAGGCAACAACAGCCATTGATCCATTGACTAATGGCCCAGCCCAAACTTCAGTTCCATTGTAAGGATCAATACGAACTTTCTTTCCTTGAAGTCCAAGCGGATCTTGATTCACAGCAATAACTTCTGGATTTGTCAGAAGTTCTAAGCTTTCTTTCGAAATATTTCGCACGTCGCAACCAATAAGCAACGGAGCTTTTGCTATAGACCAAAGACTCATATGAGTACGGTATTCATTGTACGTCATACCACCATTACCGATTTCTAACATATCCGGATCATTGAAGCCTATTAGAAAAAAAAACAACGAACAGATTTTCGAGCAAGAAAAGGAATGTGTTACCATGTGGTGCTGCGAAACTCCAGAATAAATTATTGATATCAATGTTGAGTAACATCAACAACCATGTATCGACAATATCACCTGTTGTTCTCCAGGAATTTGCCACTGATTGAAACCACAATGCAGGTAACATTTCTCCCCATTCACATGCAGAATAGAATATTGGACGGCCTGTACGATTAAGTGCATCTCGCATACGTTCATAACGTTCCTTGATTGTGCAATTTGTCGGCCGAGAATTACAATTATCATATTTCAAATAATCGACTTTCCATTGTGCATATACATGTGCATCGATGTCTTCGTAACCGAACGAACCGGGTCGTCCAGCACAAGTTTCATATCCAGCATCCGAATACAGTCCAAAAAGGAGACCACGAGAATGAACATAATCAGCTAGTGCTGCCATACCGGATGGAAATGTACTTGGATCAGGCTGAATAAACTTTGTTGTGGAATCGCGTGTTGATGCCCAACAATCATCAACATTAACATAAGTATAACCGGCTTTGGCTAAACCAGTACTAATCAAAGCATCGGCGGTTTCACGAATGACCGTTTCGTTGATACGGCAACCAAAATGATTCCAACTGTTCCATCCTAAATAATCAAGTTAAACGAGTCCGATCGAAACGATACGAGCGCAACAGACCCATTTGTGGTGTCTTGCCGAGCCCATTGTCAAGCGAAGATATAATCGAAACAAGACTAAGAAAGACAAAAGAAAAGAAGAACATGTTTGTGTTTTTGTTGAATGTAATTTCTTACTGATATAAGAAAAAAGAAAAGCTCGATGTTTATGTCTGTGTGTGTGTGTATATATATATAGTTATCTCAAATAAATATTTTCTTTTGTTTCTATTCGATAGAAAGAATCATCGTTATTATAAAGAGAAAATTAATTTATTTATAACTTAAAAACTAACGCCTATCATCTGAATTGTTTACGTAAATAGATTATTCGAATCCGTAGTAACATTCCGATTACATTGTCCAGTGGGTGGACATACGATGATCGGATGAAAACAACGATGGATAATTGGTTTAGATATGACAACGAGAGTGATGATGACATAAGGATTACCTTTGACGAGTATCGAGAAGACAAAACGAGAGAGTAGATCATTTTAAGTGTATTGCATGTTCAAATATGTATAAGTTGTACCTTGTTCTCTTCATTATCTGCTTATGGTATCCAAAAGTCATCGATGGCAAACGTCGAGGTTTTTCTTATTTGACCATGCGGATAGGAGAGAACCATTTTGTGTTGGGTTTTGTTTTTTTTAGCAACATCTCAATCACAACATAACTTAGGCGATTTTTGTATGCCGGGAACATGCGCAAGTTTGAATTCGAATTGTAAGCGCATTGGTGGAAATGCTTTCCGATGTGTGTGTAAGGAGCAGTATATGGCAATAAATAAAACACATTGTGGTTAGTAGAAAAAGAATGAACTTTGACGATTCAGCTCATCGTTTGACATTTTTCAGTGAGAGTTATCAATGCATCTGTTGATGAAGCCTGTGCATCTTGCATCAAACGAAATGGAATTTGTTTGGATGAGAATGCTGATGATCGAATGGAACAATGCTTTTGTCCAACAGATAATGATTTATGTAATGAACGGCCATCGACAACGACAACAACATATTTCGTCCCAATGACGCAACCTTTAAGAAAGAAGTATGAGTGTTTTTACATCCAATGTGAAATCGTAGATGATAGAAGAAAATATTTTCGTTGAACAGTATTGCAGCACTGACACCATCTGCAACGGGACGCGTTTCCAAACAAGGTGATCTTCTGCTTGGTCTGTACGATATTAATCAACAGCGATTAGTTGACAATGGTGGTTCGGTGTCTATCGGCGATCGATTATTTATTGAAATCAAATATCGCATCGGTTTGAGAGGCAATTTTAAAATACAAAACTAACTGTTCTTTTCTAGCCGATCAAAACCGTGCCGATCATCAGATCATCGCAGAGAATTGTTCGATTGCTTCGAGTGTTTCCGACAATGAAGTGAAATTAGAGAAAGTTCAACTATTAACCAATCGCTGTCCATCGTTAGATTCACGTTTGTCCATACGCTTTCAACGCATCGATCCCTATCATATCAAGAGTACTATCTTTCAAATCAATAAGTTTCAAACAACATCGGTTGTTTATCTACATTGTTCGGTGGCGATTTGTTTCGGACAAATCGAAAAATGTCTCGAAGTATGTTCTCTCGATCGAGATTATCAAGCATAGGATTTGTTGTTCTATTCTAGCGTCTATGTCCAGAATCCCGACGGTCGTCTTCACAAAAATTTCAGAATTCATCATCGATCAATTCCGCGCCCTTCGACTATGTCGATGAAGATAGTGCTAGTGTTGTCGCTTTGAAACGACGGCAAGTTCGTCGAAACATGAACAGTAACGACGACCAGCAAAACAAACTCTCGCGATTAATCACCGACCTAACAAAATCGTACGATTCAAATTATGATCATTTCGAAATTCGACAGTTACAACAGCAATTCTCCATTGAAGCACCGCTGCCTCAGACAGCAAATAAGCATAAAACACCTTATGGTAAAATCAATATTTCTTTCCCCTCAGTCGATACACTCTTATCTTCGTAGAAACCTTGTACGGTCGAACATCATTAGCAAGTCAAGGTGCTGTGGAACGGTCGACAGTGATTGCGGCTATATCGATCATATTTATCATAGGAATCTCCATTTCGTTATTTATTATCTACCGCACATGTTACGTTGAATATGTCCAAAAAATCTATGGTTCAGCATCATTCGGTGGATTTGTCAACGGTCCGGAGTCGATCTATGGCGGATTGAGAAGCACCTCACAAGTGTGTCGCTATGACATGGGACGTCGATCTGGACAACGGTTTGATGAGAGTTTCTTTGTTAGTAATGTTGAACCGTTGGGAGCTTATCGAAGACAATATTAAGAAATGGAACACGAAACATCTGACGATCTATTCGAACTTTCTAATACAAGCGATGATTCGTATTTCTTATTTCTTTGTTAAAGATTCGTTTTGCTTGTTTTCAATTAAACGTACATCACATGCTTCTTCGCCCTTAAATGATATGTAGAATAAAGACCGTATATAATAAGTGGAATTTACTTTGCCCGTTGAGCGTAATTGAAATTGAATTTGTTGACCGACGTCCAACGTCCGCATACCGTCGACCAAGGATCGAGCATGAACGAAAAGATCTTTTCCAGTGGATGCTCGACGTACGAAACCAAAACCACGTTCCGTCTTTCCATAAAAATGAAACTGTCATTCGTATGAAATTAACTCATTCAAATAACTCACATTCCATTGTTGAATCGTTCCCGTTTCGATGTTTTTCTGACCGTTAGTCAAACTTTCAACAATGCGAATGTCTCTCGCCTCGAGTCCACGATCACTTTCGCTTTCGAGAAAGTCAACTTCCATTCCTTCATGAAGATGCTCAAGATCACTTGGATGTATCCAGCGACTATGCATGAAAACATCCGCACCATCACTTTTTCGCGTGATAAAACCGAAGCCACGATTTTTCCTATAGGAAAAACCGAACACGGATACCGATCAGTAAAATTCTGCCTGTAACGTACACAAATTTGCGGATAACACCAGTATATCGATCTTTTGAAAGACTTTTCATTGGCTTGTCAGACGTGACAGTTGTCGCATTTTTTACTACTACATCCTATATCGAAGAAAACCAAGTAAAAAATTTCGAATGATAGGCGACTCACGCGTGCTTCAGGTCCCTTCGTTCCATCCGATACTTGGAATTCTACTTGTTGTCCTTCCTGAAAAAATAACGACGTATACAACGAAGAAACATAGAACGCACATTTTTACGTTTAAAGTTTTGAAACCAGTACCGAGAATAGCTTGAAAATGTACAAACACGTCTTGTCCGTCAGTATCTCGTTTGATGAAACCAAAACCTTTCTCCTTAGAGAAGCGTTTCACAATTCCTGTATATCTGTTAGTGTTCACTCCTCCACCGGCTGAGGATAATCTGTTCAGCTGTAATCGAAAAGGATTCACTCGTCTGAACAAACTCAAAAACATCTAAAACATAATTTGAAATTCGCTGATCTAGTCGCATGCTTTTCTTTTATTTCGAATGAAAAAGAATACGCCTTTGAAAGAGTTGATATCTATCGGTTTAAAAAATAAGATATGACGAGTGATATGAAACTAGCTGAAGCCAACAAAACACCAGTACGATGGATTAGGTTTGATTGCAGACGCTGTTCACTCTGTTCGTTTAGGAGTAAAATATGTTCGAAAGAATCGTTCGATGAAGATAGACTTGTTAGCTCCTTTTTTAATTCATTTATTGAAGCTTCTTGCTTAATAATCAAATCTTCGTATAACTTTTGTGAGTCATTGGTGATATCACGAAATTCTTTCATACGATATCGATTGGAAATTGTTGCGCCTAGAAAGATGAAACTAACGAGATGAATTTGAACACAAATGTCAACCTACCAATCATTCCGGCTAAGGCACCGACGACTGAACCAATGATAGACCAATATTTTGTTCTCTCAACGCGCATTTTCTCCTTTTCTTGACTTTCACGTAATGCCAACTGTAATGACGAGAACAATCGCCGTTCGATTTCATCTTGTTTCTTCAATTCCAATTGTGTCGATTTTTCTTTCTTCACAAGTTCATGTTCCGTTTTGAACAATTCAAAGTATGCATCATCACTCCGCGACAGTTTCTCCATATCGAATCGAATACGCGCTAATTCGTTCTGAAGCTTCATCAATTCATCGGAATACGATCGGCGTTCGGTTTGAGTCTGTAAGAATTGCCGTTCCGCCTACAATAGAAAGAACAATCGATGTAAATACGGTCGAAATAGGAGCATCTTACTAATAAAATTTATATTACATCGTTCACTGTAGTTTGTGCTTGTTTAACTTCTTTAAGCCCAACAAAGTCTTCGTACGCATCCAGCCAACGATATAAACGTGATGTACGTTTTTCCGATGTTAATTTCGAAAATTGTCGGAAAGGAATTCGTGTTAACATCGTCAACCGTATAGAATGATAAGGATGATGCAAAGTAGTAAATATGAATCATTTTCTATGAGCGAATAACCAATCGAATACACAAGAAATCTATTACACCACTGATAGGTGGTGCATATGTAGCGGGTGAAATGGACATAGTGATCGAGTAGAGAAAAAGTGAATTGCATTTGGAAAATACTTGATTAAGTGATTTCAATGACTTTCATTCACTGTTAGCTGAAAGTGCACATTTTGAAGAACTGATCTTATTTTCGTTTCGTATGTTAATTTTATTGATTAGAAGAACGTCAGGTGTCTTCGACGTTTTGGTTTCGAAATACAAATATTGATTCTATTATTCTTTAAAATTCTATTGTAATCAGCCGTTCTCCTTTTCTTCAACTTCTTTTCTCTTATTTTCATTTCACGTCGTACATAGATTTCTTTTTTCCAGTCGGCAGCAAGCAAAAAGAACAAACAAACTTCATTTAAAAGTGTAAGCATCAAAATACAAAGCATAAATAAACGATGTCGTTAAGTCGTCAGTTTCTTGTGCCAACTAATTATGATACCACAAAGCAAGTTTATCCAACGGAAGAAGTCGTTCATAAACGACAATACCATATGGATGCAGTCAAGTCAATCAAAATGTATCACCAGACCTTGAATCTTACAACTCCCGGTGAAATCGATTTTGCACCTGATTGCTATGCCGACAAATTACGACGTCGAGCTAAACTTCGTTAGAAAAAGAAACTCTCCGATTGCAAGAAGACGTATTCTTCTTTTGTTCTTACTTCTTTTTTTTTCTTTTCACATTTTTTTATCTATCTCTATGCTTTATAAAAGAAAAAGAAAGACCGAGTAACACGCATACATCTATTCATTCATTCTTGTCATGTCGCACAATCCAAACCCGAACGCAGACACCTCCGGTTTCAGCTATCCTAGTGCAGCCGGTGTACCAACTAATATAGCACAGACACATGTAGGCCTTATGCCTACATCTACTTCTTCAATTCCGGAATCATCATCATCTGTGCCAACCACAGTCACGCATTCAACTTCAGACAATCGAATAGGACCAGCTGTGGATCGTCATCATGGGAAACTATATGGTGAGCATGGTGGAGCTGGTACTAGGGCAGATGATCGGAAGGGCGAGATCGTAAAGAATGATGGTCATACACCAACACCCGTCGCTATACATGAACAGACTTAGTTTTTCATTCACTAAAGTATATTTATATTCAAGCAAATTAGTCAGAAAATTGTTTCAATAAATCATCTATGTCTCTCAATGATCTCGATCTTCCGGTGGCCGATATGGTAAATTAAGATATTGAAAGATCGATTCTTCTGTTGGTGTTACTAACGGTTGTCCAGTATTGATTTTCTCAACGCCCTAAACGTAGGAAAAGTCGACATTGAACAGCAATCGATAGTTCTCTTTCACGTACTTTCCGGACAACACCGTGGTAGAGTCCATGCTGAGAAAGTGACATACTCAAACGGCGGGCTAAACGACGCATCGATCGATTGAACGTTGCCGAGCCCGTAAAATAAAGTAGAGAGCAAGCCCATTCATTTGCTGGTACGAAGATTAAATCAATACGGCGATGCTAGAAAAGTCAAAGGATAATTTTCAGTCGAAAAGTGAATATGTATTCATCTTTACTAGTGATCCCGGATCTGATAAACGACAAACACCAAAGTAGGTTAATTGTTCGGAAGTGCTTCCTGATGTTGATGCTGACGCTTCAGAATGATTAATTAGATCATGAGTGAGAAATCCTAGAAGGAAAACGGAAACCTACAAAGGAATATGCATCTGATGATATTCGATTTCCTACCAATCTGCTTTAGTTTGTCAATTAGCGGAGCAAGTACTGTTTCATGAACATGTCTTTTGCCATCTTTGAATGTCATCAAAATATCTATATCGCCACAGGTTGCTTTCAATCGACGATAACTTCCGCATGTTTCAATCTTTAGGTCAGGTGTAACTTCATTCGCTGCTTCTTTGACCTAAATCAAACACAAAACAGTTCTCACCGACGTTAGTGTAGATACCTACGATTGTTTCTATACGTGTGACTTCTTCTCGTGGAATACGTGTATTGAAATCATCGTAATATTTCAAACCAATCTGTTGCATACGTGTAAGACGTGCTCGCATCCGTAGATCATCGAGCGTACGAAAACCTTGTGCAAACCATTGTTTCGTTGTTTCAGTACCAGCACCCCATACACCAGCAAATAACGCCACTAAATTCGTCATCTGAATAAACTAGGTTAAATTTATCCGCAGCTACTAACTTACATGTAGAAACATCATTACGTGATTGAAATGCTGATAATTTAACTAAGTTGTTTGTACGAATGATTTCCCAAATCTTGTCGGCTAACGATTGTTTGACATAAGGTAATGCTTTGATTTCCTGTAAAGACGAATGGTGAGCGAGAAGAAGTGAAAAGGAGAATGTATCCTACTTCATATGTACGAATGGGATGTGTGCAACGTTTCAATGCTTCGATTGCTTTTTCATAGGCGATACTGCGACCTTTATCATTGGTGATCAGGTATAATCTCGACATTTCCTAACGCAATCAAAGTCGTCAGATGGAAATCGATATATTGTGTTGTTTACCCGTAGCTTTTCAATGATCTTCTCATTTGGATTGCCGACGACTGGAGTTGAGGATGATGCTTCCGAACACAACCATATCCCAGTCTAGAGAATTTTTCCCATTTACATGTGATATCTACAGTAAGACAATTATTTGCCTACCGTTCGTGGTAATTCACCTGGTTGAATTGGTTGAATATCGAGTTGTCTCTAACAAAAGAAGAATCAAGTAAATCTCAAGAGCCATTTCGATAGTGTTAACAACCTTCTTTGAATTCGATTCATCATCTGTATCAGACGCTGAGGAAGAAATTGCACGTTCACGTTTGAAATGAATCCGTTCTGAAGTCTCAGTGGCCGAAGGTAGAATAGGACATGGAGCAGCTTGGAGTACATAGGATTGATATGACAGAAGTCGATTTTGTTTAATTGAATCACTTAGCCATTGAGTTCGAATAAAAATTGGTGTTGAATTCGTCGAACTTTTCACTGTTTTACTTGCTGACACAAAATCTAGCTCATCATCGATTAGTACGAACGCATTCTGAGTGGTATGATCGACAACAGTAAGACCAAATTTCAGACAAGCTTTTTGAAAGATCTCCAATCGACGCTTCCCAACTCGTAAGAACGAAAGAGTTTTAACGTTTGAAGAAGAAGAACTATCATCAGTCATTATTGTTGACAGACACAAAACTTTCGTGAGCGATTAACTGTCACTTATAGTCTTTATTACCTATTGACCAATGTCCAATGATGTCGCTGACATACTGTTCAAGTGTATGAAGAACAAATCTGACAAGTTCAAGGTTTATTTACACTATTATCTATACAATCCTTGTTTATCATAACCTGTGACACAAAAACTGAAGCATATTTACAAAATGCAACAACAACAGCAGACCTGAAGGATTTATATTTCGAAAACATTCGATATAATTACAAACAAATATATATTCTTCAACACAAAAACGTGAAGATAAAAGCTCAATATGTTTACTGATTGTCAGATAAGTGTATCTACGAATATATTAACAAAGCATCTTCATAGAATTTCAATGAGAAGATTTGCGCTGAGTATTTGTTATATAAATCTTCACCAAGCTCATCAATCATTTCTGGCTAAACACAACAACATCAAATTTACTTCACATAATTCGGACAGATCGTTGTACTTACGATGATTTGAGCACCGCTGACATTTTCGACGATTTCGAGTGCACGTCTTAGTTTCGGTGGACTTATTTCCTGAAGACATTGTCTAAAGGAGAAAAAGGATGAATATAGAATTCAAAGTCATCGGTGATGTTACTGTCGAATTTGATTACAACGCTGATGGAGACGATGTGTTTCATGTAGTGGATCAGCTACAGTTCGATCACCGCATGACCACGGTCGATTATTTTCATCATTTACAGGAGGATTCACTGGTGGCAATTGTAAAGTGGCTGTCAACATGAAAACGAGATCATTGGCATCTTTCTCTCTACAAATAATCGTAGTCAAAATAAAGGGTTTTCTTTGTGTGATATTTTCATACGCTTCCTTCTTCTTTTCGAGTTCTTCAACTAAATCATCTGAAAACTCTTGTTGTTTTGGTGAGTCATTGTCGGTTGTCACGATTGTTTGAGACGGTGAATCAGTCGGTGTTGTACATTCTGTTGATGAGGAGCGAAGTTTACTCTCGCGTCGACGTTGCCGTGCTCTCGAATTCGATCCTTGATTTAGATCGTATGATTTCGTTACTCGAGCTGGTGATGGGGGCAGAGAAGAATTACTATTCGATTCAGCAGAATTTGCTCGCGATTGTTTGTACGATGGTGGCGACACTTGCTACAATGAAAATCAACATCATGTACGTTCTATTTGTGTAAAGATGCTTTACACATACCATTACTGGTCCACGAGTAGGGTCTTGCACAGATCGGGCAGATGCTCCTTCCTGTTCACCGGACGTTGATGATTGTTGTTGTTGTTGTTTTATATGGTTGCCCAGCTGTTGATTACGTCTTAGACGATGCAGCGTGTCGTTATTCCGTAGATTTGATAGATATTCCAGATTTTTTTCTTGCTCATTAGTGGGACCTATGCTGTTCTGACGTGCGTTAATACGACGTATTCTCGATTGGCTTATCACTGGTTCTTTGGATTGGATCGGTTCAGCAACGGGTGCTGGTTGAGGAATATCAACTGATGAAGGTGGTCGAGAATACACGGATGGTAGCACTGGATGATAAGATGGAAGCACCGACGGACTATTATTATGATTCGAAAGACGAGATTTTGATGGCGATAGGACACTAGCAGCAGTCACCGGTCGCGTCGGAGAATTGACTACGGGTTGTGAATTCGACTTGACTTGACTATGGCATCTGAAGAAGTGAATGATAAGTGAAGTTCAATGTATTTGTTATCATTACTTTTTTTCAGTTTTGTCTAATAATCTGAGAATATTATCTTTGATATAGGGATTTTGTAAGAGAGCCTTGGCAGTTGGACGTTCATCAGGGTTCTTCTTGAATAATGAGTCGATGATATTCCTCAACGGTTGACTGTATCGTTTCGATATTTGTGGCGTCTAAATTTCATATAATAAACAAACTCATTATCTCGTAAATCGCATAATCAAACCTGATTGGCGATAATTTTGCTGATCAAAGCTGGCATATCTTTTGCATTGAATGGATGTTCATATGTGATCATTTCGAAGACACAACATCCCAATGACCAAATATCCGTCTACAATAAATGCTTGGCAAATTTCGATTTCTTACTTCTTTAAATCATTACATACCTTCTGTCCATATGGTTTGTTTAGCAGTATTTCCGGACTCATGTAATATGGTGTACCAATGACGGTTGTGGCTAGATCTCTTGCAGAATCGAGTACTCTTGCTATTCCTAAATCTCCGACTTTAACAATTTCATTTTTTGTCAAAAAGATATTCTGAGTCTTTAAATCGCGATGAAGAATATTTCTTTCATGAATATACTGTAACAAATAAAACAAGAATTGATGTGTATATGACTAGGAAATAGAGAGATATCGATTACCTGCAAAGCCATACATATCTGTATGAACCATTCTGTGATTTGATTTTCATGTAACACTTCTTTTTTCAATCGTTTTTCTTTCAATTTAGTATATAAATCTCCGCCTTCGCAATAGGCCATGACAATATTGAGAAAACCATCGCTTGAACGAAATGATTCGGTATATGCAACAATATTCGGATGTTTCAATGTTGATAACAATTTAGCTTCACGTTCAGCTGTTTCAATATCGTTCGGTGTTGATTCATTCGATGCTTGACGAAGATCCAAGCGTTTTAAAACTTGTTGTCTTGATTGCGATTTCGTTGCAAACGAATTCTTCGGTAGAACAAGCCAAACTTCACCATAACTACCTTTACCAATCTTCTTTATAAACTCATACTTATCTTTCACATCGACTTCACGGACTTGAAATGGAGAATCGCTATATTTTCTTGACATGGTCCACGATTGATTTCAACAATAACAAAAAAATGAGTGACTTTTTAAACAATTCTATCACTTTCACACACGTACGAACGGAGGCAGTGAAGAGCTCATTAAATCTTTTACGGTCCTGCTTGTTGTCATAGTTACTGACTCATGTAAATGAATCACGAATGTCAATCGGAAAGGCGTAGCAGCGAAGTAAATGCGACGTATTTTACGATGCTTCGATACCGTTCGAGTAGTATGCACTGTAATTGTTGTCAATAATCTCATAAGGGACGAATATAAATAGATGTCACGACGTTACTTATGATTTCTAAGCATGCGAAATATCACTGAATAGATTTGTAGCAGTCTTGATCTGATCTCGTGCAATTGCTAATTGTACTTTTACAATAATTGAGTACATAAAACCTTTTGAGGCCTATAATTTTTCCAATTCTTTTCCAGGTGCATGTAAACATTTTTGTTCGTTCCACTTCCAAGTTAAATACATTAAAACAGTTTATTCTTCGATTGCCAGTCCATAATGTTTATCGTTGTTTTGTGTAGATTCGATTCACTACCTTTGCACTATACGACAGTACATTGTGATTCGTAAATTATGTAATAACCGAAAACAACGAGCATAACCGGTACTGCGCTTATATTCAATGAAACATATTTTTCATTTATACTTTGCGTATAAACTGAAAAATCCACGATAGGAAGGTTTATGTAAAACTGACAAAGGACTATTTTCTGCTTATTCATGAAATACAGAATGCAACTGAATGGATGAGGAGCACAAGAGTATCTCTATGGTCCGTTCTTGCAGTGAAATCGAAAGTAGCTAGGTGACCAGTGCTTCAGGCGAAGAAACGCAAAGTCATGTCGATTTATCCGGACAGTCTTCCTTCGACCCATAAGCGAAGTCTGTTTCTTACAGTAGCCGTGCACACATCCAGAGAGCTACAAGTTGAGACCGTGTCATCAGTTCATTCGTTTTCAACTAAAGCATCTTCTAACAGTCCATGTTGAAACGCTACAATACATCGTTTATTTTTCCTATATAGTTTGGCTAATTTCTGATGCCTATTTGCCATTTGACACTTTTTGGACATGACATCATCTGTTTCCTGTCGTTCACTATATTGTAACGCCTCAACGGGTCGTAATTTTCGATAACCAGGAACTGAAATGAAATATCTTCTCTGTTGCATATCGATTTTGCCAACACAAACGTTAGCAGAACTTCAATCAGCTTCATCTCGTTGCCAGTAGATATTCAACATAAAATCAGAATTCTTCACTATTCACAATAACTTGCTAAAGCTTCAAGACTGTTGGCAACTTCATTTGATGACCGAACGTATTTGCTACACAGCCTAAGATTCTAGTTCTTTCAAATCGTCGATGCGAATTTCCTAGACCATCCGATAATACACTTCCTATCCGTTGAGAGCATATCTCTCATTTGGATCATCAGTTAGTCTAAGCAACTTTGAAATTTCTTCTGTCATAATAATCTGTCGATACTCACACACTCGATTCGTTCGAAATCATTGAGCAGAATTAAATTAACCAAATCATACTTTACTTCTTTCATTTGATCCACGCTTTGCACTTTGAATCGATTTCTTAGCGAAAATGACTCAACTGGAAAATGTCAGCGTAAAAAATAGCCTTTTTCTCTGACTCTACTTTAATTTGGAAGAAAAAATAATCGTATTTTGAACATACTTTTCTTCGGCATCTTCCCACCACGGCATAACGGTGGCACAGTTGATTTATCTGAAAACTTCTTGATCTATTCCTTTTGGTTTGTTTCAAGTTCTTGATACTGATCTCTGATTTTAAAAAAAGCCAAATTTGAATATAAGGTGAATATTAAGCTGTCAGAGAACTTGGTTCATCGACTCAAAGGTAAAGCTTTCTTTTATATAATAGTACACAGCACTTTTTTGTCTGGTATTCACATTCGACGGCTTCAATGGTGTTTTGCAAAAGCGTATGCTGTCTTAATACTGGCATTCGCTTCTGAAGTTGACCTTCTCGGCATGTTATGTGACATAGGATATCAACGAGTTCTGGAAACCATGTTCTTTTACACATAAAATAGTATTGTACATCGTTACGGATGTCTTTTAGTAAATCGTCGGACGCTGTGTAAATATATTATTTTACCTTCATCATAAAGATAAATGAGAGGGTGTTGATAGATTTTGCTCGCTCAAAATGTTCCACACATTGACTGGTAATATAAAAGCATCGCACCGAGCCAGTTATCGACGGTAAACAATCAACAGGCATCATCATTTTGTCGATAATATATTTATAATCAACACATAAAGAGTCGGGCGACCATTTTTTGCAAGTCAGTTGTAGTGTTGAGAAAAAAAAGTCATTTTTTTCTCGCATGTCTGATGAACGTAGTAGAGTATTTGGTGATATTCTAGCAAAGAACGCAAAAAGAAAACATCTAGAGTCATTATAACTCTTCGTTTTGGCTACTTGATGTCTATGATAGCAATTAGATCGATCTAGAACGTGACATTATCAACTGTTATCTGTCGACAGTTCATGTCCAGAATCAATCGCTCATGTGTACAAGATGTGCAACAAGCGTTGGTGGTGTAACGGTTAGCATGGTTGCCTTCCAAGCAGCCGACCCGGGTTCGACTCCCGGCCAACGCACGTTTCTTTTTCTCCCTTTCTAGTCACTTACTGAAACACAATGGATAACCATATGTTTGCTATTAACCGTTGAGCGCAAAACGTACAGAATGACATATAAAAACTGGTCTCTAGTAAAAATTTATTAGTTCATTTTTTGTATACAAAAGCAAAAGTGCACGTTTATCGTGCTTGAAGTTCATTTTTCCACGTAGTCGTGCTATTCTGATATTGGACAGTACGTTGAAGTGACTGCCATTGTTGTTTCGATTGTTGTAAGGCCATCTGCAAAATTAAGGAAAATCGAATTTCGTTATTAAATTCACAATTTATATGACTTACCGCAGCTATTTCAACTTTTCTTTCCCAAACTTCACAATCACGTTGAAGATTGTAGAGCAAAGCCTTTTTCTTGACATAATCGATTACTTCTGGTACACGATAATTCTCCGTTTGTTCAGCCAGATGGCTATGAATTTTCGCCACGCGGCCATGCTCTTTACCCGCATTGTCCATGTCATGTTCGGAATGTTCACGTAAGTTCACCTGTTTCTGTATACGTTGTTCAATCTCTGCTAATTCTTTGTTCTGTCGGTGTAAATCATCCTTCAGTCGATTCAACGATTGCGTTGCTTTGCCAACTTGCTGTTTTAGTAAGATGAGGTCGTGATTTTTCTCATCAATTTTATCTAAGTATTGTTTATTCTCGATTTTCAATTGATTAAAATCGACTTCGTGCAAATTATCTCCCGTTTCTTCTTTTTGCCGCAGTTGATTATCCAGCCGAATAATTTTCCTCTTCAAACCGGTCGATCGATCACGTAATTTATTCGTTAGAGACTCGCGATTCTTAATCCGTTCATTGAAATAACGTTCGATTTTTTCACCGATGAACTTTTTTGTACGTTGATCAGTTGAATTCTTTTTGGTTTTAACAAACTCGTCAATCGCCGAATTAAAATCGCTCAGTTCAACCTCTGTCCATTCCAAATCCGACTGTAAAGAAGACGTGTGTTTTGCAAAAGAAAACGAAATTGAAAACAACAAACTTCTAGTTGATGTATGGTCTTTTCGCTCTTTGCTTCTTGTCGATTTCGGTCAGCTTTCATTTGTTCGTATTCCGCATGGATAATCTCGATTTTTTGTTCGATGGTTAACTGAATACGAAAATCGCCTTGCGTACTCCGTGATTTCGATCGTTTGCGGGATAGACGATCACCTCGAGTACCACCTCCGCCGACTGTCGACAGATCTTGAGACGAACCAGCTGGTGTAATTACTTGGGATGTTCCAGATGCCAATAGTGAGATAGGTTCAGCTTTTTTCCGTTCCAAATTCTGCTCGTAAAGACTGTTTTCAAGTTGTAATTGGAGAATTTCACGTCTAAACACAATAGTTTTATGCATACGTGTAATGTATTTCTTAGGAATCAGTAGCAATAGCAGTGGAGCTTTATGAGCACTTACTATCTCGTCTAGATTTTCTAACTGATTAGAATAAAGATTTAATGAAAAGAAAAGTTCATTCTGAAATCTATTTACTCGAGTTTTTCTACACGTTGTAGAAGTTCAAGATCATCCGCTTCATCGGCTGCACTAACGCCATGTTGTTCCGAAGAAGATCCACTAAAACTCGATCTTGCCTCAGCCATGCGAAATTATTTTTAAATAAGCAGACAATCAGCACAACTATTCAATCTGCCATTCACACATAGGTGTTACCATCGGCAATAGCCTCTCTGCACACAAGAAGAAGAAAAGGTAACAGTTGCTCGAATGAGTAAAAGATGTCGTTACTTGTGGAAACGAGTTATGTGATTATGATCTAAGAGATAAGAAGGAAGCAAGTGTTGACAGATTGAACATTCAGCTCTGATGAAAATGGAAACAAACTAGTTACATGAATGATAGGATATCTCGGAGGATTAGAACTGAATATGTTTAGTTTACAAATAGCTTGAAGAGAATTCAAGATCAAACAAAATCACTTGATGGACTTCATTTTTTGCTTTGAGCAGTCTGCTTTTGAACTGTGCATAATGAAGAAAACAAAAGTTGATTTTCTTCCGAGAATTCATTCATTCGAAAGGAAAACAGTGTCTCATTTTCAAATATGTAATGAATAACAAAAGGTCGATTGACGCCCTTCCTACGTCTCGTTGTGTGTTCATCTAACTTCCGTTTATCATCGTCATTGTTCATTTGCATACGAGTGTGATTTTGTTTATCTTATAACAGCCGAATGATTATCTTCTTCTTCTTCTTTTTTTGTTTTCTTAACAACTTATACATGTCGATGACGCCAATCTTAACTCAGATAGAAAGCACTTGAAAAAATAAATGGAAATTCGCCTCTTATTGTTGTTTTTCTTGGTCTTATTCCATGGTGATATTTTCTAATCATATGCTGATTGAATAGTAACACTTAATGGAGAAATATTGTGTGCTTAAGTTATTAGACGAATATGGAAGTATTTGAAGAGATGAAAGCAACTTAGATTTCAACACTTCGACAAATGGATTAGTCGTTATTTTTGTACTCTGTCGATAATGATGATTAAAGAAAGAAAAGAAAAAGTAGCTGACAAATTCAACATGATGTAATTGGAGAAAATGTGCGAAATGCGTAAGGAGTAAACTAAATAAAAGCGAAGAGAACGAGGTCGAACATCATTTGCAGGTAGCCGTGATTTCATATATATGAACGACGAACAAATATCACACATCTGTTTGATTTCCGATATTCTCAATGAATAATTGAAAAGTATTTAAATAACATTTCGGTTTTGATCGTATCTCGAAGTGCGTATGCTACGCTTTCTTTTTTGACATGCATCTGTTCATTTCATTAACTGAAGTACATTGATAATAAAATAATCTTTGTCTTCCTTTCGTCAATGATTATGAACTGTCAATAATTGCCGACTACTCATTTATGTTTGATGACGCTGATAAGTACACATCAAGAGTACGAGTGAGAGACAGAGATTTAGAAATTCATTTTTATTCTAAGTAGCTCATCTTCATATTCATTAGATGAGCGCCGCTCGATGGAGAGAAATGTTTATGTTTCGAGTAACATTATTGAACTTGCTGATTGGCATCTTCTCTTCCCTTCTTTCTCTCTCTCTCTTCAGATTGATTATCGCTACTGTATATAACTCTATTTCTTTCACTCTCTCTCTCGCTCTCATTTGCTCGCTACGCATTCTTCACTTGCTCTCCCTTTTTCTTTCACTCTTCGACATTCGTCGATCATTATCATTAACACAATATACGTTGATACAGGTATACCGAGTAAACTGATTTCCCACATCGAACTCGCGTTACGAAGATTAAGTAAGTTGAAGCTGAGCATCGAACTTCTCCGTAGGATGATTCCGTCGTCTGTTTATTTATAGAAGAAATTCAAGCAAACTATTACATCAGACGTTTATATACATCTAGACGCCACGAACAGATACTAAATGAATGCTCTTTTGCTTCGCATCGGAGCCAGATTGAAATATGATCGATCAAGAACTTTGATAGTTGAGAGTTTGGAACAACATGACAGAAAAAGAAAACTGGCGTATCTTTCGCATTGATGATTCCCGAGAAAGACAATTATCTATATTGATACTGCATAAGCAGACACGAGATTATAATCTATCCATTCATTACATATGCACTGTCATGTAAGATAGTTGATAAGAGATTTCATGGATATCTTTCATAACTGCGATAGAGCAATATCACTTGTCGATCAATTTCACATCGGATTGTTTACTTACATCTCATTTCAGATTCCAAACTCGTTGTGAAAACAAATGAAACCTTTTCTGTTCGTACTATTATTATTTGTCTCGTTTGGCGATATCATTGCTCGAGGTATGTAGAATATGATATACAAATACTCAACAAGGATTCCTACGTTGATATGTGTACACTGAAATTTGATTCATTTGAAATTAAGCGAATTATTTGATTTCAGGTCCACCGACACTATTACCAGAAACACCAACTTTAATTGTCATTGATGTCGATGAGAACGATTCGGTTGAATTACATTGTCCAGTGACACCTTCATCTGATTTGTCTGTTCAATGGTCGAAAAATAACGAAGAATTAGATCCGATGTGGTCAACATCAAATCTCTTGATTCGACGATTTTTATTAAAAATTCATCGAGCACAATTAACCGACGCTGGTTTATACAAATGTAACGTTGTTAATGGATTCGGTAATGTTCATGCACAGTTTCGTGTCGATGTCAAATGTACGTGTGTATCAATTACGATTGAGTCGATAGGATTGTCGAAAGTTCTTTTCTAGCGAACGGAACAGTGACCCATGGTGATCCGCAACAAAACGTCATTCCATGGGACATAGATACAATGAATGGAGGTAAGGATTGTCGAAAGTTAGAGTTTGAGTTGGTAATTTCTTTCTTTTCAGAAGCGCCCGAATTTCTTTCTCCAAAGGAGAGAAGCTCGAGCGAGCCAACAAAAGTTATTCAACCGGAAAGTACTACGGTTCAATTGAAATGCTTAGCATCCGGTAAACCAACTCCAGAAATCCGATGGAGAAAAAATGGAAAAATACTCTCCGAAGATGAATATGGTATCACACAGTAAGTTTGACTCGAACAAGTCATGTCTGGATTCACGTTTTTCCAATTCCGTTGTGTAGAAGTCAGATATTGAATATCAAAGATTTACGTCAATCGGATACAGGCAACTATACATGCGAAGTTTCTAATTCTTTTGGTAGTATCAATGCGACGTATGTTCTTGTAGTAACAGGTATGCGCGGTGAACACTTTGAGAATTTCATTTGTGAAGTCATGCGTGTTTTCCGTAGAGAAATTGCAGTTTTTTGGTAATGATCCTGGAAATACGAGCGTAGAAGTCGGACAAGTAGGAATTCTTCATTGCCGAGTTCAAACCAATGATCCGACGGCGAAAATCCAATGGTTAAAGAAGATCAACGGCCAACATGTATTTCGTCCCGATGCGATTATTTTTGGGTCGGAGCAATACGAAATGATTCAACAATCTCCAGAACATCAATATTCCAATAACATTCTTTCTAAACCATTGATTTTTCCACAAATGAGTACGAAGCAAGCTGGTGAATACATTTGCTTAATTCAAAATGATAAAGCAACGAATTACAAGAAAGTTTTTCTCGACGTATTCTATACTCACCGAGGTAAGTTTGAATTCAAGAGACAAGATCTATGCAGACGTGACAACTTGTCTGGGAACAGTGACATGTCCGAGATCAAGATCGATTGCTTTAAACAAATCAAAATACATCCCTTTCAGGTCTTATAACGTCAACAAACACGAACAATGTCCTGTTCTACGTGATCATTATTCCTCTGTTTGTTCTTGCCACAATTCTTTTCGTAATTTTTTGCCTTCGTCATACGCGCCATCGAAAGCATCTTCCAGCACATTCGACTGACAGTTTCAAATCTTCGATTAAACCGCGACAACCATTGATTCAACCCAATAGTGTCGTCATTTCATCTCGTACGAACACTGATTATTTAGTTGACAGCATTGATTCCATACCGATTGCAAGACCTTACCCACAACAGCAACGATATGGGCCAAGTACAGCATCGGATTTAGCATCTCTCACAAGCTCGAATCTGTACTATGCACGCGTACAAGCACTGTAAATTATCGATGGAACTATATAGGATACAGTGATCTAACAACAACTCGTGTTTTTCTCTTTGTTTATTATTAAGAAATCATGTTTTCTGTACGATAAGACTTCGTTTTTGTGTTTAACCGACTAATATTATGTATTTATGTGCAGCAGCTATCCTCTGCAAAAGAATAATTTACATTTGAGATTTACATAGAAGTGATTTGATGTCCGTTATTAACTGCTGAATCTTGGTCAGAAGCAGGTATACTGCTTGAAATCGCATTAGGCCGATTGACAACGGAATATCTTCTTCTTTGAATTGACAACTTCCGTTGTTTCTGCACGACCAATGTTTGCCATTGATAAAGCGTATAAATATTAACATGCACAACAATTCCGACCAGAAATTTCGAACAAGCATATGCCAAATGACGAGTTAAATCTATACGTTGACGCTCAACATTGATAAAATGAAGAGGTAGTAGAACGATGAAGATGATGATATAAATTGCTAAAATCAAACCAAAGACTGCTGACACAATGATCCGACGTTCATATTTGAAGAGACTCAACCAACAAGAGAATTTACATAAATGTTGTTGATACCAATAACAAAAAACAATGGATTTAGTAACAGTGAATACAATAGCTTGATGCCAGGCGAATATATTCGTTACCGTGTCAATGATATTGATTAGTTTGAAAACATATTGTGCACATATGACGTCGTTATGTTCATAATTAATGAGAGTAATCGTTTGATTGAGGCAGTATTGAACGAGAGTGGTATTTTCGCTTGAATTCGAAACATTTCTATTGATGTTTTTCAACCAACAGACAACTTGATCTGGTCGATTATGATAAGTAGTTAAGTATGTTTGACACGTTTCGAAATAAACATCCCGTGTTAAGATTTTGTAGACTAACACGGTGAGGAGTAGATCAAGTTGGAAAGGTACTAGAAGAAGGTAATTGGCATCGTATTCTTTCGTGACAATGGAATTGGATGAATTGCTCGAAGGCGATCGTTTGAAAATCAAAGGATCTGCTCGTAAATTTACGCGAGATGGTTGTGTAACGAGTATTTGGTTTAGATGTTGACGTTTTTGTATTTCGATACGTTTGACAACATTTCCGATGATTCTGTCCAGAGCACCGTTGGCAAAAAAGTTAGCCAATTTTCCCAGACAATGATTTAGCTGAGGGTAGGTCTTGGACAGATAAAGAATGCATGCATTGAGAATAGTGAGACAAATCAGGATGAGATTAGGCAATAGGAATAGTATAAATACTATACTTAGATCAAGTGCTATACCATCATCATTGGTCATAGCCATATCGGAAAGTTTCATGCGATAACGGATCACTTCGATTGAAACAGAAAAGAAAAAGCCATTTTAGTTGTGTTATCTGTTATATAGTGCCAACATGGCAAAGATGAATAATTAACAAAACTATAGAAATGCTGTACTTTATCGTGTTAATTTTCACACTCTCGTCCTCAAAGTGTATGTGGATGCAGAACTAGTGAAGCATTCATCTTTCGAGTAAAAACAGATACGCTACAATTGAATAAGAATACTCATATTTTCTTTAACTTGTTATCATTTCTGTCAATGATCTGACCTAAAACATCACTATGCACTTTGTGGATTTAATCTACTGGTAGAAGAATTACTCATATGGCGCAATGAAACCATTTGTTTTCTCTCAAAATTAAAAGAAACGTTGACTTTTTTGATAGTCTGCAGGAATAAGTATTTGTTTATTTCTAAATATTCGATTACCATAAGAACATACAAACAGATAATTATGTATTTATTGCCTTCAGAGGTATATTATCTCCTCGACTCAGATCGCGTTGTTGTTTATTCGTCGAGAAACTAATAAAAAAGAAGCAGTCGACAGATTAGATCAGATCGATGAGCGACTTACAGTGGTAAATTCATACTTTCAATATCATCAATCGTCTGCGGTAATGGTTTGTTCAATGTTTCCGGAAAGACTAATGCTGCAATACCTGCGACTAAAGAAACAACACCAAATAATACAGTAGGGAAATTCATCCATATACGAGCCTAAATTATAAACATACAGGAAATGATATAGACTGAAATGAACAAGGAATATTTACGAGATAATCATTGGAAAATGTGCCGAGTATAGCTCCAAGGCGGCCTGTCATCGAACACATGCCCAGACCAGTTGTTCGAACGCTGGTTGGAAAAAGTTCCGTCGAATACAGATAGATGATAGCAAACGAAGCAGATGCACAAAACTTTAATGAAATGTTGAGGATGAACATTAATACTCGTAGCGCTAAATAAGAACAAACGTAGAAGGATTGTTTGATTCGTATAGGATAAATTCACTTGTTTTTCTCTCAGCTAGAACAGACTGTACAGGTAGAACAAGTAGAGCCAGTAAGCCGAATGCTATAGCAAAAGCGCAATAAGGCAACTTTCGGCCTAGCCGGTCGAGAATGATATGAATGAATATATACGCAAACAATTCAACAAGAGCACTAAGTGCAAATGATAAATATGGGTCGAATTGCCAAGAACCTGATATGAAAATTGGCGATATATATATATTTACAAACAATGGGAAATATACATACCTGTACTTTGAGAAACACCGTAATAGACAAGATTTTGTGCTAACCTAGAATGTCGAAATACAACGAAAGATTCATGGAAATGACAGTTGAACAAACCATTGGAAAAACAGATTGACCGTGATTATTCGAATAATCTTTGTTTGAAATAAACTTGCTATTCCCAATGGAACTGTCCTATCCGCTATATGCTACAAAACAACGATTTATACGAATGAGAGATCCATTCCTCTTACTTGTTTTTGATCATCTTTCAGCCGTTCATAGGCATCCGAATCAAAATCTCTTTTGTTCACTGCAGCTATGTGACGCAAGATTTGCTCGGCTTCGTCGAAGCGACCTTTGCTGACCAACCATCGTGGACTTTCTGGCAAAATTCTGCAAATGATCTCAATCATTGCAATGAAAACACATTCATTCAAAGTGTCAAACTTACAAATAGAAGAAACAGAAAGGAATAGTGAATAGTGTTATGACAAATGTTAAAGATCGCCATGTTCGAAGAAAGTATGCCATAAATACCAGAAAGAATTCACCAGAAGTAAAAAAATAATCCATAACCATTCCGACCATTAAGCGTTTATCAGGATTAACTAAACGTGAGTATTTCTGAAAAACAGATTCTGTGCTGAATTCGCTTAAACTCATACCCATCTCTGAGCCAAGTACGAAACCTGATTCGGATATCCCTCGTGTCGAACAGGCAAGAAGAAACCGCGCAATCATGAATATGATGTAAGACGAGCGTACGCCGAATTTCTGTTGAGGACCAAATGCACAGAGAAAACCAGAGATCATCATTAGTACAAAACTAATACCCATAACTGACCGACGACCGTATCTAAAGATAGACGCATCGATAAATGCCAAGCTAAACTGCCTTATACCACCTGTCAGCCATTGTACCGAACAGAAGAGCGCCACACATGAAACCCACGAAGTATATCATTTGCACAAATGATCGATAACCTACTCGATCGCATACCATTGACCACTAAAACAATAATTCAAATATTTTCACATTTGCTTTCTTGATAACTGACCTCTTCAACTAATGTTCGTTTGTATACACTTCGATCGAAAACATATCCATCGCATGACTGTAGATCCTGTACGATGGAAACGTTTTTAGCCGGCTTAATTTTTCGATAACAACGTTGGCATTCTTTTACAGATAACAAATGTTGATGAGCTGCACATTCGTTCTCTGTTGGTTGATAAAATTTTCGAAATATCTCATTCGATCGATCGGTATATGCATCGTCGATAGTGTTTGGGTGGTGACATCGGAAACTAGGTGTAGCTGCTGTGAATGACCATGTGTAGACCATTATAGGTGGTATCATATAGGTAAGACAGATGAAAATGAATTTGACTTTTTGATAATGTCCCCATGCATTGACTGTCGCTAGAAACGTATCGAACTTCATCTAAAATCGTATCTGAGATAGTAGAAGACAAGGAAGACGTATACTTTGTACTAATAGATTGTTACCAGCGTTGTCAGACGAACGCGTTGTTTGATTAACAAATGTTGCTATCGGCATAAGGTCAAAATAGCGAGAAGTTTTTGTTCTGATGTTGTACTCTCTATATCTATATCTATTTCTTCTCCATGCCGCCTGACTGATAATGATATATGTACTGTATTCTCTCATTTTCTTTTCCTTTCCTCCGGTCACTGGTAAACACAAACATATGATGATCTGTTTCTTCCTTCTATCATTTAGAATTATGCGTATCTTTATTCAGTCAAGTTTTATTACAGTTGACTACAACGTCTATGTTTTAGAAAAAACTGTGTCCAAACAAACTCTTCTTTGTCCATGTAATATGAATGTCCTCTGTTTTCCATGATCTCAAGAATAACAGGACACTTCACTGATTGAAATAACTCTTGCGCTTTAAGACAGCTTTCTTTATAAGCGTCATCGGTACCTGTCAGAATGTAAATTGGTAATACTGCACGAATATTTCCTGCTTGTAACATTTTCTCTTCATTGTAGCGTCCTCCAAAACCACCACAATGATTGCATAGCGCAGCAAATGTCTGTCCACCATAATACACAGCTACATTCCAGCTGAACAGAGCACCATTAGAGTAACCCATAAAATAGATTCGATCTGTATCCAATACATCGCTGTACTTTGTTTTCATATAGTTTAATATTGTTTCGAGATAGTGAAAGTCACTCTGAGGACTTTCAACTTCCCAATATAGATCTCCAAAAGTAAGATGACCATGTTGATCGCGTATAGGCCCGCAATCGTAGAAAGTCCCTTGCCCTTGACCGAAAACGACCAGAAAGTTGTATTGAGCAGATAGTTTTGACCAATTCGTTCGAGCAAGTGCGCAATACCAAGCCGAGGAATTCAAACCATGGTAAAACACCAAAAGAGGCATCGATCTTTCTTTTCGCTCATTAATCAATGGTTCATGTATAACAAAGAATCGTTGTTTATCTGTATCAACTTGAAATGTTCGACCGAATTCACTACGAAATTCTTTACTCTGCCGTTGACTTATATTCCACGCCCGTTTTGCTTGATTCAGCTGCTCGTCGTCACAGTCATCTCTCAACAAACGAAAATTACTATTCGACTGGATTGTTGAAGTAAATTCAACCGGGGTGAAATAGTCCAACCAGTTCATGTATAATCCGGACAATTTCTTTTGCCTTTTTTTTATAGAACAAATCTTGCTTCATTTCAATGAATGTTTCGAAATATGATGTCGTCATTCATTGCTTGATCGAACTTTTTTCATCTTTTATTGACAAATAATCAAAAGTAAAATGCTTATAAATAGTAAAAAGGGATATACAACAAGAGATTGGGCATCATTATACCAAAAATTACCACCAGTGGCATACCATCCTGGACTGCCTGGTGAATACCGATTACCACTGTATTGTCCATAGTTTGTATTCATATTCGTACTTTGCCAGCCGGTATTGGCATTCGATATGTAAGTTTGTGGACGATTATTGATAAAAGACGATGAATCGGGATTATAACTTATTGGCACAATCGCGTTATTGGGACGATTTCCTGCCGAAACGTAACTGCCATAGTTTGGATCAGCTCCAACTCCTGCGAATAAAGAATGGATATTTTCATCGGAAAAGGATTAGACAGATCTTTACCATAGTATGCACTGCCTGGAATGGAACCACTTGGAGCATTTAACCAAGCTGACGACTGTCGACCGGACGATCCGGTGTTGGGCACGAAATTTGTTTGTCGACGAAAACGATGAGATGGTAGAGTATTGATCGTACCAAAAACAAATATAACAGAGAAAAGTGGAGCGAAGGTATACATCAGATGTCGAAGTGAAATATGTCGGTCAAGATGTAGACAGTAGGTCACTTTTTGATTTCAATGAATGAAGAAAAGAAAGAAACGTGACAGCTGTTCTTCTTCGTTCATTCGACTACTTTTTTTTTACCATCTTGAAACTTCATAGAAAAGAAAGACGACGAGAAGTGACAGAATGAGAAAAAGAAAACGACTATGGCAATAGTATATTGTCGTACGACGTCGTCGTTCGTTCTTAAACAACTAAAATGTATGTAGACAAGACTAGCGAATATTTCATCGGTCATGACCGCTCTAATAGCCATTGCATAAAAATAATGTCTAATGTATCGACGATGAATTCATCGCCAAGCTTTTCTATTTTGATTTATACAAAAATAATTTTCAGAGACGAACAATAAACACAACAATATATATCATATCAGATTTGGTTGAGCTCAATCATTTTCTTAACGTGTCGTACGAAGATTCGCTGCGATCCGAGTGTAATCGATTTAGTGCCTTTGCACATAGTCAGTTGATCGTCGCGTAACGCTGTCGAACATTCTTTTGTGTGAAATACATGCATGAGACTATCGTCAACTGCTCGGAAAACAGTCAAATTCCGCGATTGAACTAGTTTATCATAGATCTCGACATCTTCTTTGCCCCAACCGCTTATTTCAACATTCCAACTACCGATTTGTCCTAGATCAGCCTTGTAAATTCCCAGCATACCGAAGCCATATTGTCGCCAGTAACCGATGTCGTCTTTGATACGAAATGAAGTGAAATCTAGTGCGATTTTCGACGTTTCCCAATAGTTCGGATCATATTGACTAAATATAATTGGAAAATAAACTTGTTTGTTAAAAATTGTATGATGACGAATACGCGAGAATAAGTTTCTTGTAAAAATCATGTCCAAATCGATAAAAAATAAGAGATCTGTATCGTTGAACTTCGATGCTCCGTAAGATCGTGCGAAACCTCGTGTAAAACTGCCATTTCCAACCTCAATCAAATGTACGCGCGGTGCGGCGTACTGTTTCAAATAATTTCTAACAAAACTCGCAATGGTTACCATTCGTTCACCACTATCCTCTGCTGTCTCCATCAGAATGATATAAAGATGCACGTTGAGAAGATCGGAGTCATTCGAACGCATCACAACACGATCAAAATTAGTCAACAATCGCTTCAGCGTTGGTAATCGACCGCTCACCGGTACAATCATACGAATAGGTATAGATGACGAGATAGAATTCTTCTTCGATGAGTCGACTCCGAAAGGAGATAATATTGCACTTGAATATGATGATGAAAGCTCACGAAAATAAAGCGGACGAAACCTTTGCACGGCATAGACTCGCTTTCGTACGGGTACCTGAAATTGCTTTGAATCAATAAGAAAAAGCAACGATGAGAAATAGATTGTCACCTACCGACATTTTCTTTCCGAGATATTTGCGATAAATAAGAAACAGATCAAGAATATAATTTATACCATATTTTGGTTCGTATCTATAATATCCATAGAGAGTTTTTCTGTATTCTAAGAACCGACCCATATTTCGAGAGATCTTGTTGACGTCTTCCATGTAAGTTCGAACAACTTCATCGAAACATTGCCTGTATGCTGGTTCAATCGATCGAACAGGCAATTCCGTATTTGCTGCATATTGACTGGCAGTAAAGAGTGTGTAAATTCCTGGAAGAATTTTGTCTTTTTGGCTGAATTTTGTCTTCAACATGGATCGAATTGAGTCTGGCACAGATGGAGACGATCGAGTAAAATATTCATGTAAAGCATTTCGTAAGTGGCGATCTTCGTAGAACAAAAAAGAAAAGAACGAATCAAAAAAGAAGAAGTGCGTGTTAATCATACCGAGAGTTGCCGATTGTAGACCATCAACATTGAATAGTTCATGGGAATTATTATATAATGCCATCATTTGTTCAGCAATATGCTCATCGGATTGGCTTAATAGTTTATAGACTTGTTTTGATTGTGTTTTCACTTTTGAATTAGCTTTGAGAAACTTCTGTTTTTGATTTTTCAGGTCATTTTCCAGACTTAGAATCTTCTCGTATAGATGCACTTGACGCCGTAGTAACATCGTGCGTTGCTCCAGCTCAATCATCCGTCGTTGTAACGCGAAATTATGTACACGAGTAAACACCTTAATATCTTTGATCGAGTGTAAACTTACAGCACGTAGGATATCCGTTGAAACGAGATTTCTTGCTCTATAACCATCAGTCTTATTCGGATGATTGTACAAAATATGCTGCATTTCGTATGACCATGTACACGACGTATTGGCATATTTATGTACACAACGGCCGAGTTCCACATCTTCGTGAGAAGTATAGAAGTTTTTCAAACACTTTTTAATATGCGGAGTAAAGCGCGACAAGGTTTCACGAGATAAGATTATACCTGGTCCACCCATACAAAAATTTTCGTTTTCACCTAATGCTAATTTACCGTACTCATCTTTTGTTCCCATGCCTGGTTGACCAATATAATATGGTTTACCTATATATTACGAAAAACAAACTCTGAAAAGAATATACTAACTAAGTTCTACTTACGATTATCAATCGAACGGAGCAACTTCTCTAAATTATCAGTACGGATGTACACATCGTCATCAACGCGCATAAACCATTCAAATTTATTCAAATAATGATCGTAGATATATTTCATCATCAGAAACGATTTCTTCTGCGGTGGATAGGTATCCGTAACTGCTGGTAAACTCACAAGATTGATTGATGGATCATTTGTCGTTGAACCTTCACTGGAAAAGAAGAGCACTTCTCCAGGTACTTTCTTTGCCCACGTTCGCATGACTGTTGGCGCGCGTGTTGTGAGAAAGTCTTTACTTGTCATCACGGCAATCAGAATCAATTGTTTCTTTTCCGGGACACGCGGTAGATTGATAGACACAATTGATAATGAGTTCGTCCGATTTCCATCGACGTCTTGCGAGAGATTAATTTCATCTGTTATACATCGTTTTATATTACACAGAAAAACCAGACCAAGTTGAAAACCAATAACAACGGATAGAAGTAAGAGAATCAAGGAAAGCCACCAGGTTGGACCGCGGATATTACTAACGATACGATTATTATTTGGCGAAGGAAGAGTTTGACGACTGGTCTTCTTCGACGTTGTGTGAAGTTGAAATGAATCCTTGACAACAAAACAACAATTAGCAATAGAAATTTTTTATTTTCCTCGAAGTGTCTGACTTATTCAAGTGTCTGCAAAACTCGCACTTACATGCAATGTATTCGACAATAAAGCTAACTCGACTGTTTTATCGGAGCAGATCTTGTTTGCATCGGGCTCAGACAATATTCGACAGAAGCTTCTGATCGAAGCGCAAATTTTTAACAAATCCATAGGAAATCTGCTTGACATCGAGAGAGGAACATGAATAAATATGTGAAAGTAAAGACCGATGATGATAAGGACATGTTATACTCAAGCAAAAAGGTTTTCTTCAAATCTGAATATAATGAAATATCTTCGTGTGCAATCGTCGTCAACAGGTGGTCATATTCAAGAAATACAACGGCGCTCAGTGGGACAACGACGAACTGAGATTATTTACTTACGACCAACAACAGGAAAAAGGCAAGAGAAAGAAAGGCGAAATATTGTACCTTTCCTTCGTTTAGAAATAAAACAGTTTGCTTTTGTGCAGCCTTATATGTGTACACGGCAAAAGCGTATCTAATAATGTAATTTCTGTCAAGAGACGAAACTTTTATCGGGCAAAGTAAATAACCTTTCAGTGCGTTACGACTACCGTATACGACAAGTGATGGCTGAACGAGACGATTATTGAAATCTTCTTTTGTATTCGAACCTTGTGTTTTAAAACGAGTAGAAACGTCAACAGCAAAAACAAAAGTAAAGTTGCGAAACAAAACAAGAGAGAAAATAAACCATCACTTAATAGTCAAATATGTGCATAAATTAAGAAGACTTGTACGTCATCGTAAGAACAGTTGCCTGAGAGTCCTAAGCTAGGTGATCATTTATCCTCTATAAGTTTCGGCCTCGCTGGTTTCTCTTTTTAATTAAAAATCAATAAACTATGTCAACGAATGCCGACCGTATTGATTTCTCCTGCCATCGCCTCCAACTAACAAAATCAGTTCTTTTTTTTTCTCTGATCAAATATTTTTAATGAAATACACCATGTCAGTAAATGAGAATACGAAACCCACATACCTGTTGCGTAGAATTCTGCTTCGAATTAACGATCACATGGTTAAATCGAGCTGTTTGTTGAACAGATCTGGCCATATCACCAGCAACAAGACATTCCGCTTGATTCCGAAAAGAAAAAGACAATTGTATTGAAAATAATTACAAGAATCGATTCTTCTTCTTCTTATATACACACAGCTAGATAGAGAAAGAAACATATCTATCATAATTTATTCTCGTTCTTCTCGGACACAAAATGAGATAACCTAAACAAATCTCTCTCTACATATCGGATAATCATAAATATCAGTCGATCATATCGAGAAATAATTAGTTTTGTTTATTATTAAGCATGTCAGACATGGTTCGAACGGAATTATCTTCTTCACGGTATACCTTCATCTCCCCCCCCCCCCTCTCATTCGATGCTAATAATCTCCTGACGAATTTTATTGACATTCGTTTAAATAATATTTTTTCACAACCCTTATAACATACGACGATAGACGTCATTACTCCTGTCCGACTATTTCCTCTAGGCGTTGACGACTAACTCAACTCTTTCACAGTCGAAATCAAGAAACCGTAGAAGAACAACAGCGATGAATGTTCTGTGAATAGTTGCAATCGAATAGTCAAGGTGTACACTCAATATTTACCTTAACTATCATCTCGAGAATTTTTCATCCAGTCGACGAGAATTCCTACCTGATGAAACGATCGGGCGATAAGAATGACATTTAGTAACAGAATCTACAGTGATCGAGCACACAGGAGAAGAACAAATATGAGAAAATGTGCTTTTATGTTTGATAAAGTATCATAAACTGGCGTGGGGATTATGTGTGAAACAAATATATTTAAATGCGTACAAAAGATGCTTAAGACGAAAACGAATACTCACTTAAAACTAAACGAGATTCATTGACTGCTTGATAAATTTTACTTTCTCATTCTTCAACAGCTGTTTGACTTCCGTGCGAGAGGAAGAAACCGTGAATAAACATTTGCCTGACGTGACGATTGAAAAAATAAAGTATTACTGAGAAAAATTTACTTTACCTGCTAATCATGCCGGGTTTTGTGACATGCAGATTCGAAGATCTTTATTGTTGTCGTTCTCATTTGCATCGCTTTTGTTTTATTCGATCAATATAATGCTGTAGTTACTTTGCTTCATTAATCAATGAAAATGGAAATTTCTCTTCATCTCTTTCTTTTATTATGTCAATAGAATTTGAGCTTTTTCGTTCGTTTTCTCGCGATTTATTTTTACAAAAAAAAACTGAAGGTCACGAAAGAGATGTGCATAAAAAGTATAACTTTATTCCACTAAACAACACACACTCAAGAGAAAAACACGAAGATTAAAATGATTATAAGAGAAAATATGTATAAATAAAACAATCTCACTGTTCGAAACCTCTGTGAATTTCTCGGTTTGTACACGATGGTGAAGAAAGTATCACGAAATATACTCAGACAGATGACGATGAGTTACAAATGGCTGATTTGTGGTTTACGAAGGGATAGTGTTGTCGAGAGATTTCGTTGTGGTGGTTGAGGAATTAACGCTGGACGAGGAATACTTGATTTACGTGGTGGAACAGGTGGAACGGATTTGTGATGCGTTGCTGTAGGCATAACTTTATTCTTGTTTAATGTACTATACGGTATGGAAGAAGTGACTGATTTTGTTTGTTTAGATACGTGTAGATTTGCAGTCGATGATAACGAAGATGCAGTTTTTGTCGGTAGTGTCGATTGTGGTTGGGTATATGTACGAAATGATACCATGGGTTTCTTTAGTACTGATGGTTGCTTTGAACGGTTGACTGTCGTATTGGTAATTACGATGGACTTCGACTTGCTTGAAGTTGTTGCTTTAGTCGATTTGTTAAAATGAGTTAGAAAAGTTGATGAAGGAGGCGAAAAATCCGTATCATCGAAACCGAATGACTCCGACTTCGATGCAATTGACAGAGAACTAGCGCTTCTGTGTTCTGTATATAGAAAAGAAGATAAAGACTGAACGATTCTTTCAGAGAATTGTTTACCTTCTCGTTTTGTTGATATACTAAAACTTTTACTCATGGGTGGTTGTTGTTGCTGATAATTGATTGTATCTATTGTCCTATAGGAAAGATTACCATATGCCTTGATCTGCTTTCTTGGCAATGGCGTTGAAGCGGTGATAACTGGAGATTTGATTTGATTGACTCTTTTGCTCTTCGAAGGTTCAATCGGATCTAAACTTTGGATATTTGTCGGTTTCAATTTTGTCGGCGGTGGAATCAATGTCGGCCGACGGATGATGGGCTGCTGTTTGACTTGTGTCAATGATGATGATGATTGAGTTGATGGCGAATTCTGTGCGGATGATTCATTAAGTACACGTTCAAGTCGTTGACGTAACTCGTCCATATAACTAGCGGACTTAATTGGAGATTTCGCAATCTCATTCGCTTCGTCATCGTCGTTCTCTTCATCATCATCGTCGTCGTCGTCGTTATCATCATCATCGTTGTTGTTGTCATTTTGAACATCGTTTTTTCCTACATCGAATATTAACGGAATCAGTGATATACCTTCTCACAATAACGATCTACCTGATGTAATTGAATTAAGTGCATAGTAATGATTTTGAGGTATAGGTGTTCGACGATCGTGAAGAGATATATCCATATGTTGTTGTTGTTGTTGTTCGTTGGGTGTTTCCGATCGAGCTGGACAAAGAGTAGCGAAACGACCTTAACAGATAATTACGAATGAATGCTGCATTCTTTCGGGAATAAGTTTATCGCCGACAGACATCGACATATCATAGAAGACGAACTTGACATGAAAATGTCTATTACACTCCCTTCTTACCTGTCAGACGATATGTACTCATGGCTTGATCCATAAATACATAGTTTACTTTTAATTGTTGTCCGAACTAAATATCAAATTTTTGTATGATGACTTTTGTTGAGAAACAAACGAGAAATTTCCTACTTTCGCTATTCGAATATTCATAATCCATCGATCAAACTCAGTCTTCGTATCCACACACATGTATTTTATATATTTAGAACTCTTCTTTTGAATTAATGGGTGCTAGAATAAAAGAGAAAAGACGTTTTCCATCGAAGTTATCATCATGCATTCGAACCTTCAAAGCAAAACAAAATTCACTTGGTGATTTAAACTTCTTTTTCCATTCTAATCCAAAGAATAGTTCGACATTCTCAAATTTCGCCAAGCAAACAAGATCTTTCTGGAAATATTCAAACAGATCGACTGGTCATAGTGAAAGAACACTTTCAGCACTTACTTTACTTTTGCCTTTCGGTACGAAATAGAGGCCTGATGAACGAAGAACGCAGAAGTGTTTTTTCCACGATTTACGAGACTTTTCTTTCAAATAGATATTTCCTTCGAGATCTGACGAATGACATAGATCGTCAATAGATGAGATCGTACGGAAGAAATTATATTTTCCGAAACGTTTAGTAAAACTCAAGCGATTCGAGGAAATTGTTGGCCACATCAAGATCGCTTCGGTTAACTTTTGATGATCTTCGAAAATGCGTTCTAAAATAACAGAAGTACAGGTCGAATCAAGCGGTAGACATAGAGAATAATTCCATACCCATATGTAGATCTGGTAGGATCTCGATCAGAGCGTAATTCACGTCCGGTTCACGGTGATTTTTGTGAACCAGTAGCAGAAGAACATCACGTATTAACATCGAATCATCAACGAATATACTCTTCGTTGAACCATCATCATTGTACGTGCGAACAAGAATTCTCGATGGATGTTGAGGAGGAGAAGACGAAGGAAAAACTGAATCATTTGAATCAACCTCTACTAATGGTGTTTCCTTCATTGAACGGTAGATCATCTACAAAGACCACGGATTGCTCTATGAAATTGAATACGTGCATTTTATTCTTACCGATTCATCGTGATTGGATAAAATAACTTTTTCTGTAGATCCACTATCGCTAAAAGCCGAATCACAATCATCGGTCGTATTTGCTGTGAACTTTGTTAGAAATCCCGCCGAAGGATGATGGATATTTGATGTACTGTATAAATGATACGACTCATTGCCAATCTCATCCCCAAGTCCACTTGAACACGCACTTGAATCTGACGATCGTTGCTGTTGCTGTTCAGACGATTGAGAGTCCAATTGTGACTTCGTACAATCATTAATTGTTAATGTCAAACTAGCTAGAGCAGCTTCCAATTGATCCTCCAATGTACGAAGTTCATGAACGCAACCGTTCGAAGAAAATGATGAAAGAGATTTCGTTGTCGATGGATAATAGTTCATATTTGAAAGTTTCTTCTGTTCACTTTCATCAAATTCAACTTTGATATCTCGCAGTTCGTTCAAGATAGCATCAAGTTCAGGTGTATCGTCTTCGTCTATGAGATAAAGAAGAAATGAATCAATCTCGTCTATTCTTTCAGCCTTCACATACTTACTCATGGAAAAAATTGCTTACTCGTTAGGATCGCTGGTATTCTCTTCCGGAACAATATTTAGTATGTAATAATGATCTTTTCCCCTCGTTTTCTTTATATATGGAGAGAAAGAGAGGGAGATATGTACGTGTATTCTGATTGACGATTAAGATAGACAAAAGAGAAAGCAAATGACGTGTGTTCACACATCTAACTCGAACGGAAACAGTTGTATTCTCTTTCCTTTTCCTAACAGAACATCGAGTGGAATACTGGCAAAGTTATGTAAGATAAACAGACAAGTATTGTATCAGCACTGTTCGGTGAAAATGAGATGACGACAAAACTTTCCGAGGAAAAAAAGAGCTTGTCAATTGAATGGCATCTAAACATACATTGATCCATTCGTTGTCATCATTTACATTTTTTTCAAGCTTTACTTTCTCTCTCTCTCTCCCTGATATGCTAGTTGGCAAACGGAAATTAAGGAATTATAGATTGGTCGAATGCCCTTTTTTTACCAGCATGACTGACCTTCCAAGGACATATTTGATAACAATAGCGATAGATTAAGATGAACAATAATAATGATGTAATCATTAGTTTTAGATTTCATTTTATTCGATTAGACAAAGACAATCGCTTATCGTCAACGCATCTCAATCGACACATGCAGAAATCAATACCGAAAGTTTGATTTATCCTATTATATAAAATACATTGACATCATCGACTGTTCAGCGTGCCACATCTATCATCATGTATACAGCAACAACTTCATCTTAACACACTTCCTTGATGGAAGTCGTGAGAGAACAATTGACGGGAAAAGCCTTTTGGCTTCTATTAACGAAGCAAAAGAAATGAGATTAACTTACCATAAAGATGAATGGAGAAAGGTGAAATGCAACGATTTTCATTTGTCTTCGCATACAAATACTAAAAACAAACGTAAAGACATTGGATTTCCCTTCGATAGCACACCTTCAATGTTCTCATTTATGAACATCTGCTCCAGATAAATATACACTGCTCCGAAGAAAATGAAGCAAAAACAATTAGATTAAGAATAAACATAGTGATTTGCAAGAGCCAAATGACTTGATTAACTCAGTTCCCTCAAACAAAACACAATCGAATGAAGGTTAAATACAGCTGTTATCTATAATCTTCGATCGCCTGTTCAATATGCTCACTGGAGCTAACAATACTGATGAGAACGAGCGCAACTAATCGCACGATGTTCTTGAAAATTGTTTCTAATTAAGATCTGCACCTGTCGATGAACAGATTGACTCGCATTCATAAATCACATGATATCAACGTGAAGATTAGCACAACGTATATGACTTACGTCCTTCCGAGACAGGCTATGAGCATAATTATTTTCTCAATGTCAACTAAAACGGTGCTATCAGCACGACGTTCATCAACTTCAAACAGACGCTATCATCACTGCTGCTACTACTACTACTGTTGTTCAGTTCATTTATCAATAGTACAGGCATATGCGTATTCGAATTTTCCAAATGATAACCTTCACTGTATACACTCGATTAAGCAAGCAAATAGACTTCTTTGATTTCTCGTTAGATACGTAGTTCAATAGGTTGAGATGAAAAAGGTCAGATTATTACAGTACTTATACAATCGCGATCGTAGAAAGAACAATTCCAATCCTGATAAGCACAACTGCTTGCTTGCGAACGATTTCTCCCTAACAGGCGAGCATAGTTCGATCGACTGACCTTGCTTTGACATTATTGAGCAATTTCAGTAGCTCCTGACAGAGTATTTTCCTTAGATCGACTTACTGAACGTGTGGACGATTGTATGAAATTTTGTAAAACTCGATTGGCTGCTTGTTCTTCGTTATTATTCTGATTAACATTTCCTTTGTGTTGACGGTCTCCTTCTTCTTCTTCGACATCCGATTCGGATAATTCGGAATCCCATTCGAGAATCGATGAAGAACGGGATAATTCTTGTTGAGATAATAACAGTGATGACGATGATGATGCTGTTGTCGGTAAAACTTGTGTGACTTCAGTCATTTCTTCATCAGACAACATGGATTCGTCTTCTTCTTCAATGGATGACATACTACAACGTCGCATAAGAAAACGATTCATGATGAGTCTAAAAACAAATGGTTCGATCAATGGCGATTAGAAAATCATTAGCATTGAAGTGGATGTTGGTTTATATATAACTATATTCCAGTTCTATTATTCTGTTTGTTCAAGGAACTCTCACACATACTCTGATCTATTGAGAATTGACTGTATAGGATACAAATCGGAAAAGAAGAAGAAGAAACAAGAGAGAGAGAGAGAGTGGGAGAAAAGAACTAATCTGGTTAATTGTCACCACGTATATATCATCGAATGTACAATAGGCAAAAGAATAACTGATTATGAAACAGGAATACGAATACTATACTTATTGTCTAGATTACAAATAGGGAAGAGAATGAATTCTTCGACGATCAGATTTCTCTTGTTCGAATTCAATCAAATGATACGGATTTATTATTACGAACTAATGTTTTTGCATCTTGATAGGTTAGGAGAAGAAAAACTAGCAAGAGTAAGAGTTTTATTGTGTAAGATAGCGGTGCGAGAGAAAGAGAAAAAGAGTAATCTCGATGAAAAAGCATCGGTTCATTGTCCTTCGTATCTGATACACTCTGAAAATGGTATGTTAACTTCGATGACAAGTTGATCAATCTTCCGTAATCAATATACTTGACTTTCTCCATTGCCATCGTTGAACAAAGCTTCTCTTCTTTTCTATTCATCTACATTCACTTTTTCTCTCTGCTCAAAAGGCGATCACCGATATCGAGGCAATTACTAAAGAATAATAACATGTTGCCGCATCATCTTGATTAGCTACTTGTTGATACTCATGTCAGTATAGAAGTGATTTATGCAACATTATCGTCTGTATGTTTGACATGAATGCTCACATACCGAATTATTCACACTCGATACGATCTACAAGAGGTCTTGTTTATCCAATAGAATATCTCATACTCTTGTTAACTTTATCAACAACGGATGATACCCGTTAGAAAAATAGCAACATCGTGTTTCCTTGTCTGACAAGCGTGTTCATTCTTTCTCTTAGATAATCAAGAATATTGTATAAACAATTCAATAGTCATCGCATACTTGTATCAATCACAACAAATTGAATCCAATCAAATAATATCAATCAGGCAAACAATAGAATATACGGAAGTATTTCAAAAGTGCACATGCGAAGGTCAATAGACTCTCGTAAATCATTAACGCTTTTCCTATCAGTTGATGATAACAATGCAAAGTACGATGTTGACATTTGGTATTTTAAACATTGAAATTTATTTAAAAAAAAACTCGTTCGTATTCTCGATTAAACTTCAGCGCTTATAATCGTGCTTCCATGCCATGGCTTTTCTGCATATTCGTTTTCCGGATGTCCATAGACCAGATAAGCCAATTCGATCTCAAGTTCCGAATCGGAAACTGACACAATACGTATCGGAAACATTCGACCAGTGTCAACCGGTTCATCAGATACTTTGTTAATTGACGTCGAGTACTCATTCGTAATCTCATCTTTTGTAACTGGTAAGTCCTGCAAGAGTCACTGTGAAAAATGTGTTTTTGTCGAAAACAGAATGTGTAACGTATAGATCAAGGTAACATACCTTCGATGTCAATGAAGAGGAATTCGTTGCTTGATTCTTATCTGAAACTAGTCTTCGAATTAGTCTCGCAGAAGATTCGATTATTCAAAACAAACCTTTCATGGTCTTGTTTGCATTCGATTTACTCTTGCCAGCACATGCGCCCATTTAAAACGAAAAACTTATCGTTTCGAAATATATGTTTATGGCAAGTAAAAGAGCATTACATTCTCATCTCGATGTTTTTTCTGTCTGTCTCTCTTAGAGTTTTTTTCGTTCTTTTTATTGACTCATACATCAATGTCTAAGTGCGAAAAAAAGAAAAAAAAATCTCCTATGAAAAGAATGACATTGCTATATCTCATTCAAAACACATCATACAATGGCAAAGCAACATACATTCACATTTTTCTTTCCTCATAAAAACGAAACAAAATAATCAATTTTGTGGTTATCGCGCACCTCTCAGTTCTGAATAGAAACCTATTTATAGACGCACATTTGCGAGGAGAGTCAAAAATTTACAATATGAAATAGTTTTATTGATATATAAGGTGTTTGCCGATATGATTACTCCAATTGTCAACATATTAGATGAAAAATATCGTCTATAGAATTGATAAGACTTAGAGTTTGTCTCCCTATCGGAAGGCCTGTCATCAGACGTGATAACTATAGAACGCATATTAAAAGCAAATATATCGACGAAACCATCGAGAATGAAATCGTGTGAAATAACGGAAGCTGATATTGAGTTATATTCAAGCAGAATAATCGAACAAATTATTGCGAATGCACTTGGTACGTTAGTACTGAATTTGTAATCATGTACTCATGAATGGCCGGTTTTTCATTTAGATGTTATCAAACGAGATGTCAATAAGCACGATTTGAATCAAATGGAAGAATCGAAAAATCCGGTCAATAGAGTTTTTGTTTGAGGATATTTGAAAAGAAATTTGTATTGAATTTTTGTTCTTAATCAAAGATTAACGTCATAACTAACTGCTTTTGATTTTCAATTGACTATAGTTAATTAGTGAGATGATGGGCGACATCCAGCGAGTGGCAGAGAACTAACTTCGTAAAATGATATTTTGTTCTGATCTACCACGAAAATTGCTGAGAAAGACAGAATGTCAAAAACAAGAGAAAGTTCGTTTATTTATCTGCATTTAGATATGAGGGTTTTGCATAATAAAAAGTTTTCTTATAACAAATATACATAGCGGTATTTTATACACAGACAAGAAGATAAATAAAATATAACAGAATCAACAATCATGATAACGATGTTAAGCAGCAAAAACCAAGCAATCACTACTGTTCGTCATCGTGATTACATTGAGTGGCGACTTCAGCGTACATTTTCCCTGAACATAGCCAACAACCCGACTGAGTTGGTTGGTTAAGAAAAGCTAACAATAGATCATGGGCAATGTTGGTATTCGACCGAGTTATTTTCGATGGCTTCGATTTACTCTGTTCACCTAACATTGACATTACATATTGTCGCAGACGATTCAATTCTTTTTGTTGTTTTTTAATTTTAAGAAGAATCATATTGACTTTGGCCGTTTTATCTTCTTCATTCAACGCTGTCGATGTTCGTCGAACTTCGTCTGTTAGTTGGCAAACTTCACCGATGGTATTTGTATCGTATTCGACAATCCAATCGGACAGGGATTCTGGGTCATCGTTATCAGACAAAGGCGTGTCTTCTTTATCTTCCGATTTCGTTTCCGGTTGTGTAGTGCCGGTTGCCACTGTGACTGCCTTCTTTTTCTTCTGTAATCTTTGGTGTAATCGTTTTTGCCGTTTCAATTCTCGCTTGCGCTCAGCTTCGGCAGCATCGAGTTCACTCACTAACATCACACGTTGTTCGTTAAGATCATCATTGTTTTCGTCGGCATTCTGTTCATTTAAATCATCAATAGGTGGAAGCAAAGGCCGAGGTGGTGGTGACAATGGAGGCGCTTCTTCCTCATCACAATTATCAATAAGGAAACCGGAGCAAGGCACCGGATCTGGACGGTCTTCTGCAACAACCTAGCGTACAACACATTAAAAAAAAGAGATTTGTTGATGTTAAATGCTTATTTCTATTTTCAGAAACTATGCTCCTAAAAAATTACATACCGACAACGGTGGTGGTGGTGGTGGTGTTGGCAATGAATCTTCTTTCGGACATTCACCAGTTGAATTGGATCGAGATGCTCCTAAATCATTATTGAATAGAATTCTCTCTAAAGTACGGATATCCTCATAATTATTAATATCACCAATTAAATGGAAAGAGTTATCAACAAGATTATCATCCGTCGTAGATGTCACAGTTGTAGCTGTTGTTGTCGTCGTCACTAGTTGATCATCGGCGAAACGCATTCGATCAAATCTTGACGAACTTAATGCAGCTTTTTGCTGAGGCATGCGAAGCATGGTTTCTAAATATTGAGTTTTCTGTTCCGTGCTTTCATTCACTTTCGTCTTTTTTACAGAACGAATCCATGATTCACGTTCATGCGGCACCACAGTCAGCACCGGGGGAGGTGGTGGAGGATGAACTGGTGGCAGCGGTGGCGGTGGTGGTGGTGGTGATGTAGACATTAATGGTCGTGGCGGTGTAGAGAAATACGAATGAGATTTCGATTTCGGTTTCGAGTATTGATGACGATAATCATGTCTATACGAGCGTCGATAAGAAAAATCATTATAATTTCGATTATCATGATACTGATAATGATGTTTATTCGTTTTCTTATATGGACGTTTATAATGTTCATCATCATCATATCGTCTATCGTTATGGTACGGTTTGGCTCGATAATATGGCTGATATCGATGGTTCTCATCCGTTTTACTCATTATCTAATATACAAAAAGAAAACATAAGAACATCAAATAAATCAAATTTGTCTTTCTATACAGAGATCAAAAACATGATGAATATATTTTATTTCTCTATTGTAGAGAGCGAGAGCGCGAGAAAGCCAGAGATACAAAGAGAGTTTCGTACACCGAGAATAGATACAGACACGTACAAATAAAGCACGAGAAAAAAATAGAACACTATACAAATGTCGAAAAAGAAAACGAAGGAAAATACAAGAGTAAAGAAAAGACAAAACGTTGGTTGATTTCATTCAAAGAAATAGACAGAAGAAAGAAAAGAGATTCTATTAACGAGAAGACAGATTAAAAATTTTCAGGAGATACCTATGTATATATGGATACGAACAATAAGACTAATGCACATATAGAAATATAGAATTGATTCGCTTTCTACTTTGTTGTTATAGATCATTGATTGAAACATACCGTGAACGTTTGGGAGTGGATGAATATTCATCGATGACAAATGAAAAGTGAAACGGACTTTGAGTTGATGGCTGTTCACGTTCGTAATGAAGATAAAGACTGTCATCGGCTGTAGCAGTCGAGAGTTTATTCGTCGTTATTGCCGCACGAGGAAGATTGGTATTCGATGTTTGAACAGAAGCGGGAATCGATGGGACAACAAACTGTTGCTTTTGAGTAGGTTGCTGACTAGATAAGAGATCTTTTAATGAATTTGAATTTAATATAGGATTGCTTGATGTCGGACGTTCATTAGGATTGATAACAACGATTTGGTGAGGAACGATCTGAGAATTAGTTGATAGGATTGGAATAGAAGATGTTATTGGCTGTGTCAGTTGTTCGCTGGAAGAGTTCTGTGGTAAATGGTGAATGGTATGAGACGTAGTTGGCGTGCAAGTAGTTTGACCTAGAAATCCGTATGAGATGGATGTCGAATATAACATCGAACTTACTTGTACCATTGGATTTCAACGAAGATCCTGAGAAGGAAACGGTTTGTTGTTGCAGTCGACTAAGATGAATCGTTTGAGATTGTCGTACTTGTGACGAGGAGCTAAATGCACCATTAGCCAATGCTGCTAATACAGCGGCATCTGTATCATTCATAGGTATTGCTGTATTCGAAGATGTATGCTCTCCCACTGAAGATTTTGTCGTGAGAATTTCATTACTAATCGATCCTTGTTGATCATAATTGAGTAAATTGCCATTTTGTTGAGTATGTAGAATCGACATTGTTTGAGTTGTTATTGCATTCGGTTTAAACTTCGATACTAATTGTGCTGATGGTATCTTGTCTCCGTAGGATTTCAGTATTTCCGGTGCAAGTTCCGAAAATGGTTTATTACTAATGCGAATCACTGTTTTCTGTAATACATCATCTGTATCTTTGATTTTTATATCTGGAAACGTTATTTCAGCCTCATTCAGTGAATGTAATGTTCCATTAACAAAATCGCGCAATTTTCGTAATCCAACGTAGAACGGAAGTTTATCTTCGGCGCGTGGTAACTGAGAACAACGAGCGCTCGATGATGGCATGACAAAAACATGCTGAAAAAGAACATGTCGATAGTAGATGAAAGAAACCGAAGAGCACAATTACGCACTGTATCTGTTTCGGGAAATAGTTCAGGCTGTTTACCATAATGAAAATGTTTATTACCGGCATAGACTTCGTAAATACCTCGGCCATTGAATGCAACAACTTTCGGTCGATACATTTTAATCTTTTGCATTAAGATTTCCGCTCCAGCAGTAATCTCATCTCTGCAAAGAAAGAAAAACACGTCCTTTTGTTTAAATTCTATCGATTGTTCTCACTTTGTAATGTCTGACCCAGCTTTCGTTGGCCGTTGCACGATATTCGTAAAACCGATACCATACTGTGGCATTCGATAATCATCTTCAGCTGTAAATGCATTCGGAATTAGTTCAGACATGTGAAGTAATTTCCAAAAATGATTTCCTGGTCCGCCATAATGATGACCTTTATGTACAGCATAGAGACTTGGATTGATTCCAACCTATATCAGATCGATTTGTTCAATATTTTTGAATTTAAACAGAAACTAGTAAAACGTACAAAAACAATATCGAGATTTGGTTGCAGAATATCTGATAGGAGACGTTTAGCTAATTCTTCTTCTGTTGCTCCATCGAAACGATTGGGATTTGTTATTGGATTGGAAGATTTACGTTTATTACTACTTGGTGTTACCGGTTGTGGCGAGGTAGGAATCGGCGTCGAGGGAGAGGATGATGTCGTTTTGTTCATAATGGTTGATATCGATGGAAGAGGCGAAGATGACGAAGGTGACGGTGAGACAACATTCATAATTGGAGATATAATTGTATTTAAAGACGAAGACGATGGAGTTGTCGGTTGACAAGGACGAACTTCGGTGTTCATATTGATATGTTCCAAGGGTTTTTGTTCATTCTCAGTAATAGTTGTCGTTTCACGTTTAAGTGATTCTCGTAATTTTGATAGAAATACTTCGGCGACTTCATCCGAACCTAAACTACTTTTCAGTGCACTAAACGAAACGAAAAAACAGTCTATACGGAAGTCGAAATTCCATTGTAGTTTACTTTAGATCGCCACCCGCTTCCAAATTCTTCTTGAATGTTTGCATCAGAACACTTTTGACACTGTCCAATGCTTCATCCAGAAGCTCTTTTGTATGACTAAAAATGATTCTCTACCTCACATGACATCTAATCAAATAAAACTTACGTTTCCGATGCGGTTGACATGATCGACGGTGTCGTCGGAGTTGTATTCATTGGAACATGACTGAAAGAAATCGTAGTTTCGTCTAGTCTGCCATCCACAACAACACTCCGATTCTCTTTCGACTCGCAAAGAAATGGCATTTCCGTCAATTAAATATCTTCTAGTTTAGCTTCGAGCAAAACGTTAGTCAAGATTAACCGAAGATCTAAGTAGATAACCTAATCGCGTTTTTTCAATATAGCCGCCGTAGGACTTATTATCAGCTGAACACTATCAAAAATGTTTTCAAGTACAATTATCCTTATAAGAGTGAAAATCCTATTCTGTAATCGAGTGATCTGATTGTCGATGACAAACGTACCTAGTAGTAGTTGTAGTCGTCTGTTGAGAAATATGATTACTATTGATCGGTTGATCATTCCATTGATTATCATCAGTTAGATTTGATAACATATTTGTAATATGTGGTTGAATTGCAGGTAGATTTTCTTGGTGGATGGGAGAATTGAACGAGTCATTTAATCCTTCGCTGTGTCCATTGGTATACTCATTGTTGGTGAAGGTATTGGGGATATTATCTACAGGCACTGGTTTTGTTGTTAATTCTCCATATTCATTTTTCTTTAGTTTAAGTAGTAGCTGTCGATTGGTGTCTGCGTCAGCTGCGGTTGTATTTCTGTGAAGAATTTCTTTTGAAAGAATTGAATGAAAGGGAAAAACGAAGAACTTACCCAATAGTTGAAGTTAAACTATCTCGGCGAATTTTCAGAACCAATGGCGAATTCGTTGGTTGTTCGTTAATAACACAATGTTCTTGTTTTATTCTTAAAACAAAGTCAACAAATGAAACTTTCTCATGAATGGCAAGTTCATCACTTACTCGTTCATCTCTTGTTGACTAGACTCTAGATCATTATTGATTTCTGATATGTTATTGTACAGATTATCATTGGAGGAAGATTTTTTACTACGTTTGGCAGGACGAGAATTAGTCTCGACTGAATTCGTACTGGAAAAGAAGAAATTCGAATCTGAATTCATCCAATTTCTCTTCTTACTTTAAACATTCATCATCATCCGTATTGTACAATGGTTTTTTCAATTTGACACGAAGAGTTGTGGGTGATACTGTTGTAACAATCGGAGGTTCATTAGCTGGACTAAATGACGAAGAAGACGTATCGTTTAGAATATCTGTTGATAAACGACTATGAGTAAAAAATGAAAAAATGCAACTCGATCTACAAATGAAATGACACTTACGATGAATGAGGAAGAATGATATCATCGTATTTTTTTAATTTCAAAACAATTGGCGCTGGAGGTGATTGTGTTCTAAGAAAAAATATGTCGATGACACGATTTATCGTTTGATCAAAAAAAAAACAAAGACGCCTCGGTTGATTCTTTTTATCAAATAATGCTTTTAAGTCTCGTGATATTTTGTACACGATTTAGGAAGATGAAAAGGCAAAACACGAAATTCTTACGTTAGTTCATCATTCATTCTGAGATTTTTTCAATTAAGATTCATTCAATAGAGATCAAATTCTTCCTGTTTGTTTTTTTGACATTGGTTGGATATAAGACCATCTTTTTTTTTCGCACAAATAAACAACATCAAAATTCAAAGATAACTGATTGGCTAATTTGCTAATAGAAGAAAAATAAAGAAAAGAAGATTAATTGATCGTGTTTCCCTTAAACAAAAAAAAAGAAGAAAAAAAATGTTCTTTTTTATTTCCATATTTTATTTCATGTCATTTTATGTACCATAATCAATAATTGACGAACTCTAGAAAAGTGTGTTTGATGATAGATGGTGCTCAAACAGAGCATGTCGAACCAAGAGACGCATTCCATGTAATGCATGTGTATATATCATAGCAATCGACAATGAGGATAGTTATAAAATTCTGCCAACATGTCAGCCATGTTTGAAAGATTAGTTTGAATCGCGAATTCTACCGAAAATCACATAGAAATACTAACTGTGATTCTTCTCTGTACGCCACGTGACAATACTTGGGATGAGATAAGTATTCAGCTTCTTCCTGACAACTTTAGTTTCTACTAAGATTCGACTAATCCCAACAAAATATTGTTTCTGTTTGACGGAAGTCTATAGCAATTTAGAAGACCTCTGCAAAAGTTATTATGAATTATGGATGTATTGACAGAGTCGAATCACCACCACTAATTTAGATGTCGCATCTATTGAAATGAAAAGTACATTCTTCCTTTTCGGCATCTATCAAAATCAACTCGCCACATGTTCCATTGAGTTATAGTCTTAAAATATCAACACGAAGCAGTGAAACGATATATAAGAAAGTATGACGTAGCCGTCATTCATCTTCTTCCATTTGTATCCAATTTCAATAAACTGCTCATCCAAGCACGTCTGATCTCACTAAGATCATCACACTAGTAATTTTCTAGTATTTGTACTAGATCCATCCGTAGTCGTGATCTCTCACGGCATCTTTATATTTTTTTATCTGATTCACAAGAGAGAGAAACTGAATGATCAGCATTTTTGACATTGACATAACTTGATTCTTCCATGTTTTCACGAGCAACTAATCCTCCGAAGAAAAATCATGACATAAAGCGCCACCTGCACAATCAAGCTAATAAAGCGTGATAGAATCTATCAGGTGATTTATAAGCGGAGAAAAAAATGTTTTTCTCGTTCGAAATATCGATAGTCTAGTTTAGTTTTAACTGAATTGCGAAACATGTTTATTTTTCGATATTAATCGATCATCTGATTGGTGCACGAGAGTTTCAATCAGCTGCCGTGTTCTTCGAAGTTACAGAGATTTGTAATCTACGGAATATAGTCGGATGACCATTTCTTTCACATAGAAGAGAGAGGAGAAGGTTGTATTTGTTAGGCGTACGGTTTCGTGTGACCTTGTTATTGTTGTAGTTGATGATAAAAATGAAAGTATCTTTCTACTCAGTTCTTTTTCATCGTCTTCTTCAGTGCAATGTAAATGCATCGTGGATGTTTGTTTATTCTTTTTAGATTTACAGTTCTATTTTATTCTTTTGTCGATCAATACAAAATATGGCTTCTCGAAAAAAGGTTTTACTTAAGGTTATCATTTTGGGTGATTCAGGTGTTGGTAAAACTTCACTAATGAATCAATTTGTTAATCGAAAAGTGAGGGAGAAAACAGCGATTGCAAGCAGAAAAACAACATGTTTACTTTTCATCGTTTTAGTTCTCTAATCAATACAAAGCAACAATTGGTGCGGATTTCTTAACAAAGGAATTACAAATCGACGATCGATTAGTCACAATGCAGGTGAGAAACTCTAGTCAGATGCATTTTGTTGGTAGAAAATCATTTCCTGATTTCCCTACGGTAGATTTGGGACACAGCAGGTCAAGAACGATTTCAAAGCTTAGGTGTGGCATTCTATCGTGGTGCTGATTGTTGTGTACTTGTTATGGACGTCACATCACCAACGTCATTCAAATCATTAGAAAGCTGGAAAGATGAATTCCTTATTCAAGCTGGTCCACGTGACCCAGAAAACTTTCCATTTGTGGTCAGTTCGAGTTCTTCCAAACTTTCGAAGAAGAAACATTTGTCTTTCAATTTAGGTTATTGGCAATAAAATTGATTTAGAAAATCGAATGGTAAGATATTCGCATCTACGACGAATATTATACGAAAAAAGTGTGAATAATTTTAGATTCAAGCTCGAAAAGCTCAAGCTTGGTGTCAAGGTAGGTTCAATGAAATGAAATACTTCTGTATATGTTACTGTCTGCCATTTTCGATTGTAGAAAAAAACAATATTCCTTATTTTGAAACATCCGCTAAGGAAGGTATCAATGTTGAGAAAGCATTTGAAACTGTTGCACGTAACGCTCTAGCCAGAGAAAAAGAAATCGATCAACAAGCCGATTTTCCAATGCCAATCCGTATTCCACAACAAGAAGAACAACCGAAGAAAGACGGATGTTCATGTTAAACAACATGAATTCAAACGTGCGAAACACATTTACTTCTTTTTTTTTGTATATAAGAAAACAAGAGATTCTCTCCTAACCTTAATTGAAAACCAAAACAAGCATACACATATACAAAACTACTATCTCGTCTTTTAACGTTGATTTTTTTTTGTCTCCTTTTTCTTCTCTCTTTTTCGATATGTATTTAACTCTCTCTCTCTCTCGTTCTCATTTTGCGCATGTTATTTCCTTGTCTCTTTTTCTGGCGTGTTCTCGTTCTTGGTGTGTGTGTGTGTGTGCGTATATGTACAAACAAGCTAAAGGTCTTCTTTTTTCTCTTGCAATATCGACTTCATTCAAACTCTCCGAAATAGAATAAGGTCCTTTTGAGTATATGAGGAAAGATGAAAAAGAATAAACCTGATGAAATTCTATTAATAAACTTCAAAAATGTTCCTGATATTCGACTTAATGACAAAGAGAAATATTCGCGATAACGAGTAGGAAAACATAGATATGAATGTGGAGGAAGATCTGTTTACAATGTAAATATCATTATGTACATTCGATCATCTTCGATTATTACGAGATTAAGACATTCTGTTAGAAGACATGTTCTTTGACGTCTATTCGATGTATTTTTTCGAGAGAGTTCTAGTTTATACACATAGTTACGCTGTTGTGAAGACAAAGTTTTGGCCTACAAAATCGAATTGAATTTCATGTCTTTTGATGGTGACGTTGATTCATCCAAATGAGTTTTGATGTGTAATTTCAAATGTACAAGTTGTGTGAAGCGTGCTGAGCAGGATTGATTTGGACAGAGATATGGTTTGTCGCCCGTATGTAGACGTGAATGCGTTTTCAAGTTCGATGTTGATGAGAATCGTTTCGGGCAATATGGACATGAGTATGGTCGTTCACCTATTCGAATGAAAATCGTGTAGAGCAGAAGGAAACATGCAGAACTTCGTACCTGAATGAACTAGCGTGTGTTTTTGAAGATGGGCGAATTGTGTGAATGATTTTGGACATTGTGTGCAGGTAAATGGTCTTTCATTAGTATGAGTTCTCAAATGAACTTTGAGATTCGACAATTGGCTGAATGTTTTGTAGCATTGGACACATTCGTAGATGATTTTGCCATTTTCTTTTCTCAGTGGATATGGAAGGGACTTGTGACCACGACAATGGAGAGAGGGTGAGGACAACCTTTCAGGTGTTTTACGGCCACCTAAGATTCTTTCGATGGAAAAGTTCAATATCGATGATTTATTTGTGTTGCCGATCGTTTGAGTGGGGGAAACTATCAAAATAAAGAATAGAAAACGAATCGAATCGAAATCGAAGCTCTACTTGATTGAAAAGGTTTTCGCAGAACATCGGTCGGTTCATCGTTCGATTTCATTGCCTGTGTAAGAGGAAAAAGAAATGGTAACTGTTGAAAATCTCCCCGATCACCAAATTGATTCCTTAACCAATACGCATCCACTTGCTAAAACAAAAGTATCTATCATACGAATTCGTTTGTTACGCTGATTACTTTTTGCTCGAAAATCCATTCTGATAATGACGGTATCAACATTTGATGCAGAGCAGGATTGTACTGCCTCTGACGAATCATGTTCATACGTTCCTAGAACGATCTCGAAGAGATATTTCTCAAAACACAATCTACTTACGTGTTCTTGTCTGCGAAAAAAAGCTTCAATTATTTATTTTGTATAGGTAATGAGAGACGAGAATGATTTTTGTCCAATCGTTTCTCTCTCCGATTTCTCCCTTCCTCTCACCGGACCAATGAAAATGGACAGAAATATCTCTCTGATAATTGACTGCGTTTGAAAGAAGCAAGTTAACACATTCTTCAATAGACTATTCAGGTATCTCTATTATATAACAAAAAAAGCGGCGATGTATTTGATGATCATCTGCAAGTAGCGAATACTCAAAGATGTCTGAGTTGAAGAAAAACAAGCAATGTATGTGTCCATATCTGAAACTTTGTTTCGATGTGCCGTGAGAGGTCAAATACTCAAGGAAACAGTGTCGTTTTTCTTTATCTTTATCTCTTTTGATGATCATCACTGTGCCGGTCGAATGACGAATGTCGTAATCGAGCAGCTAATTTAATAGATCAATTGTATTTGTTCTATGCGTGAATTTTCTTCATGTCAGAAGTTAATCAGGTATCGAATGGTATAATCATCGACTTTCTTTTCTCTTGTGAAATTTGAGAGCAACCACGACAACAGAAGTTGTTTTGTCTTGACGAACAAAATCGTTTGAACATCGACGAGGGCGGAGTTTCTGACGCCGTCATCTTGTTTCATATCGAATCGATAAGAAATTCCACGTATGAAATGCTGTCAAATGGCATTTTTCATTGTACATTGTTTCGATAATAGAACGGCGTGATAAGAAATCAGTCTTTGTCCTTCTGTCATTCTTCGATGGACTAAACAATCATCAAGATAATTAAAGACAACTGTAGACAGATAATTAAACCTGCTATGGAGAATGAACGCTCTATCTATAATCTATTTACTTTAGAAAATGATAGCAGAAAGGAAAAAAACGAATCGCTTGAGAAAATCAATATAATAAGGTGGGTGAGTGGAAGTGTTGAAAATTGTAATAAACTTCAACGTATAGCGTCAATTTAACAAATAAGATAAGTCAGTTTATCTTTTTTGATAAATGATGGATTAGGACATCTATTTACGATGTCGCAGATAGATATATTTGATCGTAAAGGAATTATATTCGACAGTTTTGAAGAAAGAAAAAGAAGATGTCTTTGTTCGATTCAACATTTGTCGATTGAACTAGTTTATATCGCACACTATTGTCTTTCTTTCGAATAAGAAAATGCAGAATACCGTTCGGGATTATCAAACTGATAAAAGTAAGGATTTGAGCAAAGTGAATATAATCATACTATTGTTTGTTTTCGATTCTGTTCAGATAAAATCAAAGATTTCCTCAATGAATACGAAATTGACACCGAAGATGGCTACAAAGCATCGAAATATTTGAAACAAATGGTATCTGCGAATGCAGTTCTTTGATTTCTATTGAAAGTTTTGTGTTGTTTTTCTTTGTAGAGAAACATTGCTAATCGAGAACAAACATCATTAGTAATCGATTTGGATGATATAGCTATAGTAGATCCCGAATTAGCCGACGCGATCGGTGAAAATACACGGCGATACGCACAACTTTTCTCACAAGTTGTTCAAGAATTATTGCCTGAACTAAAGGACAAAGAAGTATATGATTTTCTTTTCTGTAAAATGTCGAAAGCGAATGTTATGTTTTAGGTCCAAAATAAAGATGTACTTGATGTTTATATTGAACATCGAACACTGATGGAGCAACGTATACACCATAATACCGATGAAACGCGTGATCCGATGAATCGTTATCCCGAAGAATTGATGAGACGATTGTATGTTTAGTTTCGATTTAGTGCGTATTCATAAAAGAATACGAAACTTATCTTTTTCAGCGAATTATATTTCAAAGCACCAAGTACGCAAAAACATCTATCCGTTCGACAAGTCAAAGCGAATCATATCGGAAAATTGATCTCAGTCAAAGGCGTTGTTACACGTGCAACAGAAGTCAAACCAATGATCAGTGTAGCAACGTATACATGTGATATATGTGGATCGGAAACGTATCAACCAGTAAGTCGAATTCGATTCGAGAGTGTATCGATGGAGAAAGTTTTTCAACAGATCACTGCACCGACATTTATGCCGCTCGTTATGTGTCCAAGTCAAGATTGTGTTACGAATAAATCCGGCGGACGTCTATCGTTACAAACACGTGGATCGAAATTTATCAAATTTCAGGAAATTAAAATCCAAGAACATGTAAGTTCATTCGAATGAAAGAAAGCTAAAATTGATATCTGTTTGATGACAACTATAGACTGATCAAGTACCGGTTGGAAACATTCCACGTTCGATGACAATTTGGAGTCGAGGAACAAATACTCGTCTATGTCAACCAGGTGATCATATTGCTGCAACAGGCATATTTTTACCATTACTTCGTACGGGTTTTCGTCAAATGGCGCAAGGTCTTTTATCCGATACATTTCTTGAAGCACATGTCAGTATTGCTGTTGCAAACTAACCGTATGCTGAAGAGATTTTTCTATGTAGAGAATCGTATTGTTGAACAAGAGTGAAGACGAAGAAATTGAAGATAAAGAAATGAATGATGCGGAACTAGCTGATCTTTTCGTTGGTTTGTATTTTTAAAACGCTACTATTATCAATAGGATTAGTGTTTTTCTCGTAGAAAAAGATTTGTACGATCGATTAGCAATGAGTATTGCACCGGAAATCTATGGTCATGAAGATATTAAGAAAGCCTTACTCCTTTTGCTAGTTGGGGGCATTGACAAATCACCACAAGGAATGAAAGTTCGAGGTAAGTTGTTATCTCACGCGCATAATCATTGGCCCAAACGATGGAACCAATTTAGGCAATATCAATGTTTGCCTTATGGGTGATCCCGGTGTTGCTAAATCTCAATTGTTAAGTTACGTCAATCGTTTGGCACAACGCAGTCAATATACGACTGGTCGTGGCTCATCAGGTGTTGGTTTAACATCAGCATTGATTAAAGATCCTATTACAAGTGAAATCGATTTGTCTATCGATCGAATTTTCTATACGGAAACATGTTTTTAGATGAGTTGGTACTCGAAGGTGGCGCATTGGTCTTAGCTGATCAAGGTATTTGTTGCATTGATGAATTCGATAAAATGACGGAACACGATCGAACCGCAATCTACGAAGTTATGGAACAACAAACAATATCTATTGCTAAAGTAGCTTAGACATGAATTCGTTGTGATAACCTATGAATCATCGTCTGAAATAGGCTGGAATTTTAACATCCTTGAATGCTCGTACATCAATCCTAGCTGCTGCCAATCCGGCATATGGTCGATACAATCCAAAGCGTTCGATTGAAGCAAATATTCAACTGCCAGCTGCACTTTTGTCACGTTTTGATTTACTTTGGATCATTCAAGATAAAAACGATCGTGAAGTTGATTTGAAACTCGCTCGTCATATTGCATCCGTTCATCAAACTGGATGTCAACCTGAAATTGATCATAATCAACAATTTATCGATATGAAAACATTACGGTAAACTATTTCAATTTTCATTTCTACAAAATTCTTTCGTTCATTTGCCTTAGACGATACATTGCTACATGCAAGAAGAAAACACCATTAGTGCCGGAAAATTTACTGGATTATGTTGTTACAGCTTATGTCGAATTACGTAAACAAGCTCGTGTTAGTAAAGACATGACATATACATCAGCTCGTATGCTTCTATCCATACTCCGTTTGTCGACAGCACTTGCTCGACTTCGTTGCGGTGACCTGGTGTCCAAAGATGATATTGATGAAGGTCTTCGATTAATGGAATCGTCACGATTATTGTTGAAAGATCATGACACTGCTCCAACAAGGTAGAAAGATTAAATTGGAAATTTATGAGTGTTTATCAACGATTTTTAGACAAGTTAATCCAATTGATCAAGTATTCGCTATTGTACGCGATATGGTACCATCCTCGGGCGCTAAAATTGTTCGTTATGCTGAAGCTCGAGAGCGTTGTGTGGCCAAAGGTCTAAAACCCGATACATTTGACGAAGCACTTGAACGGTATGAAGAAATGGGCTTATGGCAAGTCAATCAACAACGCACAGCAATTACAATTGTTTAAAACAAATCCAATCAACAGAATAGAATTGTATATACTCCTATTTTTCGTCAGATTTGTATGTATGTGTGTAGAGAAATGACAGAAAACGCTTTTTTTAATATCTATATTTGACTATGGTAGAAAAAGAGAAAATTAGATAGAATTATGTATTTGAATAATAAACAATAGCTTTGTTCCATTAATTCTCTTAGTAAAAGGAAGATATCTTATCACTGAAGTGCACATGTGCTGGATGTTACGGAATAGTCATTGATGATCGTTGGGTTGGTTGTATTTGCATTAGCTAATTGGACACCTTTGATTTGCTGCTGTTCGTGTTCGATGGTTTTCTCACGAATCTCGTCGAGATTGTGCGTTTCTGGCACTAGAGATGTATTTGCAATAATTACATCGTTGTTATCATCAGCGTCAACATCGGAGTCATCGGTCACAGCTTCACCTTGAGGATTATCACAGAAACATGTTCGTGCGAATTGATCGATTTTCATTTTTGATGCGGTAAACTTGCAATTGAGACGATGAACAAAACGGTACGAAGTAGTTGGTGCTTTAGTTCGTTTCACAGCGTAGATGTTTGGTCCACTATCGTCTTTGTCGTTCGCATTCTCTTCGAGATCACTATCATTATCATCGGAACTCATGTCTTCGAAGGCATCCATTTGTTCGACTAGTTTCCTTGCGGCTGAATGACTATCACGCTTTAATTGTCTAGTAGACAAAAAACTGATTACGCATGAAGTGTATCTATGTTTCGATTTACCTGCTAGGTAGTGCTTGAATCTTTGTTTTTAATTCCGGATCATCAGGATCAGCAATTAATAATGTTAGTAATCGGCGATCATTCATTCCCATCACGATGAAATCATTCGTTGCAACCATTGTTGTGACATGATCATAAACAAATAATCGGGCCAATTGCCGGCGATCTTTCACTCGGTACATATAAAGAATGCGAGGTTTAACAATAACAAAAACATAATCACCGGATTCATTCACACACATGAGTTCACATGTATTTTCCAGTTGAATAAACTCATGAGAAGTTTTGGAATTGAGATTATGTATGTAAAGTTGATTTTCATCATGAAGAATTCTAGATAAACAATTCTTCTTCACATCATATAGATCAGCATTACCAAATGGTATTAATTGACATGAAGGTTTGGATGAAGATTCAATTCGGCATGAGATGAGAGATTTGTTTTCGAGATAGAAAATAAGATAGTTTTGCGTGAGATCACTAGTTACTTTTGACACGAACGATGAGGGGAGATTAATATTCATATAGAGAATTTCATTTGTCGTGCAAATCGCTAGTGAATATTGATCATCAGCAAGAACGATCAAAGTTCGTTGTGAATTGAATGTTATAACGGAGCTGAATAGTTTAGCACATTTAATATTCAGTTGTTTTGTTGCTGTTTGATTGAATTTGTGTTTATTGTGCTGCATGTATCGAAGCGAGCCATTATTCGAAAGTAAGACAAATGTTTTATCGTCGATGGCAAAGACTTGTGATGGACAGGAAAGATTGAAACGACAGAGTGCTGGTTTATTCAATGAATTTAACCCATACACTTCGACAAAATGTGTATTTGTAATGATGGCAATTGCTGTATCTGACAAGACAGCATAATGATCAATCTTGATCGTACCAGGAAATAGATAGCGTGACTCAATTGCGGTGAAATGCTGGTATGACCATGAAGCAAGTTCTCTACATGAGCGAACGTTGTATATGTATACATTTTAATCTATTGCAAATGATCTTACCGTTTTGATTTATCCAGTGTAACAGCTATTTTCTCGTATAGCTGAAGACTATGAATAACTTCTGTTGTACGTGGAAATGGCGGAATTTTGTTTGCTGCATCTTTTGCAGCAAAGCTGTGATAGGCGTTAATCGCTCCATTTTCTAACGAGCACAAAAACAGGCCAGCTATTTTGAAGAAAAGACAATTTATGCTACGAATTAGAATATCAGATAAAACTACCTGAATCCTGTGATGGTGCGATAGTAAGTATTGCCGATGAACTAATATCGATCGTGACAAATAATTGATATCCATGATGAATATCAACTTTGTTTTTAACATCTTCATCTTTTGTGGCAACACATCGCCATTTGTAAATGTTCATAATGCCTTGTCGAGCAGCGAAGACAATATGTGGTGAGCCTGCCGAGATCGCAGCAGTATGACATTCCCCTGGAATACATACGTATGATATCTCTCGACCTGAGCAAATATGCACAATATACAACGCCCCTTTTGTTATAATGATGAAAAATAATTCCATGGACATTCCTTTAGATTGACTTCGATTTTTAGGTATTATGATTTGATGATATGGCTTTGAGATAATAGGTGGATCGAATTTCACTAATGTTGTGTTGATCTGATTTTCAGTTAGAACTTCACTGCTTGCGCGGATCACTTTCATATCGATGTAAGCGAAGTCGATAGGAGTATTTGCATCAAAGGTGCAGATCAAATGATCTTTGTCAGGATAAACAGTATCTAAGTGTGGACCAGCATCGATTGTAGCAAGGTTCTCAAATTGTGAACCGTTGAGAATATAAAACAGTATCGTTCCGTCATGAAGAACAACTGTGAGCATAAATCTACTTCCTCGGAAGCAGAAAACTTGTTTCAGTGAGGATTTTGTTTCAAGATCAAGTTTGGCGAATAGCTTATTTTGTCCCAAGTGCCAACATTCCACTGAATTTGTACCTTCTTCAGCAAAGATACATATACCTTGTTTGAAACTAACCACGTCAACAAGTAGAAATCTCCGAGTAGATCTTCTATGAAATTTTACATCACCATGATTGGAGACCAGGTAAATATTATGAGCTGAGTTAGTTAGAAACATATATTGTTTAAATCTATTTTCATCTTCCGAATTGGAATCGTCTGTGTCACTATCATCACTTGAGATTAGTTTCGATGATTTCTTGTTATCGTCTGTGGAAACTGCGCTTGAGAATGTTGTTGAATTCAAGTACGGTTCGTCAATCTTCGGTAAATTCACATCTATCACTGCATCTCCATTCCTCATATTGATAACAACAACCTTGTTGGAAAGTGTTATCGCCGCCGATTCGCCATTTACAAAATCGATATCAACTACCGGCGTCGTATGTTTATTCAGTGAATACAATAAGCCATTTCCCGGCGGTTGCAATTGACTGTAAGGTACGATCAATGCACAATGCCGAGGACTTTGCTCATCACATTGTTGGATTAAATTGGTAAGGTTTGCTTTCAACCCGTACACAGTTACGAATCGTGCTGCTAATTCAAATGCATAATTGTCGGGATATTCGTTAAGCAGATGACCACAGATTAAATATGCCATCGAGAGGTACTTGATTTCTTTGAGAATTTCTCGAACTGTTTCAATTACTTTGAAATTTGTTTGATTTTCAAATTGTTCAATATCTTGAATGACATCGACAAATGGCGAAACGCCAAATTTCGCATCTGAAACATAACACACATACAAATAGATGATCGGATTAGTCGACGGCATTCTACATACGCATAAACGAATAGTTAAATAGAACTTCGGCAGCTGCAATCGGGAGGGCTATGTCAGGTGCTAGTTTGCTCAAAAACTGAGGCAACTCATTGAGCTTTCGTTTATTGTATTGTACATGGCCATCAGAATCAATGAATTCGGTTGGCTGCGACGTTGTAAAACGATTTGCTTGAATTTTACCACCAGATTGATCGAGTTTGTATTTCTGAACTAATTTTGGATCATCGATTATGAAGGGTTTATTTTTTCCTTTCCAGGTTTCTTTGAACAAATCGACCATATTTTGAAACACAGCTAGTCGATCATCCGCGTTCAAATTCGATACGTACAACTCTCGAGCTACCTCGATGAATCGACGATGATACCTAAACGAAACAAACGTTAAGCAACTATTGGTAATCTCTCTGAGAGATCTCTAATTGCCCTACCAATAAATGACCGGTGCGTCGTCGACTTCTTTCTCGGTGATGTATTCATCCAAATCATTTCGAATTCTTGTCCACAGGATACCCGGTAAACGACGAACAGGTGGAATATAATGTTGAAAAACACTTTTCAAGACATCGTCGTCAAGTGACAAAACGTCTTCTAATTCATTTTGACTTATTCCGCTTCGGCATGCTGTCATGTAACACAATGCTCGACTGAATAATAATGGATGATGGATAACTTGTAAATGTTGAAATAAGTAACGAATACAGTCATCCACATCATGTAAATAATTCAAATGCTCATCAATTGTATCGTATGAATGCCAAACCGAAATAATATCGAACACAAGTTTCATAAATAGTGGTAAGATTTCATTGCGTTTGTTCATAAAATTTTTTATGAATAGACGTTGTTCGTCACTCAACGATCGTTGTTTCATAGCAAGCCAATCGTTGTAAACAGTCTCCACAGTTGCGGGCTCGAATGGTGGGACGACAACGAATGGTTTATCGTTTCCCCACAAGAGTTCTTTCAAATTCTTTAGAATATCACCATGATCAGGTAACGTTGAAACAATACATTTGACATTGAATGGAAATTGTAAAGGTAACCATTTGCAATTGTATGCATCTGTTTGCAATTGATCGATCGAATCCAGTAGAATGAGAAGGTATTCATTATCGGGAATCTGTGGAAAGATATTCAGTTCAAGTTGATCACGAAGTTGATTCACTGTTGGATAAGCAGTCATTGATATGCTGTAGATTTCACAAATTTGTCGAGAGATCGACAGGAGAGTTTTGTATATAGTTGAAGATGTCGGTGTAGTTCTAAAACAATGCAAAGGTTTTGCTTCTTCCTCAGAGAGTTCCGGAATGATGAATACATACCCAAGAAAACGTAAAACTACTGAAACTGATCGTTTTGGCCACCATTTAAATACCTAGAATGAAAACTTAGGGTAGCTAAATAGAATTACATTCACATACTTCAGTTGCCGTTTTAGCCAATACGCTGGTTTTCCCACAACCAGATTCACCATGCACAACACAAGGTCGACCTTCATTTTTTATGTTTATATATGCTTCCAACTAAAAAGAAATAATTTTTCCTCGATTCGGTCACCCGAAGTTTCGTTCCTACTTTCGATAGAACATCAGTTCTGCCATGGAATTTGCTCACATAGGTTTTACATTGAATTGCATGCTCTAAAACTTCATGTTGCAATTCATTCGGTGTGATTTTCAGTCGAGCTTGAGCACATCGATCGATTTGTTTCTTCATGGATCGATAGAAATCATCATTGAATTGTTCGAGATATTCACTATGATGTTGCTTAGTGATACCATCGGGTGACCATCGAACTTTATACTTGTAAATGTTCGATGATTTCAAAGCAGTGGGAATACGAACAGTTTTCAATCGTTCGAGTAACTTTTCAGCATCCTCATCGATCGCTGATGATGACGACATGTCGATATATTTCGCTGCTTTGTCATCGGATAGATGATCGCGAATATCGACGATATCGCGTAGAAAACAGAGAGTACGTTCATTGGCATCTTTTGCTCCGAGAATTCCGTTGACAATCTCTTTCTCGGTAACTACAAACGGACATGATCGCACAAGTGAGGAAATAGAAATCAGCGAAACAGAAACTCACTTGAAATGAAAAATTCGTCGTAATCACTTTCAGAAATTTGGCCGCGTTGTAGACATAACTCTGCCGCACGTCGGAGACATGTTCGCAATCGTTCACTCACCTTCTTCCATTGTTCATTCGCTTGTTTCACTTCATTTGTATCCTATCAAACTGACACTATGTAAACATCTCGATCTTTGCACTTGGTCTCACTTTAGAGATGAAGTTTGGTATCAGTAATGAAATATTCTGTAAAATATACGCATGTGGTATACAGTTGGTATCGATTTTATACCATTGCGCTAATAAATCACTGTCGTGTATTCCATTCTGCTCATCAAGAGCAGTTTTTTCGAGCAATTCGAAGAGCGGTGCGTGGATCTTAGCGGAAATAGGTCGCGAACCATATCGATGGCTAAGTAGAACCTATATCGAGTAGTGAAAGATAACCGAGTTCATTTAAGATCGAAAGTAAGCAAACCACAAAGTTTGTTGCAACCGAATACTTTTTACATAGTTCAATTTCTTTAAGACACGTGACAACTTCACCATGATTGTTGGCTGATTCAATCGTAATACCCCATCTCATGTCGACGTACTGGAATATTAAATTCGAGAGATAATTACAAACATCGTACTAACAGTTGACTCACTTGAAATTCCAATCCATATTGTTGTCGACAGTAATCTTTTAGCTTAGGAAAGATATTTTCAATCAACGAATCTCGTTCGGCTAGTGTGTCTATCAATGAACATATATGAGGCGATAGAAAGAAAAGATGAATGAAAGAACCTGTAAATGTCGAGCTGACAAATACTCGAACAATCCTTGATCTGACATCGGGCAGTTCTTGAGTTCGACCGCGAAGAACATTCAAATAATAAGAAGATTTCATGCTAAAAAAGGTACACGAGATGTTCGCATTCTATGAGCTATTGTCACTTGCGTACGCTCGTAAATCAATACAAGTAGACTGCTAATAAAACAAACAAGGTATGTTTTTGTTCTATACAGCTCAAAATGCGTTAGATATCAAGTCCAAATTCACAATATTCCACACGAGTCTCATGTAAATGTCGTGTGCCATACGAACTGATTTTTCTCTCAGTATTACACATTATTATTTTGTTCGCATTTGCTTATATTGTTCAACAATTTGTTGTGAAATTACAAAAGTAGAGTTTTTTTTGCCAGGTAACGATGTAAAATACAACACTCTCGTGTCGTACTTGCGCTACCATAGAGACACCATCTGTATGTAAACTAAACGCACTGATTTGTTCCTCCAGTCTACCAATGAGCTTTGAACAGAACAGACGGACGACGACAAGATATGCATGCGTATATTTTCCATTTTGTTTTACTTCATTTCAATGATGTCTTCGAACTACATGAATCTCGTGCTTGTTTCGACTCTGCTCACCATTGTTGTCAGTGGAAGTGTTGAACATACAGTCTTGCGCGGTGTTCCAGCTGCACGTAAGCATGAATTCGAATTCTCTCGATTGAGTAACTCTTATAAGCAAATTTAGAGTTATCTAAATATGTTTCTTCAAAACCTTTCTCTTGCCTTGATGGCTCATCTACCATTCCATTCGAATTTGTCAACGACGACTACTGTGATTGTCGCGGTAAGAAATACGAATACGGATTGAAAAATAAAGCTTCGTGATCTTTTTTTCCCAGATGGCAGTGATGAACCTGGAACATCAGCTTGTCCAAATGGACGTTTCTTCTGTGAAAACAAAGGCTATGTAGGTACGACTATTCCGTCCCATTTTGTCGGAGATAGTATCTGCGGTAAGTAACCGATCTATTACGATTTTCATTGGTAATATAATCAAAATAGATTGTTGCGATGGAACTGATGAATATGAAACAAAGATTGTGTGCAATAATACGTGTTTGTAAGTATGATGATTATCTTAAAATGAGAAACGCAGGTCTTCGGTTTAGTGAACTAGCTCAAAAAACTCGAGCTGAACATGAAGCACGTCGGGCATTGCATGAGGCAGGTGTTGCCAAAAAAATGGAAATCATCAAACAGTCAGTGGTGATCAAAGCAGATCGAGAGGTAGATTTCAGGTTGACTGAGTAGTATCGAAATAAAAATGTCATTCTGTCATAGGCACGTCTCCGTGAATTTGAACAAAGTTTGGAGAAACTCGAAAGCGAATTGAAGGAAAAAGAAGGTAGAATGAATATTAATATCGGAGAATAACAACAGCTGTATTTCTTCATTTCGTAGAATTGAAAAATCAGGCAGAAATTCCCGAAAATGAAGCGAAAGAAAAGCATCAGAAAATATGGGAAGGTATGATTGTTGTATATTTCAATATCTATCGTTATTTTCTCCAATCTTTCCATCTAGAACAACGTGCTGTACGGGAAGCAATTGCACACGACAACCAAATGCGTGAAATGTTTGCTGAATTAGATACCAACAATGATTCATTGTATGTTAATAAATTTCTAACATCTGCATTACTTTTTATTTTTTATAAATATAGAGTATCAATTGAAGAGTTACAAAAACATACAGAACTTGACACTGACCTTGAAAATGAATTCACTGCTGAGGAAGTTCGCGTATGTACCACATTACTTCCTATGAAATCTTAATTTATTGTGTCTTTCATGTGCCTCTTAGACAATCCTCGGAGCTGATGCGGTCAATTTTGACGACTTTAATATTACTGTATTTGATCAAATATCGAACTCCTATAAAAAACTACACGAGCCAATAATTGAAACTCCCGTTGATGTCAATGACGTTGTCGCATCTACAGAAGCATATTTGAAGCAAAATGATGAACAAGGACAAGAACAGCATCATGAAGAAGAAATATCTGAAGAACAAGAAGATGAACATGATTTCGATCAACATGAAACTCCTTCACCAGTTGCAACAGTAAAAGAATCGACTGAGAAACGTTTTGCCTCGCATTCATGATCTTTCGTTACTTAGTCTCTTGAACACGAAAAACACATTCATGATGATACCGTACCAGAGTACGATGATGAAACAAAACGATTAATTCAAACAGCTGATCATGCACGTAACGAGTATCATGACGTCGAACGACGCGTTCATGATGTTAAACGAGAAATCGAGTGAGTTATTTCACTATATTTCAATGAATTCGAATTATCTTCTTTTTCAGAGATCTAAAACGACAATCAGATGTTGATACAGGTGTTCATGGCGAATATTCTGCATTTATTGACCAATGCTATGATTATGAAGAACGTGAATACACTTATCGAGTGTGTATGTTCAAAGATGCTAAACAGATTCCTAAAGGTGGTGGCGGTGAAGTAATAGTTGGATATTGGGATTCATGGGTTGGTCCAACGACAAATAAATATTTAAAAATGAAATATTCCAATGGTGCTACATGTTGGAACGGTCCAGCTCGATCGTTAACAGTCACATTTCGCTGTGGTATCGAACACAAAGTTGTCGATGTACGTGAACCGACTCGGTGTGAATATGCAATGATATTCGAAACACCATCTGCATGTGATGAAACTATTGCTTCGGGTACACAACATCATGGTCATGAAGAATTTTAATCTAGTCATTCGTTCATTATCTCTCTTTGATAAATCTCATTCCGATGTGCCGAATCGTTGACGTTATTCATTATAGTTAGAATCTGCTTAGTCTCTGTTTATTATAATCGGTGACATTGATGTTGTTGGCTTAGAACTGCTCTGCTCTGCTCATTACATTTTTTTCTACATGCAATGTCTTATTTCTTTATCAAAAATAAAAAAGTATAATATCATAAGCAATGCTGTTTTTGTATGAGTTTTCTTGCTTATTAATTTGGTCGAATTAATCCGAAGGAGAAAAGTCGCTCACTTCTCGATATACTTTGAATCGCTTTCGTTTTCGATGGCATATATTCAGGTTGATCACGTCCTAGTAGATGAAGTCGAGTGTATAGGAAAGATGTGAGTGTGTATGAAGTACTTACGTAGATTCATCAGCAGTTCGTCATTTGTTTGAGTGGCAGAAGATGCGGAAAGTGGTTGAAACGTTGGTTTCTTCAAGATTGATGGCAACGGGGGAGGATTCGTTTGAAACGATGTTTCTTGGAGGAAAGGATAGTTTGGATTAGACGAAGTTTTCGAAGCGAAGGTAGACCATGGGTCTTTGTTCGTGAAATCAATGTGAGGTGAGAGTGACTGCTGGTTATTCTAGTAATTGGAAAAGACAAAGATAATTGACTCATATTCTATGACGAGAATGAAATTGCGAACTTTCTGCTGTCTTTTATCATTCAAACGTGCTTCTATTGACGAATGGGCTGAAGATTCGATATCAGAATTGTTCTCGAGACCAAGAGAACTGAAAGTTGGTGCTATTGTGGAGTCATTATCAGTTTCAGGTGCACCATCGTTGAAATTCTTGGCCAGAAACAATAAAGATGGAACTGGAAAGGGTGTTTGTTTATGATGCGTATTCATCTGAAACATTGTTGCTTTCGTATGATTGCCAATCTAGAAGGCAAGAGCAACAGTGGTCAGTATACAAATGAAGGAAATGTTTTTTTTTCTTACAGGTGGTTTGATTTCTCTCTGAGTGATATGATATTTAAATATTGACATGTCTTTATGTATGGATTGAGTTCGTTCTAGTAAATTTTCTTCATCAGATGAAAAATTAGCAACAGCTGTTGACCGTAGTGTAAAACTTGGCACGGGAACAATATTTAAAGCCATAGATCTCTCTTTAACACTGTCGTTGGTAGCTAACGATGGAATGGGTGACGTAGCAATGCTGTGTGTCTCTTTACTTGTACGTGTCGACTCTTTTGACTTTTCATTGGTATCGCTCAATGGTATTGGTGATGTGCCGAAGCTTTGACTCCTTTTAGTTGTTTGAATAGTCTCTTTCTCTTTGTGTTCGGTTTTACTATTTTGTTGAACGGACTGTAAACTAATAAGATTACTTGATTCACGTGTCTGAGTAGATGTCGACATTGTAAGTTTTGGAGCCGGTTCCTTTGTTATAGCTACAAGCAAATGATATTCATGCTTTTAACCAGTCGACACGTACTGGTTCATTCTACTAACCTGTACTAGAAAGTGTTGCATTGGATACAGTATTAGTAGTAGATTGAACGGTTGCAGTAGGAAGTACAGCTGATGTTTTTGTAGTGGTAGTGGTAGTAGTAATTGGAGGAGGATATGAATGCGTGGGAAATAGTGGTCTAGTAGCCGAAAATGATGAAGGACTCTTGACCTTTGCTGGAACATTCGTGTTAGTAAATGGCGATGATTCAACAAGAGTAAGAGACTTGTTGGAATTTGGTGAAACAGCCGACGTATCAGGACTAAATGGAGGCGATGAGGTTCTAGATTTAATATAGATATTGTCAACACTGGGTATCGGTGAGATCACAGCCATTCTAGGACTTGATACCCTTGGATTACTAGGCGGTGCAGCAGTCGACAGATTTGTGGATTGAGTAGATGTTTTTGTAGTTGTTGTCGTGATAACATGAACAGTGGACTTAGAATCATTGGAAGTGACAGCTGAGGTACGTGACGTCGTAACAGTGTTGGCATTAGTTGGATCGAACCTTACTACTGAATTCGAAACTCTCGAAGCAGAAGTTACAGTTTCGATAGGATTTTGGAATGGCTTTGTCTCAAGTACGAAAACAGATATGCGACGCACTGGCGGTGTCGCAGGTTTATTTGATGTAATAAAAGGGTTTGTATTCGTTGCCAATGGAGGAGTATAACGTTCATGAGGAGGATTGGGTGAAGCAGCCTTGTTGGGCAAATTAGAAACTTCGGGATTTAATGCAGAAGCAGACGGGCGATTGACAGTCGAAACTATTGGGCGAGAAGGTTCTATTGGAGAAACAGGGGTCATATACTCAGTTTGCGCTGTAGAAATGTCTTGATTAGAAAGAGTAGGAAATCTGTCCACATTAGTCACAGCAGTAGATTTCTGCGTATTGTGAACCGTAGTAGTGTAAACCACAGATTTTGTTGCATTTGACGATCCATCTGGATTAACTGTAACAATGGATTCGTGCGAAGTCGTATTTGTTGTATTAGTAGATTTGGTAGGATCAGTGGAAGCATTTGCCATGGCAGAAGTATTCTCGGAAGTCTGAACTAATTCGGAATTAAAATCTGTCTGATACGAATCCGGTAAACGACTATGCGACTGTGAAGGAGCAACTGTTGAGTTACCCATCGAAATTCAATCTCGTTTTTTTGTCCGAAATTTTCTTTTTTATCGGTTTGTTATTTCGAATTTATTATATTCTCTCAATGGCTTCAGCCTGTAATACAACTGTTCACGTACATAATTAATTGAAACTCAAATGTTTCGTTGTCAAGAATAGAAAAGAATTGATTAAATTTCAATAACGAAATCTTCTCCTGATACTTCTTTCCTTACAACACAGTGATATCTATCGTTAATAATGCTCTACATTGGCTTGAAATCCATCCAATCGGTGAAAGAAGCGACATTGATTATTTACTTTTTCTATAGTTCAGTTCAGTTCGATAGACAGATGACGAACTGCTTACGTCTACACATCATTCCTCTTATCCTACCAGACACTTACTCACTGAAATCTTTCTTATTTTGGTTTCAGTGCAATACATACCATTTTGTTTATCTTAATAGATCGATTGTCTTGGTCTGTATATTCTCCGTTCTTTTCACTATGTTTTTATCTGTCAATTCGATTTGAATTCACTGTCATTTCTTGTACAAACAAATGGAAGCGAATAAAGACGCTGCATTGCATTATTTGGAACTTGCTGAGAGAGCATTGTTAACAAATGACAATGCCCGAGCGATGCGATATATCAACAAATCTGAAGATCTGTTCCCTACACAAAAAGCCCAAGGTACATCTCATAGATTTCTTTCATTGTTTTTCTGAACTTTTCCCATTGAAGATCTTCGAGACCAAATAAAACATCGAGCGACTCATTCATCAAACAATAGTACTACGAATGAATCTAACACAACATCTTCTAATCACGATCGTGCAAACACAAATCACAATTCGTCACATACTAGACATCGAACCAATTCTAAAACAACTGAAGACTTCACTTCCGAAGAAGAAGCTATAAAAAAGTAATTCCTCCTGTTTTTCTCGTGAAGATACGCTTAACTTGAATTTCGCTTTTCATTAGAATAAAAACATGTAAAGACTATTACACAATTCTTGGTGTCAGCAAAACCGCTTCGGAAGCTGATTTGAAAAAAGCATACCGAAAACTAGCTCTTCAAGTAAATTGAACCTTCATCAATATTTCTCTCCACTTTCATCGACTTCGTATAGTTTCACCCAGACAAATGTAAAGCACCTGGTGCTACTGAAGCTTTCAAAGGTTATCTTTCGAAACACACAATGAACCATTTGCTTTCATTTCGACCTTTTTATTCTAGCAATTGGTAAAGCGTTTTCGGTACTCAGTGATCCAAAGAAACGTGAAGATTACGATCAGTATGGTCACGCCATGGAACCGCAATATGAAAATAATCACCGCAATCATGGCCATGGTGGCCACTATTATTATTCCGATGACGATGATGATTTTTCTGCTGAAGAAATCTTCAATCTTTTCTTTGGTTATTCCGGTACGGAAAAAGATTCATTTTGTAAGAAGAATATATTCTGCGCTTTGTAGGTCCAACAAATCGTGCATATCGACGTCGTCAACATCCAAACACATTTCATTTCACTACACATTCACCACAAACCGTGCGTTTCTCGAATCGCGACTTTCGACAAAGACTATCCAATCTTCACTTTCTCTCTTTCTTCTTTTGTAGAATACAACCACACTTACTCAAATATTACCATATTTATTGCTCTTTCTCATTTCAATCATTGGAACTTTTCTAGTAAGCGAACCTCAATTTCAATTACATCGCACCGGGTAAACTTCATTCTATTGTTTGCATCATGTTTGAATCCGAATCTTCTAGGAAATATACCGTTCTACGTACGACACGTTCGGCTGATATCCAGTACTATGTCAAGCAAGATTTTCGTGCGCCGAGCACACAGACCGAACTCGATCGATTTGAATCATCTGTCATTGATGAATACATATCCGATCTACGAAATCAATGTTATCGTGAACAACAACATAAGGAGTCAATGATTTGGCGAGCGAGAATGATGAATGATAATAATCTGTATCGACAAGCGCAGCAATTAACAACACCATCGTGTACAAAATTAAGTCAGTTCGCACGTACTTATGCGTAGTTAGCTGAAGTTCAATGATGTTTTGTTTACCAGAAGATTACAGTGAACCATTTTCTTTTTTTCTTCTCTTTTCTCTTTGTTTCGTACTCTCGATTAAATATGTGATGCAATTGTAACGAAAAGAAAATGAATTTTCGGTATTATAAATTAATAATAAAAAAATCTGTATACGTCAAATAAGCACATCATTCGATCAGACATAACGAAAGTGATTCCCTTGTGTTTTTATTGTTTTATTATAGAATACCAATGGATAGGACACAAAGAAAAAGGAGTGGATGTGACGATTTCTTGTTACCTTGCTTTTCCACATCTATTGTACAGAAAGAGAATTTGATGTGCTCGAAATCAAAAGGACGAAAATAACTAGAGGAGTACTTTCACTGTTTATTCGAGACACACAGAAAAATCAGGATGAATGGAAAGAAGGATTTATCATTCAGATCAAAAGGAAGCGGGGATATGACGAAAAAAAGAGGAGTGTGACGAGACACAAAAAAAATAATATCTAGATCTACAGCACCACTCTTCTTTTTCTTCGCTAATAGCTAGCAAACCAATCATTTGGCATATGATGCTTGTCCGGCAAGGACTAAGTATCGTTTGAATTCATCGTAGAGGACGAGAACAAGTGATGAACCGACACTACGGTAGATATTTGATAAGTTGCCTTTGAAGAAAGCTGTTAGGCCTTCATTTGTAGCAATCTTCCGAGCACAATCGAATGTTCCGCGATAGATAACATCTCCGCGACCACTCTGCATCATCAAACGACTAGAAGAAACGGAAAACAATGTTTGAACTCTCATCTCAGTTGCTTCAACAGTACGTACCGTCGAATAGTATCGAGTGGATAGGCGAGAAATTCAGATGAGGATGTTATAAATTGTGCGAAAAGAAAGCGATAGAGAATGCTGGGATTTGGATTGTCGCCAAACATGAATCTCTTTCCAGCATCATAACCACCGAAGTAAAATGCACGGTAGACAAAAATACCAGCGACACTAATAGCAAAACCTCGATAGAGACCTATGAAACGAAGAAGAAGAAGAAGATAATTTTAGTTTGAAACAGTAAGCTGAGATGTTACCTTGAATGCCATCAGCTTTGTAGATTTTTATGATACAATCATTCATGCCTTTGAATTGTCGTTCACTCACTGATTTGCCGATGTCGACACCAAGACGTGTACGGGCAAAGTCCAATGGATAGACGAATAATAAACCTGTTGCTCCGGCCATACCACCAGCAAATAAATTACCAGCGAAGAATTTGTATGGATTCAACGCTGGATTATAATTTGCGAACATTCGTTGATAGCGTTCTTTGAAGGCGAAGTTTAAAGCTTGCTAAAGACGAGAAAATTTGTTGATGTTTGTTTTATTTATGAAGAATAAAATTGTCATTACTGTTGGAAAGTAACGCAAGACATTGGCCCAGTTGCCTCGCCAGAGTGATATAGCCCCTTCTTCTTTGATGCATCGAACGAGACAATCGCCGAATCCTTTGTATTTTTTGCCTTCGGAGATTTTCTGATTAACATCTTGCGTTTGAAGAAGAAGTTTGACACGTTCGAGTGGCGCAACGGCTGTTTTTGAAATAGCTCCCTACAAATAACAATTATGTTATTGAAAGAGTGCGTTTTATTTGATACTACGTACAGCTAGAAGAAAATAAAATTATACAGTAAAGACTAGAAGGAGAAAGAAGAAAAACAAACCTGTTCCACCAGCAAGAAAATCGATTAGAATATCTTTGGTTGTTGTTTGTGGTTTTTGTGGTACTCCGGTTGGGCCGCCCATATCGATCTGAAAAGAAAAGATAAGAAAAAGTCTTTGCACTTGTGTCCTCTTGATGATCTTTTGCATTCATTTCATTTAACTGAGTTTGTTTATCGGTGGTCGACAACGACAACAAATGTATATGTGGATAGATGTAGACACTCCTTCTGCATACAAGAAGAACAACACAGCACAAATATAGTTTTATGTAAGATACCAATCGGAAAGCAGAGAAATGTTTTACGAAACTTCGGTAAATCTTTGTCAACTAAATGCGACATCTACGCAACTGAATTTTATGGTGTTAGACAGATGAGTATATTTTGAAATGAATGTAGGCAATAAGTAAATGAATTATTGAATATTTTCGAGAAAGAATGGTGGAATTACTTTAAATTGAATACGATTCATCGTATATATCGATGAATTCAAGTTCACCAAATATTTCCTATTTCGCTAATTAATACGGTGCGACCTTAAGGAGCATCGTATTATTGAGTTTCTTCGCGTCTTTTTATTAATACGGTGCGCTAGCATCGTATTCTTGAGTTTCTTCGCGTCTTTTTAATACGGTGCGCTAGCATCGTATTATTGAGTTTCTTCGCGTCTTTTTATTATTATTATTATCTTTTCTCTTTCTCGACAAGGCGTCCAAAGTCCATTTTTAGTGACGTGCTGATCAAGGGATCGGGGCGTCGTTGAACTGTAGGATAAACGCTGTCGACCAGTCAGCTAGGTGAAGATGAGATATTTTTTTCTCAGAATTTCATAAACTGTTGCCGTTTGCCCAAAATAAAACACGGACTCTGTGGTAAACTGTGGCGAAGATCTTTTAAGCAGTGGAGATAATTAAAAGACGAGTAGGCGCGAAAAGATTTGTCAGAAGTGCGCTCTGGTTAGTTGAAAAGACAATTAATGAATGCGGCGACCTCACGTTTCTCTAGATTTTAGTTCATAGAGGCTTTGATTTGAGTACTTTCTTTATGACTTCTGTCAAATCAAATTTGCTACCATTAAATACAGTCTTAGTGAGCAATTCATTTTCAACTATGTCAACTAGAGAAGTTCTAACTTCAAACTACATGGTTGCACAAATAAACTATCCATTCAGCTAAATAGAATGAAGGTACAGGCGAAATTCCGCGCACCGTATTTCGCGGTCGGGCGAAGCCTGACAGCCCATCTAGTTATCTTTTCTCTTTCTCGACAAGGCGTCCAAAGTCCATTTTAAGCGATTCGATGATCTAGAGAACGGAGCGTCATTGGCCTTCCGAACAAACGCTGTTAAGGAGCTATGACTATGTAGATGCTCATTTTTTTATTCGAATTCCACTTTTACCATTATTTAGCCCAAAATAAAACATGGACGTAACGGTAAATCATGGCACATGCATTTTACATTGTTAAGATAATTAAAATCAGAGTAGGCGCCAAAAGAATAGTTTGTTTGTATTTTATGATTAGTTGATAAAACGGTGATTTAATGCAGCGACATCATGATACAGCGTTTTACGCGAATCTTTTATTTAACTTTCTCCTATAAAAAGCTCTCTGTATTAGCCGAAAAATATTTCCAACGATCTTAGGAACTATCGACTTGTACACTAACTGGAAAATAAACGTTCAATAGCATACACTTCCTCCTATGTTCCCGAAAACTCGTCGCACCGTATTTTGCATTTAGGCGAAGCATGAATGCTTTCTAGTTACCTATGCAATTCACTCACACTCTAATACTGTTATCAACTAATGTCTTTTTATGCAACTACGTAGAATACCAAAAATAAATAAAACTTGGTGATCGTAGTTTCAATAGACACGTTTGTTTTGACTGAACGATGCACCATAATAACTGCCAAAAAGGGTAGTCTCTAGATCGATTATAAATATGATTTGAAATAAATTAAATTAATTAGTAGTTTCGAGAGAATCGAAGGTTGAAAACGACTTTTTAAAATTCCTTTAATGTGCGTTCGTTTCCAACGCGTAGAAGCGGACTGCTTCGCGGTTTCTTCTGTGTACACAGCTGCCTGTTTTTCTCCCGTTCTGTAAAATTTAACGCCATCATTAACAGACGGATATTAAATTCGACATGGAAAAAACCAAGATGAGTATCTCACACTGGGAGAGTTCCCAATATAGCATGATAGTGTTGATATATAAAGACTGCATCACGATTGCCAACCAAGTACCTTTCTTTCTTAGACTGAAGTAAACACATTACAAGTAAGTTTACAATAAATCCAGCATACAAGGTGTCATTATTGCTAGTATATCAGTTATAGAGCATGTCGAATATTATCAATGTGCTATTTGCTACTATGAAGGGTAGTAAATACCCTGGACAATTGAAAGGGGATTATACTGCTGGAGATATAAAAAAATTAGTCATAGGCTTATTTGGTTCGGACAATTATCGACTAATTGTTAATGGGCAAGAAATTCAAGATAATAATCCAACTCAATTCAACGAATTGAAAAAGAATATTAAAAATAATACAACCATCTATGTATGCCAACGGATGGATGGTGGATCAGGCATGGTTGACCTTGATTCACACAAGGCAACGATTATTGTCGATCTTGAGGACGAACTGCGTAAAATTCCAACGCAACATACCAATTCTGAATGTATGATTTGCACCGAAGAGAAAAAATGTATAAAATACTGCTGTAGTTCAATCATTTGCAAAGAATGCTTTCCCAACAGTTTTATCTATGCGGATTATAAAGTGATTTGTTTAACTTGTAACAAAGTTCTACCGCCAGAGTCAATTTTCGTTACGAAACAATTTATCCAATCGCTCATTCAAATGGATGAAACTAAGCTGATGGCACGAAATATCGATTTTCAAATCTGCAGATGCGGAGCATTTGGTATCAACAGCACAATGTATGCAAAACAAAAGTGTAATAACTGTCAACGATGGTTCTGCTTCTTCTGTAATGAAGATTGGAATGAAACAGAAAAAAAGATGAAAAATGACAAGTATTCATGCCGAGTGAATTGTTTTTGGGAAACAAAAATCACCTACCAATTAGTTACATTAGAATACAACAAGAATATGGAAGTACCAAATCGACGATGCTGTCCGAAATGTATGGAATGTGGCTCTTATGATTTAAAATGCAAATACCACAGATGCAAATGCGGTCATACATTCTGTTTTATCTGTTTGAAATCTCAGACTGACTGTCAGCGTGATTTTAAATCGGCATACAATCGACCATGTGGCGCAGTAGCTCAACAAACATACACCATGTTTCCACGTCTTTGTCACGAATAAAAACGCTAATTTGTCGCCTTTTCATCTTTTAAACTTATTGACACAATAAACAAGATTTGGTTATATGTTTGTATCTTTTCAGATGAAAGGTTGTTTTCCATTGAGACGGAAAATATCAAAGACTAAATCGAAGCATTTGGCATCGGTTCAGGAATCTCAGTTTAAACTCGCGCATGGTAACAGCTCATCAGCAACGCACCAACGTTCAACAAGCATCCATTTGAATGTTAGTGCACTCAATCATACGTTAGAATTATCTGAGACGAAGAAACCAAATAAATTACCAAAGCTTAAGCAGCAAGTCAGCAATCGAATACTACCGGGTACCTAGTTCAATGCTTAAAATTGCATTTTGAATCACTTCTGCTGCTTTTCATAGAGCTCGACCATAAAGACACTGCATCCAAGAAACCAAAGTACAAGCTTGAAACACCTCACAGCAATGAACAAGATACTTCGAGGACATGTCCGACACGGGAAATCCAACCAATGCGGTTAGATGTTCCACAACACTTACCACCATTACGGCAGTCTTCATCACCATCCCAATCAGTTCATTGTACAGCGTTGACACAGAATTCTGCGGGTGTTTGTGGTCTTAGCAACATTGGAAATACTTGTTATTTGAATAGTGCTTTACAATGTCTGAATAGTATACCCGATCTTGTCCAATGGGCTAGAAAACAACCGACATCCTCAGTCGGCGGAAATATAGTTGATGTCTACGTTTCGTTGGTACAAAAAATGTCATCCGGCCAACATACATCTGTCAATCCCGAAAAATTGAAAGTTTGTATGAGCTATACTGCACCGCTCTTTTCCGATCACAACCAGAGAGATTCTCATGAATGTATGAATTCACTTCTTACAGCTTTGCAAGCAGCTGATTCAACTTCGTTCCTTACGAATCTTTTTCAACTTCATACTAAATCAATGACTACTACTTACAATTGTGAACATATTGATAGCGCTGATGAGACAACAACATTTCTGTCACTCTCAGTGCCACAGTTGAATCCAGACGATCGGCGCAAAGTCAGTCTAGAAGATCTTATACAAGACTTCTGCCATGAGGATGCCTTAAACGGAGATTACTTTTGTCAGGAATGTCAGACATACCGATCAGCGCGACACAAGACTACAATTTGCCAACCATTACCATCGGCTTTGATTATTCAACTGAAACGATTTCCGTTTGACGGTACGAGTGCAAAAATCGAGACATCGGTTGGATTTCAACTTCAACATACAAATTTACTGTCCAATGATGATCAATACGAACTGTCTGCTATTTTATTGCACAGTGGAAGTCTTGCAAGTGGACACTATACAGCAGTAGCACGTAATTATCTCAATCGTCGATGGTATCAATTTGATGACAGTTATGTAAAAGAAATCGATGTAGATGATGTATTAAAGCCACTAAATGTTCGACGAGCATATGTTCTCATTTATTTAAAAGTTCAAAGCGATACATTCGAATGATGTTTCTGTTTTTTTTCTAGATCAGTACATTAATGGAATCGAACGAACGACAACTTGTTCGACCTAATAATGGCAGAAAAGATGTTGAGAATTCTACCTACGACTTAAGGTCAATCAAGATAGATATTTCTGTTTCCATTCCGCGTCTTTTGGCTTTCTATCAATGGTATGACTTGGGTAAGCTTCTTTGTCGGCAATTACGTACTTAATAAAGAACTATTATTTCTTTTCTCATAGACCTTCGTTGTCTCAGGCGACTGATTTCATCTTTAAACCTTGATCCCCTGCAGCAATGTGAAATCATTATACCCAATGACTTCAATGAACTCAAATCAAGTTCTATACCTTCAACTTCTTCGATATCATTCTCCGTCGATGATTTTCTTCTTATTTTTATTCGCTATCTACAACTACTAAGGTTCATTCCATGGTCTTCACAAGTATCTATTTCTGACCGAGTTTATCAACCAACAAAGAGAAGAAAATATGAGCCAGGTCTTTGTGGTTTAGCTAATATTGGCAATACATGTTTCATGAACAGTGCTATTCAATGTTTAAGCAACATACCACAGCTAACAGAATGGGCTAAAACATGTCAATCATCGAGTGGTCAAGGCCCGGTGACCCAGGCATATACATCATTGATCAGATCTATGTGGTCAGGAGAGAAGAAGTGCGTTACTCCTAGAGAAATCAAACAACACGTGAGTCAACATGCCCCAATCTTTTCTGATTATGCTCAGAAGGACTCTCATGAATTCATGAACTCACTTTTAAATGCACTGCACTCGGAACTCGCAGCAAATGTTTCATTTTCTGAAGAACAAGCATCTATTGTTACTGATCTTTTTCGCATCCAAACTAAATCGGAAGTAACCTGCTTAAAATGCAATAAGTGCGATACGAACGAAGAAACAACATACTGTTTACCATTACCACTTGAAAACGAGCAGCAGACACAATTAAGTACACTATTACAAGATTTTCTTAAAGAAGAACTTCTCCAGGGTCAATACTACTGTTCGAAATGTGAAGATCTCGGACCGGCTAAACAGCGAACCAGTTTATGCTATCCGTTACCACCAGTAATCATTGTTCAATTGAAACGATTCACATTCGATGAATCCAGTGAGAAATTATATACACTCGTCGATTATCCACTTCACGATTGGCAAGTAGATGAGAGTGAGAACACGTTGTACGACCTTGCCGCTGTTTCAATGCACGTTGGCAATCTAAAACGAGGACACTATACAACATATGCGCGATTGAATACATCCGATCAATGGTATCATTTTAATGATCCTTCTTTTGAGCTTGTCTCTGATGTGGAATGTCTTGTGAATGAAAATGCTTATGTTTTAGTCTATTTGAAGAAGAATTAAATGAATATATTTTTTGTATATTTCAGATTAGTATTAAACAGTGTTTAGTAATACAGAATAATCAAAAGATATCAGGGAAAGTTTCTAGAATAATGTCGGCTACAACTGATGAAGTTTGTTTTCGAGTGTGTCGAATTTATCGGGACTTATTTTATTTAAAATACATCTGGGTGCCAGGGACCACGACAATTCAAAGACTAAAAGAGGAAATATGTGTACAACTTTGTTTAGCTATTGCATCGACAGACGTAACATTAACATTATTTGATAAAACTAAAAATGTCTGGATTCCAATCGATGAAACCAATATTAATAGAACAATCACTGATTTTCAATATCCATGTTTCTCTATTCTAAACGTAGAAAACCATAAAAAAATCAAAGAAAACCCGAATTTAACTTCAGATATTAGGAACAACGATTTCAAATTGCGACTTTGCAAGCGTCCAATGGATAGGTCTGATCTGATCGACCTCTTTCTCCCATCGACAATGACTATCAATCAATTAAAGAAGGAAATGCGAACGCACGTTACAACTGGTAGAACAAATCATCTTTACGTATGGATGAATCATAGTTGGACTAAATATGAACTAAACCTTGATGACGTTACTCTGGCTGAATTGGATTTTGTTCCACGTACAATCATTAGTTTTGAACCAGAAGTTGATCTTGTTCCTGGTGTATGCGGACTGACAAATCTAGGCAATACTTGCTTCATGAATAGTGCCCTTCAATGTTTAAGCAATATACCTGAATTCACTCAACAGATTTTATCTTTCAATGATGAAATGAATGCTCCGATTATTGGTGCATATTCGCAATTAATCAAAATGATCTGGTCTGGCGATTATGCTGTTGCCACACCATCGTCATTACTGATAGATGTGCGCGAATGTCTTCCACGATATTCATCCTATAAACAACATGATGCTCAAGAATTTATGAATTATTTTCTACATTTGATACACCAAGAACTAACCAATAGTGTTACACTAATTACAGACTTATTTTATGGTCAGATTCGATCTACTATTCGGTGTTCAGGTGGGTGTGGTTCTGCAGAGATCAATGAAGAAAATTTCAGTTTTTTGCCGTTGCCGGTTGAAGATGACAGTGATCAGTATCATGTTCTATACCTGAAAAGTAACGGTGAACAAGCGGTGATCACTTTTCAAAGTTCTACAAGAACAATCGGAGGATTAGTGGAATCGTTCATCGAACACTGTAAGTTAAATGTGCCAGCTCAACGAATTCAAGCTGTCCAAATAATAAACAATAGGATTGTAAAAAAATTTCAATCTGATGATTCACTTCGTAGTACAATTAAACATCAAATGGCCTTTATTGAACTCCAAGAGAAGTCTGTTGATCAAAAATATATGGAGTTTCAATTCCTCGATCGAAAAACCTACGTACCCTTTCGACCACCGGTTTACATTATTCGTCCGCTTTTTGGTTGTCATTACTCAGATCTATCACAGCAAATCCAACAGATCCAACAGCATCTCTCTTTGGCAACTAATGCTCTGCCAGATGCTCTAAATAATCTCTATTGGATTAGTGATTCCAATAGTGTAAATAGACTGACGTTGAATTCAGATAGAAACGAACCTTTTCTATTTTTGCATCACATTACCATTGAAATGGATTTATCATGGATTCAACAATATCAAAAGCGTTATAAACTCGACCTCCCACAAAACAATTTATCCTTGAATGATTTGCTCACCAGTTTCTTTCGTGAAGATCCACTCAATGGTGATTACTACTGTTCACATTGTCAGATTCTTCAAAAAGCTCGACAAAAATCCGATTTACTTCTCCCGCTGCCCCGTGTATTAATCATTCAACTGAAACGATTTACTTACGAAGCCTATTCCAACAGAAAAATCGATACATACATCGACTTTCCACTCGAAAATCTCGATCTCAGCCCATATGTCACTTCAGATAATATAAATCAAAACATTACATCATCATCATTATACGATTTAGTTGCCGTATCCAATCATACGGGCACACTTTTCAGCGGGCATTATACAACCTATGCCAAAAACAGTAGAAACTACTCGTGGTACTCATTCAACGACGAAACAACGCGTCAAATCACAGACGTAAGAGAAGTTGTGACAAAAAATGCTTATATACTCGTTTATGTCAAACGAACTGTTGCATAATTCGTACTCATTCAACTTGCAGAATAAATATTTGAAAAAGAAAGAATAGATTTGTAAATATTCATGTATATAAATTTGATCGAGTGTGACAAAAAATACGTGCGTTCTTATAAAAACAACAAAACTCTCGATGTAGGATACCTTCGGGTAGGATTCAACATTTTCTTGAGCGGATTCATTTTAGCATAGGTTCCAATCAAACCAACACTGGTTCCAAAAATAAAATTTCGCAAAAAGCTCTTTCTTCGCCCTCAAAACCTGAAAAAAAATCCGAAACTAGAGAAAAACCGGGGCGGATTCGTTTCACAACCACCGAGGATGTGAGGGTATGGGTGGGGTAAAATTTTTATGATTGAAACCGATAGAGCTCATCAAGTTGTACTCGGAACCAGTGTTGGTTTGATTGGAACCTACGCTAAAACGAATCCGCTCAAGAAAATGTTGAATCCTGCCCGAAGGTATCCTACGTAAACTCTCGTCGCATTTGTCTGATGACAGGGAAAAAAAATATTTTCTGCTTTTTAAGGTGAAAAACATGCATGCTTATTTCCTTTTCACTTCCATTTGATAACACGTTAACATATACTCTTAACGATTCTTTTTTTCCCTGTATTTTCAGTGCGAATCAACAACATTTCATAATTAGCTTTTACAGTTTGTTTTCCTCTATGAAAACTTTCATTTCTCTCAAGACGTCATCATCCCATAATATGCCCTCAAGCGTATGAGCTTTTCTTTTCTCTCGTAAAGAAAAACAGCATCTGTGTGGCTGCATTGCTGGCTCACTAAACAAATAATGTAAGTCTTTTCTTATAAAAGTTCTTTTGAGAACGTTGCGTTGACGTCAACGTACGTATTTATGGTTTGCTTGACACGAAAACAGTTGAATACAAAGTGAATACCTCGTAAAAATGTTTCTAACGACTGAGAAGTATTAAAAGCAACAAACATGTGGGAGTTTGTTTCCAACTTGTATATATAATTAAGGTTTTTTTGTTCAGTGGTGATGAAAGTTGAAGTCAGGTAAGTTTTACTATAGAATAGCGACATCTATTTGAAGACAAGATATGATTTTTTTTTAATGAATGAGCCTCTGACAATTGTTGCGCTCTTTCCTCTCTTCTTTCTTGTCTGTCTGTCTTACGTTCCGTTGATGACGAATGAGCATTTGTCCAAACAAGGTAAGCCTATTGACACTAGACAATCTTTCTATTATCTTTCTTTGCCGCATGAACTTTGCACTTTCAAAGTTTCTCGTCGCCTCTTTTTTTTTCTTCATTTTACGAAGCTCAAAATTGATCACCTAAGATTCATGCTTAGCAACAAGAATCCTTTTGTACGTGTGAGTTCATGGTCGACATTATTTGATAAGTAGGCGAGTTTTGAACGCGCAAATTTGATTTTCCTGAATAAATAAAAAAAGTCATATCTAACGCGTCAAAACACGGTCGGGAGAAGAAAAACCTATGAGTAATGTTTTCTAGCATAAGAAACAGAATGAGTAACTGTCGCCTAGCAGCTGACTTCTAGTCAACACATTGAAATTTCCTTATAAATGACTGCATCTATTTCTTGCCTAAGCATAATCATCGAACGAAGTTATCTAAAAAATTTTTCTTATTTATGACACTATCAATGTGCGCAATCAACCAAGTGCATCGGTTGTGTTTACGTTGGTAAATATTATAAATCACTGTCGATAACATATTCGTTGTACGTATTAAGACAATGAAATAGTTGCAATTTTCGCGAGACAGGTAGTATTTTTTGGAATGCTTGTTTGTTCGAAAGAAGTGATAGTAAACATCAGAGGAAAAAACAAGTTCGAAACGACTTTGGCGAGCAGAGAATGACGCGAGAAACTGACGATAGAATTAGTAATATAAAAATAAATAGAAGTGTTCTGTCATCTGGCCTATATTTCGAATGCAAAATTTGACTCATTCTATATTTACTACTCAAGTCGATTTGATTGTTCGAGCTAGTTTTTAAATAACAGAGAAGCGAATTGTATGTTTTTTTTTCTTCTCTCTGAGAAAAAACAAGTACATACGAAGAAAAATCAAGTTTGACAAACGACGTATGAGTAAAAAACCCGAACATACGTTGAGTGCGCTCTTTTTTTCTCTTTCCGAAACCACGCGCACCGAAAGAACAGAATAATAATATAGTATGGGGTGACTACGATGTTTAATGCTGATTGGTGGTGTTCTATTCGCACACCTTCATGTCTGTACAAAATACTTCTCGACATTAGAGGAATATAAGTCAACAACTAGCTTTCGAAGAGCTTTTAATGACCTAATCAGTTGATTTACTTTTTTGTAGATATTGTTGAATGGCCACTTCTCGGCCATCATCGTTGATTATTCCATCGGAAGTTGTCGATGTGACAAATTCGTCAACTGGATTAGCGAAAACTTCGACGGCGAAGCCCGAACGTTCGTCATCCTCGTCTGTAGATAGTAGTAGTGCTATAAATAACAATACAAGTGACAATATTTCCTCATCCCAAAACTTTGTACGTACAACAACTTCATCTACAACAACTGAGAGTGATCTCGAAAGTGAACACGGCGACCAGAATCGATCGCGCGAACAGAAGAGCGATTCGAATAGTCAAGAACAATTATCTCGACGTATGAAACACTTTCAAAAACTGTTTAAATCGGAAATACAAGGTGAAATGCCTGAACTAATTGATTCCTATGTATGTGCCTATCAAGGTGATATTTTATTACAAGGAAAGATGTACATAACCGATCGTTATCTTTGTTTTCATTCTCGAATTATATCTTACGTAACAAAACATGTTTATCGATGGGAACAAATTCAACGCGTCACCAGAGAACGTGTTGCTTTCATATTTCCAACTGCGATCGGTATTCAACTAAAGCATAGTGAGAAAAAAATCATCTACGCTTCGTTTCTTCAACGCGATCAAGCCTTTGACAAGATTGAATCCATTCGCCTACAAGCTACGAATGATATGAGTTCATACGATGACGATGATAGTGACATAATGAATGATGGAACATTAAAGCCAACAAACCACAATAGACAAGGCAAGTCGTACAAACGCGATTCGTATGATATTGTCGATGGACCGGAAGAAAACGGTGTCTTAGGTATGTGTTTAAAAAATACGAACAAACGGCCTACGAGTATAATATCGACTAAAAGCAGCAATGATAAACAACAATCAAAAACCTTAATTAATTCGTACAGTAAAAAGTCATCTGATAGAAGTACGCTGACGAACCAGACGGTATCGAACGATTCAAATGAAAGCAATTTGTATAGCAATCAAACTAGTCGAAGTTCACGTTATACAAAGCATGAAAAAAAGCAGCCGAATAATGAAAAACGTAAGAATCCTCTTCTCATTCTTTCACAAATAGTTTCATCTTTGTTTTTCTTGATGTAGGAAATAACTCCTTAGTCAACCATCACCAATCAACATCAAATTCGGTGAAATATCGTCAGAGTCAAAATCAAAGTCAAGAGCGAGCGTCAGTCTCACATAACCAACCGACACATTCACCATCTGCTCCTCCTTCCGAATTAACTCGAAATCTCTCCGTGACTGATTCAAACTCACGTGGACTGTTAACTAAATTCTTAAATCTATTCGTTTCATCGATGAACATTTTACTTCAAATCATTCCATCATCGATCCAACATGCACGAACATTACCATTGAAGACTACCGTTTGCATAGTCTTATTCCTAATTCTTCTATTTTTTCATGCATTTTATCTGATGAAAGTAGCCAATCGAATCGAGAATCGATTGCATTCCTTGCATAATCTATGGCCATCTTCATCCAATTGAAAAGAACTTTAGCATGTGAACATTATGCAGCAGTTGAGCTATCCGTCCACACAAGCATTTATGTCCGGTTTTTCTCGTTCATTCGCCGATGAACGTGTTCAATATGAATATAAATATATACATATGTCACTTTTGGATGTACGAACAGTTCGTCTAATCTTCTATATTTAACAGTTAGTACTTTTTATTTGTTTTCATGATTGTTTATTTGTCCCAAGTAGTAAATCCACGGGTTCATTCCAAACAAAACGTAATGAGTGCAACACTTACTTGATTTACATGCTTTGTAAATTTGTATGTGTGTATGATTGTTTTCTGTTCTCTTGCTTTTTGTATTTCATAACATGACGCTTTTAAAATTAAATATCTCGAACAATCCTCTGAGTCCAAGGCAATCTCATAACGAATGAACTTTCAAATATTTGTTGAATATATTTGTTCAATTTACAAGTGTAATGAATATATTGCATCAAAAACAAACGTAATCAGAACAGAACACACACACGCACGCACAAGAAAGTGAAATTCTCGGATGTACGAAGCAGATAAGCACAGGTATTCTACTGTTACCAAATAGAGACAAACAAGAAGAAACAAATTCTTTCTTTAGCTTCGATATGGATGGTGTCGGGCTTGAGAGAGGATGTTCGAACGTTGAACAAGTTGAGCAGGCTGTTGTGCAACCACACCAGGGCCTGCGCTCGATTGTTGTGATGTCGTAAGTGTTGAGTTGGCTGTTGGATTGATCATCTGATACGCAGTGCCAGCCGATTGACCAGAAGCGGCGATTTGATAGGCAATCTGTTGTTGTTGTTGTTGCTGCTGCTGAGACTGAGATACATGTTGTTGTGTAGTACCATTGTGAAGAGTAGGACCGGCAGAATACATCACGGGCGCGCCAGTTGTTGTGACCGATCCTGGTGTTGAACTCGCTTGAGCAAGAACGTAACTTTGACCGCCAGCTTGATAAATCGCTTGACCACCTGCCGGTGCATAGTACACTTGCTGAGGAATGCCTTGTTGAGTTGTATATTGTAACTAAGAGGAACGAAAGGATTTTTTTACGAAGTTGTGATCTACTGCAAGATTCGATTGTTTACCTGAGATAAGAGATTCATTTGCTGCTGCTGTTGCTGCGCTTGTGCTTGAGCCATAGTAGTATAATAGATATTATTTGCAGTACCACCATTCGCTGATTGTTGTTGTTGATGTTGTTGTTGTTGCTGCTGCTGCTGCTGCTGCTGTTGTTGTGATTGATAAGCATACTGATATTGTTGCTGAAGAGCGGCAGCAGTCGCTGATGCAGCACTTTGTTTCTGTGGCGAAATTATTGTTGACGTTTGTTGTGGTTGAACGACTGATGAAGAGAAAGAAGTCGAGGAAGAAGAAACAACAGTAGCTGGATTTGCTGCCGAATTTGTTGTACTTGCTGACTGAGGTGCACCGATATAGTGAGCAGGTGATTGACTTATATAAGCTACAATTTGATCATCAGAATGAGAATAGATTTATCTAATGAAAAACTAAAACAAACCTTGTGGAGCCGAAGAGTTGGCTGTTTGAAGCACAGGACTTGTTGATAGTCCTTGTTGTTGTGCATAATTAGCTGGCAGTTGAATGTATTGCGTTGGACCGGCTTGAATAGTTGGTTGGCCAGCATATTGATAGATAAATTGCGGAGATTGACCACCCACCATGGCAACGGGTAGTCGTGTAGCTGTCGGTTGACCTGCTGCATTGATGGAAATAAACTGTTGTTGTCCAAGTTGAGTTTGAGCTTGAGTTTGTATTGCTGCAGCAGTTGCCGCAGAACTTTGAGCAAGTAGAGCATAGCCTCCGGTAGCTGTGCGCACAAGTGTATAACCAGCAGGAATACCACCTATTACATTCTGCTGTTGTTGTTGTTGTTGCTGTTGCTGTTGGGCCGCAACGACCATGGCCAACTGTGCTGCCTGCTGCTGTTGTTGCTGCTGCTGCTGCTGGGCAAGGGCTTGTATTTGTGCAGCATACAGCGCTGACTGTTGCATTGTTTGACCAGCATGTGTAGCAAATGCAATTGGACTACCAGCGGCGCCTGCTGTTTGATACCCACGTAAAGCATCCATTGGAATGCCTAAAATAAACGAGAGAAAGTAAGATCATTGAGTCTTTGAAAAAAAATCTTACCACCATAGATAACCTGGCCAGTAAGACCATTAGCTAGGCCGCCTGATGTAGCATAAATAGCACCTGAAGCTGTTCGAATTGCGCCTGCTGTTGGAAGCGCACCGAGTAAACTTGTTTGGCGATAAGCAGCTTGGATAGCTGCTGCGGAATGAGCTAATGGTAGAGTAGTAGCTACAGCTGTTGCTGGAGCTGTAGTATTTGGACTAGTAGATGCTGACATTGATGATTCGGTCGACAAGGGAGGCGGTGGTGGAGGAGGTGGAACGAAAGAATTAATTGAAAGGTCACTGCTATTGTTATTCTGCGTTGACAATCCGGTCGTTGGTGACGACGATGTTGTTGATGCATTTTCATTCATTGTTGTCGGTGAACCTGATTGTCCTGTTCCATTCATAATCGTAGATGTACCATTATCTGATGTTACAGTCGTTGAATTCCCTTCCGAACTTGTTTCTGGTGAAGCTGATTGTTCAGCAGTGGTTGTGACAGGTGGTGTCGGTTCTTCTTCGTACACATGCTCAAGAGCACGTGTTGCTGCTTCAGCTAATTCGATATTTTCTTTCATTTTGTTTTGTAACAATGGATCATCAGTTAGACCAATCACTCGTAATGTATCTGTATCTAGTATATCCGGATCTGCATCTAAGTCATCAAAATTAGCTGGCCATTGACTTCCTACAGAACACGAAATTCTTTCATGATAACAGAAAGCATCAAAATGACTATACCATCTTGAATGAGACTGACAACAGCATAAGGTAAACAGTGAAATGGTCGTTTAATTGTTTCTCGTCCTTCAAATTCGTATAGAAATATCTACCAAAGCATCGCAATTTGTTTACATGAAAACTTGATTGCTTCTTTCATCCTACCTGAGACTGATCAAATTGTTTTTCCAAATCATCTGTTTCTTTCGGTGTAATCACTGAACAGTGACTCGTAAATTGAGGTGTGGGTGCAATCGGCTGTAATTTCGGTCCTTTTCGTACAAGTGCGGCCGTTTGTTTTCCCTCCACAATCTGTATAGAACACAAGTCAAATTTCCTTTTTATATGAACAACTCAACCAACCTTGAAGACAATCATTTTGATAACCACATTTCCTTCCCATGTTCGACGAACACTCGCATGTCGAATGCATACATCCGCATGTTTACAAACATAGATGCCATATTTACTATGTCCTAAAAGATCAATAGGGTTCGAATGACAGTGATCGAAGCAAGGGAATCTAATGGCATATACCCAAAACAGAAAAAAAAACAAAACAACGATAATCATAAGAATAATAAAATGACAGAAAATATAGAATTGAAATCATGGCATTTTCACTCAAGTTGAAGAAAAACGTATGTCGAAGAAAAGAACATGCAGAAAATCCGAACTGGTCATCACTTGAAATCACCCGAAAGCGCAAATAATCAATATCAGAAATTTTCTTTCTTCTTCTGCTTATTGGTGCCAAATATCAGATGAAAACAATGATTTCATATATGTTCATACAATATGTAGTCAGTACAACATAAGGTGTATTACTTACCCGGTGGTCAAATCTAACTCTCTAGTATGTTTTTACGAAGATTTTAAAGATGAATAACATCAAATCACAACAGCGGACTTTGGAGGAGAGAAAAAAGCGCAAGCTAAATAATACCAATAGAATGAAGTGAACGAGAGGACATCAAGAAATGAAAAGAAACACGTTTGTGGAGGCAAATAGCGGCTGACATCAACTGAGGGACAGGAGAAACAAGCTCGAGTATTGGTGATAATTGCTCGCAACTCACGTTATGATTATTATGTCAGATTTTCCATTTGAATCGAAAGATTTGGATCATTCCTATACGAATAACTAAGACACACAAAATCAAAAAAAGAAGATAAAGGACACGAATGAAACAATAAAGCCCCATGCAAATGTGTGCGTTAGAACATGTGTACAGAAGAAGATCTATATACCAATTTGAAAGAAAGAAGACATAGAGTACATGCAAGCAAGTTCTAGAACGAATTCGTTGATTTTTTTTCGTGTCGGAATAACTATAATGAGTGAATAATGTGCAATAGACGATGAAATTTGTTTAAAAGTGAGATTATATAGAGATCGTTGGTAAAATCAGAGAGAAGAGCGATAGGTAGATACACAACGATAACAAAAATGTTACGAATATCTATGGATTAGTAGATAAAAATCGAATGACAATCAATAATGCCGATGCAAGGTGAGCAGTTTTCTAGATCGACTGATCAATTGAACAAAAACAAGAACCGAGATTTCAAGAGCAGCGCGGATTATTCAACAACCATCGAGAACGATATATACATAGATAATGATAAAAAACAGGTGGTAAGTGAGAGAAATAGACCGATCTACATCAATAATAGTGATATAGATACTTACGGGTAAGAGTTAGCATTAGATTTTCAAGGTTAGATACACACTAGATGATATATACAGATGTATGTAGTGTCGGGATAAGGAATAAGTTAAGCAAATATACATGTTTATCACAAAGGCAGAGAATTTTGTTCAAAACGAAGATTATTCCTGTCTTAGATATATTCTATACAAAGATTAAAGATTAATCAGTGAATAGAACTAAAGAAAAGAATATTTTTGACGTATCAACAATTACCTAGTACGTTGAACGAAGTTTCTGTGCAGTGATAACCGTTTTGACAGATATCGAGTACTTGAGTGTCATTATCAATAAGAAACGCGTAGGATTCTTCGAATTCGCGACGTTTGCCAACAGCAGCTTTTTCGAATCTCTTTCGCACAGCTAAAACAAAAGAAACAATTATCATCAGCGAACATCATGCCATTTCATATGAAATAATCAACTAAATTAGCAAAGATAAAGCAAGCATATGTCACCGTTATATATGTTAAAAAAGTCAGGAAGAAAAGGAAAAAAAAACGAAATGATGTGAACTATTTTCGATTGTCTTTTTTTATCGAATGTCTATCGATTCATGGTAGATGCACCGACAAGCAGCAAATCAAGAAGAGTTTAGGAAAATTCTCTTTACATGCTACTGCTGATATCGACAGAATCTCTTTGCGATCAGACATCACAACATACATGCAAAAGACCTAGAAGAGAAAGCAGTAGAAGAAGGAAAAAAAACAAATGAATTAGTCGTTGGTTCAGTACAACATACTTGAGGAAAGTGTGTTTTATTTCTCGTGCATATGACATTACTTTCTGTGCATGATAAATCAAAATCGAATATGAGAAGGAAAAAGAGATGTTCGGCAAAAAAACAGAGATCGTCTACAGACAAAAGAAGCATGCAAAGAAAAATAACGGATTAGATTAGTATTGATTTTTCACAACGATAAAAAAAAACGTTTTTTCAACCGACCAATTCAGTTTCTTTTGCAAGGAGGATGAACAACTAGAAAAAGACTAGTTTGGTTTCGATATGTGTATATCCTTGATTGGAACACAGCGAGAGAACATGAAACTATACTTTCTTTAATTCCGAAAAAAATGATCTAATTACCGAAGAATTCATTGGTTAGTTGGGTATTAACCACCAGTTCGACTTTAATCGGTTTCCAGGTGATTGATCGTTGTTCGAGAAAGCTTCGGCGGAGGACATTGTGAACATTTCGTTCGATGGTCGACTGGTTACTGGTTTCTAATAGCATTTCTAAATAATAACACTAATTCAACGATGATCATTAACTATGTATTCATACTCAATGGTACTTGAAACGATTTCTCCGTTTCACCATTGATAGTTGTTCCATTTTCTTCAGTCATTGTTGATTTGAATGGCAAGAATGATTACAGGCAGACACGGGTATCATTTGTATGTATTTTCAACCAATGGGAATCAATTAACGGTGTCGCCACATGTACATCTTTGTAAGTTCTTTGTTTTTCTTTCTGTCAAAAGCAATGTGACGGCAGTTTTTTCTCCTCAAATCAAGGATGTTCACAATTTAATTGAAAACATCACAACAATTTGAAATGTAAGTAAAAATCTCGATTTGTCTTTTTGTTTTAACAAAGATCTTTTCATTCAAAAAGAAAGTATTGAATAGAGAATAAGAATGGGTGCCGAAATTTCTCGTCGGCATCAATCGACAAACATAGGATCAGGTAATTGCCATGCTCTAATTAATACATTTGACTGCATGCTGGATTAACATCAACAATTTGCATGTGTTGTAATGTTTGTTCTCGAAAAGTTTTCATTCAATGTCTCTTTAGATACCTTCTCAACGGCATTAACACACACAGATTTGAAAAAGTCGACGAAACATAACCAAATGGATCGATTAAAACGAACATTTAGTTTCCATCAGAAGAAGAAAGATAATAGCAGTACTAATAACAAAAATTCCACAAATAAGAATGAAAAGAAACCGATTCAATGGCATGATGATGACAAGTCTGTACGCGATGGTACTTGTAGTTTTAATGTTAAAGTAAATGACATTTATCTGACATATATACATGTGTATTGAAGATTATTTAGTATTTGGGTAGTGTAGAAGTTCAAGAATCTCGTGGCATGCACGTTTGTGAACAAGCAATTCAAGCTTTATTAAATGTAAGATCGAATTGATTCTTGTCTTGGATTTGTTGGAATGAATTTGTTATGTTTAGCAAAAAGTTAAACACACCAAAGCCATTTTGTATATCTCAGGTGATTCTCTTCGTGTTGTTGATGAAACAAGCAAGGGTTTAATTGTTGATCAAACGATTGAAAAAGTCTCTTTTTGTGCTCCCGATCGTTTTCATGATAAAGGTTTTGCATATATTTGTCGAGACGGTACAACACGTCGATGGCTTTGCCATGGGTTTCTTTCTATTAAAGAAACAGTAAGACTCGATCGATTAATTCTTGTTGTTTATACAACGCGCAATTTCCTTTAGGGTGAACGTTTAAGTCATGCTGTCGGTTGTGCTTTTCAAATATGTCTCGAACGTAAACAACAACGTGACCGAGAATGTAGCGTTACTGTCGAATATACACCGAATGGGACATCATTCACGCGTTTTGGTTCATTTCGTTCCACATCCATTCTTGAACGTCTGATCGATCCTCAGAGTGCTATCATACCAGGTCTGTCAATAGTATTTTTTATGAGAAGAATATCTCATTTGTTTTTCGAACAGAATCAACTCCATGCCCTTCGGTTAAGACGAGTGTGGATTCGTCAAGTCAAAAATCGAATCTTATGGAACGACCACGCCCGAAAGGAAGCAAGTCTGAACCATTCGTTCGTAGTATGTCCATGCGTACAGATGATTTCAATCAAACAGCCATTGGTGCGTTCAAACGACAAAGTTCGTTAAGACCAGGTGATTTATCAACAATCCAAGAAATGAAATTCAAAGATCCATATATCAATACAAGTAAGTCAAACTTCTTTCTCATAAATTTCCACTTTATGTTCATATGAATTTAGTAACGGAAGAGGTGGAAAGCCAAATAGCTGCAAACGAACTTTCAAAATTGTCTTTATTCCAATCGTCAAATAAAAATAGTAAGCTACATATTGTTATCAAAAATGATCTTGTAGAAACTTTTTTCTTAGATCATAATCACGTCTCTCTTCCTATCCACAATGTTCCCACCATTCCACCTTGCCAAACTAACATTCCTGAACAAACAACTGTATCACTCACCGATGCATTTACTTCAAACTTAACCGCTCTTATGCAAAGTAATCATCCAGTCAATCCTTTTTCGCCATACGGTTATTCCATGGCAGCTCAGGCTCAATCATCGTCGGCACATCATCAACAATCAACGGTATTCACACCTAAACGCGGTACCAATCCATTCGATGATGATTTAATACGACGATGACATCGATACTTGTCAAAGCTTTATTTTTGCTACTATGTGGACACATTTCCTTTTTTTTAGATTGTTCTTGTGATCTCGTCTTGTATTTTATTTGTTTATTAATTCGGTTTTCTTCCTCTTTGTGCATATGTTTCTCTCTCTCGCGCGCGCGATATACGATTGTAATTTCAAATTGAAATATTGGTAATAAAACATGAACAAATCATATCATTTTTTTTTGCTTCAAAATTCTCGAGTTTAAGCGCACAATGAACGTCATAGTTAATTAGCTCGATGAATTTTCATCTTTCTCTATCTCTCTCTCTCATCTCGACATTTGTTTTATTTCGTTTTTCTTTTTCTCTTCTAAATTATAAATAAACAAACATAAATCTTTTTATAAATGTATGTACGTGACAACAATGAAAGAGCATATAAGTTTGACACACAGGAATTGATCCGTACAAGACTGACAGACAGACAGAAAGAAAAAGAAATGTGTACACCCAAGACATTAAACTCATACATATGTATATATTTGTTTTGTTTTCTTTTTTTTGAAGACATTTCAGCGAATTTGAGAGAGATAATGGACAACAGAGAAAAAATAAGAAAGAAGAAGAAAAAAAAAGGAAAATTTATATCCCATCTAATGTTTCATTATATTCAATCGATTGTTTCCTTTTCGTTTTAACAATAGTATTACCAGTCGGCGTCACCTGTTGCTTTACTAAATACATAATCATGTCCTTCAAGATTCATAATACCACTTTTCAAGATAAATCGCCATTTGTTTTTCGTACGCGAGATCTTAAGAAAAACAAACAAGTGAATCTCACGGAAGAACAGTTTGCGTTTCTACCTTGTCGTACTGGCAAACAACAACATTTTCTGTCTCGAATAGTTCAGCAGGTTCATCATCGCTGACATCATCATCTGAACAAAGTGGGTTAGGATCTTCTTTTCCTTCTTCTGCACCATCTTCGTCATCATCGTCTTCGAGATCTTCAGCAACATCATTCTAAAATGAAACAAAGCATTGTCTTGTTCTGTATGACAGCTGCATTTCATGAAGCATACGCCTTCTAAGTCACTGTCTTCATCGTCATCTTCATCATCACCAACCTGGAAAAGAAATCGAATGCAACATGAAACAAGATAGATTTTTCACTGACCGGAGGACCCGTTCCATCTAACTGGAATGAAATTTCAATGATTGGCGACTTTTTCTTACGCTGTCGTTTGCTTTTCTTCGTGCATTCTTCATCATGAGCTCCATCTAATTGATTCGCTGTTCTCATTGTCGAATTACCGATATTAGACGGATTCTGAAGCATAGAACTATTTTCGAGCAAGTCGCTTTTCGTTCACAGCTTACCGTTGGCGTGATGGAATATGTTGCACGGCCGAATTGTGATCCAATCGAACTTGCACTCGATAATAGTGATGGATTTAAATTCGTCGCTGTTGTGTAATTATTGAAGTTTGATACTCCGGAATTGGTCGCTTGTTGAACACGACTGTGGACTGACTTTATACCAGCTGGGTGTTTATTATTCATTGTTGATGAATGATTCGTATCACCGGTTGTTGGATGTCGATATTCTCGATTTGTAACTTGATCAACAGTGGATGTTGTTGGAGGTTCTACTGCTTTGGAATTTTCTAACCGTTCTAACCATTGCTGAAATGGAAAAAAAAATAAACGTATTGCTTATGGGCCGAACACACAACAGGCAAATGTACATTTCGAAGTTCTTGTATAGTATGATCGTCACAGCCTTCTGCTGTTAGTGCTTCACGTACTGCTGAACAAACATCTTCAATTACATCTTGGTAGATTTTTTTCTAAAGAAATATTTTCATTCGAGAGGAATTGATAAGATACGATTGGCAATGCTTACAACATCGCTTACAGCCATTGTTCATTCGTTTGTGTTAGAAACTTTTCATTAAAATTAATCAATCGACAAACTTTTTGGTTAGACTCTTTCACGTATGTGTGTGAGTCTGACGAAAGTTTCTCCAGCAAAAATGTTCCTTTTATACTCGTGCTCCCCCTTAATATAGACAACGCATCTTATGGCTAGAATCTCTCGCTAGCGCAAAGCGCCACATGCTATGCTAACTTGTCGTCGTCGGTCACGCTATTGATGCGTCGAAGATGATGAATATTATTGGTGGAAATTCACGAGAATTCTAAATACTGTGTTAGATAATCAGTACAATACGAATATTTTCAATTTGTCTCTTTTGAATACTTGTTGTGAATGAACTAAGTGAGATTATTGGTGGATATTTTCATTTGTAAGATAATTGTGTTATGTCTTATGAAATTCGATACCTTTTCTAAAGAAAGGATCGCGAACACTTGTCGAATGTTCCCAAGAATATTTTGTTTGTAGATTTGAAAGTTTCTTTCGAGAAAAACAAACGAAATGGAATCGTTAGCCGACCTTCGTTCCATGATTGAACAAACATTAAGCATGATTATTACACCTGACCAGCAATCGATCGAAAAAGGTCAAACGCAATTGCAAACTTTAGAATTATTAGATTTGTACACATTAGCATTAACAGAAATATCAGTTGATAACACACGTGACATAAGTATCCGGCAATTAGCTGGTGTATTACTCCGGAAATACGTCAGTAAACATTGGACACGAGATATTGAAAGTTTCGTTGAACCCGAAGTTCCCGAACAGATTAAAAGTCAGATACGCCGAATTCTTCCTCACGGTTTAAATGAATCCAACCATCGGCTTCGTGTTGGACTCGCTTGTGTCATATCAGCTGTAGCTGAATGGGATTGTCCAGAATCGTGGCCCGAATTATTACCATTCCTGATCGAATCGTTGAAATCAACAAATAAAGCATTAATTCATGGTTCAATACGTGTTCTCACAGAAATCATTCGTGATCTGGACGATCGACAGTTGCCTGTTGTTCTTCCGCTACTTCTACCAGAAATGTATCGCTTGATGACATCCAACGACTTCAGCTTACGTATTCGAACACGTGCAATAGGCATCTTTACTTTACTTGTTTCCCTCGTGCATGATATTAACGAACATGATCGGATTTTATCAGTGGGCTACATTCTGCCTTATTTATCACACTACTGTGAAGCATTCAAACGCTTTCTTGTTGCACCAGATTCATCACTGATGACCGACACAGGTTGTCGAATCGAAACCATTCGCGCATTGACATTATTATTCAAAAGTTTTCCAAAACTAATGCAGCAAGATGCCGCTGAACTGTTGCAATCCGTCTGGACGTGTTTAACATCGAATACGGAGAATTACGTTGCCACAGTTGTGTATAAGCACGGAGAAATGGACGCATCGGTCGATTCGGATGGTAATAGAATGGACTTTGACTCAATGGACATCTTCATTTGTTTTGTTTGATTAGGTGAAACATTAAGTTTCGAATGTTTGATTTACAGTTTATTTGAATTTGTGCAAGTATTAATGGATTTACCGACGTACAAGAATTCGGTGAAGACATCCATGGAAGAGTTGTGCTATTATTTGATTTTGTGCATGCAAATAACTGAAGAAGAAGTATGAACGAGTACATTTTTCTTTAGAAAAACAAAATGCACGGTGTTCCGTTGTTTTAGTATGATTCTTGGTCGAAGAATGTTTCGCGTTATGTTGAAGATGAAAGTGATGATTCATTTTCTCATTCGGTCAGATTATCTGCATTGGAATTACTTCTTGTATGAAACTATTCGAAAATATTTTGTTTGACTAAAACTTTCTGTTGTTTAGTCGATTACAAGTGAGTTCAAGAAAGAAGCGGGCATCGGCCTTTGGAAAGCTGTACAGTAAGTTCATGACATGCTTTCATCAGATCTTTCGTAGTTGACTGTTACTTATGCACGTATGGATGGAGATTGATCATGCGTCAACTTGATTTGTCTGCTTTTTCTCTTTTATAAAACGATCTTCAAACAACAGAAATTCAAGTGAATAAATATTTCTGTTGTGCTACTAGATTGAACATACGTGTCGTCCTTTGTTTGTGCACAGGTTCTACAAAAAAAAAACATTCAGATCCTTCGTTTTGTTTTCGAATCTGTTCGATCAGTAAAATCATCGTGTTTTCATTTTAGTCGCCATTTGTCTCATGCCGAAGCATTGAAAACCCACAATTCACCGCGATGGTGGAAATTACACGAAGCTTGTCTATTAGCCATGGGTCGCTGTAAACAATTGCTAAATGATATGCTAATAACAGGATATGTGAAAGTTGATCTCGATGCTTTTGTTCGACAAGTACCACTGGCAGATTTATCGCAATTTGGTCTGAAAAGAATTGTGTTTTGTAATGGAAAAGCATGTTCTGTTCAATTTAGATTATCCGTATCTTGTGTGTCAAGCTGCATTGTTTGCTGGACGATTCTCACGTTCGTTAAACGCGGAAGTTAATCGAATGTAAGATCAACACATCATGTTCTTCTCTCAAATCCGTTTATTTGAAGTTTTTTGGATGGAATCTGCCAACTACTGGAACATGCTCAACATCCAATTATTAATCTCTCGTCACTTCGAGCTTTTTATTAGTAAGTATCGAAAGAAATTGAACGTTTGTAAACAGTGTCGGTTTTAGTTACTGTGAAGAAGTTGGCGTAGAACAAACAAACGATGTTGTAGCATATCTCCCACGAATATTCGAGGGTATACTAGCAACTATGGGTCGTATACCTCAATCTGCATATATTTGGCCATTGGAATCGTTGGCGATATTGATTAGTGTGGATGAAAACTTCGTTTCAACAATTGAAAGTCGTTTATCACCGTTAGCCATTGAACTTTTCGTCAATTACATACAAGATCCACTGATCAATGGCGAAACCACAGCGTAAATACTGATCGAAAAATCGCTTTTCAACAAATTAATTTTTCTCGTTTTAGAATCATTAAAGGTCTCGTTCATAATAATAAAGTCTCGAATTCGATACAGGAACGATTGATTCCATTATTACAATCTATTGTTGATAACAATCCTTCTTCATCGGATCTACCGCGTATTGCGCCAAGTCTGGCATTTTCTGTTCTTGATCTACTAACAACTGTTCTTCGATCATTGAATCCTCCTATCAATGCAAACTTATTGAATCAAACATTCCCTATTGTTGCTCATTTACTTTTAACAAGTGATGATCAACAGATCCTGATCAACGGTGGAGAATGTTTATGCGCATTTCTATCGTGTGTATCGACGAATTTATTCTCTTGGACGGATCCGAAAACGAATACGTCAAGTATTGAATATATCCTACAGATTCTGGCGAAATTTCTCGATCCAAAAACACCGGAAAATTGTTGTACATTCATTGGAAAGCTGATTCGTGGTTTTATTCGCGAGATTAATAAAACTAATCAGCCAAGTCTACTCGGCGATACACTAGGACAAATTCTCAAAGCAGTGTTGGCAAAACTTCAAAGTAAAAGCTCGTTTTCTCTTTGGAGGATTTCATTTCTAGTCTCTCCTTTCCAGGTTCACAAGTGTTAAGTGTTCAACAAAGTTTAATTGTTGTCTTTGCTCATCTTATTCAAAACAATCTCAACGATGTCGTTAATTTTCTTACTTCCACACCTGGACCACAAGGCAGTAGTGCATTTGACTTTGTCATGTATCAATGGGTGACGAAACAACATTTCTTCGTGGGTCCTTATGATATTAAAGTCAGGTAAACTTTCTGATTGTTGATATTTCGTCCGAAATCACGACAATGACTCCATCTTTTTTCAGTATTATTGCATTGACCGGCTTACTAGAATATGCGATGACGAATAATGATGTACGTTTCCAAACTTTGATTGTTCCAGGAGATCAAATTATTTACCAACAAGCAGGTCAAAACATCTCGCATAGAACACGCTCGAAAACATCTAAGCAACCTGAACAATGGACACGTGTTCCACTCGTTGTAAAACTGTTCAAAATTCTCGTTCTCGAACTGCAAAATCAAATCAACACACGCAAAGAACTCGAAGAAGATATGAATTTCGACGATGAAGATGGCGACGACGACGACGACGACGACGATAATGATGAAGGAAATGATGAAGAGATAGACGAAAAAAAAGGTGACAAAGGTGAATCCAGTTTATTAAAATCAACAGATGATGAAACAACGAAATACTTAGAACGCTATGATAATTTACTCGACGATGTATTCGATTATGAATTCTTTCAAGAGAAAGACCCAGATGCTTTTCATGATCCATTGATGCAAGTCGATTTGCTCGATTATTTAAAGGAACGTTTGCGTTTATTCGCCACACATGCTTGGTTCGCTATATTTCAACAACATTTGAATGCTATTGAACGTAATGCACTACAAAAGATTGCGGTTCTACCATGAAGTAAACAGTGAGTCTCATCATTCCAACAATTCCTTTTCTTTTTTGTAATTTTTGTAAACTATCAAAATAGAATTGAATTATTTGCATTTTGCTCATGTTTCATGTTTTTATTTGCCTTTTCGAGAGAAAATGCGCGTATAGAAACGATTTATCACGACATAGAGCAACTCGAGAATTTCGATGAAACCAATTAGACTTATACCGATCCATAGACCTAGAAGATAGACATGCGAAAGGAGAGAAATCATTCAATAGGTTTACCTGTTTGTCCTCCGATACTCGAGATAACATCAATCCATGTGTAAACAGGAGATTCGGTGAGGATTTCCGTCGGATAAGGGCTTGCGGAGATTTCAACAGCAACAATATGATCGCGTAACATAGAGGGGTGACTAATGTTGAGTCGTTGAGATTGTTGTTGGTTTTGAGTGAGACGAAAATGTTGTTCAAGTCGGTGGAAAACTTTCTCGTAGGAATTTCGATTCGGATAGTCTGCATGCGATGATTGAATAGAGTATTGAATGATTTCACATTCCGGTAAACATTCTGGACACAGTTTTCTCGAATCTAGAATAGGAAACGAAATAATATCAGTGATAAACTGAGAACGAACAGTTACCGAAATCAATTTGCAGACGAAAACATGTATTTTCAAGTGAGCACATCCGTTTATTGGTTAAGATTGGAGAAGTTTCATTGATACGATTGAAGAAATGATAGAAAACAACTAAGGTCGGTTCGATACATTGACACTGTTGTTCAATGTACTGTTGTTCGCAGAGTTTATAGCACAACGCTTGACTATATCGTACTTTATGCGTTTGGAAAATGTTTTTCATGTGCTCGGTTAAGTCGTTTCGACATTCTTGCGAGAACGACATAGTTCGTTGAGAAAAACTTAATTTTGTGTATTTATTCGGACGCAGAAGAACGCTGTTTTGAGATAGAATAGGTAATTCATACTTTCGATGGATAAACACCCGATAACCACCTCGAGTATCCGATTCATTCGGATCATCCGTCGGATGCAGAAATAATTCAAGAAATAACCGATAATCATTATCACCATTGAAATCATCGAGTAGCCAATAATGAGGTAGATCAGTTGTTGCTTCAGGTTGCACATGATGAACATTATCGAACGTGTAGCAATTGCCATAAGTTGGATGAAATAGTTGCGTAAGATTTCGATAGCAGAGATGTTGATTGAAGATACATTGAGTGAGAGATTCATTTATATGTGACGTTTGTGGAACGAATATTTTCGATTGAGTATCGACTTGCTGCGTCAGAATTCGGTTAAGATAATTCGAAACAAGTTTTTGGTACATAGTTCCATTGATTATTTCGTCGTTGGGGGTTGGAGATTGTCGAGTGTCTATTCGAAAGATCTCATCTTCCAATACATTGACATTACCTAGAAACATGAACAAGTCGTTTCGCTTTTCCGAGTGGTAGTCTCCTTACAAAAAGTAACCGATGGATAATCCGAAGGCAGCAGATCGTGCTTGATGCTTAGATGTATCTTGGTCGGATAGGTAACAAATTTAGTAATTATTGAAGAAATAAAAATTCCCATAAGGATCGTTAGTGTGCAAAAAGTCACCAGCCAAAAAAGTCGAGTTGATAACGTTCTGGCTCGGCCAATTCGACGAATACCATGCGATGGGGAATTTAAAAGCCACGACTGAATTATATCCAACAAACCCTCATTCATCTTTGGAACAAAATGATCAAGAAACACGTCGAGTATCATAAACTTTCACTATTTACTCGCATCAATCATTGCAAAAACAGTAATAACAGTATATTACATTCTAGATATTTCTTTTTAATTAACAAGAAAGAAAGAACGATGTCTACAGCTCATTTTCAAGCACCACTGGTTATTGATAATAAGGACGGTTGGGGTCCGACAGATGACACATTTCAATACAAAGACATGCCCTACCAGCCGTATTCAAAAAGTGATCAAATAGGCAAAGTATGACGTTGATTGATCGTCACACGGATTCTTCAATATTTGCTTTTCTTAGGTCGCCGATTGGACAGGCACTGTTTATGGTGATAAACGAAATTACAGTAAGGAATTGTCAGGAAGAAAGAGTTAAAATCAATGGAGTCTTTTGTTTCGAAGATCGATATCGATCACAATACGGTGCTGGTGTTGGAATGTATCAATATGTTCATGATGATGATGAAAATACATTTCAAATTGTTGATTCGTCGCGTGTACCCAAACCAGCTTTTCAAAAACGTTCCCGTTATCAACAAAATGTAAGTCAGAACGGAATAAATATGATAGAAACGAATTTTTGTCGATATTTAGCGTTTCAATTCACAACAAAATCAAAATCGTTTTTCGATAATGCAAACAGGATTCACTGGAACGCAGAAGAAATCGAAAACCATGAAGAATTTGGAAATGTAAGTTGAACGTTCATCGAAACTGAAGTTCATTTGAATGACTTTCAGGGATCGAATTCGACAAATGAGAAAATGGCAGAAACAATCCGGTAATCGAACTGATCCACGTCAACATGTAACAATTCTAATTGACCATTTTTCCTCTCTCGACATCATCTTTCATTTCAGCAAGCAAAACAACGCGAACCATCTTTACGCATACGAGATGATTGGCAAGTTATCGAAGAAATCCAGTTTTCCAGTTTGGCAAAACTAAGCCTGTCAACTGTGGGTGATCCCGACGAATTGTAAGTCGAAACGAACTTCCCCAGTCCGAACAGATCTCGCATGTGACCTTTAGGAGTGTTTGGGGTTCACTTGAGTATTATGATAAGCGATACGATCGAATTACAACAAAGAGCGAGAAGAAACTGGTGATGAATAATCGAACCTTACATAAAATTACAACGACAAAAGATCCTGTTATTCGACAAGTAAACGAATTTGAGATGTTTTGCCAGTTTGATTTCATCTATATTTGTAGATTTGTCAAACACGAGGAAATGTTTTTGCTACCGATGCAATTATTTCCACGTTGATGTGTTGTACAAGATCCGTTTTTCCATGGGATTTATTTGTTGATGTAATCTTTGCACTATTCCTCATTTGTGTAAACGAATTTTTTGTTGATTTATTAGAAAATAGGCACACGATTGTTTTTTGACAAACGGGAAGATTCACCGATTGGTATGTAAGAGATGGTTCAATTGGATATGATTAATAACGATATATTCTTTAGATATCTTAACCGTTAATGAAACAGCTAATGAGCCTCCACCAGAGGACGGCACTCTTGATTCAGCGAAATCCTTAGGCATGGAAGCTGTTTTTATCAATCATACATTTTCCCAACAAGTTCTTCGAACGGTATGATTTCTTGTATTGAAATTGATTTCGTGACGTCATTCGATTTAGGGCGAAGAACGATATAAATTTCCAAATCCAAATCCGTTCATTCAACCGGATGAAGAAAATGAAGCCGCTTCCGTTGCTTATCGTTATCGTCTATGGGATTTAGGTAATAACCTATCGATCGTCATTCGTTGTGAACAGGATTGCGTGCAAATTGGTCCGAATGGTGAGGAACAATTTGTTAACATCAAAGCATTGAACGAATGGAATCCTAAAGTAAATGGAACAACGATGAATGTCTTTTTTTTTAAGAGAATTCAATATATTTTAGGCCGGTAGCAATCTGGACTGGCGAACAAAATTAGACATGCAACGAGGTGCAGTTTTAGCTGCCGAATTACGTAACAATGGGTTCAAACTAGCTAAATGGGCAACCTGTGCGATCCTAGCTGGATCAGATCAGATCAAATTCGGATACGTTTCACGACAGAATTTCAAAGATGCATCGCGTCATACTATACTTGGCACACAAAACTTCAAACCACAAGAATTTGCGACCCAAATGGCTTTGAATATTGATAATGGTTGGGGTATCATACGAGGTATGTGGAAATAAAAGAAAAGTTCATCGAATCTCAATCGAATCGTTTAGCATTGGTGGATTTATTGATGAGTAAGCCCGATGGAAAGTATCTGATTATGAAAGATCCAATGAAGGTAAAATCAAACTTTTATAATACTCTTCATCACATCTGAATTGTCTTTCTTTTAATTCTAGCCAATGCTTCGAGTAAGACATAGATGATTGAAGATGTTGAACAGCGTATCGAATGTTTCGTGTCGTTTGTCTCTGTTTTAGATCTACAGTGTTCCAGAAAATTCGTTCGACAGTGAAGATGAAACCAGTGATGACGAAGGTGAAGAACAAAATTAGAAGAAACAATAGTTTTTTCTCTTTTTTTATCTATCTTCATGTTAAAATCATTTTGTTTGTCGTGATGTAATGCCCAACAATTGCATAGACACGTTTAAACACATAAAAGAAAAACAAGAAGGAATATGAAATATTTTCCACAACCATCTGTTGTCTCGTTTCAGATGACATGAATAGGATTCGATTTTGATTAATTGTTGTTCTATTGTAAACGCATCAAATGGCTTTTGATATTGATGATATTTTACCTGATCGGGAAAGCGGTAGGATGATCTAAGACAATGCACACGAGTTCATTTGTAAATATCTCGTTCTAGCTCAGCAATTTTATTTAAAATATGATCCAAAGGAAGTTCTCGGCAAAGGTTTATCATCTGTGGTGCGAAAATGCGTTGAAAAAGCAACTGGGAAGGAATATGCTTGTAAGATCATGGAATTCAATGACGACAGCGTTGAAGAACGTACCTCAACTTTACGAGAAATTCAAATTTTAAAACTAGTCGGCGGACATCCAAATATCATCGATATAATCGCATCATTTGAAACGCCAAATTATGTATTTATCGTTATGGAATATTGTCCGTATGGAGAACTCTTTGATTATTTGACAAAAGTTGTACGTTTATCAGGTTTGAATAAAGTATTTCCTTCGCGATTGAAAAATGTACTGTGTGCTTTCTTAGAAAAACGTACACGTCAAATTATGGCTAGTATATTAGCTGGTGTTCTTCATTTACATTCACATCGTGTTGTTCATCGGGATTTAAAACCAGAAAAGTAAACGATTTAGCAAATGGAAGAACTTCGTTGATAATTTCTCTTGTATTAGCATTCTTATGGATTCAACAATGAATGTCAAAATCACAGATCTCGGTTTTGCCGCTCAAATAGCGGAGGGTGAAGCTTTGTACGATCTTTTTGGAACACCAGGTAATTGACTCGATTTTTTGTCTGTTTGTGAAAGACAACAGAGTGATTTTCGTTTAAGGTTATATGTCACCTGAGTTACTTCATTGTTCTCAGAGTGACGATGCGCCTGGTTATGGTCTACCAGTGGATCTCTGGGCATGCGGAGTGATTTTATATACACTTCTCAGCGGTTTACCACCATTCTGGCATCGTAAGCAACATCTGATGTTTCGAATGATTATGGAAGGACAATATACAATGACTGGTTCTGATTGGGATGATGTATCCGAAACAGCGAAAGATCTTATTCGACATTTACTAGTCGTGAATCCTGATGAACGTTATACAGCTGCGCAAGCACTTCAACATCCTTTCTTTAATCAAGAACGTACACGTCGACGTGATTTTATGGCCAAACGAACATTAAAAGCACACATTATTCTGGTTTGGTCAATACATCGTCTGAGAACGTTACATTATCGTCCTCAACCCATTCGTGGAAAAGAATTACTTGGTATGAAAGAATATCGACTGGTTTTTCATCATCTTGTCTCTTGTTGTTTTCTTTCAGAAAATCCCTATCGATTTAAATCTTATCGTAAGATGATTGACTCCACTGCATTTCTTCTCTACGGGCATTGGATTAAAAAGGACGAACATCTCAATCAAAATCGTGCGACACTCTTTCAAACAGAGGAAAAATGTGATCTTATTCGACATGAACAACAACTATTGGAACAAAAAAATGCCAATGCCACTCAAGCATGAGTTTCATGATTTGTCTTTCGACATAGCAGAAGAAATTCTTTATTCTATCTTTCCTGTCAAATAGAACCAACATCTCCCCTATTTTGTTTTCCCATATCGATATATGTTCTTGTATCTTTACTAGAATTTCACTTTGATTATAATCTAAACGAATACTTTTTAATATATATATTTATACATAAAATTCGCATCTTATGAGTTCTCAGAGTTATTATTCATCAATTTTCTTGCATTGAACTGGCAATCAAATGTTGTCTTTCGAGTTCATGGTGAATACCGAATAATTCATTGTCTGCTCTTGATTTCTGTTAATTGAATGGAATTCTGTACTCATGTGAAGCTCCGAGAACAAAGAAATCCAACTTGATCAAGCGTGTCTTTATTTTATACGGATTTTGTTTGCTTTACAACGTTTTTTTTTACTGAGTGTCATAGCGCAAAATTGCTGATGCTTCGAATTCTGAAAAACACATATATAGAAGACAAATGTAAATGTTTAACGTCGTCGTCCAACAATGCCCGATCGCCATAAACCTTGAGATAAAGAATTGTATTGTTTAGACGAAGCAGATGTCTCATCGGCACTCTTGTCGTTTTCATCATTCTTTGCGAAAAGCCAAAAACGTTTTTCTCGATCGAAGTTCATTGAATCAACTAAACCAAGTGAGAATTAATAACATCCACAGCTGAGAATTAATGATCTGACTTACAGTTTTGATCTTCCTCTAGCAAATCCGAATCCGTATCGATAGCATCGATCAGTTTTCTCATCATCAAATGTTGACCATAGTGAGGTAAAGAATCTTTGAATACATGATGTTTATCAGTGTCCATCTGACCTTCACGATTCTTGATTGAATAGGTATTACCTGTAGAAAAGCAATTCTTCATAGTTTATCCAAGATACTAAAGATTGTCTTACCAATATTCACACATATTAAAGAAAGGGTAAGAAAAACGATGATGTTGTTGTTGATCATTATGAGTAAGGAGGAAGGATATAATGAATTCAAATGCTCGATATGAACGAGTATATATATATATATATCTTTGTGGGAAGACTACTTTTGACTTTCGAGACTGTTGATTTTGAGTGAGTTTGAACGACCGTTGTGGTACATGACGTGAAAAAAATGCTAACGTTGTTCTCTTCTCTTCCTCTGCAAAACTACCCTTGCATCACTAATGAAATGAGACAGAAGGTTTGCATTTACTGCACATCTAATATGCATATGGGGGCTTGTTCTATGTTGTTAGTCAATCTTTTTTGTTTCTTAATTTTAAAGTAAAGACACAAATTCCAATATACAATGAGTTACATAGATGTGAACAAGAATGCATGATGAATGTTTAGCACACTTGAGAAACTTCAATCGTACTGGAAGATTTAACAACTAAAAAAGTCATGTTCACTCAATTTTGGTCTATTTTAAGAACTCTCGTGATTTCCTGAGATCACGAATCATGACATGTTCAATCTCAATTTAGCGAAAATCCCAAACAATTCTGAATGATTACTTGAAAGCTAATATAATTTATTGTAAAGACATAAGTACGTCGTCTGGCAAAGTTATCTACTCAATGACGAGTAATTCCATCATGTGATTGCATACTTTGAAATTGAATTTAACTTATCAATACTCATCTTTGTTATGTGGTACATACATGAATGTCATTGACCATTAGAGACATCTGTTCGATGAATTTGTTTTGTCAATTTCTAAATTGACAAATGAATATATTTGTGAAAATGATGAATTTTTTTTCGTGAAAAATATCATTGTGTGTTAGTTGACATGTTTTGAATTTATTTATTTATCCACTATTATCCATACTCTACTTAACTCACGCCCTATTTACTCACCAACGGTCAACTCAATCACACACTCAGATTATTTGCATTTGTGTCATCAATTTCTCTATTGATTTGACTCGTCCTATTTGTACGCTCAAAAAAAAGTTCTTCCTTCATTTTCATTTCTTTGCTCTAATCGATATTTAATGATCGAATTTCTTTCTCCATTACAGATCGAAGTACATACGCAACAAGATTCGCAATCATGGCCAACAATTCTGATGAAATGCGTCAATATCGCGAAGCCTTTTCTCTCTTTGATAAAGATCACGATGATATTATCGCTCCCCAAGAATTAGGTATGAATAGACGAACACGAAGATTATATTTCTTGTTTCTATCTCAGGTGTTGTTCTTCGTTCGTGTGGTTTATCACCGTCGGAAGCCGATCTTCAAAAGATTCAACAACAAGTTGGCCGTAAGATTGATTTCAATACTTTCGTCTCGGTTGCACAAAACTTCAAAGCCAATAATCGAGAAACAGAAGATGACATTCGTGAAGCATTCCGTGTTTTCGATAAAGATGGAACAGGTTATGTCAATGTTACTGAATTGAAACATGCCATGATCTCGTTAGGTGAACGACTAACTGAAGAAGAAGTCGATGAATTAACACGCGAAGCTGATATTGATGCAGATGGACGGTAAGATCAACAGAAGGAAGCGTTCTTCTTCAATATATGATCTACTCATTTACTTAGATGCAATTGTGAAGATCTGGTACGAATTTTAACGAACAAACAGCGTTAGAACATGCATTTCGATCAAAATAGGAACAAAACTGATACATTCCATCTAACTGCTTTCGTTTTCTCAATGTGACTAATTCGTGGATTCCTTGTTGACTCTTTCTTTTCTTAATATGCTTTGCAATATCTGTAATCCGTTTTGCTCTTTCTCTCTCAAAAACCTATTTGTTTTGAATTCTTTACTTTAAATATAATATATCGAGACATCTGAATGAACTCATTGCACATGGATCAAAGAAACTACTGTATTCCGCAGCGATGGTCGTCGTAGTTTGATTGCATATATTTGCTTATCGGGAGTGGAGAAAATGGGCAAGGTCATCGAGTTAATTCATATCGTCGACAATTTGTCTGTATGTATTCAAACGAGGAAAAAAAACAAGAGTTGATTCTATTATTGATGACACAAACTCATGTATCTTATATTTGTAGTATGATCTCATTAATTAAAAGCAGCATTTGTGTCAAAATAGACTTCGCACTTGAAGTATTAGAAGCATCCATCACTTGCCATGCATTCCGGCCACGAGAATGAGTATTAATTAGTTACACGTGCTTACGCACGGATGACAAACCGTGATAAGTCTGAAGACCGAGAAGTAGAACTACTTGTAACAAAAGATTAAGCTTTATTTTCACACGCCGTGTACTTCAAGAATTTCCCGTTTGATCCGAAAGAAAACTTTGTATGGCAACAATAAAACAAGCGTCCTTTACAGCGATTTCAGATCCAATTATTTTCTTTCTTCCATAATATTACGATTCTATTTAAAATTTACACAACTATATTTCTAATGCGCAAATCGCCCTGGGACATAAAATATATATATCGACAATTAACTTAAATCAGAGAAGGTCTATTCAATACAAGAGATAGAAACTTAACACTAATACATATAGACATCACTATGATAATAGATGATGAATTGAAGTGGAATACCATCTATTTTTTTCTCGCCGTTCCATCCCTTGAAAAACTGATCAGAGATATTTATTCAACCATTCTGTTTTCTTTTCATTTCTTTTTTCCTCTATCGAGTTGTTCTACGGTTTATTTACTCCAAAAAGTTTGTTATTGATTGTAGGGGATGTTTAGTGATACGAGAGAACGGAACGTTTTCAAATTCATTTGTGTTTCTATCCGAGCGAAACGTGCGGACTTAGAAGAAGAGCTCGGTTGCTTGTAAATAATTTCTTTTTTATTGCATACATCTTTGAGATATAGTAGAAACAATTAAATGCGCTCTTTTTCCACATCGTTTAGCATCGTGTCGGTAAACAGATTATATGGCATGAATGCTTTATTTTGCTTTTTTTTCGTTACGTTTTTTTAATAACCTTTTGTGTATTGACGAACTGAAGTGTAAAAATAATCCATCCTCTTTCCGTCTCTTAATTGTTGTCAACTTCTGTATAAATAAAAATACACTTCTAATAACGTCAGGATAGGCACCACGCTGTAAATATGAATCAGCAGCGTTTAGTGGCTTGCTGTCGTCGTTGTTGTTATTATTATTATGATTATTATTTTTGTAGATTGAAACGTGAAGCATAGAGAGAAATAGGCAACGGCAGAAGATAAAATTGCGTCTTTCCTCGATGTTGCCTTTTCTTGCCTTGTAGTTTATTGCATTTACTCGCCGAGAACATTTATATACACGTGCATACATGCTCAGAAAGGAAATCGAACGAGAACGTTAGAGGCAAACGGTGTAATTCATCTCGTTCACCTCAGTTTTCCGAGAAAAATAAACTCATTATTTTATTTTTATTCTGCTTCACCCCTTTTCATCCAACATAATTAGTTGTGAGTATTAACGTCATTGGGAAACATTTACACTCTATTTGTATATACCGTGAACCAGTCGTTCAATTAATGTTTCTTTTTCTAGAAACCGATTTTCAAATGAGAAGCGTTGAACGTCATAATTCAAACAACGTTAATCAATATGCGACGCCATTCATTGGATACGAATAGTATACGACAGCAGATCAAGTCGATATTCACTTCCCCATCACGAAAAATACGAAATTTAACAAATCAACATCATCATGAGCAGCATCATGAAAGTCTACGTCATCCTCATCGACATTCTCGACGTTTTAGTGTTCCAGATAAAAAAAGTTCGGAAAAAATAGATCTCAACAATGACCTTGGTACTATTAATGAAGTAAGTGTATTCATATGCACGCTGATGTTTGCTTTGCTGCGATATTGTCTGCCCATGTGAAAAAAAGTCACGAAAACGGAAGATTTCTCTTGTTTCTCGTCAATTTTTATTTTCTGTTTATTTGTAACGAATCCTGATAATCGAAGAAACGAAAATGAAAGTGACACCAGCTGGTGTATACTGCCTGGATGTCGACTGATATGCGCAGCAAAGGATAAACGATATAATATCGAGGTTAACGATCTTCGTGTTATTCTTTTCAACGGAACAGAACTTGCGATAAATGTGCGTAAAGTCGGATGATTTTCAGTCAAATTTCTAACGAGATCGTTTCTTATCATTCTTGACAGTGTACCAATTGTAACTCAGCTTTTCGCTGCATGCCTTTTATTTCCGATCCAATATGATTATCGTCTCCAGTCAATATTGATTAGACTGATGACATGGAATGACAAACGAGAAAAATATAGCGAACTATTCAAAAGAAGGTTAGCCGAAAGAAAAACAAGTGCTTGATAGAAACATAGATTGGATGATATAGATCAAAGCGTCGAAAGAACAATGTATGCACATAAAAATCCTCTACGAAATAGCATTCATGTGCTGCTAGTGTCGTTGCTACCGCCTAACATAATTTCTTCTCTCGCACTCTCTCTCTAGCGCTCCCTTCACCAGGCTTCTTCTTTTTGTTCGTTTTCTTTTTTTTTGAGATAAAAAAAATATAACGATAGCAGCGATGACAACGCCGTCAGCAGGCAACGCTCCTCGCCTCATTTAAGTGTCTGATAGAAGTAGTGGTTGGGTGTAGAAAAAGAGAGAAAAACGCGAACAAGGTGGAAGTACTACGCTATTAAACAAAGACCATCAAGACGGTGTTTCAACATATATGCATATTTATGTAAAGTCAAGTATGTTTCTCTGAATATTTGTCTATTGTTGATTTTCTTTATTAACCTGTTTTATCAAGATCGGTGAATTCTTTTTTCATCAATGACATGTGATAAGCGCTGTGTCTTTTCTACGCCATTGAATACATTTAATTTTCCAGACACTGGTCGCCCTCGTCTGTTTTCATCGCCTGAAAAACAAGATCTTGAAACAATCTACGAGGTAAAAGAAACGTTGCGCGCGCTCATCATCTTGCTCACAGTTGATTGCTCACTCCAATAGCACAGATAGTTTGTATGTCATATATTCAGTTGACAAATCTTCTTCCAGATGGCTATTAATCATGCCGTTCGTTGAATCGACATTATTCATATCATAGTCACCTGATGAAAACCTGCGTACACATGTGTTTACTTGACTTCGAGCCCGAAATAGACTGCAATTGAAAGAAAAAATTATAGATAGTTTGCTCTTTTTTTCTCTTCTCGCAATGAATTCTCGATACATTTTCTAACAATTTACTTCGATGTCATTTGAACTTCCGTTTGAAACAGCTTTGCATGAGACAATCCTTATGTTTTATTTACAAATTATAAATCAAGAAAAATTTCTTTCCGTTTAGTCTAAAAGCCTGTTCATTAGTTGAGATTTCTTCGGATAATAGATGCCTGATTAAACTGAAAGAGAAAACACAAGGTTGACTGGATGAAAAATTATCATCGAGAGAAGATTATTTGCAACGACAGTCAAGTGCAAAAAAGAAGACGAGGCCTTCCTCATTCCCAGCGAGGCTTAACAAGACATTTCAATTAAAATACTCGACATTTCACGTGCAAGAAATCAATATCCAGTCAAACGCGATAAACTTGTTTGACACCATCTCATACAGATAAGATAAAGAATAATATTGATTCAAGTTCGTTGTAATTATGAATAAAATAAATAATTGAGATTAATGTTCGAAACGCAATTAGGAAATGATTCATCTCGCACGATATTTTCTCCTATATTTTTTCTTCGCATGACTGATTTTCTCTCTCAAATGTAATCTCACTGTTTCGTATACTGGTATAAAGTATCGTCTTCGCAAGTAAACATACGTTAGGTAGACACTTGATTAATACAAAAAAAAAACAGCTTGCCGAGCGATCTCTCGTCTGTTTTCAAGCTATCTAACCCGTCTTTGCAGCTAGATTTCAACATGTTGGGTGTATCACAAGTGAGTCATTGATTGTTTTCCTTGTTCTGACTACTTCGAGATGCGCAGGGGCGTTTTCTTGTTGCTTGTTAGATAAACAACAGAAGTCCATGACGACATGAGGATAGAGACGTATAAAATTCTTAATGCCAAACCGAGAAAAAGAAAAGGACGCGATTTTGCCTTGGCTAGAACGTTTTTTCTTGTTCTGCAAAAGATTTCTTGTCAAGATATCGCTTTCCATCGTGAATACTCAATTGAACATTTATATTCACTGAATCCCAAAGGAATCGCCTTTTTTTTTCTTTGCCATAATTTTCATATTTTTGCTTGAAAGCTCCAGTATGATGGAAAACAAAATGTACATTTATCATATATAAGCGAATGTTAAACAGAAGAAGAAGACGACAATGACGACGGCGACGGAGAAGACGAAGAGAAATACACATAAATACATCATATTCTTATGTTCTCTTCTTTCTTTTTCTTTGGTCGCAAGTATTGATGTTACATATACAACATAATTTTTTCTTCTAAGGAAAGAAAAAAACACGAGGACATACTAGTATATTATTTCTATCGAATAAACATAAATAATATATTCCTTTTCCCCCCTATTCACGAGAAGCAAAATATCTAAAATATGACAACAAGTGATCATTCAAGTCGAACATCAGCTTTGCTCGATACCGTCTATGAATCGGTGAGTTAAATCGGAGTAGATCTAGATCAGACAGCAAAGGAAATATGTAGACTGATTGGCTGAGCATAGTTCGCTCGATTTTTTTGCTAATGAAAAACCTAGCACGCCATTTAGAATGAAGCCAATTCTACAGGTGGTGATACAACGAAATCACAATCATCGAACCGAGCATTATCTGACTCCATAACAAAACGTACGCGTATACAAGCAGTATTTTCCTCGCGGAATACTCCTAATGAAAAGAAGCCAAATGTTACAGTGACAAATACTGCTGGAGTATTCGCTCAGATAGCAAACAATACGTCTGGTCCCGGTGGTGGTGGCAGTGGCGGTGATGTTAATGACGAAATAAATGATGGCTTGACAGAACCACATGTCGTTGCTGCTCTTGCTCAACATGCAAGTGCGGCTTCTCCCGTGGCTTCGATGAATTTGCCATCGGGCAAAGTGCCAGCCACAAATGTTGATTCATCAGCCAAATCATCTCTGAGTCGACGTGTTCGCTCTCGATCAAAAACTGATACGCAATCTGTGACCGATAAATCACTTTTCTCACGATTATTTTCAAAGAAGTCGAAAAAGCCGATGGGTACACTAATAACAACGACGACGAAGTCAATCAATTTAGACGTACCTAAAATACGATCAAATACCATTAAAGAGTCTTTATCATCAGGTCGACAACGATCAACCATTGAGGAACAAGACGAAGGAGCTTACGATAACGACGATAGTCGAAATCTCTCAACCGGTTCTCTGTCAGATACGGAACATCCGGACGAAAAAGATGATGAATTAGATCTCAGTCATAGTTCAATGGCAAGCCGATCGGACAGTCGAAATAACAGTGGTCCAGGAAAGAAATCCAATTCAGGACACAATCCTATACCAACATCGGACTCGCAATATTATGCGTCATTGTCATCGGCACCAACCGGTTTCTCCATTTCGTATCACAAACGTATGGCCAAAGGAAATGATGATCTGCGAATTCAAGCTGCCTTAACTCGTCTACAACAGCAACAAAATAAGAAACGAACTACTGGGGGTGCAAATCAATTGACGGTATGTCTTTTATTATCTAGTCAGTTAGATAAATTCTATTTTCAGCATGATACACATTCCTGTCTTATTTTCTTCTTCTTCTTCTTCGTCGTCGTCTTCGTCTTCTCCTTTTCTTTCTCTCTTTCGTTTCTTTCTTTATCTGTCTTCCGTTCATTGTCTTATTCTCAGCAGTTTGTAGACGTTTATCACATTCATACGCTGTTGGCATTGATCCAATATAACTCTACACTATTAATCAGAGAAGAAAAACGGAGAAAAATAGTTGTAAACGAGAAAAATAGCTTGCTTTGTTTGCTTGCATGCTCATGTTCGTGATTTATCACACAATCTCATTGACTATGTTTAAATTGTGTTCTTGTTATTGAATTCTAGTCACTTTTTCAAGATCCAGCGCGAATTGGTACGTATAAATCGTCCGTGATGACCTCCCATCAACCATTGCTTTCGTTTGTAGGTACTCAGAGCCCAACACCGATGAGCGGAACAACTCGAGTTAAAACGTTCTCTGGTCAAACCATAATCACTCGAAATAGTTCATCATCCGACCGACCATCTACATATTTCATTCGACCCTCAGTGCGTAATCAAAGGAAGCTGTTTGAAATACCGCAAGTCTCATTTGTTTGTTTCTTCTTCTAGTCTATGTCTCCCACACATGATGGTGATGAAACATTTGGTAAATAAACATTCCCTCAATCTTCGTGTTTTGCTTCTGAATGTCAGCTTCTATTTTAGTCAGTGATGAAGAAATCTATACCCATTTCATGAAATGTCATAATTGCTATGACATCATGCCGAAAAGTTCTAAACTCGTTGTATTCGATACACAATTAGCTGTGAAAAAGGCGTTTTTCGCGCTGGTTTACAATGGTGTACGTGCCGCACCCTTATGGGATACCAAACGACAGAAGTTCATTGGCCTCTTAACTATAACAGATTTTATTCTTATTTTACAAAAGTATTATAAACAGCCACACGCAAAAATCGAGGAATTAGAAGAACATCGTATTGAAACATGGCGCGATGTTTTACGAGAATATGAAAAGCCGCTTTTATACATCCGACCAACTCAAACGTAAGATCAAATGCTTCAATGAATAGAATTACGAACAAAGAAATCTGTTTTCCTTTCTAGTTTGTATGAAGCTGTGTGCCTTCTGCTGGAGAATCACGTACATCGTCTACCTATCATCGATCCAGTGACCAACAATGTTGTCTTTATCTTGACGCACAAGCGAATTCTTCGATTCTTTTATTTATATGTAAGACGAGCATGTCGATCAACGAATACTCACCAAAAACTCATGTTTTTTCTCTCTCATAGATTTACGATTGGCCACAACCATCATTTATGTCAAAGTCATTGGAAGAACTTAAATTGGGTACCTATGATCGATTGGATATCGTATGTTGATTGTTTCGTACCTTTCCGATTAACATCTCTCTATTGATAGATTGAAGAAACATCAACAGTCATTGAAGCACTAGGCCTATTTGTCAGACATCGTGTCTCAGCCCTACCTGTTGTGGATAAAAACAGAAAATTAGTCAACATTTATTCAAAATTTGATATCATCGTAGGTGAAACATTCTTCTTGGAAAAAATTAACAAATATATTTCATTTCATAGGGTTTAGCTCCAGATAAAAGTTATCGAAATTTAGATATGTCAATCAATGAAGCATTGTTTTATCGAAAAGAGCGTTTTGAAGCCGTCGCAAGGTGTCAGAAGCATGAAACATTATCAACATGTATCGAACGTATCATCAAAGCTGAAGTTCATCGTTTAGTCATTGTTGATAATGAGGAACATGTCATTGGCATACTTTCATTATCTGATATACTCGATTTTATGATCGTACGTCCAACCAAATCAGAACGTTCGCCATCCGAACCAACATCGGCTGTTCCCAGTGAAGCAGCTGAAGAACTAGCATAATCCCAACCGGTGATTGAACACAAACAGAATATGTTATTTGTTTTGCTTTCTTAATAATGTACAAAGAAATTTCTTTAGAAACAGACAAAAACAACTACACCAGTTCGTTTTCACAAAATATTTTTCTCTCTTTTTCTTTGTTCACTGTCTTTCAATTCTGTATAGCGTGCTTGTATGATTTCCTTCTCGATGTCTTTTGTCTGTCGCAAATTGTCTTCTTACGTACCTAACGATAAAGAAAAATATCTTGTTTATCTTTTTAGACGAGAAATAGATTTTGGAAGAAAAAAAAAGACAATCTGACATGAAGTTCGCTTTCAATCGGTTCAGAGGTTGACGAACTCGTTAACAAGACGTCCATCCTTGAGAAAAAACAGATGTTCGAACATCGAACGGATGAGATCTATAACGTAAAGAAGATTATGTGTCAAGGAGACAAACAATATTCGAGTATAGGCAACAAATTTTCTTGTTCTATTAGATGCACATGTGTATTTGCATGACATTTCAATGGCTGATTAACGAACTGAAAGATCGTAAATAGGTTTGTGTTGTAAAACTGAAATTTGTAACCGCCGATGTCGTGATTGACTACCGAACTATATAAATATATGTATACAAGGTCATTTTTGATGAGGCAACATTATTACGGATACCAATCGAAACATTCATAATAAAATTAGATCCTTTTTTCCGGTACAACGCACGTGTTTCATAATGTTAAATTAGTTCGAAAGTATACTACTTCAAGGAATCTTTTTTCTGTTGTATTCCAAAGAGCCCATGAAGGTTCAGAATATTGTGCGCTACGGGAACGTAGGACATGGTAGACAGATAACTTTGTCTTGCTCAAAGCTGTCGTTTAAACAGATGTTTGCTGTATTAATTTAATACCGCCTACGTTCTGTTCAAACGCATTTATTTTTCGTAATAAGATGTCATTGAGTTGATAAATGAGCATAACATTTGAAATCTTGAATTCCTTCGTCAGAGAGCGTTGGATATTTTCGATACAGAATTACTTGCAACTGACTACACCGATTCATTAATTTTCCACTTAAAATTTACGTGTTATATATATACAGAGAGTCTCTTCAATCTCCTTGAGAATATTTCATGCGTCATTAAATTGAAAGGAGAATCCATTGTTGAACATGTTCTTTTTAAAGCTATAAGATAACTTCATTTTCTTGTCATTCAACCAACTGTTAGATGCTACCTTTTCAAAACTACTCTGCACACCCCCTCCTATGCCGACTTCCTGATTTTGCATGTATAATCCGCAAGAAACCGTTAATTTTTACGTTCGATCTGCTATATATATATAGAATTTAGCTTAAAGCGTGCGTAACCGAACACGAATCTCGTATATTGAACTGCAAAATATGTAGTAATATGTAATAAAACAGCAGTTTCCTTTTTCAATCAGTATTCCAACTGCGTAGGAGAGAAGCCTAGATTATCACGCGTAGGTGCAAAGCAAAATTCTCTCTATCTAAGTTTCATCGCCTACGAAACATAACTCTCTCTCTCTATTTTTCTGAAAAACACTGATGTAAATGGTAAATCTAACTAGATAAAAACAAATTGTTATTGATGTTTTGCCTATACACATGAGATAATTAAATAGAAAAAAAGTCGAGTTAATAACAATCAGTTTTCGCTGTAAGTAGAATGCTTAAAGGTTTATTGTGATGACGCGAGAGAGAGAGAGAGATAGATAGACAAGAGAAAAGGAGTCCTTAGTGATGCACTAAACTTTTGTTTCATTTCAGGACAAGCAAACGCTTTTCAACACAATGAATTCATTTTTCACGCACTTTCTTAGTCTTCTTATTTGTTCCATAATTCTCATTCGATTAACATCTTCGGCAAGTTTTCCTGATCCACCACCAATTCCACCACCAAATGCATCACCTGATGATTGGATACGCTTTTGGAAGTTATTACATAGCTATTATGCGATTATTGCTCGACCACGGTAAATTCTGTTCACCTTGAAACAAATGTTTCTCATCCATTAACTTGCCTTTTTGTTAGGTTTGGCAAACGATCGGAGTTAACCATGATTGCAACACGGCCAGCATCACGTCTAGAACTTCTTTTTCCGAGATCTCCTGTATCTGAAAATGAAATTATCTACACGCTCAGTGGAAATCGTTATAATGGTAAGCAAAGTTCGGTGAACGTTCAGATAAAAAGACATCGATTCGAATCTTTTCTTTGCAGCTAATCCAAATCGACGAAGTTCTACTGGTGATATACAAACGTTGATCTATTCTGATCGCGAATGACGATAGAAATTCCTGTTACTATACTGACACGTTTCTAGTTGTCTTGCGCCGATACTTCTGAACATGATGTTTTTCAGTAATTGACAAGAGAGAAAAAGAACACGAAGAAGAAGAAAACAGAATCTTTGTCTTCATGTACTGTTTTAAAACAAAACAAAAATAAAAGAAAACGGAAAGCTTTTCCCAAACTACATATCACAGTCGAGGATAAGCAGCATCATAATGTCCAGCACCGTATTGATTGTACGCTAAATAGATCACCCTCCGACACGCCAATGAACTTGTCGAATTCTCCGGTTTGATATCGATTCGAGGCATATTTGACAGGGAAGTAAAAATGGTTATTCTGACGTTGAATATATTCGAAATAGTCAACGGAACGATATCACCTAGGATCGAATCGGAAACACCAGTTTTGGAGAATTTCTTCATTTCTTTCGCAAATGAAATGTGTTGCATATCAACAAACTGACTATAATAATGTTCGTTTAGTTTCCATTGTGTTACACAGATTTGTCGTAGAGTTTTTGCGAAGCTAACCAAAGAAGACTGAATGGATACACCGAATGACTGTAAATACGAGCCAAAATTATATGGATCTTTTTTCATTTCACGGAGAAGACCTTCGGCAAGTGCGTAGAAAAGACAATTTCCATCGCCGTCTACTTGTAGACGTTGAATATTATGATCGGATAAATTGAAATTCAATTGTTGTTCGTGAGCTTGAAAGTCACTAGTTGATTGCTGAATTTGATTTCGACGAGAACATAAACAGAATGGACTATAAGATTTCATTGTCTGAGAGATAGGAAATTAATCCAGAAATTGACAACGTAGAAATGTATTTGCTCGATATGATTCATTTCAACTGTTCTTTGAAATATTGATCAACACTGCCGCAAAAAAAAGAGAATGTCGATTGTTACACCCCGTTGCCATTGTTACGCAAACGATTGAAAAAAGGAAGAATTTCACGTTCTTCTTTTTTCGTAGTTTGATAAATCATTATTACTGATGATTAATTTATACAATTACATTCAAACGAACGAGTTATGCTTACTAAAATCGATGTAGCTCGTTTAATAACTAGATAATTTGATTAGACTACATGCGAAGAATAAAACCATTTCGACAAATCGTCAACACACAGGGCATAGAATGTTTATTTTTAACTGAAGACTTGCTATTTATAGATTGTCGGGTGATCGATTCGTTTTTTTTTCTTCTGTACCGCATGTTACCTTGATCAAATATCGAATAGACCTACTTTAAAGAGAGTAGTACTTCGTCATTGATAACAAAGAACAATTAGTCTACTCTCGAAGGATAATTAATTACCAATAAAATTCATACAGTTCGAGTCTATTGTGTAGAACAATATCATGGTTTTTGAAATAATTAGTGATTATCATATACGAATGCCTATACGGACAATTTTCTGCTTGATGCATGTTTTTCGTCATTCAAGCATCCTTGTGTATAATGAAAAACAACGAGAACTTTGTCCACGTATATAACAGCGTATTTCTCTCGCTATCAGTTAGATACAAAGATGAATAACTCGTTCAGTAAGTACTCGAGTCGGAAGATCATGTACTAAGATGTACTTGCTTTCAGATGGAACCGAAGTCGACTATTCGCATAGCGCTGGCGTGATTACGGCGATCTTTGTTGCTTTGTCATCTTTCATATTTACTTGCATTATTAATGGCTTCGCAATTAGAGGATCGAATAGTGAGTCATGTTTCAATGTTCGATACGTAAGAAAAAACAATCGTATTCGATTGTAGAATTATTCAGAAAATCAATAGCACAAGTGAGTGATGAAAACGCAACGGAATTTACTCCAGCTAAAGCAACATTTTCCATCTACGCTTTGATCTATATTTGGCAGGTAAATTAATTCGCCGGAAGAAATACAACGAATAAATAGATTTTTCTATTCAGTTCGCTTTTCTTATCTATGCGATTGTTAATATCTGGCGCAAAACAGACGATGGACGTCTATATCTTCATCCGTATACGTTACATTATGCGATTTTTATTTTTTTTCTTCTGAATATGTTTCTAAATTCATTCTGGTTGTTTCTTTGGGATCGATTACAGCTTGGAGTAAGTTATATTTATTGTTTGCGTTCGATTCTATTTTGACTTGTTCCAGTTTTCAACGATCATCATCTACTTAATGTTGACAACGATCGTCGCTGCAACTGTACTTGATCATATTTTTCTATGGCGAAAACGATGGGATTATATTCGCTTGAATATGTAAGAATATAGCAGATTCGATTCTCTTTCAATGTTCGTTTTTTGCTTATTATAGACCGAACGATCTTTGGACGATGCGTGTTGTTGTATTGAATGGACATGCGATTTATTCCGCTTGGCTATTAGTTGCGTCGTCGTTGAATTTGTCTATGTGGCTGAAGAAGAGATTACCATTGAGTAATGAAGGTTGGGCAACAAGTGTGCCATTGATCGTATTGACCATGGGTATTATAGCATATTGGATTCTGGAAAACTTCGTCTTTCCTTCGCCAATGGCTTATACTTGGTCACCATGGTTAGCGTGGTTTGCTGCACTAATTGGAATTCTTGCCAAACACTGGAAATTATTGTTCGAAAGAAGAATTAATCAATTATTTGTCTTGGCAATCACTCTCATCTGTATTGTTTTATTTGTTATAAGAATTACTCTCTTTCTTGAGCGATACGACAGACAAGCAATACCGACCAGATTATGAATTGCTCAATCGTTTTCTTTCTTTTTCATCTTTGACTTCAATAAACTTCGATTTCGTATACTCTGCACCGACTACAGATGTCGTTTGTTGTCGACCTGCGCCTTCCTTCTTTCCTTTGGACAAACGAAAGGTTTGCATGCATATAGTAGAGGTTCTTACATTCCGTGGTTTACACATTCATCTTTCTGATGAATGGAATATGTGAATCTACTTCTATCGATCTTCGGTTTCATATTGATATTCATTTCGACTTGATCTTGTTTGTTTTTTTTCAAGATTAACTTCGTTCTCTAGTTAGTACCGCTAGGAAAATGACAAATCCAAAAGGTTATCGTCGCGGTACGCGTCATTTATTTGCACGCGATTTCAAGAAAAATGGCCGTATCCCTTTGGCTACCTATATGAAAATCTTCAAACGTGGAGATATCGTCGATATTAAAGTACACTTCATTCGGAAATTGACTGAAATACTTTCGATTTGTTCTTTGACAATAGGGTAATGGTGCTGTGCAAAAAGGTATGCCACACAGATTTTATCACGGTAAAACCGGTCGTGTTTTCAACGTAACTCGACATGCCGTTGGTATTATCGTTAACAAACGTGTTCGGTATGTTTGACTCGTTGAATTCGTCTACTTTTATTGAATCGTTTTTAGACACCGTGTCATTGCCAAACGTATCAATGTCCGTATCGAACATAGTAAGTAGTTTTGCTTCCGATTGCAAGCGAATACAAATCCGTTCTTTTAGTTAAACACTCGAAATGCCGTGCGGATTTTCTTAATCGTGTCAAACTTAGTGAACAATTAAAACGAGCAGCCAAAGAATCCGGCAAGCCAGTACCACTTTCAAGCATCAAACGACAAGTAAGATTCACTACAGTACTTTTCCAATTGATTTATACGAATCTTTTTTTCAGCCACAAGGTCCACGAAAACAACATTTGGTTCGCACACGCGGTAACAAACCACAAATCGTCGAACCAATTCCATACCAATTCGTAGCTTAAAAAAGATTTCAACTTTTTTTTTGCATTGCTACCATCTTGTTTGTTTTTTTGATCACGTTACACGAACAGCGTGAAGAAGAATAAATAAAACAAAGGAAAAGAACGATCCGAAATGAAAATAAATTAAGCATCATCTTTACATTGTCTAGAAGAAAACCAAGTCAAGCTGACATTCGATTTTGTTTTCATGTTTCAGATTAACATGGCGTGTCGACCATTGATTAAAAATGGTTTGCCGTTTTTTTTTTAAACATATCTAGTTCATTCTTAGTATTATTCTTATTGAAGGTTCACGTCTCCTACGACCAACTTTATATAGTCGAACGATAGTGAATGGAACCCAAGACAAACCACCTTTCCCTAAAGTTCTTCGTATGCTATTCAACATCATTTCGTCACTCTTAATCATTCAATCTATATCCCTCTAGCTGCTGGATTACCCATTCAAAATGAGTTACCTGAAGTCAAATATGTACCCGATACACCACCGAATCATATAAACTATCCAAACATGTCCAGACGGTTGCTGGCTTGTCGCGGTGTCGAGATCGTTCATAATGAGCTCATACATAAACAATACGGAATTATGGTACGTATTTTGATTGTTTCTATCCTTTCGGAAAACAACAAAACATTCATTCATCAATAGGCACTCGCTCCCGGTTTAATGAAGGAAGGACATTTCAATTCTATTCGTGACATGGTTAACAAACGAATCGACATGGAACGTTGTTTTTCCATATGGCGTGTTGATCCACCATGGCATCCGTGGTACTTCAAAGGTCTAAATAAAAAACGTGGCGCAGGCAAAGGCAGTATCGAATATTTCGTTACACCTATAAAAGCAAACCGAATCATCATCGAAGTCGGCGGAACACTATCATTTGATTATCTCTATCGCACATTACTATCCATAGCTGAAGTCTTACCATTTCCAGCCATACCTGTCTCGCAAGAGCTATTAGATAAATGGCAAGCCGAACGAAACGAGATTCAAGAGAAAAATATCAATCGATTTAGCTGGGAGTACCTCGTTCGGAACAATTTTATGAATTGCCATCGATATGCTGATTTTTATGACATTGAATTCGCTCGCTATGGACCGAAAATTCGCTAGTAGTTTCATATATATATATATACAAATCTAGTTGTTTTTTTTTGTTCTTGTTTGTATTATTACAAAGAGAAAACGCGGTACTCTATCAACAACGTTTGGTTACTGAACAAATCAATTGACAATTTCTTTTCAATTAAAGATTAGTTTCTCTAATCCTTGAATGAACACACAAATCATAATATTGCAGACGTCTAAGATCCTGTCTTTTTTCAAGTAAAAAAAAAACCCATAAGCATATTAGAAATTCTCATATTGGAACATAATTAAAAACATCAGTCAACGAATCATACTCCTACCGAATGGAGTTTACATTCAAAAAGAAAATTAACCGAGTGCATATGCAGGCAATTCAGTCTTTCAACCATAAATAGATGCATAATTAAAAACAAATACTGCTTTTTTTTCTCATGCATTTTGATGTTATACGCACTGGATGTTTCCGCATAATATGTGAGATCAAAGAGAAAATGATTTTTATATGACATAGACGCTAATCCAAAAAAGTTCTATCAGTCGGTATAAGGACGTTTTCTTCCTTCGGGTCTATATTTACATCTTTCAAAGAAGATCAAATCAGCAGAAACCATGTTGAAATAACGTGCCCTTTGCATCTATTTCATAGATATGTTCTTGAATAGAATGTTATCACATACTTATCGATAAGTTGTACGAGATCTGTATATTCCGACTGTTCATACTTCAATAAGAACCTTTGCTGATGAAATATGCACTGATAACCGAGAAGATTATTATTTCCGTCAGTCTTCTATGATTGTTCATAAGAGCAATAAAACATCTCATTGTTTTTTACGTAACCGATTAGACAATGCGAAAAAAAAGAAACCAAATTGTTGCATATGAAATGATTTGAGTATGTGCGAGCTTGTGAACATATATCTGAGCATGAACAAATTGAGTTGTCATTGTCTAGTTCTTTCAACTCGGTATAGTTCATCTTTATATTAAAGAATGCGTCTTCCGAGTATTGCTTTAGTTGAAAGAGAGTTCTGTCATATCTTTCTTTTAGATTTATTCCTATTCAGGATTTTTCTTCTAGTCATCATCAGCCTATTATTATTACACGTCGACTCCATTTTATGTTCATCAAATGAAAAAAAAAAGAGTAAGACGAGAGAGGAAGAAAAGAGAGAAGAATTTTTTTTTCTTTTAATACGATAGAACAAATCGACAGTTCTCGTTTTTTTCTCCCATTGTTACTGTTGTTTTCAATGAACTGCTGCCTTCTTTGTAAGTATGCTATCTATTGAAACTCTATTTGATAACTACGTGATAAACATCAAAACAATATCTTTCGAAAACAGGAAAATAATGATAAATGACAAGATTATTTCGATTGAAATAAACACGCGTGTGTCAATAGCGAATATACTTAATTGTTGGAGACGTTTACACTAAAATATTCAAAATCTCAAAAACCGTCTGTTGTACGAAAAGCAAACATTGCCGTTCCAACCAAGAAAGACCACGCACCGCTACTAGAGAAACACTTGACTTCTGATGAGTATGTAGGAAATCGGAAATGCATTATCTAGCGAAAAAAGCGAGCACGTCGATAGTACAAATATTCACTCTGGAAACGAAACATCTCTCAACCACTCTTTCTCTTTTATTAACCTTGTCAGGAGAAGTGTTCTGAGTGCAAAACACTGTTGGTTACATGGTAGATTTCACGGAAGGCTTGAGGTAAAGTTGAGATTCTTGAGCAGGTCATATGTGTCTATTAAATGTTTGTTGATGTCGAAGTATAGTGTCGTCTACTATTCGAAATGCTACCGTTCATTCTTTCGACCAGTTCCTATGCAGACTTTAAGTGCATTTTCCGCTTTCGAGCGAATTCATTTCCAACGAGATGACTTTCGCTCCTCCACACACTTGTATCATGTTGTGAGGAACAGAATAATGGAATAATCATCACGCATTAATGATTATTCGATTGCGTTTGTGGGAATAAGATATATTTAGACACTTGAAAATAGAATGCTCATACAAAGGTTAATCAAGAAGTTCTTTGGAATAATGAATAAGTAGTCGCTCTCTGATTATATGTTTTGTTGAAACTAAGAGCAACATGCTTATCTTTCTCACGACAGAACATACAGCTAAAGATAATAAAAAGATGTTTCAGTTTATTATTATCGTCATCTGTAGAAAATCTGCTATTGGAATCCAATATGTCTCGATTAACTTCGTTTTACTTGTGCGAGTTATATAAACATCGAGAATTATTTACAGGATTCATCCTAATTGAGTTAGGATGGTAAAACCCACATAGTTAGCGTGCAGTGTTTAATCCATAAGAGTGGACTAGATTACTAACTGCTCAAAATTAAGTCGACAGCTGTATGTCGGAGATTTTCATATGGATACGAATAGTCTGTACTAAATCCATAAAATCCTTAGAAATACTTGTAATTGCTTATTGACATGGAAATTCTGTCTAATTTCAATTACGTATGTATCCTACATAATACTTTTTTAATTCAACAAGGTGAAAATAAGATACGATGATTTCAATGAAGTCCTCTCCTTTAAGGAAATAATTGCATGAATAGATAAGATGAAAACTAATGGTGCTTTAGTATTTATCATATATTTTTTTTATAACAGCTCTTTTTCTTTATGTAAAGGGCCTACTTGAGAGTCTCCATTATCCTCTTTAGTTCTTCCACTTTGACTAGATGTGCGATCCACTTATTCAAAGATTTAATTGGTTTATAGCAATATGCTTTCGTCTCATTTCTTTATCCGCCCCCCCCCAGTCGCTCTCCCT